TGCTTCCTTCATAAAATCAGTGTACCATCGTTCGAATTGCTTCGTCGAATGTTGAAGGCAACTTGAAGGTTGCTAAAGTAACAAAAGGACGGCTCCGTCAATCTTCCTTGATTATAACTGATATTGTAAAAGAGAAGCGTCCGAGCAAGAAGGATTCATCTGTGTGTTAGCACTGCCACATACGGCATATTGTAAAGTCTCCCCGACGTAAGAAGAGAGTCGATCACCGATGGTATTTTAGTCGGTCCATGTGCGCGTTAAAAAGTAGAGAATATTGTTCCCATGTCATTAAGTAGTGGCAACTGATGAAAAAAGCTCCAACTAGCATGGCGCGCGCCAATTCGGGTGAGCTAATAATTTAATTCAATTTTGCGTACATATGAATAGTTGATCGAGTTGAAAGGTTGTACTGAGCTTGTGCAATAATGTTGTTTAGTTCTGAGAAGAAAGCCCGTCGAGCTGGGTCTGATGATGTTGATGCATATATATTCTGGTTTCAAATAATTTGTCTGGATGAGTATAGCAAAGTTGGTATGTAGTAAATGAATAAAGGTTGGAAAAAGCTATTTGGTGTAATTGTGAGAAAGCGAGGATACGCCTACAAATTCAGTTCACTATGCTTGAATAGTAGTCTCTTAAGTGAAGTTTTATCCGTTCTTGAACGGCAGTTGTCGATGTATGAATTTCTTGGAGGCACGTTACATTCAATTTTTAAGAACTTTTATGTAATTGTTAGTGGTAGAAAAGTTATGAGTGGGTTTTTACGAAGCCATTTTGCACAGAGAGAGGTGTAACGATAAGAAATATTCCCTGTTGCCTTGTGGAGGTAAGTTGAGTGTTGAATGAATCATCGAGAAAGCAGCTCCCACTGCATTTCCGTCAGTCTGTTAACCGTGGATAGTGTTGCTTAAGCGTATCAAGCTCTGGGGTTAACCGTTGTAGCATAGCAGCTTTCTCCGTGAACAACATTCTTATCCAATTGTGAGACCCCCCAGTTTCCATATGCTGTTTGATATATGAATGATCCCACCACTTTCTCTTATATTGTAGTGGTTATTCATCAAGAGTTACATTCTTATCTGTCATGAAACTTTGGATGTCCATGTTATAGCACGTTGGCATGTTCTACTACGCTTGTGCCCAGCACTCCATTTCCAATTCGGCCTTCACATCAGGTTCAGGAATATAAATTGATTTCTCTCTTCCAGCAGAGTCGTCCACTATGGGAATCAAAGTGGGTTATAATGGAGGACTATCCTATTGAAGTAGGAATGGAACTCGATACTTTTACAACACTAGGCATTTTACGTGGTCTCTTTGGACTTGTGAGGTCGTTCGCTTGCCAGGGCACTCAAAGGCACGATGGCATCCATATTGACCATTGTAGCATCTAACAAGCACTTTTTGATTCTACACATTTCCAATTTGGTGTGGCGTGTCTTTATGAAAATATTTGCAGCAAGTAAACATTTTGTTCCAGGTGGATTGAGGAATCTTATCAACGTTTAGTGGTAAGGGCGGAAGGGACAACGCGTAAAACAGGTAGATACTTCAAACTGCATAAGTAGAATTCACAAAAAACCAGTGATAGGTTTCGTGACAATATTTAAAAGAATTAAAGTGGGATGGAAATCTTGAGAAAGCTTACAAAGAGGAAAGCATTGGAAGATCTATAGCTTTTACTTTAAGAATGGCCTGGCTGTCATCGATGGCTGTACAAGGGTGGGATGTGTAGTCTGGACTTTGAAAACATAACACCTGCACAGACGATATCATTACTGTCTTTTTTTGGTGAAGATAAAAATTCTGAGTATCTCATTTTACCATCCTCGGCAGTTGTACATTCATACACGTCAGGGTGTTGTTTTTTTCATCAACTACCATGGAGATCAGTGCATTGTTATTGCGGATAGAAGTAATATCTGGCAAGAAGGCTCGGAAGGTATTTCAGGAGAACAGATAAATTGGATACACGCGTACAGCTATAGTTTGTACTTTTGCCAAAATCATGAGCTTTAACGTGCCTTATGCATGGGCTCATGAACGTTTGTGGGTCAAGACTTTTGGCGTGCACAGTTAGTTGAGGTTCCGCTGGCGATGGAAGCTGGGGGCGGGAGGGGATCATAATCGGAGTTATGCCAGTGATGAATAAAAGTTTATCTGTTAGAATCTGTGCACAGTTGGGAAAATGTCTATAAATGGTATTTACAATCTACATCATTTAGACAGACAAGTGGATAGCTCCTATCTCAGAGTTCATAGTCTAACAATGAATTACTAAAAATGAACTATTTCTTGCAACACAATTCGGACATTGGTGATAGAGAGCGAGCCATTCTATTCATAAAGCTGACCGTCAATGGCTTACAGTCCGATTTTCAAGTAGATCGGGGAAACGCGTTGCTGTCCAGTGAGTCCCTCGATACCCATCTACTCACAAGTAGAACCCCAAAGCATTATTTGCTATTCAAAGTAAAAAATACTTTTCACTCTTTACTTTTTTTGAATGTTGGAAAGAAGAGTGCCTATAACTTCTTGTACCCATGGTGTGGAAATGATATATCCTACATTGTTCATATTCTAATGCTATAGAGTAACCGTAGTATAGTTACAGAATAAATTATGTTTGTTGAATGGCAACTTGCTCAACGTTCATAAGAGGTAGCTATCTCATATAATAATTATCACTTACTTTTCTCTCTTTGTTATCGCTCTTTACATCTATTATTTCAGCGGTAATAAGGAGTGATTATCTCGTACAACTACACGATGCTGCCAACTCAACATTACACATAATCTACAGTACACATGATACTGCAGTTTACGTAATTTCTATTTATTTTCTGGCCTGCAATACTGCCATCATTCACTAAATAAAATGAATTCTAATCTTTATGATGATATCACTCAAGCTCAAATTCGACAACATCTAACAAGTATCTATTGACGGTATCAATGATACCCGCTATGGTACCGTGATTTACATGGTAAACTACTTTATCGCTTTTCCTCTTTTCTTATAGCAGTACTGCCCCAGTCTTTTTTTTTTTCTTTTTTTTTTTGTGAGCTCTTTTCTCATTCATTCCTGTGGTTATCGCAATGTTAGATCAACGTTAGCTATTTTATTGCCCTGGTCATATTAAAAAAAAAAAAAAAAAGTACCAACCTATCTGATCATGGTGGTGATTGTTGTGTTGTTCCTAGATACGGCCTGCTGGTGCTGTCGAGTGCTTTCATTGCCCTCGTTTGATTGCATATCGATGTATGTAAATGAAGTTTTTGTTGCAGGGAAACTACGGCAAAAGAAGGGCATGAAAAGCACCCACTCAACGGAAATACACTCGGCGCTCCCCGACTTCTCCACGAAAAAGGTCGGGGGGCCTATTTTTTTGATCTGCTGGTTTGTTTGTTTTTTTTCAAATCCGCAAAAAAACGAATATCTTGAGGATGACTCAAGTGAGCATAGAAATGTACTTGCGTAGAGAAGGGGACGCATGACTCTCCCTTGTTCCTTTTCAACGCAGAAAAAATCAAAAATAAGCTACTACTAGATGTTGTGTCAAAATGGATGGTTTGAACTGTAATTTTTAAAGAAAGGAAAAAGAAGCCCGGGCAATCCTTCTGTTATTGACTTTTGCAAGAAGAGCAGGTATCTTGGGATGGAAAAGCAGCCCACATTAGGCATTGATCTTAGTTTACATATCATGTTCTATAGTCAAAAAAGATGATGTTCTGTATATGTAGAATGAACAATAGAGCAAACATGGTGCATAACCCACACATTTTTCCAAGTATTTTTTTTTTTTTCTCTAAATAAAAATGAAGATAGGATTACATCAATAATAGAAAAATGCAGAGTTTTCCATGCTCTGTAATATCAAACCAGAGCAATCCAAGAGCATTCCAACGTAAAAAACTAGATGCTTATAGAGATGAAAAAGTCAAGTGACAGTAAAAAAATCATCCTCTCTTTGCTCCTGTCATGTATTACGTATTTTTTACTTGGCACAATAGACTGGCAGCAACAACAAACTTATCTCAGAAGCCAATGTGGAATACTGTTATAACAGCGATAGATGTTATAAGAGAAGAGAAGAAGAAGAAGAAGAAAAAAAAGCAGGCCTTTTCGTTAATCTAAAGAACGGGGATAGCGGGAAAAAAGAAAGAGCTTGGAGAGGAAGAATGAAAGGCAGCCATCGTATTTCAAGAACTAGCGTCAACATGGGCAATATGGGTATCAGCAGATAGAGAAAAACGTGTACTTTTGCTTACATTGATTGTTTTATGGCTTACTCTTTGAAATGAAAGACAAGATGCGCTACAAAAGTCATTACTTGTAGTTTTTTTTTTTTGGTTTTTTCTGAAAAAAAAAAAATTTTCCTCCCACAAAAAAAAAAAAAGCAGGAAAAAAAAATTCTTCATGAAAGATGGTGGGTTCTCTTACAAAATTGCTAAAAGTCAACCTTGGACACCCAAGGAAAGCTTTAGAAAAATCTCCATAATGAATTTACGTGGCATCCATGTGGTACTTTTGTTATTTTTATTTTGAGTTCGTATTGTAGTTGACAGTGTCATTCAAAAGAAAGAAAAACATGTCGAGTTGAGAAGACGCCCAACCAAGATTTCCTTTTTTGGGATACCCTTTTTCAAAAAAGGGCTGTTGAAGGCTATAACATCGACAAAAACAGCTGAAAGTTGGCAGAAAACTAGTTCAGACTTATGTTAAAAAGCCTGCCGAGTATGCGTGTCTAAAGATGTATGGGGATCAAGAAAACGGAAAGCATGAATCAGTTGGATTGTCATTTTTCAAGAAGTTTTATGAGCGCGTCCTTTTCTTTTTTTTTTTTTTTTTTTTGTTATGAGAAATAATAAAAAAAAAATTAAAGCAAGATCATTGATTGGTTCTTTATGAGAGAAAAAATGGGATTTCAAAGCCAGCCCAGATATTTTCCTTCATTATATAAAAGGTACTTTGTATCTCCATTTTTTCGAATTCCCTTTTTTTTTTTTTTTCTATTTCTTTTTTTACTTTTTAAACATTTTATCTATTACTCTATTATAACAATGGCTGCCTCAACCGCTACTGCCTCTGCTCCCAAGAAGACTGCTTCCAAGAAAGCTGATCATCCTACTGTAAGATAGTCATTTGATTATAACAGGATTTTTTTCCAGTGACATACGACATAGGGTTCCATGATGATTAACAGAATCCCCCCTTCCCTCCAAAAAAAAAACCAACAATTCCTCTTCATTTTTATTTATGATCTGTATTTGCCATCACTCAGTATGAAGTTATGATTGCTGGTAAGGACCACTGTTTTCACGAGGATGCTATGAGGGTTATATTTGCAGGGAAAGATAAGGGATACTTACAACGCGATCTCTTCTGAATAGATGCCATCGCTGCTTTGAAAGAAAGAAGAGGTTCTTCTAGACCTGCTGTCAAGAAGTACATCTTGGCCAACTTTAAGGTGAATCCTGGTGCTCACTTTGACTCTCAAATTGCTGCTGCTATCAAGCGTGGTCAAACAAAGGGTATCTTTACTCTTCCTAAAGGTAAAGAACTAGAAATGGATCAAAAAAAGTGATGGGTAGTAGTCCAAGGGGATGAGGAGAAAGAGGGACATAGAGATAGGCAATGGATATGATCTCATCGGTCGAGAGAGAGAGAGAGAGAGAGAGAGGACATGAAAATGTGTGTCGGAACGGCATGGCGCTAACCAAACGATGGGTTCGTTTGAATAGGTCTTTCTGGTACCATTAAATTGAACAAGGCCAAGAAGGATACTGAAAAGAAGCCTGCTGCTACCAAGAAGACGGCCGCTGCCAAGAAGGCTGCTGCTACCAAGAAGGCTACCTCTGAAAAGAAGACAGCTGCTGTCAAGAAGGCGGCTGCTGCCTCTCCTGCAAATAAGAAATCTACTACCGAGAAAAAGACCACGACGACTGCCAAGGCTCCTGCCAAGAAGACTGCAGCTGCTGCTAAGAAGACCACGACGGCCAAGAAGCCTGCTACTAAGAAATCCACGACTGAAAAGGCTGGTGTTAAGGCTCCTGCTAAGAAGGCTGCTGCCACAAAGAAGGCCGCGGCTGCTCCCAAGAAGGCTGCTGCTACTAAGAAGGCTACCACTACCAAGAGAGCCGCTGCCTCCAAGGCTTAAATCATCTTTTATTTTATTTTTTCTTAAGCAAGATCCCTTTTTTAATTCCTTTCATTGGTTTTCTCCCTCATTTACCCTTTTTTCTTTTTTTCGTCGTCTTCTTTCTTTACCCCCCTTCCTTCTTCTTTATTTCTGTAGTATAACGAAGGGGCTTTCATTTTTTTTCTCTTAATTGTACAGTTCATCATTGTTTTTAATTCTAACTTTCTTTTTTCAAACAGCCCAAAAAAACATGATTTCTTTCTATATCCTTACGATTATTGATGATTGAAAAAAAAAAATTTTTTTTTTATCAATAAATCGTTTTGACACATTTGTTATATCCTCGAATGAGAAGAAAAAAAAAAAAAAAACTGCGCGCACACTTTTTGACGCGCTTCCCTTCCATCAAAAAAAAAAAAAAATACAACTTTTACTTTCCTTATTAGCTTGACTTTCGCACGAAATGGCTATTCAATTGAGACTCTATTACAATTAAAATTCAGACTCATTTAAAAATTTATTTTGGATGAAAAGTATAGTTTTTGGGATCCTACCTTTTCTGTCGCACCTGCTGGGTGGCCTTTAAATGAAACCACAATCCTTGTTCTTCATCCCCGTCACCAAAAATGACGAATGGAATTTTCTTGCAGTCTTCAAAAAATGGAGCAGCGGTCCATTTGTTAACAGTCTTTGCTTTGTATCTGCAAAGGACAGGTTCATGTATTTATATAGTTATCAGTTACTGTTGAAGCAGTAGTAATGAATGCGCACCTTTTTTGCGCAGCTGCTTCTACATTCATCGTTCACTTCTTCTCTTGTCCTTCCTTCCTTTCTGCAGCCCTCTGTCCTTTTCTTGCATGTACCTTACTCTTCGTTGCCTTGCTTCCTCTCGGCAAACTTTCTTTTACGCCGTTTTATTCTTGTTGGTTTTTTTTTTTTCTTTTTCTGGGGATATACTTTTTGCCTCCATCCAGAAAGCATGTTAGCGAGCTCTTCGTTGGCTCTTTGACGGGCCTTGATAGTCGTTCAATATGAATTTGGCAGAGTGGAAGCCATAAAATGCATGTAAGCTTTGGATATGTCTCACTACATAAGAAAGGTACAGCTTCTATTGTATTTCGGAGGGAACAGTCTTGCACGTCGGTAGATGGGTCTCCATTTCTTTCATGCCAGTTGCAACCTTCTTTTCCATCTACGACCCTTGCACGTCTGTTATATCCAGCCATTTGAGCGCGCTCCTCTTTGCTACATGCGCGCATTTGATGCCTATCTGTGTTGTAACCAACGACAGCTGTGACTATCTCATGACGCCTTGGATCTACAGCTATCGGCATGAAATACTTGTTGATTTCAGCAGGAGTAACATCCTCAAGAGTGAGTGTAGCTGTTGCAACTTTTTTCTTGACGGGAACGGGACAAACAAAAAGGTGACAGCAAAGCCATCTGTGTGTATTACACATTTGAACATGTCCTTAGAGTTGGCTGGAGCTCTGACAAGGTCTTGTAGGCTATGTGAACAACAGATGCTTGTTCATGTTATTAGGTACTCAGTTACAAACAAAAGATGTACAGTACAGTCGTTGTAAGTAGCTCGTGATGAGATCTTATTTTAATCTACCTGATGATCCACTGTGAACAGTTCTTTCATCATTCTTTAAAGGATATAACTAGACTCTGATAAAAAAAAAGGGGGAAAAGGTACCCACAATCTCGACAGATTTCTTTGGACACGTTTTATTCATCGAAACACGGTTTATTTATCACTTCATCAGTTACTGACAAGAAACAGGCGTTCAACTTGATGTATACAATCACCTATTGTTATTGCTTTTCTTAAAGGGAAAAATGACACTAAAATGACACGATATTAGATCAAGAGAGATGCTGAGCAGTCAATGAGAATACAGGATGGTGAGTCATTGACATAGAATACAACTGGACAACCAGTTCAAATGGCAGCCAAGTAGGTAATTCTTCTGGGCCCGATCAAACAACGGAAACTTACTGCAACAAATGCGTGCAAAAAGAGGCGGGCCTCAGATGTTGACTACAAGTGTCCAAATGTAAAAAAGTAACTCGTCCAAAAATAATGACTTGGAATTTTCTGAATGAAATCCATCAGTCTATCCAATTTTGGGTACAAAAAAGTCTAAATGAAAACCGAACATACTGTAGTAATGTATTTTTTTTTTTTTTTTCTCCTTCCCTTTCAACTCCCTTTTCTCCCCTTTGTACGGCTCTTAAAATGTCACTATGGTTACCAAACATAAAAGCAAAAAAAAAGAGATATGCAATGCATCTCAGCAAAAAAGAACTCGCCACTAACAATAACAACCACCGATAGACTGTATCACCAAGATAAATGACAGGATGTGAATGCTTCTCTACGCCCTCTCCTCTCCTCTACGAAAGGCTTTAGTGTAGGCAGCCAAAGGCCCACTCCCCAACGGGCGTGTGCTTGAAGAGAGGGCCATGTAAGAAGGTGTTGTATGAGCGAATTGCTTCTGTGAACAGTCTACTCGAGAGAGTTTTATGATAGTACATGTCATTAGGATGCATAGGGGTGGGTGCTACTGCGAGCAGATGGCATGGCTTGTTGCGAAAGATAGAATGTGAAGTTTTCGGGAGATGAGGTGGGTGCAGATGCTGCTGTCCAGTGAGTATCATGGTGGTTGAATTTCAACTTGTCAAAGGAGGACGTAAGGAGGGTTGTGTTGAGCACTATCTTCTCTCTCTCTTTTTCCTTTGGATCGCGTATCACAGAAGCAGTGGTCGTAGGATGGGGGTGGGGGCGAGATAGGGGAAGAGGAGGAGGAGGAGAGGAAGAAGAAGGGAGCGGGCCTCCATGAGGAGGATGGATCGACAGCACGAGTGACTTGGAAAAAGGGCATAGGAAAGACGGCACAGGCAGGGTAGGCAGCTGGGAGAGGGTAGACGTTGTTGTAGCAGCAGCAGCAGCAGCAGCAGCAGCAACAGCAGCGACAGGTGTCGCTACACAAAACAATGTAAAGAGAGCGCAAGGTGTCTTTTTGGAATAAATCTATGCGCCGAATCCTCCGCCAAAGTAAAAAGCGGCAGTCCATCTCTACCAAGCCCATCCCTGTGATTCCGTTTAAACCGTAGTGTCTGTTTCAACGTCAACGACCCGTTGGCTATGTTGCGTAGATCGTGCAAGCTGGCCGTGCGAAACTCTTTAGCCGAGGACCGCATCATGGCTGTCTGTCGTCATGTAGGAGAACAGGGAGGATGGCCGCAACATGACTACAACTACTACTATCGACATGCTGTACTGAATTATTCCACAAGAGACGATGTCATTTAGATAGACATTCCTGAGATGATTGCTCCGCTAGAAAGCTATAGAGTGATCGATGCGAAACATTCCTGAGGATAGAATGGAAAGTCATCAATACAATTTTCAGATAGTCGAGCACAACAAAGATCCATTGTCAAAAAGATCGAAACAACGAGAGAGAGGATTCAGTGGGATGATCTATTTTCAGCCCCCCCCCCACCCAAAAAAAAAAGCAGATAAAGAGTCCATTTACTGTGAGGCTATTCTCAATGGGATGACGTTGACATAAAGACGACGATAAAGAAGCCTCATCTGAAGCCGTCTTGGGGTAAATCAGACAGTATTGCTATTGCTTTGACTGTCCATGAAGGGCGCGCGGAGAAAGACGGCCATCCTGCAGATCTCATTTTAGTAGGGTGGCTATTCTTGGGTCGACCCCTCTTTTTATGTTGTATATCTCTGCATGTGTCTGCTTTTATCTGTGTTCACACAACGACGACGACAAGGTCGATGGACTATGTGTGTATTTCAGATATAAATACCATAGGACGGGTCTTTTTCTTTTTGCCAAACCAAGAATAAAAAAAAATTCCCCGACAGCCTACCATCACAAGCCAAGTGTGCCTTTTGACAATGATTTTATAGAGCAAAAAAGCATTCAACATAGATCAGCCCCCTCTTTTTTTTGTTTTCAAAGAAAGGATAACATAGCTCGGGGGGGGGTCTCTTACGCATGCAGCAGAAACATGGATTTTATTTGATCTCTTTTTAGAAACCTCATTTGTAGCGAGTGTTGTTGTATTCGTCGGTCACAAAAGTGTGCCTGAGAGACGAGACGGATAGTCAGGATACAACAAGGGCGGTCAATGGTGAATGTGAATGTCTGTTTCTGAATGGGTTGCGGGGTTTGTCACTGTTGTAGTAGCAGTGTCAGGCGTGTGGATGGTAGTATCATTCATAGATGCTTGTAGTAGCAGGAAGGGGTCCTATCATCGAAAAAAAAAAGAGCGGGGAAAAAAAAAAAAAAAAAAGTAAACTTTTTTTTCATCTAGGAGAATTTCTTCTAAAAAGATAATTTTCCGAAGAATTATTTTATTGCTCGTATGATGTCACACGCTAACAAAACATACAATGACATGTGGTGATCCTACAAGGTAGGATAGATCGTTACTATGGATACGGTGGAGAAGGGTGTGGCGAATGACGGTACAGACAAGGAAACGCGGATCACACTTTTTGAACGCGTAAAATCAATGCCTTGCCGGTCTATTGGATAAAAATGAAGCATGGGCTACTTGCTAGCCTTCTTTTTCCAATCAAGTACAACCCTAAAGCCTTATTACAATAGAACAATACAAAAATAAGTAGGGAAAAAAAGCTCAGCTACTCATGTTGGTTCAATTTTTGCAACTCTTTTCTTTGGATGGTATGAATTCCTATATCATGTGCGTTTTGTAGGAGGGGAGGAATTTGAAATTCTTTCATTCTTGGGAAAGGCTCTTTTTATGCCAAGTGATTCCATTTGTTTGAAACGCTGCTAAGACTATGTGGCGCAAAGATCAACAAGCATTCCAAGACGAATCTATACAAAAAGACGCTTTTCTGAATGTTGCAATTTTGCTAAGCTTTCACTTGGCAATCCATGCTATTTTTATACTTTTTTTTTTTTTCTGGGCAATCTTTGTTGCCTTGACTTGTACACTTTAAATCGTCATTTTATCATCTGAATGAGACTATCTATTGCCAAGTTTTACTATAATATTTAGTATTTTCCAGGTGATGCCCTACTGTTGAGCAATTTCATAGTGCAGCATTTTTTTTTATCTTTTTTTATTTGCAATAATACTTTTTTGTAACACATTGCTAACATTGCAAGGCGCAGCTGCACTTTTTTTTTTTTTTTTTTTTTTTTTTTTTTTTTTCCAGAAATGATGCATTCCCCTCCCCGCGCCGCCCCACTCTCTTCCATCATTAAACATGTTAAATCAGTACTCACACATGATGTTTAAAACATAAAGTCAATTAAATCATCCACAGAACGTCTCACTTTATTTCTGACACAGTAAGGCTTTCCAGCTCTATATAAAATATAGACGTAAAGTACCTTGAAACAGAGCGAAACAATGACTGACCCCCTTTTCCCTCTCCTTTCACTTATAGACAGAAAGACATTTTTTGTTAAAAAAGGAAACAGAAAGGCAGGGCGAGGGAGTGACAAAAGCGACAGAGCAGAGAAAAGGGATCATCAACGCATGAAATTCTGGCTTTTTTTTTTTTTTTTTTTTTTTTTTTTCAGAGCTAATTAAAAGAAATTGCATAAAAACAGAATCGTATGTTTGGTACACACTGACGACTATTTTTTTATTTTTTTTTGTCATTTGAAATTTTAGAGCCAATTTTTTCTTTGTATACGAGTATTTTTTTTTTTTTTTTTTCTGTCTCACAAGACCGAAGTATAGCCACTCAAAAACCATCACAAAGCAACAATTACAAAAAAAAAAAAAAAAAAAAAAAAAAAAAAATTGGCAAAATGACGTACCACAATGAAGAGTGTCCCCCATTATTACAAATTTTGAATAAGAAGGTTCTTGTTTTTTAACTTAAAAAGGTAAGGGCTGATAAAAAAGCAAAGCATTTTTTTTTTTTTTTTTTTTTTTTTTTGCAAAAAGGCATATAAAAAAGGACCGTCTTTTTCGTTGACGGGTCTCCCTTACCCCCCTTTTTTCATCTTTTCTAATTTTCAACTCGTTTTATTTCTTATTTGCAAAAAATTAATAAGCGCAAATCATCTTATCTTATCTAATAACCCACCAAGTAAAATGACGGATAACTTTAAATCACTTATTGTCAAAAATCTTCATTCCAATGTCACTGAGGATTCCCTCAAGTCAGTATTTACTCTGATTTCGCCTGTGAAAAGTGTGAAATTAGCAGAACATACAAATTCAAAGGTAGAAAAAAAAAAATTCACACATTACAACAAAAATCACAGAAATGCTTTCCAATGAAAATTCTCAACTCACACCCTTTTCTATCTTTAATTCTATGTAGGCCAACTCAAATTGTGCTGTCATTGATTTTTATGAACATGAAGGTGCTGAACAAGTGATACATACCATGGACAAACGCACGCTGAATAATCAGGTAAAACCAAATTTCACAATGGTGTTTATCTGGTTTTTTTTTTTTTGTTCGAAACGCTAACCTTGTTTCCTTTTTTTTTTTTTTTTTGTTTTTTAGCAAATATCAGTGCAATGGAATACCATCAACAATAATTCTCATTTCGAGTTTCAAGAACAAGAAGCATCGCAACAGCAGCAAGAACAAGATCAACATGAACAACAAGCCTCTGAAGAAGAAGAGGATACCTCCTCCCTCAGTTCCTTGGATGATCTTGATTATATTGAAGATGTTCATAAAGCACACTCAAGACGTGCGTCTGTGACAGACCATGACAATAGTAATTATGGTAAAAAAAAAAAAAAAAAAAAAAAAAGAAACATGTCTGTCCCTTAAACTAACACGATCCTCTATTAGTCCTTCTTTCAAACGAGCCCTATGAAAGAGTGTTTGCTCAGACGCCTCTGTACATTACTTCTATTTGTGTTCGCAATCTACCCAAGAATGTCATCATGCATGATATTGCTCCCCATTTCCAGCAATTTGGCCATGTCTCGGATATTCACATCAAGACGCTCGAGAACGAACAAAAGAAGGCGATTGTCAAGATGGACACACATGCGAATGCTGCTACCGCTATTTGTGCTCTCCAAGGCATCACCATCGGCGGAAAATCCGCTGTCCTCAACTGGTCCACCACAGAAGAAGAAGAAACCATCAACAGAAAGATCAATAATGAACATCATCTCCAACACTATTACAACAACCTCAATCATCAACCTGTCACCTCACAACTCAATGCTGCGACAAGAAAAAAGTCGGCCAAATCCGTCATTATGGAAGACAGCTACCTCATGAATACAACCAGTATGAGACCACCCGCTCCTGCTGCTCCTAGTACCAGCAGCGGTGCTGACCATAAGCATGCTCCAGGCACCCAACCTTCCAAAGAAGGCCTCGTTCATGGCTGGGACCAATATTACCGACAATACTACAATGCGAGTCATATCTCCACCGCTATCTAAACCACACTCCCCTCTCCCCTCTCCCCATTGAAATGTTGAAGAGAGCAACAAAATATTCCCTCATATATTGAACTCGATAGTATTGATTTACCATTTGTTTCTATTCTTCACCTATTTCACACTGCATTCTTTCTTTTCTTACTCTCTTCCTCACTCTCTCACTCACACTCTCTTTTATCATTCGATCATCTGCCCTATAACAATAAAATATAAAAATATGTATATATAAAAAAAAAAAAAAAAAGGACAGATTTCCTTTCTTTCTAATGATTCCATCATGATTTTGTACGACAAATAGAATAATTTGTCCCATTTAAAATCATCATTTCTTACATTTCCATTTTACCAAGATTTTCCATCACGGCAAGACCCACCACCCTTCATTGGTGGGTGGGTGGAGTGTATGGTAAGGGAAACACACGAATCCAGAAAGTGACCCTTTGTGCGTGGAAACAAATGAGCCAAGAAATGGTTTTTTTTTTTCCAAGGCCTGGAATGGATCCATAGGATATTTTCGTTACACCATGACCACCCCATCACCATGATCACAAAAAAACCTTTTTATTTCCCTCTCCTCCTTCAACACACAAAAAAGTAACTTAGCGTGTACAAAGACGATCTATAAATAAATAACGCCTTGCAAAAATACCTTCTCCCATCCTACGTCCTTTTTTTTTGGCTATAAGGATCTACCAATAAGGAGTCGTTAATCATCATTACGTTCCATTAACTCTAACTTTTTAATACACTCGGAAAGGAATCCATCCAACTGCAAAAAATAAAAATAAAAAAATAAAATAAAAAAATACCAATAGAGTGATAGACGGTTGGGAACGTCTATCACTGAGAAAAAAAAAAAAAAAAAACCGTTTCGAAAGAGGCAACACATCACGCATCCATAGAAACCCCTACTGCCAATGGATGGGACAAAACGATCGCAGGACGTGTTCCATCCTTCATCAGGACAGGTGGTTCATCACTTTTACATATCCATAGGGCTTGACCCTATTTATTCGTTCTTTAGAAAAGAAAGATGAGCAGCAGGGCTTCTTCTATTGAGAGCAGCCGCCGCTGGGTACATCCCGTGTTCGGATACAATCGTATCCTGTTGCTGTATGGACAGAGGCTCCTGATCGACCGTCATCGTCGTCTCCCTTGCCTTAGGTTCCATACGAGGTCCATGCTCGTTCTCCTTTTCATCTCTTTCGCTGCTGCTGCTGCTACTACTAGCCGCCAGGGTCGGAGAAGCGACGGGGTCCAGTGGGAAAGACTCGGCCGGTCTCCGAGAGGTGTCCTGCTGACAAGCAGGACAGATCGTGAAAGGCTGCTGTTGTACAACCGCACGGATGCGAGTGTGACCACGCCACCACCACGCCACCCCTCCTCGACGGCCCAGTAAAAGAACACCGGCCACGACCCCCCACCACACGACCCACACGTTCCAGACCAAGACAGGATAGATGCTGCCGCCGCCGTAATACCGAGCTAAATAAGATACGCCATGCAATCGATAAAGACAAAACGCAAGCAAAAGTAGCTGAACCCATCCTCGATCGCACATGGCTGTCGTTGGGTGGTTTTCTTGGGTGCTGTTACTGCTGCTGCTGCCGAGACAATGGGACGTACTGGGATCCTCCGATTTCCAAATAAACACAAAGAGAAACACACCGACGCTGAAGAGAATGTGAAAGATGGCATAGAGCCATGTATCCAGGGGAATCCACTGATCCCCCTCTCGATCCTTGAACAAAATACCCCAGAGATAAAAGTAACCCATCCTGTGGCTGGAAGGAATGAATTCTGCATAAAACCAAGGGAGACTGAGCAAAGCCAACAAAAAGACAAAGCAAAACGTCCACAGAGACGGCTGAAGCACAGGGAATTGTAACGTCCGCAGCGTCCATGACAGGATTGTTTTCTGAACACCTGCATACACACTCTTGTTTTTGCCCGACTGGATATCATGGAGGAGCAGCAACACCCTGTTCCGTACATGGAATGCGTTGCGTTTGTTGGGATCCAGGTCGTTGATCCATTGGGGTATCAAAAGAACCAACACCATAGCATAAATAGCAAAAATACACAAGAAGCGCAACTAGAGTACAAAACGTTGGGGTTTAGCTTGAGGAGAACAACGATGGAGAGAGACCCCTTGGGTTCCATTCTTACCAAAAGTGATATGTGGGTCCACATCATCCATTCGCCTGCACCCCCTCTTATCTTTTCTCGAGTAGCATCCATTCGAAAGGGAATGTCGTGTTCACCCCTCTGACCATCAGGGGCAGTCACTACGATACGCAAATGATGCGTTTTTCTGTCATCAAAGTCATTGGAATCCCACACGCTCGTCCATAAAGGTAGGGTCTGCTGCTGCTGCTGAGGGCCCTGGCCCACAAAGTGAGCTGGGAAAGGATGTCGTTGACCGTCTATCCAAATCTGGGTGTCGAGTTGAGATGCTTCATACAAAGAAAAAACAAGAAAACGAAGATGAGAACTTTGCTTGGAGAGCCGTAACGGCTCCTTACTTGGCAAAAGATAACGAGCATCTTTGGGATGCGTGATCAGTACCATCGGCGCGGGATCCAGTCTTTCCTCTTCCGCGGGCCATACAAGTGTTTCCTCTGGCGCGCTCAGCGGAACAATGCTGTCGTGAGGGACGGCTGGAATGCGCGTGATAGGCAGGTCAAGATCCACAAAGGAAATCAAATCATGGTCCACAGCCACAATACGATACGAGCCATGGTCCTTCATATCCGACAACTCGAGTTCAAGTGAATCCGTTCGTCGAAAGTACGTTTTGAGTACATCTCCTATCCCTGAAACGTAGAGAGAGGATGAATACATTGTTCTTACACTCTCTCGCTCCTCGAATCGAATCAACCCCTGTTTTTTTTACCGCCTGCTAAACGATGAAGATGTCCACAAAAATAAATACTGACATGCTTGACCACATCTTGAAAACGATCACCGTTGGAAGAGATGCCAGGGATCATGGTGGTCGTAGGATAATGTGAAAACTAAAAAAAAACAACGTTGATAAGAAAAACCGTGGAGGAGGCTGGGGGAGGGGAGGATTCCCAAGAGAAAAAAATAAAATAAAATAAAATAAAAGTGGTGGGCTACTCACCAAAAACGTATGATGGTAACGCTTCTTGTTAGACAAAAGAAGAGACGCTAATCGATCCATGGTGTGGGTCGTCAAGTAACCGAAAAAATTGAACGGACGAGAAGGACCTCTTTTAGGACAGGCATCTACCGCGATAAACTGATAATCGCCAAATGGTTTGTTGACTTCCCATCGATACACGCCTTGACCCTCCTCCCATGCCTTGGCGCTCTGTCCATACTCTTTGTAATAATTATTGTCTGCCGTCCATGAATCCAAATCAAAGCAATCATGATTTCCCCTCATGTCGTACCAAGGCAAGGGACGGCCGTCACGACGGTAGGCATCAGAAGAAAGCACGGTTTCTTTGAGTGCGGTATGATACACTTTCCATTCGTCCACATATTGGGCTGACACGGTTCTTGTTTTATCTTTGCCGTCGATCAAGTCACCTGTCACCACGACAAACTCGGGTCTAAGAGAGAGAGAAGAGAGAAAAGGAAGGGGCGGTCAGTCGTGCGCTCTACCCGACTCCCGACTCCCGGCCCTCACCCCCGCCGCCTCTTTTGCAAACCTACTGGATCACAGGTAAAATAGACTGCAGGAAATGCAAAAAATGGATCGTATGTCCTTTGGCTTGAAATTTAGATAGATGCAAATCGGAGAGTTGAACAAAATAAAACAGCCCCTCCGCTTTATCATCCAAGACCGAGGAGACGTTGCTTAAACCCGCTTCCGTCTGCGGTGCAACGGGACGGGCTGCTTTAGGGCGAGAGGAAGCATACCCATCATCATCAACATCATCAACCATAGGATGCTCATCCGACCATCGCAGATCTCGGGTTGAGACTGAATAAAGATAAATGCTTCGAAATACACCTATCAGAAACAGAGCAGTACAAGCATAGGTTGACCAACTCAACGGATGCTTCATATCTCTTTTTTCAGTGCGAGAAATAAGAACTTGCCCAACACTCTATCCAATTGAAAATAAAGGGGGCCCAACGAATAGGTATAAAAAAGAAAAAAAAAGCTGTCAAAAAATTGGAAAAAAAAACCCACCGTGGGCGGGAATGCTCTAAAAAACCCTCAAAACTCCTGAAAAATCAAAATCAACCTCTTATCTCTTTCCTTTACGTAGTGCATAGACAAAGGGTGCATCCTTTAGAAGAGAAAAAAGCAGACAAGACAGACACAAGCATTTTTTGTCTTGAAAATGAAAAAGAGGTATTCAGCAGCATTCGTTTGCTGTATTCTATTGTTCTGGCTCGTTCCATTGTCGCATACTTTACCTGTGCAAGCAAAGACTACCGCTGCTCGTGCGATGACCCAGGATGGCACCGATCGTTGGCTCGCTCATGATGAAGCGAGCGATGAGCCAACGTCTTGGTGGGTAAGAAAGAGCCAACTTATCCAGGCACCTGCGACTCGGTTCCTGGGTGAAGCCTGCTACCCATCACTCGTACAAGACATGAATTATCACGATAAAGAATGCATGAAGCTGGCCCTTTCCAAGGTGCTAGGAGCGGGCATGGTGGTCGGAGGGGCCATCATTAAAATTCCTCAAATTCTACTTATTTTAAAGCATCGATCGGTGCAAGGCTTGTCGCCGCTTTCGTTTTTCTTGGAAACATGTGCCTATGTGATTGTCCTCGTCTACAATGTACGTCATGGCAATCCATTCAATACGTATGGCGAGGTGTTCTTTATGACGCTGCAGAATATCGTCATCTCCTACATGCTCTTTCATTATCATCACCACAACAGCCTGGTGGACAAAGAAAAGAAGCGCGGTGGCCACCCTACTGCTACTGCTACTGCTGCTGCTGCTGCTGCTGCTGCTACGTTCGGCATCCATCGATTCTCGTTGTTTGCCTTGGCTCTTTTGGCTTTAACAAGCTTCTTGTGGGTGATGCCTGACGGGTGCATGTCGTTTTGTTTTGCTGCTCAAATACCCATTGGACTCGCCAGCAAAATTCCTCAGATGCGAGAGAATCACAAGCATCAATCCACAGGACAACTCTCTGTGTTTGCTGTCCTCAGCTCTTTTTTTGGCACCGTCGCTCGTGTTTTCACAACATGGACAGAAATCCACGATGACGTGGTGATGTTGGGAGGTAACTTGATAGCGAGTCTCTTGAATGGCGTTTTAGTGTTACAAATGGCCATGTATTGGCGAAATACCCAATCTAAAGTAGCAATGCAGCAAAAACTGCAATAAGGGGTGCGCTGGGCGATAAAACAAAAAATAGGCGAATCATAGGGTCGATGTTCTCTCTCTTTTTTTATTTTTTTTTTTTTTTTTTTTTTTTTGCGAAAAAGGGGCAAAAAAATGCCTTAGGTAACTCTTTTTTCAACGAATTCGTCTTAGCAAATCATAATTACCGGAATCTTAATTCATTCGGGTCTTTCCCTTTTCTGAATTTTTTGAAAAAAAGATTTCAAAAAAAGATATAATTTCATCATTTTTTTTGTTCTTTTTTAACTTTTTTCAATATTCGATCTATTTCCCAAAGACACCAACCCACCCAGATGAGTCCAGCTGCTGAAGCAATGACAATGACTGCACCTCGTAAAGAGGCTACTGCTAACCACGTCCATGAACAAGCGCTCATTGATAAAGCAGCCCATGAAAGAGACAATCTGGACATTGTCCAACAATTGAGAGCAGACAGTGATATCATTGAATACAAGGCTTACAGTCATTCATCGCCTGGAGAAATTGAACATTCTTTAACCATTACCGTAACATATCTATCTTTTTTTGTCATCTCACCTTCTTCCTTTGGGCTCAATTTTTTTCTGTTGGAGGATAGACTTTGAGAGGCCCTGACAAGATCATTGTTCCTCCTTTGATGTTTTTCAACACATCTTATACCGAGTTGACGACGGTGCTTCATCTAGGCAAAAAGTTATGTGGACACGAAGGCATTATTCATGGGGGATTGGCTGCTACTATTTTGGACGAGACGTTGTGCTATTTAGTAAGTTCACATCACAAAATGGTTCAGAAGTTGAAGGAAAAGCAAAAAAGCTCAAAGACTGTTTGAACAATAGGGATATCCTGCTTTAGCACCGAATAAAGTCGTGTTTACGGCCAATTTAAACATCAATTATAGAAAGCCCATCCTTTCCAATCAATGGGTGGTGATTAAAGCCAAATTGGACAAGAAAGAAGAGTACAAAGCTCATGTATCCGCGTCTATCCGTAGTTTGAAAGAGGATGCGCTATTGACAGAGGCGACATGCTTATTAATTGCACCCAAGCCTAAAAAAACGACAGCTGCTTCTGATGCTGAAAGCACTGTCTCCTCCTAACGAACGGTCGCTTTGTTCATCCATGCCGATTTTCCACTGTACATTATTTTATAATGTATTTATTTAAAGTATTGTTTTTTTTTGTAAATAAAAAAATGAGATAGTAAGAGACTCTGATGGAGAAAACATTCATGACGCCCATTCAAAGACGTTGGGGGGGGATGTGGATGATGTCAGGGTACACGTTTCATAGATTCTCATCTTATCTTTTTCATTTCCTAAGGATGCTGCTTTAGAAAAAAAAAGGAAAAAAAAAAATTCCCCTCAAATGACACTGCCCCGATTCCATCTCCACTTTCTGCACTAAAAGAATGCATGTACCTCACAAGCATGCATCGTTACAAGAGTCTAGACATGTTGTGTTTTACAGGAGCCACGCAAAAAACGTTTTCAATTCCATTGTACAAACCCATCCATCTCTCTCCTTCTTATCATCGGCATTCTATCGTGACATTTCTTCCCTTTCATAGGATATATAGAGAGAACCCCTCCCCCTCATGTTTTGCTAGTGTTGTTTATTTACTTGAATGCATCAACATTATTCCCTTTTTTTTTTTTTATCGGCCTTTGAGGAGTGTGAAATGTTGTATCATTGCGTCTTTTTTTCGTGGGAGTGCGTGTGGGTCATGACTCCAGAGATATCGTTTTTTTTTATAGATTCAAACAAGAGGTAAAAAAAAGTAAAATAAAATAAAAAAGAAATCAAACGGCCAATGAACATAAAGGCGCGTGTTATAAGCTATAATGAGTATCTGTGTGTGTGTTCGTGTGTGTGTGTTCGTGTGTGTTCGTGTGTGTTCGTGTGTGTGTGTGTGTGTGTATCATTGAGATGGATGGGTGAATTGAGTATATATAACTATATATATATATATATATATATATATGTGCGTGTGTATCATTGTATTTAAAAAGGGTAATTATATCCATCCTTCTCAATCCTCTTCCATGGGTGTCCCTGTACCCGCTGTTGTTGTTGTTGTTGCTGTTGCTGTTGGTGCTGTTGGTACTGTCGTTGTCGTTGTTGTCGTTGCCACAGCTTCATCAGCGGGTGTTGTGGATTTCCTACGGTCTACACCAGGCTTCAAAAGACCTGACTGTGGGTCAATCAACAAAGTCTTCCAATTCCTCATTAATTGTTGACAACGATCCTTGATAACATGATGCTCATCGTCAAATGGATAGCAAATAGCCGCTTTCACCACTTTGCCTATTTTGGTATCCTACGATAACCATCCAAAATTTAGACATCCCTTGGGATAGAACCGCAGACTCTGCCATCACTTTATTACCCTTCCCTTCACGTTCCTTCCTACTTACTTTCAATAAACTATAGGACATAGGCGCTTCTTCAATCTCCTTGATGACGTCTAGAATCTTGGGATAATCCTCCTTTGGAATCTCACCCTAAATAGATAAAAATCGCATCGAAAAAGGTTACTTACAGTTCCTTCTATCCATTTTGCCTTTGTTTTTGCAAATATTCCCAATGACATGTGAATGGGTTCATGAAACCGTACTCGAACCTCTTTTTTACACACACATACACAATACACATACACTTTTTCTCTCTTGGAAAAAAGTTCTACCCCAAAACGGCTATTGGACGATGCACTCACCTCCTTCTTATTATATACCAACTTTTGCAGCTTGTGCCGGATTTGATATACTTTTTTAAATTCAGGTGTCTTTCGGATATCGTCTTTATTCTGCTCTGTTCCAGAACCCGCCGCATTACCTCCAGCAGCAGTCGTACTATGATTGTTATGTGTTCCAACCGATCCTTGTTGTTTTCCTCCTAAGGGTGAACTCATCTCTTCCTTTTCAAGTGACATGGATTTACGCTAAAGAAAGGTGGTTTTTTTCGTCAGTTTTTTTCCGACTCAAAATAGGATGCTTCCTGTGTGTGGCTTCAGCCCTCCACTTTTTTTTTTTTTTTTTTTTTTTTTTTTTTTGACATACTCTCCTCTTTCTGTCTATATTATCACCCACTGCAGTTTCATCCACAGCTCCTTCTTCATTCTTGCTTCTTTTACCACTTCCGCCCTCCATGTCATCCTGATCCATCTCCTCCTCCTCTTCCTCATCCAGAATACGGCTTCGTCGTTTTGTAGCCTTTGAGGTGTTTGTGGTAGCGCTCGTGGTGTTTGACTTGTGGTGGTGGTGGTGGTGGTTGTTCCGTAATGTCGTTGTATTTTTTCGCGTTGTGCCCGTACTTTTACCCTTCTTGTGGTTATGATTATTCCTCCTTCTCGATGAGGATGTCGTCACCGGTTCGTCCTCCTCTGAGTACGCCTCGTCCTCCTCCTCCTCCTCTTCCTCTTCTTCTTCCTCTGCTGCTGCTGCTGCCGCCGCTGCTGCTGCTTCTGCTTCTGCTGCTTCTTCTTGTTCAATTTGAGCCAATAAAGCTGGGTTGAGCGCTTGACGTACTGCCATTTCTAAATCCTTTGTTTTGAATTTTTTAGCTTTCAAATCACTTTCAACCACGTCAAAGTTAAAGGGTCGAATAGCATCCGGTCCAAAAAAGCCACTATGGAATAGAGAGGACGCATTCATTTTTAGAAAGAGAGATACACACACATACACACACACACACACACACACACACACATATATATCTCCCCTTGTTATACAAACTACTTACTAATCTCGAGAACCATAAAAAAACACGGTATATAAAGCATTCTTTGCTTTTGACTTTTGTTTCAATACTTTGGCTGGTACAGAGTGGTCTGCTTCAATCTGTCCATGATGAACCCATGATGGGGAGGGGGGTGTGGAATGACGGCATGGATGAAAACCAACAAAATAGAAAATAAAAAGAGCGGTGAGTCGTGCCATCTAGAAAATAAAAAAAGTGAGGTCATTCGTTTTTTTTTTACCCTTGCTGGCCACCATGGGTATCCTTTTAACTTTGCAAATACAGTTGTACCAGGTGTATATTCTGGTGGTTGTGAGTTTTGCTGTTGATGTTGTTGACGCATCTGTATATGTGTGTGGGTGTGTGGGTGGATGGGTGTATGGAGAAAAAAAAAAAAAAAAAAAAAAGGGAAAAATAAAACAATGACAAAAAATAAAAAAAAGTGATAAGAAAAAAAAAGAGAGAAAAAAGAAAAATTTTTTTTTTTTTTTTTTTTTTTTGTTGGCTGTAGAAGAAATAGAACAAAAAGAAAAAAGAGCGTGTTTTTTTTGGGATTCTTTTTTTTTTTTTTTGTCTGCCCGCCTTGTTTCTGTTGCCTGCAGTCGTTTTTTCGCTGCTTGCTTCTCTGTTTCCGGCTTTGCTTGGCTGTTTACAATCTGCAGATGAAAAAATTGTTTTTTTTTTTTAATTAGCGCGTTTATTACAGAGAATTAAGGGGGGAGGGGGGTTGACGGAAAAAAAGTCGACACATACCGAAACACGAAATTTGTAAAGTCAACTGAGAATCAAGGGGTTGGGGGCGGCGAGCGGGGGAAAGTAGAGATTTCACAAAGGAAGAAGCCATGGAGGCGTGGGTCAGTGGGTGTGGGTGGGTACGGTGGGTACGGTGGGTACGGTGAGTGAGAAAAAAAAAAAAAAAGCCAAAAAAAAAAAGATCGTCTCCGCTCTCCATGATGTGTATTTTTCGTCACTCTTTCATCTTATACATGAAGCTTTACTCAGAGTCTCTGTCGCTTGTTGCTCCATGAGGATCCATCCTTCTTTCAAGATGACAACAAAACACTTTATGATCCATGTTGTCAGAGCTGTCTTTCTGTCTTTTTTTTTTTTTTTTTTTTTTTTTTTTTTTTTTTTTTTTTCTCTCTGCTAGGTGGCTCAAGTCGAAATGACATATTTATGCCTTCAATGATCGAACAAGGTCTCACAAAAATATAAAAGATAAGAGTTACACAAAAGGGGATTCAATATATTAGGTAGAGAAAACGATAGTAAAAAATGATACATAAGATTAGTATAGATAGATTGTAAAGTGTAGTATTTATAGGTATTTACATTGAATGAAAAATGAGTCGTATTAGTAGTAGTAGTAGTAGTAGTAGTAGTAGTAGTAGAAGTAAGTGTAGAAAAAAATGGGAGGATGGCTGAAACGATGCATGAGTAAAAAATGAGGCTCATTCTGTGAAACGAACGACGACAGCATCGTTCGAGTGAGGGTGGGAATGGCGCGCTGAGGAGGCTACCACGAGCCCATTCTTATCGCCTCTGAATAGCTTTTCGGAAGTGATGTAAATCTCTTGTCGCTGCCACAACAATCGTTTTATACAGGCCAACGTCGATGGTAACGTCATGAACAACCATGCTGCTACCGGCAAATGAACATAATCCACGACGTTGGACAGTTTTCGGGTCTCTTCCTTTGGCTTGTGGAGGAATTCACGATCGACCATACGGTGCAACATTTCGTAGACGGCCAATGTACCAAAAAGAGGGAGCGGTAAGCATAAAGTAATGAGCTTGATCAAACTCCAAAGACGGCTGTAGAATTCGCTGGTGAGGATAGGGTTCTGAGAAGGGTCAACAAAAGCGATCCAAGCCAAGGGCGGAAACAAGATGAATTGCATCAGGGGTACAGCGGCAAACATTAACCAGCCCGAGGTAGCAGGTACCATGTGGGCTTCAAGAATAATCAAGCACACTTTGACACGCTCATATAAACTCACTTTGCTTGCTGTGGTTGCTGTGGTTGCTGTGGTTGCTGTGTTGCTGGTGGTGGTAGTGGTGGTGGCTACGGCTGCTTTACGAATACCATGAAAAGCATGCTTTAAAGTGTACGCGACATCGGCGACACCATTGTAATGACGTTTCGCTTGCACATAACGCGCATTGACATTCGATAAATACCCTTCTGTCTGCACGTTCGTCAAATTGATGGGCACATAAATCGGTGCCGTTCTCACGAGGCCTTGGGTTTTCCAAAAGCACTTGAGCCACATGTGCATGTCCTCTCCTACCGCATCGGCATCCGTGTCCCAATAGCCTACTTCATCCGCGAGCACCCACGAAAGCGAATAATTACTGCACGGAATGCACATGCCGCGACTGTTGCTCAGATTCGACATCACCATCGCCGACCACGTAATATCTGTCACACGTACGGCCGCAGGGACATCGAAACAATTGCGAGAAAAAAAGATGGGCGGCGCACATAGAACGTGATACGGATCTTCGGCTGTGTTCAAAGCGTGCTCTACTTCGCGGATGTAGAGCTCTGGAATAGCCGCATCCGAGTCCGATACAGTAATGATGATACGTCTGGAATCAATCCCCTTTTGCTCGATGAGCTCGCGACACCCGTGACGAGCTGCATACGCCACGTTCGATCCTTTGCCACGACTTTCGCCGGGGATATTCGATGGATGGCTAGTGATGATAAAATGCGCAAAACGATCGCTGAAATACTGTTGAAGACGTCGAGCCTTTCCTTCCCAGCCAGGTTCGGATTCTTCCATGGCTAAAATGAGTCCATAATGAGAGGCTGCGCTACTAAGGAATGAAGAGAGAAGGGGAAGTTTGAGTTAGCAGAAGCGCCCCCCCAACAGCCAAACCCCAATGGATTGCGTTGTTACCTGTGACATGCAATACGCTCCATCGTGTCTTTGAGTAACTCTTCCGGCTCGCAATAGTTTGGTATAATAAACGCATGAAAGTAGTGTGTCTCTTGATAGTATTGTAGTTTCTCTTCCACTTCATCTAAAGTGCTTGTGACGATTGCTTCGTCCTCTTCATGGCTACTGTATCCCCCGCTACTGCTTCCATGACGATGGCTGCCCGTTGGAGTGCCATCATGCCAAGCCGTTTTTTCGTTGGCGAAAGCTTGTTTTTTGGCTCTCTCTAATTTCTTGTTCCATTTGCGGATGGTCCATTTGATTTTACGTGACGTCTGATAGAATTGACAGACATGATTCACTTGACTGTACAGAAACACCGTGAAATACAAAAATAAGACAATCAAATAAATACGAGGAAAGAAAAGTGGTCCTAACGGCAATAGCGCTAATGACCCCATGGGCACTAACGGTGCCACCCATTCTGAGGGCGAGTACAGTCGCGCGGGTGAAGATGAGGTTGTTGAGGACATGGTTTGACTTGTTGTAGAAGTGCAGTGGATGTCGTTTAACTCTGTGACTTGTGTCCGTGGTGTCGTTAAAAGAGGCTCCAATTCTTCCACTCAATCAGACAGTTTTTTTTCAATTCAAAAAGATATATAAAAAGGGAAAAAGACGCAAAGAAGGTTTTCAAGCGCAAAGAAAAGAAAAAAAAAAAAGAAAAAAAAGAAAACGAAAGCGAAAGACGTTTTTAAAATGGTGAGGAAAAAAAAAAAAAAAAAAAAAAAAAAAAAAAAAAGAAAAAAAGCTTGGTGTGGGGGAAAATAAGTCTCCTCGTATACAACAATAACCGAAATCTAAACCAATCAAAATCAAGCCATCCTTATCATCATCAATTGAGACGGTTTCAAAATCGATGCCACATCTACGCAATGCTTTCCTTTCTCATTTTCAAGCCATTTGTGTTACGTACACCTATCGTTCAATCATCGTACTGTAGACAGGATCAAAGTTGACTTGATCGGACAACAGATTGTCTCTGTATAAATAAATGACATTGACTTGTTTAAATGGATATCTATCTTGGATGATTCGTCTCATCGATCAGACTTAAAAAACTTTCAATGTCATTGTGGCATTTTTTTTTTCTTTGAATCAAGTTCGTACAGTGAACGCAGCATCCAACTGCGGGTTTTAAAAAAATGAAAGTGCGGGAAATAAAATTTTCAAAATGTGGTTTTCTCAATTCTCGATTTGCAAGTGCAGTGCGCTTGCTGACTGTTACAAAATACCTTACATGGAACAGTTTCGATGGAATGTGAACAAACACACACACAGCACACCCGCACCATGAAATCAGACCAAGTTCTTACGCTGATTGATCATCCACTGAGCGAGCGAAAGTGAGGCAGAGACACAAAAACCCACTACCGGTATTACTTCACGAGACCAAGCTATGGTAAAGACGGAATACCGAAAATACATAGCGACGCAAATCAATAGTTTTTTTTCCAGCGGGCTTCTTCAAGAATGGTCAAACCACTGCTGAAAATGGAAGGCAAGAAGGTATGTTGGAGCAAACAGCTCAAACACTATGTTGCAAAAGCTAGAAAATGGATCCAGCAGGAGATGATGAGCTCACTTTTTGAAGGCAGACGATAAACAAGGGCGAAGCCGTTCGAGTCGAGTAGTATGGATGACGAAAAGACGGAACTGGAATTAGAAGCTGTTCAAGGTGCATTTTATTATTATTTTTTAAAGTTTTCTTTGATGCAACACTCTCACAAGCAAGGCTAGCCCGTCATGGAGGCTTTCCCAGGTCTAGCAATTTCTATATCTGGCATCCGAAAACATCTTTTTGAAAAAATGCAGCCTGTCATGGAAGAAGTGGGAGAAGATTCCCAAGGCTCGCAACGAGAGCAATTCTCTCGAACAAGGTCGTGATAAAGTGTTGCTTCAGGAACAGCTGAAACGATTTTGACTATTTGAGCAATTGCTGTATTCATAAATGAAGCTGGGTTCAATTTACGTATAAAGGCTTCTACGGTCGTTCGGTGAAGGTCATACCCGCTAAAATCCAAGTCTCCTCCCAAAGGGGAATACCTATTACCATCATTGGCGCGATATGAGAAAAAGGTATCATCCATCTAGCGGTTCGAAAGCCTACTCCCTGTCGTTAAGAAAGAGCGTAAGCTTGCTATTGAAGTAGTTCAAGAGGTCAATGGTAGAATAGGCACGCGTACTTGCCCATTATATGGACACGCTGAGTGTATTGGACAAACTTAACATAAAAGGCCGATACTTGATCATGAATGAAGCGACAGACTTCACGAGAAGCTCGAGATATCATTTCAAACAGAGTCTATCAATAGATGTACCTTCCACTAGGGTCACCTTTCCTCATCTACACCGTACACTCACTAATAGCAGTCTTATAACCCTTAATCATTCCCATTTCGTAATTTACCCTCCCAATGCCGCTACACTATTCACTTTATTATTGTATTTTTCTATGCAATACCGTGAATTCACTAATCACACTAACTTTCCGTCACAATTGTTGTACCCAAGATACAACTATACGTCTTAAACTACAGAACGACTTCAGTACCTGCTTGACAATCTGATACACATCTACTTTGACACCCGTTTGCGGCTAAGATCTTACCATTCTCATGATAGTTTTAGTTCAGCTGTATTAATAGTTGAATACCCGTGAATAACCCCGTTTCTTATATAAAAGTATCATTCTCAACAAACTTGAATAAAGAGTATCTTTGTTGTGTCTGGTCATTTTACTGTCTTATTTTATTTTTTATATAAGTCTTTTAAAGTAACTGGATATATCAGACTGTTTAATGCAAATACTCTTTCTTAATTCTAAATCATAAATAGATAATCATTATATGTGAAAGGATAGTTAAACATTTATTCAGTAAAGTTTATTCTCTCTTTCGTTTCTTTGCAACTTTTTCCATAATGAAATCTTCCCAGTTGGGCAAAGGAAAGAATATTTTTTTTTCTATCTTAAGCATCTTTAATGGCTGTTGACATTTCCTCTTCCAAAGCGTTATCAATGCAGTCAACCACTAAGTTACCCATATTCTGCTTGTCTTGCAAATCTAAGCCAGCAGAGCTGTCGGAACGTAGCAGAAGATCTTCATTATCAATAGAAAACCGCATCATCTCTATCTCATGGTTGTATTTAGGCTGAAGAAGCCTGTTAAGCTTCGTGTAATTGAGAAGCACTACACGTTTGAGCGAAAGTACAGCAGTAAGGAGGCGAGCAAACGAAGCACCATGAGTCTCTTCTGCTGGCATAAAAAACGGACCTTTTCTATATGTAATCATGTTTTGATTCTGATACACATTTTGTTCCATATATTGTAAATTTCAGAGCCTCCCACTGACATGTAATGGCTTCAAATTGATTCATAATTGTTGCTGTGTGAAAGTGTTTCGTCCACATCTTCAGCATGCATTGTTGTAAAGCTTTGCCTTTTTTGAGGTCGCTTTTAACTCCTTTCAAGCTTGGCTTCTCTTCAACAGAAAGATAGTCAATGTCATCGTTGATGTTACGCATAATGTTGTCAACACGTTGGTTGTTTACATCTTTGAATTCCTTTGTAATGTTAGAATAACACTCTCATCGCTTTCAATTGAAGTGGTTGTCGTGCATGGAGGCATTGGCCCACACAGAAGCACAAACGTGTGATCGGTACCAAGATTCATCATGGTCTTTAGAAAGTAGTTGACCAGAAGACCAGAGCTCAATTGCATTTGCTACAGCTAAACGTAAGTACCGACAGCCGGAGTCTAAATTTTCATGGCATAAAGTTCACTTGAAAGTGTCGTCAGTTCATTATTGTTCTTGCATTTGGAAATTCAAAGAAGTATGTCACGTTCAGTTGATGTTGTCATTTGGTTGAAGAGAGAATGAAAGATGGGTTTTGAGCTCTTTAATGTCATTCTCGTATCTTTTTGGGATTTTATCTGTTGTGAGATCCAAATTTCCGGTTTTCACCAAACTTTTTACTCAAGAAGGCAGCTTGATCATGATAATTCCATACGGTGGAAGTCAAGATTTGTAACAGCTTTTTTTTTTCTGAAGCTGTTGTTTTTGAATGGCTATATCAAGTACACTTGACTCAATGCCCTCTATATGCATGCTTCAAGTGAATCTAATTTATCTTTTTCTTTTTGAAACCCCTTGTCACTGCTGTTGTATGCTTTCTTTGCTTCATCCAGATAAATATTGCCAAGATGCTTCAAATTTTCAACACTTGCTATCATCAATAAGCTGGCATTACTCAAAAGCACAGCTACATCTTCAAATTTCCACTGCAAGACTTCTTTGCTATCAAAGGTAGTGCGCGGAATCCCTGAAAGTAACGCAGTTTCTGTAACACTTTTGCCTTCTTCCTGCAAAAGATAAATCATTTTCTTAATTTGAGCGGTATTATACACTCGTCGTTGTTTCGTCTTCTTGATATCAAGCGCCTCCATATGCGATTGCAGCTCACCAACTACGTCAGACATCTCAACATTAGGAGGCTCTGCAGGCTGTTGTGGTTCACCGTACTGAACCAGTGTTTGAATATCGTTGTAATCAATATCCATTTCATTAGATTTATTGTCTGTTACATAATAGCCTTCCTTGACGGGGTTAACGTGAATAAAATCTTCCATAATGCAGTTGTTGGATTAGAGATTGAAGGGTAGTTCCGCTCGGTAAAAGTTTGATTTTGTTTTGTTTTTACATTCATTTGCGATTGATTTGAACAGAAAGACAGAGGATGAAAATTAGAGATGAAGACAAGTGGTATAAGAGGAAAATAAAATAAGGGCGGGCGGGGCTAGAAGAGGCACATGAGCGGCACATTGAACAGTTGTCGTCACAGTGTTTAAGTAATGTTTGGTGGGGGTGATTTTGTCTCAGGGGATATTTCAATTCGTATCCTGGTTTACCTAGAAACGTCTCCAAATAAAACTCAGATTATCCACTAAAAATTCAAGAGTGTCTCGTACGGAAGTAAAAACACTGTAAAAAGAAAAACTTCTCTTCAATGATGTCATTAATACTCTTGGTCTTCACCTTTAATGTACGCATCAGCCTACTCTTTATATTGTTATGTAGTGCCACGTTCATTTGTGGCTGAAAACGGGAGGAAATATGCGTCGCGTGTTTTTCTTTCGCCAAGAAGAAATGAATTCAGATGGGTAAACATTTGTTCCCAGTTATTTTTTTTTCTTAACAGATGATATGTACAATGCTTAGTTTATTCTATACAAAAAGAGGACGATTTCAAACATAGTGTCACTTCCCCCACAGTGTTTAGTTTTCTAACACAAATCTAAATCTTGGCTTTCCAGCCTTAAAATCTGCAATGGCTTTTGGTGCTTCCTTCATTGGATATTTCTGTAACCAAGGACGAACGTTGTGTTCAGCAGCAAACTTCAACATGTCTTCGATTTCAGCAGGTGAACCAATGGCTGAACCACAGATAGTGACTTGACTCATGGCAAGTAACATGGGTGAGATTTCAGGAAAGTTCCATTCAGGAATACCGACATTAATGAAAATACCATTGGGTCTGAATAAAGGAACATACGTTTCCCCTAGATCAGTATAGAATGGGTAGATGAGTAAAAAAGTAGCACGAGATGATGAGGGCGTCTTTTTTGAGCGACATGCACAACTTACATTTGAAATCACTGCTGGTACCCGTACATAGAATATGAGTGAGTTCGCCCTTATGATTGGCCAAACTTTCAGCATCGCTCGTGACGACAAAGTCATCACAGCCTAATTCCATCGCGACATCCTTCTTACGATCACTATGGGACATACCCACCACTTTAGCACCCATGGCTTTGGCCCATAAAATACCGTAATGGCCTAATCCACCAATGCCCATGACGCCCACGACAGAGTCAGGGCCGACCTTGTGTCTCTTCAAAGGAGCATAGGTTGTCACACCAGCGCAAAAGAAGGTACAGGCCACCTCATTGGTTAATGTATCAGGGATTTTAAACACGAAACGAGCATCACCACGCCATCTATCAGCATAACCGCCAAACGATTTATCTCCGTTGGGCCAGCGGCCATTGTAAGTACCCACCCACGCCCTGGGTCCACCACGACACAGGTTTTCAAAACCGGCCAAACAGGGCTTGCACTGATGGCAGGCGCCTGACTGAGCACCGACACCGATGCGGTCGCCTACTTTGATATGCGTCACTTTGGAGCCTACACGTGTACAGACACCGGCAATTTCATGGCCGACACACACAGGATAGTCAGGTTGACTCCAGTTGGCATCCATCGTATGTACATCACTACCACAAATACCACAATGACTGATGTCCATGTCGACGCTGTAGTCGTCTTCAGCGCGAAGTTTTAGTTCTTCCCATACCATAGGCTCGTCTACAGAAAAGATAATTATCCAAACACATTAATATTGTGATGCGATACAGATCATTTTCTGCAGCATGATCTCCTTCTCTTTCTACGCTCCTATCAATCCCTCCCCACTTATGGATCATACTCTCCACATCTATGCAAAGCCCCATGAATTACCTTTGCCATGGCAGGCCCATCCGTGAAAAGTTGTAGGTGCAGTAGACATTGTGCTCAGTCGTAAATTGTTTGATTTTGGATCGGTTTTTTTTTTTGCTAGTTTCTCGTCCGAAAGCCGAAATCAGAAAAAGAACAGATGAAAAACTTTTTTTCTCTCTCTCGCTTATCAAGGATCGAGAAAAGCTTTTTTATACTCGTGATCGTGTATGTTCCCCGACCCAATTTCTGGAGTATTTGTTTCACTTCTGTTAGTCATTGGTGAAGAGTGCTTGAGATGAAAATTTTTGTTCATTAGTGCTGCTGTGACTGAATTCTCCCCCTCATGTATACTGGCTTACAGTTTTGTTTTCTCAAATATCAGGCAATAACAGAAACCCATGTCAAATGATACAAAAGATCAACGTCAGTGTGCTCCTATGATAGCCCATCTTTTTTGAAGATAAAACACGCTTTTTCTCCATGACTCTCTCTCTCTTATTGCATGAATGCCCTTTTTTTCCAACCCAGTTGAGCTCGATTTGTCATAATGTTGAAAAAAAAAAAAGAAAAGATTTAATTTTGCGACTAACGGAAAGAGATTATCCTGTTTTTGGAATAATGCCTTTTAATTAACAATGTGTAACAACCACCTTTAATCTGTTTAACCGAGGAGATGACGCGTTCTACTACTATATATGGCGTTTCCTTGGCAACAGGCTACTTGCTTGAACAGATTCTTTCAGACACTTCAAGTATCAAATTGAGACAAAATGTGTTTGGTCTTCCACCCCGTCTTTGATACAACGATGGCAACGACCAATCAGGTCTTTTTTGTCTGCTGAATGAATCCTTTAGGGACAGTTATTAAGTTTACAATGTTTGGTATACACTTACCGTAGCTCACCTGCGATGAGTCAATTCTCAGCATACCCTTCCCACAGGTTTGCCTTTGCCACTAAAGGTTCTTTCCAAGACTTACTTTTGAGTAGTGTTTGCATATGATATTGACTGATGCTTGGGCGTGAAATAATATGCCTACTTGCGATATTGAACCTACTTGTCGTCTTACCTAGCGCTGGCGAACACATTGTTGATTGGACCCATCAAAAGTAAAGCTGGGCCAAGAATGTATCAAGTGAAGTACACATTATACACATTTCGGGGTATTTCTTTGTTGGCCACTCAGTATCAAAACCCCCCCCCCCTCCTTTCCCGCGTCAATTTGTATCTGTTTTAACTTGACCACGTTGCAAATTGGTTACTTAGAGTTCTCAAACATGGCTGGGAGGAAAAGAGTTGGCTGCTCACAGCAGGCTTTTATCAACCACCTGACCGAGTCTCATATAATTTGAAATGATATTACTGTTGCTTTTTACAAGTTCGTCTTTTCGTTGTAGTAGAAGCTAATGCTTTTCGATCATTGGTTTATCTTTGTCCCCCTCGCTTCCCCTTTCTAAAACTCAACAAAAAAAGGATAAACAAACGATAAATTTTATATTTCAAGCTTGTATCTATCGTGATGGGCCTTTCACCGCCTATGGATAGGTGTTGTTGATGGTAGGATGAGAACGAGCAGGAACGAAATCCATTATCAGAGTAGGGTTTCTGAAATCTTTGGGTAAGCATGTAGGTATGCATTTATTGAGCAGTCATGCTGTAACAGAGCTATGAGCACTTGGCGTTTAGCACGTTATGAAAAAAGAACAAGCAATGAAGGGTATCATTTATTTATCAACTGCTTTATCAAAAAAATCATTATCATTGAATAAATAGGAGTAAATTGTTCAAATGAAATGTTTTTTACTAACAAAAAAAATTCATCGTTTGGCCAAGAGAGGGGAAATCATCTGTGCTGCTGATTGTTGTACGAGGTGTGCACATACATATATGCTGTCTTACATGTAAGGAACACTTTGAACGAAAAGATAAGAAAAAAAAAGCGGTCCTTCCCCCTTTCTTACTTTTTTTTTTTTTTTTTTTTTTTTTTTTTTTACATTTTTCAACAGACAAACTGTCTCTTTCCGTATACCTTTTGATTTTTTTCCAAATAAAACACATTGATGGTTCAGCTGCAGCGTTATATACCTAGCGGTACATGCTACCGCTCAAGAAAACGAATATATCTTCGAGACGATGATGAAGAGGAAGAGATAAGCAACAATAAACTGTGTTGTTGTTTACCAACAACAACTACTACTCCTACTACTGTCAACCATGGTAACGGTCACATCCGATTATTTACAGGCAGTAGTTATTACAGTAGAAAACCGCCACTTTCAACAGCTTTTAAAGTATTAAACGAGTCTCGGGTGCCTCAATCAGCCATCAGTATTGAGGTTTTATTAGCAGAACAAGAAGAAGAATTAGACAGCTATTACAGTAGCCCAACAGAAGATCTGTTAGATGATACCCATTACCATTATGCGAGCAAGAATAATACCCTAAGGAGCAGCCTCAGCGAAGACTACAGTACATTGACGGAGAGTCCGTCCTCCTCTACAAAAGCAATGAAAGCGTTTCATCTTGATGATAGTATCCACGTCGTTGAACCGCATGAAGAGGAGGATGCCAAATCATTATCTGAACATAGAATCTCTGTCATACTGGCTAATTATAGAAATAGTAATGAATCCATCACTGTAAGACCGGATAAGAACAGTTTCACTTCTCAAAGTATTTTTCCAGTTAGCTTATATATCAAAATTTTCCCTTTTACCCTTTATTTCCTGCACCACCTAGGATGTGAAAGTTTCGAATAACAAGGCAGAGATGCAAAGAACATCAGATATACTCACCACAGATAGTACACTACAGGAACAAGAACTAATGGATGTGAGTGTATCCACTCAAAAAGATACTTTACCATTATCATCATCACCATCATCATCATCATCATCATCAACAGCAACAACAGCGGCAGCACTAGCAGTAGAACATGAAGCGTTCCAGTCTCAGCAAATGCTTGATCCTGCCTCTCTCAACATAGAGCAACGGCATGACGACGTGAGAACGACGCATGAGGAGAGTGACTCAGTAAGGTTACAGACCGAATTAACGACGAATGAATCACAAGACAATGTGAATCCAATACCCGTGGATGACATCAAGAGCGACCATGGTCCAAAGGCGAGCGGTACAGCTAGGGTAGATAGTATGGCCAAGGCTGCTGTTGTCATGATGCCACAAGAAAGCAGAACGATACAGCAAAGTGCTCAGAGCGCTCAGAAACAACATTTACCACCGATGACACTCGTGCCAGTGCCGAGGTCCTCTTCTCTCATGTCGACTTCTACTACAGCGTTCCCAGCAACGGCATTGCCAAGAACGCCATTATACCCAAAAAAAGTCGACGAGAACAGCAGTAAACGTCAGAAAGACGCAGCTCAGCAACCCTGTACCGAAGCGTTGGTGCGCAATACTGTATCAGAGGTCGAAGCCACAGCAATCACCGCTTCCCCTTCTCATCCCATGTCATTGGTTTCACAGTATGCGTCGCCTACCGAACGAGCTGCCATGCTTGATGATCAGAACATCTTGGACACCCACACCCACTCCGACAATAAGCAAAAAACTTCTTTGATCGCTTCGGCACAGCACTTGCTATTGAATGATAAAACGTTTATAGACGAGTTTACGGAAAAGCTATCGTTTATAAAAAAAAACATAGCCATCATGAACGTCCATCCTAGCAAGAACAATAAGATGGAGAGTAGTGCTGACGATCAAGGGAGAGCAGTCTCTTCTCATCATTTCAATGAGAGTCTTGCAACGGTCTCATCCTACTCCATCTCAAACCAGGATGCTCTTGAGGGTGATAATGATCGTTATCAACAACAGTCGCATCATGACGAGAACGGTCCTCTTTCTGCTTTTCACGAAGAGGAGGAGGAGGAGGAAGAAGAAGAGGATCACACGAATATTGACGAAGAATTGATCGAACTGAGCAAAAAGGTGGTTCACAATGTTCGTACGTTGGGCGAAGGCCTCAAAACGAACGGATTCCGTATTTTTAACAACTTATCCACGAGACTGAAAACGCTTCAAAAAGAATACATAAACAATCACCCTGAGTTGAACGAAAACAATATCGCGATATAAATACAAAACCCTTTTTTTTTAAAAATACATGTTTCTTGGTTGATTCTTTTTCGCTTTCTCTGCTTCGCCTCGCCATTTTTGTTTTTGTTTCATTTTTGCAGACCCTACTATGTGTGGGCATTGAGCAACAGCAACAACAACAACAGCAAAGCAGCAGCCGTTGCACTTGTATTACAGTGACTTGTAGCTCTCTGCTATAAAAGTTGAATGCATAAAAGTACGGCCAGAAGCTGCATAACAACTGAATGTTTATGTCTGCAGTATTCTAAGATGGAATAGATCGTTTGTTTGCTCTCGATCTTTTTGAGTTATTCTTCATATTTTGTTGAAAATGATTCATCTACAGATCAGAAACAGGGTTGACCTACTTGTTATGAATGAATGGGAAGGAAGCCCATTTTAAAAAAGTGACAAGAACCTATATGTTGAGTTTGCCTGTACCAGAGTCCTACGCAATTTAAGGACAAGACATCATTTGACAGAGAACATCCAACTTGGACTCTATGTCACTGTCATGCATGCACCTCTTTTAAAACAATTATGAGTGGAGCGGGGAATCATCGTTTTATGAATGAGCTCAATTGCACGTGTATAAATGAAAAAGTAGAATGGTTGTGTTCCCACCATTCAAAAGCAAATCCTTAGAGTGATTCTTGTGAAGACGTCTTTTTCTCGTTTAAAAATATATAAGAGATAAAGTGGTTCCAGAGAGATGTTTCTGGGTCACAAGGGCTCTCGTGATGATTTCACAGCTTTTGTTCTTGTACCTTTTGAATTGAGCGTATGGATCAATAGACTGTCCAAGAGCGTTCCACCAAAAAGTACGGTGGATGAGAGAGAGAGAGATTCTGATTCGAATGAGTTTTCCAATTATGGTCAATCACCGAAAGGATGAGCCCTTATCGTTGTCTTTTTTTTTTTATAGGCACAATGACCTCCTGAGTACTTTTCTATAAATTGGGTCTTAAAATGCATCGATTGTTTCAATTTCTTCCCTTCTTGCTCTTCTCGTCAGTTTACAAGATGGATTTGAGAGACAAGGTGGTGATGGTTCATGGCGGAACTTCAGGTAGATGAATCAACCAACAAAAAGCCGAAAGGTGCTCTCAGAATCAAGTTTTCTGACACAATGCTCGTTCTACTGTCTTGCTACTACTACATCTCATTAGGTATTGGTAAGGAGCTCGTTTTAACTCTGGTATCGAAAAAGTGAGTGTTTGGTCATGCTTCATTATCCTACATAGAATGAAACTTGGTTATACTGACTTGCGTTTTTATGTATTCATCATGCAATGAACAGAGCCAACGTTGTTTTCACTGGCACCAACAAACAGAAAGGAAAAGAAGTCATTGAACTACTGAACAACCTATACAAAGGGAAAAGGTAAAGAACAATAGGCATAGAACGTAAGCCGCACCCCCCCCTTCCCCCGGCTCGATGGGCTCACTTTTCTTTTATTTGCAAACCCATGGTGAATAGATCACATCATGCCCATTTCTACAACATGGATATAACTGATTGGCGTGCACAAGAGAATATCTATGATTTTATCGAAAACGTTTATACGGGCAAAAAGATCGATATAGTGATCATTGTGGCTGGTATACTGGACTCATCTAACCTTATGGATGATTTAGAAGAGAGAGGAGGAGGAGGGTATCACTATCATACTCTGGAAGTCAACTTAACAGCGGCTGTGAAGGCCAACCGACTCGCCATTCAATACTTTTTAAAAGAAAAACGGCCAGGCTGCATTATCAATACTTCGTCCGTCTTTGGATTGGCTCCAGGCCCTACACAACCATTGTATGCGGCGTCGAAGCATGCGGTAAGGGGGGGGGGAGGGCGGGAGGTTTATTTTGGGTGAGGGGACGGGTTATAGCGTGTTCCTGTCAATGCACTCTCTAAACAACACTCTTCTTTGAATTATCGGGCGGGTAGATTATTGGACTTACAAAGAGCTATGGTAGTTTATTGCGGTCTACGAATATCAGAGTCAATGTGATAGCACCTCATTTTGTAGAGACAGCACTGGTACCCAAAGAGAGTATCAAAGCCGTGCAAACTTTTGGCATGGTCAGTTTGAAAAGTTGCATAGAGGCATTTCTATACGTCATTGCAGATGAATCACTCAATGGTAAGAGAATTAGTCTACCTTCCAGTGAGCAAGTATAATGATACTAATAGGGGAAAAAAAAAATTGTACAGGTGATGTTATCACTGTATCCCATTTAGGGCGATCAGTGGAGCCAAGGTTCTATGATCCTGTTGTCGAGCAACTTGACTATATGTGTCAAAAACGGAAGGAAGATGTACTGAATCTTATCCTCAAGCATTTTCAATAAGCATACCATCTAGTTTTTCATTATCCATATGTAATTCCATAATTCATTCATTTCGTCAAATTGACGTTATCATTTTTTAAGTTAGAAATAATAATAGAATAGTTTTATCTTGATGATCTTGTTTGATCTCATGAGAAACAGGATTGACTACAGTACATTGACCTTTTTTTAATAAAGGGTGGGTTTGATTCAAATCTACTTTGTTATACTCATCATTTATAATACCTTGCGTTGCTGTGCTATTTTGTATGACAATTTATTTCCATACTACTGACAGGACAATCATTACTTGTCTTGAAAGCGTCGCAAAGGGTTCTGCATGATGAGTCACTTACCTTACTTGATTGTTGTTGGCGTATTTCGATATTAGCTAGACTGGGTGTTGGTGGTTTTATTTTATTTTTTGAATCTTACGCGTAAATAGGATGCAGATACATGTCGGTCAAGGCTCGTAAAGGCGGTGGAGGGGTACATACATTTTGACGGATACGTGTATTCTACTTTTTTTTTTTCATATCCATTCTCATCTTATAGTTGACTGTTACTACGTTGATACGGATTTCAGATACGGATCATTTTGAAAAGGAATGTTTCTCTGTCAAATCAATGCAGTTTTGTGGCAGTTTGTCTAGCAAGAGAGCGTTGCCTACGTTTCTCTTTTTTTGCTTTTTCGCTGACCGGATCATGATTTTGGTGCTTCCACTCATAGATCACTTTAATTCTTCCATCCAACATGAAAAAAGCAGTAATAGCGGCTTTGCAGTTGACCTTCTTACTACGTCTGTTTCCTTTCTTTGGCTGACGCTCATCTCTGACGGGTGGAAAGCCAGATAGACAGCATTTAATATGGGCAATAGTACAATGGTTTGTTCTGTTGTACTCATCAGCACCAGGTATGCCCTTTTTCTTATTTCGATGCATCTTCTTATAGGTCCAAGAAGCATGAGAACAGGCTGTCTCATTGAACCACTTGACAAATTCGTTCACATTGTTCACGAAAAAGGTGACCGTGTCCGTTGGATATTGAGCAAGCGTGGCATGGGTAGGCGTTTCGTTGAAATGAAACTCGTTCATTGACATCTGAAACGTTTTTTTCTTTTTGTAAAAAGCAGTAAAAGTAGAAATTGAACTCACACTCGATTCAGGCACACCCACCTTCCCCCTTTTTCTCTTTGACGCTGATTATGTCATCTTTTTCCCCAACTGAGAAACGCATCCTTAGTCAACTTGTTGGATTGGCTTTTTTTTTTCGTTTTACGCATATCGGAAAAGCGGTTTACAAGTAGAACACTACAATAGAAGAGCAGGATAGGCAACTTTTTGACGTAGAGAACAATAGACGGGCTACTTCAAGTTTAATTCATCCACTGAGTGAAAGATCACTGGACTGTCACCATAGAAAATTAGACTGCGAGTGCGTTTGTTTATGTGTGTCTGTCATGAGTGTCAGGCATACGTATAGCTTTTTGTGATATTGAATATGGCTGATCTTTTTGGGCCCTTAAGCCAGTAATGGGGAAGATAAGGTTTAGATTCCCGACAAAAAAAAGTGTTTCACACATAAACATAGAAAGGGTACTTTTTGATTACATATTTTTTTTTTTTTATTCTATTTCCTTTTTCAACTTTTTGTCCCCTTGTCTTTCGTTTTAGAACGTTTCTTGAACAAAAGTATTTGTTACAGAATGACAAAAGAAAAAGCTGACGTGCCGTATGATTGCGCTTTATGGTTGTTCAATGTCATGTTAGATGTCTTTTTTCGAGAGATCAGACCAAGAGGATCGCATAAGATACCCAAAGATGGACCTTTGATATTCGTTGCAGCACCTCATGCCAATCAAGTAAAGTAGACGTATATTCTATAGAACGCGCAAACTTAACAGATGATTGACTTTTTTTAATTTTTATATGGATAGTTCGTGGACCCACTCATTGTCATGAGGGAATGTGGCAGAAGAGTCTCCTTTCTCATTGCAGCCAAGTCATTAAAGCAAAAAACGGTAGGCTTTTTTTCAAAGCTCATTCATCCTAGTAAGTATCCTTGACTGTTGTGTTCAGAATGCAGCAACAACTTGTGACCGAGAATGTTTACCTCTCCTTGATTTGACTAGTTCCTGTGATGAGACCTCAGGACCTTGCTGAAGCGGGTCACGGTCGAATACATCTTTTGAACCCGAAAACCGACCCATTGCGTATTCATGGCGAAGATACCCAATTTACAACGCAACTTCAGCCATCCGATTCCCTCATTCTTCCCCGAAATTCAGGTCGACTTCAAGTGGCCCACATCCTATCTGATACCGAACTATTACTGAAAAAACCTCTCGGGTGTACCAAAGAAGAGGATAAAATCGCGCTTAAACATTTGACACGCCCTTCCGGTTCAGCTTACAAATGCTTACCCCACATTGATCAAGACGGTGTTTACGAGCGTGTGTATGAAGAGCTCAACAATGGCAAATGTATCACCATCTTTCCGGAAGGAGGCAGTCATGATCGACTGGAGATGCTACCTTTCAAAGCCGGAGTGACCATCATGGCCTTAGGCGCCATGGCCAAATATCCCGGTTTGGACGTCAAGATTGTGCCGTGTGGTCTCAACTATTTTCACCCTCATCGCTTTCGTTCACGCGCCGTCATTGAATTTGGCAAACCCATCACGATCTCTGCCGATCTTGTCGAGCAGTTCAAGGAGGGTGGACAAGCGAAAAGAGAAGCGTGCGCCAAGTTGTTGGACACCATTTTTTATGCTTTGAAAGCAGTAACGGTCAACGTACCCAACGATCAAACATTGATGGTCATTCAGGCGATGCGTCGACTGTATAAGCCTGCTGCAGCCAAGCAAGGAAGACTCCACATCGCTCAAGTGGTGGATTTGAATCGTCGCTTTGTGATTGGATACAATTTGTATAAGGATGATCCGCGTGTCGTGGATTTACAACAAAAAGTACTAGCGTATAATCAGCTGCTAAAGTATCACGGGCTGAGAGACCATCAGGTGCCCGAAATCAATTTAAGAGGAATGAGGACATTTTGTTTATTATGGTACCGCATAGGTTTATTGCTCGTTTGGGGTTTATTGGCCTTTCCTGGGTAAGCAAAAATAAGTCAGTTTTTTTTTCCCCGTAGGAAAGAGATGAGCGTTTCTTAACTTGATGCTTGCTCTCATCCTGATAGTGCCATATTGAATTTACCGATCGTTATTACTGCCAAAGTAATCAGTACAAGAAAAGCCAAGGAAGCATTAGCATCTTCATCGGTGAAAATTAGAGGAAGAGACGTGTTAGCAACATGGAAATTTATTGTGGGATTAGTATTGATACCAACACTTTATGCCTTATATACCCTGGTTGTCTTTTGGTATTGCGTGCGATCAGAGTTTGGCTGGTCCCAAACAATTCTCTATCCATTATTGACATGGACATTATTACCTTATATCAGTTATGCCTCGATGAGATTTGCAGAAAATGGTGTAGACGTGTTCAAGTAAGCTTTCCCCTTTTCTATAGCCAAAGGTAAATGAGAATAGGCGGGGTCTAATGATTCAATTCTTTTTCTCTCAGATCACTTCGTCCACTCTATCTTGCTTTAGTGGATCCTGATAGCTCAGCTAATTTACGTCGCATAAGAGAAAAGTTATCTCAAGATATTACAGCAGTGATCGATGAAATCGGACCCAAAGTATTTAGCGATTTTGACTCTCGTGAAGTATTTAGAAGCGACAGCACGAGTCAAGAGGCTGTGTCGGAATTAGCAGAGGGACGAAGGACATTTTCTCAAATTGCGGGTGAATTTTTGACAGGCACAGCCAATGTACTCTTGAGTGACAGAAATATCTTTAACTGGACCAAACAAGAAGAAGAGACCGATTCAGATGAGATGCTGTATTTTTATGATAGTAAAACAGCAGGTACAACCAATAACACTTCAGCCTCTGCTAGCGATGTTGAGACGCCAGCACCCTCCACTTCAGAGCATCATGGAGAGCTTAAAAAGACGCTTTAAAAATAACCGATGTAGAATTTATATTGTAAATTTTTTTTTTTTTTTTTTTTTTTTTTTTTATTCATCCTATGGAAACCAGCATTTTAGAAAATACCAGATACCATAATTCGAATTTCATTATTTTTTCATGCGAACTTTTTATTGGGGGAGAAACTGTTCCAGAAATGTCAAGTTTCGCAGGCATTGATGTAAGTTGATAGATTTATTATTTTTTTTTTTGTTTTCTCACATAAATTCAAATGTGTGATTGTCGTAGAATAGTCACTACTCTCAACTTTCCCCATACCAATTTTGATTGTCTCTTTTACCCACACCTAAACTCCCTTATAATAACATCATTCTTCTGGTTTTTTCTCTTTTTCCTATTTTTTCATCTTATTCGCAACTGAACCCCACATTTTGGAAACATCTCACTATCTAATACTAATCTGATTAACGATACTATCGACTTATATATCCTTTATCATTAAAATAACATGGCTACACCAGTTCGTACACCAGGCAAATTTGTAAACTACGTCCTTTTCCCTGTAACAACAGTCTTTTTACTCGGAGCAATTGTTCGACATCCAGCCAAGTCAACAAGAGCACACATCCAGACTATCAAAGCGGATGGTTCAGATAAAGATCAAGTTCTGAATGAATGGAAGCGAGTGAACGATGGTTTAGGAGTGAACGACGTGCGTAGGAGCTGTGGAGGAGTCTAGTCCTTGGTTCTTTCCTACATTGTCTTTTTATCATTCTTTTTTTTTAAAAAAAACACATCCGGCATACTGTATTTTACTATTCTTCTTGATTATTTATTTCTCATGATCCTGCAGTATAAAAGTAGGTATCTTCCCAGAACGGCCTGTAGTCGTTGATAGCAGCTATTCGTCAATGAGTTTTTTCATTATTAGCATTTTGTTAATAAAATCAAATCTCCCTTGTTGGACTAAAAAAAAAGCAAATGCCCTTTGAGTGTGTAAAAAAAAATTTACCTGTAATAACGGATATAAGCGGCCTATGTTCTGTTGCATTACAAAATCTATCCAATAAGAATCTATTCAAAACACAATTTAGCATAAAATTTCTCACAACCGGAATTCTTTTTCGTGTCACTTTGTAATTTTCTTTACTTGGTCAGTTTCGTATAAGCAGGTCCTCTCAATAGGTAGTATAAGAATAAATAATCGCGCCTTTTGGATTCGTCCCTTTCAAGCGGCGTCGTTGCATGTCGTGTCATTTTAGAAAGAATATCTATGCACAAGGACACTAGCCAAGGTTTCCAGCTAAGAGCCTCTTCTTCTTTCTCCACCCCATCCTCTTGTTCAACGTCAGCGTTGGACGTGGGTCCTTCTTGGTGGCCATGATTATTATCATTGCGCCGTGGTGCTTCATGGCGAGAAATATCGCTGTGTTTCTCTCGAGGCCGATGTCGTCTTTGTTGTTCGTACATTGTCATGGCAACTGGGTCATCGGGAGTTTAGAAAATAATAAAAAAAGGTGTATCGTCAATCAACAATGCCCTCTCTTTTTCGTAGGAGCGGTTGTGCTTACCATAAATCAGTGGGCGAAGAATCCACAAAAGCTCACTCATGATGGAACCTACATTGGAGCCATGGCTATTGTTCGTTAGCGCGTCACGCTGTTCTTTGGATGTCGGATCTGAAAAGTGAGATAAGGCAGTTCCATTCCGTGGATCAAAAGTCAATAACTCGTATTTCTCGTCCATGTCCATTTCTAAAGAATTCGTATCCACGTTTCGGATATAATGCATTGGGTAGAGTAACATTCTTTTCTTGGTACATAAAAGTAAAACAATCCGTAGGACAGCTCTAATCGTGTTTTTATCGTGAAAGAAATAACTCTTTTTTTTTTAGTTTGGGAAAAATAACCCCATGCACAACGAACGGGTTTATCCAATTTTACTTTATGCCCTCCATGATCGTGATCCATTGCCATCGTTTGTATGTCTTTGAGCGCATTTTGCGTAATAATATCATCTCCATAAGGACCTCTGTATAAGAAATCACACTGAGTGTTGTGGATATCACTTTGCCCATCTTGTGCTGTCGATGGAAATGGCTGTTGAAGGTATCGTTTGTGTGTCGATGATAGGTCATCGACTTGTTGATAAGGCAATGGGTATGAAAGCATGATACAAGATTGAGCACAGTTAAAACTGAAGGATGTGTCCTAGAATGAGTCCAGCGTTTACTTTTCTACGAGAGCCTAAGCTTTTAAGAAAGCTTACTTACCGGACTGCGAACACATATCTGCATCTTCAAATCTTCCTACCAACAGAAAGAAATAAAAAAGAACCTTGGGTAAACGGGCTCAGTTTTACTGTAAAAAAATGGTCATTGTTTACCTGGTAGTAACAAGGACAAAGCTCTCAATGTATCCTCAATAGCATCGATTTTTGCTAAATAAGATCGCCAGAGAAACCGATCTTTTATAGCCACCATGAATTTATTTTCTTTTTCATAATGATGTTTTCTACTATGTAAATGATGTACAACTGAGCTTGGTAACATTTTCTTATTGTCCTGGCTTGAAATACTATTGGAAGGAAATAAAGAGAAAAAAAAAAGTGTTGCAAAGGGAAAGAGGGGGGGGGGAGGGTGCGCTTCATGACCATGTTTTTTTTTTGTTTGAAAACGAATTTGCCCTTATACACAATATCGAATACATGGATGAAGCCCTCTACCATGAAAGATGACAAATCTGTGTTACGTCCCGTGATTTCATTTGGAAATTTGCTTGAGAAATTATACAGCATTTTACCATGGCTCCATAGGCAAATGAGTTATTTTGATCGACCATGTCAGTCATGACTGAACGGGCTGCTTTATTGTTCGTTGGCTCATTCAAGGGGAAGGGGAAGAGAGACAGACAGTATAATAGAGTTCTTCTCGGGCCTACATTGTTCATTCCATGTGAGAGGCCTATTTTGATAAAGAAGCATATGCTTCTTATCAAAATTTATTTTCAGCCAAAACAAAGACATTTTCCGGAGAAAGCGGAGAACTTTACATTCCCGCGTTGACAAGCCCGTCATAGAGTACATGTTTGAATGTTACAAAAGCTATAAATGAATGACGTGGAGCCTTTATAGTAACAACTGAACATGAGGCTCAGAAAGTAGAAAATAACAACAAGCTGTGGCACTCCAATCTATGTATAGCACTGCCGCAACTGTGTACTTGTCTCTCAAAACAAAATAACATTATCCAATTAATCTTATCTGTTTATCATGATCAAAACAACCCCAAATAGTATACACGATTCCGCAACCAAAAGTGCCGATTCTATTTCATCGTCCTTTAGTAAGATCTTATCAGGGATTGGAAAAAAAGAAGAAAAAGATCTGATAAGACTAAAAGGAAATGAAATTAGTCAGAAACGGGATCTTTTTTTTTTTTTTTTTTTTTTTTTTTTAAATCCAATTGATCAACTTTCTGTTTGGCTCATCTTATCTTTTAAGGTGACACAGCAGGCATATTTTAGCACTGTCCGATATTAGACTTTTGCTCAATGCAACAATGAACGGTGATTACTTTTTTTTTTTTTTTTTTTTTTTTTTTGATAAAGAAACTTTTTCATTCTATCAGTGTCAAGATTAAAAAGGATCCACATACGTCAAACCGGAGAAAAAAAAAAAAAAAAAAAAAAAAAAAAAGACCAAAAAAAGGTGAATAAAGAGATGAGCCCTGTTCTATATAAAAGCTTGGATGAAATTGCGTTTACGCTTCATTTCTTTTTTCTTTCCCTGTCATTCAAAACACTTGTTTAATAAACTCTAAATAAAAAATGAAGTTCTCTCTTGCTACTGCTATTTCTAGTTCTGTGCTTCTTCTTGCAAGCCTCCTTTCTACTGCTACTGCTGAACCTTCTGGCGTTGATAAGGATGATATGCCTGAATTTCCTGTTAAAGCCATTGCCATGTTCCGCAACAATGCCACCGTTGCTGGTACCGTCTTGTTCTCTCAAGAATCGATCAACTCTCCCACAGAAATCTTTGCCAACATTACAGGTCTTGATGCCAACACTGAGCATGGCCTCCATATTCATGAATTAGGTGATCTTATAGAAGGTTGTGCCTCTTTGGGTGCCCATTATAACCCTTTCAATACCACTCACGGTGCTCCGGATGCTGCAGATGACAAGCATCATGCCGGCGATTTTGGTAACGTGGTAGCCGATGCCAACGGTATGGCGATACTGAACTTGAAAATGAAGACTGTTCAGTTGGTGGGTCCTCATTCAGTTATTGGGTAGGTCATTCTAACGCGCGAATTTATGTGAATGTATCAATGTTGTATATCTAACCCATGTGTGCATAGACGTGGCATTGTTTTACATTCTGGAAAAGATGATCTTGGTTTGGGCGATTCTCCTTTGTCACTTACTACAGGCAACTCAGGTGACAGATTGGCATGTGGAGTGATTGGACGTAAGTTATTCAGATATACTTTATTCAATTGTCAATAGTAACTGATCGATTCCTCATCCTTTGAATGATTAGGTGCTGCCTCCGATGCTTAAGAGCACCCCATTAGCACCCCCGTTAGCACTTTGTCTCTCGATTTTCTTGGGTCTCCCGCCCACCCCCCCCCTTTCTCTTACTCACTCACTCACTCGCTTTTTAAATACTTGACATAATTATCCTAGATATATTTATCGCACGGGACAATTGTACCTTTCCATTCATGAAGCAAGCATTTCATTACATACAAACTTATGTACACTCTTTCATTACTTTATTTACATTGATAATAAATCCTTATCCATCCCTCATGATTCTTTCACCTGTCACATCATTGTTGATAAGTAATTATCCATAGGCTGTGCAAAAAATCGATTGATTACAAATCCAGGGTCATACCTTGTAGACTTTACTTTTTCCAAGTCTATCAAATGTAGATAATATACCGAGCCTAGTCAGCAGTAGAAGCCTTTACGATTTTAAAAATCAACCCTTGATCCAGTTATTCTTCTCAATGTTGATTTATTGAAACACAATCTGAGAGAAATTTTTTTTATTTTGACAGAAACGACTAATGGCACCCAAACTAATTTGTTGATAGAAAGGGGCGAAAGCTGTGTCTTCATGTCCTCTTCGTTATGAACAACCACCAAACCAGCATTATCGTCACAACAATAGCAACAGCATTGAGCTAGCACGACTGCTCTTCCTGCTTTTGCTTACCACCGCTCTTAACAAACAGCCGCCCTGCTGTGTCTACCACAATTACATTATGGAGACAACAAGTAGCTGCGTACATTTTTTTTTTTCTTTTTTTTTTTGGTTTTTTTTGGTTACTGACGGACTCGAGCCCCTTCATCCTATTGTACATTTTAGATAGGCTCATCCCTCATGATGTTACTCATCTACTTGGGGTTTATGCTGAGGACTGGTTAGAGTTGATCTGATGCTTATTACTTTCTCCCTGTGTAAACAAGAATGAACCTGTCAACAAAAAATAGCACAGCTTCTTCATCATTATTGCTAGGAGATCCTCAACTGCTTCAACCGCCGCAAAGATGACATAACGACGGGCAAGCCATTGGCTGCACGACAACAACCGATGACTAGATGAACAACGGCAATGGACGACAGCAGTTTCTACATGACATTCATGGATGCTTAGCCGCTGCGAAAAAAAAGACATGTACAGTCTGTTATTTCTCTTGTACCCGTGGACAAGACTTGATAACATCTGCCATGTTTGATATGCTTTTTGTTTTCGTATGAAGCCAGGAAAAAAAAAAAAAGAAGAGACTTTTTTCAAACATGTATTGGGATTCGATGATAAGGCTCCTGCGTTCATTGATGATTGATTCGCTTTTTGAACTCTTTTAAGATAGCTTCTCCTTTGTAGATTAAACATCTCAAATTTATCAAGTAAAGTTGCAAAAGTGAAAAGATGAACCCGACTTTCCTTTTTTGATAGACAGATAAGGGTCATGTCGGTCAACACACCAAGATAACAAGGAGCGAGCAAGTAAAAAGAAGTGACTGAGTAATTCAGTTCTGCCTAGTGGATGTAGTTTCTCAGACTTTTCCAGACAAAACGCTAAGTAATGAAAGACATGAGCATCGGATGTGGTTTGCTAACGTATGGACCGTCTAAGCGATCCATACTGGAAAAGCCCTCCCCCCACTGCGATTGGCGCTGTTTTAAAGGCAGCCGTTGTGGGGTCTTTGAAACTTTTAACCGACACACTAATGACAAAAAATCGTCTCGTGCCTTTTTGTAGAGAACATTCCAAAAGATCATTTCCCCCAGCCAATGACAAATTTCTCTGTTTTCTTCTTTTTCGAAACGCCAATAAACAAAAGTGATAAACGATGATGCTCTTCTGTGCTAAGCAGCTTGCTTATTTATGAAAAATAAATGATAGAATGTTTCTCTTCGTGATGTCAACAGATCTGCAGCTGTTGGTGTGTTGTATAACAGAACAAGATGAACAGTAGGAATCGTGCCCTGTTCTTTCTTTTTAACGTTTGACAAAAGAAGGATGACAAATAAAGCAGTTCTCTCTTGTTTAAGTAATTGACATTTTTGCCTTGTATGCTTATCAACAAAAAACGGCTCCTGCTTCAAACTTTTCCATTGACGAATGAACTAAAACTCTATCCACGTTGATAGTAGGTCAACATCTCTAGTGATCATCTAAAAAGGTAGTGCGTTGCTTTTTTTTTGACTAAGCAGCCAGAGAAGACGAAAAAAGGAGCGTTTATGGCTACTGGCGAAAGACCGACGAGGCAATAGCGGATATTGAATTTTGACTTTCCTGGAATTCGCTCCACATTTTTTTTTTTCCTGCTATTTCTTGGTTCAATCACATATCATCATCATCATTTAAACAAAGCATTTTATTAGAAGCTAACCAAAAAGTAAATAAAGTTGATCTTCGCTTTCTTTTTTCTTTCTCTTCTACACTTTTGCACACACAGACGGAGGGCACAAGCACATAGGCATACATACACACACACACATATACACACACACACACACATACAGACACATTTACGCAATAAGAAACTGCTATAAAAAGGACGTCTTCCTTCTTTCCTTATTCATCCTTTTCTTCATTTCTTATCATTTCATATACTTATCATGTCTTCGACTACCACAAAAATAACTGAAGATGATAACGATCCTATAGTCATCAAACAAAACGACGATACGAATGTTGTCAAGCTAGATATGCGCGAGTCTTTAAAGGTCCCTCATTCAGATCCGTCCAATCCCTTTGCTTTTATTCCAGATCAATTATCAGCCTTACATGATCCAAAGAATATCGAGCTATTACATATCTATGGCGGAATGGATGGTCTTGAAAAGGGTTTACATACAGACAGAAACCATGGTCTATCACAATTGTATACTCCCACAAACCAGCCATCCTATCAACCCATCTCATTGAAAGATATCACATCTGATCCATCGCAATTAAAGGATCCCTCACCTTCAGATGCAGCAGCAGTAGCACCAGCACCAGCAGCAGAACCTACTCATAATCGTATCAAAAAGAGTCATACTGGCCTATCGATCAAATCAGCAACGAACGATACCCATCATTCGCACCAAGATACAGTCAGAAGCGGTATCTTTGGTATCAATACTTTGCCACCTGTCAAAGCAAAAAATATCTTTCAACTTATGTGGATGGCATTCCAAGATAAAACGCTGGTAAAGTAATGCTTTTTTTTTTTTTTTTTTTTTTTTTCTTCAATCAAAATGTAGGTTACTAACTTGACAAAAAAAAAAAAAAAAAAAAAAACCATGAATAAAATTAATCATTAGATCTTATTGGCTGTGGCTGCCGTTGTTTCCCTAGCAGTTGGTATCTATGAAGATATTGCTATTCCCGAGTATGATCATCAAGGAAACAAAATTGCTGGTGTAAAGTGGGTCGAAGGTGTAGCTATTATCATAGCCATTTTGATCGTCGTGATGGTGGGCTCCGTCAATGATTTTCAGAAAGAAAAGCAGTTTCGAAAATTAAATGCCAAAAAAGATGATCGCATTGTCAAGGTATGCCCCCCAGATGAGCTTACATTTTAATGATCTTTGCTCTTTGTTTGTTCTATTTGACAAACTTAAACTTTAAATTCTTCCATCTCTTTTAGGCTACACGTGATGGTCAGATCGTACAAATTTCAGTGTATGATATACAAGTGGGTGATGTGTTACATTTGGAACCAGGAGACATCGTAGCTGCTGATGGTGTCTATATTGAAGGCCATAATGTCCGCTGTGACGAATCAGCGGCTACCGGAGAATCAGATGCTGTACGTAAACAATCCTTCGAGTCCTGCTATAGGTTGCATCATCCTGAACAAGTGAAAGAAGAGAAAGAACATCTGAACGATACCCAATTCTTGTCGATACCCAACGAAAATACCCAACACCAACAACAACAAGATTCTTCTATCAGCTCCATTGCTTCTTCTTCTGCATCGACCACCAAAGCGATCAAGAAAAAAGAAAATGTCAGCAGCAGCGGCAAATCCCTGCCTGACCCTTTCATTCTCTCTGGCTCCAAAGTCCTTGAAGGTGTGTGTACTTATCTTGTCACTGCTGTCGGTGTCCACTCTTACTATGGACGTACCATGATGGCCCTTCGTACGGACAATGAATCCACGCCTCTTCAACAAAAGCTCAATGGCATTGCTTCTATGATTGCTAAATTGGGCTCTGCCGCTGGTCTCTTGATGCTTATTGTCTTGTTTATCCGCTATTTCGTCAGTTGGAAATATCATGGCGTTCCCACTATCCCTACTGAAATCGTTCAGCAAATCATGGGTATTCTTATCGTCGTGGTCACCATCATCGTCGTCGCTGTCCCTGAAGGTTTGCCGCTCGCTGTGACCTTGTCGCTCGCTTATGCCACGCAACGTATGTTGAAAGATAACAATCTGGTCCGTGTTCTGGCTGCCTGTGAAACCATGGGTAATGCGACGACCGTTTGTTCTGATAAGACAGGTACTTTAACTCAAAATAAAATGACGGTGGTAGCCGGCACGTTAGGTTCCTCTTTCCGTTTCCTTCAAAACCCGCCCGCCAACCGTTCAGACTTGAACGATATCCGTTCCATATCTGAAAAGGTACCTGCTCCTATTTTGCAACTCATAAGTCAAGGGATTGCCGTCAACTCCACTGCTTTTGAAACGGCGACCACGGAAGAGAAGCTGGACAGCAGCAAGAATGAAAAGAACAACAAGAAGAACAACACGACTCCTCCTGAAACCGTCACCACGACCTCTTTCGTGGGTAACAAGACCGAAACTGCCCTTTTGCAATTCAATAAAAGTTATTGTCAGTCCGACCTCTCCCCTGACTATGACACTTTGCGTCGCACGTGGCCTATCGAACAAGTCTTTCCTTTCAGTTCGGAGCGTAAGGCCATGGCGACCATCCTACGCTTACCTCATCCACACAAAAAAGGTGAATTCATCTGGCGTGCCCATATTAAAGGCGCTTCTGAAATCCTGTTGGAACACTGTGGCTCCATTCTCACTCTCAACCCTGCCAACTACAAAGCCGAGGATGGTGATGATGTCAAGACACGTCCTTTGTCTCAAGAAGACCATCGTCGTATGGAACGCATCATTCAAAGTTATGCTACCCGTAGTCTGCGCACCATTGGTATGGCTTACCGTGATTTCGAGTCTTGGCCGCCTTCAGCATCCTCTCAAGCGGGTCGTCATGCTGTCAAGGTGGGTGAAGAAGTGGAAGTACCCTATGAAGATCTTGTCGCCAACCAAGGTTTAACGCTTATTGGCGTTGTCGGTATTGAGGATCCTCTACGTCCTGGTGTCAAAGAAGCCGTCAGTGCTTGTCAACGTGCTGGTGTCTTTGTTCGTATGGTGACCGGTGATAATGTCGTTACAGCCAAGTCCATCGCTAAACAATGCGGTATCTATACTACCGGTGGTATTGTGATGGAAGGTCCTGTGTTCCGTCATTTAGCTCCCAGTGAAATGGATGCTATTTTACCTCGATTGCAAGTCTTGGCCCGTTCGAGTCCTGAAGACAAACAAATCTTGGTCGGCCGTTTACGTGAACTGGGTGATATCGTGGCTGTCACTGGCGACGGTACCAATGATGGTCCGGCCCTCAAATTGGCCGATGTCGGTTTCTCCATGGGTATTGCCGGTACCGAAGTGGCCAAAGAAGCATCGAGCATCATTCTGATGGACGATAATTTCTCAAGTATTGTGAAGGCTATCATGTGGGGTCGATGCGTCAATGATTCCGTCAAGAAGTTTTTGGAGTTCCAACTCACGGTCAATGTCACGGCCGTCATCTTGACCTTTGTGTCCGCCGTCGTCAGTTCGACGCAAAAGTCAGTCTTGACCGCTGTTCAATTGTTATGGGTCAATTTAATCATGGATACCTTTGCTGCTTTGGCTTTGGCCACGGATCCACCGACGGAAGAGCTTTTAGAACGCCCACCAGAACCTCGCTCAGCTCCCCTGATTACCTTCAAAATGTGGAAAATGATCATTGGCCAAGCGATCTTCCAAGTAGTCGTTACCATCATCTTGCTTTACAGTGATATCCTACACTATGATGCTGGCGATATTGTCTTGCAAACGATTGTCTTCAACACGTTTGTCTTTTGCCAGATCTTTAACGAAATCAATTGTCGACGCATTGATTCCAAGCTCAATATCTTCCATAACATTCTGGCCAACAAGTTCTTTATGTTTATCTTTTTCTTCTGTATCGCTCTGCAAGCTATCATTGTCAATTTTGGAGGTGCTGCTTTCCAGGTCACTCCAATTGATGGTGTGGGTTGGGCTATTTCGATTATCGTCGGTCTTTTATCCATCCCTATTGGTGTTGTCGTCCGATTGATTCCGGATGGCATCTTTTCATTCGTCTTTATGTTCAATCCTCGTGCTCGACAAAGATATTTGGGTGGTCAACATCTTCATGGTTTAGAAAGCCCTAGCGTGTATATAGCAGGCAATGAGCGCATCAACTGGAATAACCCAAGGTCAAACACAGTAGGTAGTGCAGGCGGCTTCAGTTTTGCCTCCACTCATTCTCCATTGCCATCATCCAAGAAGCCCCAGCTACATCAGGATATGGACATGGGCATCAACGAAGCGGCACCTGCTTACAATATCTCATCTACATTACCTGAATATTATGCCGAAGAAAAATTCGACGAGCAAAATGAAAACACCGTTTCTTCTACTGGCTCACTCGATCTGCAGCAACAACAAGGAAGAACCTAAATCATTTTATTAATATCATATATACCATAGAGGGGTGCCTTTCTCTACCTTAATATTATATAGCTATTCTATTCAAATAAATAACTCACTATACTATTTATGTTAATAAACACCTAAATGTTGGAAAAGAAGCTAAATAGTATCATCATGAAAGCAATGTGGCGATTGACAAGCAGTTACTCATTCCGACCCACTAAGAGTTGAGATACACACTTCCGCTCTCCTCTCTTTCGGCTGGGGGCTCACTGTTCGTTCTCCTGATTACTAGTTCTAATGACAGGTTCCTAAGGCAAAAGTAAGGCCCTCCTTTAAAAGAGTATATAGACCCTTTGAGAATATGAACCCGCCGTTTGACAAAATAAGAAATCGTGTTTTGGTGGGGATTTTTTTTTAAACAATGGTACAATAAATAGAGTAGTACTCGTTAAGCGCAGTCTAGTTTGGTCATAGTCATAACTGTAGAAACTATGCGCTTTTCAACTTTCCTGTCGTTTCTCAGCCGTGAGCTGAGAAAGTCAGTATGTCACATGACTAAATGATGAAGATCTACACTGGTCCTATATCTGTCTGTTTTTGCAGCAGCGGAAGGAAAGTTGATGAAGCCCCTTTTCCTTCTGTTTGTCTGTTATTTTGATCTTGTACATGGTCAGTATAACATAGTACAAGGCTGTATAAAGAAAGAAATGTCGAACCATTGTCATACAGTAACTGGTAGCGATAGGAACGAGTCTTTTATAACAGTAAAGGGCAATCGTTTCTTCAAAGCGAACGATATATACTATATAAAGGGAGCCAACTATTGGCAAGGCATCAACTTGGCAGCGGCAGCCATATCACAATCGCAATATTCTGATGATAGTAGTAGTAGTAGTAGTAGTAAGTATTATCATGATCGCTTAATGCAAGAGTTGGATCAGCTACAAAAAATGGGAGTGAACAATCTACGCATTATGGCAAGTTCAGAAGGACCAGATACAGAGCCTTATCGTATGAGACCTTCATTGCAGCCTTCTGCTGGAAAATACAATGAAGACGTGCTCAATGGTTTAGATTACCTTTTATTCGAAATGAAAAAAAGAGACATGACAGCCGTTAGTAAGTGGACGGCCAAATTCTATTAGAGATGGTATTGATCTTCAGTCTCAACTAACTCTATTCTAAACTGCTCGTTGACGTATGTAGTGGTATTGAATAACTTTTGGCATTGGAGTGGGGGGTAATAAGAAGATATGAACTGTGGCGCATCCACTTATTCTTGACGAGACGACTAAATTTTGCCATTATCCTTCTTCCTTTGACAGCTTCTCTCAATATATTGCATGGGCTGCATCACCGCCAGGAAGCATTAGCATTCCTTATCCAGTAACACGCGACAAATGGGACGAATTTGAACGATTTGCCAAGAGCTTTTATACGAACGAGCTCGGCAACGAATTGTTTAAGCAGCATATCCGGTTTATACAAACAAGATTCAATACATACACAGGCAAAGTATATAATGCGGATCCTGTCATCATGAGTAACGTGCAAAATATCTAAATTATAAATCACACAAGATTCAATTGATATACAATCTTCTACTCTATCATTCATATATAGGCTGGCAAATCGGTAACGAGCCTCAGCTGCCACCAAAATCTTGGTATGAAGACATTGCTTCTTTTATTAAGCAGGGTTCGCCGCATCAACTGGTCTCCAGCGGAATTGAAAGTAAATATGATGTGCAAGATTTCCTAAATGCACATGACGTGGATGCCATAGATTATTGTACCTGCCACTGTTGGGCAGAAAAGTAAGTTAGCTCTCTACTAGCTCTATTTCAAGAATAAGTTTTCATTTACATCTATCTTTCGCTTTTTCTTTTAGCTGGGGAAAGTATAATCCCACAAAAGAAAATGATCTTGCCAATGCTATTCAGTTTGCTCGAGAGTTTTTACTCAAAATTCATAATGTATATATGCCACAACTTCAACGACCCAAGCCTTTGATAGTGGAGGAATTTGGATTAGCTCGTGATGCCTGGAGATATCCTGGTGATTCAGATAAAAAGTATGATTCGCAAACACCTATAACTCATCGTGATCAATATTTCAAAGAGGGTATTTATAAAGTCATTGAAACAAAAAAGTTTTCTGACAATAATGGCTACTTTGGAGGATCGAATTTCTGGGCTTTCGCAGGGATAGGTAGGCCTACAGATCGACCTGATTCTTATGGCATGACCTGGTTAGGAGGTAGAGTCATATGTGTAATCTATTGATAGACGAATGGGGGAAAAAAGACAGTTCTAAGCCTACTTGCTTAATGATTTATCCGTATGCTGTGTAGATCCCCGCACGAACGTAAAGGCTGGTACAGCGTCTATGATAAAGACTCTACAACAATCCATGTTATTCAAAACCACTTCCAAAAGCTCTCTTCGGATGATGAGATCTAGGTTCGCAAAGAACCTTTTGATGCAAGGAACGTAATGTTGCTGTCAATGCACTTGGTCAATAATAGGACACATGAATTCAAGCTATTGTAAATTCAGATACTATTACCGCGCTTGCTCTATCTAATCTTTTAATGAAACTTATCATGCAACTGCTTGCTTTCTATCTCCATCCCACTTGTTAATCCACTGCGTAGATACTTTATGCTACTGATCAAAGCTCAAAGATGGGCCTTTCCTTATATTGAGAGTATAGCTTATATAAAAGCTTAGATTCACATATAAGTACATATATATATATCAGCGTGTATCTTGGTATTTGGGTGAGACATGATTTGTTCGCTACAATGTCTTAGTTTTTTATTTACATCATCCTATTCAGCTGTTATTCACGACGCCATTTTTCATCTTGAGGCTAGTACAGCTTTTTCAGTACGTTCCAAAGAATTCTCTGGAATGTTCAGTTTAAAAGTATTCTTATCTTCTCAATGCGTCTTTTTTTAAAGCTACTACTTATAGCGAACACGTTGAAAACACGTCTGGTAGACTTAATTTGTTTTGAATCCTAAACTAACCTATTTTGAGCGTGGCGAAGTACATCGATACTGCCAACCTTTGCTTCATTTACATTCAAAACTAACTACTATAGACAATGGAATGTCTCATATAGTACTATATCATATGATATACATGAATGCATGACAATGATATACATTCCAATAAGTCAGCTTTGATGCTACAAGGAGTATGATCTGCTGGCAATGCGTTTGGGTTCTCACGCACTAAGTTGCACATTTTTCAGAAAGCGACCGGTATTCCTGCATTGGTCCCGAAAATAAAAAAAAAAGGTAATCATGCATAGTTAAATTAATGCTACTGTTGCTGTTTTCATTGGCGACAAGTTTTCGTATTTTTTCTTTTTTGCACCTTCGAAATAAACTTGTTTTTTCTCCATTTTTTTTAAATCTGCACATGTCATAATGTCATCCATAACACCAGCATACAACACGAATTTTCCCGCCTTGTTCTCCACTGGCGGCAGCAGCAGTTTCAACCAACAAAGAAGAAAAAGTGCGCATTCGTTTAGCAATCACCTACCACCACCTGGTTACCAACGATCCTTAGCACCGCCCAAAGTACCCAGCTATTTGAAGCAAACTATGTACGGAACACTCGCTTATGAACAATATAAATACTATCAATGTAAACATGATATTAAACCACTACCGAGTGCAAGCAGTGGTAATAGCAGTCATGACAGACAGAGAACACCAACAGCAACGCCAACAAACATGTCAAAATCATTAGAACAACATTGGGAAAATCTTGACCTACGCTTACCTTCTTGCTGGAACGCAATGGATAAGTCGAAAAATATCGAAATTGGAAAGAACGGTCTTGACTTATTATACATAGGTAATAGGAGACAGTAGAGCTTTTTTTTTTTTTTTTTGTGCGTAATGCGTAATGATTACGCATGTACATGGGTGTCCTTAATTATACTCACTTTCTCAAATCGCAAAACTCAGGTCCAGGTAAACAGGAAACACATGCAGCATTAGCACGAACAAATTTTCCTATGCGCCCGCAGTGCGGCGTCTACTATTTTGAGATGACCGTGCTTTCAAAAGGTAATGACGGTTACATTGGTATTGGGTTCTGTTCCGCTACCAATAAACTGGAACGACTTCCGGGTTGGGATCCAGATTCGTGGGGATATCATGGCGATGATGGCCATTCATTCGCTGGTTCGGGTACAGGTAAAAATTATGGCCCTTGCTTCACCACAAACGATACTATCGGTTGTGGGGTCAATTTTGCTGACAACTCTGCCTTCTATACGAAGAATGGCAAGTTTTTGGGTTATGCATTCCATAATATGGATTTCGGAGGTAAAGAAATGTATCCAGCTGTAGGATTAAGAACGGCCGGTGAAAGAGTGACAGTCAACTTTGGACAGGAGACATTCAAATTCGATATAGATCAATATGTTTATGTATGTTTCATGATAGGTTTGGAAGCAGTTTCTTATTCCAAAAAGAACCAGTGGTACTCATATGCATCAACCACAAAAAAAAAAAAAAAAAAATAGGATCAAAGACTGAGGTTTATTGGTGAAATCACTATGAAAAACAGATATGATGGATTGTTTCAAAAACGCGTCATGGATCAACTCGTTCTATCCTATTTGATTCATCAAGGTTATTCAGGCACTGCTAAAGCAGTAATTCAAGACGTGAATCATATATCAGGGGAAAAGCTTCAGTTATTCGAAGATAGGGAAAATGAAATTATCGACAGCCATGATGTTTCGCTAATAGAGTATATGGAAGAGGATGACGACAATGCCAGCAATTGTATTCAGCAACAAAAAAGCTTTTCAAGATTCAGAGAGAAGGATATGGAGGAAAGACAACGTAAAGTGTTCCTTGCTTTTCTGAGGAATAAAATCAACGGATTTTGTTTATAACCTCATTGCTGAATTCCTTGTATCTACAATTAAATTGTAGGTATCCGTGCTGCTATAATTGCGGGAAAAATAGACGAAGCGATTCATTTAATGGAAGCGTATTACCCTGGGGTACTACAGCAAGAAGGTCGCGGGAAAGATTTACAGTTATGGCTGAAATGTGGCAAGTTTGTCGAAATGATGCGAGAATTTTGTGAATCACAAAGATTATCACTACTAAAATCAGATGACAGCAAGGGAGAGATGATGGAGGGACATGAAAACACTAATACATTGCAGAAGGGTTGCAACCTGCCGAAAATAAAAAGAAGTAGTAGTCTTGACAATCATAGTCCGACTCCCCAACCAGTTACAGGAAAACGTAGATTAAGCTATGCCGCCATTGCTGCATCACCACAATCCGAAATACCACCACAGCCTCAGCCTACGACATCAACAGATAGTATGGATATAGATCGTCAATCTGTCGATAACAATGGCAGTGTTAACCTTGCAGACTCCACTTCACAATTTTTATCAGATTCCTATGCTTGGACGAAAAGAAGAACAAGCATATCTAATTTACTGAATCACAACGGTACTACACATCCCCTAGACAGTGGGGCAAAATCCGCCAGTAGCAACAGTCTGGAAAAAGATAATCCCTTCATAGTGAATCATGCGATCAACAATAAAGAAGGAAATGCTGAGTTGAATGCCGCTAATAATGATAATGCAAGCCAATGGAAAAAGCTTTTGGAATATGGTCAACAATTAAGCGAAGAATATCGATATGATTCTCGAACAAAAACAAAATCATATTTAATGGAAATATTCTCTTTACTGGCTTATCCTGATCCCTATGCAAGTCCAGTAGCACATCTAATGAACGTGAGTAGGAGAGACGCATTAGCCACTGAGGTGAATGCTGCTATCCTAGCCTACCAAAACAGGCCAGAAATGCCTGCTTTAGATCGTATACTTAGACAGATTATCCTAACTAGCAAAGAATTAGCATTTAAAGGCGACGGCAAGGCAGCATTAATGAATTTGGAGGAATACTGTGCACATGACGTCGAGATTAATAAGAGCATAAATAATAACCCCACATCAATAATGAACAATACCACTAATACTGTTACAAGTTATTTCTAGCTTCCTTAATGTACGAAAAACAATAAAATAATCAAAGCCAATCATACGTTTTTTGTTCAATGATTTCTCTGTCTTGAGATCCCAGACGCAATGAATTTGACAGTTTCATTGGCTCGATTCCTCTCAAACCTTCTGTCGATCATCTGATCAAGTAACACACTCACTCACAGACAGTAGCTACTCATATAAAAATGATAAAATTCGTTTTTTTAATGCAAAAATTCTTAACTTTTCACCTTTCCTTTTCCTTCCACTGCATCTCATTGCAGCGCATTATTCAAGCAAGAAGGATGAAACCATTTTTTTACCATCTCTTAGTCTGCTCTTTACTTCCACTATCTGCCAAAGTTATAGAAGCTAAAGAGCAACAGCAACAACCATTTTCTCTTTACTCATTTGACAAATCTTTGCCGAACGAAGATTTAGCATACTCTGCCAAGCTCGAGAATGAGTTAACAGAGATAACATCACAGTTATTTGAACCAACAGCCATCAAGACATCTTGCAGTAGCTGTATCTCTTTATTACAAGCATTAAAGAGAATGTCTCGGATGTCCGAAGTGTTTTTCATTAATTCTTTGATAAAAATCTGTAAAAAGTCCGAGAAAGTAGACGATGAAGTGGTAAGATCACTCCATTTTTTGCGCGCATTTGTTCATACTACAGAGTAATAAATGTCGTGCGAAAAGCTGAATCATAACGACTTGGTAGTGCAACTGAAGATTAACAATACACTTGCTCGGTTTGTTGAATAAAATAGTGTGATGGAGTAATAAGAGAGCAAGCACCGATTATAAGACAAGTGTTACCGGTAAAAAAGAGTATATTTTACTTACCCACGCACTAAACTAAGTGCAGCATAGACTGTCCTAAAAAGCTGACGTTGAGTAATTGTTATTATATAGACACTTGATATTTCTGGTCGAGATGGTCATTTGATGTGTGCAGCCGTTATTAATTCATGTCCTTACCCAGGTAAAAAAACAACGGATGAAAAAAGATAAGTTCTCGAAAGCAATTTTAGCCAACTATCAAACTATCCGTAGAGGTCGACCATTGGAATGTAACTTTTCCCAAGCCTAAACCTACCAAGTGGAGAAAACCACTATCATCGGGCCATAACATGACAATATTACAGCTGAGTGATTGGCACATTGATCCGGAATATCAGGTAAAAAATTTCAAGAAACGGGGCGGTGTGGTAAGGAGCCAGAATTCTAACTATTTGTATCGATATCTGCTGTTGAGTAGGAAGGGACAGAGACCTTTTGCGATAAACCGATATGTTGTAGAACTGCCTATACAGACTTTGGCAATGTGACCAAATCCTCATCTAAATGGGGCGAGTACAGCTGCGATACTTCCCTTGATTTAATAAAATCAATGCTCAACTACATCCCGACTGTAGAACCCAATATTTCATTTGGCATTTTGACAGGTGATGTGCCACCTCATGAGGTGTGGCATACTTTACCCCCACTGAAAACGCAACTGATTCAGGATGAAAGCTATCGATTGTTACATCAGTACTTCGATTCACCTTTTCTAATAAATTCTATGTTGTACCCGGCGGTCGGTAATCATGAATCAGCGCCCACAAATAACTTTCCTTTATCGGCTTCTTCAACCCCTTCGACGGATGTGCGTAACAGTCATAGCAATCACCATCATAATCATACATTGTCTTGGCTGTATCATAGTTTGTCAGAAAGTTGGAAAGGATGGCTAACACATAAATCGCAGCAGCAGTCAGTGAAGAATAATATGGGTAGCTATGTAGTGAGGCCTGTACCAGGGTTAAAGTTGATCAGCTTGAATACGAACTTTTGCTATGTGTTAAATTGGTGGCTATACCAACAGCCTACGCATAGAGTAAGTTTTGAAGCTGCATTTGTGTTGCAAATACGAAACCTCAACTTAATATGTATGATAGGACCCTAATGGCGTTCTCGATTGGCTGATTACCGAGCTACAAGATTCTGAAGATCAGGGCAGTGAACGTGTCTGGATCGTAGGCCATATAGCTCCCGGTGATAACACATGTCTACATGATTATGCCAATTACTATTATCAGATTGTCGATCGCTATTCGCATATAATAGCTGCACAGTTTTTTGGACATACTCATAGGTTCAGTTGTTCTATTTACTGCATTGTAAATGGTCTAACTGAGCTAACCATTTGTATTTCATTTCTGTAGAGACGAAATGACTATTTTTTATAGCAAAGATAGTAAACAAATGGCAGAAAACGCAATTTCTGTAGGATACGTAGCACCATCTATAACACCTTTTCTTAATCTCAACCCTGGTTTTAGGTAACGATTTATACTTTTTTAGCACTTGATTATACCCCATGGTTAATAGGTTGCCTTTTGAATAGAGTGTACAAAATTGATACAGGCACGTTTGAAGTGATCGATTCTATCACTTATATTGCCAACTTGGACCAAGCCAGCACTTGGAAAGATGAGGATGGACCCGTAAGTATTTAGCCATCGCTAATGTTTGAGTTGCCTTCTTTTGTTACTCAATTGGATACCTCATGGTTTTTATAGAACTGGCATAAAGAATATTCAGCTCGAGAAGCGTACGCTTCTGCACAAGCTAAATTGTCCTCTCCAATGGCACCATTATCTCCTGCTTGGTGGCATCAAGTTACAGAAGATATGGAAGACCCGACAATGGACACTTTTGATAAATACTACCATTATCGATCCAAATTATCGCCTGTTCCAGACTACGAACTTTGTTTAGAAAATGAAGAATGCAAAAAGAAAGTTATCTGTGGTATCCGAGCTGGTAAATCCGAATTAAGATGCGATTTTGACCCAGATTATTTTCCTGGACTATTATCGCTTCAATCAAAGGAAACAGCAGAGCAATTGATAGCAACACAGCAAGGATTTGCGTCGCTGCAGTTACAAACAGAAGAGAGTGGCTGTGGTTTAAGGTTAATGGGACATCGACATTAGTTAGCTTGGGATTCTCTTTTTTGAATTTTTTTGCATGAATAATCCAACCAATGGCATTGTAATTCTATGTGGCTTTTTTGAGATTTTCCTTCTCCCTTCAGGAAAAATAAATGGGAAATCAGATTTCTTTTTTTGTACATTTGTCTTTATTGTTAAAATCATAGTAGATATTATGGCCACCAATATGGAAGTATCTGTTGCTTATCCTGCCTCTAGATTCGAGGCAGATAACCAGTTAACCAGCCGTGAGGTTCAGGAAAAGTACCAACATGCTGCTGATATTTTGAATGGTACCGCTTTGTTTCGAAAGTCACTCAACTTTAATGATTCTATGTACACCATAAGCTCTGATCGTACTAAGATCTTTGAACTATGTACTTCTATCTATTCATAGGCATCATGCCACTAGTTGTTGAAAAGGTGGCTACAGGCATTTCAGTCAGCGATCTTTGTCAATACTGCGATGATCTTATCGAAGCTCACGTAAGAATAGTTAGCATCCAAAATGAGCTAATCCAGTCCTGCGCTTCAAAATTGTAGTGGTCTAATGCGTTCCATTGCTCATATATAGACGAGAAATATGTACAAAAATGCAGAAAGAGGAATTGCAGTACCTACATGTATTACTCTGAACAACTATGTGCAATACTTTTCACCTTTATATGATCAAGATGTGACTTTAAAGCCCGGTGATGTGGTTAAAATGTAAGCCTAAAATTGTAGAATTCAGGGATGAGAAGCGAATACACTCAACTGATATTCTTCAACCTTTGATAAAAAGCGAAACAGGTGTGCATATTGATGGTTATATTGCTACTGCAGCTCATACAACAATTGTTTCTATCAACCCTTCTGAGCCTACCACAGGAAAAGCAGCCGATGTTGTTGCTGCTACCTATTTTGCTTATGAAGCTGCTCTTCGTATGCTTAGACCCGGTGTCAGAGTAAGTTGTTTTGGAGAACAAAATGAGGCCTTGTTGTCCTGATGTATAATCTTGGGAGAATTTTGTTTTAATTGTGCTATTTTTGAATATTATGATTAGGCCTCTGAAATCACGCGTGTCATTACAGAAGTTGCTGCTTATTTCCGCTGCCAACCTGTCGAAGGAACTTACTCTTCTCCAATGAAGCGATTTGTTTTACGTGCTGGCAAGGATTTAGAAAACCGTTTCCTTGACGAACTCCTTGTTCAAGATCTTGACAAGTACGATTTTGAAATTGAAGCCAATCAAGTATATCAGCTGAACATCTGTCTCACCACTGGCGATGGTACTGTTAAGAACACTGATTTCAAACCTTTCATCTATCAGAGAGATGTCAATAAAAGCTATCAACTGAAAATGAAATCAGCTCGTCAAGCCTATACAGAAATCAATGCTCATCACACCGTTTTTCCTTTCGCCACGCGTCATTTATCTAATAACACCGTTCGATTGGGCTTAGCATCTTTAGTACAACATGAATTGATTACCCCTCACCCTGTGATGAAAACACGTTTACCCAGCGATTTGGTTGCTCAATATAAGGGAACAGTGTTGGTGATGCCAGAAGGTCCTGTGCGTCAAACAAAGAATTTACCTTTGCCATTTGTGCATTCTCAGTATTGTATACCCCAAGGCACTACAGCAGCAACCGTGTTGAGTACACCCGATGTTAAAGAATTGAGAACACCAGCAAAACCTTTGCCTCCTGTTGAAGTTGTATTTGGAGAGCGTCGCGCTGAGGTAAAGTCTACAAAAAATGAAAATGTAGAGATCCGCTTATTTATTCATTTTTTTTTTTTTTTTTTTTTTTTTTTTCTTTATTCCCAAACGCTGATATAGAAGGAGGATGTTGAAATGGAGATGGATGATTAAGCTATCACAAATTACAGCAGCATAGCATTTTTTTTTTCCTTTCTATATTAGAAGATTCATTTGAAATTGTATATATATATATATTATATTAGACTAAGTCGTTTCGAGAGATGATCAGCAATAAAGGTTGCCTTCATTATTTAATAGTGATATCGATGTATTGGGTCTGTCAATAATAACACTGCAATTGAAGGTACACTGAGCCATGAACATAAATTGCTCACGTCGTTTCCGATATATCGTTGACCAGACGTTAGCACGCTTTAATAGCACACAGCATACAATAGTATGATAAGCTTGCCCGAATTGCCGCATTTACTTCTCTGACAATGATGTTCACAAAAAAAAAGAAGAAAGCGTGCTGTCGCAGTTGCCTAATGAAACATTGCAATGTAACTTTTAACAAAAGAGTGGGGTCTATATTAGCTTTTGTCGATTGGAACCCTTCAAATTTCTGCGACTTTTTTCTCTTTCTTTTTCAAAACAAAAACAGCAACGAAAAGACCAAAGAAAAAAGAAGAGAACTAGCTAAGGCTACTTTTGTCAAAAGAAGCAATAGTATTAAATAGCATAAAAACACGACAGATGACAGGTGAAATTATAATGCATTATCTCTGGTCGCTTGCTTAAGGCGTCATGATAATATGTAGATGTATACAATTGTTCAAAATCTATATGTAAAGCAGCAATATTATGGCCACTTGAATGTAGAATCCGTTCACAACTCACTCTTGAAATGGCATTGCTAAAAACGGGATAGGAGAGTAAGAGACAAATACTACTAAACTGTATTATATAGAAGGCGTTAAGAACCATATTTTCAAGACTACAAGCATTTGTAGATAGTTAGTTTGTTTTTCTGTGAGTTTCCGTTGTTATGCATATTTACACAATAAATAGTCGGTATACCTTTTTTCTGATATCCCGACTTTTATTAAGAAAAAAAAACAAAAACCAAACCCATCGACAGGTTGCCTCTTAAAGCTTTGTTACTCTTCACTCCAATCTACATCTTTATAAGCAGAATCCTTCATCAAATGACTCAGTTCCGTACCATCCCCTAGCGTGTAAAAAACTCAACAAACAGCAGCCAGAAAAGCTAAAGATACGACGGTTTTGGAGTACTGAAAGTAGGAAATGTTCACATTCGGAGGTGGAGAGAACAGATAATGCTTTCCACGACGTAAATTTGACATGTTATCTCATAGGGGGCTATGACTACTAAAGTGTTTTGGACTTTTCCCTTCCCCTTAATTACGATCGTTTGGCGTTAATATATGTATCTCTTTTCAAATGTTACACGCACGCAGCCAACCACTGTTCCTATGTTATGGCACCCGTAATGTATTCATTATGTTCGTCTACAAATTTTCTACTCAACTATTATTACAGTATGAGTTGGCTTTTGTAGCAGTTCAAAACCATCACTTCACGCAGTTTAGGAATAAGTTAGTTCTGCGAAGAAATATTTTTATCAGTTACCCACTGTGTAGCCGCTCCCTAACTAACTCCTTTACTACCTCTTCTTTCTCTCTTTCAGCGTATTCTAAAGATAGTCTCCTACAATGATGCTTTTAGGACTTTTACGTATTTGTATCATTGGACTATTAGTCGAAATAGCTTGTATTAGGTACAACATCAATAATAATCTCAATTTTGTATCATTTTTGGAGTAGGTTGCCATTCACTTGGTTCAATAGTAGGAATCAAAATCCCACTCTTCAAGGTTGGTACGTAAGTTAAAACCTTTATATGTCATTGCCTTGGTGTTTCTCGTATATAAACGAGACATAATATACTCATTCTCCGCAAACCTCTCTCTGTCAGCTTGCGTTAAAAAAAACAACTTCTTTTCGCAATCGAAGAAGAATCAAGAAAGCCTTCGAAAGGTGGGTTAACACAACCTTTATTACATTTCTTACAATAGCTTTATGTTGTAATGATATGTTAGATAAAGATTAATAAATATTGACTTATAGATTAAATAGCTTATGCTTGAAAGTATCCAGCTACTTCCTACAACTGGTCGAAGTGTCCTTCCATAGAAAGCACGAATTTCCTACAAGACAAGTCTTTGGTTTTCTGCCGCGTTTTTTGCTGGGCATATTCAACACTGTATCCATATTTGAGTTTGTAAATGCTGTCATCATTGTTGTTTCAACAACGTTTGTCGTAAGAGTAATGGTATTTTGCGGTGCTATATTACTACTGGCGCCACCAGCACTATGATATCTTTGTCTATCAAAGTGCTTGTTGCGTCGTATCCGAGTGTCGGAATTATGCAAGACGGTGGGCGTCAAAAAGGTATATTGTGGCGGATCGCATACAACGCCCTTGTCTGCTGTTTCGCTTGATTCTGGTTGTCGTTTTCTTTTTTGTTTTTTGCTGCTATTGTTGATTGTACTGTCATCGAAACTTTTGCTTCGCGTTCGATGTTGTTTCATGGCTGAAGATGGATCATTATTGGTGGTAGTTATCGTTGATTGCGGTGTACCTACCGGCAAAGGCATGTGTGTAGAGCAGGAAGTATGGCTACTAGCAGCAGTACTATTGGAAGAAGAATGAATCGTAGGCGGTGACAACGATAACCATCTTTTTCTATCTCTGTTGGGTGTGATCTGGTGACGATGCTGATGGGAGAAGAGTTCAGTCCTCGGTGACAACGGGCAGAATAAGATAGATGCTGAAGAGTTGTTATTTATAGTAGGTGAAGTTGGTGTTGATGGGGAAGTAAGAAAAGAACAGGAAGGCGAAGGGAGACGTAATATTTGAGGCGGGTCATCTCCATGAATAGGAGGCAAGTCGTTTGAACTATTGAAGGAAATAGGCGACAATAAAGGTGATAATTTGGCTTTATTATGGATGGCTGTGGGATGAAGATAGGGTGAGTTGATAGGCGAAAATGGACCTGAATGCAAGGAAAGGCTAGGTGAAGGAGGTGATAGATTTAAAATGGGCGGTGGTTGCGCATCGCCCTTTTGAGCGGGTGTATTTATCAGCAAGCTTGAAATGGAAGGCAGCCTTTGCGACATTATTGTAGCTCTCGACGTATAAAAGATGTGAGTGTAAGTGAGAGAAAGAGGTTTTCTGGTTATAATAGTCAAAAATAGGAATAAGCTGAAAAGTAAAATAATAAAAAAAAAAAAAGAAAAAAAATAAAAGGAAAGAAAGAAAGGAATGACAAGAAAGCAAAGAAGTATTTTTTAGACCAATTAACAAGCAAGTCTTTGTACCTCACCAATCCGAAGATCAATTTTATGAGTACTTCTCACCACATGTCACTGTCTGGTAACAGGTATCACACTAAAAAGGCTCCTTGGCTTGGACTTAAAGAAACAAATAGAGAATTATTTGGTAATTATTTAACTGTGATTTATTGTAGAATTCTAACTTTAATACGTTTCGATGTGATTTTTGGTACCTTGATTTCAAATGCCTTATTCAGTCTGCTTTTTGCGTAAGGTTAAGGTAACTTTGTCAAATAGGATTTGTTTAGGATACCTTACTTCCTTCCATTTAAGGCAAACTCCGATGTGTATACTGTAGTCAATATCAACAGAGGCGTGAATGAGAAACGCTTGATTGATTTGACGTTACAGAAATCAAAAAAGCTTGCAATGAATAAACAGGGGAAAGGGAAATGATGGTGCATCAACATCAAAGGCATAGGATAGTAACATTTTTGCGGTTCTCTTGATAGGTATGCAAGGGTAATATAACGCTACGGGTCGTAGACATCAATATATTCAACGAAAAATTCATGAACAAGGTTATATTTCTGTTTAATTGTCACCGCAATTTGTTTGATTTAAGTCTAAAAGAGGCTGTTCTCAGCAAGAGATTTTTCCACCCAAAACCGAGTCCATCTGGGTGATTACTATGTTAAACATTCAGTGCCATCCTTTGATAGATGTATGGTTATTGTAGCTATGTTATGATCTTCATATATATATATATATCGTTACAAAAAGATAATTATATTCAATGATTGCTCTTAAACTATACAACCTGTGGGTCACAACTCTTCATCTTTATTTTATGATCAATGCTGAAACGTGTAATGAACTAAAAAAATCTTGTTTTTGTGAGCAATTACAACTTATTTTCGTGAGACTACACCTGTATATAATTTAATGCTGACAGAGATCAATTATTCTCGATCAATCCCCTTTTAACATCTAAAAATGCTCTTGGATACGCTTATATTCTTTCCGAGAATAAAACTGTCATGGCTAGGCGTTCAAAACTTTGAGAAATATACATTATCTTAAAGCGTGCTAAAGCAGTTAGAATGCGCGTTTAAAACAATAAACAGTAATGCATACAAAGTGAGCTCTCTGTTTAGTCAAGATCGTCTTCAAGGGTCAATTAAAAGGTTGTTGTTTATAGTAATTTGCGTTTGAAAATGAGTATGAGCAGCACAATCAACAGATAGTGTTCTCTGTTGACAAAAAGTAGTACTTTAAAGGAAACTACTAGTGGGAGTGGTAGCTTATGTGGCGGTGAATAATCACAAACTAGAAAAAGTGCAAACTCTACCATTCGCTCTATACAGCCTTTTGCGCTCTTTGTCAGTCAATTCTCCGATGCTTCCACTGGGTTCTCCAGCCGACATCTGGTGCTCTTGAGATCTTAGAGGCAAAGTTTGCTACGTGTCGTGCCGACCCTTACTTTCAGAGAATGTGGCATTGTTCTAATTTGAAAGGCTGGAAAGGTTTAGTATCTTTCAGAACACCAGATGAATGACTCAAAACATGCTCTTTCATACATAGGCACGGCCCATGGTGATCGAAAATCGAAAGGCAACTTGTTTATATTTCTATCAACTTATCGTGGTGGCTAAAGTAGTACGTTCTTGTAGCTTTTGAAATATAACGAGATGACTATACTGTATATAGTAATGTGCGCCATCGTCGTTATAAAGCAGCAGCATAATTGCGGCAAAAGCGCTTTTATACTAGTTCAAATATCTCAGTCAAGCCGAAAATCAACACTCATATTCGTCGTGAGTCTGAGAACTACCTTTTTGTTTAGTAAATATAGAAAAACCTTTGACCAGAAATAAAAATTGTCTATTTTTGACTGTGTGTACAAATTTTCTTTTTTTGGGCATTTTTTATAATAAAGTAATTTCTGATAAATGTCATGTGGCCATTGTTTAGAAAAAATTAGAGAAAATGGGTAAGGTCAAGCCGCTTAAGATTCTAATGGAAATGCTCGATTTTCTTTTTTTCCTTTTTTTCTCTTTTTTCTAAAAACGGAGCCACAGTTTTGTCATTAACGTACCTTAGTATTATTCTCGTCTTCTGCCTTCACTTTTTTTAACTTGTCTACTGATACTGGGTTAATGTCGCTCTTGTAAGGATTACAATACCTCCAGCTTCACCTAGACAAGTAATAAGATAAGAGTGAAAGCACACTTGTAGCACGCTCTATTATGATCCACACCGGTGAAAGTCCATCGACCTACAAAATAGCAGTGTAAGGAGCTACCAGCGAGACAAATAGAATAGTTGCCCTTTCAGTCAGTGTGGGTAACTTTGACTTGCAACACTCTCCACGGCTAGGGCACGTGCTTAAGACGAACACTGCGTGTATGATTTCAGTAACTTTTTAAAGCCCTTTTGTCAATTCTATTTTCTCTTCCTTTCAGGAAGAAGAGAAGGAAGTAAAGGATACTTCAGCAAATTAGTTCATGCTGGCTATTTTGAAGCTATTCAGAGATTATTCATTCAACAATTCCTTCTAATGGGTTATGCTACATTAGCAGTATCGATATCCATCAAGTGCACCTAATGTATACTAAATAAAGCCCTCCATATAGATTAATATCTTGCGGGTTGTGGTTGATTTGTAACTCTTCCTGATGACTAACAGAATAATTTTAAAGCAATGAATCATCACTGTTCATTGTGAACACGAGAGTGCCGATGTTTTGAAGTATTAAAATTGTAGATCAAAGAACTCTGCAGTAATGATAACTGAAAATGTACATGGCACAATAACCGATCTCAAGAGTTTCGGACTGAAAGAAAAAAAGGACAGAAGCATTACACAGAAAAGTCTTGCTTTGAGATACCAAGAGCTTCTTCGAAATTGTTTACCATTTGCCAAATCTAGTCATATTCATTTGCGACAGTTATATAAGAGAGACTTGGCAATGCGTTTCTTACGTCCCTCACAGCTTTAACCTAATTCTGATAACAATAGAAACTATTTTCTTCCATGGTCGACTATTCATATGAGAAATATACAGACAATCTTTTAAATCGCGTCTTCAGCAATATACCAACAACAGCAGTAAAAACAGAGAGTGACGACGAAAGAGAAAATATACTACAAAAAATTCAGCTGCAACAGGAGTCTTTGGAAAAGAAATTGTCGGAACTGCTTGTGGCGAACAACAGCAACAACCATGCGCATAGTAAGATTCAAAGGGTGCCAGTGAAATCAAGGCCAACAGAGCAGGAAGACGAAGATGAGGCGCATCACCAGAAGAGGGGAAAAACGAAAGATGAAAGTGCTGCCTCTCAGGCGGTGCTTGAGAAAGCGCAAGCAGAGCAAGCAGAGATCAATGAATTACAGAAAAGAAAAAGTCTCTTTTCTCGTAGAAAAAAGAGTATCAAATCACCTTCCCCTGACGACAGCACATCTTCATCATCTTTTTGGAAGCCAAGAGAGCAACGACCGAAAGGCTGGTGGAAAGGAAATACAAATAGAAACGACATCCATCAACAGCAGCAGCCGCAGCAAAGTGCTGTTAATACAGCCGTAGCAAATACAACTGCCAACAAAAGCATGAAACCGTCCACTTCTATTAAAAAAAGATCGGTTGCTAAACCTAAGAGGCCCATGGCCTTCAAATCGCCACAACAACGACAAAAGAAGAATCGCTCAATAAAAAAGAAGCAGCAGCAACCAACTTCTTATTACGCAAATCATGCGAATAACGGTGGCGATGGTGCTACTCGTCATTATGCTCTACCGTTTACCTCTCCCGTATGTTATCCACAAGCATCGACTATGATGCCTTCACAACAACCCTTACAACAATATCCTTATATGATGCCTATCACAACCCCGTCACCAAACTATTATATGATGCCTCCTAATATGTTGATGGGACAAACATCACCACGTCACTATCAAAGCAGCACATTCACCCAGCAGCAGCAGCAGCAACATAATAACAAAAACACAACTATCTATAATCCTCGGGAATCCTCAAACGATCGTTGCTTGATTATGTGATGACTGCTGCTGCTCCATTTATTTACAAATTTTTTTCACAGAATAAACTCCTCTGTCTTTAAAAGATGCTGTTCTTCGTTATTATTACTGCTGTTCACAGACAGTTTCATGAGGTTCCGTTGTAATTGTTGATGATTATGGCTGTTGTTATTAGAAGCAGCTGCGTTATAGAAGGCTAACCCTCCTGCTCCCATTACTACAGCGGTTTGTTGTTGTTGCGAACGACCTTGCTGCTGTTGATGACGATGACTTTGAGATAACGGAAGCGATGACTGTAACATGGCTGTGCTCGCCGTATTGGCAGAAGTACTACCACCGACATTGCCCATGCCCGGTATGGGCCTGTTCAATGCATTCATCATGTCTTCTTTCGTACGCTGAGAACAATCTTTATGCAGCATTAACAGTGACCGTAACTGGATCAGTTCTTCCCGTAATGCGTTTACTTGTAGATGATATTGCTCATTATCTGCTGCTAAATACTCAACTTTTTGTTGTAGGTTCTGTAACCATTGCTTTTTACGCTGTCTACATTTCAGAGCCGCTATGAATAGGCGTTTTATGTGTAACGAAGGATGAGGATTTAGTTTTCTTCTAAAGCTACTTGGGGTATATAGCTTTCTTACCTATTCTATTTCTCTCCAAGAAATTTTTTCTTTTTTCTTCATCTTCGGGATTTTGAGATTGCTGTTCTGTTTGGTTTTTAATGTTTGATTTTCTTGATGTGGATGCCCTTTTTTTGGGTTGTTGTGAGGTTGTTACAAAGGTTGTGTTCTCGTTGGAATCGGAGGGGTATCTTGCTCTCTTCTTACTATTGCTGCTACTGCTATGACTAGTATCACTACTCGTAGGGCTGCTACTCGTGCCGTCCATGGTTGGAGCATCCGTAGTGGAAACAGTAGGTACATGATGGTGGTCAAAAAGTAAATGCTGTGGATTAGCCACTGAAATAGAGGATGATGGCTGATGTCGACGACCAAATAGCATAGAAGGGGAAATCACATTATTACCGTTATCAGTGCTACTACTACTACCATTCGTGTTATTGTTATGAGGTAAGGCAGATGTGACTACCATGGCAGCCGCAGTGGTGGCTATAGCAGACGCAGCAGCAGTTGCAGCAGCAGTTTCAGCTGCTTTCTTTTTTTGTGTTGGGATAGACGGTGATGCAGTAGTACTAGCAGTTGTCATTAAAATATGATTTTCTTTCAAGAAACTTTGCTCAAATGGATTCGGTTCCTCTGAAAGATTGCTTTGGATAGGCACTAGACCAAGACTATTGTTAATACTTTGATGATAAGCAATATGAGCTGCTTTGGTGGCTATAGTTGCGGCTGACGTATTATTGGCTGACGTTGTTATTTGCTGGCTATGACTACTAGTCCAACTAAGACTACTATTAGAACTACTATTCGTGCTGTTATTATCGGTTACTGTTTCGGCTGTTACGTTATACAGTAAGAATAGAAGTAGATAAAGAGATGAAAAGAAAAGGTGAGAATCGATAGATTAAACCCGATGTTTTTTTTATACAAGCATTTTTTAACAAAAATATGCACTAGTGAAAAAGGTTTTTTACTATAGAAACAAAAGAGAAGAAAATGGAAATATTAATATAAGACTAACCTGGTGCATTATTATTATTATGGTTGGTATTTGATGGATTTTCAATGGAATAATGATTGTACATTGAACGCACATCAGTTGTTACAGCAACGGCAGTAGTGGCACTACTAAGGTGAGTAGTAGTATTACAGGAATTAACATTCCTGCTAGCACAGGTGTCACTGCAAGTCGCCTGACGGATGGCACTAGCAGCACTTATTTCATTATAAGTCAACATTTGTATTTGCACGCAGCGTCTCTCTGTGTGGCAGCGGAAGTGAATATAAAAGGTTAGTGGAAAATGAAATATATGAGAAAAGGATGTTTTATTGTTTTACTTTAGTGAGATAAGAAATAAATTAAATTAAAGAACAAAGGGGAACGTGTGATGCACGGAGGGGGTTCAAATGTTGAGATATTCGAGAACACTATACGGCTTTTAGCTTTGGTTTTGGCTTCACGTGATGCAAACGGCTTACCTGTGTATGCATTGGGAAAGTGCAAATGGATAGATAGTGTCTTGAACTTTTAAGCTTTCATTACTATGTTAAAGACACAATGGACGATCGACGCGCTCCAACAAAAGAAAGGAGTCAGTTTTAGGCCTTTTCCAAGTCGTTATTTAAAGCCTTTTGAACCCATAAATAAGCAATGGGAAGATCATACTGGTTTCAATCAGGCTTCAGTAAGACTATTCTCTTCTGTAGTGAGAGAATATGCATAGGCTTTGTGACCCATTTCTTTTTTTGATCCAAAGTGAAACAAATTAAGGGACGATTTTTTTGCTTTGTCGAAATGGAAATAAACCGATGAGACGGCCGGAAATTGCCGACTTTTCGGCACGACCAAGGTGCGTTACAGAATTTCATCCAATAAAATGGTTTGTCCATGTGCGAAAAGGTCAGTCAGGGACTATTTCCAACAATCTCTCATTCTCTAAGGCCAAGCTATTATCATAGAAGGATGATCCTCATTGTATTGGCAGTAATCACTGTGATTTTCATAAAGTTTCAAATTGGAAGTGATATTGTTCTCTTTATTGTAGAAAAGAGAGTATTCGAAGCCACACCAAAAACGAGTCTTTCATTATTTTTTTTTATTTTTTTTTTTTTTTTTTTTGCGTGTTGTATACATATCCCGTGTTTGTTGTTCTTCTGTCATCATTTGCAATGATACGAAAAGATTAGCAGGCACGTGCAACAACCCTTACATGTATTGATGTTTTAACTGAAATTAGAAAATGATGTAGAGAAGTTTTAAAGTTATAGTAATTGCACGCCTTTTTCCTTGATCATTTCACGAACAAGCAACAACAGCTTAATGAATGACTTTTTCTTTTATTCTTTTTGATATAAAAGTTTCGCACTAAAGAAAAAACTTTGACTAAAGCTCGACATTCACTTATTACAAGTTAAAATATGAATATAAACCTTTAAGAGAATGGTTTCAATGTTGTAAAAGAAAAAGGAAGGTGTTTTCCCTACCTTTGCACCCATCTCTTTTCCATAAATGAATCCGATCACAATCAAAGTTATAGATCCATATAGAGTTGCTGAATGATAATGATGTTGATAGTTTAAATAGCCAAAACAGCATATATACTGTAAGGGTTCACACTTATATCCACATCCCCTGATAACGGGTGCTAGTAAACTTGTGACAATTCATCCATATATCCAACTACTTTTGTCAACAAGGGAGTCTCCTTTAACGCTTAAAATTGTGTGAAGGATTGACTGGATTGACTTTTAAAATCAAAGTCTTGTTGTGTTAAATTGGTCACTGGGGCAGTTGTGTCCTGAGACTTGTAATCTTCAAAGTTATATTGTAAAAGACTATCTTGACTCATCATCATCATCTTATTCGCTGTATTAGCGTTATTTTTGTTACTGCTACCGCTACCACTACCGTTCTGTAATTGTTGTTGTTGACTTGCTAATTCATTCATCATGCGCAATCTGTCACTTTGAGAAAGAGCCAAACCAATTGAAGTTTGACTGCTGTAAAAATTGGTGCTTTGTTGGCTCATATTATTCTGTGATTGCCAGGTCATAGCATGATTACCAAAAGTGGATGAACCAGGTATATACCGATGCTGTTGTTGTTGAATTTGCGATTGTTGAGTATTTTGTGTGCTGTCACTTTGCTGCTGCTGGGCCCTTTTACGGTTAAATACACTAGATTGAGATAGATCTTGTGTAAAAGGCCCGCTGGCGGAAGGGATGAAAGGAATACTAAATTGAGAACTAGGTAAAGATGCAATATCAGAGGGAATATAACCCACAGGATCATGTGTTTGCATGAAATCCATTCCATAGTAGCCTTTGTTCAACATATCACCAGGAGCGCCTGCACCTACACCACCACGACGATTTTCACTAGCGAGAGGGGGTCTTGCGAATGCTTCACGAGCATCGATTTGATGAGCTAAACCCTGTCTAAACTTATCATCCTTGCGATATGATTTTCTGGGCCGATTAAATTGAATCATCGACACACGAAGATTATTCAAAGCACCATCCACCAAACATCCCTTTTCCTTATAGTGTACCAACAAATGATGCCATAAAGGATGACGAGAAAGGATTTTAGGATTACCCAGAATGACAACACCATAACGAGCACGGGTCAAAGCCACGTTCAAACGACGTGGGTCGCTCAAGAAACCAATACCTTGATGTTCATTAGAACGTACACAACTGAGAATAATATAGTCCTTTTCACGGCCTTGGAAAGCATCCACACTAGCCACTTCAATTTCTTTATACAAATCTTTGCGCATGGATCCATTAAATTGCATATATTGAACAATATAGGAACGCTGACCTTCATAAGGCGTCACAACGCCAATTTGAGAGGGCAAAATACCAGACTTCATGAAACGCGTAACAATCTTCTCACAATTTGAAGCTTCTGTTCTATTTAAGTAGGAAGTACCTGATGTCGAAATTTCTTCGTTGCCCAAATTGACATAGAACATCATAGGAGTTTCAGGTACGGGCCAAGGGAAATCGACGTCTTTACGGATACGTTCTTGAGTAGTAATACCGTTTTGTAAAGTACCTTCGTAGAACATGTTACTGGGAAATTCAGACAAGCAAGGATGCATACGATACTGGACTTGCAAACGAATAGGTCGGATACCCAAGATAACCAGTCTTTCAAAAAGAGATTGACAAAGACCAGCCCTCGCGGCCTTTTTATTCATAATAACAGGACCCAATTGCTGATGATCACCCACCAAGACTGCTTGCTTGCAACCCAACACCAAGGGTATCATACATTCAGGCTCTGAAGCTTGCGTAGCTTCATCAATCAAGACAGTTCGGAAGCGTAACTTGGCAATACGGGGATCACCAGCACCAACACTAGTACAACAAATGACATCAGCATTGGATAAGATCTCTTTTTCACAAGCCCGTTTGAGAGATTTATATTTTCTTTCATCTGAGGCACTGAGTTCACCCTGGTCACGTTTGAGTTGAATCAGCTTTTGTAATTCAATATTGGTATCGTTATTCTGCACTTGCTCATGAAGGGTAAGGAAAGAAACAGGAGAGTCGAGTTCTTCACGAGACTTGGCAGTAATACGCACAACCTTGAGACCTGTCTGATGAATCTTTTCCGCTAATTGATCCACTGCAACGTTTGAAGGAGCACACACAAGAACTTGACCAGGATTCATCTTTGCTAAATGATAAACTATAGAAGCCGAGGTTACTGTTTTACCGGTACCAGGAGGACCTTGGATCAAACTGAGGGGTTTTTGAAGTACAGATTTAACGGCATATACTTGAGAATGATTGAGTTCTGGAAGATGAGGAGCAGAGAAACGTTTGGGCATTTGTGTCTTGAGTAACTGAGGTTCGACGTCATGTCCTAGAAGACGATGATAGATATAGCCACTCACACTCGTCTCATCCACAGCAAATGTTTTCATGGCTGACTGCATACGGTCGAAGGAGGTTGATTTCCAAACAAAGTCCACAGAAAAGTTATGAGTGCATTCGGTAGGTGGATTTCCAACACGCGAAAGTTCAAGAGCCACCTCATCGCTGACATTATTGGGAATTTTAATGACATGGCCTGTGCCGCTCCAAGGTTCATGCAATTCTCCGCGATAACGTAAACGCAGTTCATCACCCACTGCCAACTTGATTTCGCCAAGTTCGAGCTTAGGGAAATAGAACCAAGCAATATTCTTTTGATTGAGACCAATATCCCAGCGTACAACGATATCGTCACAAGTTTGAGATTCTTTCAACTTTTTATCGTATTCAGCTTCCATCATGACAAGAGGACCAAAAATATTCTGATATTGGTAAGCATCCTCATATCTCAGCAGAACAGGATGCGGCTCGTCATCCACACCGGGCTTTTCTAGATCTTCAAGAGTAGCTTCACCGTTATCCTTCCATAACTCTTCTAGTTTATTAATTTGAACAGAAGTGATTTGACGTGCACGGAGTTGTTCCTGATCTGAAGGAATTTTGACTAGCCAAGTCAAGAAACAACGATCATCGATTAAAGGCATCCATTGAGATGTGTCCCAGTTCATATCTTTGGAATAAGGTACGGCAGCACAAGGTTGTCTATATGAATAATATCCATGTCGTTGGTAAAAATGTATACCTATTTTTCATCAAAAGCCGATGACAAACACATTACCTGCAGATTAAGACTACTACGGTATCACTTTTGGCCGGTATAAAGCCCAACAGGAAAACATTCCTACAACCACAATTATAGCATTCCAATACAGTATCGCCAAGAGGAGAATCAGGATGTAAACTGACTTCTTTATGCTTTGCGCGTACTAAATGGTTGATAATATGCGAGCTGGAAGTATTACCACGGGAGTTACAAAACCAGCGATGGCAAGTAACACATTTGACCACAGAAGCGGGTGAGTGTATACCACAGTATTTACAAGCATGAGGGGGCAAATCCTTTTCTTGTTCCTTCTCCATTTCAAATTCATTGCCATCGAGCTGTTGAATTTGTTGCTGTTGCTGCTGTTGTACACTTAAAAGTTCACTGAACTCATCGTTAGGTGTGATGTCGTCTTCAATGAAGTGGAGGTCATTGCTAGTACTGTCATTCTTTAAATTATTATTGTTTAAAGATAGAGAGGCTAAAGAAAGATCTGAACTCAAGTCATCATCGTTCTGAAAGTAAAGCTTTTGATGATCTTTTTGTAATTGCGTTTGTGTGAAATCACTGTTAAAGTCATACTGCGACGATTGCGTGTCTGCTGAATATTCCAAATATGTGAAATCGTCTTGAGATGCTCCTTCAAAGTGATCCATTTGCTAAATTCTACAATAATATTGCCAGTAGAAAAGAGCAATTTAGATATAGCAAAAGGGAAAAAGAAGGAAGCGAAGGGTAAAATTGAAGAAAAGAAAAATTAAAAACCGCTGACCCTCACAGGAGCGAAAAAAAAAATAAAACTGAAAAATTGAAGCTATGTTAAAATTTCGTCCAATATATCCTACGAAGACATATACACTCAACAACAAGAAGTGTGAAGTAGCAAATCTTTGCTCTTGCTTCAAAGATAGTTCTGTTTATTTCTACGTTCAAAACAATAGTATGACTAAACTAATGATACCCGGATTTACAAATTGGGAGTATTTTTGACGTTGGTATAATTCCGTAGCAATTACTGAGCCAATGATTGAAATCGACTGCAGCTAAAACAAAAAGGATTGTAGAGAGAGAAGCGTACAAAATATTCTTCTGTAAAGACAATGCGAGCGAGCAGAGAAGGGTAATGATGCATAGTTTTTGTTGGCTCAAGAAAATCATTGACCACGCTAAGTTGTTTAGCAACATTACTACAACCTTCTACCAAAAAATCTAAGACGTTGGGTATCTTAGAAGATTTGTGAGTAACAGCAAATGAACTCTGACGTTTCGTCTCGACTTGAATTGAATCTCAGACGAAGTTCAATATCCATGCCATCTACCATTGATTGGCTTTTCGTTGATTCCTGATCGATAGTACAGTTCAACGACTATAGCCGCTTTGTAGCTGCGAAAAACTATCCAACTGAAGATGTTGTGCTTTACTTTGACATAAGCTCCATCAAATATGAATTATTATTGTCACGCTTCGAAGCTATATATTTCTGGGACTCTTTTGTTGTGTACTTTTTTACCTAATTATGATCTTGTGGCTCTGAGATACTCATTGCTATGTAGCAGACGTAAAATCAAAGCTAGAATATGGTCTTTGATAACGTTTATTAGACGTAAGACCGAAAACATTGACCCTTGAAACAAACGACATTGACTACAGTCAATTAGTTTAACTACATATCTTATATAGTTCGCCGTACAATGTTAATGTTATTTCTTCTTTCTTTAAACATGCGAGTAATAGCTCAATCAACATGAAAAGTATATCGTAAAATCACGTGTGTCTGCATTTAAGGAAAGTGTAAGTTTACTCTTTCGAAGCATTATTCGTCGGGGGTTAAAATACACATCACTGACAGATACAATTTCCCCAGTTGTGTCCCTGGCTGCCAAATTTAACATTTACTGTGTATTTACCTTTGTTCCCCCTTGCATATAATGTCCTCTTTCCGATTGATCAACTCGCGATGCTGCTCAGTTTCAAAAACATGGAACTTGGTTAGACAAAGAGCTATTCACACAACTTCAACAGTTCGTGCAGTTGCTCATCAAGAAGAAGCTGCAGCTCAGCGTAGGTACAACCATGATACTTCTTATTGCTAGAGCGAACACTTAAGAGCTGACTTGTTAAGCTGAATAGGAGCTGAACGTACAATGACTCGGTTTTGGAAAAAAGCTGGTATCAAAGAAGAAAATGGTAAAAAAAAAGGCCCAAATTGCACAGCATTGAATTGTAGATGACAATTTTCTCTGACGAGCCTTTTCAAATCATATATTCACAGATACTGTGACAGTAGTTTTAGATCATCGTAATCTACGTACCCCCAGTAAGAATATTGTGAAATTCCCAGCTAAGCAAAGGAATCTGGCTTTATTGACAGCCGCTGAATGGGATGCTCAGACCCAAAATTTGAAAGCGCACAGTTTACCTCTGGTAAATAACAACAATATACGTGAATAATGATTTAATGAATGGCAAGCTTACACAACGACCTTTGTTCATATTCTTTCTCCACCAGACTTCAGTCATTGCCAGAGCCATGGACGGATTAGATCCTTCGTACGCTGACAGTGAAAACATCAATGATCACCCTGACAAAATCCGTCCTGCTGTTGTTGACAAACTTCTTACTTATTTGGATGGCGATTCTGTATGCTACCATGAAACATTCCCCGAAATCATCACACAACTTCAAGATAAATATTACAAACCTATTCTAGAATGGACAGGAAAGACGTTTGATGTGAAGATCAATATAACAACAGGATTATTCTCCGTTCAACAACCAGAAGACACCAAGAAGAAGTTGAGAGCTATTGTCGAGTCAATGGATCCCCTTGAGTTGGCTGCGTTTGAAAAGGCCGTTATGAGCTCAAAGAGTTTTCTGATAGGTTTGGCGTTGGTGAGAAGAGGTATCACAGTAGAACAAGCAGCGAGAGCAGCACATGTTGAAATGAATGCACAAATGGACAGATGGGGAGAAGTGGAAGATAGTCATGACGTGGAACGCGAATACATACGACAAACCCTAGGGTCTGTAGCTATTGCATTGATGCACAAGAGATATTAAAGAAAAGAGATGAATTCTTTATATATATTCTATTTATGATAAAAAAAAAGCACATATAGCAGCTTCTCGAAATTTCGTAATATCATTATGCTTTTCCAAACGCTGGTTAGCGTGTATTCCAATATATCAAACATTCAGTAAAAATAATAAGGGGTTTTCATTCCCGTGTTGCTATTGTTTAGATTACTTCAATGTGATTGTGTACTATTTTTCGATTATCGAGTGAGAAAAAGCCTTGAAAAAAAACTCTTGCAGAATGGATGGTTACTTAAAACAGGCTTGGTCTACGATTTGAACATAACAGCGCCATAATGTCTGACATAGTAACGACACTAATCACTTTTTTATCTTCTAGAATCCACACACGGTGTGTGTCTGTTTTTATCATGATGTTCATGATATCCTTCAATGTGGAATTGGACGAGGTGACTGAGGGTGTGAGATAATCAGATGTAAACTATTACCAATGGTATATGTGAAGGTTAGCAGTAGTATGGTAGATTATAATTTATATGTCCACTACATCAAGCTAAAAAGCGCAATGCTATACCTTAATATACTCTTTGCAAGATAACGTCATTTGACCAATATTCTCCAGATTGGCTGCTGGTAAATCCTCAACGCACAGATCTCCTATGAACTCTCCTTGTCTGGATACAATATGGATGAGGGTAAAGTCATTGGTTATTCAGAAAGGGCAGTATAAAGGGGATTTGATTATACATACTCGTTGACTACTGGAACACCACTTAGATTTTTCTCAGCCATGAAACGATAAACATGCAATGCTGTCTCTGATTCTTTGGCTGTGATAAGTTTCTGTTGTTTCTGAATCATTAAAGGCATATCACGTACAGGACAATTGAGGTCAAGTAGACCTGAAACTGAATCTGGATGCCTGACAATATGTTGGATAATATCTGTTTGCGACAAAATCCATGGCTCATCATTGGTATCGAAATTCATAACAAGCGCTCTATGTGTTCCTGAAGCAAAAGAACGTAATGCCTTTCAAAGCGGCACCATGTTATTTATTTTTGTTTTGTTTCCTCCTTGTTTATTGTCTTTGTTTTTCAAATGGCCCTTACTTCGATAAGCTTATCTTTACGATCGAGCTTATGAATACGATAGCTTTCTCTATCGCTATCCAGTCCTAACACCAATTCAATAGGATCATCCAGCTTTTTCAAATTTTCTTTCTGAATGGTAGTATCATGGCATTTGCTGTCGTTGACGAGGTATAACAAGATATCAAACAAGTTGACGATGCTCATGATATCTGTACAGTTTTGATGGGAAAACACAGGCAAGGAGGTGATTTTATTCCGATGCATTTTCATTAAAGCTGTTCGAATAGAGACAGTGGGGCTGGCAGCAATTAAAGTAGGCTTGCTCTTAGCCAAACTTAAATCAATGGGTCGAAGCTCTGTTATCAAGTTTTTCGATGACATTTGTAGAGAAGAGTTGCCTTTCCGTATTATGAGTATGCCAGAACTATACGCGTTGTAATTATCAAAACTATAAAAAAATGATGAAAAAGAAGGGATGACAAGAGGTAGAAGAGAGAGAATACCGTCACAGAAACGGGAATAGGTTTGAGTTTCGCTTTCAATGCATGAAAAATAAAGTTCGGTTCGTATTCCGCATTATTGTATCTTTTGTTGGCATTCCCACATCTTCAAGATTCATAATCGTGACAAGCCAGCTTAATTATGGTAGCAGTATTGCTTAAGCTTTATTTCTGTCAAAACATGACATTTACAATTTGCTCAGGTTCTATTATCTTACGACATGTACATAATGCAGGAGAAAGTTGAAAGAAAGCATATCTTGATATGAAAAGTGCCCATTATTGAATACATCTACGACCGATGTCTATACAATTGTTCCCACAGTTAAGAGTTAGTATAAGCCGTTTATAAGTTTTCGTGCTGTCATCTTTTTTTACTACCGGTACGATGTTGTTTTTTTCAATCTTGGAATGCTTTCCATCATGCTACTGCTGACATTAGAATCGGACTTTATAGCCGTTTGTGGAGCAAAGCGTTTGCGTTTCTGAGTCCAACGTTTCGTCGTGTAGAAAGATCAGTCTTTCTGTTTGATAGAATAGCTCAACAAAAGCGACATGATAGGCATATTTGCATCAACGTAAAAGAAAATATAGTGATTTGCATTAAGAATCAAAGTTTTTCTTAAACAGAAACTATCTTGACGAAAATAAGCAATGTATTTCCAATGGCTCCTATGTTAAACCCAAGTCAAAAATGACATCTACTGTAATTTGCTGTGGTTACTCTTTTATATTCCAGGCACTCAACACTTTTGGCATTCTGACCTTGAAATACTTCCTTCTGTATAAAAAATTAGAATCTCTTCTACAAAAAAGAGAGCATTTATAAACCAAGTATAAACCGTTAATCAATATATACATAATCATAGTGAACTTATGTATCATTCTTCTGCCTTGTACAAATATGTCAGCAATTAACTTGGTAATGTAGAGCCGCCATCAAAACATTATATCAACTACATAACTTCAGTAGTATTCCGGTTTCTTCGCCCCTTTTTCAATTCCTTTAGAACAAAAATTAACAGCCAAAATCGCTCAAAGATAACAAGTTGTGGTATTTCCATACCTCCTATAATATATAAAGACGAATTAGACACACTTTCAAGCATTTGACTCGTTATTATGATCATAGAATCATAATAACACTTGTACACGTCATCTTGTCTTTCTGAAGATGCGCATACATAATGCTGCATTCCTACTGGTTAAGAACGAGTATTTAGCTCCTTTTTTTTGGTATCTCTTTCCTTTCCTTCTTTCTTTTGTTGTCAATACAAACATCCAATTCGCTATGAACGCTTCCCTCTCTGATTTTCAGTGTATAATAAAAGGACTAAAGGAGACTCATTTCACCTTACAGTTTATATCAAAGTTATAAGTCGCGTTCACTAAACATAAAACAACTACAAACATCACACAAGTAACAGTGTAAAAGTGTCCAACACAGCAATAGCTGCCAACATGTCAAGCGTATTAAAGCCTCTTTTTTATTCTTTAGCATAATGAATAACCAAAACTCTACATCAAAGTCAGAAAAACAGAAAAGGCCCAGTTTACATTCATTAAGAGGAGACTACGCTATTCCAGAGCCAGTCAAGAAGAAATTTGGGCTTGATACATTATTGAAGACCAATGCAGGCTCTTGGACGAATCCAGGGGCCCTGATTGATGCATACTTTATGAACTGTTTAACTTGGGAACCTTCATCCAGAAAGTTTTTTGAAGCGCTATCGATTGGTTTGCAGAAATTTGGTAGCAGTGGTTCTGAAACTCTCAAAGCAAGGAAATATGCTCTGGAGGTATCGACTTTTATTAATTCTGCAGCCGTCATCAACAAAAGCAAAGTATATTATCAGCTAATGGCAGCCAAAGCAGAAGCAGAAAGGCAAGAGATTCTTGCTAAACTTCATGGTGAAGCCGCTGGTGCTGCCTTTGCTAGCGTGGGAGCAAACAAGCTGAGAAAAAGAGCCTTGGATCAAGTAAATTCTTGTATGCACTACGAATCGGCCACTCATAATAGTTAATCATATTTATGGTTTTAGCTTTTTGCTGATGAAGAAAGTGAGAATGACGTGCCTCTAGATGAAGCTTTGATTGTAAGTTTTTCAGAGCTTGTTAAGGAAGAAAAACTCCTTTGATTAATTTTTACTTGGCACAGACCACACCGAAAAAGACCAAGGAGACATCGTTTGTGATTAATAAGGGTGGACATTCGTATCAGCTGTACACACCGACGAAAGAGTTCTTCTGTTCACCTCAAAAACCAATCATTGAGCACACTGATAGGCTCACTTGCTCCCAGTACTTTGATTTACGTTTGAGCACAGATACAGTCAGTAAATGCAGTGACGGTCTGGAGAAAGAATATCAGGATCATGTTAGAGAAATGAGAGTCAATAGCTCATTGATATCGGTTTCGAGCGACAATTATGTCCAATTCAACAAGCAACTCTATGACGTTGATATGTCCAACTTTTCTCAGGAGATCTTTCATATTGATCAGAGGCATATACACCACCGCCGCCAATAGCACCTTTATTGCTTTCTTAAAGCAATTTTACAACAACCTATGCATTTGTTGGAATGATCCTCAAGATTATCAACAAGGTGGCGAGAGAACCCTTTTTTCTGAAGTTTTTTTACAACAATTTAAGCTCTTCGCCAAGATGACAAAGCTACTCTACTTCAAATGGATCGAAAAGAAAATGAATAATGCAGATCATATATGGCTTGCTAAAAAAAAATTGTAAATAAAGAGGTACAATTAAAGCTACTCGATGGCACTGGAATTTTGAAGAAAAACGGTGTCAATTTCTTCATGATAGAATCATCTGGGTAAGTTGATAATAATGTAGAAGTAGTTACATTGTAGTATTGACATGCATTAAATGTATTTAGTGTTGGAGATGATCTTTATACGCATATCTTGGAGGATACGGTCAAAAACCTCAAACATGGTTCCGATTCCCTCGCAAGCATCTTGTGTGATTACCAATACTGTGATGTCAATACCATCAAGAAGCTCGTTGTTCTCACCTGTCATATCATTAACAACAAGCTCACAATCGTGAAGTACTCCCCCGGCTTTTCATCTAAGTGGGTTGCAGTTGAGGTCCGGTCATGCAAAATTCCATTAGCATACGAAAATAGAAAGGACGTGATCAAGCTTTACGAAGTTTTCGCCTACATTTATGTAAGTAAAGCAATTATGAATGTATATTTAATTACATTTCTGATTTTATTTTACATTTGCTTCAGTCGACGCTTATTGAACAGGTGAAAATTCATGACACATTGACAGTGTCGTATTTGAGGGTAGATGATATACAAATATTAAAGATATAATTCACTTTATGAAGGATAAAGATGAATTATACAATATTGCAAACCAGAAATAATTCAAAACTACATAAACTCTTATATATGAGTACCGTGAATTAAGTGTTGTGTTTAGTTGACAGCATCATATGAGATGTGGAGAACTCGTATACAAATTATACAAGATTCTCACACCTCATTACTGCTGAAATTATACAAAGTAGAGTAGGAAACGAATATAGAATAAGTGATGATTCTTATACGAGATTAGCTACCTCGTATAAGGCTGAACAGGTTGTCATTTAGCATATATCGTTTACTTATTTTACTGTAATACGTTACTATATGACATAGGATATATAGTAGAATTAATATATGGACATGCAGGATATATTGATTCAACACCAAGGTATAATAGGTTATAAGTACTATTCTCTGCCTTCAGCATAAAGAATGATTACAAGATAATAGTTTGTGATCATCCTTTACAATAACTGTTTACTCAACTCAAACACCACGCGCCGGGAAAATAAGTTAATTGCATGATCACTAGATCAAGCCATGGATACGTTTACAAGTCCACCCGCTCCGGGTAGATGCGTAATCTTCTCAAGGGAGAATTCTATTCTTTTACGGTTCAGAAGACGTACGTCTTCTTTGAGTAGAATAACTCAGCTGTCAGTTTCTAGGTTCCGCAATATGAAGATATTTAAATTTTTGCAGTAGATATTTTTCTTCTCTTTGAACTTAACTTGATTCAAAATAAAGACCTACTAGTTTGATCTCGTTAAGCTTTTTACTGTTTTTAATTAAGTGCTATTTAACTCTTAAGTTGTCAAATACCACAGACAGATCAAAGACTTGGCTTCACAATAGTTAAAGAAGAAGACATGGTCCGAAATTGTCAACATTTTTTTTAATGCCGACGAATAAAATTGATCAACTTTATCTTTGCTAAGCATAACCACCATTGCATTGTATTCAATTGCCATTTGTATTTTATTATTTGAATAAGTAATGGATGAAAAAAAAAAAAATCTAAGGAATCGAATAAAATAAGTTTACTACTAAAACAATAATGACATACATTTGTAAAGGAGAAGACAGTAATAAGTGGGGTTAGGGCAGAAAAGTAGAAGAAAGCAGACAGGTTAGATACGTACTCAAGATAAAGGAAACCTACCTGCAAATAAATCATAGCTTTGATACTGTAAAATGCTTTCCATTAAAGTAATCTGTCTTCTTTATCATTATAAACGTTGATTCAATCGTAAGCAGAGAAAAGGAACAAAAAAGAAAAAAAAAAAAAAGAAAAAAAAAACCTAAAAATGATTGTACAGGCTAACTTCATTATTCACTTGAAACAAGTTCCTCTTGAGAAATAAAATAGTGGGCCATTGATATGCATTTGAAAGCGATTAAGAGCGAAACATTCAGCTGATGTAAAGGCGCATGAATATAAACTTGCGGACATAATGACGACGTATAGCATACAGTTCTTATACTCTTGGAGATCTTATAGCAGCAGAACACCGAGATTACTATGATATCACTCATTTGCAAATTTATACAGCAATTAAAGCTTTGATTAAAGCAATGTTCGTTGGTTCACAAAGCAGGGCCGTGATAATAAATATTGTTATCAATGTGATAATGGTTCAGCTACCTAAGAGTCACTCATTATAACGCTATATACGTCCAAAATACCTCAGATGAAATGCGGATTGACTATTTCACTAAGATTCAACTAGTTAATTTCGAGAAACACAACATCATATGCTTACTAGAACCACTCGTAAAACGTCAATCTTACATTAATTCTTAAGGCAAAAAATAAATTGAATGACCTCACCCTGACTTTACAGTTTGATACCTGCTGGATCATTTGTAACTTCTTATACTCGAAAGAGATAAAACAGAAGCAATTTTTGAAAATATACGCGCTTTTTCGGCAAACTTGTGCATGTGGCAGCAATTATGACAAAAAATAAATCAGAGTGGTTAAGTAATAATCAAAGGAAAAAATGAAACCGCCAATATCTTATAAACTGAAAGTTCATCAGCTAATTTTGTCCTTTCCATCGAGCAATACAATTTGCCAGGAACAATTCGCTTGGTAAGGCCCTTCGCGTCGAAGACAAAATCCCGAGAAGCGCCCTTAGTACCGCTAACTGCAGCCTTTGCTTTTTAACCAACTTCGGAGATGTTGCAACAATCCTTGAATTTTTTATTTGCTTTGAACAGCCTACTTGTACCTGAATAGTAGGAAAATCATCTATCAAAACAACAACAAATTTTCCACCTTTCTTTTTCTGCTAGATGGCTAATTAACACCGGCGTTAGGGTCAGTACTTGTAAATTATGGAGTTGTGACAAAGCCGTAGTACCGTTGGATCACTGACAGTTGAGAAATCAGCACTGTTGACATCTTACAGCCCAGCAATGGTAGCTAAAGTGTCATTGAGTCTCTTTGATCCTTTTATTATACACTGAAAATCAAAGAGGGAAGCGCTCAACGGAAATGGAATGTTCGCATTTACAATACTTTTCCCTTAAATTCTGAGCCGGTAAGAAGGCCTTAATGATATGAGGCTATAGACAGTAAAAAAAAAAGACATATACAGCAACTATACAGGTGCTATTATTAAGCATTATACATAATGACATGTTCTATATGAGATGTGACCTGAACCCTACTATTATAGGGTATAATATACAACAAGTTGAGCTAGTTCATCTAAAACTATTCTTGTGCTCGACAGAAGAATGCCTTCCAGTGTTTCTATATAAAAGTAGGCTGACCACTGTAATTGATTTAAACACAAACAACACATAAAGTATAACTTAAAATTTTGCTTCGCCTCTAAATCTGCTTGATAAGTTCTTAGACACCGTCTGGTAAGTTCTGTTCGTTTCTATAACACTATGTTCTTCACTAATAGTACTTGATAAAGGACACTTTGTGCAATCCGGAACTTGTCACGAATGCCATAGGATCAGGTTTGACGGTTTCACACATGTCATAAATCTTTTAAAGATGATCTGAAAACATCAAACGCTGACGAGGAAAGACCTAAAATTAGTTCTTTTCATCCTATTTTCCATTAATTTCAGCAACAGCGATTTGAATCAATAGGATGCTGTTTGATTCGAACTTTGTCCTTATAAAACTAAATTCAGCCGTCTTTCACTCAAAAAATAAAATATAGTGTATTCAAAAGCCCATCATTCAAGTCAGTTTATATTCGAGAGTCGAAAAGACTCGATTCGAGATTGAAACGTTCGACGCGTTGTACAAGCGTCTTCTACAATTTTTACAGAACACTAAGTCCATTTTTTGGCAATGTTGATGGTTATTTTAAAGTCGAACGATACCTCTTTAGTATATAGATTTTGATCTTTGAGAGTTCAGGCACTTTTGAAAGATATATGTCTAATGCATGAGATTTTAATTACACTCTGTCGACGGACATAGTTATGAATTTGTGTCTATATGCCTTGAGGTTTTTTACTACCAGCTTCTTCCATGTATATCCTTCTTCACGTTCGACATGATCTATCTATAATTCGATATATCAGATTGTAGTCAATGTTTTCAGTTTTTATCGTTTACATCGATGACTTGATTAGTATTATTGCTAAAATTATTCTATTCTATATAGCGTATATCAGGATATTTTTCAAAAAAACACTTTATATGTTTCTCTGATTGCATTTGTTTAAGTATCATTATAGTTGTTAAGTCTTAACTTTTCTATCTCAGACAAGTTATTCTGAAGTAATGAATCTCGCCTTACTGCTGCAATTCTTTATAAGAGAGTTATTGAATCAATGTCATAAAGACATAGTGTTACATTCCCGTATCCTTGACTACCAACTTCTGGAATTTGGTAGTTTACCCACATAAGGCATGAACTTTCCTTGTTGGGGTGCCTAATGCATTTATTGTATCACTGATAAACTTCAGGAGGTACAACTGATGTCAATTTTTCTTATTGATACAATGTTCTTTCTGGGCAAATGGCTACGTACAAGTTTATTACGCAAAATTAAACAATGACGTGCAAATCAATTGGAAAAACACGAAAGTTGCCTTATCTATTTCCATTTCTATCTTACGTAACTTTTCTATTGTTTTTCGACACATAAAACCTGAATAAAGTAATTTTAGAGCTCAAACAATGGGGACAGAAAACAGTAGATCCGCCCAATCAGAAAAATTTTTATTAAAACAAAAAGAAAAAAAAGGGGAATAACCACAAGATTCGGTAATAATTATGTATGCAATGAACTCTTATTGTCTGACTGCCACTGAAAGTGCACTTACAGATGTACGTCAAAAGATGGATCGTGCTTTTCGGCCCGTCTTTTATCGAAACCAAAAACGCTACTGACAATCATTTGGGAAGGACTTCTTTGAAATCTGAGTATAATCTAAAAAATACAAGTGCTCTCTATTTTAATTCGACTGGTTTCGTTATTTTTTTTTTTGACAATTTTCTACATTCTCAATTTCTACTTCCCTTCCCTTCCCTCTTAAACATTTGTCTGACTTCTTTGTGTACACAATTATTAACAGCAACAGACAGCTGATTTCTTACAATAGACGAAAATAGACGTTATCAGATTATACTTCCTTAACGCCAACTCAGTCGAAAAGTCCCAGTAACGGCTCTCCCAATATACTTACATATAATATACATATATTTATTACCAAACAAGCGACAACTCATTATACCTATCAATCTGCCTTTTCCACCATATTCGATTTAACGACGCAATGGAAAACTTATTGACGATACAACCAAAATCTGTACTTCGCTTCGATGAAAATGTTGATCTGGACGATTTCTTCCGTGATACACTTGAACCTCTCATGAAAAAGTTTAGATATCGATTTTCTCAATTTGAAAATCGATACGTCAAAAGTGAACGCTTTCAAAATTACAAAGCCGAAAAAATCAAGAAAGCCCATCTTCTATTAGAGCACCTAAATATCAAATGGGAAGAACGCCGGCAAAAAACTTTAGAGGCGAGGCGTAAGGTCCTCCAAGAATTGGATGTAAAACTGCCGGCAGACCAACTACAGCAACAGCAACAGAACAGCTTCAAGTTCATAACACCGCCTGATCTTGTCAACGACTTGATTGAACTGTCTAAAAGATATCATGAGTTGGACGAGTCAGCCTTTAAAAATAATGGTGAGATGATTGATAATACCATTGATGCATTCATGTTAAAAATGGAAGAATTAGACAAAAAGATCTCAGACGCCCTTAGCGTGGCCGATAAGATGCGCGAATGTGTTGAGGGCAAAATCAGTCAAGTGGCAGGTGTTGCTAACGAACATATTGATAAATTAAAATATGCTATGCAGCATGGTTCGAAACGTCTCTTGATGTATGATGAATTACCCGAACCCTGGCAAAGCAATCAGGTACTGTTTACATCTGTCTATGTGTGTATAAATGTGGGATGTGTAATGTTGTACTAACACCTTTTTTTTATATTTCGGCATTATTAGTATATCCGCACAGGTTATCGGTTTTTAGACTCTGCTGCTGATTGTTGGTATTCACTTTTTTATGTTCACAACGAAAGTGGCAATATCTGGTCTCATCTCTTGGGTTTTTTGACACTTTTTTCTATTGGCATTTACTCTCTATTCTTCTCTGATGTGTTGACAAGTATTCCTATTCAAGACCGTCTTGTCTTTTGTGTTTTTTTCTTGGCAGCGTGCAAATGCCTCATGTGCTCCACTGTGTGGCATACCTTAAACGGCATCAACAATCTCAAAACGTATCAACGTGTCGCGTGCCTTGACTACGTCGGTATTTCCGTACTTATTTGCGCAAGTATTGCTCTTTGTGAATATTATGGCTTCTATTGTGATGATCGTGTACGTCAAATATATATGACCGCTACATTAGGTCTTGCTATTCTTGGCATCTCTATGCCTTTTCAGTCATGGTTTGATCGCCATGAATTGCGTTGGTTACGTATTGGCTTTTTCGTCGCTTTAGCTTGCTCAGGGGCCATCATCATTGTTCATCTCTCAATAATACGTGGTGCTTGGGTGACATTTTATTGGCTTGCCCCTGTGTTCAAGTCCTGTCTTTGTTACATTGTTGGTGTTTCATTCTACGCTAAACAATTTCCTGAAAGTGTATGGCCCGGAAAATTTGATCATTTTGGCCATTCTCATCAGTTATGGCATATCTTTGTCTGTGGAGGTATTTGGTATCATTATCGAGCCGCTTTGCAATTTGCTTCTCAACGTGGTGTTTTCGGTGACTGCCAGTTAACGTATTGATAAAGAATATAAGAGCGTCTTAAAATTGGTAATACATTAGATTTTAAAAGAATCTGATATCTTCGCAATAGAAAGTTTCTACATTTTATCTCTATACATATACATATACATATATATATCCCTTTCTAATTCAGCACGTCTGCATGTTCTTTGTCCAACTTTAAGATACACAATACAAGTTTAGATATTTCCTTTCACCATTAGAACACGATTACATCGCTTCCCTGCTCATATAACGCTTATTTACGCCACCGTTTATCTCTTCGTCTCTCTCATTAACATAATATTTTAATTGATTCCCTATAGGATCTCGAATGTTGATGTAGTTCAATATCACATTTTTAAATCTACCATACTGTTACATGTATATCAAAAAGTTTAAATTCTTAAAATAAATAATGTTAAGGGTAATTTATTCCTTAGAAAAAATGAACACAAATGGTGCAGAGGGCTAAATCAGTGATATACGTGTTCTAACCAGACCACCTCTAAAGTTCTTGGCTGGTTGAGGAACTTGCTGGAGTCTCCTAAATGCTTCCAAGATATGTTCAGCTGATAACGGTGTTTGTTCAGTAGGCGGTAATGCAAAAAGACCTCTATTATCCAACTGCGGTGACTGTGGGGAATCCAGATTATCTTCATAACTATCGACTATTTCTCGATTTAGCTCAGTTGATGATGACGAGGATGAGACCGTGGATGTTTGGGTTGATAATTGTGCGGACGTTCCAGCATCACCATCAGAAGTTACTGTAATTGCCGGTGCGGGGGTTGTCGTCGAGGTAATATTCTCCTCCATCTCATCTCGTTTTCTCTTTTTCTGTGAACTTGTACTAGCCCCTAATCCTACATGCTGCTCTTCTTCTTTCTTTCCTTCTGCCACCATTAAATCTCTCTTGATCTTAATCGCTGTAGTTGTCAATTTTGAGACCATCTCATACGTCAAAAACCCTAAACTATCCACTATATCATCGTTAGGTTTCACCTCAACATACGCACTCATATTGGACCAATCCCGAAACCGTTTGCTTTTGCGATAAGTGAAAGAAGCTTGGCGACACTCTGAGTAGTGTACATACTCTTCGCGTGTCATGGCTCTCGTAACTTCGTCCGCTTCTTTTAAACGCTGAATTGAATCATTGTATGCTTCTATTTCATCCTCATCCTCGGACTCTTCATCTATGGTAGTAGTACCAGCTGTCCCTCCACTACTGTTTATCGTCTTGACAATTACATCTGTAAATTGGTTTACAAGTTCCCATGGTAATTTGATGATACTACGGTGAATTTTACCCGTATTCGTCTCCTCCACTACGTCTTCTACTTGATCACCAGAGGCATCTTTAGCATTTTTTCGTACGTCCTTCCAACTAAGAAACGAACGTAAACGATTTACTTTCGCACGATCATGCCGCATAAGGAAGATAAGATCCTCGGCACTTAGGTAGCGAGAGTTCCGCCGATTAGCTTGAGCAGCAGCTTGAATGATCTGTTGTTTATAAAACATTACGTGCATGTGTTTTTAAATGAACAAATCAACTAGAAGTAATAGTTTCTCTATAATGCTGTATTCAATACTGTTGAGTACTTACAATTTCTATCACTTGTGAGCGTACAATATCCTCAACTAGCAGTGTCGATTCTTGTAACGGATCGGATACTTCGCCAAAGACAAACATCATTTGTTGAATCTCGCTTTGGAAACGATATCTAGGCTGTCAATAAACAAAGTATTCAAATGGCTGATGTTCAGTAAAACAGCCATAATAAGTGCAGAAGAGGAGCATTAATACCTTTTTTACTTCTTGCTGATGCTGTTGAGCCATGGTACTTAATTAGTATGTGCGTACTATTCCACTAAGATAATTTAGACAAAAATCATACATGAACATTGACCTGCCAGATCAGTGAAAACAGTACATGCAAAAAAAAACTCTCGGCCAAACTAAATTCCGCCACTCGCAGCTCCTGTTTTATCAACTATCAGTACGAAACGACGAAGTTCTGCTTTTATGTAAATTTCTTACATTTATTTCGTGATACTTAATGATATATATATTAGCTAATGTGATTAAATAGAATTCACAGTGTCAGCTGTAACAGCAGTGGTAGCAGCTTCTGCAGAGCCTACAGGTAGTGCTGTAGGTACATGGGGAGGAACTATCGCAGTAGCCGATTCAGCAGCGTTATTTATAGCTGGGGCTACTATCTTGGCTTGTATTTTATCTACGATGTTCGCTGCTTCCACAAGGCCGAATTCGGTTTTGATTGCATCAAAGCTCTGATTCTCTTTATCTGATAACTTTTTGTTCTGTTCAACGTAATCATTCTTTCTTTCTAGCGTTTGTTGGACAACCTTCCAAGCACCACGTGTTAAATAATTTGATTTTTCTTCAATTATCTCTTTCAAGTTATTGACTGTTTGTGCGTTTGACGCTTCATTCTTATCATGCTTAACCTCCTCTTCATCGTCCTCTTCACTAGACAGAAAATCCCACAAACTTTTCAAATAGGCTTCTCCGCGATCATCACCAAAAATAGGATAAATGTAGGAAGCATCCAAGGCTGTATAAAAAGCTCCAGGTGGTTGTGTTCCAAGGGTAGTAAAGGGCCCATAGTCACTGAACTGTGCAGGACGGACAAAATGTTTGTTTAAATGGAATTCATCTGCAGAATGCTTGTTTAAGAAAAATGCGGAAGGCAAGGCAGCAGGATTTGGGTAAGTCATTTCGGGCAGGTCATGGAAAGGGTTCTCTAGAGGTACCAGCGTAGCAGGATCAGGTACTAATGATAATTAAGAAATATTAGTTTACTAATAGCTGTAGATAGTAAATTTCGCTTTCGGCTTACCTCCTCCAACTGTATGCACCGATCCATCTGGTCCGTAAATAACGCCTGCATCTGCAGCTTTCTTCTTTTTCTTTTTGTAAGGTATCGAAGCTCCACCAATACCTCCCGAAAGAGATTGTATCGGTGTCATAGCGCGTGAATTCGACAGGTCTACACTCGACTCTCTAATTTCAGAACCTTGTCTGCTTTGTTTGCGTAAAGTGGGTATCGTAGAATCAATACTCATGATATCTACATCTTCATCTCTATTATTTAAAGAATCTTTACGGCCGCTAAAAGAAATGGATAGCTTTCTATTATCTGAAGCTGCTATGCCACCCAACATAAAAGACGTATCATCCAGGGTTGAAAAGTTGGAAGGTGTAGATACAGGTGATGAGCTAGTAAATGGTTGTTGTGCTTCCGCTTCTTGTTGAGCAGCAATAAGTTCTGCATGAAGCCTATCTTCTTCAATTTGCTTATCAGCACGATCAATCAATCTTAACCCAACATCGTAAATTTTATCTGCACTCTTCCAATAAATAGTGTCTACAGCATTGTAAGTCTTTGCATTCGTTATAATCAACTTGAAATCAAGACGAAATCCATCTACGGAATCACCATATTCTCCATTTTCAATTTTCTTACGCATGGTAGAAAAGTCCATTGGATGTTTGATAATTTTCAAGTAATCTGGAACGTATTTAGGGTCGACAGGCTCCAAGAAGAAGCCATAAGCATCTCGTTTTTGTATGTTATCCAATAGCTTTAACAAGATAGCTTTTACGTCTTTTCTTTGTGGTCCATCTACATTATTGGATTTGGCAGCCATATGAGACATTGCAGCCTGAGCTGCAGCCTTAGCTTTGTTTGTCGGTCGACCTCTTTTTTTTGGCTTTTCTGTTGTACCATTTCCTTTTAAAGAAGACGAACGCCGTTGCTGATGCTGACTTTTAGGAGGTCTGCCAAGAGGTTTTTTTTGTTCAACAATGCGTTCCGCAGTTGTAACCGAAGAAGTAGAAACGAAACTGTTTTTACGTGATGCTTTCGATATTATTGTTGATGATCGTTTGGTATCGGTAGGATGATAATAGTTATCTGTTTCAGTTGTTTGGAGCTCATAATAGCGATCATTATCATTGTCATCGTCAATAAAGCTATCGTCGACTGATTCAACGTCTGAGAAGGAATCCGCTTCTACAGTTATGGAGGTTTTCCCTGATTGCTTTTGCTTATGCTGAGAAGCTTTTCTATTTCCACTGCTAAAGCTATGATTGCTTCTTGACATGGTCGAAAACCGACTGCTACGGTCAAATGAGAAACTGTCTGCATAATCTTCATCGTCGCCTCCGTTTGGGTCATCTTCATTATCAACCAAATGCTGGTGATCTTCCAATCTTGGTCGTTTATGGTGTTTGCTGTTCTTATGTTTCTTTTTATGTCTTTTTTTAGTTTTCCTTTCTTCCTCAGCTGTGGATGTTGATGCTGCTGCTACTGCTGCTGAGCGACTAGAAGTCGAAGAAACAGATGCCGAAGGGTATGGGTTTAATTTGAGTTTTAGTTTAATCGTAGGTTTTTTGGTCACTGGCTTTTGTTGTTCCTCGTCAGAATAACGTGAAGAAGAATATGGCATTTTTTAAACTTGTCTCTTTTTGTTCAGATAATTGTCGTCACTGCTGTACACACTTTTTCCCTTCTACCTCCAGAAAACTCAAATAACGCAAAAAGATTTTTCTTTTGCTGTTGGTCGGAAACGGGGAATTGAAAAAAGAGTGTGTTAGACTGTGATTTTACACGTCATCCTGTCGGCATTTAAAAAGGAAAAGGTTGGTTTGCTCACTTCTGCACAGAAGTAATATGATGAAGCAAATCGTGCTTGAATCTATAGCTCCCTTTAAGACATTTCTACCTCGTATCAGCAACTTTCTTTCATTGCACTTGCAGGTATTTGCGTATATTCTTTTCAATTTTTGCTAATTTTCTATTTTATTACAAACTTTGCACTATCATCCAACATTTTCTTATCAGATCTTCCGAAATACAATTTTAGTTTAAAATTTGTTAGACAAATAGAAATTTATATTCAGATCACTTTCAGCATTTTTTAGAAACAATATTTTGGAAAGATAAAGTTGATTTGCCTCAAATTTATGAACTATTTACTAAAATTAATCTGATTCGCTTAGTGTCCATAAGGGCGAAAAGTTTGTGAAATATCCATTCTAAAGTTCCTCTACTCTATTTTACAAAATACATATCATCATGGTGATGGAGCGTAAGGGAAAGATAACTCCCTGCGAAGGTAAGAGTTCGCACATTGCATTATGCTCACAGCCTCTCTAACCTTATTTAACAAAAACAGGCTGTCGAGAAAGAAAGAAAAAATGCTCTGCGGGTCAGCCTTGCGAGAGGTAACAGAGCAATTATACAAATTCGGCATTTCATAATTTTGATTTGACCATTTCAATCATTAACGATCCACAAAGATGCATGCGTCTTGGAATCCAATGCTTCTACTTAAAGTCAGTAACACCACCACGAATAGATCGCTCCGATTCAGCACGTAGTCAAGAGTTACAACATCATGTTGAAGTACTCGATGATATATTGAGAAATATGGAAAGAGAACTGCATCTATTGAAAATTCCTTTGGTAGGACAAAATGAAAAAAACAATACGTGCATAATGTCAAACAGTATGCCGTCAATTGCTGATAAATTCCTCAATATTCGATCACCCCACGAAAAGAGCCGTAATATATCAAGTGATCTCTCTGCACCTTCATCAGCGTTGGTACCTACTAGAAAAACAACCACAGTGCAACCATCAGCGGCTACTTCATCCCCGAAGGCTGGAGTAGTAGAATCATCATCAGCATTCAGCAGCAATTGGCAAATAAAATTGAGGAAAGATGGTACTATCAGCATAACCACCGACATTCTAAACTATGCCAATTTATCAAAGCATCTGGAAGCACTCGGCATTTCTTCAACTGCGAAACTCACTACACCGCTCATTCGACAACCTACATTAGGCTCTTTGTCAGCAAGTGGTGGTTATTTACATCGCCGTGTATTGCCCAGTAGTCTCCGTAAAGGCAATTTCAAAGCGATTTTATCATGTATAAAGGATTTAGACGAAAAAGAGCAGCAAAAAATGCGGCAATTAGCAACTACAACCACTGTAAATGCAGCTTCTTCATCGACTTTATCGTTTGGGACTGGCAATATAACTTCCCTTTTACCACCAACAGCAAGTCTACCCTTAACTAGTAGTAATTACTCCCCGCCTACTATAGCAGCGACCACAACCTCAGACATACGTAACACTGCTGTTTCCAACACCATTATCAATGTTACCGCACCTCCCATCGTCGCGGAAATACCTGATATTGTTTCCCGGCTTGTAAATGCTTACTTTACGTGTCAATTCTTCAACCGTGTCATCTGCCACCAAAAGACCTTTTACGATCTATTTATACGCAACAAACAGTCCAACGAAATTAATTCTTCGCTGGTTCCTTGTTCGATTGCTGCAGCTGTTTTGACTATGCATTGTAAGCACGTTCGAAATCTTGTCCCTTACCATCAACAAATGTCTTTGGGCGAGTATCTCTTTAACAGAGTGCGGCATATGATTGCTCTTCGTTTCGATGAGCCTTCGTTAGAAACATTTATATCATATATATTCATGGCAAAATATAAGGTCAATCTGCTACGGCCTCAAGAGGCTCATATTTATTTGGACATTGCGATCCGAATACAACAAATTTTGGCTATAAAGTTCCGCCTGCCGAAATATCAACTACAGACTCATCCCCAAAGGATAGCAATTATCAGCATTGTACTACTGATCATACCCTCCAGACTACTTCTAACACTATCTTAGCTAATTTTGAACCTTATTTTAAAGCTGGTACCGATCTCAAGTTCAAAAAGGTTCTGAAAAAAACCGCCACCAACAAATACATTGGCGAATATGAAACCTTCAAGCGCCTTCATGCCGGCCTTCAAGACATTATTCAATTTATTCAGTTTATCAACAATCAACGTGGGGTTCCTGTTAAGTCCGCTCCCACTATTGGTGCACGGCAACAAGAAAATGTTCACACGTACCGACATCTCTATCTAAACTCTTACAGCCCTATTCCTTTACCTGACGAAAACAAGCAAACTATACGTGCTTTATTGATGGAATACTTTTTGGGTCGACTTTCCGCTATCGTATGCCCCTTTTTTAACCGTGTACGATGGGGTGAAGATGATAGGATCCCTCTCTCTTTTTTGATAAAGACAGAAGAGGATTTGACATATCTGTATCATCGTTTACCCCTGGATTATCAGTTGTCCCCATCAATTTTCGAAGATGGGATTAGTGATTTAGAATTTGCTACGAGGCTGAAAGAAGATGGAAGATGCGACATTGTGTCGGTAGCTATTGCTGAACGGTATTATCAATCCTTATTAGCTGTGCATGAACCGTTTTTACCGGTGATCAATCGAGTTTCATCATCGTTTCCGTCAAGTGATAATGTCGGCAAGAGCGCTGATGAGACTGCAAGTAGTATATCATTGTTGATTGGTGATGAGATACGACTTCAAAGAGAACAACAACAAAAGTTAAATCAATTAAGATCGAAGAAGCGGAGAAAAGGAACAAAATCATCAGATAATACTGCTACTTCGACAAAGAGTAGCAGCAAACATTTTTTCAGTGATAGTTCTGATGAAGAGCACGATAGTGAAGAAGAATTTGATCCCAATGCTGTGCTATCCATTCATGCACTCCGCGCCCAAAAAGTTTGTTTTAAATATGCTGTTACCATTGTACGGCTGTTAGACTACCGATGCAATATATTAGAATGCTGTGCAATATCGCGTCCTACATTACTCTCTGCTTGGGACTTTCTAATGCGCAACAGTTGTTTGGGTATGACAGACGAGCAACTGGTTGCATCCAATGTACATCAGTTCTTGTCAAAGGAAGAAATAGAAAAATCGAGAGATTATGCCCTTCGTTGTATTGAAATCCTACGACGAGGTTATCTGTTTAACAATGCTGAACGAGGCGTATGGGAACATTATGAAGAGTTAGAACGTCAGTTATTAATGGCCTTAGGAAGAAAAAAACCGCCCACAGCTACGTATTGGGAGCCTTTGTAAATATTTCACAATATATCGTATGCCTTGATTTTCTTTCTTCACCATTAATATCTTTAGTGATAAGTTCTGTAAATATAATCCTAACTAGTCTGTGTAATTGCAGTTGTACATATTGGTCATGCATAGAAATTTATTGAATACACTGTACAATAGTTTATATACATTATCTACATATTTTTAAGTAGTCAATTTGATTACCAGTAATCATGAAAACGTTTCTGTTGCTATCAGGGTCGGTATTAGTCTCTTCTTGTGCAGTGTATTGAGCAGATATAACTCTAAAGACCGGCTTGAGGATCACTATAGGAACGGAAGGGTCAAAATTAACGGAAAGTTGACACGATAATGCAGCTGCAGTTGTTTCATCATAGAGAATAGAATGAATGCCGTCGCAATCTGTATAATAAGTGGAATTGCCGGAATAATTGCCAGGATCAGTAATGCAGCCCCAAGGTAATGGTATCTCGTGCTTTTTTGGCCCTACTATAAGCAAAATTCTGTTTAGTACGGATATTACTTTTAAAATAATACAGAAAAGTTATACTTGCACACGACGTAAATATTCGCGCTTGTGATACTGTCGCTGCGAAACATCCAATAATGGCCGTTGTTGGTTTGCGATAAGCAATTTTTGCATGGTAAATTCACATGGTAGCCAACGACATTTCCACTGGAGTGAAAATGTTAGTCTAGATTAAATGTCAACAACACACAACCAGCTTCTTACTGCATTGAATTACCAGTTCAGACAAGCAGTGTCTCTTACACGACATAAACAAGACGCTGCATTATAATCACCGTAAACGAAACCAACGCTATTTGTAAAAAGAATAATATAATAAATAGGTTTTGTCAAAAGCGTTCATGCCGTAAAATTGTATTGTGTATTGTTACAAAGATTGAGGTTTGTGTTATCTTACGTATGTGGTTTAAGATCCGTAGAGTATAATTGAACTGATCTATCCGAAAGTAGCACAGCCTAAGTCACAAATCATGTTACAAAAGCGAAAAGTAATTGACATGCGAATGAATAATCTGGCAAACTGTTCAGGTAAGTACATTCATGCCACGGTTTGTCAAAACTTCAGCACAATCTCTGCATTGGATCTGGAAGACATGTTTACGGTCATATTCCGATCCTAAGTGGGACATACGCCGGAGTTCAAGCATAACTTGTCCATGATACCCTACATTATCAGAATTTATATTAGTTATTATCTATAGAAGCTGAAGAAATAACTTGAAGCTATAATTAAAGAAAAGCTACTCTCAATGCTTTGAGGACTGTTCGAATCGGTTCTCCTGATAAAGTTATTTGTTATGCCCTCGCCTATGTGAGGCATTCTTATTACAGCTTATTTAAAAACGTAAAATAAATACTGATTTGGAGTTTAGTTTTAGCGCTTTTTATAAGAATCAGGGTTAAAAGGAACATCGTTATCTATTGTTTCTATTATACATAAGACGGAAGGATTAGAATTTTGAAAGGTTTCTACGCTTGAGTTAATTAAACCCAAATATCGGAGAAACATTTTTATTGATGGCGAGATGCTGTAGACAAATGCGGTTGAGGCGTTGTATATTGTGTCCATGGAGGCGTGGGTCCTCTCCAATCCAGTGCCTCTAGCACATCGTCTGGTATCAAAAGATTTGGAGGTGGTGAGGCGGCATTATTAGCGATGAATTGATCTAGTCGATGTGGACTTGTACTGCTTAATGCTCGACTTTGACGATCATCATTATAGGAATTCTGTCGGTCTGTAACGCTATAATCCTCTTCTACTAATCCTTTTTCATTGTTTGTATTATGGTTAGGCGAAGCTACAACAATTGTTTCGGGTATATTTGTATTGTCTGGAGATAAGGAAAAAACGCGTAATTTTTGTAATGGCGAATTAATAACCGAGGAAGCAGATGACACCATCGCTTGTGTTTTGTTTGCTGTTGTAATAGTAGGCTTACTACTGGCTCTTGGCGGTGATAGACTGGTAGACAACTGATGATAATTTCCATGATGATGCTGCAAAAGTATTTGGTTATGTTGTAAATGTTGTTGTTGTTGAGAGCCTCCATACAGTTCTTTTTGATACTGTATTTTCATGGAAGGCGTAGGTGTGTTGGGTGCAGAGGTAGCAGGACTGCTCGCTTGCTGTTCTTGTGTGGTCTCGATCTTGTTAGCAGAGTTGTTTTTGACTTTTTTCTGTTGCGGTTTCTTACTTCTTCTCTTAGGTGCAGTCTGTTTTTCCAAGTCTATATTTTCATCCAGCGGTGTAGTAATTGAAATATTTGTATGTTGGTTATTGGAGTGGGCTTTTGACGTCTGGATATCCGCTTCAATAGCTGTGGTGGATGATCTTCTTTTTTTTCTATAATAACATAAGAAATAAACGACGATAATATTGACACTCAAGACAAAGAATACGCCTAAGCCAATCAAGGCTAGTTTCCAGGAATCCATAGCTTCTGTTTTCAGGGACAAAATGTTAATGATGAGATATAAGTAGAAAGACGTACAATAAAGAACGAGCAAAGAGAAGAAGCAAGAGAAAAAGGTTAAAGAAATTGGTAGCTGACATTCTATTTATATAGTTTCAATAATCTTTCAGACGTTCATAACAGATGCAAAGCAGCAGCTTCTATTTCTGTAAGACAAAGAGTATCTTTTTTTTTTTTTTTGAAAAAAACAAACTGAATTCAAAGAAAATAAGAGCAAGAGGCTTAAGGAGGGAAGGAAAGAATCTACTATGGGTTGTGGGGATACACAGTCTTCCTTATTAGGATTTTATTGTTGTTTGCTGGCAAAAAAAGAAGTTGTGCAGTTCACTATGCCATGCGATCTTAACATCACTTCATGGATTACGCTAATAGTTGCTCCAGTGTAATAACAATAGAGTCCAATATATTCCTAGCTAAGGTCATCAATATGAATTTAATTTCGAATTTTTAGGTCAACAAAGGAACGATAATGTGCGATTTCTAAATTGTTAAAAATGCGCATTGAAACTGCATGTAAAGGAATTATTGCTTTCACGAATATGATTAATTTTCATTTTTTTCATTTCTCTCTTTTTTCCTGAGAAGGTATCAAAACATCCTATACAGTTCAAACAGCATCTTCATGAGATACAAGGAGCTCTACATTGTTTAGCGAAGTAATTCCCTTTTTTTTTGCTTGACTTTAGTTAACAAAGCAAATAATGTTCACTTTTGCAAAGCTTCTATGCATTTCAAACTGTTTTATTCTCGCCTCACAGCCGCAGTCGCCATCATTGACATGCATACGTTCACGAAAAGAGCGAATTCATTTATTGCGCTGAGAAGAAGCTATGAACATTCGAGTTAGTCCATTACTTCAAAATAACAGATCTATCTGAAAATCGGAGCAGCATTTCATCTTCTCAGCAGATACTCAACAAAAACATGAAAACTGCTATGATCCGCGTTTGTAATATCTGTTGTTACTCCACAAACCAGAGCATTTATGATATTCTAATGCACGTGAGCCTCTGTTAGCCTAAAAGCACGCATTTAGACAGCTTCTCTGACTGCCCACGCTTCAGTTTGCAACGAAGCTTCCTTTGGGTTGGAATTAATTTTAACGATATCTTCAAGTACAAAAGCTGTTGCAATTTTGGGAGTTAAACTCCAAAAATATGCAACCCCACTTAATGCGGGCCTTTGCTCTGCATTAAAAAATATACATTTACTGGTTTAGGAAAACCAGCTCAGTGTTGCTCTTCTTAACAGAAATTGCATAAATATCACTTCCATTACAGATTGTAGAAAAGCACGAACAATATATATTAACGGTATACAAAAGCACAGCCCTATACTGTCAATGGCTTTCGGCATTTATAACCAACAAAAGAACAAAATGACGGAGAACGTTACAAACGATGCCGAACGGCATATTACCACTTTAAATCAACAGGAAAACCAACAAATTGCGGCTGTTTTAGTAGTAGGATTTCACCATGCGTTTGGCCCTATTGTTGAGTTCTGTATACCACCATTACCTCAGCATGAACATCATAGCGAAGATCAGCCACAAAAGACCTTGGAAAAGTTGGAATTACCTGAAGAGTGGAGTTTCTTACCGTTCCTTGCTTTGCCAGGTAAAACAATGTATTTGTTGCCAAAAGAGTGTTATTATAGCCCCATTAACTCAACTATAACGATCGTAAATTACCATTATTAGATGGAGCCCATCAGAAAGACGAAGATTTTGCTTATTTTCACTTACCACCTGTTCCTGGTTGGTCAGTAGCAGAAACTACATTATTCGGTATATCGTGCAATCGGCAGATTCCTGCTAGCGATTTGGAAGTAAAAACGCCAGACATTACGAGATCAATTGTACAAAAAGCAGTAGTCGTTCTAGCCAAACAGGTAAAGCTTCTAACGGTTGACAAGAATTAAATAGACATGAGCATTTGTTCTAACTGACTTTGGCTTCTTACATGTAGCCTATTTTTGGACCTTTACGGCAAAAACTAGCAGTTATTACAGCAGGATGGTTCAATCAAAGGAATTTTACAAAACTCGATATGCTCTATGTACTGTAAAAAAACATAGAAGTGTGGTTCAGTATATAGAAATGATGTAGAGGGGATTAGCTCGGCAGACATTTATTCTATTGCTAACAAAACTGTCTTTTTGTTTTTTTCCAACAATAGAATTTGTATAATAATTTAAATAGTACATTTTATGGACCCATTGATGATTCGACATTGTATATGGGTAAGGGTTACAAAGACAAAAAAATGAGCAACTTTTCGTTAAGTATATTAATATTTGCTAATTTGCACTTGCAGGCACATCATTACGCGAACTAATCGCGAAGTTTAAAACAAAAACATTAATGCTGCTGAAACTATTACTGCTAGAAAAAAGAGTAGGGTGTGAATGTTTCTCTGAGAAATAACATTACATATTCTAACTTTAGGAGATCTTAATAGTTATTGTTCTACGGATATCCTGTAGAAAGACTATGCACCTTTCAATATTCTTTAATATCGCTGATTCCTGGGTTGCTGAGAAACCTACAGGATTCAGGTTCTCCAGAACTGAGCAGTTACAGCAAGAATTCTGAGAAAATAGAAGCAAAGATACTTGTGGATGGTAGTAAAGAAAGTCTGATAAGATATATGGGTCTACCATTAAATATATTCGAAAAGGTGATAAGCTTGTTGTGCCCATTGTCGCGAAGAATGAAAATAGTTAAACAAAGTTTCGCCTGACACTTTAGGGATCATTTTTTCAGCCTTACTTACCACTACAGCAAATTGATATGCTTTCGTCTGAACAGACCAAATCGTATGTCGTTGGCACAACCAATCAAATTTTCTTCCATCATAAAAGCGATACAAAGATTGATGTGTTGGTCAATGTAGAGAATGGCACGTTAGAGTTCTATAATCAACAACTAATCAATCTGGTGAGCCCGACTATTGCAGATAGGCGCTGGATGGAAAATATAATGAAGGTGGTACACGACACATGGAATCAGAATGGTTAGTCATGTTCTTCGCATGTCGTGAAAGCATAATAGAGCTCTAAGATGCGTTTTACCAACTGATACGTATCAGACCCTAGTCGTCCATTACAGAATACATACCTCGGCTCGGATGATTATTTGAGAGCTAGATTTGAGGAATATATGTTATCGTTGTTATCAAGCATCAAACATGCTCAGGCATATAATTTATTGGATAGTATCAAGGAAACAGGAGGGAATAATAGCACAACAGAAGAGGTCATTCCCGACGAAAACGAAGGTATTTGTTAGATTCGATATTTTAATTATTTCTATATGCTAAGCACATTTACTCTTTTTGTAGAGCACAATTACTTGCGGGATTACGGTATGAAGTGGTTGGTACGCTGGTTTGAAACAGACAACTTCAAAGAATGGAATCAGCACACAGATCATGAAATATATGAAATTGTGGAACCAGGGTTAGTATGGCTTTATCAAAGGCATATCAAAGGTGGAGATCTATGGGCTAATAATTGACTGCAATTGTTAGACATCCTGGAAGGGGACATCTATCTATGACTGATATACAAAATACCTTGGCAAAGTAAGTTACTGATACGAGGGAAAAATATTTGATATCAGTATACTCAAATTGAAATTTGTAGTCGTTTCCGAGATTTGCAACTCAAGCAAAATTTTGTCCCTCTCAAGAACACCTTTTCGAAGGCCATGTCTAGCGGTCGATCAAAACTGAATGCGATCTGGAGTGAATTTGAACGAGGTGTGATTGAAGAGCAACAAAAGAATAGTAATGCACAGAGAAAAAAGTCCACAGACTCTTCTACATCCTCAGCGGCAGGACTGTCAGCACAGCAAGACCTAGAGAACGATAAAACTACCAATAGTGCGCCAGGATCATCTTTAAATAAGAGTAATAGTCAAGGAAGTATACATTCATCTGCATCAGGTCAGCAGCAACAACCACCACAACTATCGCCCTTATTGGAACAAACGACACAACAGGCAGGCCGGCTTTTTTCAAATTTCTCATCTTTCATAAGCAGAAAAACAAAGGAGTTCTCACAGGTTATGGAAGTATGACGTTAAAAAAAAGATATTCAAGCAATTCGTCAACAGAGCTACCAGTACTCATATCTCCATTCGAATTATAATACTAGGATTCTGTATCAGAAAATAGCAAAAATCATTCAATACCATCAAATAGTAGTAGTAAAACTTCATCATCTATATTCAATTCTTCTCAACAAGATACCAGTAGACATGGCAGTTTGGAAAATGACTCCCTTGGAATAGCTTCTAAAATGATGTCTTCTAATCAAATATCAGACGTGAGTGATGACGACAATGGTTCTGCTGCTTATGTCGATGTTGGTAAAATGTATCCTTTTGAATCATCAGCAAATAATAAGCGCAGCAAAAAAGAGGATCAAAATGAAATTATAAATATTTAAGAATAGTTGACTATTTCAACAAGTAAATCAAACTTAAAGTAAGCTCATCTCAAAATAGCTAACTGAGAACTAAGGTTTCTCTGCGTACAATGTTCCCAAAAGATAACATTTTTACTCTGCCTGATTAATCGAGAAGGAACTGTCTTTTATACAGTGCTCTTCTGACACGTCAAAAAACGTAACAGGTTGTCCTTCTTAGTTTTATCGATCTTTTTTGCAATCTTTGAGTAGGTTTATTAGAAATAAATACAACTTAGCATTATGCGAGAATCAAAAATATCAGTTATAAATAGTACTTTTATGTTGGAGATTACTTGTATTTAGTTATGTACCGTGGCTTTTCGCTATATGAGAATGTTAAGGAGTTAATCTTAAAGATTTTTAAGCAATTAGTTTTGGGTACATTCAATGTCGCTCCTTTGAAACTACGCTTTTTTGAAACTGTGTGCGATATTGCAGATGTTGCGACTTTATCTGAACTACGTCGTTATGAAATCAGTTTTAATATTTCATGCTTCTGCTTTCTTCTGGCATATGACACTTGGAACTGTAATAGTCAGCCCCAAGGCTATTATTCTGGCCCAAGACTTGTCGTAGTATATTGCTGTGAAGCCTAACATTTCTTATCCATTTAGATTTTTCTCATGTAATTTAAAATATATTTAAAATGAGGCACTGTCCCACCACTTTCAGAATAGAAAAATGCATGTTTATTGAAAACAATAGTCATATACGTTCGATGTACACTAACAATTCACTGCAAGATTTGAAAAGATGTTGGATGTAACCCAGTAGCATGTTTGAGTAGTGTCAGTTAGTAAGGTCTTGCTCTTCACAATATGCGCTCTCTTTCTGTCAAAAAGTGAAGGTTTCTTTTTGCTACAAGGCCCAGTTGCTTTGATAACAGAAACTTGCCGTAACACCTGTTGCCTTACTAACATGACCAGCAATTCCATTATTTCTCTGCGGCCCAATGCGGACCCAAAATGGCGAAGAATATCAGCCTCTGTAATGCCAGGTTTTCTCAACACCAAATCGACAATAACTTCTTTACAGCCCGTCAGAACAACATTTGTCGTATTACCATTGATGTCAGTCCACAAATTTGGAATAATAACCTCCTTTCTAATTGCTGAGATCGCTTTATCAATTGATGCTACATCACTTGTCAAAGTTTGTTCTCGTACAGCTTGAGCAACTTCCTGATGAGGCATATTTTTTGTCACAAGAGCCCACTGGTCAATGAATAAAGCATGAACATAGCGAACAGAATCAAACCCAACACGACATACGAGGGAGGGTTGATTACTACATAGACTGTTTATTGCTGTAAGGATGTCTTCTTCAGTATAAGGACCAGTGGCACCAGCATCGTTGAATAAATAAATGTTGAGCTGATATCCTGTCAACCCTTTTTCACCAGCATCATAGAGAGCACTGACCAATTTTCCTATCAAATCCGTGAAATGGCCGTCTTTTTCGTGAGATACAAAAGTTGTAAATGCTGTATCAAATTCTTCTTTCGACATAAGCCTCAAATTGATACGTTCAGGATCAGGAATATAAGGCATCACTTGGTCTCGATCTTGGATGCCTTCAATATCAATCTCGAACTCTAGCGATTTTCTATCTGGAAGAAAAAAAAGGGAAACGAAATAAATGTATGCCAGTCCGTAAGTATGACTCTCATTGTCAGTGATCAGCTACTGTTCCATATTATACCTATCTGCCTGGTTCGAAGTACATTCTGCTTCAACTCTTCTAATCGTGCTTTTTTATTCGCCATGTAAAGATTAAGCTGGAATGAGAGAAGGAATGGAATATAAGCTCTTTGGGTAAAGGGTTTTCTTTTTTTTTTTTGCAGTTTACATTGAAAACTGTATTATCGTACCTGATAGTTAGAAAACGATGCTAATAAGCTAGCCATCATGCCGCTACTCACATACTCCGGGGTATATCGGGTTTTGACTTCATGTCGACTTAAGAAGATAGTATAGTCTTTCGCTTGAAGGAAGAAATTTTCAGGAAGCTGACCTACCATGCTTCTCACGAACATTTCTGAAAGACATAATGTAGTAGTTGGAATTCTACGACTCTGACCCTTCCTTCTTAAAGAACCTTCTACATTCATTGAATCCATGGTATCTGCAAACACTTTTTCAGGGAAGCTTTTGATGATGCTGAAACAATAGAATGGGTCATAAACTTCTTCAGGTGTCATTAAACACATCTAGACGGAAGGGATAAGTGTGAGAGGATTACGTGATATGTTTTATAGTTCGGCAGGAGACACACTTACCAATGCGACAGTTCGGATCAATCTTCTCAGTCTAGAATCTTGATCATTTTCCTTCAACGTAGCTGTTTCGGGGACGTCATATATATCATTGTGGTATTTTTGGAGTGTTATAGATTCACTCTGAAGAGCTCTCAGTCTACCAGCCATGCTTCCGGAACTATGATACATATCATGAATGACAGTTTTTTCGGAAGTGTAAGCAATAGTAAAACCACTTTTCAACATCGTCACAGTTTTTGGTAGTTTGGTTTGCGCAGAATTTCTAAAAGGCGATAGTCAATATAAGCTCATTCTTCTCTAATCTAGGCAACAAACAGATAGGCTTACCCTGAATTGAGCTCTGCAAGCTTTTGGATGAAAAAAGTAACGAACTCTAGTAAATCTATATTGATATTATCTTCAGGATCATTATCTATCAATTCCCCACTTCTAATTCCGCTTTTATAGATGGTAGGCCATAATCGCTTGCAGCTTTCCAGCATTTCGGCATAATAAGTAAAGGCTAGCAATTGCATAAGATGATTTCGGGCAGCATTAGGAGTTTTGTCAGGAAATAGTTGTTGTATAGACACCCAAAGGTATCTTTTTCTTTTTGTGAACCGGGATTGCAATATAGTATATGCGTAGATTAGTAAATCATTCTCATGTGCAGACCAGATGGTACGTTTACGACGTTTTCGATTTAAATTGTAACCAGAGTCCTCAGGGTCTTCAATAACAGGTAGCTCCGTCATCTTATCGTAATATTCCAGTTCATCTTTAAAGCGCTCTTCTAGATCTTTGTTTATCTGGTTTCGCGTCTGATTATCCACGACAATTTCACAACCTGCATTAAGGATAGGGTTACGGTCCCGGTTGAGTCGGAAAGCACGACTAGAATTCAAACCAACGACTCGTCCCTTATACACCGTCTTTTCCGGAGGATTACGGCGTTTAATTTCGCGTGCAAATTTCTTCACTTCGTTAGTTTTCAGTTTAAGGTCAAAGGCATTCTGCACCTTTTCATAATAATAGTAAACTTCATCATAGCCCAACTCTGTCTCGGCCGCAATATGGCGCATCAGCTTTGGGTTATTTACGGGAGTTGTCAGGCTGCTCTTGTCAAGGTAGCTGTTCAATATCTTTCTTTGTTCACGGCTAAATATTGCTTTCTTGCTCCAGTTTTTCAAATTGTGCATGGTACGATGCATGATGAGCTCCAGGGGATCGGTAGGTTCAGGGGCCTGTTCTTCTGATGGTAATACGGTGAGACCATTGCCAGTGCAAGCATACTGCAGCTCCCTCCAAAAGTCCATGTAATCATCATTGTTCTTGATGGTCAGTGTATGCAGGACCGGCGTACCTTTGCGTTTACGATTCAGGATGGGTACTTGACTGTTTAGTTTATATCGTTCCGCCAGCATGATGTAATTCACAGAGACATTCTGGACTGTCTCGTTGGCATCAAAAAAGTCGCCTCGTAAAGGAGTCAGCACTTTGATGTAGACCAACATATTCATGATGCTTCGCAATCGTCGCCGAAACTTATTCTGTTCACTCAATATCTGTCGTTTCAATTCTTTACTCAAGTCTTTGACCAACACATCTGAATTCTGAGGCACTTGCAGGAATGCTTTGACTTGCTCTGTCGGGTTGAAAATGCCAATGGTTTGACAGATCAGCTCAACCGTCATATAGTTGACGATGGTTTTCAGATAAATGGTCCGCTCTTCAGCGTCTGTGCCGTTGACATGCTGTTCGATCAAGCGTAATATGTGTTGGTGTAGCGCTTTAGCTCTCATCATGGGAGCATTCAGCCATCCGTATTGCATCGCTTGAATTAACCAGTAAGTACTTCCTTTCGCTCGGCTCGATTCTTTGAACGTGTTCAAGTTTTTCTTCCATTTTTCGATTTGCGCTTCCAAATCTCTTGCTTTATTGATCTCGCCTTCTTCTTGCAATTGCTCTACTTGACGCTGCATTCTTTCAAGACGGTCCTGCAGAGGCTCGACGGTAAATTGGGCCTTATCATAGCGTCTCCAGATGACGGCAGGATCGTGATAGGCCTTCAACTCTTTCAGATAGCCGACAAATTTTTTGTACTGCTCACCTTGAATGTCAATATCGCTACGCACCAACAGCGTCTTTGTCTTGGATCGACCGTTAAGTAAAGGGTATTCAATGGTCGTCACGGTGGCCAAATTTCTTTTCGCAATCTCGGCGGCTGTTCGACGTAACGTTCTCATGTCGACTTGGGTTTTATTCTGAAAATTCTCAGGAAAGATGGCAGCTGCTTTTGCATCATATAGACGACGAAAAGACTTGTCAATTTCAAGGATAGAACGATCTTGAAGAATGGAGAGAAAGACTTCGATACGTTTTTCCAAGTAGATGTTACTTGGTTTTGCTGTTAGATGGGAGTATTTCTTGATGCCATTCGCGATCACTACGCTGGACACGGCCGGTGTTGAAGTGGTAGACACGGTCGTAGGACCTGCAAGCACTAAAGCGGTAGAGTTCGTATCTGCTGCTTGTGATGGAGCTACATCGATACTCTCTTTTGCGTTTGTTGTAGTCACACCTTCATTTGTATCCGCTTCTTCCGCTTGAACAACAACAGTAACGGCTGACACGTCTGCTGGCTCGTCTTCTGCAATGGCTTCCTTATCCATATCCATAGGAATGGATGGTGTTGTTAATGCCTGCTGCTCCTGAGGGCTTGAATTTGTATCGATAGAGGCATTGTCAGCTGTTTTTGGAAGTAATGGGGAAGGCGATGGTATGGCAGGAGTAGACTCTCTCGACCGAGTCACAGGTGTTGAAGATGCGGACAGTAATGCTTCCTTCTCTGGTTGATCCTCCGCACGTGTTTTTGTACTGCGGAAATAGTAAGATATCTTATTCTTTGCCTTTGAAGTGGGTGCTTGATTCGATGCCACAGCTGTAGAGGCTGATTTTGCTTTTTTGCTAGGTCTGGAAGGCGCCAATGGCGTGTTCGCAGCGTTGCTACTGTCATTCTCAGATTGTCTCTTTTGTGTTCTGGGCACGTCCGTAGCAGCGGTCATACGCTTAGGGGTCGGTTCGGTGGTCGCTGTGGCGGCTTCCGCGGGTGAATCCGTCTGGGCCATTTGTGCCTTTAATACCTCGATGGGCAGAAAAGAACCTGATGTCTGCTGGGAAGGGCTGTGTTTGGATGGCTTGGAAGGGGCAGGAACCAATGCAGAGGATGCCGATGGCTTTAATCGTTTCGACGCAGACGAAGCTGTAGGTTGAGTCACATTGGCATGACCTTCATCGTCTAATGTACGTTTGGCAGGAAAAGTCACTGCAGCACGCTTTGATGGAGTTGTAGGACTTTCAGAGCCAGCAGTCGTTTCCGACGATGAATCAGTGGAAGAGTCTGTATCAGAAAACAAGATTTGAGCACGTGTAAGACGGGAAATGAAGTGAGTGAGAGGTTTCTGCTGCTGTTGCTGTTGTTGTTGTTGTTGTTGTTGTTGTACTGAGTCTTTATTCGCTGTCTTTTGAGCTGCTGCCCGAGTCATTCTTCTCGTGCCCACTACGGGAGCTACTTGGGTTGGTTTTGCAGATGCAGAGGAAGCAGCTGTATCCTTTCCCTTGGTCGAAGCGGCATGCGTTTGAATTTTTTCAGTTGGTGATGCAGTATGAACGACCATTTCCTCGTTCATATTATTCGAATGTTCGGTAAGCGCGTTGCCTGACGAGGACGCGGTAGGAGTAGCAGACTCGATTTGCATAGGCTCAGCAGAAGAGGATGGCTCCAGGCTGTTGGCTCGTGAGATGCCTGACGGAACTGAAGTAGTGGTTGAGAATGCTGTGGGAGTATTTGCTTCTTTCTTCTTTGATGTACGTCGGGTATTCTTTTTTAAGGTGCCAACAGCTGATGCAGCGGCTGTGGAAGAAGCTGGCGTCTTACGCGGTCTACCGCGTGATTTCCCTGATTTTTTCGGTAAAGGCTTTGCGCCCAAGATTTTCAATATAGATTGGTTATAGTTTGGATTACTTTTCACGTGATGCAAGTAGTCAAAGAGAAATCGCGGGACATGTGTTGCATCTTCAAAAATGTTGAATTCGCGGCAAATGGATTCGTTGACGATGGCATGCGGGGGTAGAACAGGTGGGGGATCTATCTCTGTTTGTTGTTCAACGACCTTTTTGTAGTTCATATAGGAATAATATCTGAATCTTTTGATTTTGCCTTCGAATTCCATGACACGACCGAGCGTGTACTTGGCAGGAGCTGTACATTCACACATCTTATCAAGGGCTTTATACAGGACGCGTCCTTCGAAAATGTTCAATACCACAGCGATTTCTTTTTGCGTGATACCAACGTCACCGGCAGCTTCGATGGCTTGATATATCTGATCTTCTAAAGGTTTATCAAAGAGAAAATGGAGATGATGGAAACCCACATTGCCTGGGGTGGTTGGCATGGTGGTGATGGTGGTGGTGGTGGTGGTAGAATTGATTTTCAAAGGAAATTCAATCTTTGTAGTCATTGGTTCGTTCGTTGGTTTTGACATAGCTAAACGTGAAAAGGTCAGACAACAAGCGGGGAGACATGTTAACGTTTTATAGCTTACCTTGGGGTATTTTTAACAATTGCAGACATCTGTAAATCTTTCGCGGATTATCTGGCATGGTAACATTTGTCTTTTTGACATAACCTTTGATTTCCAAGATTTCAATGGTTCGATTGCTCCACTTACGGACGGATTTATTGTTCAGGTCAAAACCCTACGGTTAAAGAAAAAAACGTGAAGCATTGCACGATCCGTAAATCATTAAGAAAGAGGGAAGGAGAGAAAAGAAACAATTGAAGATTGGGGGTCATACTCACACAAGCTCTGAGTAATTCTTCTGAAAGGATAGCGTGATCGGGTGCATCTTTGGCTAAAAGAACCAACATCTCTAGGAGAGTATCCTCTGTGAAGACTTTACCATCGGCATTGACATTAAAAGGTTTTTCAAGGGCTTTTTCTGATTCATCACCGATGTTATTCATATCGAGGACTCCTTTGCTGGCTTGAAAACGGGCGTGAATGCAGATATTTGTACGCATCGCGTTGATCGCTACAGGTATACGGGTGATGGCACCCTTTTCTTCTAGCGATTTACAGTAATGGCCGGTAGAACGAGAATCAATATCCAACAGTTTAGTGATGGAAGCTTGGTATAAACCTTTCGTACGGGTTTTGATGATTTCTTGCAAGAGAACAATGAGGTTAGGGGAAAGTGTATTGCCCGGTGGAATACCGTACAAGAGCTGCTCTTTCTGTAATCTTGGCGATGCTAAAATGTGCAAACGTTCCCCAAATTGATCCATCGCTTGTGGATAGGTATATAGATGAATATTTTTGATAGGCATCAGATGGTATTGAGGCCGAGAGATGGCCAAAGAGACAGCATTGGTGGGATGAGTATCTTTTTTGGGTGCTGCTGTTGCTGCACGCGTGGACGTTTTCTTTTTCTTTTTCTTAGGTTCGTCTTCTTCTTCGTCGTCAAAATCAAGTTCCTCGTCGTCGTCGTCGTTATCGTTGTCCTCTTCAGCACTTGCATCGGGATCAAAGTCTGATTCACTACTGTCTTCTTCTTCCTCTAAATCGGAACCGGGATCAAAGTCATCATCGGAACCTCCACGAAAGGTTTTCTTTTTCTTTTTGGGTTGTTGTTTCTTTTTCTTAGAAGAGGATGCTGACTTTTTTGTTGTTGAAGCTTTCGTTTTCGATGTTCGAGGTTTGGTTTTGCTTGCTGTATTATTTTTCTTGTTACTTTTATTGTCATGACAATCCACAGCTTTCGTATCATTTGTACTATTGGCATCGTGCACTGTTGCATATGTAGGTGATTCAGGGACAGCGTCTGGTAATGCTGGAAAGGGTATCTGGTCATTCTGTTGCTGTGTCGCAGCTGTAGCACTCGTTTCATTGTGAGGATGGTCGGCCTCATAAAACTCCAAATCCTGAGCTGTTTTTAAATGCTCCCATAGGAATGCTTTATATCTTTCGTCCAAAGCAGGCGGTGTGCCTTTTCGTTGTATATTTGAATTTTGAAGAATATCATTTAAAATTCTCTCCACATATTGCCACACAACATGGATGGGAGTGCCTAGATTGCATGTCGATGATTCAGTTATGATCGATCCCACTTTTTTTTCGAATCAATGTGCGTCCCTCCCTCACAGATCATGTTATTACCTGTAGCGCCATCGATAGCGACTTCCTCTTTGAGGCGTGGAATAATTTGATCAATCATGTCTCAAAAGAGGAAAATGAGAGAGTGTATGTATGTGTGTATGCGAGTAAGTTGATTATTATTACGATAAAAGAGTCCAATACTTGACGAAGTGCACCGTAGATGAACGGGTAATTTAATGGAGCAAACTTGATCCCGATGAAAAATGCGCCTGACAATGTAAAGAAAGTGTGTGACTTTGAAATGACATTTTATGCCGACATCTCCAAAAGAACAAATGAGGGTCATCCGTTGAGGGATGGAATTTGGCTTTAAATTTGTTCCGGGACATGGCAGTGGTTAAGGGACAAAGAGTTTATCGTCGAGTTCATAAGAAGTAATAGAATTGGATAGATGCTTACACGACAAGGACAGAAACACTGATCAAAAAGAAAGCAATGCACGGAATGCATTTGTAACGTCATGCTCAGCGACTTTTGTGTTTGTTTGATATATCAAGATTTGGCTGCTGCTCACGGATGAGTAGTTAGAGTTATCTGCCATGATGATTGGTTGAAAAAGGGAGGTGGGTTCCTTCTGAGAAACCCTTTATGTATATAGAATAACCTAGATACAAGAGGCATTTTTTCCCATCTTTTCTTACCTTCAAAATACCAGCCATGCATTTCCAGCAAGGTAATACATCTCAGATGAAGCCGAAATGAATTGAAAAAGATACAATATTACTGAAATGGTAGAGAAATACAATAGCCATCCTTCCCTTGTTAGTAAGCGTCTGTTCTTTGGTATTAGTAGTGGCTACTGAATCGAACATGACGTACAAAGTCATTGCTAATATTCCTGATAGTCAAACGATCGCTGTTGTTCTCGATGACCGCCAAGTATACCTTTTAAATGATACCCATGAAGCGACCTCTTTACTTCATATGGGCAAAGCACCTCGACCCTCCAATGACTATAAATATGTCATTCTCGACAAAGATACCAAGGATATGATTCGTCAAGAACCCTTTACTCGTGTAGCTCCTTTTGCTAGCACAGAGAGCACGCTGAACGAGCACTTTAGCATATCGTGGAATAGGGCGGATGAATATCAACTGGTCAACGTCTTTGATCCATTACCAGTGATTCGTCGTATTGAATCAAAAATTCATGTTCAAGGGCAGATACCTACTCTACATATTACCGGCAACCCATCTGATATTGACTCTCTTCACCACCATCAGCTAGAGGATATCGACGTTGAAGATTTACAAATGATCTACATCAGGTAGGAAACTGCGCATGCGACAGAGTGTCTCAAAAGGGGTGGGGGTTAGGGTGGGAAAGAAAGAGGAGAAAATTAGTCACACTTCCTGCTTGCTTTTTTCGCTTCCGATGGGTTAGTGTGAATGAAGTGAAAACGTTTGATCATGTTAAATTATCAATATCTGGACGAAGTACACGTTTGATGCCCAAGCTGGGATACGCGATTCAACTTTCTAAAAAGCAAGAGCTCTACGGTCATCGTCGGTTTAAACTGAGAGCAAGTGCTGCTGATCCGACTTTTATGACCGAAAATATGGGGTACAGCATGGCCAATGCGATGGGTCTCCCTGCCTCTCAGTATAGTTACGTGCGTCTTTATATCAATCAGCAGTCGATCGGATTATTTGGGTTTGTTGAGCATTTGAAGAATCCTTGGGTTAGAAATGAGTTTGGGAATGGCGACAAGGATTATCAGCAAGGCACGCTTTGGGTGGGACAAAATTCCTTCAATAAGACAGAGGTGAGTCAAGGCGAATCCTCTACTACCACGAATCGCCTTTCGAATAAGACGCAGCAACAGCTACATGCTGACTTTTCTTACTTTGGCAGAGACAATGTTGGTTTGTACCAGACATTCTATCCAGTCAAGGAAAAACCTTCCAAGGGCGAACCTGATTACTCACGCCTCATTGACTTTACAGAGTTTTTATCAAAGCAACCCGATACCATCGTCACCCATCCTTCTGTTGTGGATGCATGGGAGCATCACATCGATGTAGAGAGCTTCTTACGCACGATGGCACTGGATCTGCTGACGATGGATACGGACGGCTTTGTGGCCAATAATAACAATTTTCTCTTGTACGACGATGTAGAAAGAAAGCAGCTTGTGTTGTCTGAACAAGATTTCGACTTGAGCTGTGGCATTGTCTTGCCTCAGTACAATGCTTCTCGAGTGTGGGGCGGCAATTACTCTGAATTTCCCGGCATGGAAACACAACCTTTAAGCTCAAAAATACTTCAAGTGCCAGCCTTTAGAGAAAAGTTTGACGAATTGATGCGTCATGCCACGCAGCAGCTGTTTACGAGCGGCGCGGTACGAAAGCGCATTGATACACTTTACGCGATGCTTCAAGAAGATGTGGCGTGGGATAAGAGTCTACCTCCTGTTGGTGAATTTAAATGGAAGCTACCAGCGAATATGTCGTCGATGATGTCGGATGCTATGATGAAGGGTGTTCCATTCGAACAAGCCGTCTATGGACCTGCGTCTATGCCGATACAGACGCCTATTGCTGAATGGGCTCGATTGCGCGGTGAGAATCTTGAAGCATTTATTCAGCAAACTACTGGCCAACCATACGCTCTTGCCCAACAGCCTATAAAGCAAAACTAAATCAAACTCATCTATCCTAGAGCCCATTTATTTCTATTTGACTTTTTGATCCGCTCAAAAATGATTGGGCGACCTTGAAGACCCTTAAATTAGAAAAATGGATCGACGCACAAGCCATAAGAGTGAGGGGGGTGGGTTTTTCTGGGCTTTTTTTTTTCCCTCTCTGCTCTTTGACCTCGTGGTTCATCTATTGCACAGGAAAATGACTGTTATTGTAGCTGATAGTTCTTCATTTTTTTTTGCCTCTACAGTTCATTGGGTGAAGGCTATCTTTTACAGCCTGTAATTTCACTATTTTACAGTCTGTTGAGCTTTAATGCCATAATACAAGTCATTCTGAACGTCTTCAAGTACCTATTTCTGTAGCATTTTAATAGGCGCCTTTGTATTTAAAATAAAGAGCCTTTTTCTCAGAGAAAGTCATTATTATATTTTCAAGCCCGGCTTTTAAACGCTGTTGTGTGCCAACTTCCTGTTTGTTCAAACTCCACTTGGTTGTTGTGGCTCTATTTTATTTTTTCTGACTCCTCTTTCATGCTTTCCCCTTTTTTTTTTTTTTTGGGTTCACTAGCTTTTTTTCATTTTCTTCTTTCTTTTACCTCTTTTTGACTTTTAAAGAAAAAAAAAAATCACAGAAATTACACACAGGCTTTTTTTGTCTTTCTTTTTTCTACCACATCGTTCTGCCTCACACACATACACATTTATATACACGCACGCTTACACACACACTTGCACACATACATACATACATACGTACATACATACATACTTATATACTTATATACAGACGTACATACACACATACATACTTTTATATTACTATACCTCGACATAAACATAGAATAGCTTTTCTATCATCTGTAACATTTGTTGCCAGTACCGTTTTTAAACTCTATCAACCCCCCCATCCACAGAAGAAGAAAAAAAAAATGCCTCCATCGTCCTCTTCACCTTATTCTTCTGTTACTCGTAGCAGCAACCGATCCAACGCTCAGCACAATAAAAAGGCAAAGGAGAATAGCTACAACGAAAATGACGCAGATGTCTTAAAGAAAAAGACGTCTGCTGCATCCGTCACTAAAAAAACCAATAAAAAGGCGGTCTCTGGTCATGGTAAAGGCAAGAAAAAGAAAGTAGCAGCGACAACAGCAACAGCGCCATTCACCAACAACCTTGAGAGTCGTACCAAAAAACAACGTCAAGCAGAGTTAGAAGAAGCGTAAGTTTGTTTTTTTTTTTTAATTGTTATTTAACCGGATTTTTTCGTTTTATTGTTGTTGTATGTGATGTTAGTACAGGGAATTTTTTTCTTTTTTTTTTATATTTTATCCCTCTTTGTTTGTACCTTACTGAAAGGCTCCCCTTTTTTTTTCCTTCTCGGTTTGGTTTAAATGCAACAGAAGACAAGAAAAAGAACATGTCCACGAGAAAGAACATGAAGAAAAAGACACAAGATTACGTGAATCGATGATGAGGGATCAACTCATAATGGAGCAACATCCTGAATATGCAAACATGTTGGCTCATTTGGATGAGGCAAAAGCTGATCGTTTACATATCATGGAAGCTTGGAGAACCAACGAACGACAAAATGCGCAAAGACAATTCATAGCACAATCACAGCAAGCTTGGGATAGTTTTCATGTAAGTTGCTATGAGAGGCCTCCTATTTTCTGTACACTGCAAGATTACTGCTACTGCTTTATTCTATTGTTTTTGCTCATGCTTTATTGCTGTGCAAAAAACCCAAAACATCACTTTCTTTTTTTGCCCTTTTCGATTGAAAAAACGAAAGGGAAAAAGCAAGTACACCAACAGCAATCTGAGTGTTACGTTGCACCTAGCAGAAAAAAGCTTGATTTCTTGCCTTTTTGTTTCATGACAATCCCAATCTGATCTTTTTTCTAATACAAATGTATAGTATGCTAAAGCACAGCTTCGTGCATCGCTCGTGAGCAAGATTCAACAAAAAATAGCTCAACTAAAAGAAGAGAAAGAATTGTTTGACAGACAAGGTAAATCTCGATCAAGTTTTTACCAAATAACCGAAAATGTTTAACGCTTCACTTGTCGATAGTCAAAGCTCGTCAATACAACAATGAACAATTGATGCTACAACAACAAAGTCAGCAGCAGCAGCAGCAGCAGCAGCAAAATGAATTAGAGTATGAAAATTGGGTGCCACCTGATAGATTGCATGCTATCGGATCATTCGTTACAGGTGCTTCTTATGATGAAATTAACCGTGATATTGCACTTGCTAGTGCTCGTCCCTATCCAACTTACGCATACCCTTACAACAAACGAGTCCAACATTCGCATACACCTCATCTCATTTATTCAGACAATGAGTCTAAAAGCGTGTCTGAAGAAGAGCCCACAGCAGCAGTAGCAGCAGCCACAGAAGCAACAAGAGCAGCCTCTGTACCAGTACCAGCAACATCTACCTTCACACCAGCACCGTCCACCTCGGATGTTCATCCTCATACTGCAGCATTTAGCCCATATACCAACCAGCCATCTCAACCATACCATAGTCCACAAGCCCAAACCCTTACCTACAGCCATCCCCATCCTAGCCCCTCGCTTTATCCAACCCCAAATCATCATAGCGCAAGTCAACTCCCCTCTATTCATCGTTATACTTACGATAGCAATAGCAGTAGCCGAACAGCCATGTCTCCAGCACCTCCACGTCTTTCCTATCATCTACCCATCACTTACCAGGCGGGCCTTCAATCACCTGTCTATCATCATGCAGCTACGATGACTCCTGCTCCCTATGGAAATGACGAGCCACCCGTCGGTTGGCGTTCAGGAGAAAGAACGGACTGGTATCGACCCCGCACAGCTGCCTAATTATCTTTCTCCTCTTTTATTTATGATGATACAATTGCTCCTATGAGCGACATGATTCTTCTTTTGTTGGGGACTGACTTTTGCAAGCCGTTCTGTCTCCCGTCTTTCCAGCCTTCATCTGCATGTATTTCATTATGTAAGGTAGACTTATTTCTCTTGGGTGTTCTATTAAGTTCTAGAAGCTTTCAAAAGTTTGTTAAAAAAACCATTTTTTATTCCGTTCTCTCTTCTCTCCCGCCCCCCTCCCCGCCATTTTGAATAATAATAAAAGAAAATATCTCCGACTTTGTTCTTTTTTCACTGATCACTTTTGTTGACGAACGTGAGCAAAGAACAAACACCCTTTCCGGGTTCATTGACCTATCCTTCCGTCTACCGGCTAAAGAAAAACTGTCAGAGAAATCAGACTCCACCCTTCGTCCTGAGGAAAACTCCGTTGGATGATTGTTGGTAGGCTCATCACGCGATTCTTGACGTGAGTCTCACAAAAATGACATTGATTTACCATTTGTTTGTAGAAAGAAACTGCTCTTTGTCGTTTCATGGCTCATGAATCGCACCTGAGGAAAACGCACGCATGTTGGATGAGCAACGACAGATTTCTCTTGCTGAACCTCTGAGCCTGAAAATAATACATAGTTTTCTCCGCTTATCCAGATCTGCGGGGTAAAATGTGGGGAAGGAAAAAGGTACATTTCTTGTCTTGTACTACACGATAGTGTCATCTTTACCTATTAAAAAAAAAAAAAATAAAAAAAAAAGTCCAATGAAGCAAGTGTCTTGCCTCACCGTTTTGGGAGCTGTCAATAGAAAGAAAGGAGGAAAAGTAAAGTCTCTCCTCATTTCCTCTGATAATGTGCCATATTACTCCACGGACAAACACCACTACCATGGACCCACGATGGACCCACGATGGACCCACCGACCTCTACACGCATCCTTTGACGCAGCTGCATTCAGCTCATTGACATGCTGCTCTCACATTGTCATTCTGTTTCTTTCCTGTGTCCTTTTTTTTTCCGCTCTTCTATCTGAAATAATGTAAGACTTGGGCATCACTAGGCTAATTGAGCGATCGCGTCTTTCGTATCATCCATAAAAAAAAAAGACTCACGTTATCAATGAAATACAAGTAGAACTCTTTATACTCAATTCAGAATCGATGTTAGTTTCATGGCCGCTAAAACCATTTCCTCTGTGTTATTGCCGCTCCGAAGCCACGAGAGCGTGAACCATCTCCCGCAACGTGGGATGTGCGCTTTATATGGGTCAACACAATCCAATGGGGCCTACACACAGTCAGCCCTCGGAGCGAGGCATGCTTTTCGTCTATTCCTTGCATAACTTTTTTTATTTTTGTTATAAAAAGACAGTGGGGATGATGCTGGGAAAACAGATAGATAGTTTTTTTTTTTCCCCCTTAAAAGTCTGGAAATAAATGTCGGAAAGGATCTGCTGAGGTGTCATCCCCATATTGTTCGTCTGTCTCTGGATATCTGTCAAAATGACTGGCGTCTCCATCGCCACGCACCGTAGGAACGTAAGGGGGTCTGATGTGTCGAGCCAGCACTCGATTGAAATCCACGCCATGGAACCAAGGATGTCGTTTGATATCTTCACTGCCGTCCTTTAAATTACCATAACGCTTGGTCAAATCAGCCGTCAACAAGCGTTTCAACAGATCTTTCGAGTTGGGTATAAAGTATTGTGGGTATTTCACGCGGCCCGCAAGAATCTTTTCATAAAGCTTTAAATGATCATCGTCGTAAAAAGGAGGGTAACTAGAGGAGGAGGAGGAGAGAAGGAATCCCATGAGAAAAAGATCTTCAGTTCAGCCCTGTCACTTACGAAACCCACCGGCCTGGCGGCGGGGTAGGGTCATGAACTGGGGGGGGGGTAGATGTGCTATCTTTTATTTATTTATTTTTTTCTTACCCTGCCAACATTTCAAATACTAAAACACCTAAACTCCACCAATCGACTGCTTTACCATAACCTTTGGACTGAATAATTTCAGGCGCTAAATAATCAGGCGTACCACATAGAGTCCAGGTGATATCGGGTACATGCTTTGCAAATCCAAAATCTGTAATTTTGATATGTCCTTGACTGTCCAAGAGTAGGTTCTCTGGTTTCAAATCTCGATAAATGACGTTTTTCGAATGCAGGTATTCAATGGCTAAAATGACTTCAGCGGCATAGAATTTAGCCACATGATCCGGGAAACGCTAACAAGTGGACGAGATAGGTATTATTATCGTAGAACAAACAAGTGACCTCTCTCTCTACACACACACACACACACACACACACTCTCTCTCTCTCTCTCTACCTTGGATCGACGAAGAATGGAAAAGAGTTCACCACCGACGACGTAATCCATCACCATGTATAGATTGATGGCATCTTGAAACGTCCCCCACATATTGACCAAGAAGGGATGAGCGACGGTCTCCAAGATGTGCTTTTCATTATTGGTGTGTTCAATTTGTTTGAGTCGGACCACTTCGGATTTCTTTAGCACTTTGATAGCGTAATAACGAGCATTGACACGCGACTGTACAAGATGAACACGGCCGAAAGAGCCAGTGCCTAGGGTGCGTAACATGTTGAAGTCGGACAGTTTGAGTTTGGGGCGATCTTGTCGCTGTCGAAGAATCGCTTGGTCGTTATAGATGGCCGTCAATGTAGGCATGGAAGAAGAAGAAGAAACGCCACCACCACCACCACCACCACCAGCAGCATGGCCATCATACTGATGTTGTAGAGATGCATTCTCGTTGCTACTGAACGGTAGTGTCCTCGTTGCCGTTGGAGGATTTTTGATCATTGTCTCCGCTTTGACTCCTAGTAAACTCAGATGATTTGACGTTGTTTAGTCCAAAAAGCATACCACAAAAAAAAAAAACCAAAAAACCACATGTCCTACTATGTCTACCTTCATTGGAAGCATAGGCTGAAAAACTCGGTATCGCTTCTGGCTGGACCCTCTCCTTCTGAACAGTGGAGGCAGGGTCATTCATAGCTGTAAAAGACTCTTTTTGTATTTGCTGTGGTTGTGTCGATGGGTTGATCATTTCTTTATGTGGGGTATCGAGTGGTTGACTATGACTATGACTTTGCTGTTGCTGACGTGTTGTTCCTTTGGCTTTATCAATAAACTTGTTAATAAACGACATGACTAAAAGAAGGGAAGACGGGTCAAGAAGCCAAAAAAAAAAGACCCACTCATTTGATCATTCCTATCATTTTTTTTTTTTTTTTTTTTACTATTTTTCTTTTATTATTACCTTGGATGTTTCTATCGTAACAGAAAGGGAAAAAACAAAAAAAAAAAAAAAGAAAAAATAAAATAAAAAAATAGGCCCTTTTTTGTCCCTTGGCCCGAAATACAGAAAGAGAGTCATTTTTTTCTCTTTACGCTTGGTCGAGCGGACATTTAAATATAGACAACGCGCACACATCATGGTCGTTGGTTGCCTGTTTTAGTACATGGCACTGAGATGATGTAGTAAGCAGCTAAACCCTTTGACGACCCTAGGGAGGAGACTCAAAAACTTGTATAATTTATCCATTGGACGAATGCCACTGTCACATTCATGGTAGAATAAAAAGGTCATCATGCACGCGCCTCCCTCATCTTTCTCATACAAAGGGCAATGCACTGCATGGGTCTATAGATACATCCTATGTCCATCTGAACTTGGTCATCAGTCAACTCACTCCAAAATAGCCATCCCCTTGGCTACTGGTGTGTACATAGACTGATGAAACTGTTTGGACACTGTTGCAGCAGAAATAGCGAAGATCCTTCCCGATCAAACAAAGTGATGACCTATCTACTTCATCTATGAGGTCTCGCTCTCCTCCTCGCTTTGTCCATCGTTTGGATGGGTTTTGAAAGTACACTCATGACAAAGAAAAAAGTAGGTGGATGTTACATTGGGGATACTTTTTTTTTAAAAAAAAACAACCCAAAAGTGAGCAAAAAAGAGAAAAACCATGTGCTTGAATTCTCGGTGACAGAAATAATAAAAGAAATTGTCGGATGGAGAATGAGCAAATAGAATGTCATTGGCCGATCAATGAATATGGGTTGGCAAGCCTGAACGGTTACCAGGTTTACTACTCTGTATTTTAATCACCGACATCGATATGGACGGAGCATGGTTTGTGTGACTTTTTTCTTTCCTCTTGGTGGAGGGATCTGCATCCTCTCAGCAGAGGAGTTCAATTCATTGTTCAACAACTGCTTTCTTTTAGCCTCTTTTGTTACTATGGGAGCCAAGACACATGCTCTACTTTTGCTTCTTTTATTGAACAACATGAAATGTTAAGGAGACTGTAAAAAGCTAACTCGTTTCAGATAAAACCTGGTTTTTTATTTGTCAAGGACACGTCCATAGGGGGCGCAAACAATTTATATTTTTTTCGTTCCAAAGAAAAAGCGTGTTGGGTTTCCTTGAAAGCTCTAGAAAAAAGTCAGTCAGATCACACACACACACCTTGGGGAATTTGAAAAGCCGTCAAAAAGGAGGTGCATCAGCCTGTTGTCTCTCTTTTTTTTTTTTTTTTTCTTTTTTTGGTTTTCTCTCTTTAGGGTCAGCCTTTTTTTTTATATATTTATTTCTTTCATTCCCTATTACATACTTATTTCGAATACTGTATTATAGCTCTTTACAACATCCTCATCATCATGCATTTCAGTCACAAGAAGCTCTTTATTCTATGTTTGTTCATCACAACGTTAATGACAGCTTGTTGTTTAGCGGCTGATACAACAGCAGCTGATAATGCACATCTATCCAAGGTAATCATGACCCTTTCCACAGCCGTAACGGGAAAAAACCAAGCAACTCATGACGACTCTTTTCTTTTCTATTTAGGAGTCCTATCAAAGTAGGCAAGATACACCAACAACAAACAACGATACCAATAACACCACAGATCACGACACTCAAACAACCACGACATTAATAAAAGCACCCAAAGAAATAAGCACGGCTCATAGTGCGTTGTTAAGACGAAGAGTGACTTCTGCCGATACCACTGTATTATCTTCAAAAGATCCTATTATTGCACTTGTCATCTTTGTCGCTTCCAGTTCATTCTTATTTTAAACGAGTTCTTGTTTTTTTTGTTGTACTATAACACACATACACGCACACTTTCTCTCTCTCTCTCTCTCTCTCTCTCTCTCTGCCTTTTAGAACTTATATACACCCCTACGTCCTGTACTTCCTTACCTATATAATATATATGTAGAATATATATAAATAGATAGGGCTATATATCCCTTTCATTCTTTTGTATTGTACATAATTTTTTTCCTTTAAAAAAAGGATTTCTTTTTTCTTTCCTTTTGATAAAGTGACGTGATGGTTCCAAGTGGCACAAAATTTCAAAAAAGAAGGGTAACACGATCAACGTAAATCATTTTTTTTTTCCCTCTCATTCAATCAGTTGGGGGGTGCGGAAAAGGGGGGTTTTAAAACTCAGAGGCATGATTTCTTTAAAAATGAAAAATGGACCAAGTGTGTACCTCAATTCTTTGTTCCATGAAGGGTTAGGCATGCATCGTATTATTTTTTTTAAAACCCAACCGAGACTACTCGCCAAGTGATAAAGTTTAGTGTGTTTCCTTCCTTCAGCAGGATGGATAAAAGCAGATATAAATAGAACCTTTCTATACAATAAATAGTACAACAATGAATAAAACACACCCGCTCTATTTGTCACCATTCGTAACTTTTGTTTTCAGAAACAAGGGTAACAGGTTCGCCCAGCTCGAGGGCCATGCCTGGTTTGATCAAGCGACTGGTAAACACCACTCTTTCTTGTCTTTCTCGTGCAGCATAAGGAGGAGAAGGCGGCTGGTTGGTGATACTAAAGTAATTGGGCGGTGAAGTCAAAGGTGTTGTCCCTAACGACGCGACGCTCGGTAAAGGACCGCCACCACCACTACTGCCACCATGGTATGGATCCCACGCTAGCCCACTACTGCTCCCTTGCATCATCGTCGTCGTCCCTGTCGTCGTCGCCGTCGCCGCTGCTGCTGTTGCTGCTGCTGCCATCATCCTCCATGGTTCAACAGGCTCCTCTAATTCGGGGTCAAAAAAGACGGGCGCTTCTTTGGAAGATTGATAGGATTGCACGAGTGTTAAATTGGGTATATGCAGTAAATGATGATGCGGAAGATTGGTGATGCCGATAGGGACAGAGAACTCTCCTTTGGGCGATGCCGAAGAAGCGGACGAAGAGGAAGCCGAAGACAGCAATAAACTGCTGACGCTGGAATGCGTCGACCCCGTGCTGGCGCGCTGGAACTGCACAGTAAAGACAATCTCGTAAAAGACGCAAATATGACGCGATTGAAAAGACGGTGACACAAGCCTGGTGGGCAGTCGGAAGCTGACAGGAATCTTGAGCGAGCCAGCGTTGCCTGTGACGGCCAGTGGATGATGGCTGGATATTTTGCGTGTTTTCGATTTACGAGCGAGACCGCGTTGAAGTTGGATTTGGCCCATACAGCATTTTTGAAAAGTGAAACTGGCAGCAGCAACAATCAGGTTGTCAGGGATGCAATCGATATACAAATCCAGCTCCACATCCTCATCTAAAGTCCCATACATACATACATATATCATATATACATATAGACATCAACACGAAGCATGAGTCATGGTAAAAAAAAAAAAAAAAAAAAAAAAAAAAAAGAAAGAATAAAAAGAAAGGCTACTTTTTTTACCTGGGCAGTAAGCATATCGAGACAGCACCACACGCACATTCGCCAACGGTGCCTTTTTGTGGCTGTCCAATGGTTGGATCACTTGGCTGAATTCCCATTCTTTTGTCGGAGGGGCACAAATAATCGGTCGATAAGGCATAATGTATTCTTTTGAGCGAACGCCTGGGTAGAACCCTGGTCCATCAATGTGAGCTGACCAAATATAATGAATAGAGAACCCCACAGGATCGTCGATAGAAGGTGGAAAATTAACGTTTGGAAACTAAAAGATGAGCCTGTTACTACTACTACTACTACGACGACGACTACTATGACGACTCGTTTTTTTTTTTTTGAGCCATTCCTTTTTTTCAAGTTACCTTTAGTGCGAAAGGGAATTGATGTTCACCAGGCTCTATGATCTCCCAAGTACTCAACTGAAAAGCTAGTAGATGGAAACTCTCCATGTTGGAAACGTGTGACGAAATTCATACTACGCTTTTTTCCTTTTTTTTTTTTTCAGAATTTACCGCTTGGTTCATTTCCCCACACTTTTGTTTCTACATCAAAATAAGTGGTTGTCACCTGGTCAATGCGTTCAATTTTATTTTCCAATCCGAATTCCCGTACTTTCACAGTAGCAATTTCCTCAGCACGAAACTAGGATGGATATCACCGTCATTATCATCATGGAAAAAAAAATTAAAATAAAAAGAGCAAATCGTGAGTCCCTACGTGAACCCACAGGTAAAACTCGTTACAGTTGTCCTTACCCTGATGCGAATTCGACTGGCTTGAATGGGTTTAACTACCTTTAATTTGACAAAACCTGGAGATAATACAATCATCTCCTCAGTCATCCTCTAAACGACCACCTTTTTATTATTATTATTTTTTTTTCTGCTTTTTTTGCTTACCTCGAATGATGCGGTTAGGTCGGATGATAATAGTCGAACCTCCTTCGAAATCAATCGATATCTTGTTCATCTGTGGAGGAGGATGCTGTTGTTCTTTGCTATGGTTAAAGGATGAACCGGTAACGAGTTCTGTAATGGTATGTGATAATCTTCGGGTAGGTGATGCACTTAGCGTCAGTGTGCCAGCTGGAACAGTATGATGTGTCGACAAACCAGAGGTACTGGTGGTGGTGGTGGTGGAGGTGGAGGAAGAGGTCGTTGACAAAGTATGGCTATGACGACCATTGGATGCTGCTGTTGTACTGGGACTCAACGAAGGTACCGTGAGTGTAGTAGACGATAGACTCATTCTCTTGGCTGCGACTTGGTATAGATAAAGAGAAGAAAGAATAGCTGTTGCCTTTTCTCTTCATTCTTTTTAGTCTGGCTGGGAAAACATGACGAAAACAGTCATTGATTGGAAGATCAAAAAAGGGGGCGGGGAGCGGGAAAGAAAACCGTGTCAACAGGTATATGCACCGCATACACATGATGATCTATGCAACCCATCTTATTTCTGCGCACAGTCTATTTTATCAACGTATACAACAGAAACTCACTATTGATAACCCGACAATGACGCTTTCGTTTCAATCAAAAAAAGTCATTCTTATCTCTACATCAACAAGCAAAGAAATGCGGGGAATGACCCAATGCAGCAGCATGTGTGGATGAATTTATTTTTCAAGCACCTATTTGTGCAACTCAAATCAATGTGGATTGCTGGAGTACAGAAACGGCTTCTCTCTCAACCCAAAGAAAAGAGTCGGTTTTTATAATTTACGTCATTCGATTGGGGAAAGGCTTACTTTTTTTTTATCGAGCCGTCTTTTATCAATTTTTAAAGCTCCCCTCTCTCCTTTGACAGCATTGTATCCATGTCGCGTCATGGCCCATACCAATCCGCCACAGCAAAATGAAGGACGAGGCATTCCTTTGATTGTGTTTATACCCATCATTGTTTGCTTTGTCTCCATCTTGTTTTTATTGGACTACCGTCAACGAAGAAATGCACAACAGCCAGTTTGTAAAGTGACTCCCTTCTCTTTATTGAAAGGGGAAAAACATAAACATCTCATGCATGTCCATTCTCCATGAATAGTTCACGAGCAAGATGATGAACAGACGGCTGCTTTGGAAGAACTCATGAGACTGCGACAACAGCACCCTGTTGCTGAGCAACCAAGCGATGACGAACAGAATGACGTAGCAGAAGGGTCGTCTACAGGCGTCCGTCGAAGAGTCAAAAAAGTCGGTAAGAAGAGAGGAGAAAAACTAAGACGAAAAGAAGAAATGAGACGTTATCGAGAATACATGGATCACCAGCGTGAGGTACAGAGACAACAAGCGCAATTTTTCGAAGAGCAAGAAAGGATTCGCAAAGTTGAACAAACCCGGCAGAGAACACACGAATTGAACAAGCTACGAAAACAAAGAGAAAAACAGGCAAAAGCAGAAGCCAAAGAAGCAGCGAAAAGACAGAAATTGGAGGAAAAGGAAGAGAAAAAGAAACAATACAATTACAACAAGTATTCAGAGCGATTAAAGAAACTCGTCAAGGTAAACACTCACTCACTCACACACACACACACACACTTTACAACCCGCCCTTTGACCTCACACACATTGAAACCATTCTTTAGGAAAATAAATTATGTAGCCTCAACGACTTGGCAAAGACCATGAAGCTATCAGCAAAAGACATTGCTGACATACTAAAGCAATTGTGCGATCAAGACAGTGACTTTTCACTCAGCTTGTGGTCGGCCGACGATCAGCAGTTTTTATTTGTCACGGAAGAGGATTATGTACATTTTGAAAAGGAATTATTACAAAAGAAAGGGGGAAGGATATCCATACACGAGGCGGATGTCTCCATGCTGCATCATTCCAGTTGAATCTTGGAAATGACGTCTCGTAGGCTTTTCATGACAAAAATATCTTTGCCATCCTCGTTTCTGCCATCATGAGCAAGTTGCATAGACGAGATTTTGTCTGTTAATTCATTCAGCTCATCCACAAGCGCTCCTTCTTTGGTGGTTGGTAAGAAGTGCTTTAGCAATTGTATTATCTAATTCGCAATTCATCCATAACTGACAGGTAAATAAACAAAAAAAAAAAAGACAAAGTGTTTTTGTCATAGCAAATTATGATGTCACATCTATGTTACCTTCATGACCTGTTCGATGGTTGCTGAAGGTAGAGTGCCTGTTTGTTCCGACTGTCGAATCAACATATCCAACCTAGCATGGGCCAAGTCCATGGGAGTTCTAGAGGTAGCTCTCATCCGAGTAGGCAGTGGGACAGTAGTTTGGCTATTGGATGGCGGCTCCCTCGCTGTTACTTTGGCTCCTGCTTCCAATAATCCGAGTACTGTATCTACATCATTTGAAATGACCGCTAAATCTAACGGCTTATTGCCTACAATGTCTCCTATCGGATTATTCACATCGGCCCCATATCGTATCAATTGTCGAACGATAGCGGCTTGTCCAGCTGCACAAGCAACAAGCAAAGGTGTGCGAAGTTTGGAATCACGAATGAGATCAGGGTTCAGACCCACTTTCTTTTCTTGTAGCAAATGCGTGACTAAGTAGTAGGTTGTGTTCTGTTATTCATCCAATGCCGTAGTTGTCAACTTTAGCTGACGTTGGTTGATACACTACCTTTGGGTAAATCTCCTTTTGCACAGGCACTCATTAGTTCTTCTCGTTCTTTACTGTTGATAAAAACGTCCTTTAACCGGGTCGACATGGGCTTGGCCAATGACGACGATGAGGTTAATTTGCTTTTTTCAGCTGATAGCTTATGGACGTTGTTGGTTTCTGTTCGTGCTATTCGTCTCAACAAAACATCATTGGGCGTTTTACTCGACATACTTTTTTTTTGTAGTGCTACTTTGCTTGTTGAAACCGTAGCAATAAAGGACTGATGAAGAAATTCGCCAGACACAAAAAAAAATAATATAATAAGTAAAGATGCAGTGCTGCTTTATAATGGCCCAATGTGCGCCCAGTCGCCATTCAATTTTTTTTACTTTTAATGCAGCCCTAAATTAAACCAGCTGGATTGGATAGAGAGACTGATTTGACTTTATGATCTGCTGCTGTCTTATAACATATCAGTTTCATGTCATCCAGGCTCACATGTTCTTTCAATAAACCAAATACTCAGAAGCGACTTTTCTTATTAACTGTTGATACTTTTTTTCTGTTTTCTTTACCACCGCCCCCCTTTCAAATCTTTTGAACATCACTTTGTTTATACAATATGCTGTCAAAGTGCTGTCTGTCTATCCCATTCCTATGTTTGCTGTTCAGTGGCAGCCATGCCCACGAAGCAAAAACAAAGCATGAATGGCAACAGCCTTTTCAACAACCTCTCATGCATTCGATGGATCCTTCCACGTCTGCTCGATTCATACCATCGTTTACCTATGAATGGACGCAATGGCTCGAGCAATTCCACAACGCCATGGGCGATCCCAAGAAAGACAGTAAGGGTTGTTCATACCCAGTACCCCCATTCGATTGCGAGCCATTTTTATGGCAAGACTCCATCCTTGAGCGTGATGCCTATCATTTGAGGCCTCAAGTAAAAAACAACTCCTTTTTTTGAGTTCCCGCGGAAATGGTTTCTGGTTTCATGACAACTCTGTGTACTTTCATAGGACATCAAATCTGTCATTGCTTTAGGGGATAGTATCAGTGCTGGCTTTGGCATGATCACAGGTAAGAAAAGTGACCTCTTTTTCTTTGGGTCTGTTGGTTTCCTTACCAACACTCGGTGTGATATACATAAAAAAAGGCAGACCGCCTTTCTCTCCCATCCTAGAGTATCGAGGCAAAGTGTTCTCCGTAGGCGGGGATGAAGGTGAATACACGATACCCAACTTTTTATCAAAATATGCTACAAACGACCTTCTACAAAAGGGACCGCCTCAAGGGTATAGCCTGCCTCTCTCAAGAGGAAAACAATTGGACCTCGCTGTAATAGAAAAAAGCGCATGATCTCACAGAGAAAAGAGTAAAGAAGCTGATACAAAGTCTTGCCCTTTAGGTCAGTGGAGCCAAAGCACAAGATGTGAATGACCAAGTGTCTCGTTTGGTGCATCTTTTGAACCACCCACAGTATAAAGATGTTCGAAATGAATGGAAATTGATTACATTGTTCATAGGCGCTAATAACGTCTGTGTCTTATGCGAACCACCCATCACACAGTTGCCGGGATTGGCAGAAGCGGATGTATTTGAAGAAAATGTGAGGCATGTTCTTACGAGGATAAAAAAGGAAACAAAGAAATCATTTATCAACCTTGTGGCCTTGTTTAATGTAAGACAAGCAGAAAAATAGAAGGGGGACTGAGCGTGGAATCAGCAGAAGGACGCACTCAGAGCTCATAAAACTATCATTAGGTCTCGAGCGTGTATGAAGCCACCAGAGGAGATCGCTACTGTGAGTCTTTATTTGATAGTTCGCATATGGTCATTTGTTCCTGTATACAAGGGAAGGAAGCACAACGAAAAGGTAGCTAGACCCTTCCGCTCCCTACGACACCCTACGTTTAGCAGCTCACCTTTTTTTTTCTCTAGCGGCAGATAGGATCGTCAACGAATATAATTTGAGACTCGAGAAACTAGAACATGAGTTTAAAGATCAAGATCCTATGCATTTTGGACTTAGTTATCAACCGGGCTTCAAGTATTTTCCTGTAGGAAAGTACAAGCAAGCTTATTTTAGTGGCGTTGACTGGTAAAGTTCTTCTTTTTCTCTAAAGTTCGATGACAACACATGCTCACGTTGTAAACTGCGTTTCTTTTTTTTTTTTTTTTTTCTGTGCTAAAAAAAAAACCGAAATAAGCTTCCATCCAAATAAGTGCGCAAACCAGCTGATGGCCATACAATTATGGAATGTACGTTAGAGTAGAAGCGAGGTTTGAAACTCATGGACTGTATTTGACGCAATAATACACTGACGCGATAACTACTCTCTAAAACTTGTAGAACATGTTTTCAAACTATACAGAGAAGAGGATCATTTATGATGTCGAGTCGTTGACAATCACTTGTCCAAGTCCTCAACGACCTTATATTCAATAGTGCTTTTCCAACCATGAACCGTGGTTTGCACAGCAGCAACAGTAGTGCTTTTATTTTAATCCATTTTTGTGGGACGTCACACTAAATGTTGTATAAAAATAAACGAAACGGTGTACAGTGCATCAACGAACAAAGTCTCTTTTTTTTTTTTTTTTTTTGTCCATAGAAAAATTGCAAACCATCGTGGGCTTAAAGTGAAAACGATAAATGTGAATACAGACATAGCAGTTGTTCAACTTTTCTCCTTTCTTTTATCCGTTTCAATTCGCTTCTCTTCCTCACCTCCAATTCCTTAACGCTACATACTCTCCTTTATCCGTATCGCTATGTTTCGATCCTTCAAGAAAAGCGAAAATACTATCACATCCTCGCTTTCCTCTGGCAATGCTTCCATTCAGCGACCAAGCATCATCATTCCGCCTTTTGAACATCAACCCTCTATGCCTGTAGAATGCACGGATACAGATTACGATATAAACGAAGAAGAGCTGATCGATTTACAAGCACCTCCAAATTCTGGCAGTAGCGGCAGTACGACTCTAACGCCGTCCACAGACATCACATTAGAACATATGTCGGCCGCTTTGGCTGCTGCCGTTCAACTCACAGCAACTTCAAGTCATAGCAAAAAGCCTCCTTCGTCATTTTCCTCGGGCACAGCTTCTATTGTCTCCACGCCCACCGTACCTACCATGACACCGCGTCGCCGCTTCTCTACACGTTTGTTATTTACCAACCCATGGAAAAAGACAGCATCTTCTAGCGTTCATTCATCCGTATCTCTAGACTCTCCGTCCTCTACCTTCTCTACGCCTTCTACTCCAGGCCTTGAACCTTGCTCGCCTATCACTCCTTGCCATTCTTCCATTGACATCACGACAGACGACGAAGAGAATAGCACTGTCTCATTAGGACAACACCACCGCTCACGCTCAAGCTCTTCCGTTACCTCTGCCACCGCTAGCAGCACACATAGTCTCTTTGCGATAGCATCGTCGTCGCCCACGGATGATGGTCGCGATGAATTAATCTATCGGGGTATTCAAGTCAAAGAAATCAAATCTACCTTAAAGACCTTGGTTATTTCGGATGACATCAGATATCCAATGCCTGAAGTGAGGCTGGAGAGACCAGGTTTTGCACGTATCAATTACTAACATCACTTACTGTTCGCTGGTTGCGGGGCAATGATCCTATCAACCCAATCCGTATTTATTTTCCCATTCAATATCATCCCTCCATCAAACCAATAGACTCATCTGCACTTTTTTTGTACCATATTTGAACTTGGCTACATTCATCGTTTTCAAAAAGCACAAAATGCTTTTTTTATTCGATTGTATGCCAGTAACCCTATTCATCTTTCCAGGCGTGTTCTTTGAGCAAACCATAATTTCCATTTACCGCATTGTGTTGTATTTGGATGATACCATTTTTTTTATTTTTTTTTTATTTTTTGCCCTATTAAAATAGAAGTTGAAATTTTTATGCTGAATTTGTTTTTTTGTGCCTTTTTCCCTGCTATCATTCTCCCCCTTTCTAACATTGAATTAAGAGCGGTATTCGCTTCCGTTGCATGGTCACTTTAAGAGATATAACAAAAACCATCACTCAATTTATTCGTACTACAAATAATCACAACTATGAAGAAAAAGAGGAAGAGAAAAAGAACCAAGCTGTACTCGACGTCATTGAACAATACATCGATGAACAAACGAGTGCCAACGTCAGTGACAGAATCCCTCGCAACATCGACCCCAATGTCATTGATAAATTCAATCAGGACTTGTTTCATTTGTACCAAACCACTATGCATAGCAATAAAGTCACTGCAACCGCCACGACGATCATTTCCTGTCAACCAGAGATTAACCAACTGCATGCTCAACAATACAGCTTACTTCGGTCATTAAGAGCCCTGCTGCCCATTTTGAAACCTCAGCGTATATTCGATACCGGAGAACATACTAACAGTAATAGCAACAACAACAGCAACACGAACAATAGCACAATGACGAATGCGAATGAAAAAAATACGAATGCTTGCTGGTGGACGCATGTGTTACGACCCATCTTATCTCACTCTTGCTACACAAACTGTATCAAACGTGAAGCTCGACTCATTGTTTCCGATGCCCTTATCATGGAGCAGGAGTTGGTGCGTTTGGGTGAATTGCCAGAAGCCATTTATTCGTATCAGATCATCGATAATTACTTGGAACCACAGCAACCACAAGAAAAGAATAGTGCGGCCGATCTTTGTAAAACAAACCCACCACACCCCATTAACAGGAACCTGAATATAAATACAGTGATTGGAGCCAAAGAAGAAGAAGTGACGATACAACAGCACCGAGCCTTCCTGGATTTGGAGGAAAATGAATGGTCTAGAAACCTCACCACCATATTACTGTCAGTGGGTGCTTCCGAAACAAAGCAATTTTTCATCCTGTTAAATAGATACTTTTTATCAAGTAAATACCGTTTGCAAATTGTATATTTATTAAGTGAGTTCATTCGTAAAAGGGTAAAGTAGTCTTTGATTCACCTGTATAAGCAAAAGCGAATAGTTGGACACGAGTCAGCGCTAACGATCCGTATATTATACCCCCCCCTCTCAATGTAGAGAACTCATTTACATGAAATACTCGATACCCCGCTTTTTCAATCCATGTTAAAATCGTTAATGGTACTGCGTAGCCGCCTCTTTCACTACGTTGAATCATCAGTGATGTATGTATGACTAATCGATGCTTTTATACTCTACTAGTACGACAACTCCACTACCCTCATTGCTATTTCTGTTACCAATATGATCATGTTATTACCACGTATGAGTACATCCTTACCACCCTTCTTACCCCAGTTATTTTATATCTTTGCAAGAGCCATTTGTTGGGACCAACTTCGCGATCTCAGAAAGAAACAGAGCTTCGAAGCAATGAGTAACAAGACACAAACAACCGCAGACGGATGGGATTGTGTTGATTATACCTTTTCAAAACTATCAGCTCCACCTTCCAATCCTCAAACAGGTGCCTTTTTCACATCCCTTTACGGTCTCTATCCTTGCAACTTTTTGCGCTTTTTATACAAGCCCTACGCTTACTTTCAGGAAAAGAACTTTGCTTTACCCGAGGAGTTTGATGAAGAAACGTTCAAGACGCGCACGATACCTCAAGTAAGTCGGCATTTGTTACACCCCAATCTCGTCTTGATGGATGCTCAGACGGAATTAACAGATAAGACGCGATGGATGAAGATGGAACCGCCGGATGTGATTGCCCAGATTATGGCGCTTGATTTAACTAATGCCGCATCAAGAGTAGCTTTTTCCACTAGCTACAACAACGCAAAAGAACAACATCTTCAAAGGGACAAAGAAGTCGACCTGTTGGATGAAAGTGTATTGCAGGACACGGTTGAGAAAAAAGACGACGAGACTCAACAACAGCAGAAAAAGGAGGGGGATGTCTCATTCTCCACTACCCACGATCAAGGGCGAGAGCAAACGGCCTCCTCAGCCGCCGCCGCCGCCGCCGCCGTCGTTCCCTCCACAATGACGACTACAACGAATAGCAAACCATACATGATACAGAATATTGTTACCCTCCATAAAGCGCTCAAAAGTGGCACAGAAGTATTGATCGGCGAAGATATTTGGGACGCCTCGTCCGAACCCACCTTGACGGTAACCACGCCGACCAGTGCCAACGTAAATACGTCTTCTGCTTTCTCGACGCCTACCTTACCTCAGCCGTACGATGCTCCCTCGTCTTCCACCGAAGACGATATGTCGTCCACCCAGACCAAACTCCATTTCGCCGCGCTCAAAAGAGAGGTGCTGTTGCTTCGTAATGAGCTCAACTTTGAACTTTTTCTCAAACAGCAACATCTCCAGCACATCGGTCGTCTTCACCGTGATCACGTTTTAGATACCTCGGTCGAAGCGGAGCGTCAGCAACTGTACAATACCAATCGCATGCTGAAAGCGCAACTCCACCAAACCACCGCTGCCTTGGAAAAACTCAAATCGGAATCCGCCATGACGAAACAAAAGCATATCAAATGGGAAGATGAACAGTCAGGCAAATTACGAGGCTACCGTGAAGCTCGAAAAGAATGGCAGAATCAAATGGCCGTCAAGCAACACCAAGTCTATGACTACGAGAAACAACTCGACGAACAAAGGAGACAATTGGACAAGGCCAGAGAAAGAATATTTGAGCTTGAGAATGAGCTAAAGACTTTAGAGCCGACGCTAGCACAAGTAGCCGGGAACGAACATCGTGTCCAACAGCTGACAAAACAAATGTTGCTATGGGAAGAAGATACAGCGCATATGGAAGAACAAAAAGCTTATATTAAGGGCTTGCTGTCCAAATGGTGGAGTATGGAAGAGTTGGTAGCAAGTTTGCAAACACAGAATAGTAGGCTTCAAGAAGAAAGAGCGTAAAGTTGTTTTTTTATCCTCACATGCGTATCAACACATACACACACTAACCATTTTCATTCCCATCTTTGAATAGTCAAAGTGAAGAAACTATGGCTAAGCTGAAAGTGCAATGTATGGATTACCAGCATCAAGTCGACAATTTCAGTAAAAGCTTCAATACAGAAAAGGTGTCGACAGACACGGATAAACTAAATCAATCTTTAAATGAACTAAAGCAAAAAATCGAGGCATTGGAGGTAAATTTATACAAAAATGAGGACTGAATATTCTTTAAGCTAACAAATCTTTTGTAAAATGTTTAGATTGAGAAGCTGGAGTTGACAGCCGAAATAGAGACTTTAAAGTTTGCAATCAAAGGGGGTAGTTCTATAGAAAGCAGTAGTAAGATTCAGCAGACCGAAGCCATTACGGCCGAATAAAGATCAAACGTGTGTCAGTTACAATAAAACCATCATTACCCATTATTGCTCGCTCCCTAAAAGGAGCACCAGTTTGATTGACTTTATTCTATAAGCCCTACCTTACATCTTGGAAAGAATCCATTAACGACTAAGTTTGACAATAATAGTCTGCTTTCTCGTCAAAGAGTTTTTCTTAAGGAATATAATGTAGTCAATACGTCGCCTTAAAAAGGACTAAGCTTCGCTGTGTTCAACAGAGACACATTATGACACGGTAAAAGGACTGGTATTTTGAATTGATTTATAAATGCTTCAAGTGAGAAAGAGGGCTTATGTAATTATTTACCATTATTATCTAATGATTTCATAATTAATTGATATTTTCCGTAGCTGGCATCAAGTTGTGTGATGTGTATATTTCTATGATTGATGAAAGGGATATAATAAACCATATCAATTCTATCTATGGTTATGTAAAGCGCTTATTTATCAAAGCGAATGGTTTCTCCACTGATAAGCGCATCCTTGCAAAGATGAATTTGCAGCAGTGCCGCGCTGAGATATTCTTTTTCTTTGGTTTTTGACCTATCTTGGCTGTGCTACTGCTCGCTGATGGTGGATGTACTTCAGCCTCTAAATCAATGCTACTATTTCTTTCCTCCACTGTCTGGAGCTTTAGCAATGGCTGATTTTGCTGCTGCGCTAATTGATATGTTTCGTAATAGCGGAATATATTCTTTTTTCTGTTAGGATCTGTCGAGGATGTTGTTACTGTATGTATATCATCATCGCTGTTATCCGAAATAGTATCACCTGCTTCGTTGTTATTGTTTTTGTTCTCTTGATTGACGTTAGAGTCATCGCTTTCAACCCTATCAATGGAAGGATGCGTTTCTATAATGGTGCACGAACCATACGATTCCTGTTGTGTTTTATTGCAAAGTCTATCCACATAAACGGTGACTGTTTGATGTGTCGTATTATTGTTACTTTTGTCAGCATTAAAGTGTTTGTCGCCTGCTGATACTGCTGCTGCGACAGAGCCACTGTCATTCAAGTCTCCTGCTGGAAGACCTTTGATGCAAATTTGAGGTTTCCTAGAGTCGGTGTGACTCAGATCTTGCGCCATTTCTAAGTACGATTGATACGCCCAATCAACTGCAGCTGGTGGTCTTTTTAACAAATGACTATTATGTAGCTTTGAACTCATCATGTTTGTTGGGAAGTCAAGATAGGTTGAACAGCTGTTTTTGACGGACATTTTACTTTCAAGAGTTGTGTGTGTATATATAAGCTAAGGAAAAGAGTAAGCTGACCCTCTCAAAAGAGAAGGTTTTTATATGGCTTATTTTTATCGTTGGCTTCACAACTATATTCTAGACATTTGCCTTTTCCAGATGGTTCTACAAAAACATTTTATAACTTGGCACTGGAATAACACAATGGTCCTCACCCGTACCTACAGTAGGCCCTATCGCTGTGGTTCCTCTGTTACGCTACATTTCTTTCAAAAATTTTCAGTTTGCTTTTGCTCCATTGATATTTGTTTCAAAAATATCAAAGTGAAATTGTACCTGTCAATCGAAAGTGCTATCGATGTAGACAGGATAGTTTTGTCTTAGTAATATCGGCGTTCTGATTCCCTTCCCAAGCGGGAGTGGGAGATATACTGTAGATGTGAGTTTCATTTTTTGTACAGTTTCAAAGCGTCCATGGTCTTATTCATTTAAAAGGATGAAATAAACTTTTATTTTTCCATTGTTCGGCTTTTTTGTCTGTAGAATTAGTTTCAACGTCGCACAGAATAAAACAATGAGAATTGAGCTGGTCACATCTTGCATAATTTGTCTTTTGCTTGCTCCGGTTTTTACTTTTGCCATGGCCAGAAATGACAGCGCCCTCATCTTGGTCGACATTCAGAACGATTTCCTTGAAGGTGGTTCACTTGCTGTACCTGGGTCTAACAGTATTTTTGAGCCTGTCAATAAGCTCATCAAACAAATGAAGGCAAAGCACGGTCTTGTCATTGCGTCTCAGGTACGATAAGAAACACGTCAACTCATTTAGCGGGGAGTAAAGGAGGCGTGTGCAGGAGCGGGTGCTAGTTGGAATCTTCACAAAAGGCGTAGGATTCAACGCTTACAGCCATTATCTTTTTAGGATTGGCACCCTTCAAATCATGTTAGTTTTGCATCTAGCAATCCGGGTTATAAAGTATACGATACTAAACAAGTTGAATACGATGGAATCAATACGACACAAGTTATGTGGCCTGACCACTGCGTGGTAAGAAGAAGAAAACCAGTGTGATGAAAACCTTTTTCTCGAAGATTTACAGCTAACTTTATCTATTGTAATAGCAAGGATCTTATGGAGCCGAATTATCTAAAAAGCTCAACACAACTGATATTGATTTCATTGTCAAAAAGGGCACCGATCCCAAAGTTGACTCATATAGTGCCTTTGCAGACAATACTTATGCACATTTCACCCCGTTAGCAAAATATCTTTATCAACATCAAATCGAAAATGTCTATGTGGTTGGGGTAGCAGCAGATTACTGTGTTAAGTTTACATGTTTGGACGCTGTTAAGTTTGGATTCAAGACAGTGCTGGTAAAGGATGGCACCCGACCTGTTAATCCTGACGATTTTGACGCAACCTTAGAGCAGTTGAAGGCTAAAGGTGTCCTTATCAAAGACTATTCCGACGACTTACTTTAAGCAGTTCAATAGAGCCCAATGAAAAATATGTACTAATGAACAGATGTGAATCAAGCTTATTAATTGCTCTACTGTAAAATAAATACATTTTTTAAAAACTACCTTTCCCTCTTCCGTTAAGGTGTCGTAATTTAATCTGAAATGGACCCTATGCCTCAACTCGACAGTATGGTTATTTCGCATAGAAGTACATATCCATTGAACAGTAGGAACAAGCACGTCAAGAACATAGAACAAAAATTAACTCATCGTTGTTCAATGAACCTGAAAGCTGCTAAAAGTAGAAGCTTCCACATAAGAAATGTTCGACTGAATTCATCCCTAATTGATTGCCAGTGTCTTATTTCTGGATTTTACTTCTTCCAATGCATAGTCATTAAATAATAAAGCATACGTCGCTTATATACTAGAATGTTGCGCATGCGTATCATAACTACTTTGCCTTCGAGAGTCCAGGCAGTATATATTAGAACTACTTTATATTGAACAAGCCGAACAATGACGATCAAATAGTAACGGCAGAAGAATAGGCGGTAATGTTTAATTTGACAAAATTTGAATGATGCTATAGGTGCAACATCGCCATGAAAGTCCTATTGATTTATTATCTTTAAGAACAGATCAATTTATTTTATTTCTTAACTGATAAACAATGAAAGAGCCCTTATAAAAGACCCAATATACGTTATTTTACAATTTGAAGAACAAGATATAATCTAACAAAAACACTGTTTCAATAAAAGACGAAAATGATTATCTAAGATGCGAAGGTGGTGGTATTGATGTTGGTTTTATTGAAAAATTCCTCGAGGTTATCACCACGAATCTTTGCCCACTCGGCAATGGAATGTTGTTGGATCATAGGAATAGAAATAGGACCATAAACAGCCTTTTCAAAGGAGAAATCTCTGAAAAATGCTGATGGATCAGCAGAACCTGTCATGTTTGCAGGAAGAGGGATTAGGAATTTACCAACAGGAGGCAAACTCTTATCCCACGCTACGTCCTCCTTGAGCAAGTTATACAGGGAATCAATACGTTTTTGAATAGCGGCATTGGCAAAGAGTCCTTTTGTGTAGTTTCGCAATATCTGATTAAATCTATCTTTGAATTGAGGAACCTTCAGCATTTTACTTGTTAAGGGTTGAGTCAATAATCCAGGGAAATCAGAATAGTTGCCACTATACATGAAGGTTGAATTGAGTTGAGGAAGAATGGTGCCGCAAGACAAATCAAAATCTTGATCAGACATAACGAGTCGATCAGCATTCAAATCATCATAAAGGACAAAGTTGTTAGCGTTGGCAATATAACCATCTGTATCCATGATAAGCACTTCTAAAGCGAAAGTACGCAAGAAACTCTCAACATCAATATATTGTTCCCATCGTGGCGCCATTGAATTATCAACGGCAGTGGTATTTGATTGTTCTGAAAGGAACTTGGTGAATTCCATGATACGTGTGTAATTAGCTTTCCCCTTGGAAGGATCTTCTTTTACAGGATAATATTCTTCATATAAACTGAGATTGGTGCCAAAATAAGAAAAGTCAGGCTTGTAATTATTCGTAATTTCGCTTTCGCCTTCGCTTTCGTTAGAGGTCTGCTCCTTGTTAGTGAAATTCAATAAACCTTCTTTACCACCAACATAAAGAGCACCCTGTTTGTAGTCTTTATCGCCGTTGGCAAACTCATTCCTGATCCAGGGATTTTTCAAATGTTCAACAAAACCAAATAAACCGATTGGTTGATTATTGATATAAAGACGAACATAGCTGTACTCGGAGGCTGGTAGACCAACAGCATTGGCTACAGAGTAACCGATATTTTCTTTCATATAAGAAGGATCCATTGCGTTAGCCCTTAGTTTAAAACGACGGTAGTTATAAAGGTCTTGTTTTTTGGGGAGCTTGATAGAATAAGCAAGCTTAGGCATATTGCGGGTAGAATGGCCAGAAACGGAGAATCTAACACCATCAAACGTTTTCACCTCTTCAGCGCTATTGAATAGGGGAAAAAGTACACAGTGTTGTGATCGGTAAGTATTTGTAAACCATCATTTGCGGAATGAATATATTATAGCTCGATCTAAGTATTGCTTATTACCTGATATACGCCATTTTCAAACCCTCAACGTCAATATCTGTCAATTGATGACTTTGCATATAATCAATACCTGTTGAATTACCCATGATATGGATGGTCGGAATCTGTCCAGGGATATGTATTTTGGAGTCAATACGATGGATCACTGGTAAAGGTTCAAAGACACTGGGAAGTTGATATTCATCCGCAACAGTCCACGTTCTGTTAAAGTGCTCATTCAAAGTGCTGCTCGTGTTACTGGAAGGGAGATGGCGAGTGAATGGTTCTTGACTAATGATATCATTGGTATGTTTATCGAGAATGCCGTATTTATATTCATTTAGAGGACGAGGTGCTTGGCCCATATGAAGTAAAGGTGTCGCTTTACTAGTGTCGTTTAAAGGGTATACCTGGTGATTATCAAGAACAACAGCGAGTGTTTGATTATCAGGAACATTATAAATGACGTTATACGTGATGTTTGACTCATCAGCTACCACCGCTCTTGTTGCTAAAGAGCTGAAGCTTGCTAACAAGAATCCGATGGCTGTTATTTGATAAAATTGTGCTTAATGTTTGCTCAAATGCATATGAAGGCCCGTGCGCCGTGGGTAGACTTTTATTATTTACCTGTAAAAATTTGCATTTTCGTAGATAACCGAACTGCTTTAGCTTAGAAAAACGAAAAAAAGAAATAATTCACCCCAAACTAGATGCACTAGTGTGTTATAACAGGTAATGGTGGGGGGAAGGTTCGGCGAAAGAACATTAGTTTCACGTATAGTTGCGCGATCTAATTTGTGTGTTTTACTACGCCAACTCATTTTTAATGAGTAAGCGGCTATTTGACACAATCTTCAAATCAAGGTTGTTGTTATTCAGCTGAGTTGACGACAGCCAAGAACTGCTTGTTTTAGCCGAAAATTTAGTATGTTTTTCGGACCCTAACTCAATTCGCCAATGAAACAGCTTAGATCAGAAAGTTTAACATAATCTTTGTTTTCGGATAGAAGTGTAACCGAAAGCAGCATAAAGATAGGTACCAGTGTGCGGCACTTGGTGGCACATTCAAGGACGATACCCTTTCTAGAAACATTAAGAAGCAATTCGTTTTCAAATACCAAATTACTATTATTATAGGCATTAGCTGAAGATCACATGTAATTCGAACAATAAGGAATAGATTATTGGTCTCATTGCAACGTAAAATAATAACAATAACCAATCCAGCAATGAAAAAATGTATACGTTTCTTGCTATATTCATTGATACAGTAACCAAGTGTTTAAGTTTCTAAAAAAAAACAAATCTGATTATAGTTTGCTAACCCGGGAAAATCTTTAAGGCGGCTTGTCGCAATCTTCATTGGATGTTTTCCTTGAACTAAGGGCGAAAATGTTTATTAAATGTCAAGCTGAATACTGTTACTGTGAGTGGAAGCGTCTACTATATGTCTTTAGCGAGTCCACAAACATAAAATCTACAACAGTTCATTATTCAGTAAACCTTTATATTCAAATGTGTTATTCAAATAAATAGTTATAAATCAAATCTCAACTTTTAAAAGCATTAACTGCTTGACTTTACAAAGGACACAGCTCCTCTACGTTCGTATGCAGTCTCGAAATGATAGGAGAATCTTCTTTTTTAATCTTACTTCAGTACTTTACAGATACTCTAATATATTCTATTGAGCATTATTAGCAGTATCAAGACTACTGAGGGTCTACCCCAAATGCGATACGTTCAATTTGGCAAAACTGAATTACGAGTATGTGAAGTTCATGTTATTTAAACAAGAAATTAAAGAAGAGAAATTATACGCCAAAGATTTACATAAACCACAAGGTTTCACGATTTGCCTAAGACTGTATGTCTTATGGCTCCTCTAAATGGCAACATTGGATCAAAGATGAAGAAGAGTCTATTGCATTGATTGGCAAAGCTCAGAAGCTGGTATTAACTTTGTTGATAATGCAGATGCTTATTCTAACGGTGAAAGTGAACGTGCTCTAGGAAAAGCAATCCAAAAAATCCAATATGCCCAGATCGCGTGTCATAGTAGCTATCAAAATGTTTCGTGCTGTAAGTGAGAGAATCTGAGTGTTTATTAGGCATCGATGGGAAGGAACACAACGAATGGCTCAATCGTCACGAATTACCCCACAAGTACACATTTGATGCGGTGATGCTTCTTTTGGAAGACTTGGTTTGGATATATAGATCGATATCAAATTCATTGATTCGATTGCGTATGTATATATTCGCAGGTCATTCGTTTTGTTAAAGTTATATCAACTATTGTGAAATGCTCTAATAGCAAGTATTTATCGGTCTCCTTTAGCACGGGTCCTTTTGCCTGAAAGAAACAGACGATCTGTGCGATGAAACAGCAGCCGCGGTATTACTTATTTTTTCGGGAAGGAAGACGCCAACAACGATGAGATTATTAATCGCGTAATTTCGATAGTTGAAGAGTAGAGACATAGTCCAGTTTTAATTGCTTTGGTGTGGATGTTGTCGAAGGACTTTATTACCGCGTCTATCAATGTCGTCTCTAAAGTAGAAAACCTTTATGAACTTATCCATTCCTTATCAGTAAAGTTGAGTGAAGATGATACTAAGTATTTTAAAGAGGCTTATATTCCTCGCAAAGTTTATTCCAAAGTAAAAAACAAAGTTGGTGGGGACTATGTACACATATAATATTCTGATCCAGAAGTATCTTTACTAAACTTAAAATAACAGCAATAGTCTTCCTCAAACACAACTGTAGCTTAAAGAAATTGCATTTAAAAGTTGAAACGCTGTTGTTTATTATCTGAATAATAAGCTATATGAGCCAGTAGAAAAGTCGGAAGTCTCCCGGCTTTAGTTTGAAAGAATAAAAGCTTAGAGAATATGCATAATTCTCTTTGTTGTAACAAAAATGAAATTTACGAGGGATGAAACGGAGTTATTTGCCAGCAACAACAATAATCATTGTCTATGTCACATTGGGAACCTGATGTAACAATCAAATTGTGCTGTGCCATCTTAAAAAGCTCAAATTGTTCGAACATGTATTTCATTCCTTTCATTTTTCTTTCACTACGCACTACGTTTTTTACGGAAAGTTTATTTCACTTAATCTTTATACCAAACACTATTTCGAATGCCCTTGACATCAGATAAGGTTGTAACAGCTCGAAAAGCTCCGGAGGTCAGCAAACATTTAATACGACCCTCTCCACTCCATGCCACTTTAAATGATACGAAGTTCTCAGAGATGGCTTCCTGCCCTCCTTCACCCGCTAGTTCTCATCAATCATTCATGTCTTCCATGTCTTGGATGGCAGAAAAGAGCACTCTTGAGCTTGTTCCTATGCTAAAAAACGCATACACCGCCCTAAAGGATAAAGAACAGGGTAGGGTAAAACCAATTACATAAAAAGAAAAGCATGTGGTTATCAAGTACTTATCGTAAGAGATTTTTCATTATCGAAATGACCATTTTTTTAAAACAGATTTGGTATTAGCAGCCGAATTAGGAAAATCTTTGTTAGATTACAATATACGTTTGAAATCAAAATATGATTCTTTACTCACACAACAACAAACTGCAGCCGCTATCTTTTCTCCCGCATCCACATCTGCTACTACTACCTCTATCAACGCTACATCTGTTGGCACATTTACACCGCCTATCACACCTTCCACTTCTACGCAGGACAATGGCTCTCCCACGACAGAAGCCAATAAGAGTGCCGGGATCATAATGGATCGCATGCTTGATGCTACTAATAGCGAAGACGATGATATGAAATTTATACCGTCATCCAGCGCTCGAGAGGCCATGATCGAGGCCTTGCAGCAAAAAAATATCGAATTATCACAAAAATTAGACATCGCCATGCAAGAAAAGGATTCTCTTTCTCACACCCACTCCAGACGCACCAAAGAACTCGAAATGGATATCCAGCTGCTTAAATCGGACCTCGATATAGCCACCACCAAAATCCAAGAGTTACAAGAAATAAACGAGCGACAGAAGAGACACAGAATGCTAGAGGAACAAAAGCAAAAGGAGCAAGAGACGAGACAGCAAATGCTGCTAGTAGATGACTTGATTGTGCAAGTAGATGAATTGAGAACGGAAAAAGAAGCCTTATTGCAGTCAAAGATTGATCTAGAATCGAAACTAGTAGCTACCTTGCGAGATTTGGGTGATCTGAAACAGCAATTTCAATCTTTCGAATTCTCTCAAAAAAATATGGAAGAGCTTCAAAATGCTTATCAAAAGCAGTTTGAACATATTGATGAACTAAATCACAGTTTGGAGGAGCATCGAGCATTATTGCAAAAGTTGAAAGAAAAAGGTGTTCAGCTGTATACACCTACACCGAGTGAAAGGTGTAGCAGCGGTAGTGATTATGGTCACGGCAATGAGTTCACTATGGATGATTACTTTGCAAAATCATCCCTTTTAGATGAGCTAGGTTTAGAATGGAGGAAGAATGAAGAAGAACTGGCAACATCTTTTATATCAACTCCTCGTCTTTCCGCCTCAATGACGATTGATAATCAAAAATCGACTACAATAACAAGTTATGAGCAGTCATCAACAATGTTATCACATTTAAAAAAAGATAATCTTCTGATCAAGATGCTTTATCGCTCACCATCAACAAGAAGTAGCAATATAGTAGATTTTGAAAGTGTTTTATCAAAAGCTACAGGCATAGATCAGAGTTTAATTGACGATGCTTTGCAATTCATTGATCAAATTGAGAAGCAGCATCAAAAAGAGAAATATTTAGCTTTGCTTGACCAACGAATTGTCGACGATAACCATAAAATTGTAGACGACAGTGACTTACCTGCATTTGATTTGTATCCTAATGCTATGCTCAGTTCTATCTTACAGAAGCATCAACAAGACCAACAATCTGAAGAGAGTTTAGCTACAAATAGACAGCGCAGACGAGCTATCAGCAACCCCACATCAGGCAGGAATGTATCTGTTCTTCGAAGGCGGCAGTTTGAATTAAAGCGTGTTATATTAGGGTTGTTTCACATGGTGTGGCGATGGAGTCGCTTCGCCATCGTGCTAATAATTGCGTTATTTATAAGTGCAGCTAAAGGGCCTAGTTCTCTGTCGAGGGACCGCAAATAGCATTTCTTATTTCTTCGTCATAACTCATTCATATAAAATCTCACACACCTCCGGTCTCTATCATTCTGCAAAGCAAAGCATTTAATACTTTTTTTTTCCGGTAGCAAAACACATTACTTATATTTTTAATTCTTGAATGGTTGATCTTAATGGTCTGTTATTATCGTTATCGACTGTTGATACACTAACTATACAATAATTTTGAACAGAATTTCTTCCCTGTTTACAATTTATGGAAAATTAGGAAAGAATTTTCTTTCCTTAGTTACTACTCTAAAACAATAAGTAGGACGCAGTCAAACAGCAGAGGATTACTCCTCCAACTGTTTCAATGATTAGGTATAGCGGTTATGTTTTCGAAGCTATATTTATTGGTTGATTTGATTATACAATATATATTGACAGTATCTTTTATTGAGTTCACTTATCTGTTGAGTTCAATATTACGTGCGAATATTGCAACATTTTCTTCCTCCTTACTATGTTTTCATCCAACGTCATGAGCGTTAATCCCATTAGAGATAGTCTTTTGTGGTATTTTCTTAACTATTACAACCTTGCTCGACAGCAACCTCATTACTGTCATTGCTGTCGCTATCATGGTTAACGCTATTTTTATCAGTAGGCCAGTCTGCCCAAGCATTAAAAACCGTGTTTATCGAGTTATCAGTATTTGTCGTAACATTAATAACCGTATTCAATGGAGCAGCAGTAATTGAGTCTGTGGAATTGTTACTACTTTTCTCCTTTAAGCGTTTATTATCATCTTCTACTTTTTAGTATAATTAATCATGTCATCTACAGTGATAAATCCATTGTTTGCTTTTGATTTACCTTCTTCAGAATTGATATATGCTGTTCCTCAACCAAGACAATCCCATCCTCATGTGCATCAAAAGCTCTTGAAAGAGGAAGTTTCATTCTAGATATAATCTCTTCTGATTGCTGACAATCCAAAGTATTGTGTTCATGTTTCGTTTGCTGCGTGGACATTTTCTTTTTATTCTTGTTTTTAGTTTTCTGAGGTTTTATAAAGGCGAGTATATCAACGTTATTGGTCAGGGCTATGTCCTCCTCGTCTTCGTTGCGTACGATAGTCGGCACTAACTCTTCAATTGCATCTTGATCAAGTCTTTGGGAAATTGTTAATTCCATACAATTAAAGCCAAGTCGTATGCACTTCCCGCAGAGCTCAGAGTTGTGAGATTCGAATGTTTCACGATTTTGATTGCCACGTTTATTTGGTGCTTCATATTGATAACCACAAGGGTAAACCTTTTGGTAACAGTTTTTACATATCTGAAAATCGTTCATGTTGCCGCTTGCACTACGCCAACGACGTCCGCAGTTGTCGCAGCCAAACCGAACAATCAGCGTTTTGAAAGGTGCTTTCTTTGATCCTTTCATGTAAAATTAATGTCGCCAGTATGAACTAAAAAGAAAAAATACAAGAGAAAAAGAAAATACCGGAATTTGTTGCTCACAGTAAGTCTTACAATAAAATCAACTTATCATGGTGAGAAAACCCATCACTGGTACTTATTATTGCAGCCTCGATATTTGACTGCATCTTCTACTGACAAAAGCTAGAGGCGATCTCTTGGCTGCAGAGTTTAGAAAATGACTAGCGCATCAATATATTTCATATTCAATAATTTTATGGACCGCTCAATCTGTGTTTCTAATTCAAGCACAAGGTATAATGAATGACTTTGCCAATTTAAAAGAGAAGGAATTATGAGTAGAACTGCTGCCACTGGAACAACCATTAAGAAATTACGATTGATATGACCCGAACAGTTTGAGCGATTCATTAAGTTACGATAAGTCATAGAGGAGATTGTTAACACAAGTGAATGCTTTCAACTATCATTTCCGTACAGTAACCTACTCACACATCTTCTCTAAGGCGCATCAATACTAAAAAAAGTGCATTTATTGAGATGCTCATCATTAACAAATTGGTTTTAACGGAGATTAATAGATGCATTAGTAACAGTGTAGAATATGTGATGGCTATCTTCTCATAAGGTATTGGTAAAAACAAGATAAATCAAATGTAGTCAAGTAGTGTTTTGATGTAAAAAATTATTGTACAGCTTCTTCAATTACTCAATCTTTTTCAAATAGGATAAAAAGCAAGTACTAGCAATATTGAAGGTATCGATATAATAGAAACCTGGTAATTAGCTAATCATCCTTAGTAGAAACAGTGATTTTGAAATTATGTTAGTAAAAATAAAAATACTGATACAAACATCTGATTAATCATTTTTCGAAAAGCACCGCTAAAAAGCACCAAATTATTTTTGTTCGGCAAGACAAGATTAAGATAAGACTACGAGTTATATTTCTGAACATAAACACTCTACTAACTGTAAAAATATGCGTTTTGATTTTTGTTACAGTTTTCATAACACATCCTAGAGGTCATTCATCGATTTTGCCGTATTTGCCAGGGTAAATCACTCACAACGTCTCACGATATATGTAAGTCAAAACTGTGATTTTTGATGAGAACATCGCTCGTATTTTCGTTCCGTCGGTAAGCGGTGTGTTGATTATGACAATAGACCAAATATACAATAATATGATACTATTAATGAATAATAAAAAGAGTCTGGTTCAGAGATAATTCTTATGTCCGATTAAGGGTCAAACGTGCGCACAGTTAAGAACACCTCGCAGGAATGCTTCTTTTTGATAAACGTCTGTATTTCACAATATTTGGATGGATATTTGGCGACCGATAGATATCGAATTATAGACACAGCTACATGATTGTTCTCTGGTGAATTTTTTGAAGAAAGGCTACATTCTTTAAGGCTCTAACACCAGTTACCTTTGAATGTGAGCATTCAAACCTTTAGTGAGTGCAGCCACCTGCATCAATAATCATAACTTTAGGGTATCACCAAAGAAAAATGACTGAATGAAATTTATGTCTTTTATCGAGCTACGCCTCTGGCCTTTCAATATAAGATGTCAGAACTGTTTTGGCGTCGTTCCTTATTGTCGTTGCTACTCTTGAAAGTGCTAGAAAATCCAAGCCCTGGATGTGATCCACTGTTGAACAGACAGTCCAAGGTTATCATACCATCTTTTAACCATCCAGATTTTTATCCAAAGTATTACTGATATAACAAGGATTAATTTTTAAAGCATTTAATAACATAAAAGATGTTAAAGTAAAATGTTCTTTATGGCATCTATCGTTACATCAAGCAGTTCTAATCCTTGATTGAGTTCTTCGATAGCAATAATCTTGCGTTGTTTGAAATACAAATCAGATGTGAGAAGAACAGCATAGATGTCCAAAGACCATTTGTTTCTCTCTTCCTACTTGGCGGAATCATTTGCTTGCTGAACTGCGTGAACCGCCCAGTCAACAAACAATTGGGTATACTTGTCTATAATCGCTCTATTTTTCTTCTTAACCAGAAGGGGACACATAAACCAATCGTGATAGTAAGGTTCGAGATGTAACTGCACATTTATTGATCCACCATCCTCTTTCATGTCTGTCACCCACCGTATCACACTATCTAATAGTGACTCCTTCGTGCCTACGTATACCAAAATCTGACGAGGCAGAAACCTTGCAAACCCATATCTAATGTCTTGCAAATGCATCACAGGTATGTTATCTGGAAAATTTCTGTCAGGCATTACCATGTATTCTTTATAGAGAATTTTGGATAGTTTCATGGACACAATGTCTTTTTTATGGTTTTTCTGGTAGGAGGGTGTGCTGGTATCTGCACTGACCAGCGGAGAAGAGAAAAAGGCACCGGCTGGAATAGGCATGTCAAAGTTTTCGCGAGGAGCATCCAAATTATTATGTACATTTTCCAAAATACGAGGAGCGTACATATCTATAAGCATTTCTAACGCCAGGGATCCTCCTGCGGAATCACACGTAATAACTATTTTCAAAGGCGAAATACCAAGTTGGTAGACAAGATATTGGAAAGTCTGTAAACAGTGGTTCTTGGCGATAGGATAAGGGTTTTTAGGACAAAGTCCTATACATGGATAAAAAAAAATTGGCGCAGGAAAAGATTATCTTATAAGGCAAAATAACATTGGACATAATGTATTTATTATGCGATCATTACCGTATTCGACAGAAAATATAGCAGCCTTGAGATTGTGTTTTTCCTTGAACAGGTCAATCCAAGTTCGAAAAGCGAACATGTACATAGCACTTTTTCCTGTACGAAAGCCACCGCCTGTGTATATTTTGAAGAAAAGTAGTTCTCTTAGTTAATCAAATAAGTAGTTATCGAATTTATAGCTACTATGCGATCAACCATGAATTTCGAAAATGATAATATCTGCCAATTTCAATCTTTGAATAGCTGTCCAATCGTCCTTCGAACTTGCAATGTTCTCCATGATTATACTTCCTTTGCAATACTCGTTTGATATGTTGTAAATATAACTTTTTTGATCAAGTGTAGGGCGCAGCGCTAAGTTGATGATAGAGCGAAGTATGTACGGATTCGATGTCATTAATTTGCGAATAGTTATTCTGGTGAGAAATGGCAACAAGCCTTCCTCAATCACATCCGAAGTTATGGTGAGCATAAATTATATTTGACAAATGATAAAGGGGAGCGCAATAGAAAAGTAGTGTGCACTCATTCATGTATTTATAATCATCAGAATTTAAAGAATTAAACAGTCAATTACTGCTGTCGTGCTCGGTCATATATCGGTAAGAGAATGCATTCACAAAGAAGAAAACATACATGGAAGGAACACTATTATGTAAAGCAGTTGTTCAATGAACAGGTGTAAAAGTAACGCTATCAAAAGACTTTGCATACAGAGATTTATCCAATGATCACTTCGAATAAAATTTCGTCTTTTTGAGTTAAGAATATAATACAACGTTCACATGCAAACATGTATATTGAAGTATCTCCAAGTACGTAATGATCGTGCATTAAGCATGCAAAATTTTTAAAAAAACAACTGGATGATATAGAATATACATATCGTGTTACTAGTTTCTTTCCGGTTGCGTGGCGTATTCTGTATATCTCTTACTGTAGCAGTTTGCAGTGTCTATTTAAGGCAACAAAGAACTGTTGATTACTCATACTATTAATTACGAAGTACAACAAAGTTAAAAAAGCTCTCAAGTACATTATGTATGCCTATGAGGTATTATTCCAATTTTTATTTATACATGGAAATATAGAAGTTATAGAGTAAATGGTATTAGGATCTATCTTTATATAGATTTTAATAAAACTAACTTGTCGTAGAGTAAATTGGTAAATGCTAGAGATTATGACTGCTGTCGTTGTCGACTGTATAATTCATTCTTACAGAGATCAAGCACACCTTCTAAGTTTTCTTGCAAATTCATGGTTCCATCTTCTTGTAAATGTCCTTTTACAAGTTCTGTTATTTCAGTTTGACTATAATTCAGAGTTATTCAATCACATTAGTACCCATGATCACGCGTACATAAAGCTCAACACTACTCACTTTAGCCTTCCTTTTCGAATGAGACGAACGTGTAAGGTGTCTGTATTGAATCGTGGCGGGTATTCAAAAAGGTCTTTAACTGTAATAGTGAAACAGACTTCGAAATTGGCATGAGACTGATAATTGTTCACATCAATACAGATAAGTATTCCTCTGTCTGCCGGATGATTCGCGTTTTCAATAGGTTTCGTGCTGTAGAAGTAAGTTAGTTCTCTCAAATCCTCCCGTACGGCTTTAACACGGTTCCAGTAAAACGTAATATCTTGTATAATCTATTTTTTTTTTTTTTTTTTTTTGTTCAGAAATATTCACGAAAAGCAGTAGTTTCTTACAATTGATCTTACCTCATCTTTGTCTTTATTGCCTTTATTTTCTTCTATTTGCAAGTATAATCCGGGTATGAATTCAGTGAAATCTCCTAACAGTTGTCTCTTATTTGCCAACAATTCAACACGAATAGCATCTGCGATGGTAAAACTCTCATTCTGCAATTGTTCCATATCAATTGTAACATTCAAATCTTGCAGCAGTTGAAATTCCCTTCGCTCTTTACCATTGTCTTTCTGTCTGTAATTTACTATGCCTGCCACTAAATTGTATTCCTCTTGCTTATTTTGTAGATCCTCTGCAGTAATATATGTGTTTTCGGCGATTATCTTTTTGTTCTCTTCTATATCACTTAACAGTGTTTTTTTCTCTGACTCCAGTCGTTCAAGGTTTTTTAAGCAATTTTGATTTGCCCGTGTATCTGCATTATCTTCTTTCCTTAACTCTTCAAGATTCATTCTATTTTTAAATCGAAAATTAATATGACTGTGTACAATGCTTTGTTGTATACACGTATATTTCGGGTAACTTTACTCTTGTTGTTTGATCTGCTCCAGTAAATCATTTAATAATTCCACATCAACCGCGTCTATTTTCTTTTTCAGCTCTAGCGTTTCTCTATGTTCTAACATCAAACGTTCATAAGTCTCCTTGACCTGTGGTTCAATTTTTTCGCATATATTCAAAGTTGCTTGAAAGTCTTTTTGAAAGTCTGATAAACGGCTTTCACTGCCTTTGATTCTTTTTTTGAACCCTTCCATTACGACCTCAAGCCATCCTTCGTATTCTTTGTTTGCTGTATGCTTTGCCTTATTTAACATGTATCTCAATCTTTGATTCAATTTTATCTTTTCTTCTAATGTAGCTTCTTGATATTTCCGTAATAGAGGCGGTAGACTAGGACTCGTTTTGACTTGCTCTTCTAGTTGTTGAGTGACATTCTTCGAATAATCAATGAACTTGCGCGTTTCCATAATGGTCTAATATAAGAAAGTGCCAGTTTACAATCAATTTATGGAATTGCTAAAAAAGTAACCAATTGCCAGTTTGTATTACCTCTTTAACTATATCTATGGCAGGCTTCATTAGCCGAAGAGCAACAATTTGTTCAGATGGCTGCAGATGCCTAGCAGATTTCGATTTACTACTTTCATTGTTGTTACTCAAATCATCAAGCAACTTGGCATATTTTTCCAGTGTGTCCTCTCCTATTGGCTTTTCTTCAGGTAAGGTGATGCCTGTATAAGTAAGAAATTGCTTAATACTTATGGAATTGCTACTATCGTTTTCTACTTCAGTGAAGGCAGCAGCAGCGGATGTTCTCCTTATGGAATCATTCATCTGTTTGGCAGTATTGTCTTGTGTTGGCTGATAAGATGGTGCAGGTGGTAATGGGGTATATTGCGTTGGGGTATACTGCTGTTGTTGTTGACGTTGAGGCGTTGATATAGGAGCTGTTGCCATTGTATTTGTAGTGAAAGAATAAGGTGATGGTTCGTAATCAATGGGCGGCGTACGGTATGGTGTTTCATCAGATATATTTAAAGTAATATCATTCAATGCAGGTTCATCTCCAAGGTTGAAATCGAAAAGATCTGAAGTCATTGATGTGATGGAATTTTCTAGGTTATTGAAAGAATGGCGCAAACGTCTACGAGGAGAATCAAGATTGTTCCCGGAAGGTGATAGAGTGTCCAGAGCTCTTTGTAATTGTTGCCCAGGTAGCTCTGGTTTGAATAATGTAGCTCTTTGAATTTGAGTGCCTATCCCGTTATCTGTTAACATCATCGCAATGCTGTCATTATCGTCGTCGTGATCATGGCTAGGATCGAACGGCTCAAAACCACGGTACGAAGGTTTGTGCGAGGCTGCCTGTCGTGCCTTTTCTTTTCCATGGTCCAAAATGGATACACCTTTAACGTTTGTACTCACATTGTTGTCCGTAATCATCATCTCAGAACTTTCATCATCATCTCGGATTCGATGTAACGGTTCAAAACCACGGAATGACAATTCTGATATAGGTAATTGCTCTGAATGTTGTGGTTGTTGCTGCTGACCTCTTTGTTGAGGTACTGCTGGTGTTTCGACTTGCATATTCATTTCATCATCTGTTATCATCCTTTCCGTGCTATCATCAGCGTTGTTTCGATGTCCATACAAAGGTTCGAAGCTATCCAGTGGCGTCGTAAGTATACGAGATTGCTGATGTTCCTGAACAGTTATTGCTGAGTTTTGAACCTGAACACTCAAATCATCGTCTGTTATCATCATTGCGGAGCTGCCGTCGTCGTCATCTTCGTCATCGATATTGATTACCTTTTCATACGGTGCATACCTCGGTGATAAGGCCGCTTTGGGTGATTTATCCGACTGTTGCATTTGCAATTGTTGTGGTTGCTGTAATTCTGCTGTTCGTTCAGTATAATTAACAATATTATCGCCTGTTAACATCATATCAATGCTATGTTCATCATCACTTTCTTTGTCCAAAGATGAAAAAGGATTCACAGACAATTGGGGTTTTTGCTGCGTCTGGGGAGGTATTTTTTTTTTTTCAAGGTGAGTTCTTTCTACACCACCTGTGATTTCTACTTCAGAGCTTTTATCATTGTTATCAGCATTTGACGTTGTTACATATCGCTCAAAACGAGGCGACAGTGCCGTTCTAGGAGATCTACTTAATGGTTTTGTAACTCTTGTTGGAACAAGAGTTCTCTTGAGAGCTGAGGTAGCAAGTGGTGATTTAGGATGTCGCGTCATTGAAAGGGGCGACCTAATATTGTTTGGTGATATGATAGGCGATTTGATAGGCGATCTGAGTGGTGAACTTGTATGAGGCGATCTTGCAAGTGGAGATTTAGAGAACGGTGATCTGGGCGACTTTGCAGTGGAGAAAGGCTTTGTGTAAGTTGGAGATCCAATAGCGCTAGGTGAACTGGGTATATAATTTTGATAAACAGCTAGTCTTTTCTTAAAATCAAAGCCATTGCTATCATCATGATTATCAAGACTCTCATCTACTTTATTTCCTACATTGTATCCTTTGTCAGCACGAGAAACAAAAATATCACTATCAGTACTCTCTGGTTGATCGGGACTACTGAAGGGATTATTCACTGCTTCACTTCGAATCTGTATTGGTCTACGGTCTTTGATGGGTATAGGTGATCTTGCAGGTGTTTTCGGTGTATTTTTCGAAGAATCAATGTAGATAGGTGATGCTCCAGTATTTGCTCGGTTCTGATAATTGAAAGGACTTCCCGACTGTGACAACTGCTCTTCTGTGTGTTGACGTTGTTGAAAGTCTTGCGTCTCTTCCTGATGTCGCTCTTGACGCTGCTCTTGTTGTTGTATTCGTTTTGGTCGCTCTTCCTCCTCCTTCTTTTCCTCTTCTTCCATATCTTCTTCATCGTCTTCATCAGCGAACAAAGTATGAATATCCATCTTTTTGTAGGGTTGTTCATTGATATTATGCATCATACTGCTTTCAAACTGCTGTGATAAGCTTGGTCTTCGCAATGGTGAGTCTCCTCTCATATTGTCATGGCTCTCTTTCGACAATCTAACGAGAAAGTAACCATATCAGTACGACAACGGGTCGTCTAGAAAAGCATCCTTAATCGAGCCTTTTGAAGCTATTTTCATACCTTGTCTTGTTGAATGAAAGTAAAGAACTTTGCCTCCGTACAGAAGGCGAACCAGGTGAACGAGGCGGTAATCGTAATGGTCGTGGTCGTGACATATTTATGGAGGGTAATTTTGACAGCAGATCAGTTGGTGTAGCCATTGCTTCACTGAATACAGTAGGTTCCTCTTCGTCAATAAGATTTGCTGCCTCACTAAACGCATCAAAATTATATGAATCATCTTTGTCCATAAACCTACAAAATGACAAGAATATTATAAGCTTTTACCTGCCTTCCTATGAAATGTTTAACGGCAATCAGATCAGAAGCTGATAATTGAAACTTTGAATATACCTGATATCGTTGCGCGGTGCAAAGCTCACTCTTCTAGCTCGTTTCTGTGCTAGTGAATAAAAACGACTATTAGCATTTGTATTCAAAGAGAAAAAACCGTCAGTTGTGCCTTTTATTGTAATTATCAATGATAATAGACAAAATATTTACCCATGTGCTATAGGAGAAGCATATCGATTTGGAGTGGTCATTTTCAATATACTTCTTCTAGCTGGTGACTAAAAAAAGTAATGAGTTGTTAGTTGAACGACGAATCGATCTAATCAAAACACTCTTGAAGTTACACTGATGATGCGAGGAGAAAATCGACTTTCAGAGTTGTCAATCGTCCATCTTCCTGGGTTGTCAAACGTAGTCAAATCGAGATCTTTATCCTTTGGTTGCATTAGATGATGTTGCTAGATGAACGGCCTCGAACTGCAGTAGCCAGGAGAAGCTGAAAAACAAAAAAAAAAAAAAAAAAAAAAAACCGGTGAAAATCGAAAAAAATAAAATAAAATTGATGAACAGAAAAAAAGCTTAAATCAAGTTTATTTATGCAACAATAACCTTTCTGTATCTTATCTCATTGTCACAATCCGTTGTACCTGAATAAGTTGATGGAGTTGCAATTAGTGCAAGCATTACATACGTTATCCATGTGTATTTTCTTTCGTAGAATCGGTGCGAGCAGCCTTTTCGATTTATAGAAATCAGATTAAACTCTGCTTTATCGAATGCGATAAGATGTAAATCAGGCAGGCAGAAAAGAATGGAAAACCTACGCTACACAACGTTGTGGTAGAGTGCTCGGTATGAATGAGAATTATTTACCTAGAGCTCATGCGTAAACATGTCTGTTGGATAGCACAACTGTAGGAATACTAGTTTAATATTGTCGCTTCCACTATACTTACTAAATATGAGTCAAGGAACACCCTTTTTTTTTTTACATGAACAGCATAGTGAACAGTGTGATGAAGATAAATCTATAATAGTTGGAAACCCCAAGCTTTATATGAAAAAAGAGATATAAAATGGCAAGTAATAGTATGTCTTTCAAAAGTAGAGTTAGATTCATCCTGCTTCAGTTGCAGCCACTATCACCTTCCTAACATAGACCACTCAGGAAAAGAACATACACAAACCAACAATCTGTGTAGATTTGTATTTGCTTGCTACATGGCACTTATATGCTGTTGAAACTCAGCCAAAAAAGGCACGGCTACCGGACTTTGGTTTTACAGAACAATGTGCATTTAAAGTGTAAAAAAGCCACTTTGAATTTTCTTGAGGTCAGCTTCTTTTCAGCAATTACATTTTTCAAGCAGATCGATCGTCTTTATAACAATGGGGAAAAAAGACAAGAAGCAGCAGGAAACTGACGATGGTTTCAATGTATTGACAGAAATTACTGATTTCAAAAAGCCGGATACAGAAGCAGAAGAAAAAGCTGCTCGTAAAGCAGCAAAAAAGGCCGAGAAAAAAAAGCTATCAAAAGAGGAGAGAGAGGAACTACGTAAAGTAAACCGTGAAAGCAGAGAAAAGAAAAAGCAAAAGAAAGAATTGAATAAGAAAAGAAAGGTTAGATCGCATTCCGTTAAACCGGTTTCAGAGGCATATGTAACTCATTTTTTTTTCTTGTGGCATTTTTCTATGTGCGTTTAGAGAGGAGAGTTGGTAGAAGAAGAAGAGAAAGAGGAAACAGCTGGAGAGACACAGCCTGAGCCTACAGAAGAAGGACAATCAGAAGACAGTGACGACAAGCCGAAAAAGAAAGCAAAAACCGAAAAACCAAAGAAGGAGAAGCAACCTGAATATGGTATTTGGGTGGGCAATCTTTCGTACAGCACCACAGTCGATAGCATTCGTAACTTCTTCAAAGATTGCGGCACTATTACCCGTGTCAAGTGTCCAAAGGGTAACGGAGCCAAAAACAACAATAAAGGTTTTGCATATATATTCTTTGCAACACCAGAGGAAGCAGCAAAGGGTGTCGCTCTATCAGAACAGAAATTAGAAGGTCGTGCCTTGTTGATTAAAGATGCTGATAATTTCGAACGTGCCGACGGTGTTCAACCACCCACAGAAAAGGAGAAGAAAGAAATCAAAAAGCAGAAGAACCCACCTTGTCCGACACTGTTTTTAGGTAATCTGAGCTTTGATACTACCGAGAAGTCCATTCGCGAAGCATTTGAATGGGCAGGTGATATAAGAAAAGTCAGAGTGGCTACTTTCGAAGATTCAGGAAAATGTAAAGGGTAAAGTATTGTTCCATATTACTTATCGTACTTATGTTTTGAACTATGTAACCTGATGGTTTTCGTGCAAAAAATAGTTTTGCCTATGTTGATTACTTCACAGTTGAATCAGCCACAAAAGCTATTCGTGCACCCGATAAACATAATCTCGATGGTCGTAAAATTCGTGTTGAGTTTGGCAGTGCTGAAGCGCATATGAGATCCAAGCCATGGTTGGTCAGAAGACAAAAACAGCAAGGTTCGAATAATGAAAATATACCAGCTACACCCGCAAGTAATGAAGAAAGCACAGACACGACTGGCGAAGCAGAAAAATCATCAGAAAGTAATACTTATAGAAAACGTAAGACAGAAAGAAGTGATGGTGACTTTAGAGAAAAACGACCAAAGAAAGAAGGACGAAAGGCTGAAAGAGTGAAGCCAGGAATGGCATTATCAACGGCACAAAGGCAAAAACCTTCAGTTCAAGAATTTCAAGGAACCAAAGTCGTGTTCGACAATGATGATTAAAGATATAACAATTAGATATTTAGTAGCTTTACTGCTATATTGTAAATTATAATTTTCTGCTATACTCATGTAGCTAATGTCAAAGGTGTAACTTAATAATAATGTGTTTTATAGTAAATTTGAAATTTGAGCTTACATTTTTATTATGAAATGCGAACACATTTTGCTCCGACCAGTTCATAAAAGTGTGAAGAATTCAGGAAAACTCTTGATAGACAAAATAAAAGTGTATCAACTTAGGTGAATTGTAAAGGGGCTCAAGAACTCGATGTGTGAAGCGCTTGTTGAATTGTGAGCTGACGAAGTTGCTGTAGTCCGTTTAATCAAAGTAGTAGCTATTTTGATTAAGATAAAGCTAGGCAGAATTTTTGTGAAGCGTACTACCGTAACATCCACACTTCCTTTTCTCGACGGTCTTATCGAAGTTTAAGCTTTAAGCAATTTAATAGCAGCAAGATAATTGCGCATTAGGTGATGGAGAAAGGAGTAAAGCATAAATTTGATTCATTAGAGCAATTCTTATTTAATTTCCACTTCACATAGTATCGCACCTAGAGTCTCATTGAAAGTAATCTTTCAAGAAAGCAGAAGCAGTTTTAGACAAAGCCTTATTACTTCCGTAATCTAATTGTGAATAGATCGAACCCTTCTAATTATATATACTTTATCATAATGTTGCGCAATATTACAGCAGCCAACTTCAAGGCTAGCTTATTTTACAGAAATGCCATTTTCATGTGCAACTCTTAGAAACTCTTAGATTCGTAAAGGAAGTTCAGTCGGTATTAATCTTGTCTTTAGCTGTAATTTTTTGCGGTCTTCACTATCTTTCTGTTTCCTTATTAACACTTCACATTAGAAAGTAGACTTTGGGTGTCGATTTCTGACGCTGACAGAGAGTATAATTTCCACTATCACAAATGAAGCAACCGTTTGTTGGCTGTTCCATTCATCGTGTCATTTGAACCACCATTCAAAGCTTACAGAGGGGTCAGTAGAAATTTAAGTCAATGTATTGGGTACATAATAATTCATGGTTATATTGTTCGTTGCATCGACAAGCTGTCCTTTGCAACATTCATTGTTGAAAGTATTGAGAAAGGCAGCATGAAAATAATTTGCAAATTCCGATAACAAAAGAAAAAAAAAGCCAGGAAAAGAACGTCTTCAGTATTGTCAAGACTTGGTTTATCAGTTCAACGCTTTTTCACCCACATAAAATGACTGAATCCAAATCTGTCATTCTTGACACCTCAATGGGTTCCATCCACATTGAGCTATATTGGAACCATGCCCCAAGGTAGGCAACTTGTTCATTGTACCTCAGATCTGGTAAACTAAATTTCCTGATTTGATTTAGAACTTGCAAGAACTTTTATGAGCTAGTATGTGCTAAAGGAAGATCTTGTGATACAACATGCGATTCGACAGTACTCAATCAATACTTTTTGTAGGCCAAACGTGGCTACTATGACGGTGTCAGTGTAAGTTTTATCGCCTATCGAGAAACTTGAATACAGCAGTGCAAACAAATTAACTTTTGATCCTTCCTTCTATCACCAGTTCCACCGTATTATTGCAGTAAGTCGATGTATTACGAATTAGATATTTATTGCACACATTCTCAAGCTCAACCTTCTTCTGCCACAGGATTTCATGATACAAGGTAAGCACATATAAAACTGCTTTATTCGGTACAAAACTGACAAAAAGCTATGCGGTAATTCAGGTGGCGATCCCACAGGCACAGGTCGTGGCGGTTCATCCATCTATGGGTAAATATTGACGAAGCAAAGTATGATTGATGGAATGTACTTTGACATATTAATGTTTAATTTCGATGTTTTTGAATGTATTCCAGTGAGAAGTTTGAAGATGAAATTCATCCCGAACTCAAACACACAGGAGCGGGCATCCTAAGTATGGCCAACTCTGGTCCGAATACAAATGGTTCACAGGTATTGCATACGAGGAAGAAAAGAAAGAGTGACCAGCTGCAGTTTTATTGACGTTGTCATTTGAAAATCGTGCTAGTTTTTCATCACTTTAGCGCCCACACCATGGTTAGATGGTATGCTACAATGCCACTTATAAATCAATGATCTTTCAACTAAAGTTTCTGTACATTGTAGGCAAACATACAATTTTTGGTAGAGTGAGCGACGGCATGAATGTTGTTAAAAGAATGGGTTTAGTTAGAACAGACGGAAATGATCGGTAAGAACTCGGTTTTTTTAAAAATAGGTCGAAAGAGTTTGTTTAAAGATGTTTAACCATGTACATTTTTTATTTGGTGTAGACCAAAAGATACAGTTCGTATCGAAAAATGTCGTTTTGATTAATTGATTTAATAAATAACAGGAAGGAATAACGAAGGAGATAAGAATCAACGTATAATAAAAATACAGAGAGCTGCGTACCTGTTTCAATAGAAACAGGAAAACGAGCTTTTTTTTTCTTGAGTATTATATTCGTCAGTGTTAAAGGTGTGCGCCTCAATGTTCTTTCGTTATGCGATAGCTTCATATCTCGCATTATGTTCGGTTCGATCACTCAAAAGGCTACCCACAAAAGAAAAAGAGCAATCTGAGAACACTATTTCTCGCTTTTTTAACTTGATATAGCCTAGTATACTTACAAATAAAGCACTAACCCAACAACTGGGAAGAAGAAGACTAAAAGAGACCAGCCAAGTTTACCAGATATACTTCGGTTGGAATTCATTACTTCAAAGATAACAATTAAGTCAAGAATTAAGACAATGAGGCCCACAAGACCACCACTGTATTGAAGCATATTATCGACCATGTTTGTGCAGTAATTATTGTATTAAGAAAATTGTTGAAACTAGAAAAAGAAGGAAAGAAATACGTTAATGCAGTTTAAATCCCTCTTTGCCTTTTATAAATGCAGCTAAGCAACTTGCTGGTTTTAGCAACAGGCGCCTAAATGTGATGTCATTCCGAAACAATTATTATCCTTCTATTTGTAGAAAAGCAATTCTCTTTCTTTCTTTCCTTCGTTTAATGACCTTTTTAATTGCAAGTAGCAAGAATCTTCAAGTTTAATCATATTAAAGAAAAGTACTACTGGCATATTTTTGCATAAATTTTCAATCATCGGCCGTATAGCTCTGTAGTTATAACAAATTTCTAGCTGCTGAATAATGGTATTTTGAGCAAATGCTCCAGGAGCACTACGATAAAGACAGGTCCAATAAATTTGATTTTGAAATTGTCACTTTTTAAATACTCACAGCGTTGAATACAACTTCATAAAAGAATTGCATGAGGTTTTCCATTTTAAAAACTGATAAGTATTATTCTGGTAACAATTCTTTTGCGAGCTTTTCATTATCTAAAGCCTATGAATTGACACAGAATTGAATATCGAAGAACTGCCATTGTCTAAGGCAAAAGATCCCTTTATTGATGAATCAAAAAGCATAGTTTTAAGAACTGTATGTTTTGGACATCGAGAGCATCTATTGCTCGACTGGTTACCCTCTTCCCCTCCTACAACCCTTTAGTACATAATCCTTTTTACCCTTGAGCCCTAAGGGTTTTTTTAGATTCTTTTCACCCTTTGGAGCTGCCCCGGGCAATTTAGATAAGCTTAATATCTCGTGTCCATTGGGCTTTCAAAAAAAAAAAAAAAAAAAAAAAATTAATATTATGTATTAAAATCTATGTTTAAACGTATGTTTTGGATGGCAAATCCCGGAAATCTCTTTGATTATCACATCTGCCTTACAAACTTTTTGGATAATGCTCTACTGTCATTTTGGATCTTATGTTATTTTCTTAGTTGGATCAAATTTGAGCGTTATAAGCTATAGAATTGTCAATGTTTACTTGTATTTATCAACATCTTGTTCTCTTTGCATATTCTTTGCCATCTTCTTCCAAATTTACTAAAGGCTTAACTCGATGTCCTCCTCTACAACCAATTTAATACCTTTCTCGGATTAAGAATTATTTGGGAGAAGTTCTCTTATTTTTTACCTCCCTATGCTGTTATTCTTTTTGTCTGCTTTATTAACTAGGGTTGGCCTACTTTTTTTGTGGGAATGAAGGTGGTCAATTATAAGTAGCTACTGAATTTCGGAAATGTGATAGTATTACTTTCGCATTCCAAGTGAATTGAATGGAGAGCATAACTCTGCTTTGTCGTATAAAAACTTTTGAATAACCTGCTTGAAAGCATTCAGCTAATAAAGCCGACGGACATGTTTGGTAAAGAGACTACTACAACACTCAGTTACGTAGAATATAGGTACTGACGTGTTTGGTGAGATAATAACTACAATACTCGAGTACGTACAACCAGGTAGAGAATACATTCTACCACGGTCTATCTATATTGCATCTAATATAGGTTATGTACAACATAGAACAAGATATAGGCCTAAGTATAATAATCACCAATAAGCATCTGAACCTGAAATTAGTGACTAGCATACGCGTCCTCAAATAATATAATTCCCATTAAACCTCACAAAGTAAATAATCCTTCTACTTCATCTGAAGAATAATAAAGACACCTAAGTTCATAGTCATCGACTTACAACTGTTATCAATTTTTTAAATAAGCAAATACAACAGGTACGCGTTCACCATTAACATTTCACTTTTCTATTGTATCGCTTCGGTTTCCCATCTCCCCTTTCACCGTTTACATTTTCACCGCGCATTAAACATGGTAGCACGCAAATTGCGTTGAAAATAGCATGCTAGCATGCAACGATGCGTGGGATGCGTGCTACCGCGCAAAGTTCATGCTACCATGAATAGTGCATGCTAAATCGACTTAAAAATGGCAGCACGCATTTTGCATGGTAAGACGCCTTAAACATGCTACCGCGCAATTTTCATCGTAGAAAGCATCAAACATGGCAGTACTCTTTTTATTATTTCCTTACAATTGTTAGCCTAGTACACTATTTACATGAGCGGCTGCTGCTTCTTGTTCAGCCAGAAAATCATGCTATAGTTTTATTTCAGGTTTATTTATTGATTACTTATACTGTAGGCTACTCTGCCTTGTTGATAGAAAAAAAATAGTAATGACGAGCTCTTTGCTATTTTGAAAGTTGCTGAATTAAACAGTAGGTTGAGAAATCAATTGAGCTACAGTATGTGTTTAGGGTGTAATAGCGCAATTTATACGGTATTATTGCTTGAAATATGAGCGTTAATAAGTTGCTGAAGATTGCAAATTCCCATAGTTGCAAAGAAGTAGCTGGTCTGCTTGTTCAGATATTGTCCTTACATACACTCCTACAGCAAAATAAAGTACTCCTACAAGTAAGCGTGTGGATCATTCGATTGACGACGAAGGTCCAGTATGAATGACAGTGACAATTTTTACCTGACAACTGGGTATCATTGATATTCTTACAGTCTACTACTCTTAATTATTGCAGAAAAAAGAAGTAAAACAAATAAATAAGTTGGTGCTATAAGGTTATGGAGTAAAAAATAATGTTGTATCATTAGTTGATAGGTACGGAACAGATTATTTGCAACCATAAACAACTGTACTTTTCATTTTTTGCAATGGTAGGCTGCAACTGTTTTTGAGAGCGTTGGTATTGGCCCAGCGGAAGACAATGAAACAGTTGAAGAAAGGGTTTGATCAAAGGCCACAAGCTTGAGTTCTGTAGAAAAAAAGTGTCAATTGAAGATATGGTATAAACATATAATGTCTGCTGACCATGAGTTGTAAAAATAAAACGAAGAGTTATTTTTTTCTGGGCCAAAAATAAAATACCTGTTTGGAAAGGTTATTTAGTTGTCGTTCGCAGTGCTAAATGAGAAGTAATCGGCATTATGCGTATTTGACGTCGTTTGCTTCACTTTCTTCATACGACTTTGCAATCCTGGTAAATAAACAAGCTAAACTATAAGCAGCAATGTAACGGCAAAGATGAGCGTGCCTTAATTACTCAGATGTCATGATTCAATGTGCATCTTGTCGGTGATGTGGCCAAATGAGCAGATTATGAAAAGAAATTGAGATGTAGTAACAGTATTTCGTTAGCTTTTAAAAGCCCTTGTAAAAAGAAAAAGGTGAAAGAAGGAAGCCCTCAAATAATTGAAAACAACAGCCCGAATGGTTGCACAGCGATATATCAGTAAAGCTTTGTTTATTGCTCAAAAGGCTGAAATTGGTGAAATTGGTAAGGGAGCACCAAGCAGAAGAAAAAGGACATTATCTTTGGCTATCGTTATTCTTCATCGATGCTTCTATTTAAAACAACAATACTCTGCACTTGCTTATTATGCATTGTCGTCCATACTTTCTTGTCTAGGAAATTCTAACATATACATTACCAGTCTACATATAAGAGACTCTTTCTACTTTCTTTTTTGTTTTAACTTATTCAAAATTGTAAAATTGTACTTGATTTATGAGAGTTGGTAGAATATGAGTGGAAATCTCAGATGTTTAAAGTCCTCCGTCCTTGCTCTATTCATGGCAGCACGCAACCTGCGTGGTAGCATCGGCTATACCAGCTTTACTTTGTGGCGGCACGCAAAATGCGTGATGAATTTGCGAGCATTATGCATTCTACCACGCAAATTTCATGCTAGCATGACTCTCATATATCTTTTTTTTGCTACCATGAATAGTACACTGCTCTCAGTTAATCGGTGTTCTTTTCTTATGTTTTCCGTCTACCTGTGCAAATTGTAATTCATAATAAATCGCTTCTCTCCCATTCATTTTAACTGTTTGCTATTGTGTTCACTTCAAGCTGCAATAGATGCGAGGGAGATTCATACATGATTATCATAACAATAATGCGTTTTTTTTAAAAAACTTCTTCTGATTCTTGTCAGCAAGGTTACATTCAATATAAGCTTGTACGTTGTTTTTTGTTGAACAACGAATTGCAATTGTAGAGCTCAGAAAAAAGAAGGATTTGCGTTTAGACAAGCACTGCAAAGTTTTAGTGCATTCATGCATATTTGTCGAGGAGTTGAGATGATGTCCCACTTTTTTAGACTGTAGTACCTAATTGAGGGCAATATCCTTTGAATATTTTTTGTTGTTGCTTATGTGGATGAGTTCATGAGATGTGTTACAAAGTTACTAAACTCAATGGTCCGTTGGTTCTTAAAAGGATGCCTTTTTTGATGGATTGATAATGGTAAGAAAGATAGCATTCCGTTTCAAATTGGAATAGTAAAGCTAATAAAGTTTATGCTTATCTTCCGTAATGCATAGAAAGGAGCTTTTTTTATAGAGCAGTTTATTTATATAGGAGGCAAGGATACATGAAACTGTTGTACAGATGTAAAAGTCTATTTGTCTTTTGAGAAAGAGAGTGCCATTTTCTTCAATATCAGTAACTATCTCTTTTCTTTAAGACAAAGAAAGATGTTAAAAGTAAAAGTGCATCTACTTATTTCAACAGTTATTAAAGTAAAACTACAACGAATGTAAGTAGGACTGCTACTATGCTACGACTGTTGCTATATAATTTAGTCAATACCAAATTGGACGTTTTCGCCTTATTTTGTAACACATCATCGAAAGAGCAAAAGAAAAAAATTTTCTCTTCTTATGATGATGACCCCCTTAATTCACATGTAAACAAGTGCTAATAAGATGCAATATCAACAAAATGGAGACGGTGCAAATTCCTCCCTAAGAAAGAAAATACGCCTGTTTTTTTCTTATAAATAAGCTGATTTTTGCTCTTTTTTTTTCGTTTTCTTCTTTCTTTCTTCATCATCTCTTTTCTTCATCATCTCTTTTTCTTCATCATCTCTTTTTTCAAACACTTCTTTTCAGCATTTTTTCAGTGTAAGTATTGGTTTTAACATTTACCTATTCGTTTATTATATCCATTCAAATAAGTCTGATTACTGAAGTATCCTTCTTTTTATAATGGCTAGATACGGTGGGTTAGTTTTTTTTTTTTTTTTTGTAGGTGCCGGTGCTTTTGGAAGTTCCCTCCATAAAACGGTAACTTAACCCACCTATTAATATCCCCACATGCAAACTGGGGCGGTGACGGCCGGGTGCCGGTGCTTTTGGAAGTTCCCTCCGTGAAACGGTAACTTAACCCACCTCTTACCCCCACATGTAAACTGGGGGCGGCGACGGCCGGGTGCCGGTGCTTTTGGAAGTTCCTTGACCGGGAATGTAACTTATCCCACCTATTAATACCCCACATGCAAACTGGGGCGGTGACGGCCGGGTGCCGGTGCTTTTGGAAGTTCCCTGACCGTAAATGTAACTTATCCCACCTATTAATATCCCCTCAGAACTGGGGCGGCGACGGCCGGGTGTGGGTGGCTATTTGACAAACCTACACGTGGTGCCACCTGTTAAGTCTTTATGCTTATAGTATAAGGATGAGCCAATATGTCAAACAATCTATAACTCATTTTACTAAATTAATAAAAACCGGATTTTGCCACTTTTATTTGTCTTTACAACCTGTCTTTTTTTAATTCCGAAATTTTTTGTCTTTGTCTAAGTTTGTTATAATGGGCCGTTTTTCTTGAAGCAGTTCAGCAGCAGAAAAAGAAAAAAATAGAAAAATACCGTTGTCAGATGCTAGTTTCGAGGGGTCAGTGTACAATATGTTGCTCAGGTTTTCAATCGTTGTTAAGCTACGGAGAAGTTAAAAACGGCCTTAATGAAGCAAACTTAATCCGATGATGGCTGGAGGCATTGGTAGCTGATTATGCTAATGGCAGTTACTGATGTCATGGTGACCATACCCGATGTTGCTTTTGATTGCAAAAAACTCAGTTATACAGTGTCTTGAAACCGCAAAACATTTGACTTCTGTAATTCATACCATGGTCGTTTTTATTCAATTATCTAGGATGCGATAGTACCTAAAACGGATACATGCGATACTGAAAGGAGGGTATTAAAGAATAGATACAAAAGCTATCTAGATATTTGAGCCTGTAAGCCTTCCAAGCTAATTTTTGCAGTTCAGTGTGATACTCATAGTAAAGTGATTTGAGCAGTGCAGAGTACGAATGGTTCAACACTAACAGTATACCTGCTGCCAGTATGTTTGCTGTACAGCATGAAGATCAAAATTATTCTTAATTATGGGTTTTCTTTTGCAACTTCCACAGGAAGACTACCAATGGAATGTTTTTGATTATTCCAGTCTCACTTGACCAATGCTAGCAAGAGAAACAAAAAGATGGACATTATTTCTGAGGAGCGAGACATTGTATGGCCTTTTCCCTCAGTAATAATACTATCTCTTTTCCTTAAAGAACAAGGAACACGCTACAAAAAGAGACATTGAACACCTATTCTCCTTTTCCCCCTTTTCTTTTTTCTTTGTGAAATATCTTCCTAACATAAAATTCAGCGCAATAAATGTGAAGCATCAGATATACTGCATACAGGGACAAACATATACTTATCGAAGACATATGGAAAGAATATGAATATTATTCTGGTGGCTATCTTCCTGTCTATTGGCATCCGATCTCTTTTGTTGCTGCCGCAACAATCGAATGATGAAGCTTTTAAAATTCTATCGTTCAGCCATCCTATCGCTATAGAATAGAGAATTCATAGTTGCTAAGGGTATGGAGAAAAGAAAAGGTATCGGAAAAGAGAAGTTGTAAAGACGGACGATGCATTTTATACATATGATTAGAGTGCATATCATAAGTAGGCAATGATCCTGTCAGCGATTCTCTTTGTTGCGCTTGATAAGGTGCGTAATCGTGAAGAAAATGGGGGGGGGGGGTTTGTGATTGTATTTGCTTAATTGAAATTGATAACAGTTATAAGTCGATGACTATGAACTTGGGTGTCTTTATTATTCTTCAGATGAAGTCAGAAGAGTGTTTACTCTGTAAGGTCTGATGAGAATTATATTATTTAGGACGCGTATGCTAGTCACTAATTTCAGGTACAGATGCTTGATGTGTAATTATTGTACTTTAGGCCTGTATTTCATTATATGGTATACATAACCTATATTAGATGCACTATGAGTAGACCGTGGTGGAATGTATTCTCTACCTGGTTGTACGTACTCGAGTATAGTAGTTGTTATCTCAGGAAACACGTCAGTTGTTGTTGTAGTCGCCTGCTGTTGATCCTGTTGTTATCATGGGGGGGGGGAAGCTGTTCAATTTGAGTGATAGCGCCTACTATGCCTTGTATCGATAACATACCAAGCATAGTCTCTCAATTGTCCCATATTTGATCTATCTTTTTTATTCATCGCCAAAGTAATCGAAATTATACCTTAATCGTTTAAACAAATGTCATTCACGTTCATTGTACCAAGCTGAAATAATTGTGAACTATCGGTTGGATATTTGTCTGTTGGTTAATTCCCAAATCTTCAACAGAATTAGGCATTTATCGTGCGGTTGCCAGCTTTATGATGTGGGCTGAATGAGACACACTATTATCCGAATATTTGTTTTGTTTTTCTATTCAAACCTTCCTAGCGATCTACATTTGCATGCAGAAACGGTGAGGAAGTTCAGGCGTTACTGATGTCTATCAACAACGATTTGTCTTTTTATTTTCGTTGAGCATATAGTTCACACTTAAAGCATGTGTGATTTTATTACTGCACTACTAGCCTATTGTATTTATTTTTGGTTACTATTCTGTTTTCCCCCCTTAAGCCCCACCACTTTTAAACCTTTTTGCCTCTTTTTCAACAGCTTCTTACTATGCCAAGTCTAACTATGCTTTTGAAATGAACCTTGGCTCTTTTAAACCAACGCAGTTGGCGCTGTATGTTGCTATGCAGATGCACCTCTAACCAAAATTTATGTCTCCCAGTTTCGACAATGACCTAATCGACGCTTCCATCATTATTTACAGAGTTTAGCACACCTTTATATGATGACTAACTGCTCAAAATAGGTAGAAGTACGGGTGCTCCATTCCATAATTTAGCCTAGGTTCATTTCGACAATATTGGCTACTGCGCTTTCTTCTCGAACAATTACATGGTCCACTATTCTCGCTCGGGATCCCACATTAATATGTCTTTCCTCTTAGGCTTCTAGCATCTCTGGAATTGAAAAGTTTTTTTTTAATTGTTAGAGTTACCGCATGATATTTTTACATGTCGGTGCCTATGTCTGCACAACTCGTTAAGCACTCAATTATCCTTGCGACACATACATAATCGGCGATGGACTTCAATTGCTTGCCAGTTCTGCTTAGCATCTCTTGAAGATGGGATTTTCACTTTAGTGTTGGCCTTGGATAGTCGTTTTGGTTGGTACTAAACTATGTAAAGAGTCAACTCTAATTCTGCGTACTGTCTTTGTAGGTTAATTATGCTTATTCCATTGGTATTACACATACATTCATTATACAATGTTCAAAATAAGTAAATTGGAACTTTAAAAATTCCAGAAAAAAAAAAGCACACGTCATGATTTAAAATAGACATAAACTGGCTATCTTGCAACTACTTTCCAGAAGGTCAAATACAACGATGCTTGATTTGCATTTGGCAGTTAAGAATGTTAGATGAGATTGAGATTGAATTTGAAGGTTGGACAGGCCCAACTTGAGTGACTGAACAATCACCGTCCTTTCACTAACTAAATGTAGTCTTCGGTTATACCAGTCTTCTTTATGGATGGGGCTTTGGAAAAGAGGTGAAGAAAGTCAACCATGGCCATAAGTTGTAGACGGTTAAACTATGTATCCATAGAACGGCTTCCACAGATCTTTGTTCTTATTGTTTACTGTTTGCAAACCCATCAAATACCTATGTATTGTTCCTTTTATCAGTTGAAAATAAGCCGTTCCTCTATTGTTTTCAAGCTGCAGTAGGAGAGGATCATGTGAAAAATTGGATTGCCCCAATTTTCGGATAATTGTAGTAGCAGCAGACAAAGTGCTCTTAAACTGTAAACGGTACCAAATAGGTTTCTACAATCAACCTATTGAAAGTAAACATTCAATTTCAACGTGGCTCAAAGGCTCGTCGTTCTACCATGTTAATATACCCATGGCCACTCAAAGAGCTTACTGTATTTTTTAGAAAAACGCAAAATACTACATATCGCAACTTTCAGTAGCCATGTTTTAGGTTCGTTGTATCCCGAACCTGAAACTTTATTTTTTTTTTGATTTTTTTTCTCTTTTTTATAAAAGAAAGGAAGCTTAAATTTTTCGATTCTCCAGTTGCTCCTTAGTACCTTCTTCACTTTTCACCTTGGTTCTCCCATAGTTTTTACAATGCTCGCCGGAAATAACACGGAAAAGAAGCCTGTGAGGTAAATAAAGCACCTTAACAACTATGTATCAACTTGTCTAAATATTTTACTTTTATCTTCAGAGTCTGGGTCGATGGTTGTTTTGACATGATGCATTACGGTCATGCTAATGCTTTGAGACAGGTAATGAAAAACAAACATCTGGCATGTCCTTTGGCACTCTTTATTCATTACTAGGCATTTTTTTTTGTTTTCTTTTTTTCTACAAAAAGGCCAAAGCAATGGGTGATATTCTTGTCGTAGGTGTTCACAATGATGCTGATATTGCCACGAATAAGGGGCCTACTGTCATGAAAGAAGAAGAAAGGTAGAGCAATAGGAAAAATTCTTTAAAAGGTTCGATTATCTATGTTACTGATGATCAAACTTTGCTAATCTATAGATATGCAGCAGTAGCAGCATGTAAATGGGCAGATGAAGTAGTTCCTAATGCACCCTACAATACCACAGTGGAGATCCTCAAGGAACATAACATCGATTTCTGCGTTCATGGTGATGATATTACCACCATGGCCGATGGTACAGATTGTTATCAGGCAGTGAAAGATGCAGGACTCTATCGTGAATGTAAAAGAACCGTAGGTGTTTCTACAACAGAGCTCGTCGGCCGCATGCTCTTAATGACGCGCGATCACCACAACAAACGCCGTAGACCATCGATGAAAGATGAAGATGAGCCCATATCTACTTTTGCTGACGATAGCAATATCACACCTTTCAGTGCGAACGGACCCAAAAAAACCACCGTATCACAATTTTTGCCTACTTCACGCCGTATCGTACAATTCTCATCGGGTCGCGAGCCCAAACCTACAGACAAAATTGTGTATGTGGACGGTACATTTGATCTATTCCACGTCGGGCATATTGAATTTTTGAAAAGAGCCAAAGCATTGGGTGACTTTCTGATTGTTGGCGTGCATGACGATCAAACTGTGAATGCCATTAAGGGATCCAATTATCCTTTGATGAATCTGCATGAACGAGCTTTGAGCGTGTTGGCTTGTCGTTATGTGGATGAGGTCATTATAGGCGCACCTTATAGTGTGACGGACGAGATTTTGAATGGAGAATACAAAGTAGCTGTGGTGGCTCATGGGAACACCCATTTGGATACGGATATGGATGGAAAAGACCCCTATGCACTACCCAAAGAATATGGTATTTATACAGAAATTGATACCCCCAATTCTACTATTACAACTGAAGGTATTATTGATCGTATTATTGAGAATCGTAAAATGTAAGTTGCATGGATACGAAAACTATCACCGTTGACATTGATGACTAGTCATGAATTTGAAAGTAACATTTTTTTTACTTCTGTATGAATAGTTACGAAGAGAGACAAAGAAGGAAAAATAAAAAAGCTATTGTAGAGCGTCAAAAAGAAGCAGATGAGAAACAACAGCAGCAAGAAGGACAGCCAATATAAATCATGTAGCATTGTATTTTACAACATCAGTTTCGCTATTTATTTATTCATTTATATATGATCTCAATAAAAAACCACCAAATTATGTTCATTTATTGCTATACAATTCAAAAGCACTTGATGTTTACGCTAAATGCTGTATTAGATGCCTTGGATCATTCAATCCAAGATGGCTGAAAATGAAAGTGAAGCTTTGAATATAATTCATACGGCGAAGCGATACGGAGACGAGATAAATGGCTACTCAAAAAAGGTGCAAGGAACAGCAAAAAGAATTTATTGCTCATCTGCTTTGTAAGGATTGGCTATTTCAATTTCCCAAAAAAAGAGTAAGCTCATAACCAAAGACTCCTTTGAAAGGACAAAGAAGAAATCTTGCCGAATACGGAATAATAACAGCCCTTCTGGAGATAGGTGATTCAAAAGAGCAGTTTATAATTTTTAAAGAGAGAGAACGAGTGGAAGAAGGCCGTATATGCAATACAACAGTTACTCGCTTTCAAAAGATAGTCTGAAAGCATACACAGATGCTTATTCACTGTCTCTATTATCGTGTTCAGCCAAGCCTATGACGCTTGGTGAGGAAATAATAGTGCTAAAATGGCCTTACAGGATCCCCTTTGAAAGAGTCAGACTCTAACTAAGTCTTTTCTTTCTCAAAAGCTATAGCAAAGAGACCGCGGCTTCTAAAAAAAATAAATAGGCTGACTGAGTTGCAACAATCGATTGTGTGGGGTATAAATTGGTACCTTTTTTTTTTTTTTTTTTTTTTGGGTCACGCAACAATAAAGCTGTCATTTCTCTATTTCTCCCATTCGACCATTTGCCTAATGGATCTTGCACTAGACATAACGTCAACATGCCAAATCAAAGTGTTACTGATACCAGTTCCACCCATCAAAAGTTTAACATTTTCCAAACATGTAGAGATGGTGAGGCAATTCCATACTGTTCGACTAGGCGATGTCACGCCTAATCTACAAAAAGGGACCAGTGGTATAGGGCACCTTCTTTCTCGCTTTCTTTCAAAAATGGCCTGAAAAAAAAGCTTACACTTTTTGTTTCTGATGCATATAGCCAAGTTTAACAGCCAGGCTTTTCGAGAAGGACAAATGCACTTCCAGTTTGTGACCAGATATGATAGAGAGCACGTTCATCTTGAGGATTTTCAGCCTCATCGACGTATATTTGGTGTAAGACTTTTTATCACAAAAGAAGCTATAGTATGAACAATGATTAGAGTATGCTGATGATGGTTCTTTTTTCCTTCATAAATCTGATGCTGTAGGTGGTTGGTATCATGGACTGTAAAGAATGGCAGGATAAAGACTTGAGTGAAGGATGCAAAAAATTCAAAGAAATGTTAAAGCAGGTTGGATTGTAATTTAAATTGGCAACCGAAACAATTAGCCCCTGATGGATTTCCTTAACTTTCGTCCATTTGATGTTGTTTTCTAAATGATCATAGTACCCCACTGCCATAGCGACAAGGTGTTTTGCATTTGATCCAACTGAAAATCAACCGGATGACACGAAAGGGTTGATTATGATCCCCAATGTCGGTAATATGTCATTTTATATGAGCACCATGATTTGTGATTTTGCGAGTGAGGTCTTGGATCAGTTTGCGTTTATTGTGAGTAGTCAATAGAGATGAAAGACAAGGGAAGCATCCCTTCGCATAGATGAGGGTCCTTTCTTCTGAGCTTTGCTTTTTTGTTTCTTACACCGAGTCCTATAGGCAGAGCGTATTGAAAGATTAACATTGCTGAAATCCCCTCATCAGGCCACTTTCCTGTTTTCAGGCCCAACGAGCCCAGGATGGCTACGCAAGCAGACCACCAACAATGTACCTATCCGGCCTCAGCCGTCGATGAGTACGCCACAAAAATCAACTGTGAACAGCAGGCAGTCTCAAGCACCCGCCCCCATGCCGACACCCTCTTTGTCTTCGTCTTTTCTCCGAAGAGCAGCCACTTCAGCCAGCAAAGATAACCGTAAAAGCTTAGTGAATACTACTACTACTGCTTTGGATACGAACAGTCCTAGTGCCACGATGGAACCTCCACCGTCACCGAGACCTTCGATGACACGCTCCACTACGTTTTCTAAAATCATGCCTCCAACTATAGATGATGAATCCAAGGATCATCAAACAAGACAGCGAACACCAGGAAGGATCAAAAAACTTTTGGGTGATTTCTATTTATTAGCAGGCAGATTACCAGATGCTTTAGCACAGTAGGGTTTGTTGATAAGATGATTCTATTGCTTTCTTTTCAATACTTGGACGATGTGCAATAAGCCGTCTTGCAGATTTTGCTAAAATTTTTTCTTTTTTTTTTTTTTTTTTCTTTTTGCTCATCCATGCGTAGCTATCATGAAGCAATTCATACGATGCAGAGATTGCAGGATTACTTGTGGTTAGCAAGCGCTAAGGAAGGTCTTGCTTGTACCATGATTTTGATGACTTGCCTTCGCAAAGAAGAAGAAAAAGTAAGAAAAAAAGAAAAAAAGTTCATAAAAGGGCTATGTCTGTCGATCGATGGCTTTGTTTGACCCCTTTTTTTTCTTTTACTTAAAACAGCACATTGTTTCCCGTCCAAGACTTTTGAATGAAGATGATGCTATTGCCGACCCCACACCAAGCTTTATCGGATTGTCTTCTCCTTTTTCAGCCTCCACCTCTACCGTGAATGGAGATAAAAGAGAAGAGGCTACAGTGCAGAGACCAGTCGATATCGTCTCAGAAATAACGGATCTCTATAAAGATATTATTGAAAACTATGCCAACGTCTTTTCGACGTTGACAAGAATGCCTCCGAAATTGATTTATGCAGAAGCATGCTTAAAAATTGCGCGCTTCTTGACAAAAGTGTATATAAACGAAGGTTGGGACGATCATCTCTCAGTCAAACTATTTCACTGTGTACAACAACAGAGAATGCATCGAAAAAACAGAGATACCGCCTCTTTTTGTTCTTTTTGGAAAAAGGGAAGTGGGCTGAGTCGATTTTCAATCGCTCAATGGATGACAAAGTTATGGAGTATGAATATGGATGATTTGACCGTGTTGGAACAAGTAAAGTAAACAAGACAAGATAAGAAGTGTAGATGGGAAAAAAAGGGAGATTCTGTGGAGAGAATGAAAAACGAGCTCACCTTTGTCTCTCTCTCTCTCTCTCTCTCTCTCTCTTACGCACGTACATACACCTCCTACTTGAATTAGATTCATGTATTCACTCATATGTCTTCCGTGTTGTCGACGATTGGTTATCATCGAAAATCAGCGTGGATTTTGTATGAGACATTAAACCGTATGTTACCGATGCTGATTCAAGACAGAGCCGCCATGGCCGGCTGGATGAGCGACCCTTCCAGACAAAAAAGAGTGACAAAGGATGACGACGGTATTTTAAAGATGCTTAGAAGGATGTGCGAGGTGTATGGCATAGAAGGTAATAAAAGCCCATCCACATAAAGAAAGAGAAGCGCTAGGGAGGGGGAGGGGGAGGGGGGAGGGAGAACTGCCACATTAAACATAACCTCTATACGTTTTAAAATGAAAATACACAGATGTCCAGAACACTGGCACCCTGTTGCACTCGACACAAAAAGTAGAGGTTCAAAGCAATCCTCAACAACAAGAAAAAGTCAACGAGAACATCCATTCCAGCTACCCAAGAGCAAATGATAGGAAAGAGGGTTCTTTTGGTTGGGTCACACTTCAAATGGATGTGCTAAGAGAATGCATCATTATTGCAGAGGCCATCCATGATCATGCCTCGCTTCTTCACTACACCGAGGTACTCTTGCGTAACTTGTACAAGTATATTAGTAAAGAAGAACAGATTCGGCTTGCTTCTTCTATACAACGTATCACCCATGCCCACCCTAAAACCTTCACCCCAGCGCTGAACGTGCAACAACAACAACAGCAGCAGCAGCAGCAAGTAAACCATTGGGGTTTCAACCTCATCCAATCGATTGTGCCGGTGCCTCTGATAGCACATAAAGCCATTTATCAACATCCAGGGTTGACACAAAAAGGCTTTACACATAGCGAACAGAAGCGTATCCCTTCTGACGATCCATTCATCTATAATCCATTTTCTAAAAAGAAGAAAGAGCCTGAAATCCATCTGATAAAGAACGAAGTATGTGAATTCAGAGTGGTGATGACCAATCCCTTTGATTTCGATCTTGATATCCATACTCTTGTTTTAAGGTAAAGTAACTACCGTATACCAAGATCTATTCACCCTCCCCAACCCCCCCCAACCCCACCGCGCACACCTGCACAAAAACACACATTGAAAAAAAGAATAGAAGAGAGAGATAATCAAAAATTGCTTCTAGTACCTCAGGTGTCTCTTTCTCGTCTGTGCCATCCGTAGCTGTCGTACCAGCGAACGATAGTGTAGAATTGATATTAACAGGGACCCCATTAGAGACGGGTGCACTCATCATTCGCGGATGTCGAGTAAAAATCATGGGTTTTGCTGAACAAGAGTTTTTGTTGGATGATCAGCAAGACAGTGGCAAGAGCATGACAGTCCAGCAACAACAACAACAACAAAGCAAAGGCAACCCGTCCAACAGAGGTCAAGACGGCAAGCTTGGATTTAAGGAATCGAAAAGAATCAAATATAGGTAAAATCAACAATAAAGAACCGAGGTAGGGCAGATAGGGATGTATTAACGTCACGCGTACGATGGGTTATGCATTTTCAGTGGTCTACGTGTTTTTTCTAGCATGTCAGAAAGCAGAAACAAAGTGGAACGAGACAAGTCGGATCCTACAGGGTCAGATACATCGTTGATGAGCAGTCGATGTATCACGCTGAATGTCATAGAGGAACAACCTTTATTGAATATCAAATCGACATCGATCCTTCATGGAGCGATCATGCTATTCGAAGGCGAAAAAATCAAGGTCACTGTGGAAGTAGAGAATATCGGCAAGACGCCGGTTGATTATCTGACGTTATCGTTCATGGATTCGACCACCATGGATCCGCAACCTGTTCACCCAGAATGGTCGATGGCAGAACAATATGAAGCGGAGCTTTATACGAAAGGGACACCTGTCTTCTGTTGGGAAGACATATCGCCAAGCACCCAAAAGGACGGTGCGAGCAGCGAGGAGGATGAGCCTCTTTATGCAGTAGGTAAAAGAATAGATTTAGAGCCAGGTCAAAGTACCACCGTCAACATTGGCGTTTACGGCAAACAAGGCTGGTAAAAAAAAAAAAAATTGCATTTTTGTGTTTTGTCCACACGAGCGAAAGAGAAAAGGTTATTCACAGTGACTGCAAATGATGTTAGTACATTCGGTGCTATTTTCATCGTGTATGGATATTTGAATAGGCAAAAGACGCAGGCATCAAGCAAGGCACTGCCGACGTTCACTTTGCATTCGGGTGCTGTCTACACAAGACAGCTGTATCTCCCTGTCCATATCACTGTTCATCAGCACCTGGAAGCTGCTTACTGGGATGTTTTACATTTACGCGACTACACAGTGGGTAAGCGAGGAGAGGGGACTGAGCCCTCAGGGTATGGTCAGCACCCGTTGGAACAATTATTAAGTTCTCAACAGCAGCAAGCTCCTGATGATGAAGGGATGAAGGACACGAAGGATCAAAACGTGGATTGTCTATTGACGTTTGATCTTCGGAATACATGGACCGTTCCTCTCGATGTTGCGTTTGCGGTCGACAAGAGTGATGATATGGACACGAGCGACCACAAGATCCTCTATACACTGACGATTCAACCCTCCATCACGAAAAGGTAAGTGGTCGCCGTTTTGGGGTTTTCATTTCAGTGGGGATACGTCTGCTTTTTTTTTTTTTACTCAAAGTGGCTGTACTAGAATCGTATTGCCGTTGAAAAAGTTGTACCTTTCTACTCAGGGACGCATGCAGGCGGTCCCTTGTTTTGATCCCAACAAGCAATTTGTTGTTTCTCAAAGGCCCAAGCTGGCTCCGGAAGAAGAACGAGCACGTCGAGAAATGTTTTGGTATCGAGAGCAATTATTGGCACGTATTCAAGCCACTTGGAAATGCTCCAGCAGTGCAAGGGCGGGACGCCTTCAGCTTCGGTCCTCACTTCACTTGAGTGCAAGACAGCTCGCTGTTCTTACAAAGCAAGATATTGAGCTATTCATTCACATGCCTACGGAATCCACGACAGCTCCACGAAAACGAAAAAGTGTGGTAAAGGAAGTAGGCTATCGACAATTTGAATGTTTCACCAACGAACTTGCTCCCATGCATATCACAATAAGAAATAAGTATGGTAAGTAAAAGAAAAAGAGTAGCGAAATGAAGATGAACAACCCTTTTTTTCATCCTGGCTGTTGTATTAGCGCATCCTGTAAAGCTTATTCTTAGAATTCAACCCGTTCAAATCTACCATACGGGAGCCAAAGAATATGATGTGAGCGAAAAGCTGTTAATACAAGGCCTTTCCCAAGTGGTGCTACCAGAAATACCGGCCAATCACGGTGAAATAACGCATTCCATTGCTCTTTGCTTTCTGTCTCGCGGTCATTTCCAATTTCTATACCATGTTGAGGATGTCCACACGCGAGAAATATACCATGATGACGATGGGGCATTTGTCAAAAGCAAAGACAATCGTTGATTGAATTGTGACAGGTAGAGAACAGGAAATAATAAAAGTCTATGCCTACTTTGAAACGGAAAAAGCCATGACGAGGGCCATCATCGTGACCCTCTTTTACAAACTACTCTTCGCGTTCTCTCTGATATGTATGCTCGCTCACACATCGGATGACACACTTGTGTGCCTTGATCTAAATCAGGCAAGACGTTGAAGCAATTTTATTGGTGCTTTTTCTTTGTTTGTATTTGAGCGACCAACAAAAAAAAACAAAAAAACAATGAAATATGAATACTTGGCCGATCCTTTTTTCATAAGACTGCGTACGGAAGGGAAGCAAACTTTAAAGTGAAAAAAAGTGCTTCGGTTGTTTGTCATACCGATATTACTTTTTTCTTTGTTACTCTAGATTTTTGAAAAAAAAGAAAGGCCAGATGTCTACTTAAGAGAGCTACGATAAAGCATAGAAAAGGATAGCGTGTCAGACAAGACAGCTTTCGATATATAGAGTTTAATAAATACAAGTACTACTAGAAACAACCTGTCAGAAAATCCTAAACTACGCCTTTTCACTTTGAGCAGTATAGTCATTGGATCATCAGACATTTTATTGTTTTAGTTTGAAAAAAGAAAAAAGAGAGAGAGAGAGCCGTCACTTTATCTATGTGTATAGATAAATCCAACATGATCTATCATCCGTCAAAAGCATCACTTGAATGAGCTTACGCCATGGATCTTTTATGTTTCAACTTTTCTCGTTTTTTTTTTTGCCAAGTGGGCGAAGGAGACGATGACAAAAAAAAAAAAAAAAAAAAAAAAAAAAAGCCAAAAAATCCTTGTATTGCCAAGTATCGCCATGGTTTTCGTTCCAAGCGTTGTGTCTATACGAAGACAGAGATTTGATCATGAGACGGCAAGTTTTTCAAATCCATGTACGCCCAAAATTGCTTTTGTATGCTTTATTAGGAAGAGAACGAGATAAGCTGGCTTTGTACGGTAGTCAACAGTAGCATAGAGAGAAGTATGAATGTTGACACTATTTCCTCTCAAGAGAGAGAGCGTGTCATTGTAAAGAGATAGAAATGGTGAAGGATCTCTTTTGTCAAGCCATTTGTCTTTTTTTTTTTTTTTTTTCACTGATGACATTTGCGCCCCCAGCTTAAGGACTAAGCAGAGTATATGAATGCATCCATTTAAATAGGGATCCACTTTTTTGCGACTCTCCTTTTTATTTTTGTTTTTTTTTCCTCTTTGTTTGACCTTACGGACGCACACCTACTTATTCACACATTACTTGACGTCTATTTGTACAAATTGCTGCTGTTTATATTCTTATCATGTTGCAATTGAAATTCAATAAAGGAAAACTTAGTACACAACAACTCAAAGACATTGAAAAGGTATAGAGAGGATTGATGTGATCTGTTTCTAAATTGCCAGAATGGCTTACTCATCCCGTATACAAAGATCATTATTCAACAGCAGAGTGCAAAAGTCGCCAGCACCACCACGACAAGCCTTGCTGATGTCAATGTGCTTCATATGAATACGACAGAGCTTTTTGCTCATGTGTTGAATTTATTGATAAAGATAAACGCGCACCAAATGTTAGGGTTGACTTTATCTCAGTTGTTGGATTTTATCGTGGATGTTGCCAACCAATATCACTTTTTCCAACGTACAAGCGCCACCACAACAGCGACAGCCTCTGAATCGCATAAGATACTACCTTTATATCATACGTTTTATCATGCCGCAGATGTCATGACAATGTTGCACTATTTCTGCCATGACCTCAAGGCCAATGAATTCTTGACAGACATGGATAGGGTTTGCTTAATGGTAGCCGCATTGTGTCACGATATAGGTCATGTAAAGTAGCCAATATTTTTTTAAGGCGTGTCTGTCTGTGGAAGAGGGTTATCTCACTTTTGTTTTCTCTCTCTCATGGAAACCTTCCAATAGCCTGGTTTGAATAATCATTTCCAAGTCAGTATGAAGACGGAGTTGGCTAAACAGTTTGGTGATAAATCGACGTTGGAGATGTATTCTGTTTATTTGACAATAAAGTTATTGGGCAAGCATGAGATTTATTACCAACGCAGGGGTAGCAACAGCAAAAGTGGTAGTGCTGGTGGCTGCAACAACAACAACACCAACAGCAAAAAGAGCCACGTGGCTACTGCCCTCGAACGTGAAAAATTCATTGAAACGATCAGGGACTTTATTTTATCAACCGACATGATGTATCATCAAGAATTAGAGTCTCTCCTCCATTCCTTGTCCTCTGAAATAAAGCAAAAAACCAAACCTTCTTTGATCTCGACTGCAGGCATGTCGCATGCTGTTGGCCCATCCACAAAAAAACGAACATTTGCCACTGCCTTTTGCTTACCACCTCCACTCAAGAAAAGAAAGCAGCAAAAAGCAGGAGAAACAGCTCCTGCTGTATTGAACGAGAAAGGTCGCTTTGACTTGTGTCGTATTTTATTGCATGCAGCCGACATTAGCAACATGACCCGTCCTTGGTCGATCGCCAAGCAGTGGTCTGATCTGGTGGTGCAAGAGTTTTATCTTCAAGGAGATGAAGAGAAAAAGAACCAAAAGACCGTGTCTCCGGGTATGGATCGAGACAGCAACACTCAAGCCTCTATCAGTTTAAAATTTGGGTCCTTTATTCATCCTTTCTTTGAAGCGTTGGCTCATCTATTACCCGCATCCTACATTTTAGTGGACTATCTTTCTTCCAACCGTCTCCTTTGGGAGACAGCAGCAGGGAACACGGAGCACATGTCAAAAAAGAGAAAGATCTCGTCCTCAGGGGATACTTGTTCTACACACCTTTTACCCAACCACAGCAACAACCACAGCAACAACAACAAGCATAAACGATCCTCCATTATGATGCTGCCGACCGTCAAAGCGGGGGATGACAGACGATGCTTGGGCTATAGAAGTTACAGCTATCCTTCTGCTGTATGTTATGCCACCCACACACCTACTGCTCATACTACCATTCTAGAGAAAACCAACTTGGTACCCATCTTAGAATTCAACCCACCTACTTTTTTGTATCATCCTCTAGACACAAACGCGACTACTTCCATTGTATTTTATCATCCTTACGATTTCTGAAAAATATCACATCATTTTCGTCGCAAAATAAACTTGACTAGAAAGAAAAAAAACAAAAAACAAAAGGTTTCAAGTAAAACTGGGGGGTGCGTGGCATCTACAGAACGTATAAGGCTCAAAAATCACATCATGAGTTGTGTTGGTTCCTGAAAAAAAAAAAAAAGGCCCAGATTTGTTTTGGTTAATTGTCTTGGGTTTCCGCTTTCCAAATAAATCTTTCTCCGAGGAAAACTTGATAGATTTGCGTTCCACCAGCGCACGTACACTCGCGTTTTTTTTTTCTTTTTTCTTCTTCTTTTCTGTTTTAGCAGAAAAAAAAAAAAAAAAAAAAAAGTTTCAGTTAAAAACATGATGGTTTTCCCAAAAAAAGCTATTTTCTATTCCATTGGGTAAAAAATATCATTTCCAGGAAAGGAAATTTCCTAGATTTGTTGGAAAGCGGGGGTGGAGAGGAGGAAAAATGCTTTCGTGCTTTTTTATCGCTTCATTGAAAATAATACATCTACAAAAAAAGAGCGTCCTAAAAATCAAGCATGACGGAAGACAAAAGAAAGCCTAGGCCGAATACAGAATGGTGCGTTTTTTTTTTTTAATGGATCACTGTTTGGTAGCAGTTCTGAGACATATTTGCTGAATCAGAACTGACCAAGCTGACAGAAAAAAAACAAGTATGTTTTCTGTTGCTGGGCTTGAGTGTATTTGAGCGGGGGTCGTACGGTTTCTGCACGCAGAGACATACAGAATAGAGTAGGACGTGCATCAAAAAAAGCAAACGTTACTCTACGGACGCGGGGGGAAAACGTCCTACTGAATAAGTGGTCTTTTTTTTTTTCATCAGGTGAACAACATTCTTAGAACGGAGAGAGAGAGAGAGAGTGGGTTGAACAGTGAGATAGGGCACTTTTGTTCTTTCTGAATTCGATTCATGCATTTTCTGCCTTCAAAAGACATGAAAAAAAATTTTATTTTATTTTTTCGAAAACAGGACAAATAATTAAAAAAAAAAGAAAAAAAAAAGAGGCGGGAACCCCATCTTGTTCACTGGGAAGGGGAAAAAAGACGTTTCCATTACCAGGAAAAAAAAGGTGATTTTCGTAAAAAAAAAAAAAAAAACCCACTTTTTCTCTTCTTATCTTACGCTTGTGTTACCATACATTTGCAATTTTTTTTTTCTCTGAACCAACAGAATGCGTTTCCCTTTTGATTCATTTCAGAACCATAAAACCGCAAAAACGCAATCATTAATAAAAAAAAAAGAAAAAAAAAAAAAAGGGTTTTTTGTACCTTCCCCTTTCTTTTTTTTCCCTTCTTTTCACGCCCTCCATTATTAAGATCATTGATACCCTTTAGAGTCATATCCATACAACAATGTTTCATACCGTTACAACTTCTCATAACAATACCACAATGACGTTTCTTGATGACCAGGATGAAATGACGACCCCGACATTAGAGTCCATCTTGGATGCTCCAGAGTCAGATACGTTCAAGGAGTTTGCAGCGTATTTGCATCAATCGTACTGTATAGAAAACTTGGCTTTTTGGATCGCCACACAGGAATATCACAAACAATATGAGTCCAGCAAGAAGAGAAAAGAACTGTGTGGAAATATGATTCATCGTTATATTCGGCCCAACTCGTCGTTAGAAATCAATATACCTTGTGATATGCGTCAAAGCATACTCGATCATTATTACCAAGACAATTGTCATTTGCACATTTTTGATGAAGCAGCCGAAGCTGTGCTGGAGTTGATGCGAGTGAATTCTTATCTACCATGGATCACGAGTAGTAATAACAGTAGTCACTTGCCGTCTCCTACTACCACCACCCATAGCCTCAGTACATGCTCTTCACCACCGAGATCACCGCCCTCCTCATTCAAGCCAACACCACCACCACCACCACCCTCATCCTCATCACAGCAGCAGCAGCAGCAGCAGCATGGAAGCAAAAGAACAAAAGGATGTTTAAACCATTCCAATTCATCAAGTACCTTATCCACCCATGCTACAACGGACACTCTCCTCAGTGCTTCCTCCACGACCTCTCATCAACAATCCAAATGGATGCAACTCATCAAACATCAACGCAATTGTGTTTCTTTGGATCTTGGTCAGTTGAGTCCTTCCAACGATTCCTTTACTCAGCATATTTCATCGTCCTCCTCTTCTCCCCTCACGCCTACCTCAACGACCTCATCCTCCTTTGCCACCGTGGGCTCAAAGCAATATTGTAAATCCATGCTTAGAAAAATGAAACGATCTTTTTTAGGTCAACCACCATCACAAAGTAATAGTAAATGAAAGCGAATGGGCACGCTTCTCTGCTTTTTTTAATTTTTTCAAATCATAGACAGCTTTTTTTTTTATAAGATACCCTTTTCCCCCTCACTCTTCTGTTACCCAACCTATTTTATTGTAAAAAAATATAGATAGATAGATATCATTTTTGACTTGCTATCAGGAACCATTGCATTTGAAATAAAAAGACTTTCTTTTTTCAACACCTGTCATCGCGGTGTGTTACAATAGAAACATCATGATGACAAAAATAAAACGGGGTAGTAGCTTATCATTCTTTACAAGTTGCCCCTGAAAATGTGGGGCACCTTTTCCCCCGCCATCGTCCTTTTTTTTTTTTTTTTTTTTTTTTTTTTTTTTTTTTTTCTGCGGGCCCATTCAAGCCTAAAAGAAGGCTTGGTGAGGGTTAGGTTTTTTTTTGAAGAAATGGGTCGGCCCACATAAGACATACACACCTGTCGATCAAAAATACAAAAACGTCATTCACCTTTTTTTCATACCTTCTTTTCCCCATCGGTAGAAGGAGGGTCCTTCTTTTTCATTGTTTCGCTTCTTTCCGCTAGAAAAGTTGGCAACAGATGCACAATAAAACGTGCGATGGACTTGCTTCCTCATGATGCCAGTCATGGACTGTCCAGTGGCATCGATGCACCGCCGCCATGAAGCACTTTTGGACTTTTGCAGCCAACACGACTTTTTTAACCTTGGGCTGGCAGGGCACGTGTGGAGAGGGGGAGATGGAGAAGGATAGAAACTCCGATGACCCTTTCAAGCCCAATGGCTATGGCCATGACAGGGAAGAACCCAAGAGAAGGGGGTCAAGGGGATGGCTTCGTTTCTTTTGGGTTGTCTGCCTTTTGCTTGCTATCGCTTTGATGATTCCCATCGATGGCACGATACGGAGAGAGGGGTGAGGTGAGACGGCCTAAACGTATATCAGATAGACACGCGCATCATGGCGCGCGCGCGCGTTAGGGTCGGAAGGTTAAAAAAAAGCCGGTTTCTTCTTGAATCTTTTAAGCGATCCTCCTTCAAAGGGGTGGCATGGGAAGAGTTCTATTGAAAAATGAGCAGCCGATAACGTGTAGGTTGTTGCTGATAACAGCAACATAAAAGTCAGACTTATCCTACGCTACTAGAAGATGGACGCTCCAACACCAGACGCCAAACGTTTTCAAGATAAAGAAAGAAAGAAAGCAAAAAAAAAAAAAGGGGTCTCCTGTTTGACCCTTTCTTTCCGCTTAAAAGTATAACGTTGCTTGCGGAAACCCTTCTTCCCTTTCTTCTCGTGCCTTATGTAATGAGTGAGGGCGAATCGTATTTGTTCGACACAACATATTATCCGGGAGGTCTCTTTTCATCGTTATGTAATCAATGACAACTTTGTTTCTACTTGAGAGAACGATGTGTATCGTTTGTGTAAAAAAGACGGGTGAAGAGTTATTTTGTCTTGCGCGCTATTGGACATCTACTGACTTGCACACGCTGATACAACAACAACAACAACAGAAAGAAGACTCTGTTCGTATACTCATCGGTGGGGTTCTAAGCAAAAACATAAACTCTCTTTGTTGAAAAGACTCTCTATCCAATGGCAATTGTCATACGTTTTGCCCCTTTTTAAACATGTCATTCTCTTGACATTTTGCCATACCAAAGCATGGGAAAGCGCTTCTCTTGTTCAAGAGTCCATGTGACAGCAATAGAACTCTTTAAAAAAATACACTGGGTTCACAATAAATGATAATTTTATTCAATGATCGAGAGAGAGAGAGTAGGTAGGATGAGTAAGGAATAGGTGTTTTTGATCAAGACAGAAAGTTTAATAAATAATAAGAGAGAGAGAGATACTGAGATAGCATCATTAGAATAGCTGGTATCGTGATGAAGAAGGGGGATGAGATTGTAAAAGTGAAAATAGAGAAAAGAGAGGATGATGTATATGTAAAGTCTATAAAAATGCACAAGTCGAGTTCAACACCGACGTCGACAAGCCAAAACAGTTTTCTTTTTAGGCACCCGTATTTGTCACATCGTAATAACAAGAGATAGGTTGACCCAAAGACGGCAAGACAGATGGACCACAGCTCATGGGATCATAGTAATAGCCGACGACATCAGGATGATGGGAGGTCCGCGTAGGATCGTTCAAGAACTTTTCTGTACGAAACGCACTTTGGAACGAACTCAATCTTGATTTTGAAGGCGCTATGGTGCTGGTCGTCGATAACACATCCTCTTTTTGTTTGTTTTTGACATCAGTAGTGGTAGAGTGAACTTGGTTCCATTTGAAAAAGGCCATGGTGATAGGTATGCAAGTCAATAAGGTGGGATGTCTGTCTTTTTTTGCTTGAGGAGCTTTTTGTTTTGTTTTTTTCTTGTAGGAAAGAAAGAAAGTAGATTTAGAGTGAAAATGTAGAGAACTACTGTTCAAAAAAAAAAAGAAAAAGAAAGACGTGTTTATATATGTCTTTCTGTATCCATGATGAACGGCTTAAACAGTTAGCCGTTGATCGTTCATGGGCAAGGAAATGAAAAAGAACAGGTTGATGAAGCGGTATTTGAATCTGCTCCGTGGAACGGACATAGGAGGAAATTCCAAGCCATAATCAGATAGGTAAAGGGAAGTAGGACGGATGAACGTAAAAGCCCAACCCAATTGTCATTTTCAAAGCGCGACATAGAGGCGTTCTTTTTTTTTTTTTTTTTTTTTTCGTGCGTTGACCGTTTTCCTGATGAACAGCTTATACCACAGCAATGATCCTCTCTTTGGTCAAAGTTCAACCTGAACTGAAACGCCCTAGAGAAAGAAGAAAACATGTAAAGAAGAAGGGACTCACTCACCGGAATGTAAAAAAAAAAAAGTGTTTGAAATAAGAGTAAAAAAGATCAGGATAACACTTTATCCGATATATGGGGTCAAAGATGAGAATGAATTATTCTTTTTGCAAATATTAAAAAAATCGTGAAAACATTGAGAAAAATGACCTATTTGCAGCAAAATCGCTTTAAACACATTTTTATTGCGTCTCTTCTTAAATGCAACCAAAGGTAGAGAGGGATCATTGTAGATACCTTTTCTATCTTTTTTAGATTTTTTTTTTTTCTTTTTTCTCCCCTCGGGCTGTCCATGAAAGGCAATTAGCAGTGGAGCATCTACTGACAGCAAATGAAAAGAGCACACAGTCTCACCCAATGATGTGTGAGTTACTGCCATGCTTGGTTTGGTGACTGAAATAAGGGCGGCCTCATGTACTGTACATCCCATCTACACATGGTTGAATTTATTTCAAACTATACCAAGTCATTCGCGATTGGCTCTGTCGTTATTTAGAGTCAGTGTGAAATGAAGAAGGTAGAAGCGTTTTCTCCTTTTTTGAAAATAGATGACTCTACCGTAGAGATGAACGTTTTTGTTAAAAAAAATCCCCCCATTTCCAACACCGGATAAAAATGATCTCTTTGAAAAGCTAAATTATCTTTTTTCCAAGCCAATGAAAATGAGACGTGACAAACCGGTGATCTACGAATCGTGATCTGAGCGGAAAAGAAAAAAAAAAACCGGTTTGTTGGATGTCGGAGCAACCCTTTTAGAGTCATCATAACAAAAAAAAAGAATAGAGTCTATCTTTTTTTTGTTCCTGGTATTTTCTTGGGTTAGAATACTTGGAATAAGTGCGGGCCTAAAGTAATGAAAATGATCATCCTATTGGCGTAGAGCATAGTGTCTTTATAATACACACAAGCTCTCTATGTCGTCTCTTTCTAAATCATGATAGGAACCGTTTTTTTTTTTGTTTTTTTTTTTTACGATCTACAGGAGTCCATACTGTGAAAGGAAAACACACTGTTATTTTGGTTTTCTTGGCAACTCTTCAAGATGTCTCCTGAAATGACAAAACATAAAAAAAAAAAGGATCGGCCTCTTTTTTAGGCAGAGAGTAAAAAAAAAAAAAAAAAGTTCAGGGTATAGATGAAGCATTTGAGTCAATGCAATCATGCTTTTTATTGTCTTCTGACCGCCTCCTGAACCCAGAAGGATGGTTTAAACACACTTTTGCTCCTGTCAAATTCTGAAATAAAAGGTAAAAAAACCTTTATTTCTACAATTGTAGTTGATGTGAAAGAAAAAGTAAAAAGCAAAAATGGAACGAATAAATAACCCAGATGTGGGATGGTAATTACAGATAATCAATAAGAAAGGTGTGACATAAGGAAACAAAAAAAGAAAAAAGCTGCCTTATATAAAAACTGATCTCTACTTTTTGAATGGACAAAAAAAAAAAAAAAAAAAAAATTTAAAAAAAAGGTATGAACTGGGTGGGCTTCGGGACAGATGCAAAAATGACTGTCCTATTTCGGGCTCGTCTTCTTGTCTCTACATGTTTGGAAAAAGAAATAAAAGAAAGAAACCTTTGGAAGAAAGCGTGGTTCCTCTCTATGGAGGTGCGTTGTGGTGGTGGTGGTGGTGGTGGTAGGTAGGTAGGTAGGTAGGGTTGGGGCTGGGCTGGGGGTGTTGTCACATGTATTAAGCGGCTGGTGCACTATGCCCGCATATAAATCCTGAACATAATAAATCATCTTCGCTATCGGACACATGGGAGGCATTGGGTGATATTAAACACACTCTGAACAGTAATCTTCGAAGACGTTCATGTGAATTACGGCAACCGGCCATGGCGGCTCTTTCAAACCAAACGGTCGCTTGACGTAGATCCACGGTCACGCCCAAGCCTTTTTCATAGCAATTGGCCAGATGGTATTGAGCGGCTACGTGGTCGAGTCCTGCCGCTTTGGAAAACATAGCAAAGGCGGACGTGAGATCTTTGTCGACGCCTAATCCATTCTGTAAATGCAAGCCCAATTTGTCCAAAGCACGCGCATGATTCTGTGCGGCGGCTTTACGATACCAATACACGGCTTTTTCGTTATCGACCGCCGAGACACCGATGCCATTGGCGTAACAAAAGCCCAGATTGCATTGTGCCCACGGATTGTTTTGTTTGGCGGATTGATGATACCAATAGACAGCACGGGGACAGTCTTTCGCCACACCCAAGCCTTCTTCATAACAGAAGCCCAACGAGTTCTGGGCCAACGCATTGCCTTGCTCGGCACTCTGACGGAACCACTTGACGGCCTCCCGCTCGTTCTTGGGCACGCCGATGCCATTGCGATAGCAGTAACCGAGCGACAGCTGGGCGGGGGCATGGTTCTCTTCCGCGCTTAAATAGTACCAAAAGACGGCCTCTTGCTCATTGACCTCGACACCGATGCCGTTCTGGTAGCAATAGCCCAACGAGTGATAGGCAAAGATGTTGCCGCGCTCCGCGGAACGACGATACCATTGGACGGCTTCTTTTTCATTCTTGGCCACGCCGATGCCGTTCTGGTAGCAGAAACCGAGATTGTGCTGAGCGCGTGCATGGCCCTGAAGCGCCGCCTTGGTGTACCAGTAGCTGCCGGCGGCGTCGTTCTTGGGCACGCCGATGCCGTTCTGGTAGCAGTAGCCTAGATTGCACTCGGCCCACGGATACCCTTGCTGGGCCGACTGGCGGTACCAGTACGTGGCCCTCTCCACGTCTTGCGTCACGCCGATGCCATCTTCGTAGCAGTAGCCCAGGGAGTTTTGGGCAAACGCATTGCCCTGCTCGGCCGACCACCGATACCACCGGACCGCTTCGTGTACGTCTTTTGCGACGCCAATCCCGTCTTCGTAACAGTAGCCGACATTGTAGATGGCGACGGTTTCGCCTTGGGCCGCTGCGCGACGGTACCAGCGCATGGCCTCCACTTCGTCCTTGGCGACGCCAAAGCCCTCGCCGTAGCAGTAGCCCAGGATGCCTTGTCCGCGCGCATGGCCTTGCTCGGCACTTGCCTTGTACCACCGGAACGCCGCCTTGGCGTCCTTGGGAACACCGACACCGTCATGATAACACACGCCCAGGGCATATTGAGCACACGCATCTCGATCTTCGATGGCCGCCTGAAGGATCCATTGAATGGCACTGCTGTTGCTGCTGCTGCTGCTGCTCGAGAGCTGATTGACTTTGTTGGCCCATGCTTCCGCTTCCACTCGATCGATGTGAACACCCGGTCGTCCGTATTTTCTTAAAAAGGCGAGACGTGCCATGGCCAAACCATGGGGCTGTTCGGGATGATTGGCTGCATTTAAATAATGATACTCTGCTTGAATAAACAATTCTTTATCACAATGAGAAGACGGCTGTGATGATGTCGTGCTGCTCTTGTTGTCGTCCTTGTCAAAAAAAGGTGGTGATAGTGGTGGTGATGGTGGTGCCTTACTACTACTTGTGCTCACTGAAATGCCTAGCCCAAATTCATAACAAAACCCCAAAACGGCTTCGGAGGGCACATGCTGGCATTCTTCCATGGCTTTTTTGTAGTAATAAACAGCCAAGGTGGGATCTTTTGGACAACCTGCTCTACCAAACAAATATTGATTGCCTTTATTAAAGTAGTAGTCTCCATTGAAATAGAGACTGGACATGTGTTTCTCCCCCACTTGAGGAGAAGAAGGCTGTATCTCTGTTGTTGTAGGTGTACTGGGCGCTGTCATTGTCGACACTGTAGTGATGGAAGAAGAAGAAGACGAGGAAGAGGTGGACAATAACTGAGGTGGTGGAGGAGGAAAGGACTGTTGCTGTAGCTGTGGCTGTGGTTGTGGCTGTGAGGATGAGGATGAGGATGATAATCTTGTCAACAGAGCTTGTTTTGACCTAGAAAGCATATTTGAAAAAGAAGACATAATGGAGATGTATGGATTGAATTCCAACAAAATCAAAGAAACGAGTTCGACTGGGAGAGACTTTATGCAAAAATCAGAAAAAGAGAAAAAAACAGAGTGGAAAAGGAGTGGGGGGCTTTCAATAAAAGAAAGAGAGAGAGAGAAAGATGAAGAAAGGAACAGATCATACTTTTTTTTTTATTTTGGTTTTATTTCTTAAAAAAAGGGGTAATTTAGCTGACAGCCCATTGTAAAAAAAAAGAAAGTCGTAGTCGTTGTTGTCTATAATAACAGGAACCAACCCTATTGCTTCATTCACTTTATCAGTCTTTTTTTTTTCATTATGTTACTGGTGAAAATGCGCTGTGTTACAAAAAATAAAATAAAAAAAAAATACTGTAATTAAGGGGAAGCAGAAAAGAAAAAAAAAAAAAAAAAAAGCCAAAAAGGCTTGTTTTTTCGTACTTTTTATTCTTTTTTTTTTTTTTTGTTTTTTTTTTTTTTTGTTGTTGTTGTTCAGCCCATGAAAGAAATGTTGTCAAAAGACATTTTCTATGCGACGAAACCGTGTTTTCAATCGATTACAAATCATGCAAAAATAAAAGTGTTGTCAAAAGGTTTATTATAAAATCTCGTCTGTTGTGACAAGCTCAAGCTTTTTTTTTTTTTTTTTTTTTTTTTTTTAATTAACGAGTTCTTTCCTATTTTTAAAATAAAAGGAATTGCTTGTGTAGCCTTAGGGTTAAGGTAAATCAATGACACACTAAAAAAAAAAAACCGAGATTTTCTATTCGGCCCTTTTGACATTCAGAAGCGTTTGTATTGACCAACCGAAATAAAAAAAAAAATATTAGAGTCTCTCATTTGATAGACATTGCTCATCTCAACTTGGATCAGGCACAACAGTTATCAAGAAACTTGCAAAAGGTAGATGGATAGAGACAGTGATTTGTATGGAGGGATCTAACAACCTAAACGTTTTTTTTGGAACACTTTCATTGCTTCTCCTCCACGCACCTCTCTCTCCAATGATAGATTCCTATGTGTAGGGAAACCATCCTATTAGTCCAATTCAAAGATAGATTTACATTCGTATGCAACAAGAAACGAATGAAAGAGCATTATGAGGAAACCATGCTTCTTCATCCTCATGCATTGACGTTTATTGCTGTAGAAGGAAAAGAACCAGTGCAAGTAAGACAAACCTCTCTCCTCAAGGACCTATGGACATGGCTATCTCACACTGTATCATTCTAATTTGTAGCATAAAGAAGCCCCTGCCCATGTCGTGCATTGGTTAAGCCAGAAATTGTATCCACAGTTGACAAAAGAGGTTTGCTACTTTGATAAAGTACCTCCTTTTATGGTCGCTTTAAATGGTTGGTTTCTCGAATATCCCGTCATTTACACAACGCATTCTATTCACGATGATCCTGAAGGAGAACTGGATGAATGGGAGGTGAAGCCAAACTGTCTTGGCGGTCGAACGCTCCATGTCATTCGCCCGTGCATTCAAGATATCGTCTTTTTTGATGACGATCACAGCAGTAACGAGGATGCATTATTCAGTTTTAGTTGTCCTGAAGGCACACTGGATCGGCAACACCTCGAATTAATGAAACAGAATTTAAAACTCAAAATCGATCAACGATTGGACGATCTAGATCGTTTATCGAAAGATGTGGTAAAAAGGAACAGCAACAATCACAACAAAAAATGGACGTGTCAGATACAAGTAGAAAATGTTTCTTTAGATCGATTTGCTTTATAAATATTCATACTGTCGCGAGGATGTATCTTTTTCTTTTTTGTCTCTTTTTTTTTTCCTAATGGGGGCTATCGGGGTCTGTGTCTTTTAGGACAGTTCCATGCGATATGGCCAACGACACCACAGAAAGAACAACCAGCATTCTCATTCTTCATTAGCACAGAAGCAGCAACAGGAGCACGAGTGGCCGTGGTAAGCGTCACAGCAGCTTGATGATGTAAGCATTGTATGTCTTGAAGCCTCATTGTTTCACCCTTTTTGTCAATGTGTTGCGGGAAAGAAAGACCTTGTCAATCTTGAAGGGAAAAAAAAAAAGAGGCCTTTGTGAAAAGAAAGAGTCTTGGGTTGCTTTATATCTTTTTTTTTTTTTTTTTTTTTTTTTTTTTTGTAATTCCTTTCAATGCTTAAAATGAAAAAGCATGTACGCGGATGGATCAAAAACCTTAATTATGTACCGATACTCTCTTCTTATACTTCAGTCCTTTTTTTTTTGTAATATGAACAAAAGCCAAAAGTCAGCATCCTAGCTTTACCATTGTCGAAGGGTAGAGGATGCAGAAAGGATGTCTGCCTTCTCCCAGTAACGAGCTTCTACAGGCTTCAAGTCAAGATGGTGGATGGTTGGATTCTGCTGCCATAAACAAAGGGTTTGATTAAAGTTTGGCTTTTTTCCCTTTTCCGCCCTTTCACTCTGGAAAGCATAGTTTGAACATGACGACAAGATGAAACTGACCCGGAACTGAAAAACAATAAAAAACACACAGACACAAACAATGCATTGAATGACATTCAACAAGGTTGGCCATCATTCCCGCATTTTTTCTTATTGTCCCTACTCTCCATCCATCTTCGTCATGACATAGACAGCATGCAAATGCTCTTTTCACGCCTGGATAGGTTCTAAAGCTTTTGGCATTTCGCTCTTTTTTTTTCATCATGATAAAAATGTTGACAAGTGACAAAAAATGCCCTTCCCCAGTCCTGTCAGAAAAGAGAAAGAATGTACGGATGTCAAGAGATGTAATCATGCGCCTATAGGGGTGGACATACACAAGGAGGAATTTCCTCTTGAACAACAAACAAAACGTTGATCGAGTAAAAAAGAAGCGTGTGTTTTTTGGGAGTCTTTTACGTCTTGCCATAGTATGATTTTTCCAGCCTGAGATAGACCAGTGATGCCTCTTGTTGAATCAAACCTTGGGGGGGGGCATTTGCTATTAGCGCGCATACCTGTAATATCTCGATTTCCAAACCTCCCACTGAAAGCGACTCCCCTTTTCTTGCTATGAAAAGACCGTGAGCTAATCAATATGCTTTTTTTTATTTTGCGCATCCCATATCAAAAAGAGGCTACTGTTTTGAAACCATTTTTGAAAAGAATAGGAACAGCCAGCAGTGCGTTACGTTGGCCTGCTGCATAAAACATCTGTCAAGCAATTTTTTTTGTCTTTTTTTTCTTTCTGTGGACATCATGGAAATGGAGTCTAAAATTGGAGAAAAAAAAAAAAAAACAAAACAATAAGGCTGCTTTTGAGTGGGGCAGCTCAACTTTTTTGGTTTCCCCCTTTGAGCTGAGATACATATACCTTAACTGAACATACGCAGTTACCTCATCATACGATGGACTCACGTAAGTCGCTTCCAATAACGATAGCGTTTGCTGGTGAATGTGTGTTTGACCAAAGGATATCTATTGTCTTTCTTTTTCCTCCTACATAGAATCAACAAGGTAACTAAAATAAACTCGCTTTTTCATCGTTTTCAAGCAATGCATAATAACCTCATCAACCATCTACAACAACAACAACAACAACAAGATCATTTTGGAAACGACATGGCGTAAAAGTACCTGGCAGGTAAAAAGAAATAAAAACGCTGACCAAGAACGTGGGTTATGCAGACGGAGGGGTGAAAAAAAAAGGTGGCATTGACATTCTAATGGTTAAAGTGTTCAATATACTTTTTATTTCCACTGTGTCCATTGCAAATCCTCAGCATTAGTATTGATCCTAGCCATCCATCGACACCATCCACAACAGCTTCCAGCAGTAAACCCGAAATAGTCATAGGCGCACGCTACACATACGCAAGTCTAGTCACCACCAATACCTATCATAAGCATCATCGTACATCATCCACAGCGTCTTCTACTGCTCGGTCTTCTCCTCCACAGCCATCATCCACAGGACACCGATCTACCCCGTCCACCTCTGCTCAACCACATCCACCAAAGAAACATCAAAGAAAAAAGCCGCATCAGAAATCATTCAACGCGTTTTTAAAAGATACCAATGATGAATGGAGCGATGATATAAATGAAGTGAATACAATGGGCCCTATCACACCTACGCAAGGCGTCAGTGCAAAAGACAGTATTCAGCATCACCCTCCTCCGCCTGTGTCCGTTGTTCCTTTGAAAAAAGAGGAGAGACGCCGCTCCTCCACCGCCCTCTCCACTTTATCAGCCACCCCTTCCTCTCTGACCTCTCTCACAGCCTCCGATACGACCTCGACGACGACGACAACAACAACAACAACAACAAGCACCCTACAGACCGCCAAGGCGCATTCTACCACACCCATCCAAAAAAAGAAAAAGAAGCAGTCCAGCAGTCCGAACGGCATCAAAGACCACTATAAAGAGCTATTGCAAGACCCCACCAAACTACTCGACTACACAGACATTGAAGAAACAGCAGATCCGCTGCGAACGCAAAAATTCAAAGACGTGCTCTCCGTGTCCAACGTGGATCTGTCTGCTTTGCGCTCTCTCAGTTGGAGCGGCATCCCTCAAGAACTCAGAATGATGGCCTGGCAGCTCCTTTTTGGCTATCTTCCGTGCAATTCTGCCCGAAGAGGCCAAACCCTCGCACGCAAACGAAAGGAATACAGTGACAGTGTCGCCGTGACCTATGCCAGAGGCATCGCCGGACTCGACCAAGCCCTGTGGCACCAAATTCACATCGACATTCCTCGCACCAATCCCGGCATTCCCTTGTATCAATGCGAAGCAACCCAGCAGTGTCTCGAGCGCATCCTGTACATCTGGGCCATACGCCATCCAGCCAGCGGCTACGTACAAGGCATCAACGACTTGGTCACGCCCATCTTTCAAGTCTTTTTATCCGCTTACATCGACAACGACGACGTCGACCGAGACATCGAGCAGTACGACGTCGGCTCCTTGGACGAGGAGGTGCTCTCCGTCATCGAAGCCGACAGCTTTTGGTGCTTGTCGAAACTCTTGGACGGTATCCAGGACAACTACACCTTTGCCCAGCCCGGCATCCAGAGGCAAATCGTGACCTTGAAAGAACTCGTGTCGCGTATTGACGCCCGTCTGGCTCAGCATTTGCAAAATGAAACCATCGAGTTTATCCAGTTTGCTTTTCGATGGATGAACTGCTTGTTGATGCGTGAGCTGCCTCTGCGAGCCATCATCCGCATGTGGGATACCTATCTCGCCGAGGGGAGTTCAGAGGGTTTTTCAGAATTTCATGTCTACGTCTGTGCCGCCTTTTTGGTGAAATGGTCCCCTCAGTTGCAAAAACTGGATTTTCAAGGTGTCATGATCTTTCTACAGCAATTACCAACGCAAGGTTGGCAAGAAAAAGATGTCGAATTGCTGCTGTCCGAAGCTTACATGTGGAAAACCTTGTTTCATAATGCACCCAGCCATTTAAAATAGTTTTTTTTTTTTTTTTTTTTTTTTACACACACTTTCAAAAACATATATACCTTTTTTTTTTTTTTATATCATGGAATGGATGGACATAAAAAGCTATAGGCATCTCCCCTTCCTTTGCACATTTTTCTTTTCTACTCACAACAAAAAAAAAAAATTATTTTTTCTTTTTTTTTTTTTTTTTTTTTTTTTTTTTGTCTTCCAATGGTATTACTGTAGTGAACAAAAAAAGGAGTGGAGAACTGTTTCTAATCGCTACTTCAAGGAAATCCCCCCTAACAAGGTCCAAGAGCCAACAGATCACCGTTCAGGGTAAAATGATAGCCAGGAATAGATGTACGAACCCAGTGAAACCAAAACCCTTGCGCATGCGCAAAGCTTTATAAAGGGGAGGGGGATGAAAGAGCCCTTACAGTCTCTCTACTTGAGCAGTAGTACACTATCGTTACTTGCATGCAAAGACGTGACATGGGGAGGAAGACGAGAGGGAGGAGGAGGAGGAGGAGGAGAAGGTGGTGGTATCTGTCAATAAGGTGTCAATAGGTCGGTTCTCTGTATCACGGTGATACGATAACTTTCGCACTACAATGAGAGACAAAAGGAGGATTTGACATAAGCACTCAGAGCAAATCAACATAAACCAAGTCTTTGGGTACCTTTACCTGCGGCGTGGGGAAGGATGACTTGGGTAAGTGGGTCCAGTGCTTGCCAACAGACGTTCACAACATGGATGAATGAGCCAGCCTCTTGTCAATGAAAAAAGTAGTTTTTTGTTGCTCAATATCAGCAAAGAAAGACTGCGAGAGAAACAGTGACAATGACATAAAACCAACTTTTTTTCCTTCATATAGATATTACATGCGTTTGATAGAAAGGTAACTTTCTTTATTTCATTGACATAAAATGTGAAGGACATGTTAAATAAACATAATGTTACAAATGCTGCTGTTTATATATATATATTTATCTGTAAATAAATGGGATAATTCGGCCTTTTTTTTTTAAAAAAAAAAAAAAAAAAAAAAAAAAAACGGATAGGGAGGAGCATAACTTTTGTTGTAGTGAAAAGAGAAAAAACAATAAATCATTCGATAATGTGGATGGAAGAAAGAAAGGTGATACAAAAGATAAAAGAAGGAGTAGGATGCTGCTAAAAAAAGAGTTTATACAAATGTCCGGCTGCTGCCCGTTGCTATCAATAGAGTTGTTATAGGATGTTGGTAGAATAAAAAAGGTATAAAATACAAATGTTGAAAGAAAAATAATATGGCATAATGGGTGAAAACGAGAGTGTCAATGTTTGTGTGTTGTAAATGTTTGTTGCAAAACAAGATGTAGTAGTAGGATGGGAGAATAATCTAGCCAAAAGTGCTGACAATATTAGCTAAATGCAAAAGACTTGAAGCTTTGTCGTGGGTGGAAGTGGTTGGATGAAAAGTGGGAATAGGAGGGGGAAGCACGAAATGTTGCTTCAAAGCCATTTGTTGATGATGCATAGAGTAGAGGCTAGGAGCAGTAAATGGTTGATGAGCTGGTTCTAATAACACAATAGGAGGTGATGAAGGACAGCAACAGGCAGTCTCTGATAAAGGTGAAGACGAAGCGGCCGTTGCTGCTTGTGGAGGTGGCGACATGGAAGGAACACGTTCAGCAATGGCTGAAGGGCTAAAGTAGGATGAATCAGACGAAGAAGTGGATGATGTGGATAGAGCACGTCGCGAACGTCGGCTTACGTGAGCATTATTGCTCATAGTGGATGAAGGAGAAGAAGGGGTGGTGTTGGAATAAGGATGATGACGGCGATAGTAAGGGAGACCAGCTATGCGATTGATAACAGCATGAGTAGCACTAGGCATCGTGGTTGTTCTACGAGTTTGAGCAGCAGCAGCACTAGTAGCATTATCCAAGACGGTCGTATTGCCTGTTGCCATAAGAGGTTGGAAAGACAGGTGGTGCTCACGTCCGAGGTACGAGTGGCGATGCAATTGTGGTGAAGCTTCTTCCACATGCTTTGTTGGCTGCTTAACAGGTGTGATCTTTCTTTCTTTCTTTGACCGTTGTTGCTGTTGTTGTTGCTGATAACGAAGATTTCGGCGCACTTTTTGAGATAAGTGGGTGCGGTAGTGCTGCATCATATTGTCTTGACGGGAAAAGCGGCTGGGACAACCAGGATAAAGGCAATGAAAGTTTTTTTCACCGGTGTGAATACGGTTATGTCTAGCCAAATGACCACTACACCACAGACAAAGAGTTTAAATTTTTAGGATCAAACCGTAAACACAATGTTATACAAAAGGTACTGCATAATTATCAATAAATTACCTAGTAGTGAAGCTCTTGTTGCAACCAGGTTCCAAACAATGGAATTTTCGTTTATTTATAACGATCGCAGCTGAACTTAACAAAGGGTGCTCTTTGCTGATACAAGCCTTACGTTGGTGGCTGACTTTGCCAAAGGAGGGAACAGTACTCATAGCAGCAGTAGCAGCAGCATTGTCATTCAAAAGATTAAACATTTTGCCTGAGGCATCTTTAATAGATAAGATAGTTTCCATGTTGTTATAAAGTGTTATCGTTTTATATAAGTAAAGAAGCAAGTTAAGGAAAAAATTAAAATTTGATCTAAAAATGTATTAAGAAAGAAGAAGATCAACAGTTACTATTTAGAAAGGCTTTATATATCTTTATATTTTTTTTTTTCTGTACGTTTAAGCTTTTTTTTTAAGCATTTGTCCTTTTCGTAAGTTTAAATCACTCATCATCTTACGCACTGATTGAAATACAACGTGGGCCAGGATTGACCTCCCTTTTTTTTATAGATAAAAAGCTGTAGGTGTTCGCCCTGCATTACCAAAACGGAAATAAGCGACAACGTGCTTGTTTAATTTCTTTTTCTTTTGCACCAAAAAGCCCCCCCTTTTGATCAACCCTCCTTTAACGCTATATATTTATACAATCGATAGAAAACCATTCTCTTTGCCTAACCGCCAAGGTCTATATTTGTCACTGGAACAACCAATCAATTTTATGTTATAACAACTACTTATAGTGTATGGAAAAAGTAGTAGCTTATCTTGGCAGTATTATGTTTCCTTATTCAATTGATTGCGATCCCTTCTTCTCCAACCTACGTTATTACAATTTACCAAGATTAAGTAGCGATAAATTAATCTATTTGATTCCGGATCCGAGGCTATCAGGTTGTTTACTTCGTGTTTATATTTGCCACAAATCGTCAGATCCATAAAAAAGAAACCCAGTCTATGCACTATGGCAAAATCAATTACATCATTTTCTTTTTCTTTTCTCTCTCTCTCTATTTCTTAAAGAAAAAAAAGCCTCGAAGAGCTGATATTACACTACATGGCTTTTTTTATATTTTATATGAGGGCTTACGCTCAAAATGCAGAGGTAAGAAACTGTAATGAGCTTATTAAAATACATAAATTAAATCCGATCCTCGCCCATCATCTCTTTTTTATCTGTGCTCTTCGAAAGGTGTATACATGTTGAAGTTTCCTTAATCAAATATATTTGCTTGCCACATATTGATGGAACGATATACTACCACATGCCTTTAGGAGAATGTTAATGATGGGAACAACGTGGCATCCCTTTTTCCCTTTCATGAGCCTTCAAAAGGGATACAAAGTAGCGTGGTCGCCTCTAAAAAGGAGAGCAAAGAAAAATGATAGCTTCTGTTTTACCTAGAAACTGTTGTAGCAGAAGTTGGTAGTGATGAAATGTTCACAAATGTTATCCAAGTCAAGTTCCATAAGAAGTAAACAAGCACACATACACAGCAACCACAAATCCCTTGATCTTCTTTTTGTCTCACTATTCCTTTTATGTGATTACAGGATATATCGGATCAAGGGAAAAAATTAACCGTGCACAACTAAAGATCTTTGCAAATGGACACAACATATGCCGAGCCTATTTTAGCATCATTATACATTGCAAGTAGGATAGTGGCAAAGCCAAGAGATCTTTAACCATCTGTATATCTTTTTCATATAGGAGCGACCCTTTTCTGCTATAATTCTATCTTTAATGCAATTTGAGCATCACCCGTTTACATAGCCATATAGACAATAACTTGAAAAGCAAGTTTTCCATGCACAGAGAAGAAAAGGCTCTAGCTGTATTACAGCATACATCATACCTACTATTTCAGGTCTGTAGAAATGCTTTTGCTAGGATGTATTTCTCTTCTGCATACAATTCAATAGAGCAGAAGCTAATAAGAGGTCGCTTTCGTTTTGGGTATATTTTTGTTCTTTTTACTCGAGATTCATTAGAGTTTACAGATGTCTAAGCGTCCCTGTCTACAACTTTGACACAACTACTGATATTGCTCCCTTTTTTCTGTCCAATATAAGCTGTTGAAGCATTATGGACTAGCCCCTTAAACCTACCTTGAAGCTTTCTCAGCCTTGTTCCTGGGTCCTTTCTTTTTTTTTTCCCCTTTTTCCATGAGCTAATAATAACTGTATAATTGGTGGTGTACAACCTGTACTCTAGAAAAAACTTTCTGTGAGTTCTTAAAACCGCGCGCGTATATGCAGTCTTCAATTTTAAGACAGAGACTAAGCTGCATCAATATCTGTGAGATGCATAGATCTATGCGTCGTATCACTGCACCTCTACAGGCCAAAAATGCCTTTTTTGATTGAAAGGTTTGTTTTTATTGTTACTTGCCGATGGATGATTGTCAATTACTCAAAACCATGAACATTTAATTATTGATTTTTAAGAAAAGGAAAAAAGGTGACCAATTCATATCAATGATAGAGATGTGCTTCCATACACATTCATCGAAATGACGACGTATTTTTAATTGAAATTTTTCGCATCCATTTAGGACCATAAAAGCAAGCAAAAAAAAATTTCTATGTATTCAGCAAAATGCCTTGAATTATTGACAAGTCAAGATCAAGCAATCTTGATAAGGAATTGTGCATACATTTCCTATTGTGCGATAATACCATTTCATGACTTGGGGAAATTTACTCATACATTACATATGCATGCATAGACTCTATTTTTAACTCTTGAAAATTGTATCCGTTCACAGCTGATGAATGCTTCGATTCGCTGCATTTATTAGCAGAAGCTTGTAGTGATAATAGTAATTTTCTTTTGCCACTTTCTATTAGCACGTTGTTTTCATGACATACCAACGCCGGAATACAGCGCCTCAATATAAAGTTTAAAAGTTGATAGCCATATGTTATTCAGTTTATGGGCGCAGCTTTGATCAAATGGGTGGCCGTTTCAGGTCTGGGCATTCAAAATTAAAGGCTTATGGTTACTATCAATATTGAACTTGGTACTTCTAATAACTAACAAATGAAAAAGCAAATAAAACTACAATAAAAACGGTTTTTAAAGCATACTCAGGTATTATGCCTTAATGAGTTGATCCTACAGCATTTTATATTTTGCGCTTCTGTCAATCAAATATTATTGCGTCCTTTCTTTCGCGTTTTTGCAATATACACTCTGTTGTGAAATGGTTGCAATCGAAACTTTCAGTACATAAATTATATGTAGAAATCGGACAGAAGAATTTGATAATAATTACTTCAAGCTTCCAGAATTCTTTATGCCTAATTATAGCTATACCTTAGTGTTTCATCAAGGACACGTCACTGCTTTACATGCATCCTCCTTCGCCCTACAAACAGCTGGTGCTTTATAATCTGTTGTAATAATACTCTATGCAGCAATATAGTACAATTCAAAAACGAGATATCAGCAATGACGGATAGCTGTATATTTTCTCAGTTATGAGCCCAGCCTTAAAACCAACATAGTATTAAGACATGTTGTATATGTGAAGTAATTGTTTTCTTCTGAAGAGATTTATGTCAAGTTAATAAAGTCTACGTAAACGTGTATAAATATTCTATTCATAATTCGGTATATAGTAGATATGTTTGGCAAACATAACGTACATGTTGCGCATATGCAGCGAACTTAGCTGTTGATCATAGAGGAAAGGAATAGTGATTTCATGATCTTTGGTAGCTCTTTATTCTCAGTACAAACGTAAGCATGGCTACCCAGCGCCTTCTTCAATCTAAAATACAAATCAGTGATAAAATTTTATTACCGGGCCCAACATTATTCCCAGTTTTCTTTTGGGTGAAAGCCTTTAAATACTTACTGTTCTGCTTGATCTTGGATACTACCAATGAAAATCATTCTTGCTGTTACTCTGTCATCAGATTTTAAAACTGTCCCCCCACAAAAAACGGTTAAGCAATTTTACCACGTCAATTTCCATTTCATCAACAGCTAAGAAGAGCAGGTAGCATTTTTTCAGTATCTTACCTCTAGCAATATCATTTGGATGGATGTTGTATTGTGCAATATTAGCATCTGATATGATGACAACAAAGTAGTCGTCTGCTTCTTCTTGTACAATTTCTTTCATTGCATGGGACGCTGCCCCCAATGTATTATCGCCACTCAAACAATACTGAGAATGAGCTTTCATTTTACTGATAATCTCGAACTCGTCTTTTTCGGTTTTAGGATATTTGCCAGGCGAGACAAACTCAATATTGGCACCATCGCCACTGTGACCGACAATTTTATAAGCAAACTTGTGTTCAAATCCTCGGAACGCTTCCATTAACATGAGGGCTACTTCCATGGATCGTTCGAGACGGCGGTCATGCGTATTAAAGCGGTACATACTAACGTAAAAGAAGGAAATAATGATGTTTTAGTACATACTTCTGCAACGTCTAGTAGTTTGTCGCATACCTTGCTGACAGGTCAAAAACAAAGTTCATCCTTTTTGGCTTCTCTTGGAAAAGACCAAGTTCTGGGTCATCCTCACCTCGTTTCTTATAGATGGCTCTTTCACCAGTAAGGCCTTCAATGCTATGGTGGTATTTTATTTTTTTCAGATAAGAGAAAAAAAATGCCAATTTCAGTTTTTGTCAATATGCTCAGATCTCTCTATAAATTAGCTTTACATTTTGGTATCGTCCAGATCGCCGGAAGATTGGTTTTTCAGCCACACACGTTCATGTTTCTTCGCTTCGACACTTTCTAGGATGACGCGGAGCTCACGAACCTCACGGCGGATATTTTCCATTAACTTGGTGTATTGCTGAGGAAAGAAATATTAGTCTGGTTGAACCACCTACAATAAGAGCTCTTCTCACAAACCTGAAAATCAGCTTGATTCATATCAATTTTTGATAGCATCTTTTCCATTGCTTGATCATGCATCTCTCTTTTGGTTATTATGAGCAATATTTTAGAAAAGTTTTTTCTTGTTTAAAGGGTACAAGGATTTGTCAAAGACTTACTTTTGTGCCTTGCTGATAGCCTCAGGCTCATCACCTGCAGTTTTCTAACAGTAAGATCATTGGTAAGCATAAACCATTTATCATATATATATGTGACTAATCTTACCAATTTCAGATTTTCAATATCTTCAAATGATGCTTCTTCACGACCATTCTCGTTCATATTGTTACCCGAACCGTTCACACCTCCACCTCCAGAACCACCTTGTCCTATGACATCGCCTTCGCCTTGACCTGATGTTCCTCCTGAGCCTTGTCCTTGACCATTATTCTCACACTTAGCATCGCTATTACCTTGGTCACCTACTAGCTTATTGTTGTCATTATGGCCCAACTCTCCTTCATTTTTCTAACAATGTATATTTCATTTATGTAAGCAGTGTATTCTGTGATATGTACATATTATTTTTGAATAACTTACATCCTTATCAGTTTCATAAATAATAGAAAGAACTTTTTGATCGACACCGACCATTTGTTTCCATGTCTGTGCAGCTGTGTAAAGCTCATTGGAATTGACTTGCCAGATACGTACAGTACCTGCATTATCCAACGTAACAAGATTTCCATTAGGCAATTCACACATTGTAGCAGCAAATCTTTCTAATTGAAATTGAGTGTAAGTGGGTACCGGTGCTTCCCTAGGAAAATGAAATAGTAGTTATGAACGTCAAAGTTTGCTTTCACCCCTCTTTTTTCTTTTTGACAGCCTTACATGGCTCCTCCTACAATAGACAATGGTAACTTGATGCGCCAAATCTGATTTTTAAAAGGATTTACCAAGTCTAATGAGCCTTCACCACGACCATTTGTAGGTGGATGAATTATCGCTAACTGTTGAGTACGGTCTAGATACAAAGTGAATCCCTTGACTTTTCTTGTAGCTTCAGCAGCAGCACCATCAGCAGTTGGGAGACCCCTCAGATAAGAAAGTACGCGAATAACACCATCAGAGTTGAATTGAGAATAAGAGCATCCTTCCAATATTGAAGCATATTTACCAGAATGAGCATTCTGAGCAAACCTTGCGCCGGTAGCAAACTCTTTACCGTAAATATGGACCAACGGATCGATAGTTTGACCATTTTGCCCTAGTACTTGTACAGTCTCCATAACAGATGGGAATAATTGGTTACCTTCAGGTGTAATACAGTAAAGGTTAGCGTCACGACTGCCTCTAGCAAACCATAGTTTGTGATCAACGACATGAAGTTGTTGAATACGACGTGGAAGCGTGATGGTATGCTGCTTTGATGTGTTGAAATCTAAAATGGCGACATTGGGTTGATCTTCTTGATAAAAGACAAGAACACCAGTAGAGCTTAGACTAGTGCACATAATAGACTTGACGGGCTCCAATCCTCGAATAACTACTGATACAACCTTCTTCTTGTTAAAATTGCAACATAAAAGCTCATTGTTGGATGGATTATGTAGTGCTAGATATTTGATATCGCCTGCTAATGAGCGAATGACAGCGATACGCAGACGAGGAGGGGCTCTTTGAAGGGGAAAATATTCATACAAATCCAAGCTGTCTACATGTTTGTGAGAAGGCTCGACTCTGTGAAGAGTGACGGGGTTTGTCGTTACAACAAAAATTGTACCATCATCTACAGCAGCAATATCAAGAGCTTCTCCACGCGTTGATATATCAAAAGTGTAGAGCTGTTCCGAAAAAACGATGGATCGACCTTCTTTACGTTCGAGTGCTTTCCACTTCTTACCCACGTCGATGTCCCAACCACCACGTACAGCGATATCTTCAGTAAGTATTTTGAGTGCTTTTTCCTTATTGGCTGATGGTATCCGCTTCCATTGCTCGGTTAGAAGAGGCGAACTCAAAGAAATAACATCACCCAAATTCATCGAAAAATCGGATTCAAGTCCAATGGGTATACCATGCTTTTCGAAAATTTCAATGACCAGCTCTTTGGATGCTTGATCGTATTGATCAAAATCAAAGACATTTTGCAATATCTTTGAAATACCTTCCTCAGGATAAGTCTGGAGATGAAGCACAACATTTACCAATTCGCGAGTTGAGTAAGGATAAGTAATCAGCCCCTCATCTGTCAGTTTGCGCAAATCAGTAAAGGCACTAGATAGTTTCATAAGCAAATCTTCAGAGACATTGGGACCATATTTGCGCAGTAAGAACATTTCAGAAAGCATATCAGGATTGTCTACAGCATGACAGCTGAATACATCACCAATTTCCCGATAAAAGTCATTACCCAAGAATGGATAACCTGGCCGGTTAGCAAGAACCAGCATACGGAAGTTAGGATGCACCATAATGTAATTTTTGCTGTCTTGTATATCAGATTCTTTTGAGATGATGCGACGGCCATCTCCTAATAACATCTGTCCATCCTCTACTAAACTCTTCAAAACTGCTGTAACGTATGTAGGTGCCTTATCTGCTTCATCCACAACAAGTATGGTACCGTCTCTGACAGCTTTGACTAACGCAGAATCTTCGTACGTTAGCACACCGTTGACAATAGCGGGTGATGCCGTCAAGCTCTGTACAGTACTATCACGGTGCAATTGTATGTATTCACGAGGCAGTTGGAGCAACTGCAAAAAATAGTCCGCTAATTTGTTCTTACCCACACCTTGGTTACCGATTAAAAGTAAATGATCTCCCAATTGGTAGTCTTTAAGCATTTCTTTCAAAATTTCCGTATGTGCTGGATTTTCGTGGAATACCACTTTCGGGATGAGCATAGGGTTGCCACCCATGAAAACCGGCTCGACTACATTACCAATTCGAATTTGCTTTGGTGCTTCTCTGGAAGGCAACACCTCGATAAGAAGCTCCTTTTCTATATCTGTAGGTTTAGGAGGATAAATACCATTGGCAACCATCAACGAATGAAGGGCCTCACGGGCAACAGAAGGTAAGAAACGAGACAAAGCGGCTTTGTTAATGGCTACATACAGGCTTTCATCATCAAAATAAGCTAATCGACGGCAAATGCGTATAAGTTGCCGAGTCGACAAAGAGCTAGAAAGCATACGAATAGTATCATCCTTATCATGGCGCAATCTTCTCGAGAACGTCAGTAATTTTCTTAATTTATTCTCATCGACTCCTGGGGAAAGAGCCTTGAGGACATTTTGTTCTTCATGTGATGGAAGAGAATCAACAACAATAAAGTGAAACATGGAGAGGATTTCGGCCGTCAACCAAGCACCCGAATGGCTACCTGCTTGATCACTCGTGCCAGCCCTTGCCAAAGCAATAATGCGGAAAGAAGGATGAACAGGAAGAAGTCGCTTGGCTTCTAGTTCTTCCGGTGAGAATTTACGCAGTAGCTTTGCATACCGACGGCCACTGATTAAACGTGTACCATCGGGTAATTGGGTTTCACGATCTGCACAAAGACGCTGGAGCGTGTTGAGAGTACCGTAAGAAAGGGCTTCAATACCATCCAAGACAGCCAGATGTCCATGAATAGCAGCTTCAACTAATAATGAATTTTCCCAAACAGTATCGCCAGTAGCTGTTGTTGATCTGCGCTGAAGTAAATCACGAGAAGACATATCGCGGTAAAGCGGAATGTAATCAATGGTGTATCCTAATCGACGAGCAAAATTTCGGACCAGTGTAGATTTACCCACACCTTTCTGTGTGCCTATTAGACAGATGTCTTTGCCGCCAGCATGCAAAAGCACCATAGCAGAGAAAATTTCACTATGGTACGGAGTTTCGACAAAGTATTCGGCAGGGCTAAATTCAGCAGGACCACAATGTATAGGCAAGCCGATAGCATCACCGACATTGCTGTTGTGCTGAGGCATAAAAGTAGCAATAGCCCGGTGAATGTAAAAATAACCGTCAACTGTTATACTATCTTTGGAAGGTAGAGGTTCAATGTTGGCTATTGTATAACCGGAAGAGGTCTGACGAGCTTCTACATGGGCTTCGACAGTAGGTGATTTGACACCGAATCTCCTAAAAGCAGCTTCGATTACACTGAGCTGTTCAAGATCACATGTTGGTAGAAGTGGATAAGGGTATAATATATCAACCAGAAAACGAGGATGCACTTTTGGTACCATTGATAATAGAGGAGCTATGCTTTCTATTGTCATGGGGAATTCAGGAACTTCAACCTCACGGTGAGCATTTTTCTCTTGCACACCTAAGACCATACTAATGGAAACTAAGCGCTCGATCAACTCGCGCGGAACATTTTTGTTGTTTAACAAGCTCATCAACTGATTCACTTGTGTTTTGAAATCTGGCGCTCTAATATCTCTACTTTGAAAACGTGATCGCAAAGGTGGGTCCAACGGATATCCGACATAAGGTGGGATCGGTAAGCCTTTGATTAATAAAAGCAAAGCCAACGTAAGTACAGAATGGACCAATTGTAAATGGACTGTCTTTCTTCTTTACCTAAAGCAAACACCAGGAAACGCGGGCTCACCTTCTCGAATTTGGTATCCGAAGAACCAGTAACTTCTCTTGCTGTTAAGAATCGACCATCATCCAGTGACATTTCACGGTTCTCCAACAGGTTGTTTAATATGGGCAACACATTTCGTTCTGCTTTTTCAATTCCATCCAACACTAAAATTCGCCCATGAATAGCTGCTCTAACAGCTGCTTGATCGACATAAAAAGACGTGCTATTCTGCAATTCTCTTCTTTGCTTTAAATCGGCATCTGTCACATCTTTTGATAGCGCTACATATTCAATCCTAAAAAGGAAATTAATTGGATGTCTTTTCTTTAAATTTCTGTAAATGATGGATGACTTTACTCTCTTTGTGTCATTTCTGCATATTTCATAACAAGGTTTCGTCGTAAGGGACCTGGAGGGCCTAGTAGGAAAATGTCTTGACCAAGCTAATACATATATTTGTGATTTCTTCGGTCAGGAAAAACGAATAAGCCATCCAGTGCTGATGAATCAAGATTTACCTTGTCTTTTTGCATTATCCTTTTGGGCAAAAAATAAATGGATTAGTTTATTGCTGATTTTTTGTATATTTGCTTCATTCGAAGTTTTATTTACCATCTTAAATGCCTGAGTATATCCTAAAATAAGAAATAGTGTTAATACTTATTATATAAAGCATTCTTGGCTTCCCATCATAGTCTCTTTACTTGAGCCCCTTCGTAAAATGGTCCTGGTACTTCAGGTACCAATTCTGGATTTTCGGCGGGATAAACGTGCAAAATCACATCGCCAATTCGAACTGATTTTACGCTGACTATATTACCAGTGTGCCAATATTTATATTTAAGTATTTGCAATTATATGTTTATGAAGGCCAGCTAACTATACTTGGTGCGATAGCTGAGAATTTTTTGTTTGGCTTTAAAAGTAGATCTACCTTCGTGAATCAAGTCTTCATCTTCGGAATCTGACCACCCAGCTTTTGAAGGATCAAGAACAGCACCCAACTGTTTGAGTCTTCTTTTTGCTTGCTTGTTGCTGTTGGAAGCCATTTGGTGCTGATCGTATGTGTTGATTCAACCGATCGAATAAAGCAGGCAAAGAAGTAAAAGCTTTACTTAGAATGTGGGGGAAAATAAGGTAATTCAGATTTGAAATCAAATTTTAAGTAAACCATAAAAATTTAAACTTAGTCATCCTCTTTTCCCTTACGGTTAAGTATTTCTTTTATCAAAAAATCTCCTGTGACATGTGAGCACATAATGTCTTTTATACATTGTGTCTGCTCTGGCCAGTAAAGCAAGTGTAAATGATATTAAGAACCCTTTCAGAGGAGAAAAGGAAAGAAACGAAGGGAAAAGGAAGAGGTGAAGAGTAAAATACTAGCAGCTAAACGGATAACCAATCTATTAATAGTCGACCTGGGCGGTCCAAGGGCGATGTATATGATCCAATTTAAAGAGAATAGAATACATTACGGTGCGAACTAAGTCGCATATCTCATAAGGATTTAATGTGTAGACAGTAGTTTCTGCTGCTGCTGCTGCTTCTGTGCTGGCTATTTAAACATAGCACTGGCTTTTATTAATCTCTAATCTCATTTTCGATATTGGTGAGCCTACAGGTAATGTGTTGCTTGTTGCAGCTCAGGGCTAAAAAATTTCGAAGAGGGACGAAACATAATAATTTTGGAAGGGTCTTTGTCGTTCTCGTAGTTTCGTTCCTGGTAGAACTGCTTGTACAATTAGTGTATTCCCATTTATTGTACGTAAGTTTCGCTTTTTATCATACCAATTACTTTTCGTAATTAAGTATTGAGCATCATTGCCTTCATTAGTGAGCCATATTTCATGGCACTTATATTTATTTAGAACTGCCCAAGAAAATACTCTCCTCAAAATCACTTTAAAATGTCTTTGGTATTTTGAAAGTTTTTAAAATCGACTAGTTTGTTTATTATGTTATAGCATTCTTCCTATCATTACTTACGTAACATTAGCAAGATCCTTTGTTATGCAAATTAACTGTATGAAAAGTAATGAAGAAATGAGAAATACTTATCAAAGAGTTTAAAGCAGACATAAGAGATAAATAAATATTGTGATTATTCACCAACAAAAGTAAAATACGTTACTGGGAATTATAGATGCGATTATAGATCGAGATACATAATGCAACAGTAATACCACCGGTAGCAAAGCCTACCAACCAATCAGCATTAAACGCTCTTCTCTTTGTACTGCCTTCTAAGGTTGATGACTCCGTAACAGTAGAGGAAACGCTACTCTTCTTTCCTCTGTCCTTGGCAGTAGTGTGTAACTTGTTATTCTCAGAAAGATACTGAATCTCATCGAATAGAGCGATATTCAATTTAAACGCGCGAATAGCTTCATCAACAATAGTATCTATATGTGTATTTTAATAGAAAGGAAGTATTGACCGTGAGTAGGTGCTCAATTTCACAAGGAACATTTACTGAGGTTTTGAATTTTACCTTTCATCTCTTGAGTGACACGAGCTTCATTAAGACATTGTCGGTAAAGAGTCTTGAATTCAGTATGATTGCCAATGTGATCAAAATTATAGAATTCTAATCCCTCATAAGAATCCCATGCAGGATCGCTTGCACTAATTTTTAAAACATGTTTTTTCAAACGCTTCGCCAAGATTTGACCACCTAAAATATGGAACAAATGAGAAAATGACTTTTTTTTTTATGGTAATAGATTGATTACGTTACCACTCAGATCACCCAAATAACGGGCGTAACTATGAGCAATCAAAAGGGAAGGATCCTTGGCAGCAGCGTCTTGTAAAGAAGTGATATAATTTTGTACAGCAGGGGTAATATTCTTGAAATCAGTCATTTCAGCAACACGATTCTTTCCGTAATAGTATTCTATATCTATTTTGAAATACAACGTTTAGATACTTATAGTTAAAGCTAAATGCTCCTTATCTTTACCTTTCAGAAGAGCGTTTTCACGATTCAGTTCGTAAGGAAAATGCACTTTTTGAACGACAGGATTATGCTTGTGCTGGGCTAGTAAGTTTTCCAAGGTTCTGTATACAAAATACAGAGAAGTGACATATCTGCCATATTCATCAACATTTATTTCACCGTTCAGGAAACGCCTATAGGGAAAAATAAGAATAAGGATTACAATAGGGCCAAAAAAAAAACAAAAAAAAAAAAAAAAGTTACTTTGTGAATACACTATTTTCAGCTGCACTATGTACAATTTTGGTTCCTTCTCTCATAGCAGATGCTAATTCAGGGGTCTCAAGATAGTCTTGAGAGAGCTTGTTAGTCGATGTCACCTGGGTTTCAGGAATAATACGATTCATATTGCTTGTAAATTTGACTTCGTTGTCTATATCAATTTATGAATGGTTAGGTTGTCGCCTACTACTTCCCCTGTTTTTTTTTTTTTTTTTTCTTTAAAAAAAATAAAATAAAAAAAGATAGGAGCATATTCATTACTTTCATTCATGGGATGTCTGCCTGGTGATTCATCCATCAGGTGGTGTCCTATCTGACCATCTTCATAAAGGAAAAGAAGAAATGGAGCGAGTCAGTAACCATTATACAGCCTACCTTTCCATTTAACTCTGATTTAAAAAATAAGAGTAAAGGGTATAGCTAACCTTTTTTTTCGAGACTACTATCAATTACCGCCCAGGTTATTAGTCCATCAGAGATAAAGAAAGGGTGATTGTTTGATCAAGACTTACTGATTATCTTCTGATTTAGAGATATGGAAAGGGCAAACAGGAGCAGGACTGACAATAGCACTCATTTGGATTTGTTTATATGGCTTGAACGAAGAAGTAGGATACTGCAAAAGCTTTCAAAGGAAAGATAACAAAGTAGATGGGATTAAAAGGAAAGAAGGTTATCAGATCATTTTTATAGCTAATTCATTTCACATCTAAACAGAAAATCTGATAACTTTAATTTCCTATTTTGAGAGCGGGATTCTACTCCTGCTAATGATTTCTCTATTGTTCTTATCTCCGCTGCAAAGAAATTTTTTAATTACTCATTCAACTTTTTTTGAGAATATACGTCAGGGAAAAGTATCCTTCTAATGATAGAATATAGATAATTTCAAGACAGAGAAATGAAATAACACTTATCTTTTTTAAAAAGTTCGCGTAGATTCTGACTGACGAAGATTTACTTATTTGTTAGTGCTTCAGCTGAATCTGAAAAATGGACCCTACTACACAATCGGCGCAATTCGATTATTCTCATTGTTCTTTTTGATGTCTCCTGTGATAGTACGTAGGAATACAGAAAAAAAAAGAAGACTCAAAAGAGACTACGATGAGTACAGTATTGATGAAGACGGCAAAAAGATCCAAAGATAGCATGAGTTATATTCACCAGCTATCTGGATCTCATGTTTTACAGACTAAATAACAAAGCAGTTATCAGAATTCTATTGTTCCACATTTCAGCTGAACATGTGCTTCAGTGCTCTTACAAATCAATGATGTTCCCTTATCAGATTTTTTTTTCTTATTGTTCTGCAAAACTTAGAACACCGCCGTACAGCCATGAGTGTTCAAAATTCTCATTTCCATTTCTTTCAAACTTATCAAGTCAATAACTTGCACAGAAAAAGCATATTTTCTTTTTCAAAGAGAAAGTAAGCAAGATATAATTCAAATTCACGCCTTTAATATTGGTAAATGTGCAAAGAGAAGAAACCGGAGTCGGAGCATCTATAATTTCGATACTAATGAAATCCACATCATAATACGCAACGCAGTAAACAGGACATGATGACAGACGCTATCGTCAGGTTTCAGTTATTTAGATACTACTGTTGAATAGCAATAGTTTTTCGGGACGAATGACAGAATGCAAAAATTGCCTAGTAACGGTATTTACCAAGATCACAGACGTACAGTCTTCTCTGATCGGTTTAAGCCGCAACGTCGGGTCTGATCGGTCAAAGCTGTTGAGAAACTAACTTTTTTTTTTTTTTTTTTTTTTTTTTACTCTTTTCAATGCCATCACATGGATAAGAATCTCTACTCCAATATCATCGCATTGAATTTGCGATTGTGATGCGAAGAGTGGAATAAAAGCAGCCTTAGCCATTCTAAATTATTGTCTTTCTCCAACAGCTTCTAAAAGTCTGAAGTGCGGACCCGGCAAACTTTTGCATTCAAGTTGAGGACGGAGGAAAAAAAATTGGGAGGACTAAGAAAAGTCAAGTTCAAGAATTGAGACAGGGTTATGGGTTGAACAAAATGTACTATGACACGTCGAAGCTAAGTTGACTGCGAAGATATTTATGCTGGAAAGGGAGCTGAAGCCATGGATAATGTAGACGAGCAATGGTTACTTAGTTTTGATATGTACCCCCCACTCTCAAGTTTCATCAACTCCGCGAATTTTGGAAATCCTCACAGAACCATCTCCTCACATAAAAAATGGGTAGCGGAGATTGCAGGCATTGTTTATGTCATCACATTTTACTGCCCACAATTTTACGACGCCATGGCTGCACCCGCTATTGTATCAACAAAAAGGGCAAAACAATAGAACAGTTCTCTTTTTCTTTTTTCAACAGAAGCCATTAATTTTTATCAAGGGACCTCTTAATCGATCGTTTCTATATCAACGTTCAACAAACATATAATTCAGCTTACACTAATATTTGTCACGTTGAAATAAGTAAAAGAAGCATCGAAAAAAGTGATCTATTCTAAATGATTTGGACCAAAGTTCGACACTTAAACCATTTGCAAAAACAACGTTTGACCAACAGACTATTTGTAACAGTAGCCTTTGGTGCAGTATTGACTGTTGCAGGCCCTACCTTATTGCCATGCCCAGCCTATGAAAATACAAACGAACGTGCTGCATTTTTAGAAGAGGACAATAGCAAAAACGCAACAGTTTCAGGAACAGGAAAGAATAAGAAAAAGAAAGTCGTGATAGTGAAGAAGAGAAAAAGAACAGAAACAGGACAGATTGTTAAACAAGCGCTCATTGGCAAAGAATGACAATTTCCAGAATCTCAACAACACTTTCACTCATCACTCAAGATTCCACCTCCTCTTCACCTCTTCTAACTTATTTTTAACAAAACGACAACGACCTCTTTTTTAAACTACAAGATCAGCATCTCTTGTTGAAAAGACACGATAAATAATACCAACTATATTTAATTTATAATTAGAATTCTAAAATGACTTCTACACCTGCAGTGATTTCATGATCAACAAAGATCAAATGCTTTTATATAACCCCGTCAAAACAGTATTGAAGAACAATAGCAAAAAAAAAAAAAGAATTTAATAAACAAACTTTCTTGAAACTTGCTGGGTTTCTTCTGCTATATTCACCCAAGCTTGAACAGTAAAGGTGATTTGAGCGACCAAAACGCTCACTCTCAAAAAAAATTTTGCCCAAAAAGTCCTTAAAAAAATATGAAACAAAAAGATCGAAAAGCTCATGTGGACTCGTTGTATTAAATAGCCTAATTTATTGGTGGTTCTCTCCTCTCTTTCCTTTTATTTTTGTTTCTGTCCAGATACTTTTTCTTTCTGATTGCCCACAAATGAAACTACTATTACCTCTATTAACCCTCGTAGGGCTCGCCTTGGCCGATTTTAATGTCAATGAATTGGATGCTGTGAACCCACCCGCTTTAAGCCAACCAACACTCAACAACCAAGGACTTGCGTGCAATAGTAAGATCTTATCGACGTAACAATTGAAACGGATGCAGGAATTAATCATTTATACTTTGATCGTTTCAACCCTTTTCAGTTTCAACTATCTCCTGCCATTGGAGTGGGCCAGTCGATGCTTGCTGTTCACCTAAATATGGGTTGGTTGTTCTTGCCCAACAATGGGCTCCAGGATTTGGCCCTGCTGACGAATTTACTCTTCATGGTACAGGAAATCTTTTTATCCTTTTTCATGTTAACCTATTCTTGACACGCACTGACTTTGTTAAATTCCTGTTAAAGGTTTATGGCCCGATACTTGGTAATCGAAACGAAAATTGAACCATTTAAACATCTAAAGGTAAACAAGCTTGCTTATGATTCTCTTATCTTTCATTTTGAAAAATAGTGCTGGTCGCATGGCCCCTCCTCAAGGTTGTGATAACTCTAGGAAAGCTAGCAATATTGCCCAAATCATCAGCAGCATGAACAGCACACTTTACAACCGTATGGCTACTTTCTGGCCCAGTAACAAAGGTGACAATAACTGGTACATTGGATCTCTTTTTCTTTTTGACATTCTAATCCGTTCGGTCATAAATTTAATTGTTTCTGGTTTTTTCTTACATGATGTTATGTACAATTTAGGTTTTGGTCACATGAATGGACTAAGCACGGCACGTGTGTAAGTACTTTACGTCCTACTTGCTACGGCTCCAATTACAAGAAATATCAAGATGTGGTTGATTATTTCACGGTAACGTAGAATACAACGTCATTTGTCCAAAACGCGTCTTCAAATTTTAGACATATACTGACTATGTACCACCGTTTATTGAATCGACTCATCCAGAAAGTACTCGATCTCCGTGATCAATACGATATTTTTGGTGCTCTCAAGTAAAGTTTTTATTTAGTAAAAAATACGTATAACAGTGAGGTTGTGATCACATATCTGACATTATCGTTTTATCCTATGATGATAGCTTGAACGGCGTTGGTCCTGGTAGATATTATAATGTTGAAACTGTTCGTCAAGCGATTCAAAAATCGTTCGGTGCTTCTGCTAAACTTGATTGTCGTGGTGACAGACTTTCCGAAGTCTCGCTTTACTTTTATGTTCAAGGCCGTGATAAGTACATTCCTACCAATGCCCTCTCTTATGGTAGTTGTAGAGGACGAGTCTTCTTTGCAAAGAAATAAAATCCTAACAACAGACAACAATAACATACACGCATATCTTTATCTAAATAGAGCATAACATCCTCCCTACTTATTCCCCTTCCCCCATTTTTTTCCTTCAAATCGTTCACGCAAGTTTCTTTTTGATTTATTATACTTATAGGTCTATTTCTCTCCACATGAATAGATCAAAGACCCTTTCAACGATAAATATATACACATAATAAAAATGCTGAATGCCTCTGTATCGTTAGCAAAGACTATTAGGCTGTTTAAAAATCGTAATTATCATCTTCCATTGCCTCTCTTCCGCGCTTGGCCGGAGGTTCAGTTATGGATGATGCGTTTGTCATATTTGTATTCGCTGGTGATTTTGATCCTGCCGGTGTTGTGTCTGATGTGTCTATTGCCATTGCTGTATTAGAAGTGGCATGCTTTGTTGTGTTATTCGTTGCAGAATGTTTGGTTGGAGGAGGTGCCTATTTTAGTTGTAATTTATAACGTTAAGGCCTATTTACAGGACTTCTTTTAGAGAACAACAGTCATGCTTACATCTGGCACGATAGAAAAGTTGATTCCTGTTAGACAATGCTTATCGGCTGGTAATCGAATGCCGTATTTTTCAGGTATGAGAGGTAAAGGTTGTTTGTTCTTTTCTTGAGCCAATTCTAGCAAAAACTATGCGCCATTTTATAGTAATGCGTTAGATTTAATTGAAAACACTGAAAGTGGCGAGTTGTCAATATTGTTCAATAAAGCTAACCTCTTTGGGTGGTGGATTTGTAAATGAGTGATTTACACGTCCCTGTATAGCCAATTGTATGTCTTCTAAATCTAAATCAGGCTTGTTGGCATGTTCCGAATAAACCAGTGCATCTTGGAACACATCTGTTGTATATCCTATATTTATACACGTTATGACCATGTTAGAAATCGACTCATGAAAGTTCTCGGCGAACTATGTTGCTGATCATTTACTATGTGCAAATTGCAGTAATTGATGAACTACTTTTGGATCATAATCTTCTACACCTAACGATTGAAGTATTAGGGAAACAATACGTGCATCGCGAGGTTGAACGGGTTGTTTCGAAGAGTCAGGAGCCATATTAATGAATAAAAGAAAAAAATGTTTTTTCACAGATGTAAAGAATTTAGTTATAAGGGAAAAATGCAAATGAAATACGTTTAAACAAAGGATTTTTATTACTGACATTTTTTAAAGCCCAATGGACACGAGATATTAAACTTATCTAAATTGCCCGGGGCAGCTCCAAAGGATGAGGAGAATCTAAAAACCCCTTAGGGCTCAAGGGTAATAAGGATTATGTACTAAAGGGTTGGGGGAGGGGAAGAGGGTAACCAGTCGAGCAATAGGTGCCCTAACCGAGGAGTTGTAGGCGGCTCTCGAGAGTGGTGTAAGTAGTCGAGTTCAAACAAAATGTGACAAAGTACTGGCCATAGAAAATGCCAGTTTTGTATTTGGGATGGGTTTTTGATCGGATGTGTAGGAAGACGGTTGAGGACATAGGATATGGGATCACAGACTGATGTGGGGAGTCGTAGGCGGTGGTGCATGCAAATGAAATACAGTGTTTTAACTGCTATTTCAGACTTTTCACAAATTTTATTGGAAACTATTAAATCTTTAATTTAGACAACTTTCAATTATTTTACGATGAAGCGGTATATTATTCTTGGACGATTTCGCTGATAATCAATTATACAGTATCATCCAAGCAGCATTAAGGATGGCGTACAAGCTAGTCCTAAAAATGAGTCTTCATTAGTAAGGAAGTCGCTAAGAAAGTTCTTATTGGCGTGACTTTGCAATAGGACGAGCTACAAAAAGCTTAACAACTTTTCGTCAAATGACGATGTGTTATAAGGCCAACCAGATGTTCGTCAGTGCCTTTTTTTGGGACTTTGCCCAAAGATAAAGACGTGCCTTTCTTTTCTCGCGTTTTTGTTATCGAAGTTAAATTATAATGAAGAGGTTCTTTTAAACGAGAATAAGATCCCTTCTTTTCCGTATTTCGCATATTTTTGTAACTTACAGCTCTATTCATGTACAAAAGTTTCTTTATACAGAAGATTAGATCTATTAAAGAAAAGCATAAGAACCAGGTTAAAACGAACCCATTTGGTAAAATGCTTGATAATTGTAGGGGAACCGTCAGATCAAGAAGATATAAGGATTCTGATGTTTGTTCTAACTTTTTAGAACATACCAAGTGTCGAGACTGCTATGAACCAGGTCATTTTGACAAGCGTTACTACAAATGCAAGTATTACAAAGCCATAAATGCTGATGATGGTAAGCAATAAACCTAAATCTATCTTACACACAGCACTTAATTGCTTATGAGTAACCTCCTTAAAGTTGGTAGCAGTAGTAAGAAGAGAAAACAGAGTGACCTAGTGAAAGAGAAGAAGAAAGCAGTTAAACGGAAAAAGACCAACCCACAAGCTGCAAAGTTCCTCAGCTGTGGACAAGATGGCCATACAACTGCTCGTTCGCAAGAACTTTGCAGACCTTGTGGAGGAAAAGGTTTCGCTTCTGTCATTGGCGGCCGATCCGGTCAAATTTGTCAAGCCTTTGTGGTTTATCCAAGATTACTACGAAGAAGAGCATTCTAATCATCTTCCCTACGATGTTCGTAGGTTACCATTACCTCATCGCTTCTTCCCTTTTCCAACTCCCTCAGTACCATGGCGCCTCATTACCATTAGCATAAACGCCCTTACTCCTTTTTTACTTCCTGGAAGACTTGTAAAGGGTTATTGGAATCAACTTGAACAATTTTGTAAAGTGTTCAACTTCAAAAAGTTAGGCTTCAGAAGGTAAAGTAAATAGCACTCTGCTAAAAGACTCTGTTCTCAAGATTATTCTTTCACTTATATCATAGTATTGCTGTGCTAAAGACAAGCACAAGTATGCTCTTCAGGAGTCTCATTCGATCTGATGGCTTCACTATAGACTTCCTATTTAGTCGTAAGAAGAAACCAAAAAAGACGCTATCATTGATCATCATGGCTTGACGTTGGAAGACTTTTCCTATGAGGAGATCACGGCAAACTACCGACCCACAATTGGCCGAAAGACAGTATTTACAGCAGCAATCGGGTTAGAAACAAACATACATGAGATACGGCGCTGCTCGACAAAAGAATATTACACATGATGGGTAGTACTCGTGTCAATGCAGAATTAGAAAGGAAAAAGGCCGATTGTACGATAAAAGCGATAGAAAGCAATATACCGAGTAGTAAAACAGGCTCGCCTGAACAGGATAAGAGATATACTATTTACATACTACAACATTTAGATATTGTTCTCATTTTATGGGCCTGGTATGGGTGAAACAAGGTTCCGTCTGCATCAAAGCAGACAGCGTGCTGCAGACATGATGGTGAACATACTTGTCGATGGAGGTATCAAATACAACAAAGAATTACGGAAAAAAAGAAGGGAAGAACAAATGCAATGGCAAAGAAGGGCAAATTAAGCATAAAAAAAGAAGAAAGAAGAAGAAACAGAAAGAGAAAGTGAAGCAGAAAGAAGAAATGAAGGAGGAAGAGAACCACGTTCGGTAAGTCTTGTAGCGATTAACTGTCCACAGAATTTGTGTATACTCACTCTACTGTCTTCCTTCAGCAGACAATGGGTCCTTGAGAAATTCAGGCTGAGTGATTGCAAAAAAGTTCCTCTGGTTGTATTTGATGACGGCATGTTCAATAAATCCGCTGTTCATCTAAAAGGCCTTAGAACTGGTGTCGTTGGTGTTCTGTGGCGTGCATTGAAGCGAAGAGAGGCTGCTGGTGATCTCCTTTCCATTACAGTTGATGAATACTTGACATCACGCATATGCAATTGTTGTCGCTCAGATACATTGAAAGCATTAGACACGGTGCGTGGCTGTAGTATCCTTGTTTGCAAAACCTGTAAGATACTATGGAACCGCGATGTCAATGCAGCAAAAAACATGATGGCCATCAGCATTTCGGTATGGAAAGACAAGGAACGTCCTACTGAGTTCAGCCGGAAGACAACTTCTTAGTCTTTTGATATTTATTATCGCCAGACCGAAACTGGCTTGCTATTTACAGGTAAACGTCTCCATTTTAGTGTAGTTCGATCTTCAAACTATAACTCAATCGTCTCAAAATTTCGGTCATTCCGTCCAGTTATTTTTAAGCTTCGTTTAAACCCGCAGTTAAAAAAACTGTAATGATATAGAATCCTTCCCATACCTGGGAGTTCCTTTCAAGCCCGGTGGTTACCTGGACACGCAAGAGCTCATACATATCAACACAACCAAAGCCCTGGCTACTATGAACACCTTATCGTCGATTGGAGTCAACCCTAACGGCTTTAATAAGCTACTATCTCTCAGGTTCTACGCTCATCTGGTCCGCCCTCAACTGGAATACGGATTGGCGATAAGCAAACTGAACAGGACAAATCATACGAAACTGGAAAACGTACAGAACAAATGCATTCGCAGGATATTTGGTGGGTCAATTCGATCCTCTGTCAATATAATGCGTCACTTAGCCAACTTACCCTCAATGCGAGAAAGAGCCTACACTCTCCAGGCTAAATTCCTGTTACGATCACAAACACTCCCAGATGATGCCCTACTGTCCCTACTGCTGCCATATGTACGACAACCAAATAGCTCTTCTATCTGGATTCAGCTATCTCGTACACCTCTCTGGCAAAGAACCAAGGAAAACGCCCAGACAATGGATCAGAAAAATCTTAAACAGTCCCTGAGAGACTTTCGTACAGAATCCTTACAAGCAATGCAAAGCGCCCCAACAAACTCTAAGCTCATCTCCGTCTGCCGCCCAACAGTAAGTTTAGATCCCATACTATGGCTTCCAATGACAAGAGAAGAAAGAAGTCGATGTCTTCGTTGGCGACTTGGTTGGTTACCTAGTGGTAACACCACCTACTGCATCCGGCACCCTTCAGCATTGTTAACAAAGACACACTCAATCCAATGCCTGCATATGCACTCGCGTTTGCAGCAACCACAGCAAATAGAAGATCCCCTTTCGTATCTTCTAAATCAGCTACCTAACCACCCGCCAAGACAACCTATGATAAAACGTCAATGGGAACACCAATGGCCGATCCTCTGCTACATACTATATGAGCTTGACTATCTATTCCACGTCAAAGAACCCCCACCCTTGGATGTTGCTCTAGGATCTTTACTGCTCCAATGGATGTCTCCTCATAATCACTCAACCTTGTGATAAACTGGTTTTTACCCTTGATCTTGAAGGGCTTTTTAGATACTTTATAAACAGTCGGATCTGCCCCGGGCAATTTTATATAGCATTGTGCCCACTGGGTTTTAAAGAAAATATTTTGTCAATAAAAACCTCTCTTTAAACGTAATGATATAGAAGGAGAAAAAAAAAAAAAAAGGGTCCGACACAACTATCTCCGGATTTAATTGATGAAGTTTGCTGGAATGCCAGCTTAAACAATTAATGATTTGTGTAAAGTACTTTCTATAGACAATTAATTTTGTGTACAGATGATCTTTGCTTATCAGTATAAGACAGAGCTTAGTTGTACGCAATATGTCTTCCGTTCTCCAACCTCTGATACCATCCAGCTCGCGTAAAAATAAAATGGATGACCTCTCTGATGCAATTCTGTGTCAGCTATCTTCCTTGGCTCAAGGCACTGATATATCGCTAGAAGAGATCACATTATATTTTGGGTATTTCACAAAGTTGCACATTTGGGAGAGACAGAATCAAATATAACAATAGAGAGCGAAGCATATCTCTGAACAAGGAGAAGGAAAGCGGAAAGAAAGTGATTCAAGCAGAGTCAAGTTAGCCATAGTTTGATCATGTCAGTATCTCAACAAGAATAATTGCAGCGAATTAATCAATACTCACAGATGTATGTTATCAGAACAATAAACTAAACCTGTTTTCGAAAGGATAAGGAAAAGACATGATATTGCGAGAGCGAACGACATAATGTTTTAGATAAACAAGACTACAAACTCTATTTTGAGAAGATTATAATCAAAAGATGATGAACTCTATGCTCTTATTCAACAAGCAGAAGAAATTTTGGCACGAGACTCCATTATAATGGCTGCTTTAAGGTTCGATGGTGTCTATCTCCCTTTGGACTTCACAAAAAGTCAAAGAATTGAAAAAAAAAGACCTCCCCTCCAAAGGCTTTATCGTAGCAGCCCATTACCAATAGTTCATTGTAGTCTATTCACGCTATTTTTTGAATAAAATGCCCCATACCTGATAATGGGTAATCTGCAAAACTTGCTTTTCCATTTTAGTACTTATAGATTATGTGTATCTCTGTTAACATCACAGCTAATAATTTGAAGATTAGTCACCTCCGCTTAGGGATCTAATTCATTTCAGATTAGCAAACCTACTTCTTCATTTTTCAAGCAATGCCTTCTTCATAGCGGTTCTAAACGCGTTAAAATTCATCAAAACGGATGGCATTGGATGATGCTAGGCTTAAATTGAACAAATCGAAAACTGTTTTCTGAGTAGACATTGCCTTGCCGGAATGGCAGTCCTTGCCGACACTGAGGTGTTGTGGTTTTGTATGTAAATGCGATCTTTCGTTCCGATCATATTGGATTCGGGTATGTCTCTTCCCACCCTTTAGACTTTTTGAGGGCCTAGAGTTACAAGAGGCTCAGTCACGGCAACCAGGGCTACTGCACGTGGCTAGACAAAGGCTAATGGCATACTTACAGTGGATACAAGCTTTGTCATTCTTGGCTTTCTCACTGTTATTCTTTGTATACTAGGTATAAATCTATTGTATCTTGGGTTAACTGCTTTTCCGTATTTTACCCACTATGTTTGATCGGTTGCTTTAAAAAGACTCGATATGGCATTTCAATACAAAAGTTTTGGATTTTCTAACTTAGATCAGTAAAACGCAGAGGTTGGATGCTGGATGCTCCTCTTTCTTATGCCTTTAAATGCAGAAGCACTTTTACTATTCCTTGGTACATCGCATCAATCACTACTGAAATGCCTAATTATCTTATTTTAATCTCACAGTCTCGTCAATTTTATTCGATGGCGCAAGGCGTTAAGTACCTTGACTCATCTGGATTTCCTCATTCGTACGCAGCGATAGAGTAGAATCCAACTACTACCCACTTTTGTAGAATGTCCTCCAGTATTGATCACTTGCTGACTGCACTTACTTATACTCGGATTCCTGAGACTTCTCATTGATCCTTTTCGTTTCGCCAAGGTAGTTTATATTGTTCCATCGGTATCTTTACCAGTTCGTCGGTTGTACTGGCACCCAAATTCTTGGTGTCCGCTCAAGGTTACTCGATGCCGCCCATCCGCTACTTGAAACCGATTTTGATTTGAAAGGGAAGAGGAAAAAAAACATGGGAAAGCTTATACTAGATCAACAAACCCTTGAATATATTGCTTTTTTAAACTTTTTTTGTAAATCTGTTTGTAATCTTACGCAACACGGCGTAATCTCGTCAACTCATCTAAGAATTGATTAGGCGCAATTAATATGGAAACGCATGAGAAAAGGGAGATAGAATACATTCCATTAACCACTTCCTCAAAAAAGGCAAGATAAACTTTAGCTATGGGCATACAGAGGTTGGCTACAACTATAAATGTCTCGATTTGCGTTGAGATAAATTACAATACGTGCAAGATTTGTAGTAAATCAGGGTCCATATTACTCGTAGATAAACGTGTTACTTAACGGCATTTTGTCTTTCCCTGTTACCCTGAGGGCAACTTTTGATTGCGGAGATTTCAGAGAGCATACAAAAATGGTAAAAAGCTGGAATGTTTAATTCTGGAACATTTTACCATCCTTTATAAAGTCAGTTACAACAATAATATGTCCATAAAAGGAAGCACTTTTCATTTGGTTGACCAGCTCATTATATGCGCTGTTCTTCGAATCTTTGTGCTTCAGCGTACTTTATCTCATGGTCAGTCAACAATGAAACAAGTGAAAAGCATATATCCGTAATGACAGAATTGGTCACGGTTCTCCGTTATTGATATTTGAGTTTTTTATCTTTTGGTTGTCTGATCTTAAAAAAACCTGCAATCAAAACTACTATATCGAGTAAAATTTATTTTTTTTTTAAAAAAAGGGGTACACATATAATTTAGTCAATTAGAAAAGAGAAAAATAACGTCATGTTTGGCTAGGTTCCAAGCAGTGATGAAAAGATATCAGCTTTTTTTTTGGTTTTAAGAAGGAAAGAATCTAGCATTTTGCTCTACTTGTCCGTTTTTATTACAATTTATTTTTATATTTTTTACATAAAAAATGCTGAATCCTGAGAAAAAATGGGCAGAAAAATATATATTAAATTGGATTCTGTTTAATGATGAGTGATGCCATTTAATTTTCTGACTGTGTATGTGTTTACGCACGGGCATAGATCGATAATGTACCGAAATGAAAGGCGCGTCTTTTCGTTGGTAGCGATCAGTATTGGGCATACAGCCGTTTTTGCGTATTCCATCCTCCGCACCTGAAGGAAAAAAATGATTCTCAGCCAGATCATCGATCCTCCGGTAAAGGACGAAGTGCTTAAACAATATCAAGAGGCGCTTCTTATTAATTGTTTAGTAAGAAGCGTACTAAGTATAAGGCCAAACATGATAAGGGAGTGAACCACAAAATTATCGAATGCGATTTAGCTTGTAGAAAAGAAAGATATAAGAAGAATCTGTGTTCTTCCCCACTGTTATATTTTTGGTCTACTTAACTTCTCCGTCATAAAAAGAGCAATGATAACACAACTTCTGTTTGATCAGACAGAAAAAGGGTTCATAGTATTCAAGCTCGAAAGTCAAATATATTGAGCTTGCATACTATGGTATAAATGCTGGTAGGTCCTTCATTTCTGTATAAACCAAATACTGCTGGGATAGAAGGGCATTTATGCTTCACTCTCTTTGCTTGCATGTATCTGAAGTTCTTGAAGTTGCTACTGCCATTTGTACAACAGGTCAACTAAAGTGTAACTGTGCCTCATTGTCGTTCTCAAGGAACAAGATTTTTTTTTTATTTTATAGACCGAAAACTCAGAGGACCTGTGAAACATCTATTTTAGTATGTTCATCAATTCACGATAACGCAGCAAACTAATTGATCGAACAGCTGTATAGGGCAGCGGGATAGACGTACAATGTTCATCAATCTGCTTGACGTTTTTTCCCTATATTGAAGGCTAAGCAGAATGGCTTTCGTTAATATGAGGAAAAACTGCTCCTCTTCTTTGGCCAAATGACTACGCAATGTTGAAAGCTTTTGAAGGGACGCTGTAGCATAAAAATGATAGCTGATGTCTCTCCATTAGATTTCTTCAGAATTGAAAGAAAAAAGCTCGAATTGTAGCGATTTTTTTCCCATTTCCCAGCCCTTCCTTTTTCGATGTTCCATGCGGGTAGATTGGGACAAGAGTATGAAAAAGATATAAAAAGAAGGCATAAATTGTTGTCTTTTCGTTTCCCTTTTCCAACTCAATACTGATTATGTTATCAAACACATAAACGCCTGTATTTTATATTTCATCCACGCACTGCTACATTTTACTACTATTTTAATTGTCTAATTACCCTATCATACTAGTATAGTTATTTTCCATTTATACCCGTACATGCCACCATACTCTTCTCTATCAACTGCAATTGTCACTTTACTACACGCTAATACAGTTTTGACAAAGTTATGGTAGTGAACCATTTATCATCATTAGGAACAACAAAAAATGTGATCCAGCAACTCATAGAAAGGCATGCAGAAGCTGATATCGAAATTAGCGACTTTATTTACACAGTTCCGCAATATCTCACTTTGATGAGAGCCACTGTAGCTACTTCCGCTATATCCATTGTATGCTCCTTTCTCATCATCAGCGCCTTTCTTTACCTTCGACTTTTTACACCCAAGAGAGCCAATCGAATCTCACTACGTTGCGTGTTCATGGCTAGCATTATGAACCTATTCAACGCTGCTTTCGATATACTTATCGTTACAATCTTTGGTGAGTCCATCACATGCAGAGCAGGCAATATCATCGTACAATTCACTAGAATCATGAGTGGAGCATTTTTAGCCACTGTAGGGTTGAACCTTGTGGTTGTTTTTGTTTTCAACCACAGTAAATCCTCAGCGCGACGTCTAGAACTATACTATTATCCATGTATAACTGTATATGGGCTCATTGCTATAGCAGTACCGCTTGCTGAAATGGCAAGGAGTCCTCTAAATACTCAGGATAACATAAGCTGCTTCTACTTTATTTTTTATCATCAACTGTTTGGTTATAGTAGCTTCTCATGGGTAAAGTATTGATAATTCAATCCTTCGTTTTTTCATTTCACCCGGAGAAAAAAGAAACACAATAATACAAATACTAGTAATAGTAAGATAGCTAACATTTCAGTACTCTTTCTCGTATACATCATAGATGTGGTTCTTCGGATTTCTTTTCTTTACTGTTCTTCTTGCGGTTGTTTCCTCCTGTATTTCTCTCACCAAACTCATGTACGAGCATCGAGCATTAATCAATAAATTCACCCACATTGCCTCATCATCTGTCCCACCCTCAGCAGCTGATCCCTTCTCTAATGCGACAATAGAATTCAATGCAGCTGAAGACAATGTCATTCAACAGCGTGTCAGATATCATTCCAACATTTTTATGCGAGTTGTTACCCGATGCGTTATCTATTCTATGGTCCCTCTTATCAGCAATATCTGGGGTTTTGTCTTTCAACTAACCTTGATTCACCCGCGCTCTTATGCCCCCAGATACAGTCTTTCTATGGTTGACGCCATTTTCAAATGTCTACAAGGCTTCTTCGTTGCTATTGTTTTCTTCAGCGATCCTGCTATGACACAGTTCATTTCCGATCGGTGGAAATTGTATAAAGCAAAATATATTGATGACTATAGTCGGATCAGGAAGTATAGCAATGGGCAAATCGAAGTCATTCCTCATAGCCAAGGACGAAGATTACAAGAACAAAGCGGGACATCCTCGCCACCACTACCAGCTGCACTCCCGCTTGTCAGCAAGCCCTTAGCCGCTGAATGTAAGAAAACGACTGGCTATCTGTTTTTCCAAACAAATTTGAAAGACTGGGCCATTCATCACGAGAATGGCGCTGTTTACGAAACAATACCTATGCGTCGCCTAAGTGTTCCGCCTTCAGTTTATACCCGTTTATACCAGCAACATGTGCAGCAACACGGCCTTCCACAGCAACAACAATCAACATGGAAACAGCAAGAACACGATAATATAGAGGATATTGCTTATGAGACCGACGAAGGAACGACGCCTACGTTGACTCCTAATTCATCGCGTAAACCATCTTGTTGCATTCCTGACCCTGAATCCACAAACCATATCTTTGTACCTTATAAATATCCGCGCTTAGCCTCTGCTATTCATTGGACATTGGTTCATTGTGGAGTTGGTAATAGCAACAGCAACATCAAGGATCAGCGTGTAAATCAACCACAGCATTTACAAAAAGATGATCATTTTTTTTCATTCAATTCCATCGGTAGCACAGCAACTACTGCTTCATTAGAAGCCGACCAACGACTTCAAGAGGCATTCATTGACACACCATTACCTGTCCATCCATTGACTTAAAATTGATATGAGTCGTTATTATGTCAGTTTCCCAATTTATACCATATAGATATTTTATTTTATTTTTATTAGAAGAAAATGGGACGACGATTGATATAAAATCTTACTGTTGTTGCTTTACCCTGCCTCAATGGGAACTAGAATTTATAATTAATCTTATCGTACCAACTTACGTTTCTTACTCCAATAATATTTAATTACCTTACTGCTAATCAATGCCTTTACCAAAGATAATTTAACATTCAATAGAATACTATTCTTTAAACTTACGAAAACCAAATAAATTTTTCTTTTGAAAACTCACTTCACGTATCTTTGTTTGTTGGTCTGATTTTCAAAAGTAGGCAATACCATCCCAAAAAAGCGAGACGAAAACCCCTGAATGTACTCCAGGCATTGTTTCAGATATGACTGGTTATTTTATTTTACCATACGGCGAAGAAAATAGAAGGCACGGACAACACATTTTGTCATACGTTGAAATCAGACGTTAACAAAAATGCACTGACTTTCTCTGATAAAGTGAAGAACTTAAATAAACATGGCGACATAACGTTTACAATATAGCAAATGTTTCATCTTGCATTTGAAATTCTAAATTTGAGCGGCAATAAGTACGAAGAAAACGTTAATCTGATAATCTGATAACTCCTTATTGAGACAACAGCAGCACCCAGTCAATGCCAATCTTTAAAGCCCACAAAAGTATAGTTCATGTGACATAAAAAAAAGTTGCATTGGGACAGCGAATGCTCTAAGAATCTTGTCATACGGTTTTTAAAATTGTAATGTATCAAAGTAACAAAGCCATGTACAAAGAACAGTTTATATACAATGAGAAAGAAATCGTGCAAAAAAGATATGCGACAGCCAAATATTTCGAGCAGATTTAAGCGAGCGAAATAAATAGTGAAACTGATAACTATAATAGGCGGCGCATTACTTTTTCGTTTTTTTCTGTTTGCGCCACTTCTCAACAATACTCCTTACACGCTTACTGGAATGCTTTGCAGTATTCGAAGTGCTAATGATACGACCAGCTGTTCCAAAATGTGCAGTTATCACTGATTGTTCGCCAGTCGTCTAGCAAAACCAGAATTGGATTAGTTCACATTCTCCCAACACTTAGTATCTTGATTATCAGTTTTATAAAACAAACCTTTCTACTATTCATTTCGCGTAAAACTGGCAAAAGCACTTGATCAGTTTTCTCTTCTGACCAACTAAAGGATTCCATCAAAAAGACTCTCAATGAATCGAGTTGCGGCTGGCCCCATACGAACTGATCTGTCGCGTCGTCAACGGTAGGATGATAATAGGCTTTAGTCACCGCAGAGTTTGGGAAATCATTGGGAATATCCAACGCATTATGCCTCTTGCGCTATTACAAATAATCAGATGAGTATACGTCCTTCTTGTCAATCAGGCACCAAACCACCCCCCATACTTACAAATCTTCGTTGAAAAGGTGTTTCATCCTTATTACTTTCGTACCATTCTTTGAACCTGATCAATGGCTCCTCCAATGGTTCATCTTCTTTCTCATCTTCATCCTTGTTATCCGTGTCAAATTCATTCAATATCTCCATAGCAGCTACTGGACCCACGCCTGGTATACCTTCTGTGTAATCACTTCCCAACAAAAATGCCAACTGAATCAATCTTTTGCGCGTTAACTGCATTTCTCGTTCGACATCCTGACTAAGGTAGCATTCCACATACTTTTGTTGATTAAACATGTTTTTATAAACTCGTTTTGCACCGAACAAAAACACATCAGAGTCATCTGTAATCGTACCGTCCACCAAGTTAAGGTCTTCTAATTTGGCACACTGAGCTTCAGCTTCCATGGGTGCAATTATATAAGGAATGCCAAATAAGGTCAACAATTCTTGTGTGTCTTGCACCATTTGATCTGTAATATCGTCAGTATTACCCATGGTTTTGCGCTGTAAAGCATTAAGTTCCTTAACTTCTCGCTGGAGATCCTTCTTGATATCATCAAGATGCTTTGTGGCAATGTCAGAAACGAAACGTAAATATTCTGCTTCCTCACCTTGCATGGTGTTCACTAATTCTTCTTCCGAGTTGTAGCCTTGCTCTTCAGCAAACACTATTTCGTTTTCATCACCTTCAGCCACAGTAGTAGTACTAGTAGTGGTGTTGGTCGTCTCTTTCCTTCCATCTTCTACTTTCTCCTCTTTGAGAGTAATATCTATTTTTTCCTCATTGTTACTTGATAATCCGCTTTGTGTCGGATCATTAGGCTGTACAATATGAGAAGTATTGTCTTCATCAGCAGTAGTGCATTCATTTGTAGCAGCAGATGTATCTTTATCTGAAGTTGTCACTTTGGATGTAGGCATATCTGCATTTGCATCTCCCTTGGTGGAATAGACTGATTCAACAGTTTTGATAGTCGTTTGTTTAGGTAAATTGAGTACTTCATCTTGCTTTTCTGTAGGCTGTAAATGCTGGGTATATGTAAGCTCAGTATCTCTCTTAAATAAGGTTGATTGTTTGATATCAATTTGTACATGTTGCATTTGGCTATCTTGTTCAGCACATGGAAAGGTACTTTTGTTTTTGGTATCATTGACATCGTTGGTAATATATGACGTCTTCTTTGCAACAGGTACTTCACTAAATTGGATATTTTCCTCTTCTTCATCATCTGTAATAATCATATCATCTGAGATAGCCATCAAATCGTCCGGCGGTTCTGTATTAAACATGGTTACTGTGGATTCGATCTGATTTGTATTATTTGCAGATGTCAGATCTTTCTTGTCCCCGACTTTATTTTGATCCGCAAGCACGACAGAACTTACGCTTTCTGCCACACTTGGATGTGATGATACTGAAGCTGCATTTCCTTGTTGTTGCTGCTCGATAGTAATGTCCTCAAAATGATCATTTTCATCGTCTGTGCTACTGATTGAAATGGGTGCTGCTGCCATTTTCCCGTTTTGCATGTTTCGCCACGCAATGACATCCTCAATAAAATACGCTTCAAATTTCAATGCCTCCAATGTCATATCATGATCAGCATTTGTTTTACTGCGTTGTCTGCGGACTGATTTGAGTTTCGCTTCCAACTCTGTGATACTCTCTTCTTCAATAATCGACCTTAAAATTGATTTATATGCATCATTCATGGAATTTAAATAAATAAAAGAGTCAGGCGCTCTAGCTAACCATAGTTCATATAATTGTTGAGCTGTTAAAGAAGCAAATGCATCAGCATAACTTTGCTCTTCATTAATGTCTAATGTTGTTATTGGCTGTGCCCGACTATATTGTGATTGCCGATTCCCTAAAAGTAGATCATTCTGTTCACCGCTGTACATACGTGTAAGAACTTGCTTCTTCACTGCATCATTATGATCCCTCATATACATTTCCATATCGTTGATTGTATCATCATTCGTTTGCTGCTGTTGAGGTTGAAACATAGAAGCAGGCAACTTATCCGATGCATTATCATTAGCTTCAGATATAAATAATGGTTCTTCATCACTGCTGCTACTTTCTGTTTCTTCTCTTTCGTCCTCATCAGAGGTCAATATCCCGTTTAAAAGGGCTGCAAGTTCTGGTTTCGTACTTAAAGCTGCTGCTACTTTATCTTGTTGGGGTATATTCTCAGTATTGGAGGTACTGAACTCGGAAGCAGCTGGTATAAATAGCTTTGGTTCACGACGTTCGGAAACAGCAGACCCATTATGAATATTTTCAAATTCTTCTGCCTTTTCCAAATCATTCTCTTCCTCTGCGTCAGTTGTGGAATCCAATTCTACAGGTGTTAATGCATCTAAGCCAGGCAACTTCCATCCTAACCCCTCTTGAATATTTTCATTCTTGTACAAAATATACTGTCTTCCTCTTTCACTTGCTACTCTCGTCGGCTCTACCAAGTGAGCCATTCCACTTATCTGCATCATTCTTTGAGTCATCTTGTTGCGATGCTCCAAATTTTGTATTTGTTGCTTTGAAAAATCCAGGGCTGTTTCTGATTTCCTCACCATATCTTCAAGACGAGCATGGGATGTAGATCTTGATTTCCATTTCAAGTCTTGGATAACTTCATACTGCACTTCTAGAGGCAAGGCTTCAAATGCCTCATTATCAATATCCATAGCACTTATGGAGGGTGCAAAGTCGTTCACAAAATCTTGAATCTCTTCTTTGGTTGCTAATCGCGGGTCCAATGTATTGTTTTTGGTGATTTTAGCATAGGTTTCTCGGTGAGTATCCAATTCTGGTAACTCATATTGATCTACTTTGCGTTTGCTACGTAAGGTTTCGACAGCTGCCTTTTGCTCTAATTCTTCTACGTAGACATAGTTTTCCTCTTCTGTAGTGTCATGAGAAGTTTTCTCTTCTGTACTTTGCAAACTGAGGATGTATGGAGAAAATCACCAAAAGTACAGGATTAAATGAAAAGTACCATCAAAAATAAATTCAAAGCATACAAAGCTACTTACTTCTTTTCGTGTTGTAACAGCATTCTGGACCTTACTTGAGCATTAAAAATCTTCCTAGCAGTTACTTTCAAATTGGCTTTCAACCCTTCTCTCCTTTTCCTTCTTTCTTTCTAAAGAAGTTGAATAAAGGGCAAAGTTAAAGTGTGGAATCGGATCGTTGTTCAAACTTGTACTTACAATGGTGCTTCTTTTTAAGAATGGTGCTCCTCCATCAAACACAAATACGGGTTTAATGTCGAAAAACAGTAATTTACATAAACGTCGAAAAAAACCTAGTAGGTGGCCATTTCGCAAAGCATTGCCTTCCTTATCACGCATGGTACGCATGAACTGGTGAATCCAAATTGATGCATCTACTGCTAATTTCTTTCTTCTTAACGATTCTAACGGTGTTGGACGAGCGGCAGGGCCTACAAGCGACCACAGTCCCTGAACACCCATATTATCGCTGTGCTGATATGATGAAAATCAATACTTGAATGAGGGGATTAGTTTCAAGATCGATCGTGAATGCTGCGGTTTTAGCACGTTCTGATGCATGAATGTCAGGTTCTATTGGCTCGTCCACTCAAATATACGTCACTGAGTTGAAATTTGTTGGGTTTTCATTGTTGCTTTGTATGTAGAAGAGCTTTTTTAAGCGAATTCTCCACTGGACTGGAGTTCAATCTTTTTCAGGGTGCAGGCGATGAGGAGAGCCCTCCCTCCAATTTGGCCCCAGCAAAGAAAAGGAACAAAAAATAAAAGTTGTTTTTCAAAGGTTGTTTTAGGTTACTTGACTATACCTCTTCTTCTATATAGAAACGGAAAACTATATATACTTACAAAAATACCAGCAACCTTTCTATTCTCATTGATAATATATAAACGAAATGGTTAACAGTGCAGTTGCGAACGTATGTATGCTCAACATTCGAAGAATTTCAAATTGACACACGTGTTTACAGTGTGGGGTAAAAGGACAACGGTACTCATTTGAAACCAACCATCCTTCATTTTCAATGATGCTCTTTAGGTTGGACGTTGGTCTGCTTTAGCAGTTGGTTTATTCTACGGATACACTCATGATAAATCATTACATAAAGACGCAGAACTAAAGAAAGTTGAAGCTGAGTATCGTAGAAAAGAGCGCTTAATTGAACAAGCAAGACTCGAGTTTGCAAAGAAACAGGCCGGCGCAGCAGCTCAAACACCTGCAACAACAGATAAGATTAATTGTAAGCTGGCATTGCTTTTGGAGGGTTTATTGTTCGAGACTAACAGTATGACGGATTCTTTCTATTAATAGTTGATGTTGACAGCCCTGAATTTGATTTAGAAAATTATCTTCAACACATTGAAAAGGAAGGCAATCAATAGACACAGCCAGCAGCCTTTGGCAGTACATACATTATGCTCAAACGTTGCGGTTATTACTACTGCTAAGTATATTTAAATCAACGATAAATGCCGGTCCTATTTGCAAGAATAAAAGATATTCTACCCATTGAGAGTGATTTTAGAATCGACGACGTAAGAACAGTGTACACATTCGTTCATTCAAATTGAGCCTTAGTATCTAAGAATTTGGCGTTTAAAATGGCTTATCCCTTCTATTTAAGATGTGCGAGATCTAATTTACAGAAGTACGACAGGTGTTTTTTTCTCAAAGAAAGACATATTTCTTTTTCGCAAACTGCGACGATGTACTGAAAATAAGTGCTAATTTCAAAGATAATGGACGGCAAATTATTTATTATCATTTGGCATGTCTTTTCAGGACAAAAGCGTAAAAAGGTTAGACTTAGCAAAATAAGCTTTTAATGTGATGTGAACGACAATGAATTCTAAACTCAAAAGGGGTGGGTTGATTGATTTATTGTTATCATATGTGTATTGGAGCACTACAGTTTTATTGTTTCATTATTTGTGGTAGCAAGACAAACTGAAATATGTTTGCTGTAATTCATCCCCTTTTTATTCCTTTACTCAAATCTAAAAAATCTTGACTAGTGATATTCAACCCTTTAATACTTCTATTTTGGATAGATTGAATGGCCATACCATCTTATGAAGACGACTGGGAGCATGACATACATTTGGACCCAACATCTACAAGTATCTTTTCCTCGGGACTATCGGTAAACAGCGGTGGTATCGGTGTCAGTGTTGACCCCAATGGTCGTGGCTTTCATTACTCTCCCGATAAAGAACTAAGCATTGCTTGTGAACGCTATGAATTGAATGCACAACTTCAACAACAGAGACCATTTTGTTACTACAACGAAGATGACTGTGATTCCAGTATCGCTGGCAGCAGTATTTTCACATCTACAGCTAGTAAATTTACCGAACCCTCGCTGTTGTATTCGCCTATCCTGGATGACGACTTCATGTATGACGAACCTCTGCTACCGTCTAAAAAGTATTCGCAAACAGTGAAACAACCAACAATCGCAAAGAAGATACTCATGGATCAACAATCTTCCTCATTTCCGGGTATTGTGCAGCAGCTAGGAACGCCTGCTAAACTTCAAGAGCCAAAGGATAATGATGATTGGACGGATGATATTTCCATTTCTCCTCGAGACCAACCATCAGCCACCCCATCTTTTCAACAATCACATCAGCCAGATATATTGACCTTCGATTTGACCAAGTTGAGTAAGAAACTTTATGATATCCCCAAGATATTTGATGTAAACTTCGATGATGATGATGACGATGGTTTGGGTGATTTTGATGAAAATGACATTGGTCCTTCAGTCAGCCAAAGGGGAAGCGTGGTTGGTTTGGATAATAACAGATATGCTGCCGAAACATCTAATATTGCAAAGGGACCTAACTACTTGAAGGCGCGCTTTGAGGTCGAAGATGATGAAGATGACAATAATATGGATGGTCTTGATTTCCCTGTGAATATGGCTATTCTTGCCTCTAAAATTGAAGAAAAGAAAAAGTACGATCCAAGCAAAGCACAAGAGCAAGCACTTCCCCCTCCTCCTCTTCATGCAATGACTTCAAAACAAACAAAACCTGCTGCCACTAGAATTCCTATTTCGTCTGCGAAAGCTAAGATACTTGCATCCATTCCGAGAGAAAATGATGACGATGATTTTTTTAAAGATTTGAGCCTCAATGACAGAGCATTTGAATTTAACCAAAACGCTGCAACTGCACCGCAAAGAGTGCAATCCAACTTCAGAGGAAACACCAAGTTTGTGAGTAGATTGGCTCGTCCCACAAATATGATTGATAAAAATCCTTTGTCTACTCAGCAACAATTACAGAAGAAAAGAAGCCTTCAACAATTACCTGCGGTATCCTCCTCCACCTCTCGTTTAAGCAATCGAAATCTACTTGCTGCACAAATCAACAAGCAAAGGGAAGCTGTCCCGTCGAACAATAAACGTTCTGCTATTCCCAATAGTAGAAGACAGCAACCAACAACTACCCAAACATATTCAAGGAACGCTATTAGACCTACTATTCACCCCACCAGTACCATCAACGCAACCAGACCCTCACGTTCGTTAACCAAGACAACTCCCCGAAAGCAGCAATCTCATCAACATCAGCACCAAACTCCTTCTCCTTCAGTCATTAAAACATTCAATAGCTACCCTACACTTATTGCTCAACCCAAAACCAAGCCTACCACAGGCACTTATCGTACTGAATTGGATGATTTAGATAATTTACCTACAGTAACACCAAAGAAAAAACCCACTGCAGTTTGGAGGCCGTTGTCAACTCCCCAAAAGCAACAAAAACAGCCGCAACAAGCCAATAGTAGCTCTAATGCGAGCACCATCAATTGTGACCCGAAACGTCCGTGGCGTACAAATATGCAGGTTAGTGCTCTTTCTTTTCAGGTCTATAAGAGTCTTCAACAATCTTAGTGCTTACTTAACTTACTTAGACTACTAAAAGCAAAGTCAAACTTTTCCAGCCTGGTCAGCAAAATTTGAGTAAAGGTAAGACGTAATGTAGAAGCAGAAGAATATCTAGCTTGTAGATTCTCACTATTCCTATTCTCTATAGAGTACAATAATATGAAATTTGATGAACGTTCCCGTATTTGGAAAGGTAATGAAGACAGTATGTTCGGTTTCCCTCCAGCAGAGGTTAACAAGCGTACCCAGCAAAAGAAGCCAGTAGCTGGTCTTCGTCTTATCACTATGCCTCGTATTGTAACCAACAGATCCAAAACAGCAGCAGCAGGATCTAAGGATATAAGAAATAAAGGTGCGACTGCTAGTCGTTATACAGCAGCCATGGGACATAATATGATATTCGACGCTCAATCACAAAAATGGGTTTGTGCTTTGGGTGAGGAGAATGAATTCAATGAGTTGGATTGCATAGAAGACTTGTACGAAGAATACAAACAACCTATTCACTGTTTCACTGGTAGACGGAATGGAAGGAATCCTCTAATACACGGTGACGATAAAACTATTGAGTTTAAAATACCAGTAGAAATGAAGCGAGAAATGATGTTCCAACAGGAAGACCATGAAAATTTTATGAAGAATTGGCCTTTGAAAGAAGAGGAGCCGAACAAAATCAAGACGCCGTCTGGACACCTCGTGTCCGCTTCAAAATATCACTTATTTTATTTCAACAGAACACTGTTGTGATCAATAACTCCTTCTTTCATCACATTATTAAACACATTATTGTTTAATATCATATCTTATTATTATAAAGAAATCTGTTCATTTTTATTGTACTGTTTTAATAAAAGCCTGAAATACACAGCATTCTTGCAACACTTGTTTTCATTTGCACATCCAACAGAGTCCATATAAGGAAACTGCCATTTTGACCAAAAGATTATGGTTTTGTATTCCCCTGAACGCACTATACACTTTTTTTTTTGTGAAGAGTTGATTTCTCTCCTTTTCTTCCATATTTTGTGCATTTCATAATTTATCCATTGTTATATTATCTTTTATTTCTGCGAAATTACTATTTGTTATCTCTCAGTTTATATAAGCAAATCAACAGTAAAAATGATGTCTTTGGATAGTAGTGCATTCCCTGATCCAACAGCAGCAATAGCAGGATATCGACCAACTGATCTTATACCGGAACTAGCAGACATAGAGGTGTGGTTCCTCCCAAAAAGAAGGCTGTTCAATATATGCACTTCTTACTGACGAATGGGATTCTTTATTAGGGTAGTCTACCAGCGTTACTAGAAAAGGTGAAAAATGATACTATGATGGCAAAGGTTGGTGATTTATACGTGCAAGCAGCGGCAGCAGCTGCAGTAAGAGCTAAGTTGTTTCAATATTATGTTATGTAGGATATAGCCTCGTACTTCAGGAAAAGAGCTTATGTGGAGGAGAGTTATGGTAAAGATATGATTAAAATGTCACAGCATGCAGCAGAATCGTTTGATAAAGCATATCCGAAATCAGGGTACAGTGAAAAGCATCTGACTATTAAAAAGGAAATTGAACGTATATGTTCTTTGCATACACATAAAATCAGCTAACCACTATTTAATGCCTAACCTTTTTAACGTAGAACATTCGGCGATGTTTGGATATCTATGTTGAAAGTACATGAAAGTATTGGTAATCAACGAATAAAATTCTCAGCCGCACTTTCCGATGCAGCAGACGATCTATTATCGCTAGGACGAAATATCGACAAAGACAGAAAAAAAATAAAGGAGACAAGTGTACAGTATGATAAAATAGTCAATGACGCCAACACAGCACTAGAAAAGGTTTGTTATTTGGAATCGAAACTCCCTCAACAAAAAACTCTAAATTCAATGCTTTTCCGCAGAGTAAACAGAAATTTGAGACTTCGAATGAGGAATGGGGTAGAGCTGTGTCGCAACGAAATCATGAACCGATACAGCCTTCTAAAAAGCATCTTTTTCGAACAAGTCGTACACCTGCACAGGTAGATAGACCATTAAGAATCAAAAAATGAGAAAAGGAAGGATATTTAATCTATAATTTAAAATACTAGTTAGACAAGAACGAAAATGACTGTAGAGCTAAGATGGATGCGGCAGACGCTCAATATAAATTGCAATATGAACGGGCAATGCAGGCTCAAGCTGAATATTATGAAAAACACTTACCTCTCGTCCTGAAGGAGCTCAAGAATGTGGATGATGAATGTAATGTCGCTTTAAGGTATCAGTTAGCAAGTTATGCTTACACTTTCGAGCAAGCATTGGCAGAAGATGGCTTGGCATTAGACAACGATCAAGGTATCTCGCAATTTTTTAACATACCCAGAAAAGCAGTTTCTTAATATGTTCGGCTTGTCAACCCAGGGACTGGACTACGAGCTTTAATCACAAAGATCGATAAAGAAGCAGACTGGATTGATTTTGTCCGGTTATGTGGGGAAAGAAGCGGACGGATTCAAAAAAATGAGTATTTTACACAACAAGGAATGGTAGGTGAACAATGTGAAGATATCCCATGTGCATTGAGATATCGCTTCATATTTGTATTTCTGTATTTTAGACACCCGACAACAGAATTATCAATCATAACCTCGTAAAGCGCGTTTTTGGCGTTTCACTACAACAGCAAGCCGAACTGACTGAGGATATGGTTCCTGATATTTTGAAACGATGTGCAACTGTAGTAGAGCAATATGGTCTAAATTCAGTAGGCATTTATCGATTATCCGGTACAAGCAGTCGTATTCAAAAAATCAAATTCAAATTCGAAAGTGGAGATCCTAACCCTATTTCCGAAGAAGATCTCTCTGATATCAATAATGTAACCAGTGTACTGAAGCTTTGGTTCAGAGAACTGCCAGATTCTCTATTTCCATCTGCCTGTTATCACCAATTTTTAGAAGCAGCAACTCTAATAGACGAAAAAAGCAGAGTGATAGCTCTACATACCATAATTAATACGTTGTCAGACGCTCATTATGCCACTTTGAAATACTTGATGTGCCATCTTGACAGGTTCGTAAAGGAAACATAATTCTTCAATCTGACCTCTATTTTGCGGGCAAATTGCAATAACATTAATATTTCTTGTAGAGTTCAATCGCACCAGCGGTTCAATAAGATGGGTGCTGCAAATTTAGCAACCATTTTTGGGTTGACATTAATGAGTAATAATGAGGCAGGCTCTCATCCTCAAATGATATTACACGATAATCAACGCATTGCAGACTCTCAATTACAGGCAAAAGTTGTCCAGACAATATTAGAAAACTATGCTGAAATCTTTGAAGAAGACTAATCTATAATAAACAGCCGCTTCTGCAATATTTTTATTGTTATTTGAAAATATTATTGTGCTAGCTTTCTAAATAATAGATTTTATATGAATAGCTACAATCATTAGACAAAGTTCGATTTGAACCGTTAGAGAAGCTCTGTCAGATAACATAATGATAAAATTGGGAGGAACATATTTCCAATACTCTTTTGGAACAAATATCACTCTTCAAAAGGTATAATAAGTAAAATGAAACGGTTGATTAAATGATTATACAGAATAGTGCCACCCTAAAATGTCGAGAACTTGGCGAGTAGTTTGGCTGTATCCTTCGTTTTAGAATGATCTTTTCCGAAAACTACTTCTCGAATCTTCAAAGTACGTTCATAAGCCTTGGCAGCTTCCTTCAACCATTTCTTTCTCAAAACAGTGCTTGCTTCGGTTTTTTCTGCCATTTCTTCACACATTTCTGCCAAATTTTGCCACATATCAGATATCTCTGAGGTGTTACCCGGTAAATTATAGAGCGTAGCAAACTGTTCGAACATCTCACAATTCGATTTGTTGACATCGATAGCACCCTTCAAATCATTACAGCCTCGTTTGCAGTTCATCAAATTTGAATGTGCATTTAGACGTATAGAATTCATAGGGTGCAACTTACCGCCTTTGGGTACAGTATTGTTTACTAGAGATGAGAAGAAAGTAGAAACAAGCCCTAAATCACGGTTACGGGCACGATACATCTTAAGACCAGTATTGTAGGCCTCAGCCGCCTTTTCAATGGCATTACGGACTTTCACAGCTGGCGTTTCGTGGCCACAAGAAGCGCATTTGAATCGGCTTTCCAGATAAAGATTGCTAACACCCTTCGATAAATGTTCAACTGAAGTTGCAGGAATAATATAAACATCTTTTTGGCAGCTGGTACAAACAACACCAGTCAAAAATCGATCTACCGATTTATCCATTGAACTTGCGCACCGCTTACACTTGCACCAGAAATGCTTAGTTGACAGAAGAGTTGCTCGTCTATAATCACGATCGGCGTAAATGTCATCATAACTGACGACAAGTTCCTCGCCTCCAGTAACGGGTCGAATGGTTCTAAAAGCAAGTTTACCATTCGAAGTGCCAATGAACGCCGTATTAGGATTGCATCCATGATTGAAAAAGAGAGCACCTATGGGAAATAAACCCAAAGCTGTATCTGTATTACGACCATGCTCATCACCCAAGCCATGAGCGTTGGCGTTTATTCTGTTGTAGCATTAATAATGGTTTGAGTTACTCTTATACAATTATTATGCGTTGCTTTATTTTTTTACCTGCAAGCAATTTCAACCATTTCTTCAACAGGGATATGCATCTCAGGTGGCAATAGAGACAGAAGCCTCTCGGCTAAGATGATACGAATCAATTAGATACATATATTCATTATCCAGCAATTGTCAACCATTTGCACATTTTCAGATGCGATCAATAATATAATTGTTGGACTTACAAGCCTCTGATACGACTTGGATGAAAGCTGGTTCAGCTTTATCACGGTGACTCAACAAATCTTCTACACACCAGAAAGGAGTATTTGGAGCTAATCCTCGTCTCTTTCTACTCTCTTCATCTATTTTTGTTTTATCCAAGCAACGTCGTGCCATGAGAGCCACCATCAAACGAAGTAGATCAACATCAGTATCAGTGGCTTGTGCAATATTTTCAATTTCTTTCAATCCATTGCACATCAATGCATGTCGTTGACTATCGCTGTCAAAGCATTCTGAAGAGCAATAGTAGGCTTTTTGACATTGTGGGCAAACGGTACGTTGTTTGATGCTGCTAAAGCAAAGGTGACATTGGGCATCAATAAATGGAGTGCGTACAACGAAGGCAGCGCCCTGCTCTTCACACAGAATAGTGCCTTCAGGCAAATTCTTAGCGGCTACCGCATGGCGCCCTTTGGCTTTGGTAGTATTAAGTTGAACGGGATAATCGGAGAGAGCTTGGTGATAGTATTCTGGTATGTCTGTTACTGCACTAACAGCACCTGCACCAGCAGATTTCTTTTTTTTCTTGTTGGATTTTTTTGTGACATTATTGTTGTTTCCATTGATATTGAGTTGCTCGTCTAACTTTTTTTCCAACTTGAGGCTTTGGATGCTTTTGTCTTCCTTATTTGCTGACATACTATTTATTTTAAAGTTGAGTTAAACAGGCATTGCCAGTAATCGATGCTTAATCCTGTTTATTGGTTTTTTTTTTTTTCCTCTCTGGTAGAAGTAAAACTGAGTTTTATTAGAATTTTATTTAAAAAGTGCCATTCAGCTGTATCAGCGTGGGATGGAACGAGAAAGTAAAAAAGTATGTAAGACCTAATATAGTGGACCAGTGAAGATAAAAGAGGAGTGTAGAATAGCAAGTTATAGTATTTGAAAGAAGCGAGCAGTAGGGGTTGATATGTACCAAGGTAGGCATTATCATCCATAGTTTAAAGCTGGTTTCAGCATGTTTTCAAAGTCTCTTTTTTGACAGCTTTTGTGGTGTTAGTCAATTTTTTCCCGCTTTGCGGAAAAATGTGAGGGACGATGATCTGATCAGATGTTGTTCAAGCGAACCAAATCAACTTCCGGATCCTTATGTTTCACTGAAAAATTCTCGTTTAAGCACCTCGCATTCAAAGTAAGAGTACGTATATGCTAAGCGATCACGACTAACAAATACAAATATACTAAGTACCTTTTAATTATTGAATTTTTGATGTCTGAGTTTATAAAGTGGGAAAAAAATGAAAACGTGATAGTATGAACAGATGAAGATGGATTAAAACGGAGGAATTATGTATATGGTATGGATAATGGAGCAGGGGAGGGATTTCTATCGATCAACGATAATAATAATGTTAATGAAGGCGTATCGTTCTAAAAATTATGTAGTTAGATCGTAACAGGATGATATTAGAAAGGGAAAAGAGAGTAGATGTCAAGGAAACTATTCTAATGAACAGCGGGATATTCAAAAGACTTTTCCCAATAGGGTTGGGTAACACCGTTACATTGCATAGCTGAGACGATGTTGAAGGTTTCCTTGAGCTTGGGTAGCCATTTTTCAGTCATACCAACAGTAGCATGGTTCAATTCGTGCTCAAGGACCATAATACCAGTATTGTATTTACCTTGTTGTTGTTTCTTAATCCACTTTTCAAACTTGGCATCAACCTTTTCGGGAGGTAAGTTGCCACCACCAGGAGCAGGCATGGCCCAATCATCAGTATCCTCATTCCAGATAACAGTGTGGAGACCCATTTGCCAAGCAATAGCACGGACACGGTCATCAACATCACCTTGTGGGGGTCTCCAGCATTTTGTAGTAACACCAGTGGCATCTTTAATAGCTTTGAGGGACCAATATAATTCAGCAACAACTTGTTCATTGGTGAGAGTAGTCATGGCAGGATGAGACCAAGTATGTGAACAGAGAGTATGGCCATTATTAAGAGCGCGTCTAGCAGCAGCAGGATATTCGATAACATTGGAGCCGACATACTAAGGTAAGTACATCAAATGAGAAAAAATGGTTAGTTATTGCTTCCCTTTCAGAATGATTCGCATAGTACGTTTGTAATCATAAACTTACAAAGAGAGAAGCCTTCAAGTCTTCCTTGGCCAAGAAGTTATAGAGTTCAGGTTCAGCCCACTTGTTTTCTTGTTTGGTTTCTTTGTCATCGTCGCTAGAATAGACAAATGGCCCATCATCATAAGTAAGGCCCCAATCACCCTTAGTAGGACAGTTGTAAAAATCAGAAGGAATATAGTCGATTTTAGGCTTTGTACAGCCAGAAGAAGTCCACCAACAATCAGGATCCTTGCTTGCGTCGTAACCAGTTTGAATAATATCACCGTTCTGCGCTTTATGCTTAGGGGATTTAGGAACTAAGCTCCAATCAATTCTATCGATAATAGCCTTGACTTCAGCGGAATCGGTTGGGGGAACTTTCCAACCCCTGGGATACTGAGACAAATCCAATTTTTCCTTGGATAATGTAGCACCGGTATCGATTTTACTAGCGTTATAAGTTGGTTCGGTTTCCGTAGTGTTCAAACCTGGAAAAATAGGAGAGAATTGAGGAGCCCAGTTGGATTTAGTAGTGGAGACAAGAGCGGTAGAATTCGTGTCAACAGTCATAGTAGGTGTAGGGGCCGCAAAGACCAAGTTGGCGGTGGCGAGAAGACCAGCACAAATAAAAGAGAGCTGCATAATGTTGAAAGCTTATAATGTTACGATCGAAAGATTGATTCGGATTGAATAAAGAAAGAAACGGTTCCTAGATTTTTTTGCCCTCATATATATATAACGTTTTCCCACTGATAACTGCGCTACAAAAGGTATTTAAAAATAGTATAAACCATTGGTAATAGCGCCCAAGTCTTTGTAAGCTTGAAATCGTGTGTTAAAAAAAGCAAATGCTGATCAAAGAAGTCCGCAAATACAGAAAAGTTCGACTCCCGCGTAACATCAAGTGCCAAAACATTTTAAAAAAAGAAAAAAAATTGTACAAAAACGGTCAATTGACTTCTTTATTTTATCCGTACCGTATATCCTAAAAATCGCAATTCTACTACTCAGAATCAAAAATGAAAAAGAAACAGCTTCGTGTCATAAACCAAAGCTGCTACAATGTCTTTGCTGTCCCAGAAAGTTTATTCAGTAAGAGTTCATGAATCGCAATGCACGCACATTGACAGTTAAAAGATACACACCTAAAATCTCCCATGCTCGCCTCCGCAATTTGGCAATCAGAGCATTTTTTTTTTTTTTATCCATTAGTGGATGGTTAGTATGCAACGGTTAAACTTGAGACCAGTTACAAAGGACAAAAATAAACAAACAAACAAAAAGAAACCAAAAGGGTATCTTCTTTACGTGTTTATAAATAGAACCCTGTCAACTTTAGTTCATTTGACATGAATACATACTACTTTGTCATATCTTAGTAACGACAAAGCAATGGTCTTGCTGTTTTCCGGAGCGGAAAATTGAAGGATCAACACAGAAAGATTCAGTGTGCTGTAGATTTATTGATCAAGCCTAGCTTGACGTTCTCTAAAGCGATAGTTTATATGGTATCCCAAACATAACATTATATAACTCGATGTGCCAACTAATAGTAACGTAGGTTTAGGATTCCCTAAAAATGAAAGAATAAACGAAGAATAGCTCATTGGATAGAATCCTCAATGTGCGGGTTACATGTTATTGTGAACCTGACGCCAAGAAATGACAAAACGGAGTCGTTGCCTAACACGATGACTTGGGACTGAAGCTGGAAAGGGTTTGAGGGATTTATTACGGGTGCAGTAAATATGTGAAACAGCTGATGCATTTATGACTAATACAGTTCTGAAGGAACTATATCTTAGTGTATGTTCATAAACTTACAATGGCAACTCGAACATTGAGAGTAAATACTTACACCGCGCCTTTAAGGGCTTTCTCAAAATACAATGTATCGACTATTGATCACACAGAGGACATTCTTTTAAACCTTTAAATAGATACCGGAATGGCGTTAATTTTTCCTACCTGATGACGGATTGGATTTCTAATACCAGGGTTGATATAAATAGTGTGAAGTAAATCTTGTTATAAATAGTCAAATTACTTCCAAATCGTTGCTCTATGTTAGAGCAGACCATTCAAAATACTAATCACTGATACCGCACATTTGACTACAACAATTATAACGTGACATACCGTAAGCTACATAATGGAAGTGTTTGTTCCCTCTGTCCTCATTTGGAAGATACCAGCTGCTTGGAAGGCTGCCTCAACTTGTTACTGTTCATTAAGTTTTGTAAGTTGTTCAGCTTTTCTAGCTTTTCTAGCAACTAAATTGGAAAGAGCCACTGTAGATAGAGGCGCAACCACAACATTTGTATTGATTAGTTGAAATTGATCCGATGTGTGTTCGGTTTAAAAATACTCACTGCCTCTATATAATATCACAGTTGACACCCTTACGTTGGGCTAATAGGTAACTCCTTCATAGTCGGTTTGCACAGAACTGCAACCAGTATAGGTTCTGGTATAAATTATGGAAATATTCATACTTACTACGGCCTTGAGCAATTTTCAGTAATTTTATAGTATCAGCATCCGTTAAATCGATGTAAAATTCTGATATCGAAGAATCTAAAAAGCGTTGTGAATACTTTTTGATTGCTAATTTTGTATATACTTTACAGATAAGTATCGTACAATGAGCTTATGAGTTTTGATTTTCCATTCGTTGGGATGATATTTTAGTGTTGATCGTTATGTAAGCTAAGATAATTGTTCCTGTCAGATATTCCTTTATTTCAGAATTGAGCACCTTTCTGATTTAATTCACTTTGAATATTTTATTCTGTCAAGGCTACCACGTTGACTACGTAAGGCCGTAAGGATGTCTTCGCTCCTTTTGCGTATATTCCCTCGTTTATCAGTAATTGAATTGAATAGCTAATATATACACGTATACATACGTATCTTTTATTTTAGTGCGTGCTTTCTCGAACATTTTTTCTACCTTCTTTTTTCTCTTGCTAGTATTTAAACTATAGTACACTTTCAGAAAGAATAATGAGCTTAAGCTATTCATCTTATTCTGGCTCTGCACGTAGAATGTTAGAATGCTTAGTTTGATGAGTATTTATTTTACAGAGGGTATATTTCAAAGATAATGACTATTACGGAATATCAAACAATATGTTATGTAGGACGAATTGGCTTCAAATACAATCCGTCTCCAACGAATTTAACTGCTGATATTTTGTTTTTACGTTTGTTGGTATATCAAAACTCATCTTCACTACGGAAGTACTGATTAACTCCTCGACACATGTATTGACAGATTGCTCAAACTCCACTTCTTTGTTTGTATGCATATACCCCTCGCTTAAATACATTTGCCATCTTATAGCCTTCACTGTTTCCGATCCATAAATAGATCACCTTAATGGGCTCAAAGTTTTTCACTTTTTCGTACGCGATTAAACTTTTTTCTGCTTTATTATAAATAACGCCATTTAGTTGAATAGCCATGTATAGGGGAATGCTTATTTTTCGTATATTACAAATGGTGAGGTGTCTATTTTTCTAATGAAGTAACATCAAATGCTCTACATTTGTTCTTAAACACTTGCAAAGTTCTTTCTCTAAGAATCTCTTCGACAATTCTTTCGTTGGACACCGATTGACGCTATTATTTACAATTGAACGGTCAATAACTGTCTCAATGTCAATTTCGTTCTCTACCTCTTGTCTTACCATTGACTCTCGGGTGAAAATACTGTTCTTCACATCAAAATCGTCAGGATCTTCCTGTAATTTCTTATTCTTCTTTTCAAGATCTTCATCCATTAGCTACAATATTGTATGATGATGTACAATAGACAGAGTCAATATCACATTTTACAATTCTTATTCTATTCCACGCGCTTACTTTTAAACAATAATCAATGGCTTCGTCACGTTGTGCATAGGCCTCTGACATTTGTTTGAAGAACTCGCCACACCTACTGTCATCATGTGTTGAAGTAGCTTGGTTGAGTTTATTAACAATATTATCGTCCACTCTACGTAATTCCTTCATATAATCTATTGTTCATTGAGAAGTTAGGGAGCTCAAGTTAAACATTCCTGTCAACAACTTGGGGAGGTAAATTTATCTTAACACCCATGATGCTGTAAACCTTACTCACCTTTAAAGAATGAGAAATTGAAGCAAGTAGAAGGATTAAGTTTCTTTGGCGTGGACATTCTTATTTTTAATTAGGTAGAGATTTTGACGAGTAAGGTATAGCAAAGGGCAAGGGTAAAAATTCAGGCATGATCTTTTTACTCCACCATCAAGAAGAAGCTGGTTGACGATATTTCGAACTCCGTCGTTTCATGAACAGACGTTAAAAAGCACGATGGTCAAGGAAGAACATCCAATGTAATATGCTCATTGCACTGATAATTGTCGGACACAATCACGAACAAGCATTACTGATGAAAATTCATTAGGACCTTTAAACTGACTGAATAAAAAAACAAGACCCAGTTGCTTGTTAAAATATGCAAAAGGCTCTCACTATATTCTAGTGATTTAACTATCTCAGCGTACACAATTGCTGTTGCTGGTTTTTATAAGCGCTGGAGCTTCCATGCTGTCAATTCATAATATTGAGGAAGCGCGTCACATACATCTTCGTTGATTTTGGGTTTTGCATTAATTTCTATGTTTTTCTGGCTTTATACTCATCGTTTGCCATTTCTAAACTAGCGAACCATGAGTTTTATGGATTTATCTGATGATTCTCCCCAAAATACAGAAGAAATAACCACGAGTACAGCTATAGTGGCTGATATTCAGAGTAGTTCTGGGCTTTCTATATCAATGTAAAATAGCTTAGTGAACAGCATATAACGGATATGAGCAATTATACAGCGCCGATTAAGCCCCATCCCTCTTTGAATAATAGACATCCATTAGTGATCTTGAACATTTCGGATCACTTTACACGCACACAGTTACAAAATCCAGAAGTTTTGTCAAATGGTAACTGCGCTAACACCAACGCTCTATCATTAAATCATAGCTTACTCTTTTACTGACAAAATATTCTTGAACTTTATACAGGTCGAATGTACGGCGCATTGTTAGCAGCACAAACAGGACGCGATGTTGATATTGCCAATTCTTTCGAAATGCCGCTGTCTCTAAAAGGCGATGCTACTCTGGATAAAGCATTTCTGTTGAACAAATTAGAACAATGTAACAAAAAACGAACTTTCTATCTCTATTATGTAATTTATGTTTTAACACTAAATATTAATATTGCCATCAGTGAAGCAAGTATTCCCTAAACTGGACTTCATGGGCTGGTACAGTATAGGATCTAGACCTTCAGAAAGCGATTTAAAATTACATGAACGAGTAAGCGAGGGCATTTGATGAATAGAAGAATCTTTGATTTATACCTAAAGCTTATTGTATTAGATTTTAGAGATAAATGGGTCAGCTCTCTTTTTACAAATGGATCCCAACAGGTTAACGCCAAGCGGTGGAGCGAGAGAATTTCCAATAACAATATATGAATCACTGATCGATATCGTAGATGGAAATACACGTTCCATATTCATTAAATCCGCCTATAAAGTAGAGTTAGGTGAAGCAGAACGTATCGCTATAGATCATGTAGCAAAACCCAGTTCGTCTACATCAGAAACCGGCTTAGGAAATACATGTGAGTCATGCTAGAACTGCATTTCTATAGTGAATGGCATGAAAAAAGACACAGTGTATGCTTTATGCACTCTAACGCACAAATTATATGTAATATCGCTTTAGTGATCGCTCATTTGACAACACAAAGAAATGCTATCGCCATGCTGAACTCAAGGATTCAATTTCTTCACCGATACCTGCAGGATACGAAAGCAGGTAATATACCAGTGGATCATGATATCTTACGTCAGATTTCGAGTGTGTGCAGACGATCGCCGATATTAGAAAAAGAGGCTTTTAACAAAGAATTTTCAACCGTAAGTGAGCCTTCAAATTGTCCATAAGCATTCTTTTTCTTTTCTCCTGAATTAGGTTGACGTTTGATTAGGAACATGATGATGTGTTATTGGTTGCTTATTTAGCCCTCATTACGAAGGGGTTGAATACAGTAAATGATCTTGTCGATAAATTCAATTTGGTAAATGGGGGTAACAATGTAGGCACTTCGTCTGGTATAAATCAACAGAGTAAGACAATACCGATGAACAAAAAAGGCAGAACGAGTAGAAGTAAAATGCCAGGTTTGATGGATAGGCGTAAGCATTTATAAGTAACTAGCTAGTACACATTGTCAATTATAATTCTAGGGCAAGAGCAGTCTTTCCTTTTTGTACCATTATGCGTGAAATAGTTGACAATCACAAAGATATACTTTATACTTATACCATTTGAATTTAACGCTATATATGCTATTGAAATTAAGGGGTAGGGAGTAAATGTATATGCCATGTTATTATTGGTTGGTGACCATTGATAAAAAAGGGGGTTGAGGCTGGTGAATTTGCAATATGATTGTTGAATGAGAGTTGAGAGTAATGAAAGAGTTCTAGACCCTTATTGTAAATTGTCTACTGCATGAGACATGCATGGAAAGGCTCAAGACCGGTTCAGATAATAAAAATTGGTGATATGTTTGCGTCTAATTGTGCATTGTGTTTAAAGAAAGGAGACAAGCTGAATAAGTTTGTAAAATGTGTCCTTGTTCTATATGTCGTTGTTGGGGTATAATGATATTCTGCTCTTTCATTGTTATTACAACTGTCTAGTGTTGACTTTTGAACACAGAGGATAAAGAACAGAACATGACAACAAAGCCCCAAATAATGAGCAAACCAGCTGCTATATCTAACCACCATGTGGGCTTCAGAGCCTTGTCATCCATCATACGAGCAAAGTCGGCTGTCGCTTCTTCGTTCACCAGATAAGCATCGCCATCTACAGTGGATAAATCGTCTTCAAACAGTTTATTGTTAGAGGAAGAAGCAATAGAATTGGTTTCATCCCAGGCCATAGCTGCTGTCTTGAGATCGCTTTCATCAGGTACAGCAATCAAGGTTGACGTGCCCGTCAAAGTTGGAAAAACTGTAGCAATATTGTTAGGTATTGAAGCCGAAGAAGAAGGAGAAATTTGAGAATAATATTTTTCTTGGTTTTTAAAATAAATTTGTCGGGTCGTGAGGTAGCAAACAGCAGGCAGAATATAAGCTAAACTGGTTGCTGAGAATCCACCGGCAATAGAATATACAGTGCCAAGAGATCTAATCGAAACGGCCAAACTGAGAACCACTGCAAAAAGTATAATGGTTACTGCGTAATGTTGTGTATTGGTTGGTTGTTTTGTTGCTGTTTCAAATCCCAACGATTTTTGAATGGCCTCTCTTGTAGGGAAGATAGCAGTACTACTCGGAGAAAAAGAGCAAACAAAAAAATGAGTAAAGGGGTAGGCAATTACTGACTCTGTCCTTTCGAATACTTACGGAATAGTAAGTATCATACTGATTGCCAGTGCCAGTCGACCGACATTAATGAATGGGTCGTCACTGGCGAAATTGTTGAATAAGTTGGATTGAACATTTGATCCGAAGCAAAGATAGCCTACAACAGCAAAAGTCATAGAGATGACCCAACTGATGCCTGTAGATAGAATGGTAGTAAATCTCCAACTGGAAGTAGTTTGATTGCGAAGGGTTAGAAAGTTGCTAAGGGCAACTTGATGACAAGTGAAAGCAAAAGCCATGATGCCGAGAGCACCGAAAATATCATCACCTGCCCATTCAATGGGAACTGTTTGGTCTTTGGGTATGTAAGCAGGTGCTCGTACCAAAATCATTAATAAGATAACCGGCAAGCATGCAACAGAGACAATAGACCATCGAGCAAGCGACCCAATGGATCTTGGTATGGCCAAAGGAAAGATCTATTTGGAAGGCAACAGAAAGTATTAAGAGAGAGAAAGAAAACAAAAGGCAAAAAAAAAGAAGGTAAATTTCGTTCGATAGCTCTTACACAAACAGTACCAACGAAAATCAATATGAATGTACGGCTGGCTAAAAGTGGATAATCAGGCAGATATCGTTCTAACAGCATAGGTAGACTGTCGCCAAGCACTAAAGCAGTATCCCCCCCCCAAAAAAAAAAAAAAAAAGTAAAATAGAATTTAAGACCGTGACCATCGAGCGAAAGACAGACTAATAAAATGAGGAACGTACGAATAAAGTAACTGACTGCAGCACCACCTGCTTGAACGCAAATTACGAAATTCGTAAAGTGATATCCCCATCTTCCCAATAAGTATTCCACCAACATCGCCAACTTATAAATCTGAACTCGTTGGCCAGCTACGATCAACATAAAGAGTCCCATTTGAGCCAAAGCAGCTACGAGAATGGAAACAAAAATACCCACAAAAAATCCTGCGCGAGCAATAGCGAAGGGTAATCCAATGATACCCGCTCCGACAGTTGCGTTGACAAGATTAAACCCAACCTCAATTTTGGTGCGAGTACCGTAGCCCGGTCGATCTGCTTGTAGTAGGTCTCTTTCTGCGTTGGTAAGAACATGCTGGAGTTGGTGCGATTTCACAAACGGTGGTGATGATGACGAATGGATAGACCCATACGTATTGTTGTTCACCGTGGACATGAATAAATCGATCTAATTTTATTGACGAAAGTTATTGATATCAGGAGCCTCTAACGTCGAAGACTAGCAAAGTAGTAAGAAAGAAAAAAAAGAAAGAGAAAAAGTACAAGGCAGAAAAATTCAATGACGATGTGACATACATTTATACAGAACAAGATACCTCATCTATGAAAATCAAAAAAAGGGGTTGGTTACCATTTAAAGCAACAAAAGAAACGGAAAGTCCCAGATGCCATTTTCTTCCCCTATGAAAACCACGCATGATCGCAAAAGATACGCTGATCTCTCACATTCTATATTCAAAGATCGATGCACTTAATACACTCACGCATTCTAATAAGCGTATAATACCATCAAAAAATGTCATTGACCTTACAATTAAAAAGAATCATAATATGGTTACATCATGTGTGCATTTCCAATGAATAATGATGGAAAACTCTTTTTTTCCTTAAAAAAAGGATGACCCCTAATGTATGTAAGCTTATCTTCTTTTGCTGTTCCTTTTAATCAAACCAGCAGGGTCGTATTAAGTATGCTTTATAATGAAAGTATAGTAAAAGTTTTCCGTAAAAAAATTGCCCGAAGGCTAGTCCTGATAATGTAAATCTGGGCTTGATAAAGAAACAACAAATAAGAAAGGAGGCGAAGATGGTCTATTGATACAAAGAGTAAAAGGGGTCAGCCATGGAAGAGGTGTGTATGTGTGATTTCATTGTATTGCGGCTGCTTTTCTTTTTTTTCTTTTTTTTTTTTTTTTTTTTGCTTTTTTTGCTTTTTTTTGCACAAACTATCAATCAAGTGGAGCACGACATGATATTCAAGTAAATATAGTTATTAAGACCAATTTCAGGCATAGAGCCCGTTTTAATGTAGCAAGAATGACAAGAATAAAAGTAGACCTATCAAATACATGGTAATTTTTTTCTTTAATGCACGTACAAAACGAATGATTGGTTCCCGAAGGATACTTCAATGTTTACTCACATAGAACATCATTACTAATCTTTGGAGTACATGCGAATCAAACCTTTTTGCGTAGAACTATCTAACTATATCTCTTTCGCCTGATAAGGCTATTATATAATTCTCGATGAGCAATTTATGTTCGATTGTATAGTTACTCTCTTCTACCATTATCATACAACTTATAGATATCGTTAAAATCGGGATCAGAAATTCGAGAAATGTACACAAAAAAGGTTTGCAAAGTGATGCATCACCACCTAGCGTAGTTAAACAAAATTACTGCACTCTCGATTAAGGCAAGGTCAACATGATTTTTTGGCCGTATATAATCGTGAAGCTGCTTATGCCATTAATCTTCGCATTCCTTTTAATCTTATTCTTCTCTTGCTGTCATAGATTTCTACTGTTACCCTGCAGATAGCTGAACAAAAGAGCTCTAGATCTCCTTGTTGCACAAACGCAAACATGACAATGATTCTGCTTCTGCAATTTTAATTCTAAGTTGTTCATACAGTCATCAGATCTCGTAATCCTCTTCAAAATACAATAATGGTCCTCTGCTTCCTTCTGGTTCGAGCGGGATGTGAAATCCTTTTTTATTGTGTTGCTTTGTACCTGAGATTCTTTTCTTGAAAATCAGGAACCGAAAGTTATAAATGTGTATCGTAAGGATACAGTCACAAAAATAAAGCTGCATTAACTTGTTCATACAGTCTCTCGTTTCTTTCATTTTAAATTAGTGTAAATTGTATCTTCAAGTCTTACAGCCCAAATAATAATAATTATTTATTCTTGTTTTCATTCCAAAAGGTCCATGGAATTCTTTTGAATTGCTAAGTATTCAATTGAACAATTTTGTTTGAGCAGAACATACAATAGCAAAGCCAAAAAAGAATTGCGAGCATTAATAGCATTGCCGTTGTATTGAAGGATTGCGACACATGAGGGCGCTTTTTCAGTGTACTATGAAAAGCTTGTTTTTCTCTGAGACTTACTGCTGTTCAAGACGGTATGCAGCTCGGGAGGAATTGGCTCAAGCTTGGATTGATTTCTGCTCATTGTGACACTCAAGTTCATACAGACCCTACATAGTATAGATATGCCAATTTTCCCTGAGGAAAATAAACTTATTAAGTCCACAGTCATTGATTTGATTATAGCAACATACCAGCAAATATTTTACAGTAAACCGCTTTCAGAATTCAAAGTCTAGATTCTAACATAAAAAAAAACTGATAGCTGTCACCATTAACTTATCGACCAAAATTGCATGTTTCTCTATTACTGCTTTAAAATAGATCGATCAGATGATTTTCAGAGCTGCAGCATAACAATGAAAAGTTGGTATGCCGCAATTGTATATGATCCTTAAGTGTTTATATAGAATATCGAAACAATTGAAACCAAAGGTCTAATAACATTGGTATAGCCAATTATACCAATACATCTCAAAAGCCCTCAGAACGTATATTAAAATATGCTCTATCTGGCTTGCATCAGTAGATACGTCTGAAGGTTGTTCAATATGCTGAGACAGATATTTTGCTCTTCGTATCAATTATCATTACCGTCTTTCTGTAAGCCTCTGGAGTATATTCCCTCTGATTAGAGAATTAAGCTTCTTCTAATTCGATTTAGAATTTGCGAGCCCTTTTTGCGGTATCTTCAGCTGATAATAGCCACTTTGCTTTGGGAATCATCAGCAGCCGCAGCTTCTTTACCTTTTTTCAGCTGCCACATGCTTTAACGGTCGAATGTTTCTGTAATCTTTCAACAATGAACGCTTCTTAAGTAATATTACTGTCTTTCAACTATTTACTTCGCATCTCGTTGGCGATGGATCACAATACGTTTACGAATTAGGGATACTAGAACCTTATTAGATTGTCACACGCTGGATTTTTTTTTTGTTTTTTGTAATTTGAGAATTTAGCGCCATTGAACATCCACATCAAAATTGTGACTTAGATGGTCCGTCCATTGCCTACAAAAAGCTTATGTAATAAACCGGCCTGATGACGTTTACGGCGGTTTCATGTTTTGAACGCGTAAAGCAGTTGAACTTCAATTCACGCAATCTTTTTAGTATAGTACATGACGGATTGTTATCATTCTTTTTAATAAAGCTAATCACTCCATACACATCATAACAGTCAAAAATGAGTTTAAAGAAGGGAGAAGTTAATCTCGGTGTAAGTCCTTTGCAGATTGAATATTCCGTGTTAACTGAGACAAAAAGTTAACAAGAAGCACTAATCTAACAACTTGACGACTATTTATACGAATATACAGACATCTATTATGGCAGTCGTCTATAAAGACGGTGTCATCCTTGGCGCTGACTCACGTACAACTACCGGTGCTTATATTGCAAACAGAGTGACAGACAAATTAACCAAAGTTCATGATAAAATTTATTGTTGTCGATCCGGATCTGCTGCTGATACCCAAGCTGTGGCAGATATCGTTCATTATTACCTTCAAATGTACAGGTAAAGTAACACCGTCTTGACTCTTTAATGTTCTGTGTAGTGAACATACAACTTCATATTTACACACTCGACAGACACATACGCAGGCATACACCTTAACTGACATCATCTTTGCCATTATAGTGTTTCTGAGAATGAAGCACCTACCGTTCATACAGCTTCGGCTTTATTCCAAGAATTATGTTATCAAAATAAAGATGGATTAATGGCTGGTATTATTGTTGCCGGTTGGGATGATGTAGATGGTCCATCAGTATATAATATTCCCTTAGGCGGCTCCCTACATAAAGCACCATTTGCTATTGGCGGTTCTGGTTCAACGTATATTTATGGTTATTGTGATTCAAAATACAAAGATAATATGACTCGCGAAGAATGTGAAGAATTCGTAAAAAACTGTAAGTTGATGCATGGACTCGATACCTTTTACAACTAATCTCATTGAGCTTCTTTTTGGGGAAAAAAAATTATAGCTTTATCATTAGCAATGTCGCGTGATGGTTCTTCAGGTGGTGTTATTCGTTTGGCTGTTATCACTAAAGATGGTGTTGAAAGATTATTTGTTCCTGGAAATGAATTACCTGGTAAGCATTATTTGTCGCACCGACCAAGTAGAAAGAATACTTGTAGTAGAGAAACTCACATAAAAATATTCATTGAATTCTTTTCATAGTTCATTGGGAAGGCTAAAATTGATTGAATGTTGGACTATATATATACATATATATTAGACGGCCATGTCTAAAAAATAAACATAAAATCTTATGTCGAATATCCCATCTGTATATTGTGAATGAGAGTACTGTGTTGGTTATTTTTTGTATAAATTGATATTATACGCAGGTTTCACAGAATGGCTTTTTATTCTTTGAGAAATGGGTGGTGGTGCTGATAAACGTTATAATTACTTGTCGACAAGCAATAACAATTAATTTTGTTAATGGCCAATGAATAACTTATGAAGGTACTTATGAATGTAAGAAATTATGTGGCTAACCTTAGTCTTCACGTTGTATAGACCGACAAGATCACGATTAAAGAGCTTGTAACTTTTTTTTTTTTTTTTATCTATCGAGGCTTATCACCCAATCATAGGCTTTGAAAAATAGACTTTCCGTTAAAGAGATTCAGGTTCGTGCGTCAACAAAATTTGTTTTGTCTTGCTTTTGTGGATCATACGTCTAACTCTCAGCATTCAAAAAGTTAGCATGCGTTATAGATATTCGGACAGGTATACCAACGGTCTTCCAGAAAGAAAGCCTGTCAGTCATCAAAGACAATCGATCACTAAGAAAGATGCAGCTCCTACAAAAAAGACGTCGGTTGCACCTATTAAGAAAGCTTCATCACCACGACCTGATCTCACACCTCTCACACCGCCTGCTTCGCCGATTGTCAGAATAGCTACACCATCAACCACAACCACAACTGAAAAAATGCCCAAAAGAAATGTTATGCCTACGTCAGTTCCAAATGCGGTTACCATTGACGGGAGTTTTCAGTCGAGACTTTTACCTTGTCCGGCCATGTTGGCACCTCATATGAAAAAGACTTCCTCCTCTTTTAAAAAGAAAAAACTCGCTTCCGAAAAATCAGCGTTACCAAACCCTACTCCCGTCAACAATACGAATAATGATACTGTTCCGAATTTTGCTGTCAACAACATGCCAACTGCTGTAACTATGGAAAGTACGTTTATGCCAGTTACTACTCCCTTAGTGCAAACAAGGTCAATAAAAGAAGTGAGTGGCAAAATACCCACCTCTGAACTTTCTACCGAAAACAGTAAAGAGAGTAGCGTGAGTAAGAAAGAAAGTGGGAGTATGAATAGTTCAAAAAGAGACTCAGGAACAAAGAGAGGAACCAAAAATGCCACATCAAAAAGAGCCACTACCACAAGAAAACGAGGCTCTAGTAGCAACGGTGATGATGGAGATGATAACGGTTCACCCAATTCCATGCCACCCAAAAAGATTCGCAATATGGCAAAACGTTCAACAAAGAGATTACCAATATTAGGTAAGGCAAAAAAAAAAAAAAAAAAAAAAAAAGACGACGCATAGGAAGTGAGCAACAATTGATCCGAAACTAACTGTCAAAATCTTTATCAGAGGATACCTTTGAATTGAGGTATGTGATTAAAGGCCACACTGAAGATAATATACCCGTTCGATCGAAGGATGAACTTGAAGATAGTAAAGACAATTGGTGTTGTGCCTTCGAACCAAACGTAAAGCAGTTAGCAAACGAGAAGGGAGAATTTTCAGAGACAGCTATGGACACTGTAGCTATATGTGGATCTTACACAGTTTTGTTTCTGGACACTCAACAAGGAAGATATATCAAGAAATACACGCATCCTGAAAGTCAGGAAATATTTTACTGTTTAGCATGGACTACTTTGACAGGAAAACAACAGCTAGTATCTTTGAAAGAAGCTAAAGAGGAAGATGATTCAAACGAAAATCAGCAGGTTTCTGAGGAAGAGGAAGAAGAGGACGATGATGGAAGCAGTTGCAATTTATTAGCAGTGGCAGGAAGACTGGGTTCGATCAAATTACTGAATCCACTACAAAATGAATGTTATTGTTACTTATTCGGACATCGAAAAGCAGTATTGGCTTTATCATTTGCAAAGGCAGAGCCAAGATGGTTACTGAGTAAGTTCGAATAGTCTGTTTTAATTTGATAAGAGCTGAAGCTGTTCGAATTGACATACTATCTATTCTAAGGCGCTTCCGCTGATAGAACAGTACGTTTATGGGATATAGGATCCCCAAGAACCAGTGGGGATAATTCAAGGTGAATATCTGTAGAAGGTACACTTCGAACAACCACTTACTAATAATAATTTTTATGGTATGGTTTGTAGCTGTTTAGCCATGTTTGTTTTGCCAGCTAACAAGGGTGGGCTTCCCACCTCTGTTGAAATGTCGTATGATATGAAGACTGTCGTGGTCGGTTGCGATAATGGAGATATGTACCGGTTTGTAATTACAGCAGAGCAGTTGAAGAGTTTCCGTACTCGTGCAATTGAGCAACGTAAAGAGCACCCTCAAGACGGTGATAAATGGAAGCACCTCGGTCCTATTGCTACTATCAACGCAAAAATGAGATTCCCTGGAGGTGATGAGTGGCATGAAGGGTACGTGGATGGTGTTCATATTTTAGGTCAAGATGGCAATACCAGAAATAAAATGAACAATCTCATCGTGTCCCGAGGCTCTGACGATATGGAAATTATTGTTTGGAATCCTACGAAAAGCACAACTACAGATGGTGACATACACATGTCTTTAGAATGGCCCGATGCGGCAGGAAGCTCAGGGTTACGATTTAAAGTGATTGAGCAAGACAATCAGAAAGTGCTCGTTGGCGGGGACTATGAAGGAGGATTGCGAATTTACAATATCGGGCAAGGTAAAAGAAGTAAAGTATTGGACGATGGTAGCTTAGAGCAGTTTGAACCTGTTAAGGTACTTACCCATTCGATGAGCTCTGAGCTGATGCGAGATGTGGCTTGCTCAAGTGATACCCGTACCATTGTTGCGATTGATAACAATAATACCATTTTTGTGTGGGCATCTAAAAAGCTAAGTTGGTAATAAAGCTATTGAAACATTGTTGGTTTTACCAGTAGAATGGATATAGTTTTTTTATTGGATTTTTTGAGCCATGCTATGTCGGCTTTTTCAAAGGTTATAAATGTGTGGAATCATATAATATATTTTCTCCATTTGTTTTGTTGTAAACGGAAATGCTTTAGTGTACCTCAATTCGATAGACCTTTTAACCACGTTTGCTTGTCCATGCGGACGGATTCGTGCGGTTGCAAACCAAGGTACTACGATCAAAGGAGTTACGGTTCTTGTTGGCGACAATCTGGAAACATGTAGCACTACCTTGACGAGAAATAATGACAGACCAAGAAAGGAAGATTTCCCAAATACGAACTATTTTGTCACCATACTTGGCTTTCATGGCCTCCTTATTCTTCATCCAGTTCTCATACCATCTGAAAAGAGTAGCAGAATAATGAACACCAACAGTATCTACATTATGAATTTCAAAACCAGCAGTTTCTAGTTGTTTGATATACCAATAGAGAGGAGTTGAGGCATCAGCACCACGGAAAATGTATCGACCCATAAAAAGACCCCAAATAAAATCTTCGTATTGCCAGCTTGCTCTTAAACCAGCAACTTGCATGTAGAATAGACCATCATCGTCAAGACGCTCACGAATATCAACGAGGAACTGTTGGAAGCGCTTGAGACCGACGTGCTCAGCCATTTCAACGGCCTATTTTTGTTTTTGAAACAAAGAAAAGTCTTTCAGTCAGTGACCATTATTTCACATAAAGGTTTGATTACACTCCTACTACACTTACAGTAATTTTATCATATTTAACATTCTTAGGAATATCTCTATAATCCATGCAGAGCAACTCAGCTTTATCCTTCACTCCCCATTCTTCGATGCGCTTTTCACCAAAGGCTACTTGGTTCTTTGCCAATGTAACGCCTGTTGACTGAGAACCATAGTTCTTAGCGGCATAAGCAGCAAGAGTACCCCAACCACAACCAATATCCAAATGCTTTTCTCCTTCCTTCAAATGTATCTTCTCACAAATCAACTTCATCTTATTTTCTTGCATTTCTTCTAAAGATTCCTTTTTAGTAGGATCTTTCATGATACCGGAAGTATAGACCATCAATGGACCCAAGAAAGCTTCATAAAAATCATTGCCTCTGTCGTAATGGTCACGTACTTGGTTCTCATCTTGGTCGCGAGAATGCCAGAAGGTTTCTGGGAGCCATTCAGTGAGGAAGAACTTGAATTGACCGTAAGTAAAACGGAAAGAAGCCCAATCGTGTCGCAACTCCATGATTTCAAGAGGATCGCCGTTGAAGTCAACCTTACCAACAAAGTAAGCCTCGAAGAAAGTTTCCATAGGAATCTTGTTGCGACCGTGGTATTTGGCTTTCAATTCAGCATCATGAAATGTGAGATAGTGCTCGATGGGCTTGTTGGGAAGAGGAATGTGGTTACGATAACGAGGGGCAAAAGCAGAGAACAAATACAGGTTCACAGCGAGGATGGGTAAGAAGAGAATAATAGTTAAAATGACAAAGAGCCAGAATGGCAGACCCAACTTGTAACTGATAACAGCAGGAACACCGATAACTGAAGCGATCAAAATACGATTGTCAAAGGTCTGATTACCAGCACCTTCAGCAGGTAAAGTGGCATTATGGACCGACGCCCACGTTGTCGGCTTGAATTGATTCGACATCTAAAAAGAATGTCAAAGAGTAATATTGAAATTAGTCAAAGTCTAGGCTTTGCTTTCTGTCTTCTTTAAAGATGAAACAATCAACCACAACTCTTTTCGAGAAAGTGCAAATAGCGCGTAATTTTTGTTACAATAGAGCATACATGAAGTAGACGCTTACTATGACTTTCCCGATTTCTTATAAACAAACTCTACTATTAAACATCAGATCATAAGTCTTACCTTTGCAGTTAATCTTCTTACTTGTAAGAAAACTGAAGATTAGAAAAAAGGGTGAAGGACAAACTTTTATTTTGATGATTTTCCCTTGTTTTTATCAATTTAGTTTATTGTGCAACATGTCAACTTCTTATTCCAAGTGGTTTTCGCTGTTTCTATTGAAAGAAGGTTTTTATGAGCCGCAAAGGTTATAGTTACACAATAGTCTCTTTAACTGTTTGTGCCTAACATACGCCTACTTGACTCCTTCACTTAGTTGAAAATCTGTAATTACAGTGGTTCTGCTGTCTATTGGACTGGATGATTTGAATTGCGAATGCTGGTCAGACTTTCAACAAATAATTATTGCTTTTTTGGCTTAGTTCGACACTGAAAAGGAAATTCTATTGCTCGCTTTTTTTGAGAATAGATTGGTCGAGAAATAATTTGATTTAATTACTTTGTTCAAATACTTTTGGTCATAAAAATGTATTCGACAGCATGAATTTTATTATATTGGATGCTGTGGATGAGACTTTGAGTTGATATTGGCAATCACTTGGAATAATTGTGTGACATCGGGGCTTAGCAGAGGGAGATGTTGCTTGGGATATGCATCTATGGAGCATGGCATATTTACGGGTGCAACGACAGATGATGATGAGCCAGCTTGTAATAGAAACGCCAGAAAAATAGGTTAGGCACAATAACCCGACTGAAGACGGGATAACGCTTCACGCAGGTTGATGAGGCCAATGTGTATTATCACAAAAAAAAGGTTCTGTATCATCTGTGTCGTATGAAAAGCTGATTGGCATTCTACAAAGCATCGAGAAATGGAGCTGGAACACATTATCATAATTTTTCCTCGTTACTTTGAACACACTCAAGCTTGCCATCTTGTCGCGCAACCTCGTTTTAAAGCATAGCCAGTTTAACCTCACTTTCAAGAGGGAGTGATTGGTAATACTGTTGCCATCAAGCTTGACCTCCCCCAAAACCAAGGGACTGTCCAAAAGCGCGTTGGACTAAGGTGAACACAAGGTGTCCAAACGAATGCCAGTAGTCAGTGTCCACCTTTTTCGGTCAGTGTCCACCTTTTTCGGTTATTGTAATACGATTCTCCTCATTCTTTCATTATACATTGGAAATCAGAGAGGGGGAGCGTTCACAGCTTATATCAAAAAAAAAAAAAAAACTCTTTCCTTGAATTATAAGCTAGTAATGATGTGTTATTAACCTGAGGCTGTGTAGGCAGTACAGCGTGTATAACCTATATACAATTGCTACGATGATTCTTCGAACAGAATGGCATATTTTATGTTGAGGGCGCGGTCTTAATTCGTATTTATATAATAAGAGGCATGGAAATACCACAGTAAGTGTATACTAATTATTCTTCTAACGCTGTGACTGTTAATTGACCGATATAATTTATTCGCAAAATGATATCAATACGGCGCGTTGATGAAGGCTGGACCAGAAAAAATATCACAAGACTCAATTCGAATTTTTCTCTTTTTATATAAATTCCTGGCTCTCCTCCATAAGGTGCTCCTAACTGACATGTACGTTGCTTATTGCCATCACTCAAACTCTGCTTTTTTCTTTACAGGCCAATAAGGTATGCTGCTTCTGACTGTTTAGGAACGTTCCCGTCAATGTATGTACATAAAGTACAGTTCATCTTTGTGGACGCTGCTATTAGCAATAAAATCACTACGTGTCACATTTGGATAATTGATACTACAAACATAAATGGAAAACAACCATGAAGAAAGTATAGAATTTGTAAAAGAAGATGAATAGGACTAGTAACTGTCAAAATTAATGGTAATCTTGTCAGCAATGTATAGTTCGTATTGCTGTTTTGGGCTGTAAGATGAATGTTGTTGTACAACCGACAGTTTCAAGGCGCGTGTTAATGTTTTGGTAATATCTACAATTTCCTTTGTGAGCCTTCTGAATTACCCAGCGCATTCCAAATACCGTAACAACATATCCTTTGACTTCGCGACACGCTGCTATTTCAAAAGACATACATTATCATCTGTTTATATCAATTAAATTGGTTCGAGTGATTTGCTTCTTTCCTTTTGTTTTACTGTTTCAGTTTTGCAATCTACCATAGAATATTACTCTTATTGTATACTATTGACATATCAGTTGATATCTGTTCTTATTACGTTCTTCAAGCGCTAACAACAACTCAATTTTCATGTATAGTGGTTTGCTTGGTTGTTGAGTAAATAGAATACCTGTGATTGATTGCTATTGTAATGATTCATACCTCTGCTCAAGTACAGTGATAATAGTTTGGAGATGTTCTAATGCCCTTAATTAAGAGATACTTGGATATAAGAAGTACTTGTCACGACTTCCCAATGCCAGAGCAGAATTATATGGCCATATTGAGCTATTCTTTTACTCCTATTAGTCTTCAGCACCTAGAAGTTGTTCTGATTACCGGAAAATGTATTAAGCTGTGTCCTTCAGAAGGATAATGTTTCAATGGTTTACGTGTCACGCTTTGCTGACATGTTATACTGGAATGTTCCAAGAGTTTTGATACATCTTTTCTTATTGACATCGAGGACATGATCAAACGTTATTGCAGTCATAGTTCTTCTATAATCCTTATATATCAATATTAAGGGCATGAATGTCCTCAAACGAGCAGCTTATTATTGAGAAACGGTTCTAGGTTTTGGCATAGGCCATGACACAGAGTCACCGTCATATCACTTTGATTTCTAATCAAAGCAACTCAGACCTATGCGGACTCTGAAATGGCTACCTGTTCCAATTTCATGCAAAATGTATAAATTACTTGGTTACCCTAAGTTTTTCGACAGCTCTTCGTTTCCGCCTTTTTCATCTCGTTATAATATTTTCGTCCATCTTCAATGCCTGAACAAGTTAAGTACGATACACTCAAGCCCACTGGCAACAAAATCCCTCTTGTTGGTTTTGGTACCGCACGTATTCCCCCCGAGGAAACTGAAGAAGTTGTTTATAATGCTATCAAATCCGGATATCGCATGATCGATGGCGCTTATCTCTATGGCAACGAAAAAGAAGTTGGTAAGGGTGTTAGACGTGCTATTGCAGATGGAATTGTAAAGCGTGAAGATCTTTTCAGTAAGTACTATCTCGCTGTACGTTTAAATTCACTAGAAGCTTATATACTGATTTGCGCTGTCGCGTGATTTAGTTGTTGGAAAATTATGGAACAACTTCCATTCCGCTAAACATGTCGCTCCCATTTTCGAAAAGACCCTTGACAACTACGAGTTTGATTATATTGACCTTTATCTTGTTCATTGTAAGTATGACAGTTGATAGTGAGCCTTTCGCCTGTGTGGGTGTTGTTGTTTGTGATAGAGTGTTTAATCTGTAAATATTTTCTCTGACTTGTCAATGTATAGGGCCAGTTCCTTCCGAATATATTGATCCCAAGGAGTTCTTAGGTTTCTGTCCTAAGGGTCAAGACCTTAAATGGGAAAGGTCACCTATGCAAGATTGCTGGCGCGAACTCGAGAAGCTTGTCGATGCTGGCAAGATTAAGAACATTGGTATCTCTAACTTCAACTGTCAATTGATTCTTGACTTACTTACATATGCTCGTATTCATCCAAGCGTTTTGGAGATCGAACTTCACCCTTACTTGCAACAAAAACGTTTGGTCAAATGGGCTAAGAAGGAAAATATTCATGTCATTGCTTATGCTTCTCTTGGTAATATGGTGTATGACGAAGTACCTGAAAATTTGAAGAATGTGCCAAAGCTCATGGAGCATGAAACTGTCACTAAGATTGCAAAGAAGCACAACCGTAATCCTGGTCAAATATTGTTGCGTTGGGCAGTTCAGCAAAAAATTACGGTTGTACCTAAGAGTGTCAAAGAGTCTCGTATGAAGTCGAACTTGGATGTGTTCTGTTTCGAATTGGATGATGAGGATATGAAGGATTTAGAAAGCTTGAATATAAACGCTCGCTTCAATGACTTGGTTGAAAACATGTATGGTTTTGAACTTCCCATTTTTGAATAAATTTGCATGCATTTTTTCTCTTGTCAACAGGACCTGTACAATATAAAATGTTTCCATCGCACGAAATGTGCCTTTTATCTAATGAACAGCGAGTAATGTCTGCTTTTTGTGGAGTGTGTCTTGTTGCAGGTTATTGCATAGAGTAAAAGTGACATATACTGTCTCTTCCTTTGGAAGAAAGCTAAATGAGTATTCTTAATCTTTTGGCTTCTCTTACTGAAATTGATCAAGTGAGACTGAAACAACCGAAAACATCCCATCGGTAATCTTCTTATTGAAATTGCAAAATAAAGCTCATAATTAAGAATGGTTTAAATCTTCATGCTGTACAGCAAACATACTGGTAGCAGGTATCTTGTTAGTGTTAGGCCATTCGAATCTGCATGCTCAAATTACTTTACTATGCGTATCACACTGAACTGCAAAAATCAGCTTGGAAGGTTTACAGGCTCAACATTCTAGATAATTTTTGTATCTATTGTTAAATATCACCTTCGGTATACGTATGTATCGTTTTAAGGTACTATCGCATTCTAGATAAAGTGAACAAAAACGATTATGAGATAAATCACGAAGTCAATTGTTTTGTACTTTAACACACTATATACTGATTTTTTACACTTAACATTTGATAGGTAATCTCGAATTCTAAAACATCTGTAACTGTCTTTAGCATAATCAGCTTTCAATGCCTCCAACGTCATTGGATTAATTTGCGTCATAAGGCCACGTTCAATTTCTCCGTAGATTATTGCTGAAAACCTGAGCAATACATTGTTCATGTGTTACTCAAAACTACTTTTCTATTTTATCTCTTTTCTGCTGCTGAATGGCTTTAAGAAAAACAGCACTATTATAAAAAAAATCTAGACAAAGACACAAAAAATTACAAATAGAATCAAGACAGTTTGATGTAGCCAAATCATGATAACGAAATAAAGGTGGTGAAAAATAGGTTTTTATCATCTCTTTAAAGTATATATCTATTACTGACTAAAAAAATTTTATGGCATATTGGCTCATCCTTATACGAAAGCATAAAGATTTAACAGGCGGCACCACGTGTAGGCTTGTCAAATAGTCACCCTCGCGCCCGGATGCCGCCGCCCCAGTGTACCTCTGGGGATAGGTTGTAGATGGGTTGAATTATTTTCATGGAGAGAACTTCATTGCCATATCGTGCATCTACTCTCCCCTTTTAACAACAAAAACGGGCTCAAAAGAATAAATTGCTAGATGTTCCCGAAAAAGTGAGAGTATAGTAAAAAAGAAGTGCCATTATATCTTTTGTTACTTCTTGTGCTACAAAATAAGTCATGGTTTCTTTGTTTATGACGATGAAAACCTTCCACTAAGTCAGTAGTAGTAAAACATTGGCGCACCAATGTAGCACCTTAATGGCTCGAAAAAAAAATATAGTATTTCCTCTCGAGCTGCTTAAGTTTGGGAGGCATAAGACAATTGCTTGCACTTTTAATTATTCAAAATAGGCGACTATTTTATTTCATATACTGATGTATTTGGATACACCGGTGAGGAAGCATTTATTTTTGTTATATGCGTTAGATGGCTTCTATATACAGTGTTAACTTTCAGCAACGGACACTTAGAGTGAATGATTTGAATATATTACATTAGATTTGTCTCGTTAGTCAAATCTTCTTTTCCAGATCTTTTATACGGTTTTCTACATCTGCAAAAAGGTTCATATTAGTGGTATACTGTACAATGGAAGCAGCTAAAGAACTACTTAAAGCTCCATTCTTATACAAATTGATTTTTTGTGGTATTTGACTAAGCAACGAGTCGGGTTTGCAAGTATGATTTGCATTGTAAGTACCGAGTGGGGCATTCATGAACTTGAGTACTGCTTCATGGTTTCTGTTCGATAGATAAAAATCGGAGTACCGATAAATGGTATGTTAATGGTTAAAACTAAAGAATTCATTTATGCTTTGAGAAATGCGCTACGATTTCCTTACTCTGCGATATCATTAATGAATGCTAAGCGTTTCAAGACCTGCTGAATCTTTACTCGTTCAAAAGCTGTATCAAATAGAGATAGAAACTCTTGTGTCTCTTGTTCTATTTTCGCAATTTTCGCTAACGACCCTTCAATCTTCTTACGTTGTAAATGTTTCTTCCTAATTCTTGCGATTTCTTTGGCCTGGAGATGAAGGCGGTTTTTACTTGTCGTTGAAAGATTTTGACGGGAGGTGAGTGAACCGTGCATTAACAAGTTTAACAATTGATCCCCCAAATGATGTGTAAACGCTTCCTGCGCCAACTTCGATACATTTAGCTGGCTTTCATCTTCTTTCGTCGGTAAACCAAGCCATTTTTTATATATTGAATTGACAATGATATCATTTATCTTATTATCTGAGGCCCATTTAACCTTGTCTTTTAAAATTTCATTTGTAGGATAGGTTATATCTTCTACTTGTTTACAGCTGGAAAGTTGAAAATCTTGGATTTTTTTTCGTAGCTTATCGTCTAGCTCCGTTAAAGTCTTGTGGACAATAGACTTAACGTTACTTTCGGCCTTCCCATCACTGATGTCTTTGACCTTTTCAATAATTTTTTCAACGCCTTCACGTTTTGTAGCTAATAGAGTGTCTAAATGTTCTTGTGACAAGTGTTCAGTATATTTTTCGATATTGTTTAAAGGTTTACAATCCAAAGCTGATTCAAACTGTTGTAAAAGTAATGTCATCAATTTGGTGTTGATATCTATTAAACTGATGGAAAGAGAAATTGATAAATAGCTGCTTCAAAACCATAGTGAAAGAAAATTACCAAGAATGTTACGTTTGCTCAAGTTCGCTTTTATCATCTTGAAGCCTTTTCGAGTATTTGTCTATTATGTATATGAGAAAGGCGTTAAGTTCATTGACCCGATAATGCTATTCAGTTGCTTAAAAACGTACTCCTTTTAAGTACCTAAATTTACTACAAGCCTCTTTGTCAAGGTCTCTTTTTTATCTTTGAAGCTCAGAGACGACTGTACTTCCTCTTCGAGACGATTTAGTGTTTCGGTAGTCAGGTAAGCCTTCCGGAATCTATTCATGTCAAAGAAAAAAAAAGATCACTTTCCAGTAGATTGATCGATCGCTGTACGCAGTTATGTTTCGATCTTACAAGTTTAATAAATCGTAATCAGAAGTTGGCTTAATTTGTTTGCTTGTCCGCTCTACATCGCTCGCATCCATTGCCAACGTCGTTGAATAATGATCTACGGACGACTCCAGAAGTTGTCAAAGGCTAGCTTTGATTGTCAAAAAGTACAATAGGCGGGGAGTTAACTGCTGTTGAAGCTCAGTCATGCTTAAACGGTGAATTCCGCTGCTTTTAGATTTCAGAATTTTGTGCGAACATGCACCGATCTTTAAAGGTGGTTGAAGGAACGTTCGATCGCAATAAAGTAATTCTGTTGAGCTATAATTTTCGATGAATGCAATAAACAGGATATTTTAAAATACTTTCTGTTATTTGTGGGCGGTATGCCTGATATAGTATTAGCGATGTTTCTAAAAAATACTTCTCTTGCCTTCGCATTTGTAGTAAATAAAAGGGAACAGTTCTAAATTTTCATGGCAAGCTCCTGATTCAATTATGGACAAGAATTCAATACTGTATTACGATTTAGATAGACCATAGTAGACTGTATGCTTTACCCAATTTTACGTACTAAAGTATTGTAATTGTTATCTCAACTATTCACGTTTTCCCCCTATTTCAATATAGCAAATGTACATTTATCATCTGGACACAATGCTTCGCAAGACAGTAAATTATGGATAAAGCAAACATGATTCTTTGAAGCATATCCAACAGCATATAGCATGCTAAAGCGGGTCTTCAGTGCGAAAATGTTGAACTTGCCTCACTTTTTTTAAACATTTGCAGAACCTGTTAACGTATAGACCCCAACGCAACAATGATTTTGCAGCAAATGTCGTCGCAACGCGTTTTATCGGCCAAAGCGTGAACGTACCCATTGGGATTTATCGAATCATACCAATTATTCAATGCTTCGGCAACCAAATTCAATTGCCTGGCTTTCACTAGTGTTTAATACACAATTCCAGCGGAAGAGCACGCTGATGTTGCTATTGCTTTACCTTATAGATATGAATTGAGCTATTGGGCATGGTTCATACTACGACGTTAATGACTGTAGTGGACTGATTATGGAGCGGTCAAGCAGTAGCATTGATAAGAAGATGTTGAGCGTACTCAGAGTAATGCAACCGGGTGCTACATGCAGCTATTGAATTTCGAAATTCGCATCCACGCCGCTGCATTGTTTCGTAATTGCCATGTTGTGTTTTTTTCGGGCATATGCAATTTTATTCCATTTCGACAATGCACATTATCAGCATGAGTGGTTACATTCTGGAATACAGATGTTCTAAATACGTTCAATAATGTCACATTTTGGTTGGAAGTCTTTGAGCTTATCATTTTCTTCATTTCTCTCCGAGCAAGAAATCCTCATGGGAACCCTGAAGAAAGAAAGCTATGATATGGTTCTTGCCAAATATATGGAATTTGAATTAGACGTCCTAGTTGGATCGATAATCTACACCACCTTAACTTCGAGAGGTTATTGTATCCATACTACTTCCATGAATAGAGTTGGTTTGCTTGGGTCGAGATATAATTTCACATATCATCACTACAATTTGTTCTTAAGTTAAAATATATCGCTTTATAGTTCTCATTTCTCCATTATTGGAATATTGTGTTTCGTAACAGAATATTCAACACATTTTGAAAGTACTAAAGAATTGTTACAATTTATCATGACCAGTTAAGCAGGTGGCAGGTAGCAGATAATAAAAAGTTATAAGCGAAATAGAAAGTTAACAAGCAGACTGTAGAGTGTTCTACCATTCATGCTTCATAATACTTTGACTTTTTATACCGAATGTTAAAAAATTTTATCAAGTTGTTGTAACTGCGATTGTTATTGCTGTCTTATTTCAATCATATGAACTGGAAGGGTTAATGTAATTCTTAATGACTCTTTGGCTAGCTCATCTTATTTCATAAAAATCGGATATGAAGAGCACTATATGACCATTTTATAAGAATCCCTAACGCTTACATGAATCTACCATTACTGCCAGTAATTATGACTTTATAGTACAGTATTACTTGATTCTATTTGTTCAAGGCACAGTTATGAATTTATTGTGGTTCACTGATTAGATCGATTGATCTCGCTTTACAAGCCGTTCAGTATGCTTAGAAAAACGATTTATGTATATATTTCTAGTACGAGCACGACGGAAGAGCCTATGGACTTTGGATAAGATGTGCAACCTGAGTTTGAAGGCATAATTAGCTTTTATTGGAGCCAAAAAAAAATAAGACCAAAAAAAAAAGTTTTTGTGTCAATGAAAGAGTACCTAACCAAATCTTTCCTGACCTTTCAAGAGCTTACTCGAGCAATCCACTGATATCATACTAAAAATCAAGAAGGACATAAAAGAAACTTTGTTAAGCACCGTTGCTTACCCCTCCATTGGAAACGCTACAAACAATCATAAACCCCAGCATATTAAAAATTAACAGCAGAAAACGATAAAGCTGGGATGAATCTTTTTGGTCCCTTCTTCACGTAATAAATAAATTGAATTAAAAATGCAGATTTACTGCGATTTTGCCTGAAAATTTCAGTAAACTAAAGGTACAAATATCTTGGTGACAGTCGTTCATAAGCCCCTGATAGTAGACTTTTAGCAAATTTCAGCAAAGATGCTGTATACGTTTTTTAAATTAAATCAATTAAAACAAATCAAAGATTGAGTGGCTATTAGCTTAGGCTTTACTTTTCCCGCTTTTGAACCTGATATTTAATTAAAATGACCAGTCCTAAAATGGCAAGAGGTCTTGCTGTTCCTGATTTCTTTTCACCAGCAGAGACCATAGTGCGCCTTCGTCTTTCATTGTAATCTGTGCCTTCTCTTAGCAATCTTTAATCTCTTACATTTTCATTGATTTATGAAAACTGTAACTCCGTTTTCCAATGGTTGCAAAACTTCCCCTATATCTATCATTTTCTGGTTTTTTTTTTTGGATTAGCTCTTTTCGATTCTTCTTATTGTTGTACTTTTTGGTCCCTTTTCGCTTTTTGCCCCTTTCTCTATTCACTTTTTCTCTTTTACACAAGCTCTTTGCTAATACTATTATTATATCGAATCTATCGACTTACTGCAATCATATCAACATAAATGACAGTCAATAGCAACATTGAAGACAAAGGGCTTATAACGGAATGGGCGAAGTCGATTGAACGTGTGGATATTGATACTGTACAATCCTTATATTCGTCATGCCCTGAGCTGCTATGGGCGCCTTTACAGTTGAATGTCACTGATAAGGACACTTTGAAACATTTTTCTCAACGTTTAGAAGCATCATCAATTTTAGGCACTTCGTTCGAACCATTATACCCACTTCATTATCTCATTTTGCTTTTCAGCAATTACAATAATTTACAACAAAACGATGACGAGCACTATCAACTGCATTTGATAAGAAATTTAATAGACTTTATCATACAGGTAAAAGAACTTTATTCATTTCGTTTTTTAATGAGTGGCTGTCTGTTAATCAAGAAGCCCACCGTGTCTATATTCATTTTGGCCTGAAAATTAGAAAACACAAAGGGATGAGATTAACACATGTCTATGGGGTGAAGAATGCAACTCAATTATGCACCTCGCTTATTATTTCTTAAATCAACAACAACAACAAGTTGCTGAATTAATTCAACTTTTAATTGATCGCGGAGCTTCGACTACCATTGTTAATAAATCAGGTCATTTACCACTCAATAGAAGCATCGAAAAAACAAGCGCAAAACCATCATTTTCATCAGACATAAGTAAGGAATTGCAGACACAACAGCAAGAAGAGGAAGGCCCAAAACTGATCATCAACAAACGTAATGTCACTACTAAACAACCTGCTGCTGTGTCCGACAAATTTAAACGCCTACGGGAAATGGCAGAGGTGAAATCGTCGTCCCGTCACCATCAAGGAAACAGCTCCAAACTCATGATGGGTCGTCATAACTCGGCCCATCGTTATTTCCGACCTGGTCATATCGAAGAAAGAAAACGTCGCGTCCTAAGCGAAGAAGAAGAGGCTGAATTAGAAAAGGAAAGATTAAAAAGACAACGTGAGGTAGACTTATTGGTCCAGCGATCGGCTGTTAGGAACAATCCTTTGTTGAAAAAGTTAGAAGTACATCAAGAATCAAGTGACCATAGTATAAGCGATAGTCTTTCTACCGCTTCTAAATTGAGAACCGCATTAACGTCAGTAACTGACCAGCCTCAATTGCGGCGAGGATCGAGAATAATACAGGCGTTGAAAGATCGCTCTTACGTTTCGGACAGTGTGCTTCGTCACCAGCAATTGCTGGCGGCAGAGACGAAAGAACATACTGAAAATGATGTAAATCACAACTCAGCAACTAGTCGGCTCAAGTCTAATACACGTTTACAACCCATATCACCTTATGCCAGCGACAGCAGTGATGAGGAGAATGAGGGAATATACGAAGACAACAGCAACGGCAATGATCTCAATGAAGTAGCGATAAAGGGAATTAAAGTTGAAGCAACAAAAGAATCGTTTGACAAAGCTTGTGGCGACCAAAATGTCAAAGTCAATGAACGTCAAGATCTCAATATTAACAACAGTGAAATTAGCGTGGTTCAACATCACCAGCCTGATTTGGTATCCAGTAACGAGAATCATCATATAGCCGTAGCGAACAAAATATTTGAGCAACCTGAAAAACGTGGTGTCACAAACTACATCATGAATGACAATAGCATCGTTGACTCCCTTCAGGTGAAGACTAAGAAAAATAATTACACTGCTGGAATCGTTGTCAATGATACGGTAAAACGGACCTTGACGATCAAAGGCAGCAAAGTAAGAGAGATTGTACAAGTCCATGAGCATCTTAACGATAAAGAAGAAATCGAGATTTATTATACAGGCAAGGTTTTCTCAGTCTGGAAGAAAAACGAATATGGTGAATTGACAGAAGAAGAGCAATTCACGGAAGCTCAATTCAAAAAGAAGAGTCCTGAAATACTAGGTAAAAATAATATCTCTGGAATACAGAAGTATATTCTTTGCAGCTCTAATCACGCTGATCCTGTACAATTACATAGAACTTGTTAAAGAAAAGTTATCCGAAGAACAAGATAGAGAAGTGCTATTCGATGAGAGCGCACCATCATTAAAGCAATTGATAGGCAGTAGCTATAATATGACAGCCAAGGAAAAAATTAAGAATATCGATAAGCCTCTAATAATCGACAACTCCAGTCAGAGATCTTCTACGTCTAATACAGGCAATGACGAGGACCTTTATACCAGCAGAGGATCGCTCAACTCAGACTCTACCTTATCGACCATCTCTCACTCAACAAATGACAGTATTCAACATGTGAATATCATTGATGATATGAGATTCCCGCTTCTGGAAGTGGATGAAAAAACTACTGCAGAGACAGATAATGCAACGACTCTGTTGAATGATAGATTAGGTAACGCAAATTATCTTTACGTATAATCAAAATGTACAAAATTGCTGGATTAATGCTAAAGCAAAATGCATTACAGACGATAATTATCGAAATAGCTTACTTGTACACGGATTTAACGAAGATCATGATCATCAGCAACGAAACTCCAATATGCACATTAGGGATGTTCATAACATAACTAACAACGAGCCCTCTCACGATACGAAAGCATTCGTACGTACTTCTATCAACAATACCTTGCACCACAGCCAAAACAATAATGAAATTCCTGCTAACACGACTGCAGACAATTCATTATTAGACGGTACTGGTGGTGAAGTAGAAGGTTTCGAAATTCTTGATGACGATATAGAAGAAGCAGACGACGGAGGAGCCACGACACCGACTAATAGCAGCTTTATCAAAAAAAATGATAATGATATTTCTAGCAAGGATAACAAACAGCAAAGTCATGACACGGTACAAAGCTTGGTCACCCTAGTTCAGCGGCAACTACACCAAGACGAAGAAGAGGAGGAAGATGTATATGAAACTGATATCATGAATAATATTATGCTTAATAGACCGAGAAGACAAAGTGGGACACAACGTAAATTGTGGGCTTTGAGCTATATAGAACATCAGCAAGTCTCGCAAGACGAAACAAATACCGTATTGAACAACAGCGATAACCGATCTTCATCCAGTTATAGTGAAGATCAATGGTATGATCCTGATTCCAAAGAAGGAAGCAGTAACGGTGATTGGCAATCTGTTTTTCAACGAGAGTCATTCCTGACAAGTCAGCAGCATTATAGCAACAATAATAGCGTTAATAATGATGATGAGGATCCCAATGGTAATGATACAGCATCAATTGCTTCGAGTGTATATTCTTATAATGGAGCTATTATCAGTGAACTAGAAGAGAAGGACAGTATATATCCCAGTCATGGGGAATTGCTTGTACACAAACCAAAGGAGCATGCAGAACTCACAACAACCTTCGCCAGCCGAACGGATAGCAGTGATAGAAAATCAGAGCAGACGGTGGAACATAACCTACTATTACCGGACACGTATAGTCATTCAACTACCAACACAAATTCTCATAAAGATGGTGAGCCAAAAAGTACATCTGAAACCAATAAGCCATCCAAGCCAATTGAAAGTGCTAAAGATACAATGAAAATCACTTCTATGAATTTATCAGAAGACAACCATAATGAAGTTGATAAGGATAAAACTTCATCGTTCAATTATAACAGTGGTGAAGGAGAAATTGTTATATACATGAGCGAATCTTACGGACACACAACAAGATTAGATGATCTAGTTGCGGCTGACAAACAGAAAGATGTTATTCCTGCCTTTAATCTGCCTCTATCTCGAATGAGTGGCAAAGTGGAGTTGAAACCAGGTCAGCTATCATTACAGAGTGATAAGGACTATCGTCGTTCTCTTATTCCCATGGCTGAAGTAGATTTCAATACGGTTGCCAGAGAAAACGGCAATTCGCTCTCTTCTAATATACCCAACAAAAAGGATAATCAACCACGCATAGAAGATATTTCGCAATACATGAGAGCATTACCTTCAGCCAAACAATCAATTTCGTCGAGTCAACTGAACAATGCTAGCTACAATATTGGTAACGACACCCAACCGGGACAGCCCATCAGAGATTCTGTTACACCCAGTATGGATCACTGGATATCGACCCAGTCTCAACTCCAAGAAGACGTTTCCTCATCTCACTTGTCGCAACAACAACAACAACAACATCAACAACAGCCTGTAGTTGTTGCCACTCGCACAACCGCCATAACCGATGAGAAACCCTCACCCACCACCTCGTTCGAGATAAACCGCTATGGAAAAATGTTTATTGGTGTCAGTGGAGCCCATCATATGCTTCTTCCTCTCCCTAAAGAGATTACTTATGTTCGCTGTGTCATCAGCGACGGTGAATACGAATACATGTCACGCTATGAAATCCTCACTCATCAAATCCTTATGGATTATGAGTGCATTATTGACACTAAACCAGGGCAAATTATTACTGTTTCGCTTCATGTTCGTCCAGACTATCATGTCAAGCCTAAAACTGGTCTGGTAAGTCGTTTGTTCACATCTGCTCGTAAACAGAAAGAGCATTTGTCAGGCTATGTGCATCCTGAAGATGGGGCTATTGGTCAAACAAGGTTTGCGGTAGATCATATGGTTACAGCATGTTATAAGAAGACATATGAGGCACAGTTCGATTGCTTCAATTCTTGGTATGCAAGGACTAATCGTGAAAGGGCGAGAAGAGAACAATTCGGCGATGAAGAGGATTTTTTGAAGATTGTTGGCAAGTTAAATATTGAAATGCTGTATTTGCCAGTCTCTGATCCATCCTTGGTAAAAGAAAATATACATCATATATTTTTTGGCTCACATAGTTCCATGAAATGAATTAAACATTATTTATTCCTCTAGCCTGTGCCAAGGAGTTTAAGAGAATGCGACCTTACATTAAAAATAAAACAATGGCATGACACTTGTTGGAAGAGTGGGTACCTAACAACAAGACTTCAAGGTTCTAATGTAAGTTTTCTTTAGCTCCGCGGCAAAAATGTGTATGTACTAAACAAAAGGTTAAATCACCCAGATATGGGAGCGTCATTTCTATAGGCTCGTAGGAAGCCAACTGGTCGGCTATACTTCAGACACTGACAAACAACGTGTTTGGAAGCATTACAACATAGCTGACGTGATACGATTGAGTGCTTCCACTGACAAAGTGCTAGTGACACTTGTCGAAGAAGATAAAAATACGGATAAAGTGTTCAATCCGGAATCAATCCATTCTGACAATCGAAAAGGCTTCTTCAGATTGACTTTTTCAGAATATTATGTAGACTGTGTCAGTGATAATCTGGAGGATAGTGAAGACTGGGTGAAGACATTGAAAGCTATGATCGGTCGTGTGCCTTTGCGATTACCCTTTTCTGCAAATTAATAGCCAGAGTTTACTACCCCTTTATGTACATAGATAAAATAAAAACGTAAGTTTGATATACCATGATAAACTCCAGTGACGAAAGATCCAATCAAATGCTTATACAAGGGATTCTGCTGCTGTCATACGACTATAAATAAAACTATGTTTAATCTATAGGTTTCTGATGCAACCAATGCTCACTTATTACTGCGTAAAAGGGACAATAAAACCCTGACATATTATTTTGACGAAGATGAAACATGGCTAGCTTCTAATAAACAATAGGCTTAGTTTCATTTTACTGTTAGTCTTTACTGAGTTATTAAAAACTCAACAATACGTATGTCAGATCAAATGGCATTGTTTTAAAACGTAATGAAATGCAGAATACGTATATCAAAGGCTTCTTGCAGTTGATTTTGTGAACAATTTCTTTTATTTCACTTGTCATGGTTATAGCTTTTTGACCATAAACTTGTACTTTACACCCCATGACTGCATCAAAGGTTACTGTGAAGCCAGTTGACGCCACTTATGCTCAAATTATCTGTGATCTCGGAAAACGCACATTTCGTGATACTTACAGTGCTTCTTCAACGCCGCAAAAAGATTTAGAAGTATGTATGAACGAGAATTACAACTACGATATACAGCGCAAGGAGCTTAGCGATCCAGCTATGCATTCATTTATCGCTTTTGATGAGCACGGTACTGCGATTGGATTTGCACAGCTTCGGCAGAGAAAGGACAACTATGATTTCATTGGTGATAAAGAGGCTGTTGAACTGCAAAGAATTTATGTGGATAAAGAGTTTACGGGTAAGGGGGTTGGCAAAGCACTTCTATCTGCCGCTCTCGAAAAGGCGAAGGAACTCGGTAAAAGAACCATTTGGTTAGGCGTTTGGGAACACAATTTCAAGGCTATGGCTTTCTATGAAAGCTTTGGCTTTTACAAGGCAGGAAGGCACATATTCAAAGTTGGGGATCAGCAAGATTTAGATTTTGTTTACGCAAAGAAACTTTAATACTTCCTAGATTTACCAATATAATTTCAAAGATGCTTCTGAAACCAAGGATGTACATTCAACGCTAGCGAGACAGGATCATAAATAATACGACTGGAGCAGTTAATAGAATTGAACTATAATTAACATAATCGTTTTCTTATTGTTGGTTTACGCTAGATATAATACTGTTTGACCTTTCTTTTAGTAGATTACAATAAGAGTGTGTGTTCAGTAGCTTTCAAGATAATAGTGAAAAGGCTGGTTATTTTAAATGAGTAAAATAGTTTTGAAGTATTGTAGCAAAAATTGAGAGGGCACATTGTCATTAAATATAGTTTACAGGATCGTCTTTCACATCAGTCCCCGAGTGACTACAATAACTTGGCTGTTTAAGTTAAGAATTAAGTATAGTTTCTTACAAAGAATACCATTAAGCTTCTGAAAAATCCAAATTAATGTGCTTCTTTTTATTGGGGGCTACGATGAATACATTACTAGAGATAGAGGTTTCGGTATTTAAGGTTAACAACCAGAAAATAGCAAAGATATGTAACTCTTATTGCTCTAGTATGCTTACTACTAATTGCCAGTTGTTTGTAATAGATATAGGGGCCTAAAGGGAGATTAAGCTTAGTCTTCTTCCATACTCAATCTGAATTTTATCTTTAATGTACAAGGTGATATCTGTAATTTCAGCGTGTATGTCGTTAAAAAGGATGGAACGAAACTGTGCAGTAATTATTCACGCTTTACTGAAAGTCAAATCACAAATGTCTTTTATTTCATCTAAATTTTGACCTTGTATTGAGCTCTTTTTTAGCATTGTTGCTCTGTATTTTTGTAAACTTGTATAACTCTTCTGTTACACCCGTACACTATTATGTAATCTAAGGGTCGAAGAAGTGTTTGCTCCCAACTACTACATACCTCACAGAACTCAAATCTACGCTGTCAGAAAAATGCTGCATTTGTTTGGCGGCCAATCAACTTTTTTAATTTCGCTCATTTCGAGCCAGCGTTGTAACGGCTATTCCCTTAAGAACATTGACACTCCTTGTGTAGTTTCCAGAAGCATTACTTTGACGTTGTTTTTTTTTTTGAACTGGGACAAATGGGAAGCCTTGCTTTTCATAAGAACCTGCTTCGAAGCTTTCTAAAATTAGGTGTAAAATCTTTTATCTTAACATGCGCTGTTACAGTCATGGCTTTTATTATCGTTATTGCGTTGACAATATTCTATAATATACATCCTGATCCCCCATCAATATAGTGACCCATCTTCATCTATTTAAATAATTGTAAGGCTTCCATGAGGCTAGAATACCATATCTGCTCGCAATGCCTTATTTCCTTCAGCATACTTAAATTTTATTGTAGATTTATGCCCGTGAAGTTCGCTGCTATATACTGCCTTCCATGACGGGACCAAAAAGGAAGATACCTCCCTTCCTAATAAGCGTTCCTTTTTTGCCCTCTCTTTTTCTGTCCCTGCTTTTTACAAACCGAATCAGCTGTTACAATTGAAGCTTGATACTCCTCCGAATCAGTCTCTTTGACAATCAGCAGCCTGTAATTCAATAATATTTGATGGACGGAAAAGAAATTCGCGTGTTACATGTGATACTTGTTCCATTAAGAAAGAGTGCTACTTCACAAGCATAATGTTGTAATAGCTTCTATGAAAGAATGGCCAAATTGAAAGCTCCCTTTTTTCAAAAAATCAGGAAGCATATCAATATAGCTACATTATAAGGCATTGGAAAATCCAACAACTGTTTGTTTTCAATGCTCTCATCCTTTTCTTTATTAATTATTATATAATACGTGTTTTTTTGGCCTGTACTATATTATGTAACAAATGCATGTTCACCGGCTGAGTTTATGATAAATTCTTGTTTCTCTCTAGAACGTTGAGAGAACAATAGAAATTGCGTGATGATAGTTTAAAATACCTCCCTCGTGTTACTACCACCATTATCATCTCAAAAAATATTTTTGAACCATTGCTCACTATAACAGTGTCTTATTCTATAAAAAAGCAATTACAACGTAATACAACATACTGACGTAAGGTATAGACTACTAGATTTACTTTCATAACCTAACATCTTTGAAGCCCAACGAAAAATATTGCTATGGAAATCCTTTAGTCAAGGGTTAGCAAAACACAATACATCAAACGCTGCAGAACATTGAAACCCCTTTGTCCCTAATCTGGAACCAAGTTTTTATTGGCCCGCTTTCGAAGGGTCCGTGTGTTTTCTGTTTTGACACAGCCAGGAAAAAAAAGGAAGAAAAAATCACTGATTCTACAATGGGAGGTGATGTTATTTTTTCTGGACAAAAGGCAAATTAGACACAGGTCAAATCTGCTCAAAAATGACAACCCATTTTACCGATAAAAAGAAAAAATAAAACCAAACACGTTCTTTTTCTTCGTAAAATGCAAATGGAAGGGTAAAATATTCGCATTTTTGATTTTATAGGAATAGAGATAAGTTCTCCCAATAAAACTTAATGTATAAAAATAGTAGGATGTATGTAGATGTATATGTTATGTGGGCATAATTGACTTATTAACAGGGAAAGAAAGGAAAGAAGGGCTTTGTATAAAATAATAATCTTAATAGACTTGGTATGCCTATAAGCCGTAAGATCAGAAACAAAGACGTGCGTACGTTATCAATATAAATGGTATTCCTATCTTAGGAAGGCTATTAGGGAGTGGGGATATGCTACTTGAACTCTATCTTGACGAAGCGTAAGTAAGAGGTGGATGATGAAGTTCACACGTTTTAGTTCTGCTTGGTTGTAGTAGTCTTTCTGCCTTTCTTTTTCTTTTGTTGAGACTTTTTCTTGTTCTTATTCAATCTTTCAGACTTAATTATAGGCTTGACTCTCTCCCATTCACCAGTGTTAATGACTGCCTTTCTGAAAGGCTGAGCTATATCATAGTTGTAAACTAAAGGATCGTTTCTGTCCCAGAAAAGCGTGATAAAGTCAGCAATACATTGAGCACGGTTGGGCATGTGGGAGCCATTGACACTAATACCCTTTTTTAAGCCGAAGTCCTCCATGGGTTGTTCAGGACGAACAAAAGTAGCAGGAACACGGCTAATACCACAAGCCATCATTGAAAAACCAAGGTCTTCACAATTTAATTGACGATCAACCATCTCATGCAGCTTGGGTTCCAGGAGACAGGTATAAGCAAATAAGTATTCTGAGCGAATGAACATACTCTTTGTAAGGACGATGCTGTAAGGTGCAGAACCGATCAGTTTGTAGACAGACTCAAGAGTTACAGGGTTGTATGCATGGTAACGAGGGAAGTGGCCAACAACACTATCTTTACGCCCCCGCCATACCTGCAAATTCAGATACAGAAAACTCAAGTTGGTTAGTTTCTTTCCAAACTTCCAAACAACATAAAAACTGAGACTACTAACATTAAATGTGAATTCTAGATCATCAAGCGGTACGAAAACATCATCATCCATAATATAAACAGAATCCGTCACTAATTGATCCACGGGATTGAAACGATTGTTCAAAGAATCATAGTCTTGTACAAGTACTTTGACACGGCTGTAATCAGTTTTGGATAGATCAGCATACAAAGTGTCAGGTACAGCCAGTTGAGGATTGTGCCACGTCACAAAGACAGTGTGAACATAGGGTGATTTCAGTAAGTGTTGAATGATGAGGTTAAGGTGTTCGATACGTTCAGGGTTATAAGTGCTGATTAAAACAGAGAATTGGTCTTGAACTGGGAAGTATTGCGGATCAGAGACAGATGTCAAGTAAGAATCACAGACCAATTGTTGTCTAGGCGCATTAGCCCAGTCGGTTTCTAGAGGGTTGAGTTTTCTGTTATTATTATTCTGTTGCAGGAAAGGCATACTATGTTTATATTAAGAGTTACTTTACCAGGATTGAATAAACGTCGCATGTCATTGTTCAAACGACGCCAATTGTAAAATCCAACAGGATCCCATTGCTTTTGCCAATCAACATCACTATAAGCATGGAAATTCCAAGGCTTCATTGGTCCTGAGAAAAGTTGAAGATACTATTGCAAATCGTCAATGAAGGGTCAGCGATCAATTCTGATTTTCCATAACGAAGCCTTAAAAATACACTTACATTCACGACATCCTTTTCTGAAACGTAAGAATACTTATCAAGTGTTTGTTCTAATACTTCAGGAAAAGTAGCATTGCTTGATTTTCTGAGAGCTCTCACTAAGGATTCAAATGAGTTAGGATTGGGTTCCAAAATGTAGAGTGAGTTTGCTAGAGCGGAACCGACTGGATAATTGAGTAATTGATCGACATTCTGAGTTGTTGAAGAAAATAAAAAATCATACGTTAAAGTGCCGCACGGACATATCAATGATTGCACTCTCTTGATTCTTGTTAAATTATACTTACGTTATTAAAGATGATATCAGGGGTGAAATACACAATTTTTGAATAGTCAAACAAGGCAAACAAGTTAATCACGGTATTACAGACATCACCGTCAGAAGATGAAGCTTGAGGAAAAGATGTCTATATCAGCCAAAAAAAAGAAGAAAAAATAATATAAATCTCTTCGCCATTCTACACAACAATTTACCGAGAATTAGTTTCAGTTTTACCCTTATCACTTGAGCACCAAGTTTTTCTAATTTTTCAACATCTTCAGATTCGACTTGTATCGATTCAGGGAGTAGAACAATCACATCTTGTTTGGATGATAACTTCTTGGCGAAAACAGAGTTTAAAGAATAAAGTGATACCATTGTCGGTTCAAGCTAGAGCACAAACATAAACACACACATAAAAATGACATATTAGTTACATTCAGTGTAACACGACTATTATGAACAATGCAAGTCTAAAGTCATAGATAAATTTACCATCTTGAGATCACATATCATTGTTGCAAACGCACTCTTTTTATTGCTAAAGACGTTAAGCAAGCTGCCTCCTCTATTATTGCTCTTAATACTGCTACTGGTATCCATATCATTGTCTAGTGCTGTTGCAGTCTTGTCTTCTGCCGTCATCATCGACGTGTCTCTAAAGGGTCGGCTTGGTTGCTGTGTTGAATGTGCTATGCCATCTGATATCTTTAATGTTGGATACAAAATAAATATGATTAAGCAGCATAACAAAGATGTCAATGATAAAACATAATATCTTCTATTCATCTTTTTGTGTGTATAGTTGGAATGAATAGAAAATTATTACGATATTTTTCAATAAATAAATATTCAAGTAAGAAGAAAGAAGAAGAGATTGACTGCTAATCCGGGAAATAACTGAAGAAAGAATGGTTTCAAAAAGAGGACTAAGAAAACCAATAGAGAAACGTGGGCCCCTTTTTATATATGTCGGGTTTTTGTCCAATTGTTTATGAAACGGCTTCACGGCGTTTGTTTTATACCTGAGATTATCTTGGAAATAAAGATTTTAAAATCCAGCATGTTTGAGATTTTTGGTTTTTTTTTGTGAAAATGATTGACATGGCATACTTTCCTCGCAGTGCACTGAAGAATGCCTATATGATTTGGCGCTAAGACGTTGACACCTTTGCAACGTTTGCTACTATCTGGCACACATAATTCTCTTATCTGTTAATTGTACACGTCAGCGTAAAGTTGCCGCTGAATTTTCGTTACAAGTAAAAACCGAGCTATCATTCCTGATAAGGCAATAGAAAGCATAATTGGAGGAGGGCGATCCCTAAAGAAATCTAAAACATTGCCACAGAAGAAGAAGCTTCCGCTTTACAAAAAAATACTCTGGAAAGTCGGTTTTGTTGGAAAACAGACAGCGGCAGTAGCATCTATATGATGTAAGATGCCTGTTTACTGTTTTATAAATAGAACGATGAGGGCGAATCTGGAAATTCTCGAAACAAAAACAACTTCTTAAATACTCCATTTGCGTTAAGAATATATACAACACTTGATTTCTTTCTTCGTTTGATATTTATAGCTTTATAAAGCTATAGACAACAGGTCGATCAAAAATTAAAAAAGGAAAAACTTGGCGTCGGTGCATGATATCATCATTGTCATCTTTGCTGACCGAGGATACAGCTGAACTTAGAATTTAAAAATTAAAGAAAGACATCACCAATGGTAAATTTTGAAAAAAGAATTTGGGTACTTTTCCTTTTTATTAGAAGCTAAAAGGGTAGTCTTATGCGTATATACATTAGCAGTAAAGAAACGGCGGGGGTGTGGGGGTGTGGGGGTGTCTAGATACGTTGCGCATATCCATTATGGCGTAACGTATTCTCTACAGAAGATGAAAAGAGGCAATCATATGAATAGAGCAGTGGTAGCACATTCCACGTACAAGAAACAGTACGTTCATCCCCAATGCATACACCGTACTTACTGTAAGGCTCTTACAATCCAAATCGTCTTTTTTGATTGCTAATGTACGCCTTGAATCAAACGAAACCCATCCTATTTGATTTTTAATCATAATAAGCAAGTAGCTAAATCATCTTCTATTTAATCTTTAAAGAATAACGTTGAAAAGAAGATCCCTTAGTGTAACCGACACTTAAAGCTCAAATGATATCAATTGTTGTGCTTTGAACATCTAGTTTTAAAAATCAATACGAGTGCTGTCTCTTACGACCTGTATTTTCTTTTTAAACTAGTCCTTTACTTCAAAAACACTTTTATTATCTGGACTTACTAGGATTGGGTTTGGTTTTTTTTTTTTTTTTTTTTTTTTTTTGCACTCTCTTTTTCCGTCTTTTTGATGTAGTTAACAACTTTTGGATAAAAAGAATGATCTCCATTCCTTTCTATTCATTACAATCTGTCCAACACTGTACTAATATTGCAAATATCTCTTGTGTCATGGTTAATAGTTCTCCACCAGTTTCTTTAACTATGCCTTACCTCTAAAGTTTTGCATGCAAAATAAACGTACTTGGCTTGCTCTCGATCAGTCCCAATCAAACATTCTGCGATTATCAAGTCGCAGCAGTCCAGTTTGGTTGGTGGCTTTCTAAGCTATCAAATGTTGCCTTTAGAAACAATACTTTGCGAGTCGATGTCTATTGTCCAGCCAAATTTGGTGGTTAAAATTTCTTTGAGCGAGAATTATTTCGTGTAAATAGTTCGAGTCTCCTTCCAAACACAAAGTTGGAATATAAGAAAGATAACAGCAGCAGCAATAGAAGAAAATATTGTATTTCTTATGTTTATTGTCAATTTTCTGCTCCAAATTAGACAATGTAGTATTATAGTATGTTCATACGCTGGTCAATTATAACACAACGTTTGATTCTAGATTGTCGTTTTCAAGGCTTTATCTTACAGTAAGTGAATGTGTCTTTTCAAATACAGTTCATTTATCTTGTGCCAAGAAGACACCTACCCGAAGAATACTGCATGTGTGTATATCTCAACAAAAATCAACGATTTTTACTTTATAGTGAAATGCTTATAGATTGACTATTTTAATATAAGAAGTAAAAAAAAGATTGGTACATATTATACAGTTAAACTTGCACATGGTTCTTTTCCTCTAACTTTTAAATTAATTGGAGATGGATGAACTTTTGAATTGCTAAGACGTTAATAAAGACTATTGGGCGTATTCACAAGGAAGGAACCAAATTATTGATTGCATAATGCTTGCCGCGCCTCAACATCATACTTCAGAAGTCGAATCCATTTCCTTTTTATTTTTTCTTTTTTTTTGCTTTTTTTTTTGGTTTCTGGAGAAACCAACCGTGCGCATTCTGCTCCCAACGAGAGACATAAACAGTCATTTATTCATCTCGAACTTTATACAGATGTAGCGTTGGGAGCCTGCATTATATTGTTTATAACGCTTTATATAATACTTACGGAAAAGGTATTCTGACATAAGGTCATTGATGGTAGTTTGAAATCCAAGGTTGAGTAACATACGTGAAAGAAGCAAGTGTTCTGCTATTCTAACACGCGTTTTAAAGACAGTAGACTAGTTCCATCTACGTTTTATCTGTATTTGGTTATAAGGAGACCTCGATTATTTGCAAATCAGATCCAGTGCCTTATATAATACTGAACACCTTGGAGAGATTTCACCTTACTGGTGGTAGAAGATTTTAATTATGCTTTCTTAAGACTACAAAATAATGTTGCAACGAGATCCTCAATGCCATCGTAGACAACCTCAAATTCGATGCCTTATGGCAGCTGTTTATTAGCTTCTTCAAAATAGCATTTCTCCTTTCGAAGTTCAAGTTGCGGACAAATCTCTTATCAAGCGTAGTAAAGTACATCCCTGTCATATGTAACTATCATCCCACATCTGAAATAGAGTTTATGGTAACAATCTAATAAGGATGTTTTAACTTGCCATGTTAGACTGTTTTCTTTCGAATCCCTTACTATAAAGGAGACCATTACTTCATTGCTGTATTTCAAAAGTTACTGCCGTATAGCGACTACAATTCTGATAACATATAAGTCATTAGCTGTTCTGTGATCCCTTACCGCTCTTTCAGATATCAATCCAGCTTATTTCAATTTGAATTACTTATGATAAGCTGCCATGAGTGCAATAATCAGTAATCACTCACTTACGTCCCACAGTGAGTGTAATCTTTTTTCTTTGTCTTCTTGTCAAAAAGCATGTGATAGCGTGAGTGTTCGAAAAAAAACGAAAAAGATATACTCTTGGTCAAAAGATTTTTATTTCAGACAGTTTTTTCGGTACTATCCTAACGTGCAAAGTCGAACAGTAATTGCTTCTTCATTGGTTCCTTGTCTCTATTATATTATGGATTCGATTTGTTACCCTTTTTTCATCTTTTTTAGTTTGCACCCTTTTTTATCGCTTTTCCAAAAATGAACAAAACTACGAACCTGGGGGTCCAGAAGACCAGAAAATTTTCCCTTTTGCCTTCTTTTCTTTTTTCGTTGTTTTCATTCCATTATTCACCATATTCGCCAAATCACTATGGCTCCTGTTCAAAACACCAAAACCGTGGTAGTGCAGCCTACTAGTGCACTCGACAAAATCAAGAAATCAATTGAGGATAAGGACTGGAAATTCTACTGTGCTCTTGCAGCTGGGTTAACCCTTGCAGGAGCAGGTGCTTATTATTTAACTTATGGTGGTGCTAGCAGCAAGAAAGGCAAAAAGAAGCCGTCTGCTAAAAAGAATACATCAGGTATGTGTTAGGATATACCTTATAGATAGAGTGCTAGTTTCAAGAATAAAGAAGCGCGTTTGAAAAAAAAAAAGAGTTAGTCAAAGCAGAACACCTAATCAACTGTTGGCTTTAATAGACAACCGCGATACCAAAGAAACCCCCATAGCATCTACACTCGCAGAAAAGACAACTACGTCTGCCCCAACCTCAACAACTGACGCGACAGCGGCAGCAGCAACAGCAACTACTGATGCTACCACTGTACCCGATTATATTAGCATGTCAGAAGCAGAAATCGCTGCCTTGACTACTGAAGTATGTTCACCCTTGTGTAAACTCACACTGCAAAGAAAAGGAAAAAAAGAAAAGTCGATTCAGGATACTGACAGTTTGAAAATCTCTTTTTTTCTGTTTGCTTGGTCGTTTACAGAAACGTGCTGAAGCAGCTCAATCTTTGAAAGCCAAAGGCAATGCGAAGTTCAGCAGCAAGGCTTATGAAGAAGCAGCAGAACTTTACACGTTAGCGCTCAAATTCAAAGCCGATCCCATTTTCTTTGCCAATCGTGCTGCTTGTTATGCTAATTTAGGATTCAACGATCGTGTTATCGAGGACTGTAATGAAGCACTTCGTTTAGATCCCGTTTATGTCAAGGCTTTGAACAGACGTGCTTACGCTTTAGAAAAGAAGGGCGAGTTGGAAGATGCTCTTTATGGTATGAATTCGAGGAAAGCATTTAACAAATGATGGACTACACCTGTTATACTTACATTTACTCTCATTTTCTTGGGCTTATGTAGATTTCACTTGCGTTTGCATTCTTGATTCCTTCAAAAATGATGCTGCTAGTCAAGCTATGGAACGTGTATTGAAGCTTGTCTCAGAAAAGAAGGCAAAAGAAATTATGAAGGTAAAAGAATAATAAGCGAGAATTTAATTGAGCGAGACAGAGGATATGCGTGCATATGAATTGGGCAAGAAAAACGGATGTACAACACCGATTGACGTACGAGCCAGGGTATCAAAAATGTAACTGTTAGGACTGACTCTTAATGGTATTGTCACTTAATTAGACGAAAAAGCCTCGCTTGCCATCTCCTACATTCGTTAATGCCTACCTTGATTCTTTCCGTCCTGGTAAAGAAGGAAATTGAACTTCTATCTCATTTTCTTAATAGAAAGTCTAACCCATCCGTTCTCTTCTCATAGTTGTACAAGATTTAGCAAGTATTGCTGATGAAGAAACCGGTGACGCTTATTATGCTAAGGCTTATCGTGCTATTGCTGAAAAGGATTATAACAGCGCCTTAGAAGCATGCGAAAAGGCTGTTGAATTGGGCTGTTCAAAGGCATATCAAGCCTACGCCTTGAATTTGATGGGTACATTTGCTTTCTTGAAGGGCAATACTTCTCAAGCCCTTGATTATTTCAATAAGGCAATTGAAGCCGATCCTAAATACGTTCAAAGTTATATCAAAAGATCCAGTATCTATATGGAACAAGGTGAGGAAACAGTAGAACATGGCAAAATGCAGTTGGGAAAGAGTAGATGAAAGAACTTACAGGGATTAATTATCTATTTCAATCACCGTTCATTATTATAGGCGATGTTGAAAGCACCTTTAAACAATTTGACGAAGCCATTGCTATCAACCCCAGCGATCCTGATATCTATTACCACCGCGGTCAAGTCAATTACATAAGCGGCAACTATGATGCTGCTGCCAAAGATTATAGTGAAAGCATCAAACTCGATGATTCCTTTGTCTATGCTCACATTCAATTGGGAGTTGTTCAATACAAGTTAGGCTCTGTTTCATCCTCCATGTCTACATTCAAAAACACACTCAAGAAATTTGCCAACAGCACCGATGTTCACAACTATTACGGTGAACTTTTAGTGGACCAACAAAAATTACCTGAAGCCATCGAAATGTTCGGTAAAGCCATGACATTAGACCCCAAGAACCCCCTTCCTTACATCAATAAGGCTATGCTAATGTATCAAGTGATGGGTGATGTTGAAGAGGCCACACAATTGTGTAAAAACGCTCTAGAGATGGATCCGGCTTGTGATGCGGCCGTAGCTTCACTTGCTCAAATTCTTTTGGAACAAGGAAAGCCAGAAGAAGCCCTCCAGTATTATGAAATGGCTATTGATTTGGCCAGAACAGAAGCTGAGTTGGAACATGCAATCTCATATGTTGAAGCTACAAAGACACAAACCAAATTTGCAAAGGATTTCCCTGATGCTGCTGCCAAATTGAGAGCTTTAAGAGCTTAAAATACTTCCAAGACTTGTTGCTTAAAATAAGTCATCGATCTCTTATTGTCCGTACCATCCAATCTTTTTGCTGTTGAAATCACAGCCCGTTACTTTTCAATTCTCTTTAGATATTTTGTATAATATTTTAACCATTTCTTATAAACCACTACCTACTTATTTTTTGATCGAAACAAGATTTCTACAACCTATTTTATCCATTTGTATACAATGATTGGAAGCCGACAATAAAAAGTTGGCTTACAGGAAACAATTGTCCTCATATACCATCTCTCCTAACATCACAGAACTCGAACATAAGCTCTGTCAGCTATCAAAAGCACTTTTTTGAATCATTGATTGAAGACCGGAAGAAAATATAATAGTGTGTTTATTACAAGTGTTCCAAAGCGAATAATAATAGAAAAACTGCTGTTGCTGATATGCTGTTGATCTTCATAAGTTCTACTTTAAACCTTGAAACCACGAGAAGCACGCTTACCACGAGCGCGTTCGAACTTACGACCCTTAGAGCGAACATAGGGCTTCTTGTTCTTGTGGGGACCCATACCGAAGTGCTTAACAGCTTCACGGTTGTTCTTGGCACCACGGACGAGGATAGTGTTGGAACCAGTAGGGGCACGGAGGGCCAATTGATCCAAAGTCAAAACTTCACCACCAGCCTTCAAGATACGGGCCTTAGCGGTCTTGGTGAAGTGAAGAGCAGCAACGGAGAGCTTGGGGACTTCCAAGAGACGGGAGTCATCAGTGACGGAACCGACAACAACCAAAGTCTTACCTTCCTTGTTGTTCTTGACAAGACGAGAGACGGTGACAGGGGGACGGTTGATGCGAGACATAAAGAGACGCTTCAAGACGACCTTGTTGAATTCAGCATCAGTACGGCGAGCAAGGAAACGGTAGAGCTATATTTCAAGGTATAAGTGGTTGATACAATACGTGTGAGTTGATATGAAGATACATTTAGAGTAGTCGTTTGCTATATGGATGGTCTAAAGCACATCTATTAGAACGAAATCGGATCTATGATAATTACCTTGACAAGCAAAGCCAAGTAGACGTTGTCAGACTTGGGAGCAGTACGGTTGGAGTTCTTAACGTGGTGTTTTTTGAGATCGATACCCTAAATGTAGCAAAGAAGTAAAGTCAAAGTTAGACGCTGTCGCTTTGCAAACAGATTTCTCCATGACCATCCGAATGCATCATCGGCTACTGTCGCTCTCCTTTAACATCTATAACTTTTCGAACAATATCCATCCATTCATCCGTCCATTTATTTAAACTCTCCATTTCCCATCCATCCATTCTCGCCTTCCATCATCATGTTATTAATCATTACCATTTCAAATTATTAGCAACCGGTCGTTAGACTGTGTCCAAGAAAAGAGGGAAATTCAATCTTATTACACTTTTGATGTTTTAACTTTCACCCTAACTCACTCATTCCACCCACCAGCTCTTTTTTTTTTTTGCCTGGACCAAGTTGTCTTACCACTTTCCCCGAACGAGTCTGGCTTAATTCTCTCGGGTTGAAAATGGCCTCAGTCCGGTTGCTTCAAGGAATTCTGCGGATGTTCAAATAGAGCACGGCAAGAAACAGGAGCCTGAAAGTGCAAAAGTCCGACCATTTCCAACAAAACAAAGCATGACAATCTTATATTTTATGAGGATTCAATTCGAGGTATTACTATCTAGCTGCATATACTGTAAGTAACAGTAAAGGTCGTATCGTATTATTTAGAGCAGTGTAATTTACTTTTTTTCTTTCATAACAAATTGTTGATCTTCCTTAATTCTGTGGTTGTTATTGCTTTGATTCAATGTCAGACGCTTTGACAGCTGCATTCAACTCCACATTTACGTTCTTGATACCCCTCCCTCAGTTTTTATCTTTCTTTGCTTCACCATAACACAATGCCGCGCATTCACTCTATGCTCATCACCACCTTTCGTGCTCAACATGCTCGAGCCCTCGCTGGATTGAGACCAGCATTTGCTCAGCGTACTTTAGCCACCGGCGTTTCCAATAATATCGCAAGTACTATACCGCCCGTCCCCACCAGCACCGCTACGTAAGTACAGTAAAAATAAATACATGTCTGGTTAAGGACTGAGAACTAATATGAATGAAACACATCCTTCTTTGTTCGAATATAACCCAACTATTTGCTTTACAGTTCAAATAAACAGCAAGAGCAGCAACAAGGTCAAAACAAGGAGGCTGAAGCTGACCCACGTCTTCATATGTTGAAAGCTACTTTACCCTTCATTAATCAATACGGTTGGTCTTCAGAAAGCATCATTCATGGTGCTCGTAGCTTAGGTTATCCTTCTGTTGCCCATGGATTATTTCCCGGTGGTGAAGCAGGTTTAATTGATGCCTATCTAACTCAACAACGTCAAGAATTCAAAGAATTAGTGAAAGAAAAATACACAAACGGGGAATTAGAAGGGTAATAGCTATACATAGAGTGTTATGGTTTAAGACAGGAAAAACAGACTGAACTATCTGTATCCATATGATAGCTTGGATTTAAACGAAAGAGTCAAAGCATTAACGTCCCTTCGATTGGATATGAACAAGGCTTATATTCGTAAATGGCCCGAGGCACTTGCCATTATGGCTCGTCCATCCAATTTAAAAATGTCACTCAAGCATTTGGGAGATATTGCAGATGATATCTGGTACTATGCCGGTGATCGAAGCCCTGATGTAAATTTTTTTTCCCCTCGCTAAATGAGTTGCATTATTCGAGCACTAACATTTGTATCAATGAACCGTATATAGATGAACTGGTATACACGACGTGGATCACTAGCAGCCATTTATAGTGCATGTGAACTTTATATGATTAGCGATATGAGCCCTGATTTCATAGAAACTGACAGATTCTTGAACAGAAGATTGAATGAAGCAGCCTGGCTTGGTGGAACAACACGCCAACTGGGTACAATGCTTTCCTTTGGTGCAAAGAGTATGTTGAGCATGCTTAATAATGTAAGGTTCTTTTCAGACATATACTTGCATTAGCTGGATGGTTTATTTTTCTTACAAACTTTTACAATATAGCGCGGTGGTAAAATCTAGTATCATTGAACTTGGGTATGATAAAGTGAAAATTATAACAACATGATAGTGCAAGCCCTGACAATAACAGTTGTATATAATTGAAGAGATGAATGAAGACATAATTTTAAATTCTTTTAAGCAATAGCCCTTTGCTGTAGATGTGTTTTATGATGCTTGGTTTATGTACAGAGAGAAAATGAGTATTTGTGATAGGTATAAAATGAATATCTGATAATCTAGTTGCTCTAAGTTAAGTTGTTGAATAGACGGTATTATTACAGTTGTTTGATATATGTTGGTAATAAGATGTGATATCAAAACCCGATTTTGCCGAAATCCACTCCGCTGTCTGACCTAGAGTAAAGTCCACCCAAGTCTTGGTTCTTGTGGGCGATTTTTTTAATAACCAACTTAATCCATGGCACAAAGTTTCAACTCCCAACGGCAAAAAGGGCGGATGACTCTTCTTCCAAGTCATCGTATTCTGCATAGTATTAGCAGTTGTTGTTGTTGTTGCTGTGGTCATAAATCTTCTTATAAAGATGGGTAAGTCCAATAGGACGGTATCATAACCATAATCTATTACAGTCCACAATATATCCATCAAGATGTTGGCAATATGTCGAGCTACAGCAAGCATGCCGTGTTCTAATGCATACCAGAATTTACATTGCATGTGCGAAATTGTATCGAAAAGGAGACGGTTATGAGAAAGGTAATAATAGTGGTATTCATTGTTGACACTCTCCTCTTCTTCATCATTGTAGTTGTAGCGGTAATAATGGCTGCTGTCACTGCTCATGCTCTTGCTTGAACTGATAGTCAGTGCAGACACTCTTTCGGCTACTGTGTCTATTCTACTGCTATTACTGTTCGCACTATTCGTACTGCTGTTGCTGCTGCTTGTAATAGGATAAAGGGGCTGCATGAAACAGAGAACCTTACCATTCTCAATGGTCATCACTGTAAGTTCTGTTCTGAAGAACGTAGCCGAGGAAATTTCGTCTAGTTGCTGCTGCTGCTGAAGTGGTTTTAATAATCGGACTGAGAACGTAATCATGACGGTAGAAGAGGTTGACGAGGTACGATAATATTTTGTTGCTTGACTAAGGCCTGCACAAAATCTTTGTAGATCATCCGTATGTATGTATTTCATGATGGGTTGACCCACATCCATTCTAATTGTATTGCTATAGTTGTCGTCAAGATGAAAAATAGCATCGATTGTACCATACTGCGTCAATCGAGTAATGATCATCGTATGCTTATTATTCTTATTCTTATGAACTGTATTCGTAGTAGTAAGATGCTGTTGCTGTCCTCGACTGCTCTCCGTGATATCTGTACAAACAATGGTGTTGTCTTGTTCATGAATGCAGACACATAGCGTCTTACGTTTCAGTTTCAGCTTCTTCTTCTGAATGACAGGGATGAGTGTCTGTACAAACGTATAAGGTGTCGTCTGGTCATGAAACAAGAGTTCCCATATTTCATTGATTTCTTTCAGTGTCGGATCGTACCCTAAAAGTTGTATCATTTCTGCTGAACAGAAGGATACAATCATCTGTTGAGCTTTGTTCTTTTTATACTTCAGACAACCGGTTGTAGTCTGTTGTTGTAAAGGGCAATTCTTTAGTGTGTGTTGCTGATACATTCTTTGAGATTTAACAGAATAAACAAAAGTAAATGAAAGGAAAGAAAGAAAAAGGACGAAAAAATCACAAGCAAGATAATATGAAATACATGCACATGTAACAAAAAAAAGTCAAATTAGTATTTTTATCCTCAAAAAAGTAAAAGACCACTTTAACCCATGACCCATTTTCCATTCCATGTGGAAATTAATTGTAGCAAGCAATAATCACTATCATCAAAGTAAACACTTTTGTTCTTGATATCTTTGTCTTACTGTTTAATAGCTAGCCAAAATAAAAAAGAAAACTACAGTAATAATAACACATTATTGTTAAGGAAAAAAAAAAAAAAAAAAAAAAAAGGTACTATAATAGAATGTCATTATTTGATGTTTGGGGGGATCAGTATATGACCATCTTTTTTTTTTTTTTTTGTTTTTTTTTTTGCTGGTCTCGACGTTGCACCAGCTGCATTAATCATTCTCTTTCTTCAGATTTATGGGGTTGCTTGTACTAGTAGGAGTATTTGTAGTGGTACTTGCAGCATCGGTACTTTTGTCACCGCTACTGCCACCAGTTGCACCTGACATATGTTATAGAAAGTTTTCAGAATTTTTAGCCTCGTATAAATGTCATAGGCGACAATTCTCAGTTTTATGATATAATATTGAAGTTACCTGATTTGGGAATAGTAGAGGTAGTAGAAGAGCTTTTCTCATCCCCTTTTTTATGTTGATAAGCTGAAGTATGACTATTGCTGTAATGAGTCTTGTGAGTGCTAGAATTACGGTATTGTTGCTGACGGTGACGTTGGTAAGGGTAGGCTGTTGAAGGTGGAGGGGATGTGTACGCGTAATAAATAACAGTAGGGTGAGGTTCCAAGTAACTGTCAGCAGCACTACTATTACAGTGTGGATGACTGTAGTATGGAGATGCAGAAGATGCTATAACAGCAGTACCGTTATAGCCATAGTAGGGTCTGCCGCTGTTTATTGTTGGTGGTGCTGGAATTGAGCTAAAACTGTTAGTATAATATTGGTCTAAAAAAGGCAATAGGAAACCATAGTTCAGTATGAATGAACAAATCAGATAGAACGTATAAGATTGTATGACGTTATTGGGAATCCTTTATTACCCACCCTTATTACCATAATTAGCACTATCGTTGAAATGTTCGTTATGAGTTGTATAAGGTGGCAGGGGACTACATTCCATCACAGACGGGAAAGAAAATCCTTGTCCATTGAAATCAGCACGGTGATAGTAGTCCTGAAGGTTTTCTGTAGTAGGAGAAGTAACCTTTTTGAGCAGAAAAAGAAAAAGTTATAGATAGCATACGTTATGTGAAATACTTAGCATAGAGCATACGAGCTTGTCTGTTACCTTTTGACTATTCATTGCACTATAGCCATCGGTGTAATTATCAGCAGTGGTGGTCATGGCTGGACTGCTTGCAGTCATGATATAGGGTTCGTACGTATACGCACCGTGATTTGTAAATGGATAAAACATATATGGAGCAGGGAAAGGGTATTCTTCTTCTTCCGCTGACGTTACCTGTTGATGCCGCTGCTGCTTATTTTGAAACATCGACATATCATAATAGCCAATACCCGTCACCTGATAAACAGCTCCTAGTGCTGGTGCCACTGAGCCATCCACAGCTGCAGAGGACGCAGTATGCTGGGTTTGCTGAGGATGCTGCTGGGGAGGATAGTACGGTATCATGTTTGGATGTCTATTTGTAGTTTGAGACTGCTGGTAGAGGTACCGATTGTTATTGCTGGGATAAAACTGACGGTAGCAAACACGAAGAATTCTTTCTCTATACAGATTGCCATTCTATAGCATTTGTATAATTGTTACTGTTTGCAATTTCAATGACCATTTTTCGCCATTGGGTGGGCGAGATATCACTTACCTCTTGGTCAATGGCATTAGAGGCCTGTTGCTCGTTGCGATATTTGATAAACGCAAAAACTTTATTCGAGCTCGTCTCAACACTATTTGTATACTTGCGGGAGTAGTCGCTGCGGTTTTGACTACCGTTATTGTTGCTGTTACTGCAACGCATTTGCTCACGGGAATGATAACTAGGCTTGCGTATGATATGTATACGTTTAATGCTACCGTATTGCTCAAATTTTGTCCTCAGCTGCTCTTCTGTTAAGTTATCTGGAAGGTTACCAATAAAGATACTTGATTTGTCCAATCGACTATAAACGGAACCATAAGCATCATGGGCAGCAGCAACGCCACCGTAAAAACCATGTAGGTTGCTTGCATCTAGATTAGAAGCCCATTCTACGAACCATTGTTGTTCTTCATTTGCAGCGGTAACCAGTTGGAAACTAAGATGGTCAGCATATTTCAAGGTCTATCAAACACATAAATCAGGAGTTGAGTAAGAATTACGTTTTTTGCTATCTTTCTTAATGACAGGCGCTCTCACCAGAAAGGCTTTGATCGCATCATCACGGTACTTATACTTGATAAAGACAGAGTAAAACTTTCCATGTGGTTGCAATACAGAAACATCTTCGATTTCACCAAATTCAACCAAAGACTCTTGAATATACTTCTTGTTGAATGGTTGACTCAAAGAGACAAGACATATGGACCGATTGACTCTAGCAGGTTCACAACGCACACTTCTACCATTTAAAATAGTACCAGGGGCTTCTTTTAAAGCGACCCTACTATCTGACACAGACTGCAAGAATAACGTCAATCAACGGGTTCACCTTTATTGTTGTTGTCTAACATGAAAACTCACGCCGAGCCTACCTCATACTGTACAAACGCATAGGGTCTACCCAACCAATCTTTAAACACTTTGACACCTAGTAAATCACCCCATCGCTGGAAATGGGCGTAAACAGCTTGCTGCAACTCATCATCCTCAATATCTTTATTCAAACTGTTCAAATGAATGGATATGTGTGAGTAAATACAGCCCGGTCATAGTTGACATCAGAGAGTCAAGTAGACAACAAAAAGAACGACTGATAAATATAACCTTGCAACAAAGATACAGGCAGCCGGATTGTCTCTTTTTCTCTCTACTGCCGTACTATTACTACTATTGCTAGAGCTACTACTACAAGAGCTGTGATGGCTTGCGGTAGCTTTCATTAGAAGATGGCTATCTAATGGCTCTTGTTCTTGATCCTGAACAAATTCGATCACACTGGTAGACGTCATATTCAAAAGCCACAAATGTTTTGATAAATCAAATTGATAGCAGAAGGAAAAGTAAAGAAAAGAAGAGAATGAGATCGAAAGAAGAGATGCGTTTTATAGTTTAAGATCTCATTTTCTTCTCTCTCTTGAACTTTCTAACACCCAAGTGTAGATAAAATTGTCAGAAACGCGCTTTTTCATTCAAAAGTGTTTTGATAAATTGATCCGGTTCCTCATTAGAATCGTAGGCGGAATATGAAAGTTAAAACTCAGAAGCGTAAGAGCCCAGAGATACACATTTCCACCCGCGTTTTCCTTGGCTTTTTGTTTCAAATGAAAAAGCATTGCTACTTTTCAAAGAGCAAACAATAATATGGGCAAAAGAGAGTTACCAACAAGGCATAACTTTCTGACAGAAGCCATACAAGAATTATTAGAATCAAGTAAAATATTTTTCTAAATGAATGAGCAACAATAACATAACAACAACATGGAAATATGTATATTTTTGTCCTTATACTTTTTATCATTTTTTCCCCCAAACTGGTACAATCAAACTATAAAATATTTTGTTAGAGGTGACGGATAATGAACGTTTGATCGATCAGCGTGCCATCTTAACCATTACATCCAACACTGACTTGATCAAAGAATATCCTTATGACAACACACCAATACTGCCTTCTCATTTGTCTAATGATTCGACGCCTACTTCATCCTCTCCTACCACACCCAACCGATCAGCAGCAGTAACTGCAGCAGAGAGAAAAGCAGTCGAGATCAAACAGATACCAGACGTACGTATTATTGAGCCTATAACACGAAGAAGTCTCAAGCAGCATAAAGCGAAAGCTAGAAAAGCATTGACGAAAAAAACGCCCAAAGATGGAAAGGATACAGAGGCAACACCATCCAACGGTACAGCAGTGAAAGTCGATGATATGGACGGTGTTGATGATGAAGAAGAAGAGATATCCGATGAGTTCTATTTGAAGAGACATCGAAGGCACGAAATGGAAGAGAAAAAACAAAAAAATCGTGAAAAAGAAATGTTACGACATGGCTATTATCAACAAAAACAACTAGTTGAACGTATAAAGTCTATGGATAAAATTGTGTTGCAATCTATCGTCTCATCCATACGTCATCGGACCAGCAGTCAGCAGCAGTCAAATAAAGAACAAGGCAAGGGAAAGACAAACACAGTGGCAGGAAAGAAGAAACAGGAACAGCAACAACAACTGTCTGAAGAGAATGTTAGTAACACCAATAAGAAGGCGGACGAAGAAGATTATTTAGACAACCTGCATCAGAGGTTATTGTATGATGCTTTGGAGCATTTGAGAAGATATGAGTTGTTAGGCTTCAGTTCTGGGGTCAGCAATAATATAAACACAGCTTCTTCATACCAACAGTCAAACCATCATCAAAGTAGTAGCGCGTATCATATAGCCAATGATTTTAGAGAAGAGGTGGAAGAGCAAGAGGAAAGAAATGAACAAGAGCAGAATCAGGAAGATGAGAAAGAGAAACCTGATAATAATGATACAACAGTAACTGAAAAATCGAAAACGTCTCCTGATGACGCTGTTACAGTCAGTGACGATAGTAGGAAAAAGAGAATAAACATCAGTAAGGATTTCAAAGAGGCTTTGGAAATGGAAGAAAGAGTTCAAGGATCAAGAAGAATAGGAACCTTTGGAGGCAATCCCATTTTGACGGGCGGCGGTCGCGGCATGACAGGTTCGCGTCGTTCAACCCGTCATGTATTAGCATTCGGGCATAAAGTACCAGATTTTGAAATTGAGGAATTTGAATTGCCTCGTTATATTGTTGAAGATTGGAAGGCGTCAGCGTTGGAGCAAAAGCGAAAAAAGACACGGAAGAGTAGCAATCCTTCGGATACCGAAGGAGAGAAGCAATCCCTCCCGTAGATCAGCCTCTATACGTACCTATAGTTCATTTTTCCATCACACATATTTAAAGACATGGTTCATTTTCTTTTTTCTCCATAGGCTGCTGCCATTACTTAATTTTATTTGTATATATTGATCATTAATAAAACTGATACCATTCCTTTTTCTATCTACGTGTTTTAACAGATCAAATGAAATAAGCAACTGATAAGGTTGGTATACTTAACGTAATAAATACTCAAAATAGTAAAGGTGCTGATTCATTTGCTGCTGCCCTATCACTGTTAACATCACTGTCTCTCCCTCTCATCATTAAACTATTTTTTAGACTTGAAAAGACACCATTGAACAGAAAAACACCCAGAACCAAGATCATGAAACCAATCAATTCAATCCAAGAGAACGTGTCCCAGCCATAATGGATGGCAATCGCCCATGTCAACAGTGTCCTTAAAGTGTCAATCATACTACGACCGGGTACTCCCATCGTGGTACTCACTGCCAATCCGAAAAAGTTAAACATAGCCACCATGAGAGCCAAGGCGATCCCGCTCTGCCATAACAAAGCATGCCGTACCATATCTTGAATACCTTGCATAACATCAAATTCATCTTGTCCAAAAAGAGCCGAAATCAGTAAGCTACTACCTAGGAGAACAGTACCAAAGATGCCTTCAATACCCATAGCGCGTACGGGATCCAGATGATGACGATCCATAAGATATTCCTCAAGAATAAATTGTCCAGCTACTAAAAGTTGGGCGATAACCAAACAAATAATACCAAATAAAAAGAAGCAAGTCGTAGTTGAAGTATTGATAGGAATAACAGTACTGGCTTGTTGTTGTTGTTCCAACAGTATCTTTATCATCATCTGGTTGCTATTATTATTAGGAATAACAGTGTTGGTTTGTTGTTGCATAATAAAATAGGTAGTACCAGCTGTAATGGTAAAAGTACCCAGTAAAATTGCAGTAATGGCTACCCATTCCTTTGGTAAAAATCGACGAGATAAGAATAAAAAACTAAAAACGGCCGAGAATCCCACAATACTGCTTTTCATCATCTGATATATTGAAGGAGTGGTATATATGAGACCTAGATTAAGAAGCTAATAGTAGTAATATCGAAAGAAACGCAACGACTATAAGCATATCATACAATTCACCATCATCATTTACGAATTCTTTAACAAAAATTAATCTACTTGTTACCGTTGTGGCAATGAGATCACACGCACTCGGCAAAATGAACCAGGCTGTTGACCAGCTCCAAGTAACACCATATCCAATACTAGTACTCAGAGTAGGAATATCATTATTTTGGTCCGTTTCAATTATGGTTGATTCATTTGCTGCTGCCGCTACTACTGTATTATATGTTGCCTGATGCTGTTGTTGTTGTTGTTGTTGTTGTTGTTGTTGTTGTTGCTGCTGCTGCTGCTGCTGAATGATAGAATCCAGCATACCTGCATCCATAGAGAAATAAGATGACTTTGTTATCAAATGTATGAGAACGATACATATAATTTCTCCCAAAAAGATCATGGCTGTTTGTAACAAAGGTTGTTTGAAATAATGAAAATTCCTTTGGCCATGTTCATCCGCTGTCTCGTTATCAATTTTTTGGTTGTTTTGGAAAGCCAATAGTAGAGGAATGCCAACACCTAATTTACATTGTCTATATCTTTAGTCTCTTTTTCTCTTTAATGCCGAGACGCGTTTTGTCTGTTTGCCAAAATTGATACACCCATCTGCACTACAGTTTATCATTTTGTATGATTTCCTTACCCGAAAATAATAGACCAAGCGTTAGAATAACAGTGTAAACCACTGACATACTTGTACAAAGCAAAAGACAGAAGTCAAAAAAGAAGGAAAAAAAAAAAGAAAGAAACTTCGACAAAGATAAAAGCAAAAAATCCTTTGAATTTCAAAATGAAACTTTTTACGTTAAACTAAGCACTAACCCCTTAATTGTTATAAGAGACGGCACCTCCGTCGATCCTCACTTATTATAAACTCTAATTGGACATTAACGTTTTATGCACTAATAAATGGTCTTTTGAAAACGATCTAATCAAAATCGATCTGCTCTATATCAGTCCATGATATTCGATAACTTTTTAAAGGAGAAGAATTCAGTCGTTATATGGCTTTTCAGGAAAAAGCGATTTCTTGTAGAAGAATATGAATATACTATTGCTTAATGAATCAGTAGTTGGCAAGTAACTCAAGCCATTCATACTCTTAGTCTATCTAGTATGCCAAACCTCGTTGTCTTTTTTGTATAGTTTACGTATTGGGTTGCTAGTTGTAGCAGACAGACTAAATTCTCTTATTGGCTCAGTGTATTTTTCACTTGCTCAGTTATTGAAGAGTCACCAAATGACATGTGCCACAAAGGTCATGCTGATGCTTAAGACTTGCACATACATCCTAGTCTTCTGAAGACAGAATGTTATCTTTCTATAACTCTAATTGCCCCGAATTTTTGAGCAACCCTGAGTAATGTTATGAACGGAAAACGCATTGATATATTTCCTCGGATGTCCTAAGATACATGGTGATAGAAGAAGAAAAGAACTTGGTTGGAAGAATATATTACTTTAGAAATCCTTGAGATAGTAAAAATAATGCAGAGTTTACTTCGAAATCAATTGATCTGCGCATTTTTAATGTATATCTGGCATTTTATACTTGCAAGCATTGGTAAAGAACAAAAATGGATAAAAAAAAAGTAACCAAAATTCAAATTATTTTACTAAGTGTTCAAATATGGCTGATAATCGTTTAGCTATCAATGAAAAAGTAGATGGAATTACTGTATTAAATCCTGCGCTTGCCACAGTTTGTTTTGCTATGAAGATACTACGTGAAATGAATCACTTCTTGTTATTCCTACTGTCTCCTAGGATCAACGAAACAGTGCATCCAAGTTATCAGTTGTCTAACACTAAGAATAGATGCAATACTTCAAAAACTGAATAGAAACAATAATATACTTTTGAAAGATCTTTTTTCATTGTTTTACTACACCTGTTTTTAAGGCTTCAATTATAAATGTTAACGTTGGCAAAGCTAAGGACGCTCCAAAATTTTCTTTTGAGCTAGAGGACACTGTACCTTTCTAATTATCTTACCAAGTTTAATAGCGTTCAAAACCTACAAAAATCTTTACTAAGTTATTCGATTAAATCTCCAAGATACCAATAGTATATTACTAAGAGCACAATCTGATCTGATAAGCTAGAAAATCTACCTATATCTTGAAAGAAGGTTCTCCGCGTATCAAACAAAAAAAAAAAAGAACTCGAACGGGGTAGCAGTCAGCTAACTACTGGTAATTACTGAGCAAAGCATCGAATGTCAATGAAACCTCAATTCCATATTGCCTAAAAGTTCAATCAAAATGAAGCTACGTAAAATCCTATACAGTATTCATGAATGTCGACTTATGGAATAATCTAGTTCTAGAGCATTCATTTGAGTCTCCTCCCCCACTAAAAACAGACAAAAAATTGCTTTGCATCATTTGGTTACACTCACCGGTAGAATTTTTTTTCACTTAATGAAGTTGATTGCATTACACAAATGATAAACGGCAGTCAAGAAAAAGTTATTGTATTGTCGGCACCCACTAATGATCCTTTTCTTTCTTTTTTGACAAATTTTTCTATATTGCAATTTCTATAGGACAAAACGTCTTCTGCTTTTCACTCATTAATTCAAAAGGATAAAGAATGGCAGCAAATACCAGCTATCAGCGACTGCATCCTCTGCCTGAGTTAAAGGGAAGCTTGTTATTGAAATATAGATTGGCAAAGGCTTTGACTTTGATCAGTCTACTTGCCATTATATCCATGGCAATTTATTCAATCTTTAATCCAAGTAAGTATTACTTTGTGTGAAAAAAGGGGGCTTATACAGAATCTTGATTTGCTTATATTTTACTCTCTCCTTTCATAATACTTTGCAGATTTGAATTTTGTTAGCGATAAAGAAGAGGATACAACAACAACAACAACAACAACAGCAGGAGCAGTAAACAACAAAGCGCAGCCCAACATACTTGCATCTCAAAAGGATAAATGTTACTTGCCAAACGAACTCAAAATACGAAAAAGTGAAGATGGAACTTACACACCACCGTCGCCACATTATTCACTTTTACGAGCTGTTCACTTTGCTTCTAATGAAGAATATCAAAAATACTGCCAACTGTACGATACTGTCCTAGATACCTTTTCCGATGTATGGCCGTACAATCAGAATGGAGAATGCGGCAATTGGCAAAAACAATACATAGGGCTGCACAAAAAAAACATGAAGATGCTTAAAAACTATCAAGCTGGCATTTTTCCTGATAAAAAGGATGCAGCAATGATTGAAAATAGACCACGTTTTGTATCCTATATTTGCAAAGAAGTGCCAAAAGATAGTAATAGAGGGTGCGGCGGTTTGGCCGACCGAATGGGAGGCATGATCTCTACCTTCTTTTATGCACTTTTGACAGATCGTGCTTATTTGCTCGATTGGGCACCGATGAATCCTTTACCTTTGGAGGCAGTTTGGGAACGACCTCATATTGATTGGTCGCATGATCCAGAAGAAATGGAATCCTTATTCACAATAAATGATGGTGAAGAAGAAGAGAACCCCTATTTGGGTTATCAGAAAGTAGATACCCTCAATAAGAAATTGAAAGTGCTGACAAGTATCATGTTTCCTGATGGCGCTGATACTGATTTTAAGGACCTGTGGAATGGCACCGTAAGCTGCTTTCTTTTTTGATGACTATTTTTTGTAGCGAAAACATACTCAGGCCTATGTACATCTATAGTATGTTGAAGTCCGTTCCAATCGTGGTTATATCATTCGCACATTCAATCAATCACCCAAATACCGTAAAATGCTCAATGAAATGGGGCTAACTAAAGAAAACACGTTCCGTTGCTTGACTAACTTTTTATTCCAACCTACAACTGGTTCACGCCGCTTTTTGAACGCTTACAAACGTCTCTTTGAAATGGAAAGTGTCTTGAGTATTGGTATTCAAATTCGCACGGATGATAATGCATTGGCCAATCCTCAAAACGATCTCAACACCATGGAAAAATGGCGCCACTTTTTCAAATGTGCTGGAGAACTAGCAGCTTACAAAAAACAATCTCATCATCGCCATATTGTGTTCTTTTTGGTAACAGACTCACATCATTTACGTGAAGAATTTGTTAATCTGAACGAGAACAAAGAAGCGATACGTGATTACTTTGGTGAAGAGGTGGCAGATATAAGTAGTCTGATTATTACGGGTTTGCCTATTGAGCATATTGAACCAGATCAGATTGCCAAGTATATTCATGTGGAAGACCCCAAGGCAGTGAATTTGGAAAGAATGCTGCCTGGAGTAAATAGTGCCTATATGGAAAACTGGCTGCTAGGAGAAACACAATACAGAGTGATTAGTATTCAAGGGTATGGTAAAATGGCTTCTTTCTATTCTGGCGATGACAGAACTTCTATATCTATGCCAAAAGTAAGTGGTCAAGACTTGATTATCGACTTTTGCTCCTAAATCAGCTAACACACTATTTATCGTTGGACTATTCCAGCCAAGTTTAAAGAATAATCTCCCTGCTTGTAATACAGATGATGTGTTCACAACATTTGACTGGCTCAGTACACAGTGGAGCTTAGGCTAAATAGCTTAGCAAGTTTGGTATTAGAAGGTAATACAATACGTTATTGCAAAACTACCATGGACTTAGTTCAAATTTGTACTTCAAAAAAAAATGTAATCTATAAATTGGCAATGTTTCATGCTTTTTGTGTGATTTGTTGCTTTTGAGGAGTTTTGAGTGTCCGGTAGATGTCCGGCTACGGTTTACGGCAAATGAGCCAATAGGACGGATCAACCAGTAACTTTTTTAAGATTTTGGAAAAATCTGCAGTTGGGAATGGGAAAAGCATTGAGAGGGAGGGTGTGTATTGAGAGTATGTGAATCGTGCGCAAAAGGGTGGTAAGATAGGGGAAAGGGCAATAATTTGATCCATAGGGCAAGCATAAAGAACCTCCTTTTTCCATCAACATGTCTAACCGGTATGATCTTTTTCTGTCGGAAACGGATGCATAAATGGATGGTTATATGGTCAGAAATAAGATATGATGGAACAGATGCGAATATTGGATAGTACGGATGTAGATGGATAAAGTCATTTAATCAAAATTTATTATTCAACAACAGTAAAGGATTGAGTCCAAGTCAGCATTGGAGCTTATACTTACATCTGGCTATTTATTAGTCCACATATAATTAAAGGAATCATTGAGTTGCATTCAGCATTACACAGATATTGCTAGCGCCAAATATATATACAACATCCATACTTTACATTCAGAATGTCTGCGCTGCATTATTCTATTTTGATAGCATCTGATTAGCATGTTTTGCTGCCTATAGACAACACCGGCTTACTATGTTTTTGTGACAGTTCAACACCTTTTTCATGTTCATTCTTGTTCATCATCATCATTTTATTTCTGATCGTACAACTTCGAAACTTGAATCCGAAAAAACTGATTCAATGACAACTCAAATTACTGACTCTTTTATTTCTTTTTATGCGATTATTCAACAGTCTTTACAGTAAGGGCCGTGTCTTGGGTTATGAACGTGCTAAGCGTAACCAAAACCCCAACGTTTCTTTGCTCCAAGTTGAAGGTTGCCAAACTTCCAAGGATGCTCAATTCTACCTTGGTAAGCGTGTCGCCTATGTCTACCGTGCTCAACGTGAAGTTAACGGTTCCAAGATCCGTGTTATTTGGGGTCGTATTGCTCGTGCTCACGGTACTAGCGGTGTTGTCAAGGCTCGTTTCCGTAAGAACTTGCCTCCCAAGACTTTCGGTGCTTCTGTTCGTGTTGTAAGTATTACCTCGAATATCTTTGAATAGGAACATCATAAAGGCTAGGGGACAATTTGGATGTACTATTGATCGGTCTAACAATTACTTTTTGCTTGTATTCAATAGATGCTCTATCCTTCCAACATCTAAGTCGAGTCCGATATTAGAACTTTTAAATGCAACTGTTTCCTCTTCTCAATTGTATAAATAATGTTAAACTTTTATTCTAAAAGAAATAAAATTAATATGATGATCTATGCCATATTTTCAACACCCAACTTGTGCCAAAAAAATACCCAGAACAATGAGGCTTTATTGAATAAAGATTAGTATATCCTATAGCATGCATGAAAGCTGTGCTGATCATCTGATAATTGTTTTCCAGGTTTGTCAAATCAAATCTTAATTGGACGCTTTTTAAAGAATCTGATAAAAAATTTAATAAAAATGTTTGCTAAGTTTTATTCTGAGACTACTGTGCTTTTTGCATATTTTTTTCTTTTCTTTCGTACATTTTTTTAATTTTTCAAAAGCTTTTCTTGAAATATCATGATGATGCGTAACATCGTTTTAAATACTGTCGGCAAATCTGTCAGAAGGCCTTTGCTAACTTCTACAACTATAAAGAGAAACTATCATGAAAAGGTATCGGAAAACGAAGAGCAGAATAATAGTTGATCTGGCCTTTTTAATAATGGAGTCGGATAACTAAATTATATCAACATCAACGTTTATATAGGTTATTGATCACTACGAACGACCGCGCAATGTTGGTTCCATGGATAAAAAAGATAAAAACGTTGGAACAGGTATCGTGGGTGCGCCCGCTTGTGGTGATGTTATGAAGTTACAAATCAAGGTTGACGATGTCACTGGTAAAATTGTTGATGTCAAGTTCAAGACATTCGGTTGCGGCTCTGCTATTGCTTCCTCTAGTCTGTTGACAGAACGTGTGCGAGGCATGACTTTAGATCAAGCCAACTCCATTAAGAACACAGAAATTGCTAAAGAGTTATGTTTACCACCTGTCAAGCTGCATTGTTCCAGTAAGTGTTTTCACGCCGAAATATAAATGGATCTATAACATTAACCATCTCCATCCAAATTTATGTAGTGCTTGCTGAGGATGCTATCAAGTCTGCTATTAAAGACTACATGTCAAAGCGTCCAAAGAAATCCGCTTAAGTTTAAGTAAACATTTGTCAAAGAAAATAATAACCAATACATATTTATTCCCTTTTGAACCAAAAATCTGATAATGCATGTACATTAGTTCATTCAGAATTGAGCAATCAAAAGTGGATAATTAAGTCATCGTTCTCCATGTAGTTTATCAGTCCCCGTACTTATACATAATTTTTGAAAATTCTATTTTATTTTTTTATTTTTTTTATTTTTTATATTTTTTATATTTTTTATTTTTTAACTTTATTTTTTTATTTTCATTGCTTGCTCTGTAAATATTTTATCGTTTTCATCATATGACACAAAAATATCATTGTATTTTTCCCAAAAATCTGTAGTTTCAATAATAATAGCATTGGATTTGTCATGCACAGTGTTTGCTTGTAGTGGAGAATAAACTGATGCTCGTATCGTTTTACTGTGACAATGTTGGATACCTGCATACTTAATGACCCGTGCGACGCAATAGTAGTTATATCTTCAGTCATAGAGCGTATGAACGGTGAGACCTAATTTCGAGACAATAAATATATATGCTAGTAGTACATGAAGAGGCGCAAACAAAAGAAAAAATAAGAATTGCTGTAATATTTACATAGGATGGGTAATGTCAAAAGTTAGAGTTGAGCAGAATAAAACATTTGACAGAAAGGCTAGTGTTATTTGAGGGCGGTTGGCAGTCTTGTGCATTTCTTATATCTCTTACCCTTAGGAGATTACAGCCGTCGGCTGTGAGTACATGTACTGCTTTTGGCTAGGAAAGGTACGGCATATACATACAGTATTTGGAAGTTCGAGCAAACAGGCAAGCATAAGAAACCATGAGTTAGAACTAAAAGAAGGGAACCATGACACTGAAACGCATGAATGATAGTTAGCATAAGCATATGCTCATACAAGACGAAAGAGCGTATAACAAAAATAGTTGAAGTTACCGGCGCCCTTTTTTTGAGAAAAAAGAAAAAGAAAGCAATGCAACCATTTATACCTCAACTTTATACTGTCTTTATTTATTCATTGACTGTAATTTGTGCCCCTTTTATATCATCAGAATACAAAGAATAGATCAGAACTATCGTTTAGTGAAAGTTTACAATACGGAAATGGCGGCCGAAAATGGTTGGGAAGCTGCAGAGACGGGAAAAAATGCTCATAGTTAGTCTGCATGTTGAAGTGGATGTGAGCCAGCATTCTCTTTCAACTGCAGTGACTGGAACAGAATTGGAAGCGTGGAATCGCTTAATAAAAGGTTGCAAGCAACCACTCAGAGACTTTAACTTCTCTGACAAGGTCAGAAAATTTACCCGCAGCCATGAGATTCAGAAAATGCGCTATTTTGCGCAACTTTATGTTAAAGAGTGCAGATTGGGCATTGCTACGTTGCTCTTTAGTGACATTTCCTCAATTTGGCCCTCACTCCAGTGAACAAAAAACAGCACTTTCTTGCTGTAGCACGTCAGTTCATCGCTTGAGTATAGCGTTACCTCTTCTCCTAACGCCTTTTCTATTAAAAAAAGATCTAAATGAAAAAATAGAATGTACTGTACCTATTTTACTGTAATCTGTGAATAGCCAAACGAAGAATATCTGAACCGCGTTTTGAGTCTTAAATGAGTCTCAAGGTTCGCATCCTGGGTGTCGGCATTAAGAAAGGCATGTGCCCTAAAATGTTACCTTTCAAAACTATTTACGCGTAAGCACTGGCTCCAATGGTTGGATAATTAGTTGGCAGTAACTATTGCCCGAGGAGACAAATGGGTGGGCAATAACTTTTGCTAGCTATTCGAAAAGCGCTAGTTTATTCGTGGTGATAACATGTTGAAACAACACACCAGGCAGTTTAGACTTTATTCCGGACTGAAAAAAAATGAAAATAGTAATATCACCGTTTATAGAAAATGCCTCCGCATACATTTGGATGCAAAGTGAAAAAAAAAAAAAAAAACCTTGCTATTTTGCTGCTATTCTGATTTTGATGTATATAATTTTCATACATCATCACCTGTTTCTTCTCAGAATTGCCTTTTCCATTCATACACTCATCGTTTCAACTTATTGACATGTATTGCCGCTGCCATTTTTTTCGTTATAACTCCCGAGTCAAAATTCCAAACAGTATGAATCAGCTAAGGTAGTATATTCATATGTGGGGATGCAGGTTATAGTGTAGTGATACAAAAATAAAGACGCTTTTTTGCATCAATATGTAGTAAGTTTGACTAGGGTCTTATTAGTGTAACTCAATGCTTACGGAGCTACGGTAGTATTGGCCCAGTAAATAAGATTCGTTTCCCAATTTATATCTGAATAAATATGGTACAGAATGTAGATGCGATATGAATTGTTGTTTTGAAATAAGGGGACGGGATGTAGGAGGCTGGGGCTAACAGAAGGGAGAAAGTAGTGAACTGTTTATATATATATTCTTGTTGTGCGGTTTGTTATATCTTGTTTCCTCATCAATCTAACGTTCTTCAAGGTCCCAATAGATGATCATTTCATTCGAGTTTAATTCAAATTCAAACTCTACGTCTTCCAAAAACTGAATTTCATGTACCAACAAAGCGGGAATGACACAGTCTTCAGTTTCACGCAAGATGTATGCTTGACTGCTTTGCAAGTCATCGATTTGAATAGAGCCAGAAAGGACAGTAATACGTGACATAGTAGGAAAATGATGAGGAGGCTAAAATGACATAATTTCATATGTATAAGGATTTGCTATTTTTATATTCTATGTGCCTCACTCTTCTAAGATATTTCAAATGAAATTTACCAAAGAAGTACCGGCTTTAAATCTCATCGTTGTTTTCAAGTAAGGAAACTTGACAACGTTCTTCCATTCACCGCCTAAGCAAGCAGGAAAGTGGGGTATCGAGGTATATTTTTCACAGCTTTCGACGATAGTATCATTGTTGTTGGTATTGTTATCTGACTTTTTCAAGAGAGGAGATGATACAGCGGACGAGATCATTTTATAGAAGGTAATGTAGCGTTAACAAAAGAAAAAAGAGGTTACTGATAGACAAGGAAACAAGAAGCGAGTAAACAAGAAATATATATAATAAGAGAAGAGATGAGATCAATTAGGCAATTGCGTATTTATATTCTTTTTTTTTTTTTTTTTGTAGTGTGACTCTCCTACCAGCTGTTGTAACAGTACCTCTCTGAATCATTTTGAGAAAGGTCGAATTTCAAAAAACGTACCTAGGATACTTTCTTGCGCAAATCGGTCATTGGCCAAATATTACTTTTCATTCTTCAATTCCGTACCTTTCTTAACATTTATAAACCGGTTTAAGCGATATTGATTAAGAACAAGAACATTTACTGACTTAAATCACCATAAGAAGTATTCCATTATTATTGGCGCCAAGAAAAAAAGGCTAGAGCAAAAAAAATTGTTCTATATTCTTTGCATTCCCTTTTAGGTCGTTCTCCGCATAAATTCAGTCTGAAGTTTCGGGAAAGTTACTCACATCTAGATCTATTTTTTCTTCAAGCATTTTATAATAGGTTAAATGTGCAAGTACTCATAGTTTTGGTTTTGGTTTGGTTTTTTTTTTTTTTTTGGAAAACCGTTTTCATAATATTGTTAGACAACTACATTTTCTTTGTTATAAAACCTTGTATAAACTTGTTGCGAGCAAGCCATCAAGGTAAGCTAATTTTCAATGCTAAATGTTGATTTCGTGAGTGCTAAAATAATCCATTTCTTTCATTCGTTAAATGCAAAATTTAACTCCTTTTTAGTTTTATAGCTCATTGGATAAAAGCTATTTCTATTTCAGTCTCTCTTGAGACGTGCCGCTTTACAAAGCAAGCGTATCTTGACGTAACGCGATTTCCTCTTTGCGTTAGAAATCGATGATATATTGCATTTATCATTTGGTGGATGGTTTTAACCTAACTGGACTTTATTCTGAGCATCATAAGCTGCCAAAAGGTTAAGAGTTACAAATAGCATTCTTTGTTTCTTTCTTAGCCCAAATAGGACAACCATGAATTGGTAGAAGCACGTTAACAATCTAGCTCGTTTCTGTGTAGCCATACTATCACGGTTGTCGCAGCATGTATTCAGCTTGGTGTTGCATACGATAATCTTTCTTCGATTTTAACTGGAATGGCACCAATACTGTAAGCTACGTACTTTAAATTCCAAAAGCAAACCTGCATCTGATCATACAATTCATGATAGTACATTATTCGAACATGTTGAAAACCAACATTGTGCAATTTACGTTATATAACCTGGCCGGTGGATATTGTCCGTTATAAAAAAAGTATTTGTCGGTTACAAAAATGCGTAAAAAAGGAAACTATCAGGACAGGTAGTTTGTGTGCTGAAGAACTTTCCATTTGATCTGATCCACTTCCCATATTCAAGGTGCACATTATTTGTTATAATTGGTCTCTGCTGTCAATAATAGATTCTCCCGTCTAATTTTATTGAAAAGGGTATAAATTCACACCATAAAGCATGATCCTTATTGTGCCTGGTTACTCTTTTTTTTTGTCATATTGTCAGATGAAACATACTCTTCCCTCAACTTTGATCGCATCTTCATAAAAAATCTATCAGACTTAAAGTTACAAAAGATATACTAGCTCCTTTTTATGATAGCCAAACATGAAGTAATGACAGTCGTTATAAGTGGAAGCTCGTATTTTATCATGAGAATCAGACTCTTAACGCTAGAAATTGATTAGCTACGACGTGGACGGTCAACTATATAAACCTCGCATTTGTATAAAAAAATTGTTCATCACTTTTTGACACTATACTTAACAAACCTTATTCATTCCCTTTCACATACACTGCAGAGTTATATGATTACACATAAAAGAAGAGCAATTCGTCTTTTATATATATATATATATCTTCGCAACAGAAATGAGCAATGATTCAAGTTTTCTTGAAGTATATACGTTTGTTTATCCTTATTTAATCTAGGTTATCTCGCAATTTATGAATGAATTTGGTTCAGCAACTAGAGCTTTGTTGTAGTCCCAGTCAGTGAAGATCGTATAATGTGCGTCAAAGGTTCCATCAATGGAATTGGCTTCGATCAGGAGCATCGTGTTGTCCTGCAATATTACGTAACTGCTGATACTGTTACCACGCAAACATACATGTTCGCCAAATTTATTTTTCTTTAAGAATTCGATCAAAACCTTCAATTTGTTATCGGTCGATATATATCTGATGGGTACTTTCAGAAGTGTGGCTTTCTGCTAGAGGAAGAATAAGAAATGCAGAAACTATCGACAGACATGCACTGATCAAACATCATATAGCCGCCTACGTTGCAACCACTTAATTTGTTCATCAGCTCTTTCCATATGATCAAAAAAATCCAAGTAGGAAGATACGAGATGTACGTTGCTTAGACAACAACATCAAAATGCACTTTGGAGTCGCCTCCGATAAGTTGTCAACAATGTATTGGATGTCCGTAAAAGAAAAACGTCCGTTACGTGAAGAATTACAGCAAGCAAACATGAATCAGGAAGATATCAATCGAGGAATATAACCGAGACAGTCACCCAATTCAAAGTGGCCACCGACTTGCGGCATGTCACAGTTGCTGCACTTCAGCGTCAATTTCCAGACTTAGCAAATGTCCTTGAACCCAATCTCACCTCTTACGGCCCAGAATATACCCTTGATCAAGTAATATCTATCATGGTTGTAAAAGAACAAGAGTCTACCGGTTTATATCCAAACATGCCAAACCGGAAGAGGTACAGGAACTGAACAAACTCTGGTGAGTTCTGAATCTTCCGTACTTGACGAATTTCAAGCTTCCCTTCGCGCCAGGCATGAAGCAGTCATGTTCTGACTGCTCACTATACAGGAACTCTCGCATCAAATGGCCATTCAATGCATCGAATGCTTTTTTGCTTTCAATTTGATTTATTGGGAACTCTACAACGAAAAGCGTTCGTTATGTGCAGGGTTTGCGCCAATATATCATACTTTGGTATTGTATGCTCTAGTTGGCAGATAGTAGACTTTATACTAACCTGTGGGTATGAGTAGACTTGTTGGTCAATTAAGAGACCATGTATCATCTAACCCTTGTAATAATGCAGTTTGGAAGAGCCACATTTCCCACTAAACACGGTCAAATTTAATAGACTGATAACGCCGTGCTTGTATAATTATAAAAAAGGAGAAAAATGCCAGTCAGCAGGGACCATTGAAGGGTTTGCGAACTCAAATCAGTTTCTAACGGATGTGGCAATGTTGCCTGCGTGAATTGAAAATTACCTTTTTTCAAATGACATGAGCATTCGCGGTCACAACATTAGTGTATTATTGAACAAAATTAAACATTGCACTTTAAGACTGATCATTATCGAAAAATGAAAAAGTAAAAAAACTATATCATCAATATGATGCCATAGTCAAAAGATTAAGGTGGAGAAAAACAAACAATTGAAGTAATCGTTTTGCTCTACAATGCATCCACCCCCCTCCTTTTATTGTTTTTAGTTAGGAGTGTTTTCTTTTTGCGGACCCGAATCTTGAAAATGTTGAAAATTGTTATTAATTGATTACAGTTGCAAAAAAAAAAGTTTCTAGTGTACGATAAATTTCTTTTTCGACTGTTTGGATGTACATGTAAGCTCTTTGTAAGTAGACGCTCTATGTACGATTTCTATTAAAAGCAAAAAGACAGCGTTGGCTACACAAAAGAAAAGCACATCATCGACTTGAATACGAAACCTAGATACAACCACAGATGAATGCTAATAACCACAGTTCTGTGATTATGTAGATGAGGAAATAATCAAATCATTGTGCTTGAAAAAAGGACATGCACGTACATCATTTTGGGTTGTAGATGTTCTAGCGCAGTGAACGTAAAAAATACCATGCATAAGGTTTGTTCAACATGTATGGTGTTGTTTGGCGTACAACGGAGAGGAATGAAATTGTAAAATAAAGCATGCTACAATATGGCTAAAACTTCTGCGACAATTCCTCCAACAACGAGAAATTCAAATTAGATTCCACCTATCAAGATGATTGGCGTGATTTTTTCTTGATACTAAGCTGCGGTTAATGATGACAATTCTATAGAACAGCCTATATCGATATCGAAGCATGTATCCAAACACATCTCCTCTCAGCCTTAATACTAATAAATCAAATAACCGTAAATCCAAAAAATCTTTCTAGCTTAGATCCCACTTTTTTCTGTCACACATTATGCTAAATTTACTTTTTACGCTGAAGAAAGGTGTCTTCATACTTTGTCCGACGGTGGGCGTACAATTAAGTCGAAAGCATAATGAGACTTTACAAATTCGTCAACTTTGAGTGACCTAAACCATAAAATCCTTCCAACATGTGTTTTATCTTGTATAAATGATAGATAGTAGATATACAAGCAAGCCTGAATAGCTGTGCTATTTATAAAAAGCATGTCATAATTATGACTTAAGTCAATTATTACAACTATAGTTAGAAACTAAGTCCCTATCTTCAAAGAGTACATGAAAATGAATACGTGTGTATTCGTTGTCCAAACAATCTTAAAGTGTATTAAATGGAGTTCTGTGCGGTTGCATACATGTTTATATTTGAGATAGTATTTTCTAATGTACATTTAAGGCAGATAAATTCACAAATTTGGTAACTTTTTCTCTTCTGTGTGCGTACGAAAAGGTTACACTTCAGCATTGATGGGCATTATGAAATATTGCTTTATAAAATATTCATCCGCCATTTCCTTGTTCCTTTTCTTTCATTTCCTTACTAATAATTGCTCTTTACCCGATAATTCTCTCCTTTCATTAAACACGCATATTTGCATTTACTTTTAATATTTGAATCTTCTTAAGCTCATCCCCCTTTTGTCTATCAGAAACACCTGATCTCAGCTTTTGAAAGAAGCACTTTCTTTCCTTTTTTTGTTCCTTCTTTTCTTTTTGTACGCATATCTACTTATCTACTCTTTCGTACATAAAGGAGAGCCAATCCCTTTACCGTGATAATAGTAGCTGAAGCATAATCCTGTATCTATATCTATTTTAAACGTAAAATGGGAGCCAAACCCAGTAAAAGCAGTGATCATCGACTTTCGATATCGTTTAAGAATAACAATAGAAGAAGTGACAGGTCTGCGCCCAATAACAAAAGGAAAAGTAATTTCAGAGCAGCTTTGTCACCGACATCAAACCGAAAAAAGAAAGCACCTACAACAAAAGCAACATCAGTAGCAGCAGTAGAATTAACAAATAAACTGTTAAATGAGGGCAATCAGCAATTGAGCTTATCATCAATTCAACAACAACAGCAACAGCATTCCTCTTGTATAACAGAAGATGAATTAATCAGCGTCGGGAATAATGAGTCAACTAATCATCAAGCTTCTTCCCCAGCTGAAGTGATGATGTTCAAAGATGAAAACAAAAATTATAACCTAGCAAAATCATCGACCAGCAGTTACATTAGTATGAAGCGATCGTCACCTAGTAGTAGCAGTTTAACATACGACCTTTCTAAATTGAAGAAATCACGTCGGACAAAAGCATCCTCTCCATCAGTTATAAGAGCTAATAGTACTACGGTTGCCAACAATAATACTAACCATACACATATATCAGTCATGAGTAATTACAGTTCAACGACTAACCCAAGTGATGCTGGTCTTTATATGAACAACAAGAGTAATCTGAGTAGTGGCTGGACTACCCTTTCTAATGATCCATTCTCTCAGATTGAGGTCGAAGCCGACACGTCAGCTTTCACTGAGATTACCGACCATTCTACTATATCAACAAGAAAATCGCTACTACTTCCTGTCATAGAATCATCATTATTGCCGCCCTCGTATTATGACAAGTTTTACAATTTTGAAGAGAAAACACCGACAATATCACCTGAGTTAACAGCACAAAATATACTAACAGAGATAGTTAGTAGACAACAGCAGGAAGGTCAACAATCTCACGTCATTATTGGTGATGTCTACAAAAGAATTCAGCGACTAAATGATCCTTACAGTTGGTCACAGTTCTACCAAGCCATTCAGCAGTACGTCTCCTCATTAACAACATCAGACGCTGATCAAAACAATAAAAGTGTTGCTATTATCTATCTGGCCAAATGCCGCATCAGTGGCCTGGGAGTTACCACCGATATTGAAGGTGGTCTTCAATTACTGACCTCGCACACGTCATGTGAGACTCTGTATGCGTTAGGTCACTGTTATTCAGAAGGATTGCCCAACGGTGTGCTTGAGATCAATAAAACGAAAGCCTTCTCACATTTCAAACAAGCCAGCGAATATGACGCAACTATTAACGAATCTATAAAATCTACAGTGGGAGAAGCACAGTGTTCAATGGCACATATGCTTTTTCAAGGTGAAGGAGTTACACAAAATATAGAAGAAGCCATGAAGTTTCTAATGAAAAGTGCCGAAAACGATAACATGTAAGAATGTCCTCTATCACTCAAACAAAAAAAAAAAAAAAAAAAAAAAAAAAAAACTAGTCGCAACACCGAGGCCGCTTTTTCATTGACGCAAATGTTCATTTGTATTAGGTATGCACAATTTTTAATTGGCGCTCATTACGAGCGTGGCATAGACATTGCTCAAGATCTTGAATTGGCAACATATTATTATCGAAAGAGCGCAGAAAGTGGCTTTCCAGAAGCACAAGCTGCATTAGGAAACAGATTAATATCAGACAATATCTCGACTAGCCCTGACTTTATCTGTGGTATTGAATGGCTGGAAAAAGCGACGCAATCTGTAAGTTGCCTATTAGTTCAGAGTTTACTTTTTTTATCTTTTTTTTTGTATTCTCGCATCTTTAAATTAACCTATTGTTCCATTTCTACTCGAATTAAAAGGGAAATAGCCGCGCACATGTACAACTCGGTATTCTATACGACAAAGGAATCGAAAATGTGCTTGAACAAAATGATGATATAGCCTTGCTTCATTATAAGGCCGCTGCTGAAAGCAAGAACCCAGCTGCTCAATATATTCTAGGCCTTGTATATTATTTTGGCCGATTAGGCAAGCAGAAAAATCACAATGAAGCGGTTCGATTAATTAAACAATCGGCTATGGCCGGTTTGCCATATGCCCAACGTGTGCTTGGACAATTCTATCAGCAGGGCGTCATTGTCCTTTCATCTTCATCGTCATTAACACAACAGCAACAAGATAAGCATCAAGAAGAGAAGCAGTTAAACGTAACAGAACAAAAAGTAATTGTCAGCGATGATAATAGTGAAATAACTCTCCAACAAAGAGCATATCAGCGTATCAAAAGGAATGAGCGAGAAGCCGTCCGTTGGTATAAACGCGCTGCTGCAGGAAAAGATATTGTTGCATTAGGAATCCTTGGCAAATGCTACGAGCTGGGTACTGGTGTAGACGTCGATTTGGAAAAGGCATTGGCACTCTACGCCAAAGCAACTGAAATGAGTAATAATCCTTATGTTAGAAATGCACAGATAGATCAAGCTTTGCTGCTTCAAAGAACTGGCCGGCATTTTGAAGCATTCGAAATCTTCAGTGATGTATTAAATCACTGCAAAAACGCCGTCGATGAGACTAATTGCAACGAGAACAAAATCATTCAGGAGCCTTACAACATTGCACAGTTATCCGTTGCAAGATACTATCTTTGCCGCAATATCAAAGGCATTAATTATAACCCGATGTTAGCTCACACCATGTTATGCGATTTGATTCAGCGTGATACCAATAATGCGCATGCTCATTATTGGTTAGGATCTATCTATGATGAAGGCATTCCAGGCTTCTTTGAGATTGACCGACTAAAAGCTTTCCAGCATTTTAAAATTGCTGCTGAAGCAGGTGATAACGATGCTACATTCTTGGTATGTTATTTTTAGCCATTTCCTATACAATGCCGCGTAATTAAACTAAACACTCATCATTGGCTCGCTCTATTTTTAGGTTGCATACATGATGTCTAACTATGTCATTCCCTTGAAGGGTCCGGCTGATGCATTTCCTTGGTACCTTAAAGCTGCCACTCGAGGTCATCCCATGTCTATGTATTCTGTTGGTCTTTGCTTTTATAAAGGCATTGGTCAGGAAAATGGTGTGCCTCAATTAGAAACTGCATTAGGATGGTTTGAGAAAGCTTCTCGACTTGGTGTAGCTGAATCAAACTCTTACATGGCTCGCATTTATTTTCAATTCATGAATCTCCATTACACAAACAATGAATCAGAACAAGCTCAACAGCAATTTGTAAATGCGATACAGTGTCTTAAAAAAGCACTTGATAAGCAGGATACATATGCTCAAAGAGAACTTGGAAAGATTTACTTGACTGGCAAAGGGTTAGAAAAAGATCACGGTATGGCCGTAGATCTTCTAGAGAAGGCAGCAGCAAAACAAGATCCAGAGGCTCTGACATTCTTAGGTGATTGCTACCATAAAGGAACAGGTGTAATAAAAAACCTTGAAAAAGCTGTCCAATTGTACTTGCTCGCAGCTGAACTTGGCTATCCATAGTACGTGTATATCTATATATATATTTTATGGGCAAATTTTGGTTTATTTTTATAGAACGGTAATTAATCTGAAATTTCTGATTCTAACTTTACAGTGCTTACTCTGCTACGGCCGAACTATATTTTGAAATTGGAAAAATGGACCTTGCTTACAACTACTATCTACTTGCTTCGAAAGAGCAAAGGATTGTCCACAATAGAATTGGAAAAACTGCGCGAATGATGGTTGCCAGAATTGCATTAAAATATAGTCCTCATACACAAAGACTTCAACAAAATACGTCAATGCCACAGTACAACCACGCGAACAACGATCTTCATCTTTTCTCAGAATCCAGCAACGTCATTAGTCCTCAAACTGCTTTCAACATTCTTCATACGCTTGCTACTCGAGAGCAATTTCCACAAGCCTTCCAGCCCCTAGCCTTATGCTATGCCAATGGAACAGGCACAGAAGTTAATCTCACAGAAGCTACTTTTTGGTTTCGTAAATCAGCAGAAGAGCTTCAAGACAGCGTTGCATACTACCACTTGGCCAATCTGCTATTACAGCCATTGATTAAAGGTGATCGGACTGCTGACAATGAAGAGTCACTCTTAGCTCTATCCTATCTTCGTAAAAGCGCTGAACTGGAATATCCAGAAGCCCAATACCAAATGGGGATGATCTATCTTCATGGTAAATATGGCATTTGTGTAGACGAACGTGTCGCAGCCAACTGGTTTAAATCAGCTGCTTCCAGGTCGCACGCTGAAAGTTGTTGGATGTTGTCTCAGTTATCTGCATTAATCCACGAAGACGAACTTGAATTCCAGTACCAAAAACAAGCGGCAGAAATGGGACATGTGCTTGCCATGCGTGTTGTGGGCCGAAAATATCTCAAACAACTAGAGAAATCATCACAACATCATCAACAACAGTTAGAAAATTTGGAGCAAGCATTGAAATACCTTCATATGGCAGGTGACGCAGGCGATATTGAATCATTAGTCCTACTTGGGAAAACTTACAATAGCTGTACAAAGACACGAGTTCGATTTTCTGCTTCACATATTAGTGATAAGATGAGATCGTTGCCAACACCAGGTGAAGCATATGACTGTAGTAATTCTCAGCCAACGCCGTCGTCCCCAGAGTCATCTAAAGATGATATCATCGAAGAGTCCGAATCCCGTTTTCAACGTGAAGAAGATGAAAAAAATCTCGCAATTCAATGTTTCGAAAGGGCGTCTCAATTAGGAGATTTAGATGCGACAGTGTACGCAGCTGAAGCATGGTATGAACAAAAGCAATACGCAGCAGCATTGGAATATTTTGAAAAAGCATCCCAACAAGGTAGTACACTTGCCCGTTTCTTCTGCGCTCGTTATCTCATTGAAGGATATGGAGGTAGTGAACTGAACCCAGAAAAAGGATTTAAAGTAAAGCCATTATTAGTTTATATCTATTCTATAGCCGCGTTTCATTTATCATGACCTAAAAATTTGAACATATCTTTTAGGAACTTCTGATTTGCGCCAATGAACTCAACTGCATTCATGCTTTTAATACATTGGCGCAATGTTACGAAAATGCCATTGGTACAGAAAAAAATGATCACCTCGCGTATCAATGGTATCTTCGTGCGGCAGAAACAACGCATGACGCTGAAGCTTATTACCGCATAGGACAGATGTTTGCTCATAATAGAATTCTCCTTGCCAATACCGATCAAAATAAGGACCTCGAAGCTTTTAGATATTATGACCTTGCCGTAAACGCAACACCCAGTAGCCATGGACCCTCTTGCTATGAATTAGGAATGTACTATCTTAATGGTATACAAAATACGGCATCAGAGGGTGTAGTGGAAGAAGAACGTTTATTAGATCCTGATATCTGCTTAGCCATCGAATACTTCAAGAGTGCTGCTGATTTAGGTGTGCAAAAAGCTATGTATCAGTTAGGAATTTTATTTCTGAACGATGATTATACCGTGGAAGAACAAGAAGAAGGGTTGTATCAACTGCAACGTGCTGCAGAACTTGGCTTAAGAGAAGCACAATTTGAACTTGGTTTATATTATCATCGCGGCAAAGAAATCGCACTTCCCACTCAAAGCCTGCATAATGTAAAGCATACTGATAATATACATGATGACTCCAACAAGGACGATTGTATGCATGAAGGTAATGAAGAGTACATTATTGTTCCTCAAGATTTCGAAAAAGCTTTCGATCTGTTTTGCCGTGCAGCAGTTCAACGACATCCAACTGCTGCCCTTTATCTCGGTATATACTATCAGCATGGCATCTTTGTCGCTCCTGATCTTGCCATCGCTTTGGAACAATATGAGATCGCTGTACAACTATTCGAGGATTGTCCTACTGCTCCAGATCGATGGCAGGCCGAGTTTAATATGGCACGTATTTTACATCAGGATATTGAGAGTCAAACACGTGCTTATGAACTCTTTCAGGCGGCCCATATGCATGCACCGGAACAATACAAATTTTTGTCAAAGATCATGATAACAAGATACCATTTACACGGGTTAGCAGGCGTAACGCATCAACCCCATGAAGCCGCTGCTACTCTTATCCATTTTGCTAATGAAGAAGAATATGGTTATCGTGTCTATCTTGATGTTGCTCAATGTTTCGAAGGTGGTAAGGGGGTAGAGAAGAATCTTGCTCAAGCATTTTATTGGTATGGCGAAGTAATTAATAAGGTGCATCAAGTACTCGAAGAACACCAACAACTGCAACAACAATTACAACAGCAGCAACAAGTACTTCCTTTAACACTCATGGATGAAGAAATCGAAGAGAATGAAGCAATAGCCATGTTCAAATTGGCTGAATTTTACAGAAATGGTATAGTCGTTCAGCAAGATATAGCCAAAGCAGATGATTTATACCGATTGGCTGCTCGAAAAGGCTGTCATGCCGCACAAGAGTATTTGTCCATGATGCTCCAATCTACCACCCTACATGATGATTAGTCTTACTTTTGTAACAACAGTATACGTGTACTTTTATGTCGAACCTTCTGTTATTACTATGGCATTTAGATTCTTTTACAGCTGTTTCTGTACATACACACCATTATATTCTACATTTACATAGCGCCATTTATTTTACTTTATTTTATTTATTGTTTTTGTTACTACACTCACTCTTCTATAATTTTTGCACGATCCTCAGCCTACAAAACTTATCTATTCATATCAATATTCCCTATTTATATACCTTATTTCGTTGTACTATCCTTATATGCCTATTAATTATTCCTACTTATGTATTTGATTTAAACTATTTTATGCTGGGTCGCTTTTATTAGACAATCCCGCTATCTATTATTGAATATCGTTGACTAAAAATATTCTTTTCCTTAACAGTAGTCTTACTGTAACAGATCTCCCAATCTAAGCTTATGCAACTGCTTCGTTTCCTACTATTATGCGTGTAGCAGGACATACTCTCTTGTACTTTCTCCAAATTTAAGCACATCCTTTGCACGTAATTCTACGTATCTTGTCTGTGGAATCTTGTCACCGTTTAAAAACGTTCCATTCGTTGATTCAAGATCAATGATAAAGGGCCTATATAAAATAGCATTACAACGTTAATTCAAAGTCAAATCTCAACTTCAATATGCATTGTTGGTCAACCAAATCACTTACTTTACGACTTTGGTTGGTTTTCCTGTATCATCTTCAGCATTGACGAGTCTATATTGTAACACAGCATGTTGTTTCGAACATGATGGATGATCTACCGGTATATCCGCAACCTGTAATCACAGACAATAAAAATAGATTTCTTGAGAACGAGTCATTGATAGTGCAAAATGAATTGGATCTACTATTATATCCTTACAGCGCGATCTCTTCCTATTAATAAGGAGCTTGACCTGTGAATGTGTAATAAATCTATGTACCATGATCGATGATGCAAACAGTGAGGGATAAGTTGCACAGATTCTTTCAAAAAAAAAGTGTAAAAAGCCCATCGTACCTATTTGTTCACTTCCTTTAAAAACATATAATCTCCATTTTAATGTAGGTTTTGCAGCTTCTGGTGGTTCCGTGTATTTTAACTCTACGCCATTGACTGTGTTCGTCTCTGCTGCTAATTTTCCTGACAATCCGAAATTGGGCTGTGCCTTTTCTACAATAGGTTCTTCTGCTTGTTCTGCTTCATTATCTTCGGGTCTTCCCCATTCAAATCCCCGCTTCCGTTTATCGCCATCTGCACTTCGTCTGCTGCTATTGCCATAATGACGGTTATTATTGCGGTAACTTTCGTCTCGATTTTGTCTACGTTGTGGGGATCGTGAGCGATTGGATCTGCTCAGACGAGGTGGTGGTGATCGAGAACGGCTGTTATTACCTCTTCTTCTTGAAGAAGGTGGTGAACGTGAGTATCTTTTCGATGGCGAACTGTTGCGTCGTCTATATGAAGGCGATTTGGATCGAGATCCCATGATATTTAAATTTGTAAGTGATTTGTTTCTGAACAAAAAAAAAAAAAAAAAAAGAATTCATGTAATCATTCGACATTTAGGCACATCAAATTTTGAGCAGCAAGCAGTAAAAATTGTAGGAGTTGGAATCGCATTATTGAACAGTTTCCTTCAAAGAGCCACAGAAAATCATTCACAATCAGGGAAGGCACTATATCGCAAAAAATCCCGCTTCATTTTTTTTAAGAGAAGAGGATCCATAACTCGTCGTCTATTGAGCAACGTGGTGATTTCAGTTACACGTCATTGCTGATATTTGCTGATTTGATACTTCATCCATTGACTGCCATCTTTATCAATATTTACGAAAGCACTTACAGATCCTTAACCCTAACAATTAGGCAGACACTTTGATTACTGCTGATCCATACCATCGACAAACGTAAATGAATGGCTGCAATATACAGAACAAAAAAAAAAAAAAAAAAAAAAAAAAAAAAAAATAGAAAGGCTTTTATTTGCTCTCATCATTTCTTGATCAAATTTCATACTATATCTCAAACAAAAACGGTTGCAACTTTCTGTGTTTTTCTCTAAGCATTTTCTTCAAGTGTTTCTAAAAGTTCCCAATCACCGCTTTTTGAAGATTCTTTCCATAAAGTCACCTTATTATCACCACAGGAAACGGCCAAAACATGACCTGATAGTGACCAACTCACGCGCCAAACAACATCAGGAAAGAGCTTTTCTCCATTCATCAATGCTTTGTGTGTCCATTCTGAGTTAGGTGTTTCCTGTGTCCAGATCAATACAGATTTATCTTGAGAACAGCTGGCAATCGTGCTTTTAGGAAGACCCATATTAGGAGCCCAAGCAACATCACGCACCCAATCTGAATGGCCATCTAATGTCTCTTCTTCTTGCCAGCTATTTGTTTGTTCCTTATAACCCCAAATTTTGATCAGATTATCGCAACCAGCCGACACGAACTTTTTAACAACGTTGACTTTGTTAATATTAGGCATATTGTTGCTGGTATTGTTGTTATAATTAGCCTGAACTAAACTTCCTGGAATGGCTGCAGGTGCCCACGTAACGGCATTGACACCGATACCGTGAGCATCGATAAGCTGTGTATCCCAAGTACCGTCATCTAATCCATGTTTTAAAACGTTTATAAAAAAAAAAAGCATTTTAAGTTCCCACTTTGTTTTCCCGTCTCTATGCACTAAACACAGACAAGACCATAAAAAAATGATATTTTTTTTTTCCCCTTTTACCTTTGTATTCTAGAATAGAAACTTTGCCATCGGAAGAAGCACAGGCTAAAATTGCGCCAAGTTCATGAGGAGCCCAAGCTACTGAGTTGACTGTTTTCGCCATAAATTCAACAAAAAAAAAAACACATTTTTTGTTCGGTCAATAGTCCTTTCTCTGCATATGTAAAAGATAGAATATTACCAGATGCGCTGTGTTTGTTATGTTCGTAGATTTTGGACCAGGCACCGTTTATTTCCTTGAAAATCAAAACACGGCCGTCATATGCACAAGAAGCTAAAATGGTCCCGAACTTGGGATGAGCCCAAGCAACTTGCCAAACAGGAGCTGTGTTGCTAGATAAAAAATAAAGAAAGGGCGGTTAAGGTCGGTTTCACCCTTTCCATTTTTTGACAAGTCCTCGTTCTGATGTGGGTAATTAGGATCAGATTCCATGTAATACATACTCTGTGATAGTGTGAGTGAGAGTCTGATTATCGCCATCTACGTTGAAAATCTTGATGGTATGGTCAGATGAAGCTGTAGCTAAGCGACGAGAATAGTAGTCGAGTTGGGCATCATGCTAAAGATGTGTATATAAATTATCCATTTATCGAGCAAAGGGTGAGTCTTCGTAGGTATACAATAACGCGCTTTTTTGGGTTGTGGGTCTTACAATCATATCTTCATGGTTTGTTTCGATTGTTTGAGTTGCTGTCTGTGCCTGTACAATATCTCAGTTGTGAGTGACCTGGCCTCACAAAGGTTTATATAATTGATTAGTTACCATCTTGAACCTGACAAGTTAAGTAAAAGAAGTATAGATGAGAAGAAAACGGGAACCAGCAACTTTTTTTTTGGAAAGAAAAGCCAAATGGGAAAACCAAAAAGCAAAAATGAAAGAGCACTGTATTCAAACACAGAAAGAGAGCAACTCAGCGTTGGATGTTGCGTCAATCAGAAATTTGTCCCGGATCACTTTAGAGAAAACTATTTATGCTATAAGTGGAATTGTGCTAAAATGGAATAAAATGAACAAAGAGGCCACTGGAAGCTTATTAGATGCACTGACTCAATCCTTAATAAAGCCTTTTATCAAACAAAAAAAAAAGATAAGAAAAGATAGTGATGAAGGTTGAGATTTTTGACCTGGAATAGCATTCATCAGCAGCCTTTATGCATAGATGGATTCTATTAGAAATAAATGATCGTTGTTTGCTCATTCCTCTATTCCTTTCAGAAACATCTTTTGCCTTTGTACTTTGACCTAGTGTTGATTTTGGATTTTTGCTCGCTGCGACTCCTTTCTAATATAATATTAAAATGTTTATAACGTTTCAAATGATCAGTTTGCATCCGCATAGCGTGAGCCAACCCGTGTTATTGACTAAGTAGCACTCATCGATGGATGAGTGGAATGGATAGAAAAGACGAGGTAACTGAGAAAGAAGAAAAAAAAAAAAGATGGGAGTTTATTGACTGTCTCTCCATTTATAGAAAGAAATAACTTTACGATAGATACGAGAGGATTATAATAAAAATTGTAATGATAGTATAAAAATATTAACGAAAGATGTTTATGTACATGTGGTTCATAAAATATAAGAAATCAAATAGAGTAGTAGTATGATAAAAAGTACGATTTTCATTTCTTAGTTTAATGATGCTGTTCATCACGTCTTACTGCTTCACGAGCTGCTCTGATCAAGGGTGCTAAGGAGGGCAAAGGGTCTGCCAGTTTTAAAAATGGATGTTTTAGCATGTCTGATGCTCCCAATCGACGATCCACTTCTACCTCAAGACACTTGGCCAGAAAATCTCTAAACACGGGCGACAAAGCATCAGGGTTTTGCAATTTGGGCGTTCCATTATTGGCAATTAAATAGAGGGCACGCAAAGGATTTTCGTTCAAGTAGGGTGGCTCACCCTCAATCATTTCAATGGCCATAATACCCAAGGACCAAATGTCCACCTTGGGACCATATTCTTTTCTTGTCACCACTTCAGGAGCCATCCAATAGGGCGTACCCACCATGGTGGTTCGTTTCGACTGCATATCATTGAGTTGAGCACAGAAACCAAAATCAGTCAGTTTTATATCGCCATTCAAGCTCAACAGGATATTGTCGCTTTTGATATCGCGATGAATCACACCTTTGGCGTGAAGATGCTGAAGGCCCTCGAGCACTTCCTGACACACAGCGGCGATTTGGCCCTCCATCATCATGTTGTTCGTAACGACATCCGTAAGACTACCACCTTCCATGTATTCCATGACAACCCAGAGATCCCCTTTCCATAAATAGGAGTCAATGAAGTTGACGATATTCTTCTGCTTGGACTCTTTCATCACGAGGATTTCGTTGATGATGAGTTCTTTCTTGGGTTGCTGTTCCAAATTCATTTGCTTGATAGCGACAGGGAAGTCATTGTAATCTGAATAAGCAATATAAACACCACCAGAAGCACTAATGGGGGGAGGATAATGAGACGATGATTAGTAAAAGCACTCCAATCTGTGTTTCTGTATGTCCATAGCATACGGTACCCTTGACCGATCTTTCTCATGCTTTTGTAAATAAGTGTGGGGTCAGCTTCAATACATATGGTTTTCAACTTTGCAATCACTTCGGCATCTTTCATCGTATGTTTCCTCTCTTTCACGCGTTGCTTCACAGTACCAGGTTTACCTTGCAAGGTAGGTTGAGCTTTAGAAGCGGCACCGCTACTACTGACCACAGCAGCGTGGTGTTGCTGCTGCTGCTGTTGTAACTGATTCTGTTTTTGAAGTTCTTTTTGCTTTTGTTGCTGGTCTTTGTACTGCTGCTTCACATGACGTTGATCAAATTGAGGCGAATGCGTGCCATGAAGTTGACTATGTGTATACTGTGGCTGTGGTGGATAGTTTTGTTGTTGTTGTTGTTGTTGTTGTTGTTGTTGCTGATTTCTATCACGTAATTTCGAACTTAGTTTCCTCTTAATATCATAATCTCGAGCAGCCGTACTGGCAGGTGTTTGTGTTTTCGTGTCTGTCACTTTAGACTTATTAAAATGATCACGCCATCGTTTGGTTTGTTCATCCAAATAGGCCTTTTGCACACGATGGAAATGCTCATCACGACTACGAACCTGCTCAGCCGTGAGTCCCATCGCGGCGGCATGATGACTGTCAGCTGGCTCGGTGCGGGCGATATCGACAGAAATGTCTGGATCCTCCCTCGTACGGGGTGGATGTGATAGATAGGGCTGATGCGTAGAAGATAAAGCAGGTAGAGGCGAGTAAGGAGTTGGAGCAAACCCTCTTTGTTGTTGGTTGTTACTGCTGCTCATGGGAAATTTATCTATCAGATCCTCTTCTTCTTCTTCGCCCTCGTCCACTATGTTTGCCTCTTCGTCATCCAGATCGTCGTCTGTTAATGCATGGGCTCTTTCCATTTTATGATACACTGCTTCATCAAGGTCTCCTCTATTCTCTTGATAAAAGCCAATGGCATCCAAAACGGCTTGAGGGTTTTGATATTGCTCCACCTTGGAAATACCACTGTGCTGTAAGAGAGTTTGCCATTCTTGAGGTAAGCCTGTGAACTCTCCTGTACTGGCATCGAAGCCGACGTGAGTGACATGTTTAGCATTATACGGGCCCGAGATTTCCATTTCTTTATCTTGGATATTCTCCTGACTGTTATGCCCGGGCTGTCCATGATTATGTGAGTTATTAAATTGTTTGTCTTTGTTGATGAGGTCTAGCGATGAATTCAACAATCGAATACATGTCAGCCACTTTGTGGGGAGGATGAAATCATACTAGAGAACTGGAGGGGAGGGGGGGGGAAGATTACTTACCATTGAAACTGCCGACAAATTTATCAATGACACCTTTAAAAGTGGATCGATCCCTTGCTTTACCAAAACCTCCTGCTGCCATGGATCCATTGCCGCTACTGCTTCTCGACCTTCCCACAGTGACTGGAGGCGGCAGCGGCGGCGGCGGCGAAGTTCCTTGAGAATGAGCACTACTACTATCATCGCCATTGTGAGCTGAGAGTGAGGAAGACGCTAAATGGCTTGCCCCATTTGAATGAGACGTTACTATTCGGTCGCTTTGAGTTCTATGTAGATCAGGAACAAAGACGCCGCCGCCAGTGGTTGCAGAGGATGAAGAGGAAAAGGAAGAAGGTACAGGTAAAGGTGGAGAGGGTCTTTGGTGAGCGCTGGAATTGGATCTATTTCTTTTGGAGGAAAGAGTTCGGCTTAGGAAATTGCCTTTAGAGGGAGTACTGCTGAGTGTGGTGTCATTGTATTGCTGCTGTTGATAGTTGGCTGGTATTTTCACGGCTGTTGATGGTGTGGTTGAGGATTTCTTACGGCCTATGCATATTATTGGCAAAAGAACAAACGACCGAACGGTTAGAAAGTGAGCCAACATGGTTTGAAGATATGCAATGTAGATAATCAATCAAGAAAACGTTGGAAAGAGCAAAAAAGTGCAAAGAATTCAAAAGATATGTAGCATTCTTCAAAAGTTCTGTTTTACTAGCCTTATTTTCCTTATCGCTTTCATTCTTCGCTTTAAACAAAAAAAAAGTCTGGTAGAAATTGATATAGTTTGCTTACCTAATAATTCTCTTTCAGAATGCTGCTGTATTTCGGGCATATTAGGCAACGAAGGTGAGGAGACATTGCTGTTAGGATTGGAATCTGTAGTGTTTCTTATATTCAGCTTTTGTAAATGGTTAGATAGCGATCGAGATAGATTGCCATTAGAGTTGTTGTTGCTTGGTGATGAGCTCATGTCTGAATTGTAAGAATTGAAAAGTTGAAAAGACCTTTTTTTCTCTCTTTTTTTCTTGGCTATTTTAACGCTGATAATTCAAAAAAAAAAAAAGATGGCTAAAAAACAAAGAAAATATGATAAATATTATATATAAAACGAAGAGAAGACTTAGTAGTTTACAATAAGAGTAATTATTTTAAGTCAAAAAAAAAAATAATATGCAAGTCTGTCAAAGAATAAAGGAAAAATAAAAGCTTAAAAAATTATAATTGTTTCGCCAACAAAAAGGATAAGAAACCTGTTGTTTCCTAGCTGAGTTGATCATTTTCATGTCGCAGGCAAGCAATTAAAAATCTGTAAAATTGCATCTTTTGCTAAAAACAGAAGACGAGTGGAATTCTAAAGGAAGATTTGGGGGAAAAAAGTGGAGAGACTCCCTTGAAGACGCGCCTTAATGACGTCCTTTTTTCATTCGATTGTATACAGGATGTGCAAAAGATCAATCCATCATTATTAGTTGAGCTCAATAGTAACTCTTAGCCTTTTTATAGTTAATATCCTTGAATATCTTCTGTTGTGTGTTTTGGGGAAAAAAAAAAAAAAAAATTGGCAAATCTGAGTCAAATACGCAGCGTTGCTGACATACTCAATGACATTCAATAGTATATCTGTTATACATTGATGAAATGGATTCGAGTCAAGCAAGGTAAGTTTTGCCAAAGTCATTAGACAACTTTAATTCTGTTCAGTTTTTAAGGCGACTTGAAGCATAATTAAATATTCCAGTTATGAAAGGTAATAAATACATGGTACAGTTGGCATAATGCCATTGTTTGCCTCATTTTCAGACATTTATTCTCTTGGTTGCGCATATGATTGTATGTGTTTTATAGCACAATCAAATCTTTATACGAATGGCGTGCTGTGGAGGGAACTTAGGAAGAGCCTTTAAAGGGAATCTTCAACGTTTTAATTAGCATTGTCAACTCATTGAATATAAATCTTTCTGTAACGGATGAAGCCCTGACAATGACTTGAATACAAGAAAGTAGTGAGGGATAGAGCGAGCTACGTTGGAAGCCTTACATTTCTCTGAATTACAGAGATCAAGTAGCAGCACTCTTAGCTTTGATTAAAGCATTGTCGTCGTTAACGACCACTTACTAAGCAACCCGCGAATGCAGATGACTGACTCGTGGTAGAAACTTTTGGTCTACAGATTATACATTATAGGGACGCCTACAAAAATGTGAGCTGATATGATCGTAATTAAATTACAGACATGCATGTATCCTCTTATATGAATAGGCATCACTTAATCCCTCCCCCCCCCACCCCACTTCTTATTGCACATACATCCGCCATCTATAAAGCAGAGCCCTTGTCATGCTCTCTTTCTGCACCTTTTTTTTTTCATGAGGCATGTTGTTTGAGAGATACATCTTCTACAGAAGAAGATATGACGTTATTCTTCTACTCTTTGTCAACTTTGTATGTGTGTACGACCTAATTTTACTTTTTTTGTGTGTAAAACAGAAGACTTTTGAATAGCCTTACAAAGCAGAATGGCAATTCCGGAGGAGAGGGTGAGGAGGCGGAGGAAGGAGTAAGAAGACGCAAAGCTTGTATTTGTCAATAAAGAAAGTATATGCAATTGTTTGGTTTCTTGGTTTTTTTTGGTTTTTTTGGTTTTTTTTTGCACGTCCTTTCGCTTTCTTCTAACCTGACAAAAATTGTTAAACTGGCAAAGTACACATTTTCTTGACACTTCCTCCTAAATAGCTGTAAAAGAAGGTATTGGTAGATACTTAAATAAGTGGCTCTTCTTATTTCGACGAGATACATTACAGTAGCTACTGCTGTAGGCAAGTAGGAGTTATGTACTATTTTTTCTAAATAGGAGGACCAGTCCAAAAAGAAAGTTAAGCTTACCTTCATCTCGATAGTACGGAAATACCGATTTATGCGATGGTGGGCTTCATAGTAAGACGGTGGTTAGTATATTTATTTTCTTATCGAATAGATTGTTCTTGTTGTAGCTAAGTCATGGCCTTCACATCACAAACAATAAAGTGTATGATCTATTAAAGGACACAAACTTCTGTATATGAGGTCATATGGTTGAGAAAAATAATCACGGTCTGCTGTCGTCTTGAATTCGAAGAAAGTGCTCGCGTTTTTACATTTTTGTTCTTGATTCTAAGAACAACTCCTAAAGTTGGGAACCTACACCTTTTAGGCTAGCCATCCGTGGGTTTCTTTTTCTCTTTTTCTAGGTTTATTTTATGAGGGATTTTCCTTGACCTCGCCTATAGATTTAGTTATAATCGAATGCCTGTATCTCGCTGTTACCTCGTCTTTTGAGAAATCCTTTTTGAGCTGCAAGGGAGTATAGGGTGCAGTAAAGAAAAAAGCCGTCTACAAAAAGGAAAGGAGGATTTAAGTTAGGGATAAAAAGACTAAATAAGGTATCAATCTGATCGTGAATACACACACACACACACACACACACACACATACACACTCTTAAACACGATACAAATGCGCCTAATATAAAAGAGAGAAAAAAAAAACCCAGGTGTGTGACACTATTATGGGTTGCTCCCTCCTGTGTTGTGTGCGCTTCTCTCCCCTCAAAGGAAAATCAGAAAAAGCTCTTAGATTAAAAAAGAAATTAAGAATAAAAAAAAATCGTAAAACCAGATACACAATTATTATTCTAAAGCTTTCTTTCTATACACACTTCTTCTCTATATCTACACCTTTTCTTTTCATTGTATCTTTTTTTTTTTTTATATTTTTCTTTTTTCTTTTTTTTCCTTTTTTTTTATGTATTTTTTCTTTGGTTTGTACAAGTTGTTTCTGTAAGATTAACAACCACCAATGTCAAATAACAATCACACATTCAACATGAGCATTTATGCAACAAACAAAACTCTTCAGTTGCCTTTTGTAACAAATACCCCACACATTCTCCCAACTTCAGCAGACGAAGAAGACTCGGGAAATGAATCAGATTATTCGCTTGACTATGAATTCCCTGGACCACGTTTTGCGAATTACCGACCGACTCATATTTCCGCTACGACTACTAATAATAATAACATGAATGATTTAGATGACGCAGCTTCGGAACTATCTTTTAACGACAATGATAATAGCCTGACCCTACATAAAAACGATGATGATGATGATGATGATGATGATGTTGATGTTGATGAGGAGGACGATGATACTGCTGATGTTACTGTTGCTGCTAGGGAAGGCATAGCAATGAGAGATGCGGAAATAGAAGATATCCATATCGATAGAGATGATGATACAAGTCAGCCTATGTTTGATATGTGGGATGACGACCCCTATAATGATTTTACTTGGGAATCGAACGATATGCAATTAACAAAATTTATGAAAAGAAAAGTAAAGCAACTCAAGGCCCAGCAGCAACAGCAGCATCCCAGTAGTTTTTGGAATAAAAGTAAGGAATGGCCTAAACAATTACCTTATTCTTGTTCTTCCACCAATCATGATCAATCAGCCAATGCCATTTGTCTTGTACAGTCAAATTATGGAATAAAAGAAAAGATATATGCAGTGTACAGAGATCGAATTATCGAATGCGGAAAATCACCGCCCACTCATACTTTTGCTGTTCAAAACAACAGCTGTCATGGAAACAATCAATCTAGGGAAACCACCTGGATTGAGGGAGTAGACTCCAGCCATAGTAGACACGGTAATCATGTTCACAATAGGCATAAATTTCTTACCACGCATCAATCCATTTCCCTCTCAAAGACCTCGCAAATGCCCACATCCACCATGGCAAATGATGGGAAAAAAGAGGACGACGACGATCAATTGATCAATAAATTCAAACCTTATTCGAAATTCATCAAGCGAAAGGATTATAGTCACGGTCTGCAACGAGAACACGCTTATTTATCTTTAGGTTTTGATCCACAATGTTTAGCTATCAAATATGGCTATATGGCTATAGGGGGAGTAGAAGGAGAGTTTGAGCTTTATTGCTGTATGAAGCAGAATGAACAACCTATCAAAATTTGGGGCACCAAATTCAAAGGCAACAATAATGTGATGCTTATGACCAACGCAATACAAATCATTCGATTAAAGAATACTGTTACTGGACAGTATGAGCATATGCTGATTGCTTGTATGAACGAAGCAGGTCTATTAGTTTATCAATTGCCATCGCATCACCAATGCCAACATATGCTAGCCAGTGGTGGCTTGAACCAACGTAACAAATACCATCAATCTATGGTAACACTTCACAGTCATTTACGATCCTTTCAAGGTGTGCCTATCAACGATGCAAAGCTAAGTCCTGATGGAACTAATATTGTTTGCGTGGGCGATGATAGCATGATCTTTATGATTGATGTTTATACCTGCGCAAAATCTGGGAAAATTCAACTTGGTACACCTCGTAACATAGTCATACCGACATGTTTATTACAACAGCCTTTAGAAAAAAAATCCTCCAATACTGCCGCGAACACCATGAACACCAGCACCACCACCACCAGCACCGCTACTACTACTAATACTACTAATACTACAACAAATGCTTCCAATACTACTCTACCAGCCCAACTCACTACGTCGTCACCATCAACAACAACCCCAGCACCATCGTTACCATCAACAGCATCATCAACCTCTCCATTTTATTCTTTACCTTATTCCTCTCAATATGTTGCGTGGAGTCCATCATCTAAATATTTTGCACATACATCCGATTCTCACAACTTGGTATTCATCTGGAAAGCAAGTACACAAGAAATAATTTATACAATTGATGCAGTAGGATACAGTTATGCCATTGCATTTCATCCTCATCTGGATCATATATTGGTGTTCACCAACAGATATGGCTATTTTCATACTGTTGATCTATCCAAAGTGTCTTCCTCACCGTCATTATCATCATCAACACCCTCATCATCTTCATCATCGACATCATCGTCACCATCCGTAACCTCGCTAGCAACCACAGCAGACAGCAATAATACAAATATACTCCATTTCAATCCTTCATCTCGAGACCATACTTGTATAGATACATGTATTCTCTCAACCACCTCTGCCAATATAAATCAACATTCACTCTGTACTAATAACCATGCTGCTTCACACAGCAACAAACAACACACGATTTTTCATACACGACATTTAGATCGTGTCCAGCATGAGATTACCATGGTTTCTTTTCGTGGCGAAGTAGATACGCGCTTACGTATCTTGGCAAAAATCAACGGCATTGAATGGTCTAAAGATGGCAAATATCTCTACGTCGCCACGAAGAAAAGAGTACTGGCCTATCAATTTCTGAAAACACAGCATACGATTTCGAGTTTATTAGAATTAACCAGTCGACAAATGAAACGAGTTTTTGAAGAAGAAGAACACAAACACAACGCTGACGAAGCAAGACAAGATGTGTTACCATCATCCAAGCGTATGAAATATACTCACAACACTCCTTCAACCGATAATATAACTATTGATACCAATGCTACATCTACATCTACATCTAATTCATTTTTAAAGACTTGGAATTCTTTCTTAATACCTTACCATCTACATTATAGAGTTATAGGTCAAAATGATCAGTTGGCGTGCCACTGGTAAAACATAATTCGATTTTCCCTTTTTTTTTTTCGATAATCTATGAATTACATTAAAAATCCAACTTTTTACCTTACATAAGCATTGGTTTGAATTTTTGCATTTTGGTTCCGCCTTTTCTTTTTCAAATGGGTAGCAAGAAAGAATAATGCTTTCCATTTTTGAAAAAAAAAAAAAATACTTTTTTTTTTCTTCTTCTTCTTCTTCTTTTCTTTTCTTTATAGAGACTCTATTTCATTCGACAATTTGGTATACTATGGATTTGGGTCAAAGTTTTATCGAGTTATATGGCGAGAATGAAGAACAAGAAGATCAATCAGGATGCAAACTATTGGATTCTTTTGCTATTTTTGTACAACTTGTCTTGGCTGGTTTAGCATTTTCAACATTGATCCTTAAACGACAAAGAGAATCACCACAGAGACCTTTACTAATATGGTAACCTCATCCATACCTCATCCAGCACAAGCGCTTTAATGTTATCAAAAAAAAAAAGCAAAAATGTTCATTCTAACTTTGCAATCATCAAAAAATTGAAATTTTAGGACATTGGATGTGAGCAAACAACTTATTGGGGGTATTGTGATTCATACACTTAATTTAATTGCCTCTCATATCTTTGGTAAAAGTCTCGATGAAGAAGGAGAAGCCTCTTCAAATCCTTGTGTTTGGTAAGTTCATTGTAATAAATAGTTATATCAGCGGAGCTGCAAGGTCTGCAGGTGCGCTTTCGCGGAGAGGAGACTGAACACCTTTTTTTTTTTTTTGAAACACCAGGTACTTTTTGAACATATTAATAGATACAACATTGGGAGTATTCATTATATGGGCAGTTGTACATAATGTGCAATTTATAGCTCGACACTACCGATGGAAAGGCTTTCAAAGCGGTGTCTACGGTGAACCACCTTTAGTCAATCAATTACGTGTATGGGCCAAACAATTAGGAGTGTACATTTTTTCCCTGGTCATCATGAAGTGGGTAGTTGTGATGTTGTTCAAAGCCTGCCCTTGGATAGAGACCATTGGAGAATGGGTCTTGAGCTGGACAATGGGCAACTATCGCATTCAAGTTTTGTTTGTCATGTTGATGTAAGCTTTTTACTTTTTTTTTTTTTTTTTTTGATGAAGGTATGTATACAAAATAGCTGACTCAAATAATGGTATGCATTTTTTGAAATATGTAATAGCTTTCCACTTGTGATGAATACTGTTCAGTTCTGGATAGTCGATTCAATTGTCAAGCACAAACGCTTTTCATCCATTTATCTACATTTGGAAGATGACGAGGCGCTTTTACCGGATGATACGCTCATTCCAGATGGCGAGTATCAGGCTGGAAATGCAGTGAATAGTAGCAGCAACCGTAATGACGATCATTTTTTTGTGAATACAGCAGGAAGTGACGAAGAAGATGCTACCTCTATTTCTTCTGTTGATATTCATCAGCATCCTTTTAATGATACAGACGAAGCGAATTACACCTCGAGTCAACCATTAAAGGACTTTAGTAACTCTAATCGTAAACATAACATTACAGAGGACGAGGAAGAGTACGATGCAAGCTTATACGAACTTCGAACCAACAATGAGCTATAGTTTATCCCCAGCATATGTAAATCCATAACAAGTGTACATATATAAATGTAATATTAGTGTATCTATATAACGTCATAATACCCCCCCCCACCCACCCCCAAGCATCATTGTTTCTTGATTATTCTTGTCAATTCTCAAGATTATTAAATGCATTACGATCATACTCCTTTCACCATGACCTTTTTTTTTTTTGGCCCTCGATTTTAATTCGCCCCCACTTTTGATTTACTTTTTTCATTCTTTCTTAGAAACTCTATATACCCGTTTTCATATTATACAGTTCTAACCCTATTTATTTCCCAATTAATGCTTCTTCAACGTGCGTTTCGAATAAGAAATAACTGTAATAAACTATGTAGATCAGTAACTATATCAAAACAGCAGGCCTTGAAGATTCACGATGCTTCAAAACCTTTTCCGCCTCCACAACCCACCCGACCGATTGACATTTTAGAAAAACAGAAGAATCCCTTGACCAGCACTACTTCAAACACAAGTGATGCAACGACAAGTGATGCAAACAGTGGAAATAGTGACTCAACGCCTTCATCTTCTTCTTCGATCGGAAAAGGCATCAACAACAACAACAACAACAACAACAACAACGAGACCAACTCGACCCCACCTTCTTCGTCACAACTACCATTATCGTCACAGCCACCACTTACAGCATCTTCCCCTACGTTGGACGCTATGGAACAGGATGCGAAAAAGCATATCGAAGAAGAGCAAAAGAACAAAACAAAACAATACAGACGCAGTCACCACTTTGATACATACGAACTGTTGACACAGTTAGAGCAACAGGGATTCACCCGGAAACAAGCTGAAGTATTGATGAAAGGCATCAAGTTTAGACTAAGGGAGTGGTAAGGTTTGCTTTTTTTATTTTTATTTGCTATAAAAACGGCATGGCTCTTTATATTGTTTGATGCTAAACTATTCTTACTTTTTATATACCCATATACTTTTGCTAACTTCTATTATCAGTACGGCTTCTATGAAACAGCAGTTGCTGCTAACCTCTGATCTCGAAAATGTAAACTTGAGTTCTTTTCTTCTTTATTTTTTTGTTTGAAATACTATTTCTCACCTTTACTTCAACACTTTTGATGGCCATACCTACGGGCCAAATAGGAATCTTATTTATTCAAAGCAGCTTTATCAGAGCTACGTACTGAAGTCCAAGTCATGCGGCGAAACGACATGCAAAAGCTTCAGACGGAACTCTCTGTTATTACACGCGAAGTAGAAGCATTGGAGCAAAAGCTGAACGAAAGCATGGCTGAAATGAAGAATGAAATACAAATGGATTTGAATAATCGCAAAAACGAAACCAAAGAAGATCAAAAGACAATGGAGTTGAAGATCCAAGAAACCAATAATAAGTTCACTATTCGGCTAGGAGATATCAGGACAGAAATTGAAGCAATACGATGGGAAACGATTTGGAAAGGTTTAGCAGGTGTCTTTTTGGCGGGTTTCTCTATCGCGAGTATTGGTTATTTGTTGGCGAAATACTCCACGCGTAAAGCAGAGCGTTTGAAATTGGAGATGGAACGTAAAAAGAAGGCAATGGAAGAAGAAGCGAATAGAGCTGGAACAGCTGATATGGAGGTCATATTTTAAAACATGACTACATTATGAGGCTGTTCACCCTTTGCAATAGAAAAGAAGGGGATTTAACTGCTGCGCGTGCATCTCACCTTATTCGTAGACAAGACGAGTGGTTGAAGGAAGCAATAAGAATGGTAGCACACTCACAGGCATGAACAGCCAAATAAGTTTGTGCATTATCATACCCTAAGGCTACAATTTATTGAGGGATAGGCTCAAAATGAATTATTTAGCTAATCAAAAAACTTTAACCCACGAATAAACCGATCTACAGCCACTCTAAACAATTCATTGGATATATTTCCTGGTAAAGGCGTATTATTATTCTTGTTACTGCTGCTACTACTACTGGTTTCGGTTTGCGTTATCATGTTGCTTGCTATTGCTGCACTTTCGGAGGGTTGTTGCTGCTGTTGTAAAAAACCTTGACTTATTTCCCAGCGAGTATCATCAAATCGCATCAATCCATTTTTCACTACAAATTCCACGTAAAGTTGAATATAAATCTGCTTTAATACGTATCTTAAGTTTTCTGTTGCAGGATCTGAATTGAGGACGAATTTGAGGCCAGTAGGTGTTTCGTAATAATGTAAACGATAAGCAGAAGTTCTATAAGAAATGAATCCGTCTTGACTATGCATATTTAAACACATGGATAGAAAAAGGGGTAGTGGAGATCAGTAAGACTCCTCTACATTACGAGCTATCTATACCTTCTTGAACAGTGTTTCAATACATTACGTGCCACTTAATTTACGTACAAAGTTACGTAGAGATAAGATAACACCATAGACTAATTTGGCTTCCTCCTCTAGCGATATAACGCTCCCTGCTGCAACTCCACTTTGTTGTGTCATATAATTGGTTGTGGTTCCTTGATGTGAGTGAAGTGTATTGGCATCAGCGTTCAACGATTTCGTTATTGTATTTGTAGTATGAGTCATAGAAGCAGTTGTATTCGTAGTGAGCGGATTAGAAGTAGCACTGGATGTAGAAAAGCGTGATGAAGCTGTTGTGCTGTTCATACGCATACTGCCGCTGTTAGTACTTGAATTGGCATTTGTGGTTTTTGTTGACAATGTTGTAGTCGGGTGAGTCCAGTTTTGAAAATAAATACATTGGCAGTGACGATCGAAAATGTATAAACTATAAATTGTCATGTCTACAAGCAGGTAACTTCGTGAGGAAAGAGAAAGGTACAGAATAAAGATTCAGATGCAACGACTCACAGCAATTTTTTAATGTCAATCATTTATTTTTTCAGCTACCACCACAAATCAATACAGAAGCAAGATGTTTGCTTGATTCATCCTCTACGCTCTACAAGCTATTTTAATCTCACACATAGTGAAAACGCTTTTTAATAGTACAGTTTTTTTCAAAGAGTTTCGTTTGAAATAGCGGCATCTAATAAAGAGTTATCTGGAGCTAGAATAGTGGGTAAGGGTATATGTATGGTATCTTGCATGAGATAATCAACCATCGATGGCGGTTCGATTAGAACTCTGGTTGCTGGTATCAATTGGATTACTTCATCCTCACTGCCTAGAAAAGGTATCACTGCACCTTTCTTCTCTTCTTTCACAGCTTCCTTCATTTTTATACGCACAGTTGTTCTCATTGATTCCGTTTCTTCCTTGATCATTCTATTATCATCGCACTCTTTTTCAGCAATGGATGTCAAAGGCTTCTGCTTCTTTGCTTTTTTCTTCACTTCAAGGTTAATTTTTTTTACTGTTGTATTTGCTGCTTTTTCTTTTCCATCAATAGCTTTTCGTTTAATCCCTTTGGTTTCTTCCGTGCAAACACGACATTCACATTTCTGATAGTCAAGTTTTTTTCCAGTTTTACGAGAATCTTCCAACCAAAGAAGGTGAGGTATAAATGAATCTAAAAGCGCACAGTTGTTTCATCAATATATATATACCGGTTTGGTCAGTAAGTTACATTTGTATGTCTTTTATAGCAGCTTTCTCTTTTGTCCCTTTACCAATACTTCTGTATACAGATCGTTTATTTCGCGTTTTCAGAGGTTCCGAAGACACCACTTTTAGTCGCCCTTTGATATTTGGTGATATTTCAAATTGGTAGCCTGCGGGAAGATGCTTCAGTTGAACATGTGCGAGCTCGGGTCTACTACAACGAAAATACCGATCAACCAACGTGAACGAGGTGCCTTTCAACAATGGTAATTTATCATGTCGATAGAGATGTAAAGCAGAGCCAAGTATGGCCAAAGCATTTAGCTTTCTTCTCCATGATGTATCATCATCATCACTCGTTTTACCTTTAGACACGATGTGTCCGCAGGTGGAGCTCCTGTCAATCATAGGAGGATATACCTTTTTATCACTAGTATCGCTTCTGGGTGGATTCTCTAACTTGAGTCTTTTCATTTGAGTCTTATCTTCAGCGGTAGACTTTCCATTGTTGGTTTTCGATTGCGATGCCATTATCGAACAATGAAAATTAGATAAGCTTGTGATATTTATTGTATAATTTAAGAGGGATGAAGAAAGGAAAGGAAGGAGTAATTGAAAGTTATTTTTTCGCCCAAAAAAAAAAAGATAAAGCATAAATTTTTTTTTTTATTGTGTGGCAAGGCGGGGTGCAAGTTAAAATTTAGTGGTATTATAAGATAGCGTCTTCTATTGGCATTATTACAGAGGGGTATAGATGCGTATAATACTATATGTATGGAAGTAGTGTAATCTTCATTTGGTTATGATTGGTGGAGAGAAATTCATCAGAAGCCTTCACTGCGATCGTCTTTAGATGTTGTTACATTTTCTATATGAGATGGACCAAAGTGCTTCAGTAATGCTCTCTCAAACGACAGATCTAATTCTATCAAGTCTTTCTCTAATCGTTCATCTTTTTCATATAGTTGTATTGCTTCCATGTCCGTAGCTTCTAGATTCTTGTCTTCATCAATATTGGCTTCTTTGATGGCTTCTTCTTGCATGCTTTCTAGCCCATCTATGCCTAAAAGGTAATCCTCTTTCAACAATCTGCCCTCAAAGTCATTATCATTGAGATCCAAATCATTAAATCGTCTATCTTTTCTTGACTTCTTTCTTTTATTTATGATATAATTCATCAAGGTATCAGTCACAAGGGTATTTTTATCGATATCATGGAATTGTCTACCCATCATCTCAATCTGTATATCACGAACAACATCTTGAACAAACGATTTTAACAGCCGATGGAGAATGGGTATAGTCGCTGTCAATAACGCAATATGTTTTGTTTTAGACTTGTTGCTGGTATTATTGAGTACCGCTTTGCTTAGAACAGACATATTCTTCACATTAAATAGTTCTAAAGGTTCCACTTTACTATATCCATCCTCAGGTTCTATCTCTTTTCGTTTTTCGTTCCTGCCATGCTTCTCTTTGGCATTATCTGTGTTTGCCATATGCAAACGTTGCTGAATAGAATGTTTATTCAATTCGACATCCTTTGCATAAGCCTCTACTTCTAACTTTTTCTCTAACTTTTGCGACAACTCTTCTTCCAGCTGTATAAACGTATTGGACATCTGTCTTGCATAATATCTGTCTAAATATTTGCTCTTTTCCAAATACGACTTTTTTGATCTTTTCACATAATTTCTCGATACCAGATGCAATAAAGTCAAGTATTCTCCCACTTCTAAGACAGTCTTTGATTTTCCAACACGCCTACTTATTGCTTCAATGTTCCTCTTTCCACATCGTTCTAATGCTAGAAAAAATGCGTCCTTTTCCTGAGCTGTCCAAAATGTAGAGCCAATAAAAGAGCCCGTTAAGGGACCGTCTTCATGTTCTTCTTCTTCTTCTTTCTCCTCGGCCTCATTGTCAATGGATTCTTCTTCTTCTTCGTCATAATCTTCAAGTTGATATACCTTTTTTTCTTGTTTGATAGGAGTTGACCCATTCACTTTCGTTTCACCATGCAAAAATTCGTATTCGCTGAGCAATACATGGATAAAATAGTTTTTGAGCTGCTTATCGTTTTTGAAAGCTTCAGGACCTTTGGGTGAGCCTGCTTCGATGTATTCAACGTATCTTGACTGTAACTGAGGATGTTGTTGTTGTTGTTGTAAGTCGAGCACTACTGTTGTAAAATCCTCTTTTTCTATTTCTTCTTCGTCTTTGTCTTCTTCGACTTCAATTGCTACTGTTTCTCTGTCTAATTTTGTTCGTTTCAACTCTGGCTCATTATAGTTACTATCAGAGGGATTATTCTCTGAAATATCAAGCCTTCTCTTTGACATATTTTCTCGCGCAGAGTGGAAAAGAATATGGTTTTTTTGAAATATGGAATTTGCGTTGAGGTTAAAAATTTTTTGCGCTGAATTTGAAAAATACAGTTTTCAGATACGATTCGGACTTTCATACTGTTTGATTCAGACGAACAGAATAATGGATTTAAGAAATACCATAAATAATTTTTAGATTTTGACAATTTTAGTTTGAGATGAACTTTTTCAGAATTTGAACTCAGGGCACTATAAAAACGGAGGGGGTGACGAGGAACTAGGATATCCCTACTTAGCATTTTTATTCAGCCTTCCTTTTCTTCAGTCAATTATCGTCAAGGTATACAATTATGCTTTAAGTGATGGGATCTTTCCTATCTCATGGAAAGATATACGGGTCCGCCTTTTGCCCAAGAAAGGTGACTTAACGTCTTTGAAGAACTGGCGTCCCATTTCTTTGATTAATTGCGACGGGAAAATCTTTACACGCCTCCTTACACAACGCTTGGCTCCCATTATGACTAGAATAATCAACCCATATCAGAAAGGTTTTCTTCAAAATCCTTTCATAGGTGAGAATGGATTGATAGTACATCTAATTTTACAACAAGCGCGACAGTTCAAATCAGAAGGAATAGGCCTCTTGTTAGATCAAGAAAAGGCCTATGATCGTGTTCACCCCAGCTACTTGGAACAAGTCATGAAGCGCTTCGGTTTCCCTGCCACGTTAATTACTTGCGTTCAACAACTGTTCTTTGGCAATGCTGTTCAAATCAACACCAACGGGTTTTTCACCGATGATATTGCCCAGACCCGGGGACTGAGACAAGGGGATCCATTGTCCCTTCTACTTTTTAACCTCGTACTTGAACCACTGCTTCTATCTATCCAACAGGATCAATCATTTCAGGGTTATTACTCGTATGTTCAAGGATCACCACAGCGACTCAAATGTCTCGCTTATGCAGACGACATCTGCGCATTTGTTAAAGATGCGAATGATTTTCAACTGTTAAATCAGCACCTTCAACGCTACGCAGAAGTTTCTAACGCTCAGTTCAACCAACACAAGACGGAAGCCTTTTCTCTATCAGGGGATAAATCCATGTCTTGGACATCCTTATTACAGTCGCATAATATCTCTGTTTTCTATACTAAGTTTTCTCCTTCCCCTCTCCGGTATTTAGGCTTCTATTTACCTTATACGACTCACCAACGAAATTATGTTCAAGATATGTTATTAGAATCTGTTCAAAAGCAAGTGGCAATTTATTCACCGAGACAATTATCATTACGTGGTCGGGTAACGATAATGAATACACTTATATTGTCCAAAGTTTGGTACTGTCTTCGTATATTTCATCCTACCAAAACATTTATCAAAGCCTTACAGAAACTTAGCTATCAGTTTGTATGGCGAAAAAAATTCCCATTAGTTTCCTATGCTCGACTTCTAATGCCCAGACACTTAGGAGGAGTTGGTCTGTTAAATGTTGCGATGCAACATTTAATCCTGCAAATGAAATGGTTAATAATGTTATTCTCACCACAGCCTTCCCTAGTTCAAGTACTCCTTCGCCATCATTTCCGGTTGATGGGCATCACATTTACTAGTCCCATACTTCCTTTCTTTTGCGCTATTCATCGTTCTCCTCATCTTTGTCATCCAACCTCGGTTATACCGATTATGTTCACAGCGTTTGATCATTTGAATGTTACCCTCCCATTGGAGGATATTCCACTCAAGAGCTTGTTACTCTTCCCATTACATTCGTTGTTTACACGTTTACCAGAGTCGCACTGGCTAGAACGCCATCCCAAGATGCTTGCCAACGCCTTTTTCCGCTACGACCAGTCCACTAACCGCCTCATAATGAAACGACCAGGTGAATATAATGTGAAACCGCGGTTGCTTTCACATCTCTTGGGCCAATTGCTCACCGATGCTACAGTTCAACTTCACCCATATATCCACAGGGTGCCGGCAGGCTCTTCTATCACTACCGACGACCCAGATAAGTCATTGGAAATTACACTACTACGACGATTGGCCAACAGTAACCTTTGGCGTCATTATTCGGCTTCAACGTTTAGACTTCATCATCACATCCAAATGCAACAAGCATCAGGTATAGGGGTGATCCCCAAACGGATGTTCACCCTGTTCTGGTCCCTTCCTTTGTTTCTTCCGGCTCGTGACCTAGGCTATCGCACCATTTTGAAAAAATTACCATGCTTATCAGTCTTACAAGCCGCAGGGGTAGTTTCATCTGCTACCTGCAGACTCTGTAATCATGATATTGATACGTTCGAACATTTTACAACCAGTTGTCCACCACGCTGGCAGATATGGCAAGAAGGTCTCGCGATATATTTCCCATCCTTCGACTTTGATCCTCAAAGCATCTCCGCCGCCCTAAGATTACAATCGCCACCATCACTACCTTCGTCCGAGCAATCTCGATTTTTCACCGTCTGCTTCAGTATCCATTGGGCTATCTGGACGTCATTTTTTCAAATGATATTCCATGATATTCCTTTTCATCCCCCATCCGTCTCTAGTAAAGCATACAACATAATTTCTTTGAGCCTGTCTTCCTCGCAGCTCATGCGGGAAGCGGCTGCTTTCGACTAAATTTACTTGTCATAGAAATCTTCCTTTCCTCTCCATGTCCCACCCCTCAGCGATGTGTGACTAATTTATTATTTTAAATAAAATAATCTACAAAAAAAAAAAAAGGGGTGACGAGGAAACAAGAGCAATACCAGCGCGCTTAACTATCCTGCGTAATATATTAAGCATAATATAACATCAAAAACTAGCTGAGGAGCAAAGATACGCCACTGTCTGTATATAGCAATGATTTTGCGAACTTTGGTGCATGTTGATAAAAGCCGTCATTTATTGAGTCCGTTGATCGTGATGTTGTCAATGAAGCAATTCTCTGCTTTATCAATGAATATATGGCTAGCTGTAATAAATGCAAGCATTCGACATTTGGAGAATGTAACGACAGCGACATCAAAGCGAAGAGTACATGCTGTATTGCAGTATAAAACTGTAATACAATTTGGAATCGCGACGTCAATGCTGCCAAAAACATCTTTCTAACGAGACGTACAAGTGTGATTGATATCACTCCTTCACACATTCCTACAGTGTAAGTTGTAATATATTCATAAAGTTCAACCAAAGGCCGAATGCTTACTGTTTCGACCTTATTTACTAAACTCACAATTCGATAACAATTTGGGTGATTTTTGGTTAGTACGTCTGAATTTATAATAAAACTATGTTTGAAGTACCAAGCACTCACTTTGGAAGGATTAAGGACGTAAAAGAAGCGACATTAAGTATAATAGTTAACAACATCTTGTATAGTATTTTATGAGATTAAATGTATGGCATATACATACGATTAAACAGATATTTTTCGTGCCTGAGCCAGTTCTATCATCCTAGAAAACGATATTCTATACGGGTCACGGTGCAGGAGGTGGGGGGAAAAGGCCTTTGAACTAAAGAGCGGCGGAGGGAGGGGGAGCTAGGCTAATCATCAAATCACCAAATGTTCTCAAACAATTCGTCGCCCGTACTCGTATACAATATTTTGATGAAAAATAATAGATACTACCTGCTATCATTTAAAGCGGGTAAACTAGTATAACTAGCTCTATCAATACAAAAAGTTAAATTCGGACGATCTCAGCTTTCTCCTCTGACTTTACTACGCTCAATACTATTGCTACATGACGCCAACATGTCTGAAGACTGGCGACGGTAACGTTTTCACTCACATTGGCTATTGAAGCACCAATAAGTCAATAAAGTTATCTATAACCATTTTTGAAGCAACTCTTTAATATGTATCCGTCAAAATAAGCTCGAGCGTTAGCAAATTATATACGAGTAGACACGAGAGGCACAAACTGTCAGAAACATTGAGCCTTTTTGTTAATACTGCTTCTATTTGGACCAGCAAATGTGGGAATCAACTACCACTCTTGGCCTTTTTTTATAATTGTTTCTCTACCGTCTAACGGAAATGCATAGTTGACGATTTATAAGAGTGGGAGATGCGAAATGAAGAAGAAGGGTATAAGTATATATGGATATTGCTTTGAAAAAAACAAGCAGCATCATTTGATGAACTTTATAAAACCATTGCAGTAACTTAGCCAACGTAAGATCTATCACTAAGTCTTTCCTGCTCATTTTCACCGTCCTCATCCACAATTTTTTCATCCTCAAATAGACCTTGCTGCTGTTGTAATGGCTGTTCTGGAATAAAACGTGAAAACAAGTACCATAAATTTTCTCCAAAACCCTTCCATGCAATGGTTGCAAACAAAAATTCAATGCTGGCAAATGCAAAGATAAGCACAAAGGCTGTAGAGATACTATAAAAGTACATGTAATATCTATTGATTGAAAACAAAAAAAGCTTCTTATCAGTCCATTTGAGTGAATTCACCTCTTCGTTACTTTTTCGATGACTAACCGTAATCCCTTAAAGTTGGCTAGAACCATAAGTTTCGAATCATAAATCTGTAATCGAGCATCTGATATGGATAGAGCTACTTTCTTTACAGCGCGACTTTTAATTTCAGTGAAATCCTCAATTAATGTGATATCCAGATGCTGACTTTCTTCTGTGAATCCCAAAACCAAAGGGAGAGCTTTGGCAAATACTCTCATCACCCTTTGCGTATTTGATTGATATCTTAAAATGCTTGGTCGAGCTTGATCCATGATCAAAGTACCATTCTCTGTATATAATTTGATGTTTACCATGAAATTGCCTACTTCGAAATTGATATCGGATGTTGGAACATGAAGTCGTAATAAAAGATCATAAGACTGTTCATGTCGTAAAGGCTTTTGTTTCATATTACACAAAAATTAGAAAGTGATCAGTTTTAACGCTTAGGGGTGAATATACATGTATAATAAATGTTCATTTTTTTTATATTCCCTTCATTGTCTCAACTTACTATCGCTTTGTTTTTATGACGATTCATGTCTACCAAAGCATCCAACGTAGGTGTAGATGGCCCATGATCGAAATATACTTGCTGAATGTGGGTGATTGGAGGCACATATCGATTGTAAAATAAAACATACGCAATGATACTTGTGACAAGAATCCATGCTAATGCTATGACAAATGCTGTCGTCTTAATAAAGGTGCGTTGTGCCGTTGGAGCAAAGAAGAATTTGGCGAAAGGTAACAGCATCATTTTCAAGATGGATAGGATGAGGTTGATAAGTGGTTCAATGAAAGTTTTAGTGAAGGTAGGCTCTTCGACAGTATCATCAATACGAGTCAGAGGTAAATCTTCTACTTCAGTATACTGATGCTCGAGCGGAAGGTTCTGTTGTTGCATCTGTTGACGGCCATTCAGGTCGTCGTCGTCATCGTCATCGTCATCCGCCAAAGTAGGTACAACATGAAAGTTTCCAGACTGTTTAATTAAACAATACTCTATCAGTTTATCAATCTACATGGACCATAATCACATAATATACATATGACAATAGTAGCTTTTGCCCTTTACAGTTTCTGTATTGTCAGTCGGTGAGTCTTCTGCATCTGAATAAGGCTCCAATCTCGACATTTCTTAAAAGTCTTTCTTTAGAAATAAGACAAGAAAGGAATACAAAAGGAGAAAAAAAGACGAAAAAGTTTCATGTGTCAAATGGGGTCTGTCAGCAGAATAGTGCATTTATCTTCCCCAATATAAGTTTCACATGCCGCGAGACCGTTTTATTGAAGCCGAATACATTACATTGCATTTCTTTTTAATGTCTGAAATCTCCACTGTATTCAATGCCCATAGCATATTTCATAATTTCAGCCTTTTCGTTAAAGTAATAGAAGGCAACATGAGAGCCTTATTTCTTTTCAAAGCTAAAGGATGAAGCATTTTAATTTGTTTTCTTACCTTCAAAAAATCCATATTATGTACTGCCTTTATACCCAACGATCTAATCCATGTCACAGGAGCAATATCATTTGAAAACAGTCGATCTATCTTATCACAGCTACTGAGCATCAGAATATTTCGCCAATAACGTTCTGCAGGATATTTTCTCAGCAAATGAATATTGCCAATGTCCTGACCTTCCATGGTTCCTTTTTCTAGCAATTTTGACAGGCATTCTACATCCAAAAGGCCTTGGTTCATACCTTGACCCGCCAAAGGATGCGTGGAATGAGCAGCGTCTCCCACAAGGGCAACGCGGTCGGCCACATACCGTTCAGCATTGCGTAAACGGAAAGGAAAAGAGGCGCGTGAATTTTCTTGCACATCGATCACTTGAGGAGGCAAAGCATATTCACGGTCCAGCATGGATTGATCCGACAAAGACTTTGTAGCTGTATTTTCTCTCCATGCGTATTCATCTTGGAGTGTTGTGGACGGCATGTCAGGTGAGGGTGAAGAAGAAATTTGTTTGTACATGTATTGAAGGTCGACATGGGGAAGTCGGTAAGCAGCATTGATGAGCGTGCAGAAATCAGCAGGAGAAACATTTTTGAGCGCTTTGGCAAGATGAGGTTTGACTGACCATACCAAGGACGCGTATTCCTCGCTTAACTAGTAAATAATGTATCGGGAGAATGAGATTATATTAGGAAATTCCTAGCTTTTTTTGTTTTTATACACTTTACTGGTAATAACGCAATGGGGCCACTTGGTAAAAATCTTTGCCAAGCAGTATTATTAGGACGATTAGGATCCAATTTCAAAGTAGCCACTACGCCATGGGTATCATAATCCCAGCCTAAGGAATCAATATAAGCAAAATCGCGTACCGGGCTATTGATGCCATCGGCGCCAATCTATATTAGTTTTTGTGTTATGAGGTGATTAGGATGAGAAGGAGGCTATTTCCAGGAGAGCATTTTGCATCAATTGGATGACAATTTGTTACCAAAAGCCTTGTTTTAATTGTCTTTCCATTATCTAGATGAATGGATGGCCAATCCTCCAAATCTATGGGTGATTCTGCTTTTACTTCTTTATCCTTTGGCACAGCCTTATTTTCACCATCGACATAATGCTGATGAAGCTCTTCTATAAGAGGCCTTACAATCTTTGTCACCTTCGTTTTATCAAAGAGATCAATCTGAGATCCCTCCTTGCTACTGCACTCTTCCAACCTTTTCAAAGCGGCGCTTTGAATATTGATATTCTCCACCATATAGGCCACTGTATTTGGCTCTACATTCATTCTATTAGGGTTGTTGCTCGGATAATGGTTTAAAAGGGCACCATCAAAATGACTGTGAGCATCGGTGATACCATCCCATACCATCACGTCCCGATATCCATTGACCCTGTCCATCTCCATATGTGGGGTTACTCCCACAGCTATCATAAGCAATTACGTAATAAATTAGGCTTAACTATTGCCAACGGATGACATGACAGACACACAACAAACTGAAAAGTCCTTTTCTCTGCCCTCCCCACAGTTTCTCTTCATTATTATTTACTGTCAAGAAACCCTAAAGAACCAGGCGTCAACGAAACTACACGATTTGAATAGTTGTCTGGTTGCGGCTTCCATGCTTTGACTTTAGTTAAATCCATTGCATCAATCAGAGCAATACGATAATGCTTCATACTCGGACGGGAAGCTATAAAATTGATTCCATGAAAAGAAAGTTAGGATAGATAGACGCATTTAGAGTGATCGATGTGTTCTATAGTTCTTTGACATCTTGTTCTCTCTATTCTATCATTCCATTCTTGAAATTTCTTTTTACCACAGCTTACCCAGAGAACAAGCAAGACTCGCGCCAGCAACACCACCGCCGATAATAACAACGTCATATGCGTTCTTTAAGGTCTCATTGATAGAGACCGATGTCGCAAGTCGACGTTTCGTTAAGGTCAAAAGGTGTTTGTTAAAAGGTTGAATAAACTTGCAATTGTTAATCGTACTCAACATTAGCAAAAAAGCAAAACAAAAAAACAAAAAGAAATGTGGAGCAAAAATGCTGGGTGTTCTTCCTTTTTGCAGGATTTTGTCTTTGACAGGAGCAGGGTTTTTTATATTGCTTAACCGTCGATCTTTTGAATATCCGCACCAGACTGTGTTGTAAGTAAAAGGGGAAGTGGAGTATCGACATAAAAGGCAAAGAATCGGAAAAAGCGCAGTAATTGTTAAATTTCATGATTTTACAACTGATCTCAATAGCATGACGGATCATCAGTCAAGCTTCTCTTCACAAATTGTTGAAGAGGAAGAAGATATTTTTTATGACGATGATATAGAAGAACTAGAACTTGTTCGATCTTTTAGTGAACCAACAGCAGCAACATCCGAGATCACGGAAATTGACAAGATCGATCAAGGCTCGAAGAACAGAAATAGCAACAACGACGATCAGTCATTCAAAAATCTACTTGCTGGTCCCTCCACAAATAAGGTTGTTGTCTTGATTTTAGGTTAATACCAAAACTCACTCGAGAAAAGTAGTACATATGCTAAATAACCGTTCATAGGCAGGTTTGAATAAAGTTGACAAAGCAAAAGTGAATGAAATTATCTATGAAGCTTCGAAAGTAAGTTGAGTTCTTTCTTCCAAATCATTCTAGACTTGATACTGACATCTCATTGACATCCACCAAGGGCTCTGCTTTTTTTGAACGTGAACGAAAGCGTGATGAGGCTGTTACCCAACGTATAAATGCTATTCTTGCTAAATACGAGTACATTAAATCTCAGGATCTCTCTTTCGAGAAACGCATCATCGACAACATGATAGAGGATCTTGAACAAACGCGCGATCTTTCACAGTGTATCTGTCACATTGATATGGATGCCTTTTATGCCGCGGTGGAAGAATTGGAAGATCCTGAGTTGAAGAAGGTGCCTATGGCCGTAGGAGGAATGTCTATGCTATGTACGAGTAATTACTTGGCTCGGCAATATGGTGTCCGTAGTGCTATGCCGGGTTTTATTGCCCTCAAACTATGCCCTGATTTGAAGATTATACCCTTACATTTTCCGAAATATCGAGCCGCTTCTGAAAAAGTAAGGGATGTATTTAGACGATACGATCCCAATTTTGTGCCGATGAGTTTGGATGAAGCTTATCTTAATTTGACAGAGGTACCAAAAGTCAAAAAGTCATTTGATGGCACTACTATTTACTGAATATATGGATAACTGACTGCTTACACTATCTAATGGTTATATCAGTATTTGGCAACGTCGGATATGACACCGAACCAACTTGTTGAACAAATTCGTAATGAAATATTTGAGACGACAAAACTAACAGCCAGTGCAGGTATTGTAAATCTCTTCCTATTCCTATTTTTGAATGGAAAGATAACCCTTTCTTTTTCGTTGTTGATCTTAAGGTATTGCTTGTAACAAAACACTTGCTAAAGTGTGCAGTGATATCAATAAACCGAACGGACAATACTATTTACCAATCGACCGTGCGTCCGTTGTCGAGTTTGTAAAAACACTGCGGGTCCGTCAAATTCCTGGTGTAGGCCGAGTCACTGAACGTGTTTTAGATGCCCTGGGTGTAACTGAAATAGCTGATATTTATACCCACCGAGCTATTTTATACAAGCTCCTCAGTCCCACCACATTCCAATTCTTGTTGCGAAATTATTTGGGTATCGGCAGCACAACTTTTAATGCAGATGCTGAGCGAAAGAGTATGAGTGTCGAAAGAACGTTCTCTGCAATATCTGAACCTAATGACCTGTTTGAAAAGGTGAAAGAGCTCTCGCTGATGCTAGAAAGAGATTTAGAAAAGGAAGGTTATATGGGTCGGAACGTAGGCATCAAGTTAAAATCGGTGACGTATGAAGTGAAGATTCGATCCAAAACGTTTCCATCGTATATTTGGCAGGCTAAAGATATTGAACGTATAGCCAAGGCATTGTTGATAAAAGAACTGCCAGTGAATATTCGATTGATGGGGATAAGAATCTCGGCAATGAAACACAGAGGTTGTGAAGACAAGACATTGACCAAGGTAATGATGTTTTTCTATGATTCTTCGTTGCTTTTGCCTATTCCTAATTGTGGGTACTGATTTTGCATGTTTAGTATTTTATCAAAGGAAACTCCGCACTTTCGAATGCTGCAGCTAAACACAACAGTGTCTCCTCTACAACCTCTATAATATCCCCTACTCGAATAGTGGACGAGTCTGTGTCCAAATACATTGGAGAGAAAGAGTCAAGGCGAAAAGTTAATACTGTCTTAAGTACAAATTATACCTCTGAAATTCCTACTACTGTGTCGCCCAAGGATGTAATGGAAAATGCAAAGAAAATAGCTAGTGTAGTAAAAGAGAAAGAAGAAGAAGAAGAAGAAGAAGAACCTTTATTATTGCCGCCTCCAGTTACATGTCCCATTTGTAATCGTCTTCTTACTCTCGACAACACACAGTTCAACAATCATGTGGATGAATGCTTAAATAAAGTAGAAGTGAAAGCCATATTGAGGAATGAAAATGAAAAAGAAAGGAAGACAGCAGCTGTAGGTCGTCTCGATACCCCGTCAGCGAAAAGAATAAAAAGGTTCGTAGTAGTAGGATTGTTCTGTTTTGAACTTCTGGTACTTATTTTCCTTGTCTTTAATAGATCGCATATACCCAGGAAAAAACGCAGTGGCAGCAGTAGCGGGAAATCCCTATTAGACTATTATTTAAAGCCTTAGAAATCAAAAATATACTATTTATTTAACTATCCAATGCTCAGTAAATTACGGCTAATATTTCAAATCTTTTACTTTGGGTGAACGCTTCGTACTTCCTTTCCAGATTGATTGCTTTCATACTATTACCCTGCTTCTGCACTTAACGTTCTTTCTTTTAACTGATACAATTTTTTCTCGATCATGCTGTCTGCATTTTGTACTTCACGGATAATTTTTTAAGGTTGGAAGGTTTCAAATAGGATGCTCTTATGAATCTGTTTGCTTAATGGCTGCTGTACTGGATATTTGTTCGTCTTGTCTTAAGTAGCTTACCTAAGGAAGCGTTGGTCCTTTTGAACCTCTTGTAGGCAGCTGGAAGCTAGCACCATCATAATAAGAAGACTACAATGAGGGCATGCTTGTTTTTTGTCCTTTCCTTTTTGTATACAATTAGAAGTTTATGGAACTGTGTATATGCATATCTTATGTTGATTGCAAATAATGGCAAATGTTGGTTTACGTGTTATTCCAGATCATTTATTACATAATAGTTTCACCAGATATTAGGTAACACACTACAGACGTTTTAGCATGAACTTTTCTCAACTTTTTTGAACCTTATTGGGAAACCTAAAAGCTGGAAATTTAGACTTTTCAAATACCAACGCTAAAGCAAGATTCTCCCTGAAGGCACAGGTTGAAGCAAAAGTGTTATACTTTCCAGTAATTTATTGGATAATGTATTGCTTCCATGGAACCGCCTAGTACTTTTATTACTGCCGTTGTCCATTCCTATTGCTACTACTATACATTGCATCCGAATCCTCTGTCAGTCTTACATAAACAACTATTTATGAAAGCCCCTAAAAAATTTACTGGGAGAGAGCGGGAAGCGTTTTTCATCTGGTTGTAAAATACCCAGTTAACAAATTTATAAGCAGTGGATCGTAATTTTCTGTGTGCATTTTGCAAACTAAAAAATGTATGGGACACGGGTAAAAAATTAGCTTACGTTCTTATCCCGACACGCTTTCCTGCTCCAAGTTTTAGTGAACAACAGTCTAAAAATAAAAAAAAAAAAAATAAAAAAAAAGTGGGGAAGTAGTATAAATAGAGACCTCTTCGTTTTCCTTAATTCCTTGTTTTTCCCCTTTTTTACAGCCCTTTCTCATTACTAACATACAATAATCCCCCAAAAAGAAATATGACTCCACCACCGGTTCCAATTTTTGTATTGATGGGTACTTGCGGTTGCGGTAAGACAAGTGTAGCCGCTGAAATGCAAAAGATCTTAGGCTGTGAATATGTTGAAGGTGATTCTCTTCATCCTCGAAGCAATGTTGAAAAGATGGCATCAGGTAAAGTATAGTATAGGTTGGGAAGAGAGAAAAGAAATGGTGCTAAGAGATTGTAATAGCGATGGTTAAGGGGAAAATATCAGTAGCATTGACCTTGCTGTCTATGCATTTATTGCATAGGTCACCCTTTGAACGATGATGATCGTTGGCCATGGCTCCGTCTTATCCGTGATCATCTCATCTCCAAAGCTGAAGAAGTCAAAGACGTTGATATCAGTTCTCCCCACCGTGTGGTTATTGTTACCTGTTCATCTTTACGTAAAGTCTACCGTGACATCATTCGTGAGGTTCCCTCTGAACTCGGCACGGTTTGTTTTGTCTATTTGAAGGGCACACACGACCTATTACTGGAGCGTATTACCAATCGTAAGGGCCATTTCATGCCCCCATCCATGTTGGATTCACAATTGGCCACGTTGGAAGAACCTGACGAAAAGACAGAGAATATCATTGTGCAGAGCATTGTACCTCCCACCACTGAACAAGCCAAGGCCATTATACAAGAAGCGATCAATAGAAAAATGCTGCCCGAGTGTTCTCTCACAAAAGCTGCCTAAATTTGATTGTTTTGTATTCTTATAGAGACCCTTTCCCTATTTTTTATGTAATTATTTTTGTTACCATCGCCCTTCTTTCATCTGTTGAAGACAGTAGATTCAGCCCTTACCACCTTCTAAGCGGCTTTGTATATTAGTTTATGAAAATACAATAATATTTTATCCGTATTTGGCTTGTGATCCTATTTATTGTCTATCTTTTATTTATTTATGATGTTCATGATCCTCCCCGCTCAATAACTTTGCGTTTTATTCGGATCCAGCAAAATCAAAAGCGATTATAACCACCGATCTTGTGTAACACGGAAAGTGTGCCTTATTGTGGAATGAACGACGGTCCTCTCTTCGTTTTATTCCAGAAAATAATGTGTAATATGTAACTGGATTATAAATAACGATGTGTAAGATAAGCTATTGTCTGTTAATGCAGAATATTAAAATACAAGTGGTTTATGGTATATATGGATAATATATATATATATATATATATACATATATATAGATAAGATGTGGTGGCTTAGTGTCATATGTTCTATCCTTCTGTTACAGTTCATCATCTTCATTCCATGATATACTACAAGTCTTACTCCCAATACTACTACGACTACTGTCCAGACTGTTCCGATGACTACTCGTATCACTGTTCAAACTTGTGTTCCTTGTAACGTTACTTGAAGACCGCCCTCTCTTCCAAACTCTCTCCAATCTACCCATTTCCTTTTGCGTATCTGGACTGGGAGGGTTGGTAAGCATCAGCTGCCAATCAGTTGAGGCAAAATTACTGACTTGACCATGCACGCCTTCTTCCATCTTCATAAGCTCAGCCACAAACCCGATATTGGGCGAGATATTCGGTCGTGCTTTCACGATATGTTGGTAGGCCTTTTTGAGTGTCCAATGTTCAGAAAGAACTAGGTAGGCCAAAATAGCAGCTGCAGATCGTGATTTCCCCGCTTTACAATGAACATAAATAGGTTCGTGATGTTTCTTGGAATCATCTATGAGAAAAAGGCTGTTTGAGATCACGTATAATATATAAATATAGATACAGAAGAAGTGTTGAAAACTTACCAATGGCACGGACGGCTTTCCTTAGGGTACCTTGAACATTTTGCATCTCTACGGTATCTCTTGCTGCAATCTTTTGATAAGCAAATGTTTCTTTTAATCCAGACACATCATCATCGCACTCCTCTGCCATATTCAAGACACGTTTGATTGATCGATGCTTCAGATCCATTACTTGTTCTTCCGTCAAAATCTCGGGACCAAGATATAAAAATTTCGGTATAATTTCTGAAATCACAAAGTCATACTCATGCTCTGTTTTTGGTGTCATTGCTGCCATTTGAATAGTATGACCACGTTCCATATCTGTTGTGTAATTCATAGTATCAACAGCAGTAGTAGGAGGAGGAGGATCAAGAGGAACGGTACCATCGTAAGCGTTAGGATAATAACGTTGTTGTTGTTGTTGATATTGCAATGGTGTGGCAGCAGCGGAGCCAGACGAAGCAGAAGCTGAAACAGAAGAGCCTGCTTGTTCAGCTGCTGCCGATAATAGACTAGCTTCCTGCTCTTCTTCTGTTTCAAAACTAGGATGAGTGTGGGTAGAAAACTTCGAAGTCATGGGTGTGTAAAAAGTTTCTTCTTCCACAGGCGAAATTGTGGTAGGAACATTCGTATTCGTAGGTGCGGTATTATTTATAGCAGCATTGGTATGCGTAGGCTTCAGATGAGTGACAGAGGCAGATGGGGTATGTTTTTTAGTAGTATGATTTGTGTTAACGTTGATATTGTGGTTTCTGTTCAGCTTCCTTCGTTCGTTTAACTGTGGTATATTGATAGGCCGTAATTTATGATTACTTGGTCGAATATTTGTGTCTAAACTAAACAGACTAGCTCTTCTATGTACATTCGTCGCATCTGGGCTGGTATTTATACTGAGGTTGTTATGATGGTGGCGGGATAGAGTAGTAGCACTACGGGATATCATAGGCGTCGGTGACGCTTTGTTGTAATTGCCTACGTTCTGTAACAAATTCGAAGAGTTCGACGACGGTAACGGTAAAGGTGGTGAGTCTAGTCCGGAATAGGATGAGGGTAGTCCAGGTATTTCTGTCTTCATTGTAGGCTGCCGTGATGCAACTGATGCAAATTGCGAGCCTTCTAAATATATACCCTCCGTATCCCATTCTACAAATCCATGAAAACCGCCTTGCAAACCATGTATCACTTCTATTACTTCAGTAGCAGTGTTGGCTGTTGTAGAGTGAATGATCTTGTAAATAACGCCCGCTAGCGTCCAAGTGCCCGTTGATTTATCTTTTGAAGTAGTATGATCATCATAAATGATCACTCGAATTTCGTCGTCGTCAGCAGCTTCTTTAAATTGCTCTAACCAAATTCTATATTGATCTGTTCCTTCTGGTGTTGTAATAAAGCTCTCTAGATTGAAGTTGTTGGGTATGACACCTCTTCGATACCGCTTAATCAATAATGTTGGCACATTAATGTTGATAGAGTTTGTAATGTGCGCGCGTTCAAATTGCTCCAAAGGCCGCATGTCAATCAATAAAGGTACTTTTCTCTGCTTCATTTTATTCTTGCTGGGATAGTGACTTTGCTGTAATAATGTGCCCAGATCTTTGGGTAAGATACATTGTATATCTTTTATATAATTATTGATAGAATTGGATGAAGAATGCGGATTATTCAAAAGAGTGGTAGTGGCAGCTGGTCTTTTGGTAATTCTACCAATACTGTTACCACTACTACTACTACTGTTGCTGCTATTGCTGTTGCTGTTGCTGCTGCTATTTGATGATGAGGCCATGTCGGATAAAGTAGCAGTTTGGTACTGTTTCATAGAAGGAGGTGGCGTTCGAGTGGGTTCATCTCTTCTGATTGTATAAAGTATTTCATTGTCATCATCATTGTTATCAGCCTTCAATTTACTCTCTTTCAAATCAGTTGAGTTATTGTTACTATTCTTAGCTGTAACTTGTTGTTGTTGTTGCTGCTGCAACTCACTTAGGGCATTTATAAATCCAACATAATTGATACCATTCGAATCTCGTTTTCTATTCTCGCTAACAAGCGAGGAATGACTGACATTGCTGGAAGATCGTTTTCTCAACGAAGGAGATATTGACGCTGAAGTAGTCTGTCGATGAATCGTAATGCTGGGTCGTTGTGGAGGAGCTAAATCTTTAGTACTGCTGTTGGCATTTATGGTCGGCTTTTTGTTTTCAGTCAAAGACACTTTTGACTTAAAAGCAGAAGTTAGCATGTCAAATAAACCATGCCCTATTCTGTTACTTTTGTCATTGCTGCCATTGGTTGTGGAAAGAGTTTTATCGTTCAGAAATTGTTTTCCATTTTCCGCACCATAATGACCATTATTGTTATCACCACTACTAGTATTATTATTACTGCTGTTGTTATTGTTATTGATGCTATTCGTGCTTTTCGTTTTATTGGAAAGTTTCATTAGCGATGTTGATGGAATGTAATAATGACAACGTAGAAAAAAGCAAAAAGGAAGTGGGAATTCTAAGTAAACAAAATATAGAGCCTGCACACAACGTACTTGTATAACTGCCGTTACTAATAATATCTCTAATATTTATAAAAGACTAACAGCAAGCAGCAGCTGACTTCTACTTGGAAAGTAAATTATTTTGATTCAAAAAAAGTTATTTCAAGACCTGTCTACACGTATTTTGTTCCGCGGGCGAACTCACTCACTTAACACAACATTTTGACTTTTTTTTTTTTTCCTTGTTTCATTTTTGTTTTTATTTGGTTCCTGATTTTTCTTCTTCTTTTGAATCATAGTTTTCTGTTCTGTTTTGTGGCAATTTGATCACGTAATTCGGATATTTTATTCGTTTGCTTCCCTACAAGATCCATCAAATATTCTGTTCTAGCCTGATATTGCCTTAATAACTGTTTTGTGTGCTTTAATTCATTCACTAAGCTCTGCACTTGCTGTGCACTTATTGGAACAGAACAAGACGTAAGGTTGGGATTGCCACTATTAATACTACAGTTAATGTAATCAGTCATTGAAGACGAGCTTAGCTGTTGAAAGCCAAAGATTTAGAAAGTACTTGATTACTATTCCGGTCTCAATATGCTAAAATATAAAAGACTCCTGAAACACATACTGTAGTTGCTATTTGATGTTCAGATGATGTTTCTGATAGTTTATCGTCTAATGATATAGTTGTACTGTTTATATTAGAAGCGTTATAGTGATCCTGTATTGCTTGCTGCTCTGAAAGATGGTATTGTACTGGAATATTAGTGCCACTATCATTGACAGAACTGTCTGATAGCTTTAGTACATCTTCTGGGGAACAGTCATTGATATCTGTTGTTATAGTCATTTATTAATTGGATATAGTTGTCATCGAACTATCTAGACAGAAAAGAAAAAAAAAAAAAAAAAAAAAAAAAAAAGAGAAATGACAACCTAAACACTAGGTTGTTATTTTTAGACTTTGCACAGTTGCACAATAATCTTTCTATAAGTGTGGCAGCCTTTACAAACCGAAATCAAAATTAGTAGTCGTCGATCTTTTAACTTTGATTTTAACGGCCTGGTCCATTTATACATTGAAAGGACGCCTAGCCAGCAATAAGGTGAGCGAAGCTATCAAGCAAGTATAGTTAAATACTTTATGCGTCACGTAACGACATACTTCCTTTTTTTTTATATATATCTTCAAGTTACAGTTTATCCAATTATTATGGAAAATCGAGGAATTATTGGTATGCAATATGTAAGCGTGGAGCAATCAGTAATATCTGATGCATTACATAGCTCTCCAAGAAAACAAGTTTGCACAGACATTAGTACAGACGATTCCAATGAACCAAGCGTGGCCTTGAACGTTGAGAAACATTTCTTATGACATATAGTAAACATGGTAATGGTTAGCATTGTGAACCGAATTGTTCATTATGGATAACTAGGCATGTGTATGAACAATAAGTACTTCTCCTGCAAAAAAAAAAAAAAAAAAAAAAAAAAAAAAAAAATCGTCTTTTAATGTAAATCAACAAGTATTAGAAAACAAACGAAGGAGTCGAGATATGAGAATCACGGTTAGTCATAATAGTCAGATACAGTAATAGTAATCAAAGTATTTCAGAGATACTGTCCCTTTTGTTGCTAAATAGCTTGAAGGTGCATTGTTCCGTTTATTTCATTTCTACGTACATACGCGTCAATTAATAATCAAAATACGAAATTTGGTTAAAGATAGTACTATCTAATGAACATTCATATGGTAGATGAACACCGTAAAGTTGGGCGTAGAGAATATTAGGTAAATAGTAAGAAGTTTAGAAACAGTTTTTAGTCAGAATAGAGCGAAAGTACTCCAATTTGGTATATGCCATATAAAAGAAGTGCACCAGACGTTTGCAATAGGTATAAAGTTGCAAACAATCAACTTCTAACAATACAACTTTTTTTTTTCGACAAAACAACAAAATGCAAAACCGTTACAAACACCACAATTAAAGATACAAAAAATGCTCACTACAGGGGTCGAACCTGTGACCTTGGCGTTATTAGCACCACGCTCTAACCAACTGAGCTAAGCGAGCTTGTTAACTCGAAAATCACTATGTAATAAGTGAACGTAAAGTATTACATTGAAACACGTGATTTGTCCTTACCGAGCTATACTCTATTGCGGCTGTGATATTACCGGAATTATCCATTTTATTCTCCTCTTTACACCTTTTCCAAGTATAACAATTTTATTCAGCATTTTCAATATATCACTTTTTATCGTAATATAATTTTTCTATCATTTTACCAAGATTTGAAGTATGTATTATTTCGATCAATAATCAATACATTTTCTTACAAAACGGCTTATTGGAAATAATTAGTTCGACTAATTGGAAATAAATAATACAACTGGAATACTTTGATTAGACAGAGTTCACAATGCAATGCTGCGACATAATAATAGTTTCCGTTATTAGATGAAACTGTTAATATTTTACATTAGATGGAGTTGAAAAGGTAGTCTTCTGGTGCTATTATTGAGGTATTCGTCAAACGGACATGTCGGGGTTGGCTGCACGCAGTGTCTTAGGCCAACACTCATGTTGAAAAGAAGACGACACAAACAGTCAGTCTACGGTCTTCTTTGTTCTAATGACTTTTCCTTCAAAGAATCATTCACTAAATGCTTTAACAATTGACCAATATATCTGGACTGGTGTCTTTCTTGAACCGAAGGAATCATTAAGAACAGCTTGTGAAGCAGCTGGGAAAACTTATCTGCAGATGAGAGAAGAATTGACAAGTTAAGGACGACAATAGCGTTCAGTATCAGAGAGAACTCTAGCGATAAGATGATATTCGCGAATATTTTTCTATACAATGAAACGCAACAGAAATAAAAACAACCAAGGGATCAATAAAAAGAGCAAGTTTCTCACATTTGCCAACAATAAGTAAGAATCAAGACCACAAAAACTTATGGTTCTGGTTTTTTTTCATGCGCCGAGGTACCACATCTCCTAAATGTACAGAACGCGATGCCATTTTAAGATACTTAACATAATAAGCTTGAAGCGATGCAGTTCAAAATAGTATCTTCTTTGAAAAGGATCCCCGCAACTTAGCGCTACCCATCGCCCCCAATTGACATAAGCTTACATCAAGGCAGCTCAAAAGAATTTCAACGAAAAGGAAGAACTTTCTAGCATTAATCTTCTTTTTATTATTGAATAAAGTTACTAATCTCATGGAAGTAATCCTTTAAACCCTTTGCTCTGCGGTTCGAAGGACGTTAAATGAAAGAGAAGGCAAGAAAAGGAGTAAATATGTTATGCGAGACCGGATAAGCAGTACGCTAATGTAAATTGAAACAATTGTCACGGCAAATAGTACATTAACTGTCGCAGTACTTTAATGAAAGCAGTAGCAGTAGTAGCATTAATAGTACGTTAGAGAAGAGTAGTATCAGAGACATCAGCGGATTTATCCAATTACAAGTTTGAGCTATCTACCATATAGGTAGTTAAAGTAAGCGAAAAAGTCATGTTTGTGAATTGTTATCAATTTCACGCGATTGCTTCGAAATCGCTGAAACGCTCGTTCATGTCGAAAACATCATTCAATGGTAGAGCGTTCTACTTATATTATTGCTTGCTGTATGTTTACTAACAAAGAGTATGAAAAGTAGCACTAAACTTGAAGTAAGTATCATAAGTTTACAAGCGAAAAATAGCCAACTGCTGCATATCAAGCTTTTCAGTGGAAAGGGATGGTGAGGCATTTGCAATTTAAGCAATCGAAACTATAATGAGGCAATGATGTATATTACTAAAAATAAAAACAAAAAACAAAAAAAAAAAAAAAAACCAAAAAAAGGGTCTACAGCCTACTATCGCCATTCTCCATGGCGTTGCAAAATTGACTGTATATTGGGATTGAGTCGCAAGACTCACCTTCTAGTATTAAGCATCTTCGGATGTGACCCACGTTATTGACATTGTCAAGTGGGGAGTTTGGCTGGGGCGGCACATCTGTTAAAAGATAACGCAGGTGTCCTAAGGGGGACTCAACGAGAACAAAAATCTCGTGTAGAATAAGTTCCCTTGGCTGTGGTTTCGCTAGATAGTAGATAGGAACAGTGGAAATCTCGTTAATCCATTCATGCGCGTCACTAATTAGATGACGAGGCATTTGGCTACCTTAAGAGAGTCATAGTTACTCCCGCCGTTTACCGGCGCTTGGTTGAATTTCTTCACTTTGACATTCAGAGCACTGGGCAGAAATCACATTGCGACTATATACCTTAAACAGGTCCTAAAAATAATCTAAAGATACGGTACAGGTTATGAAGCTAACAATTGTGACGTTTCAACAAAGCCAATTGTTTAAAAAAACCAAGAACTGATTTTCCGCTGCTATCTTTCTATTGTAAGAGGATGACGATAACGCTGCTGCTGAGAGTCACTTGAGTAAATTGCAAGGTAACGAAGAAACAGAGCGAAAAGCTACGAAACAACGATAGTACTTTTTTACAGTCGTAACAAGCGCTTGGTACGAATAATAGGACATAAAATAACGGTAACATTTGAAAGAGTTTTCATCACCATACAAGCAGCAAGAAGCACTGTGATCTAAAAATTATGAAGAGTTCCAGACAACATATTTAGATTGAAATAGCAGACTGAAGTCAATACTTATCCATCTCTTAATCAAAAAGTTATTGACTACCAATCATTTAAGTACGCGGTTACCACTTACTTTTGTGCTATCAAATTCACAAAATAAGTTAAAGTTTATGCAAAATGTCGTTTGTAATCAGATTTATTCTAAAAAATATTGAAAAACTTGGACTCTTAGTAACACACGAACACCTGTTCATAAAGTTTCCCCGCATTTTGAAAATAAAAGGTCTCCTTTCCTTCTTTCTCTTACTTTTGTTCCAGTTCGAAATCGGTTAGTTTAACTTTACAATATGGTGTCCAATAAAGTATACGTTATTGGCGTTGGTATGTCTAAATTCTTAAAACCTCGGGGAGAGGTAGATTATCCAGGTATATAATACTACCAGTCTATTGAATATAGGGCAATTATTAGTTCATTATTGTCTAAATATTTGATCTACGTTTCGTTCATGCAATTTATTATGATACAGAATTTGGCCTTGAAGCTACTGTCAAAGCTTTAAATGATGCTGGGATTACTTACGACGATGTGAAGTTCGCTGCTGTTGGTTACGTTTACGGAGACAGTACTGCTGGCCAACGAGTACTATATCAACTTGGCATGACACAGATACCTATTATTAATGTCAACAACAATTGCTCAACAGGATCGACGGCGCTTTATCAAGCGCGCAGTGCTATAGCTTCTGGATCCGTCGATTGTGCTATGGCATTAGGATTTGAAAAAATGGCTAGAGGCTCATTAACTTCCACCTTCTCTGATCGTACAAATCCATTGGGTAAACAAACTTAGCATACAAAGCATAATAAATAAATGGTTATTCCTTTCCCAAAGGAATTACGAAAAAAAAATAAAAAAAAATTCCGCTAACATTTTTTCGTTCAACAACATATATGTATATCAGATCACGTCATGATGGTGATGATGCAGGAACGAGGTTTTGAACCTAAGGCTCCTGCTGCTGCACAAATTTTTGGTAACGCTGGTATTGCTTACATGGAAAAATACGGTGCCACTGCTCAGCATTTGGCAAAGATCGCTGAAAAGAACCACCGTCATAGCTCCAAAAATCCTTATTCTCAGTTCCAGGATATATATACGTTAGAGCAAATTGAAAAGTCTCCCAAAGTTTTTGGTCCACTTACTAAACTTCAATGCTGCCCTACTTCAGATGGTGCTGGCTGTTCCATTCTCGCTAGTGAGGCATTCGTGGTCAAACACAACCTTTGGGATCAAGCTGTCGAAATCGTTGCTCAGGTTATGGCAACTGATTCTCCTCGTATGCTCACCAATGATGCTATTGAATGGGCAGGCTGTGATATGACACGTCATGCTGCGGCTAAAGCCTATAAGATCGCAAATATAACACCAAACGATGTGCAGGTGATTGAGCTCCACGATTGTTTCTCAGCCAACGAATTGCTGACCTACGAAAGCCTGGGTTTAACACCAGTGGGCAAGGCTCATACGTTGATTGATAGTGGTGATAATACATACGGCGGCAAATATGTCATAAACCCTTCCGGTGGTTTGATATCTAAAGGTCACCCTCTAGGCGCAACTGGTTTAGCTCAATGTACAGAATTGGTCTGGCAACTACGTAACTGGGCAGGCGATCGCCAGGTCCAAAATGTCCGATATGCGCTCCAGCATAATGTAGGGTTAGGAGGTGCTGTAGTTGTAACCATCTATAAGAAGGCTAATGAAAAGCCGTCTCAGCCCCGGGTCGGCTATAATCCAGCAATTGAAGCGAAATCTATTACAAAGGATGACTATGAAAAAGCAGCTTCTGGTAGACGAGCAGAATTCCTGGAGGCTAAACTATGAGGGCAACAATTCCGGCATTGGGTAGTAAATTCATCTCCTAAAACATTCTTGTACAACGAAATGTAAGGCGTTGTTAAATATAGTCAAAGACGATACATAAATATGTATCTATTGATTCTATACTGTAGGCTCGTATGAACGCAGAAGATTGATTATGATGTTATAATAAAGGGCTAGAAGTATTGTTTTCGTTTTTCATCACCTGTCATCTGGTAGAATAACATATGATTTCCCCAGCTTTTCTCAGCTTTAACAATTAGGATAAAGTCCTCAGTTTATTGAGCCGTTGTTGCATATAAAGATAACGATGCAAAAAAGTGCATGTGGATCAGTCTACAAAAATAGATAACGGACACCACGGTGGTGAGATAGGCATCATGGCCCGATTTCCATATAATATAATAAAGGCTTTATCATGCATTAGTAAGAATATCAAATCAAAGAAAAATCGCCTAGCTGAATTAAATGGCGCAAAGCTTGTCTAAAACAGAAAGTAACGGAAAATTCACGTGCACTGAATGTTCATCTAATTGTGAGCAGTATTGTCCGTAAGTGAATAATAGCCATTGGAAAAAAAGTATAAGATGTATGAACGACTAATAAAGATTTCTGTGAAGTACTGATATACAATAAATGGCCTAGGGCCTTGGCTTTCCCCAACTTCTATGTCTTGTATTGTGCATAGGCAGTCGGAGCTGTTGTTGCTGGATTCCATCATATCCTAAATTTGGATTTGATACACCAATATAATTCCTTTTAAAATTCACATATTTCTCTCTCTTTTTTTATTTTAAATCTGGTCTAATTCCTCAAACTTATATAGTATTGCTACTTGATCCTTTCGATAAAATGGATATATTCAAAAAAACATTTTCATGGAATCGTGAAAAAAAGCCTGGTCAGCAGAAAAGCCGATTTTCTTTAATTAGCAACAGCAAAAAGCTGCAACAATCCCTAATACAACAGCAAGAACAACATCAAAAGCAGCTGCAGGATGACCCTAATGCTTTTTTACCCCGATTAACTGTCAGTACTACATACAACACCACAAATGAAATATATACACCACAGGATGATAATGCAATAACGCCTTCCATATTGAAACATCAGTCTTCGTTACCTTCTAATCAATTTACTGAATTAGCTACTCAGTCCTCTCAATACGATACCAAATCAGATACTTCTTTCAACACTGTTACTACCACAACAGACGACAGTCTCCTATCACTGCATTCTCATTCATTAACTCCAGTTAGTACTTCTACATCAGCCTCTGTGCTTATGGTAGACGCTCCTCCAAGACAACAATCTAAGCAAGTATATCTTCAGCGCCAAAAACAACAGTTACAACAAAATCATCCAAATGATCAGATCAGTATAAATACCCATCACCGTCCAAAAGATGATAATCAACCAAGTAATGCGAACGATGAAAATAAAGCCAAAGAAACAGATATTGAAAGTATAGAAGATGATTACATTGTCCTCGGCATGAAATATCATGAAAAAGGAGAAACAGAGAAAGCAACTTACTGTTGGCGATTAGCATCCAATTCAGGTTCATCTTTGGGTATGTTTTTTTACGGTATTGCACTTCGACATGGTTGGGGTTGTAAGAAAGAACCCAATTTAGCTGTTCAGTATCTACAACAGGCTGCAGAATTTGCTGTCTATGATCTACAAGTCGCTCTGAATGTGCCTCTCATGAACGAGTCCTCACCGCAGCGACAACAACAACAGCTACAGAAAGCACAGCTACCAATTTTGCAACCAACCCGATCTACTTTATCTTCATTGTCCTCATCATCGTCGAGATCTACAAGGAGGGTTACTTCTCCAGCAGTGGCAAAATCTGAACTGATATTGGCTATATACGAACTTGGTGTATGCTTTAAGCATGGCTGGGGTGTAAGTCTATTGCAGTTGCAAGCCCAAAAAAAAAAAAAACTCATGATCTGACATAAACTTTTTCTTTTTATTTTTCCAGGTACCAAAAAATTTAGAAACAGCGGCTTGCTACTTCCAAATTGCAGCAAATCTAGGCGACCCAGATGCACAAAATGACCTAGGATTTTGTTATTATAATGGCATTGGCGTCAAAAAAGACAATTACTGCGCAGCTAAATATTTTCGACTTGCTGAAAGGCAAGGCCAAGGCATGATGGGGAATTCCTGGATTTGGAAAGATAAGTACAATATTGTAGATAATCCTGAATGGAAACCTGGCATGACCATTACGGATATGAGAAGGATGGCAAAGAAGGCGACGAAGAAGAAGATATAGGAAATCTTGTCATTCAGTATTATTTTATTATACCTAGCCGAGTTTCATGCTCCTTTGTCATTGTAAATATGTAACCATTTTCTTGGAAGGCTATTCTCCTATTTAAATATACACAAAACAACTCGATCATTCAGCTTCCTCGCATAAAAAATCATGTAAATCATCTCCCAATACCTGTACACATGCATACAGTGACCAAAATTTGAAGATACCACCACGACCATTGTAGTACTATTTAAATATCGGCAGCAAATGAAGTTCGTTAGAACCAATACAGAGTTTACTTGTCCTTTACTCAACTCGCACCAACACATATGCGCAAGCCCGAAATAGGCCACTGCAACAGAAGCTTCATCACCGAATTATTCTAATTGATTGCCAATAGAGTGAAAATTTGTTTAAAATTGTACAGAAAGACCTGGATACGTGTTATAATATTGATGAGAGGTTGTAATTCGAGTAAATTGATTGAAAAGTTGTACATTGCTAGCCTAGTCCGAAAAATCAAATTGCTTGGTATTAAGAGATACAGAAAACGATTCATAAGGTCGAAAGTTTACTATATATTGTAGCCAATATAGGCGACCTTGTTGCGTTCATTTATTTTATCTTACATTGTAACACATAAAACCAGACCAACTACAATAGGTAAAGGGCTTTGTGTCGCTTCCATTACGGACATACAGCTGTCTTTTCTTCTTCCATCAATGGTTATTGATTTACTGCTGGATACAACAATGGACTTGAAATTATTAATTAGTCTCAATCTTCTGTTTCCTTATTCTTTTTCTTTTTCCTTTATTATAATTTATTGACTCTTTTCTATCTACTAGAAGCTTACAAGCAATATGGGGAATAATACGAGCTCGCGTTCGAAGGCTATTGATAAGCAATTAAAGTTAGAAAAGAAGAGAGCTGCCCGGGAAATCAAAATATTGCTTCTCGGTTAGTCATAGTAGAAGGTATATGTCCATCGATTGAACAAGCTGACAGTGCACTATTTTAGGAGCCGGCGATTCCGGAAAATCAACCATTATAAAGCAAATGAAAGTGATACATCACGATGGATTTTCAAAGACGGAATGTGAGAACTTCCGACTTATGATTTTTACCAACTTAGTAGGATCTATGCAAGCTCTGATTGAAAGCATGCAGCGTCTAAAATTGACCGTCGATAATGAACAGAATTGGGTAAATAGTTGGAGTAGCAAAAAAGAAACACAACATTTGCCAGTGATATTTTCATAATTAACATTCTTTCCTCTAACATCAACCTCACAGAAATACCTGTCTTATTTTGAACATACTGCTCCATTTCACATATCCATTCACGAACCATTTCCTAAGAAGTATTATGAGCCACTATTCTCATTATGGAAGGACAAATCCATTCGAAACACATTTGAACAGGGGCACACGTTTGCCTTCAATGAGAATATCAAATAGTAGGTTCTTACTGTAAGCTCAAGGACATAAGGGAGGGTGATAAGAAAAGAGAAGTAGCTAGCTTTGGAATTACTTATAGCATTTAGCATTAATAGTTTTTTCGATCAATTGGATAGACTATTTCAACCAGGTTACATGCCGACAAACGCTGATATTGTCCATTGTCGCATCAAAACGACAGGTGAGAGGAAAAGTTGAAAGCCACCTAAGGAAAAAGTGTAACAATATTTATTGATGTGCTCACTTCCGAACTACAGGAATCGTTGAGACACAGTTTAAACAAGGTTCCGTTATTTATAGGATGTTTGATGTGGGAGGACAAAGAAGTGAGCGAAAGAAATGGTAACGAAAATTTAAAAAATGAAGCGGAAAGTCGAAGGGCGTCTGTACCCTTGGTTCCTTAGCAGCTTCTTCGAATAGGATCCATTGCTTCGACAATGTTTCAGCCGTATTGTTTGTTGCTGCATTGAGTGGATATGATAGTTGTTTGGTAGAAGACAGATACTCGGTAAAGCATAAATGTTTTAATTTAACAAGATCGCACAGTCTGATGTTTGACAAGAGAGCAACTCAATCTCTGACTTTGTTTTGTTCAAATAGAACCAGGTAACGCAGCCGAATATTCGATCACTTCTAGTAGCCAATAAACAAACAGACATTATCACTAAAATTTTTTGTAAATTAGATGTATGAAGCTTTCATGCTGTTCGAATCCATTTGTAATTCAAAATGGTTCACCAGTACATCCATGATATTGTTTTTGAATAAGGTAGATTTATTTAAGGAAAAGATCAAGCGATCTCAAATAGTAGACTACTTTCCAGACTACAATGGTAAAACTATTGTTTACTGTATCAAATATGTGTAGTCAATCTTCTAATGTGGGTAACACGTATATTAGGTCAAGCAGATGATTTTGATGAAGCATGCGAATTTTTCAGACGCAGGTTCACTCAATTGAACACAAATAAAAATAAGCGAATTTACGTCCATTTCACTGTAGCAACGGATACAAGGCTACTGGCGCGTGTTATGGAATCCGTATCAGACAGCATACTCCATGAAAACCTTCAGACACTTTTACTTTGATTCGCTAGGATAGACGAATTGACACCCTATCTAAAACCAATTTAAACAAAACTATAACCACCTCGGTAGTCGTAAATCAAATAACCAGGAATGATTCAATACTGTAATATAAGTGATCAATTATGCCAGCAAAACTATTTTACGCCTAATTAATAACACTTTTGCATACGGGCAAGACCTAAACAAAATATATATAGAAAACAATTCAAACAAAAACGTATAATATACATACATCTAGTAATGAAATTCCAATTCTGTTATGCTAATTATGTCTTTTATCAATGTAACAGGTATAACAATACTATTTACAAAAATGAATAAATACGAGAAGCAGCACTGAAATGAATGTTACCATTCCCGAGCCATTAACATACATTTATAAGAGTAACTGCTATCAATAATAGTCCCTTCTCAATCGATTCTGTCTTTTTTTTCTTTTTCTATCTTCTTCCTTATCCAATTCCTTCTTCAAAAAGATCTCCAGCAAACGAACAAATAAAGCATACAAATCCATGAATAGCTCCATTGAATGCCCAGGAACATCAGTTAATCCCGCACTGGCACGTTCAATAATCATTTGAGTATCATACAATACTATTACAAATTTGAAAATTAGAAAACGATCACTAACAGGCACAGCATCAAATGTAACTGCATCTCAACTTACCAAATCCCGCAAATGCAATTAAACCACCATACATTTCCAATGAAAGGATCGATTGCGACCTTATAAAAAGGCTATTTGCCAGAGACAACCAAAAAAGAACCGCCAAGATACTGCTCACTAAACCTCCTACGTAAAGCATACTACGACGATCAGCCAAAACTGCACTTGCTGAAAATCCCAAGAAAATGACCACAGCTGACGATAACGCCATAAAGACAATATTTCCAGAGGAATCCCAATGCGTAAAAAATGTAAGAAAGCTAGCCAAGCCTATACCAATAGAGACAGAATACGCCTACAATAATATTCCGTTGTAATATACGTTTAATGAGCATATATATGTACTAACATTTACAACTACAACTTACCAGTAATAAAGCCCATCGATTCCTGCTATTAGGTGCTGTGAATCGAAACAACAGTATACTCAGTACTGTACCCAAGGAGCCTATCGTAGAGCCCACGGGACCTAGGTAATCGCCAAGTTGTGTACTCATCGTTGCAATTGCACTCATCGCAGCCAATGTTAAATAGACGTGGAGTAAATGTCGTCGTACGGGCCGGCTTATTAGATTTGAATTGCTACTACTGCTTGAGTTATAACCGTAATATGATCGCTTCTCGGACATAATATAGTATTGATTCAATTCAATTACAAAAATTGTTCTGCAGGAGAAAGAAACAATTATCTGTTATAAATATTATGCAACGAGCTGCTTCTAGAATGTTGTGCACCTTTCGCAATTTTGAGTAAATATCTGATTGGATTTGAGTACCAATTTTGTAAAATATCACCAAAAAAAGTACAATACAATCTATTGCCGGATACTCTGCTGGAAGCCTCCTAGATCAATGATGGCCAGCAGACTCTTTGAAAGCATTGTAATCCATTGTTATGTTCTGTCTCATTCTTATGGATGTAGTCCTCAGGGTTTGCAAGCAATAGCAGCCAAGGTAGTCATCCATAATTGTTCTTATTTTTGGCACGGACTTTGGAAATAGGCAAAAAGAACAGATATGGAAGCGGAAGTTTACTCAAAATTGCTCTTCACATTTCTTTTCTTACAACTGACTGTACACTGTTTATGTGCTTTAAATAAAATAAAGCATGGCATACCCCTCCCGGAAACCAGAACCATACATACAGACAATATGCAAGCATTGTACACAACCGCTTGAGTTTTTACCTGCAGTGGGTACAAAGAATACTTTTGTCAACGTAGAATGTTGGTCATGCCGGACCATTTCGACTGTAGAGGTGGACTCTACCGGCAAAAAAGTAAAAGATGAAGTAGATGACAAAAGGAAAAAGTCAAACTTTTCAAAAAAATGGACAAACAATAAGCGAGGAACAGGTATGTAGTATCTTTCAATTTAATAGCAACAGAAGCTTGTTGTGGCTTATGGGTAAGTTATTCTTTCTGTCAGATCAAAATCCAGTCTCTACAGAATATTATGATGTGTTAGGTGTGTCACCACAATCCACTGATAATGATATAAAGAAAGCATATCGAAAATTAGCAATAAAGTATCATCCCGATAAAAATCTGAACAATCCTGAGGCGGAACAAAAGGTAAAAGCATGGTCAGGAAAAAACTTCAAATGATTGATGCGTCTTTAAGTTGATATGATTTTTTGTCCCAGTTTATCAAAATATCTGAAGCATATCAAGTGTTATCTGATCCTGTACTTCGTAAGAGGTATAATGAATATGGTGAGGAAAACGGTGTACGTCCAGATGGAGGATTTGGTAAGTAACAGAGTGAGGTGGCAAGCTTCTTTTCATAGTTACATACCACTCATTTCTGCTCTATACATACAGTTGACCCAGAAGACTTCTTTAAACAATCTTTCGGCGGAGACCGATTTGTCGACATTATCGGTGAGATTACTATCGGCAAGGATATGAAAGAAGCGCTTGAAAAGCATGAAGAAGAAGAACAGCTAGATCCCAAATCACTTCCGCCTGAAGAAAAGCACAAGCGCGAATTAAAACGTCAACAGTTGCAGCAAGAACGAATCGAGTTGAAGGAGAAAAGGATCAACACTTTAGTAGAAAAACTTATCAACAAACTGAGTCTTTATACCGAACTGGTTGATGTATCCGAGGAAGCACGTGTGGCTGCTTTTACAAATATTATGCAAATTGAAGCAGAAGATCTGAAATACGAAAGCCATGGTATAGAGTTATTGCATGCCATTGGAAATACATATATACTGAAAGCAACGCAGCATTTGAACAAACGGATTGCGTTTGGACTAGGCCGTATGTTTCATTCCATGAAAGAGAAGGGCTATATTCTTAGTGAAACAGTAGGAACGTTAAAATCTGCCCTGGACCTTCAATCGAGTTTTTCAGTTTTACAGAAGATGGAAGAAAAAGGTACTCTAACAGACGAAGAGCGAATGAAATTGGAAGCGCAAGCTGCTGAAAAAGTAAGAAGTTTTTTATAAGAGTGGATAGTACAAAATGAAGCAGCAAAGATTTGCTAAAAGTCTTTTCCAACTGTTATTGTAGGGCTTCCAAGCCATTTGGAGAGGATCGAAAATGGAAGTAGAGAGCGTCTTAAGGGAGGTGTGCGAACGGGTCCTAACAGATGCTTCTGTATCGCCTGAAAGTTTAAGAAGCCGCGCTATTGCGCTAAAGTTACTGGGAACAATTTATATAAAAGTGCAACCTGATGTCACACCAGAAGACATACCTATACCGCAGACCAATGCTATACACCAGCAATACCAGCCTTCGTCAAATTCAACAACTAATAATTCTAATGATAATAATGCAAAATTAACAAATAATTCTTAACGATTAATTAAATTCGTATTTGTAATTTTCTTTCACTGAAATGCCTTATTGCTTTTCATCAAATGTCATTTTGCTTTGATATGATATTATTTTATACAGGAATAGCTTCTCTGGGCCCATCATTAATAATATCTCTCTTTTCAACCTGATTAGCCGTGAGATTATAATATTTGTGTCACTGTCTTCCCTTGGAGTGCGAGGGTCATACCACCTTCATTTCAAAGGGGTTGCAATGAAAATTCCAGTAGGAACAAGCGTGATAAAACTTTAAACTGAAGAACCTTTTCATTTTTGTGGCACGAGCCATTGGTTTGCTCCAATCAATGCGGGGAATTTTTTTTATCATTGTTGGCAATGAAAAAAAAAAAAAAAAAGAAAAAAAAAAAAGAAAAAGCACTAACCATAATAGACTGAATCAAAAAAAGCACAAAGGCAGAAAAGTTTTTTTTTTTTTTTTTTTTGATTCAAATCTGTTTTCTTCTTCTGATTCCAACAGTCAATTGTAATCAATTATACACATTCTTCAAATCAGCCTCATTGTAGCTTTTGATCACGACACTTACCGCATTCGTTGAAAGAAACGTACTCTACTTGCAAATGCTTCTTGATCTACTGGACAATGAGACACTTGCAAAATTATTTGGATATCTAAGTATTTTTTGTTGGATCATTGTCTTTACACCGTAAGTCATGGATCATGTACATATTCATATTTGAAAGAATAAGCTGTGGATCAACTTAATGCTTAATGCTCTGCCAAACAGGCAATTTTACGAAAACTATGTTGGTAAGAATACAGAAGGAGTCTCTGTGACATTCTTGTTATTATGGATCTTTGGAGATATTCTCAATTTACTGGGTGCTGTATTAGAGAAGTTACTTTTTACAATGGTATGACTGTTACAATTTGGATTCGGAAAAAGGAGAGGCTATTTATATGTTCTCAATCAACGGTACGCTATAGTTGTTACTAGCAATGTATTATTTGTTAGCGGATTGTTTGATTATGGGACAAGTGATCTATTACCGCAGGTTCTATAGCAAACGCTCCTATGAGAATGAAGAAACCGTTTATAACAGTAGAAAGAGTAGTTCAAATCCAACACCTTCATCTTCCACAATAATACCCTCTAAATCAAACTCTTACTCTACCTTCAACAATAATACCAGCAATAGTAAAATCGGCGGTAGTAATAATATCGGTAGCTCTATCAGTAGCAGCAACAGCTCCTCCAGCAGCAGTTCATCTTATACAAGCAATAGTACTATATCCAACAATGAATTCAGTGCATTGCTGAAGAAGAACAATCGGCTTGATAATGAAGTATCCTCAAATACACGTCGTGTCATTCGTTTATTTTTCGTATGTAGTATATTGATGTGGGTTGGCTTACTCGCAGGATCCGCATTATTCTTCTTCGGACCCAATCAAAAAGAAGTAGATCTCAATCAATGGCATTTATTACCGCAACTGCTAGGCTGGGGTAGTGCTATCCTTTACTGTTCCAGCCGTATACCCCAGATCATGCAGAACTTTCGAAACGAGAGTGTTGAAGGTCTTAGCTTGTGCATGTTTATTTTTAGTGTGATCGGCAATGTTACTTATTGCATGGTAAGTTTGATATGAAATACTGGATTTGCTTTAAGTGATTCTCCAACTTATCTGAAAAACTGTAGAGTATTATGTTGGATTCAATGGAACCCACTTATTTGTTGATTAATTATCCCTGGTTACTTGGCAGTGGCGGCACATTGTTCTTTGATTTCACTGTAAGTATTCTAATAATAATTGTGAAGGCATATGCAAATACTAAGTGATGTATGCCTCTGCTGTTCTTTCAGATTTTCTTCCAATTTTACATGTATCGCCATTCACCAAAAAACAATTTCAACAATATTTCACCAACTTGAAGGAAAGCAAAAAAAGAAGAAAAAAAAAAAAAAAGCTTTTATTTATAGACACTTGTAGATTGTACCTCTCGCAACAAAGTATTCCTTCTTACGGTTACCTTTTAGGGGGGGGGTTTAATTAATGTATCTAACGATATTATGATGTAACTTTAAAGGATTTATTATAAATTTTCCTGCAGTTGTAGACAACGCTTGTTCTTACATTAAGTTAGTATTTGCCTTGCTGTGTTTGAGTGTGCATCTGAGATTAAGAATAAAATTTTGCTTTATATTGCTAGCAAACAATTTGAGCGCTCATTTGCAATTATGTAAGTAATAGTGATCATCAAGACATGCAGTCTGTAGGGAGAAGTGGTGTAACGCAATATGGCAGTCTTTAATCTGTCAAGAATTCAGGAGTAAATTATCTGACACTTTTCCGTCTCACTTTCTTCCCATCTTTGCTTGTTATTTAGGCACAATACGATAACACAAGGAGAAGGGACAAATTGCGCAACTTTTGATGTAAAATTCTGGAGATCCTTCCGTATGTAAACAGCTCGGCGAACACAATTCATGTTAAATGAGAAAAGAGATAATCGATCTGCAATAAACAAAAAGAAAAAGATCATTTGACCTTGTTGATCTACACATATTTATACTTTTGTTACATATATAACTCGCTCTTCTCTCCTCTTTTCTTCTTATTACTTTTCTTAACAAAAATGACCCAACAACATCAGCAACAGCAGCAAAAAGTATCCTTGCCGTCCATCAAAAACATTTTTGAAGGCTTACTACATAATAGCAATCAGGGTATGTTAACTTCTTTATTACTTGGCAATAAGGCTTGAAGCACTCCTAATAACTAATTTATGATAGGTGAGGCTTCACCCTCCCGCCAAACGCAGCGTGGTATCAATAATGGTTTAGACGGGGCAGCAGCAATAGAAGCAGCCATTTCATTACAAAAGCTATCGTCATCATCCTTCCCGTTAGGTGGTTGTTTATCACATCAACATCAACAACAGCATAACAATAATCATCACAATTTCTTTTATCAACAAAAAGCCCATCGACGTACTGTTTCTGCATCAGTTGAGATACCCGTGACTCCTACGAACAACCATAAAATTGTCCCTTTCCACTTATATCATCCAGTCCAGCAGCAGCAACAGCAGCAGCAGCAGCAGCAGCAGCAGTACTTACATCTGCCAGCAGCAGCAGCAGCTAACCCAACAACTGTAATCAATGAAAGTCATCCTCTTCAGTTTTATTATTGCCGTGATCAGCATAGTGACACCTTACGGCAAACGGAGCATCAGTCACAATTGTTGGTGCACTTACAGCAGGAAAATCAGAGAGCAGCATGCTTTAAGGCTACTGCTGCTTTCTGTGAAAACAGTATGCAATTCGCTTTCCGTAAGCGTGCTAGAGCACACACCACTTCTGGTTACCTACCAACTGTATTGCATCATGCAGAGCCACCCATATTGCCCGTTTCTCATTGTCACCAACAACAGCGACTAGCGTATTACCCTCCACCCGACAATCCAATCTTTCCTTCTGCGGCAAATACTACTACTCCTCCTTCCAAAAAAACAAAGGATGAACAGCTCAACAAAATACCTATTCAAAAATTACCAGCAATGGCAGCTATCGTAACAAAGAAAAGCCCGCAGCCGAAAGCTCACCAAAAACCTGCTTTTAAATCTCCCGTTGCTACTACTCGATCACCCATCAGTATCTTCCCGCATACGACGACAATAAATAATGCCAGCAGCACTCATCGTTATCATTGTCAACATTGTCGAAAATCGTTTTCTCGACCTTCTTCCTTACGGATTCATATATATTCACATACCGGTGAAAAGCCTTTTCGATGTCACTATCCTGGTTGTGGTAGAAGCTTCAGTGTCCATAGCAACATGCGTAGACATTTGCGCGTTCATTATTATTATACGACAAATAATAACAACAATACTGCAGTAGCAGCAGCTGATATCACTGGTTCTCTTCCTTCAAGTACTACAACAATCCAAAAAGAGATGAAACCAGCAGATATTCATAGTATACAAATGCATTTGGTGCCTCATCTCGATAAGGTTTCAAGTAATACAATCACAAATGAAGCCCAGGACAATGAATGCAGTCCATCATCTTTAAGCGGTAACAACACTAATACCATTACTACGAAAGTAACATGCTGAGAGCTGTTGCAGCGTACGCGAATGTGTATTAAAAACGCCGTGATAAATGCTTCATACAAATAAAAATTTATGCCTTTATTTCGAACAAAGATACTATCAGCATTGTAAATATTTGGTTACCTGACACGTTACAGCATATTCATACATTATTAACATGTTAGTCTGTCCTTTAATCGTTCGAGATCGACATTCTGCATATCAAAATTACGTACAATTACAAGAGGGAATATCATTTCCAACTTTCCATAAAAAGAATGTCTGTGCATTGTTAGAATAATGAAAAGCTTTATGACAAATTCATCTGTATTGAAACTGTTTGTGCATGAAATTTAAACAAGTTGTTTCGTATTTAAGTTTATAGATCTGCATCAAGAAAAGACTGCGGCTGTAAACATTTCCTCTTTTGCAAATGAAGATATGCTGTATCACCTAACATCTGAAGCTGGTTTGAAAACTCCAACTATTGCAAACGTAAAAACTGCCTTCACGAAGACGGACACTTCAATTATTGATGCTGTTTACTTTCTACATGTTCTTTTCGGCACATACTGTTGGGAAGGAAAGCAGCTTAATGATCTCATGCTAGCAGCAAGCACTGGCACTACAGCTGAGAAAAGTGCGAAATAATACCTTACAAGTATAATGGGTAGAAGCTACAAAGAATTAAAAAAAAAAAAACAATGCTCTGCATGATTGATTTATGGTGTCTTATTATTGAGGTAGCAATTTCAGAATACAATACGATCGTGTTGACTTTGAATGTTAATTCGTCATATGATGCAGCGATAAGTATGATACTCGATAGAGACGCTTCACCGAGCGAGAGCCTTGATTATTTTTCCATCGTTCATCAGCAAGTTATGCTTCCTTAGCTGAAAGCCGTTAAAAAGTATCACAAAAAGTGATGGGGTTCACCTTGCAGGAGAAAAAGCTTAAATTTTCTTGCTGCTCACACCAATTTTTACGGTATTTCATCGCTTGTACATTACTTGTGAATGAGCAATGTTAATTATGACATTGCAGAATTGGGTGAATAGAGCAAGTCATTTGGCAAGGCCAACCCTATTTGGAAAAACTTACGCCACTTCAAGGACTCCAGACATTCAAGTTGACAACGTGGTTATAGGTGCAGGTGTTATCGGTTTAGCTATCGGTGAGAAAATAACGCGGGAAAGACCACGAGAGACGACTGTGGTGATAGATAAAAATGGAAGGATAGGCGAGGAGACAAGGTAATATGGACTTTTTTAACACGAACGCGGTAATTGAGATAATGGTTGGTATTAACAAGTGAGAAAAACGCTTGCTTCCCTGTGTATTCGACACTAAATTACAGTGCGCGTAATAGTGGGGTCATTCATGCAGGTCTTTATTATCCTGAAAATAGCTTGAAAACAAAACTCTGCATCCGAGGAAACCGCATGCTTTACGATCTTTTCAGATGCACCGAGAACATTCCGTATAAACGGCTTGGAAAATGGGTAGTAGCGCAGAATGAGGAGCAGCATCAATATCTTCAGAGCCTGCACGAAAAGGCGAACAAATTGGGTGTCGAGACTCATTTTCTGGACCAAAACGAGGCAAATAAGCAAGAACCAGACATTAAAGCACATTCTGTCCTTGTCTCCCCAAATACAGGCATTTTTGATCCTCATGCGTTCATGGATCATTTAGAGCTTCAAATAACGCAAGCAGGTGCAAACGTAGTTCTAGGCACAAAAGTCAATGCCATTCGCACATATAGTAATACTGGAGGTAATAATGGTTATTTGTTGGATTTAACGACCCAAGATCAAGAGTCACTCGTGTTAGCTAAGCGTGTCTTCAACTCAGGCGGCTTACATGCTGATAAAATAAGTAACATGCTCCTTGGTGAGCAACACTATAAACTATATTATGCTCGAGGACATTATTATGCTTACGGCAAATCACTTCCCGTCAAACATCTCATCTATCCATGCCCAGAAAAGAATCTCAGTGGGCTGGGCACGCATTTAACTCTGGATCTAGCAGGTCGTAGCAAATTTGGGCCTGATGTGCAATATATTGACTCACCTTATAATTATAACTTCCCCGATGATGATACAAAGAAGGAAGCATTTGTAAATGCAATTCAGACTTATTTGCCTTCCATAAAGAAAGAGAATCTCCATGCCGATTTTTCTGGTATTCGTCCCAAATTAGCAGGTCCTGGTGAGCCATTCCGCGATTTTGTCATTAAAGAAGAGCTGGATACAGGGTTCGATAATTTTTTCACGCTGCTGGGAATAGAAAGCCCAGGCTTAACGTCGTCTTTAGCGATTGCTGACTATGTCTATTCTTTAGTACGTAACTAAAAAAAACTGCAAGTTGTCATTGATGGCAAAGAGAAAAAAAGAAAAAAAAATAAAATATTATAGACTGAAATAGAGCATTCTCAAGAAAGTTAATGAAAGAAATATAGATATGAGTTATAGTTGTGTATATAAATAAAGTTATGTATACAGGTTGTTTTGAGAAATGTACGCAATAACTTGTTATGAGTGTGTGTGGATACGGGTTGTGAAGAGGAAGATTAATTATCGCATCATCGGTAACTGCTTGACATTGTTTCCTTGATTCTTTATTTACTGTTTTCCTTGGTAACATTGCTACTATCATTTGTTATGGGTGTTTCTTTTTTCCGTAAATCATCGAAATAAGGATCTATGTAAATATTAAAACCGTCAGTAAAGCAAAGTATCTCTTAGCTTTCTATTATAACAAATTGTCTCACGTTGTAAGGCGTCGCTTGCAGTGATACGTTTTTCAGGCGGGTATTCGAGCAGACGCTACAAAATATAATGGCTCTTATCAATCATTATTCCCTTTAATTTCGCATTGCACAGTTTCGCACCATACCTTCAATAAATCGATGCCATTTTGATCAAGTTTTGTAAGTAGACTTTCTAACTGTATACTAGGATATATTTCGAAATCGCGCTAAAGATACAAGGAAGGTGTCAGAGAAAAGTATAATCCTTTACATATCCTCTATGAGGTTGATCTAGTGATGAATTACTTTATACTCTGGTAACTGAGTCACCTTTGGCCAATTATCTTCTGTTGGTGTGCCTAATACTTTAAAAATTCTCTGTAATTGATCGGCGATGGAGCTGCCGGGGAAAAGTGGCCTTCCAGAGGCCATCTCTGCAAATATACATCCCGCTGACCATAGATCAATAGATTGTGAGTATTGACGAGAGCCCATAAGAACATCAGGTGCACGATACCACAAAGTGACTACTTCATGTGAATAACTTCGTACAGGAATACCGTAGGCTCTAGCAAGACCAAAATCACCCAATTTCAGTTCACCTTTCTGTTTATAATAATGCATAGCCTGTCAGTTTCTTTCGTTTCATTACGGCTTAAACATTCTATATCTTTTTTTTTTTTTTTTTTTTTTAAATGAAATATACCTTATTGATAAGAAGATTCTGAGGTTTCAAATCCTAGAATATCGATACAAAATCAGTGAAACTGCATCGAATGTAGAGCTCCTATAACAAAAAACACTTACTCTGTGTAAAACTCTATTAGCATGACAAAATGCTATGCCTTTCAATAACTGGTACATCAATTGCTGTATAGTTTAACCGTATGGAAACTGTTGTTAACACTACACACTGACAATCCTAGCTACTGCTATCTTCTTTTTCTCTTTACCTTCAAAGTAATCACATCTATATCACCACCATATGAATCAAGAAATTTTTTCAAATCAGAATCGAGATATTCGAAAACGAGCGTCAACTTTTTCTCTGTATGCAAAACGTCATATAATCTATTTCCTCACAAATGGTTGCAAGATCCAATTTCAATAAAAACCTTATACATTCGTATGTATATACGTGGTTTGTAACTGTGTACCTGACAATATTTGGATGCTTCAGTTCTTTTAATAGAGAAATTTCTCGAATGGCTGTGCAAGGGACCTATTAAAGGTATAAGAAAGTCGTTGCTGATTTAGAATGCAGAATAGGAAGCGATGGAGGTCTACCAACTGCTATTTCAGTATCCTTACACCTTCTTCTTCATTATCTAAACGTATACGTTTCAAGGCCACCACTTCGTTCGTTTCACGGTTTTGTGCCTTGTAGACAATCCCGTATGTGCCTGATCGAACAAGAATGTAAGATCTCGAAAGCAGTATATAGTTTAGTCGTAATTTTACCTTCACCAAGTTTTTCGATTTTCTTTATAATTGCATTACAAATGCATATTAATGAACAAGATAGACAGTTGTACTATTTCCGAAAAAAAAAGGTGCTTACTTGATATTTATCCATATAGTTACAGTTTTGTTAATAAAAGAAGGTTGTAAAAGTAAAACCGAGTAAAAAGACAAAGGCTAAAAAAAGCAAAACAGAATAAAAGTAAAGGCTACAGTTATTTTAATTTGGGTTTAGACGAAGCTGCAATATAACTAGACGAAAAAAATGAATTTTTGAGATAATTAAATTATAATTTCAAGATCGTACAACACAAAAATTGAGACGCTTACCTGCAAAAATCAAACCAGCTTCGTGCTGGCGATTAGAGGATGGTGTTAAGTGGTTGTTGCGGGTGATTTTGGTTTTTTAGAAAACTCCGCAGGCCTTCACGTTGACTTCCAAATCGAAACGCTAATTGCCAACATGTTTTTAGCAGCGTTGACGTCCCGGTTCCAAAGTATCGAACAGGTTTTGCAGGCAAGGATACTTTGGCCGGGAACAGTCTTCAATGCTTCAAGATTGTTGGGACGACAATTATTGCATATTCGAGAGGTTTTGTATTCATCAATTGTTATCGTCAGTAAATCGCCAGCAGCCTCTCTTCGCTTCAAGGCACGCCAAAGAACTCCCACGACACCAGTCTTATGGCCTTTGATGGGCACTGCACTCTTCCCGAACATGCCATTACCAACTACAATCAAAGGGATCTTTTTAGTGTCGCCTACACTAAAGGGTTCAGGCTTCCACTTGTTCTTCAGGGAATTGCTGTAGAAGCATGAGTTCTATCAATATTTCTGCGAATAATGGATGAATTGCTTATCATTTAAAAACCTTACCTATCTTTCTTAGCTAGAACATTGCTTACTTATCTCGCATCTGCTTCTTCCCTCTCTTCTGGAACCTTTTGCTTCTTCTTCTTCTTCTTTTTACGTTTACAAAAGGCCATTCTGTCGGTATTCTTCTTTGGCCACTTGCTTCGATCTTTCTTCTTCTTCAATCTCAATTGCTTATTGTATTTTGTGGTTCCAATAATAAGCAAATTGACCATGTTGTTGGCAGCACGCTCTTGACCCTGGTATAAACGAAATATGTCTTCAGCAGTTCTCTCGCCGTAAAAAGAAAACAAGGCTTCGAAGTGCTGCAACATATATTGTACATGACGGTCATGTTGTTCGATGATAGAAGTTTTGGCGGTTGGTATGCCACTTTCGATCATTTTAAGTGTGCCTGCTTTCTTCTTTTCCAGCTTTGCAGCGTATCTGGTACTTCCGGTCATATGATAATATTCCTTGGTAGAGCAGCTGCGTACTTGATGTTTGTTATGATCTAGTCCGATTGTCGCTGTGAAGACAGATCTTCGCCCTGGATCAAGGAAAGCGGGTCTGTAATTGTCTTGTACTTCGTCATAAGAAAAATCTTCCAGAGTCAAGGTGTGATTATGAATGGTCATGTCTTCTTTTGTTTTCTTTTTGCGGCTGAACAAAAAGTCTACAGTAAAACCGTCCGACCTAACCATGTTTTGAAACATTACATTAGAACTTTCCTTCAAAGCAGTTAGACTATGACACAAGCAAAAATACGGGTGTGGTTACTATTAGGGATAATTTTGCTGAAGAAGTTCTTCTATAGGTTTTACCTCTTAAAGCCAAACTTTTTGAAGTCGAGGCCTTTACAGAATTGTTCGAGTTGGGCTGTATAACCTTTGGCAACTTTTCCATTCGAGGGAATGACCCTGTAAGTCACAACTGATACACTTGATATCTCCAGTTGTTTGCTTCTTCTTTCTCTTTGCTTGCTTCTTTTCTTCCTTGATTGTAGCTGATTGCTTACGTTTCTTGCCGCTACTTCCAACTAAATTTCCGTTAAGCAAACATAAACTTGTCTTGCAGTGAGAGCATGATACTTACCATCACGCGCAGAAACTGCTTTGTAAAACTTGCATTCATGGTATGCCTTGTTGAAATGTCCGCGTGTTTTGCAATCCTTGCACTCGATGCTTACTAGTCATACGAAACATGAATTGAGGATTACCACTATAACCTATTTGTGGCAGCGCGCTCTTGTGTTACTTACGGAAGGACTCATCTTTGACTTTCTTCTTATGGGCTTCTGCCACCGATTTGATTTTTTGCAAGATTTTGGCTTTGTACATGGTGAGTAGTAGCTATCAGGATGAAGAAAGAAAGTATGAAAGAAGTATAACAAGAAGAAGATGGAAATCAAAAGAAAGATGTCAAAGTTATCTTCTGTAAATTCTTTGAATTTGACAACATTTATTTTTTATTACGATTGACAACAACAACCGTGGTCTATGTGGCGGAAGAACCTATTGCTGATAGGACCTGTGTCACACTAAAATACTCAGTACGTCTCGTAGTACTTTAACGTATTGCCACTATCAAATTGAAAAATGTCCACTGACTTTCAAAATAATGTCTCCAATTATTTATTCAATGAATCGTCCAAGAATACTATACCATTTCATCCTAAAGTAATTTAAAATTATCTAAATTATAGATATACATTGTCCAAAAAAATATGTATCAAGTGTAAAATTGAAGCCAAAACACTGTATTTTGCTGTTCTTGAAATGAGCAACAAATCTCAGTTATGCAAGAATATTATTGCTCTTCCTTTACTTGTGAGGATTCCTCATTATTGTCAGTAGCGCCACGTTGCATTTCATCCACCAACATTTTGTACACCAGTTCTCTAAGTTCTTCTTCATCTGGAACACCATCCTGCTCTTTAACTTTATTGATAAGATCTTCCATTTTGGTAGTAAGTTCATTAAGCGCTTCATCGTCCTTTTCACTGATTTCGTAGGTAGATGGTTTAGCATCGCTTTCAACATGAGCTAGAGTATTTTGTTCCTCACCATCCTGTGGTAATTCTTCTCCTGTTTTGTTGGCTAAGAAAACTGCTACTTCTGTCCATCCTTCTTCGTGTGCTGTTAAGGCAGGTGTAATACCTTCTTTATTCTTATGCTTGGGATCTGCACCATTGTTTAATAGAAGCTCGGCCATTTCTACAGTTTCTGCAACATAAAGTGGAGTATCCTTATCAAAATCCTCAATATCAACATTGGCTCCATTTTTGAGTAAATATTCAACAATTTCTTTTTGATTATAAGAAACCGCAGCATGCCTATTAAGTCAAGTCTGCTGCATTAATTGCAAATTCCATATCAAAAATGAATAATCATTGATACCAACATGGCTGTATATCCAAATTCATCATGACTATTGACATCAATTTTGTCGACTTCGATCAATTCCTACAAAGGAGGCAACGTCAATTCTATAGATCGATTAAATTATAAAGGCTAGATCTGAACTTACTCTGACCCGATCTAGTTGTCCATCACCTATTAAAGAACGAGAATAAAATAGTAAACGTCAATATTATCATCAGACAAAACCCCTGAATATATAATGGAGTTCACATTTACCAGCAGCGACCCATAAGTTATCTTGCGATGTAGGTGCTTTCATCGTCATTGAATATAGAAGAAGAGTGTTTTTGAAATAATTCTCAAAAACAAAAAAAAAACTCCACAGAAATTTGGATTGCTGTGAATGATTTTGCAAAAGGGACGAGCTCCGCTAAAATGTAGGTGATAGCAGTAATGTTAGGGCTTCACAGTCTCATTTACAGGAACCGAAGAATTATTTGCTGTTAATGATGGTGGCATATTCAATTACTAATTACATTATATTTTCGCTAAGCTGCATGAGTTATTTGAACATTCTAGATCGTTTCTTGAATTGTTCCACTTCAGTTTTGCACTCAAATTATATATTCACTCAACTTGTTCGATTAGTGTAGTGTTCTTTATCGGGCTTCTCGATAATATAAATTACAAAAAAAAGTAGGTTGTTAGGATTACACATAATGCAATAATAGTTGGTCAGCTCGCGTAAAGGAGAGCTATTAACGACAAGCCCAAAAATGATCTTCAAGAAAGACTGGCTTAACGGTCTCGTGGCGCTCTCTCCTAACTCTGTTTGATTGAAGACGTATCAATTGTAGAATTAATGAAGAATAGCAGACATCAAAAGTTTAAGCAACGATAAGTAAAGCGCGGTAGCATAAGCCAAATGGTACGAGTCAATACTTCTGGTTAGCTTTGTATTTAATTTGCAGTGCTATCCTTGAAATAAGAAAATATAGTCCTTCTATTTCTGATAAAGTACAACAAAAACAATGAGGAACGTGCCTTCTTTCTTCCTTAATCGATATATAGTTCCATAATTTATTCACAAGTCATCGAGAAAGAAAGTTAATGAAAGTGATTTCCCTAAGAAGCAGAAGTTTGAAGGAAGGAGCGCAAAACTCGAACAGACAGACGAACTTGATAGCATAATCCGAGGATATCGATTATACAAATATCACGTCAGTAGCGAAGCAATCATATGATAGATTCAGTTGTTCCTCGTATTCAAAAGAGGCTAGATAACAAAATATTCTTCTGCTTGGGATGACGATTACGGTGTAGTCCCTGAATAGCTATCAAAATATAACTTACATAATAGAACATTGCTATTTCTAAACTCGTTGCAGAGGTGTACTTATAAAAGGTCAAATTCTACAGATACCCCTTCTCACGTGTTTTTTCCAGCAATACTCAAAATTGCTCTTACAACAAATTCCGCAGTTCTGTTGAGAGCATTGATAATGACGAAACAACAGGAAAAGGGCATATGTATTCTAAATCATAGAGAGGCAAACAACCCTTCAAAGAGTTACATTCAACAACACGTACTTTCAAGTACAACCGTAAAAGTCCCCTTATACAAAATAAAAGCTGCAATATGTTCATCATTAAAGCAACTTCAGATAAGTGAATTTAGATAAAATTGCAAAGCAGAAGAATGATAGAGAGTAACTGTTCTACAACTAATCCACTTAGAAATATTTGTATCAAAAATTTTGTGCCAAACAAAGTGATATATATATAAATACTGCTATTATATGGAATCAGAGGTATCATGGTCTATTGTGGTATCATTCATTAGTAGCTGTTCGAATTTGAGACAAGCATCCAATCCAGATTGCATATTCAAACGCCCTGTTTGGAAGTACAGTAATTTGTCCCAGTCAATAAACTGCTCCATTTCCATATCTCTTGTAACATCTCGTGGTTTGAGCTTTGATGTAAGTGGGTTAAATTCACGTATCTCACTAATGAAGAAAGGAATTGTTACTACAACAATGGTCAATGAAAGTACAAGTAACAGCAGACTTACTCATCAGGTATATCATATAATTCTACAAGCAAATTTTTCGTATACAGTAAAATACACATAGCAATAGCTAGTTTGAATGTCACAGTAATGTCATCATCCAAAGCAGTGCTAGTGCTTTCGTTGTTTGTCACAACTTCATTCTCAAGACTCGCGTTACTGAGCACACCTTTTTTCTTCAGATATTGGATATAGGACGAAAGATCAGCACCTGTGGTAAAGAAAATACGATCCATAATGTGAACCATATGGAGCACTTCATCCGTAGAGCCTAAGTCTAAGGATATAGCATTTTCTGCAAGATATTGAAGGTAGCCAATATCAATATCATCTGCTGACGCAGTTTTCATATCGTATTCAAAAGGTTTGATCAGCCCGCATAAGAAATCAAGCTTAGATTTCTTCTTTTCTTTCAAAACTGAATAAGTCAAACCGAGAACAGACTCTACTTTAGCATCACCTCCTCTTCCCCTACTATAACCTGAGAGTTATATAAAGCTATGTTATCACGCGTTCTTATTTGGCACAAAATCATTTGCTTCCACACTACCTTTAACGTTATCACCGGATGAGATTTTTTGATATGCATATGATGTACTGAAACACTCGTTCAATTGAACATATAGTAACTGGCCATACTTATCATGGGCATATTTATGCAAATAATAAGCCTTCATACGCAATGTCATATCCATACTAGTTTCTGCAGCGACAATAACTTGCATACATAATACAGGATGAGCTAGGCCTTGCTCAATGATCGATGAAACGACTTCAAAAGCAGCATAACGCAATTGCTCGGATTCATTCGAGAGTGTGCATTGCAAAATTTTCTTCAAGTATCGCTGCATCAACGACCCATTGACGCCTAGTTCGGCATATTCTTCTGTATTACCTAACAGAGTATCGACGTCTATTAAACTTTTGCTTTTTATCGCAAGCGCTTCGCCTGCCAGAATTTCTTTTTTGCCTAATCGCTTTTCTTCGGCAGCCAGGAATTCTTGGTATACATGCATAAGTTGAATTTTCATTTCGACAGCTGCAGATTCCTCGTTCGACAATGAGAGTATATTGTCCATCAGTTTAATGCTGGCCTGAGATATCATGAAGGTGGGATAAGAAGCGAAAAGGTAGCCAAGGCCTTGTAGAGCAGTCATGCGAAGTGTCATACCCTTGTTGCTGGATTCTCTTTCTGTTACTGATACTGCTTCAAGATTGTACATTTCCTCACTAGTAAAGAACTGTAATATATCGAACACTAACAGATTGATACTGCCCTTATAAATAGAGTCCAGTGATTTCATATCTTCAGGATTTTGTTCGCGTCTCTTGTCGAACTCGAAGTGCTGGCATAATAGTCCACAAATCAATAACATCTTCAAGACACCAGCGTAGGAGTTGATATCTGACTCGCGACCACTTCTGATGAGCTCACGAAGACCGCTTAATTTAGCTATAATTTTTGCAAGTGAACTATTTAGTATACATCATTTTAAACTGAAGCAAGGATTATGTATTACTTACTTATACATGAGCCAAGCATTTTGATAAGAATATCGTATCGGTGAGATAGACTATCTACGATAGTACATAAGCAAGACACCCCATCCGGTATTAAGTTTAGTGGACAACGACCGAGAAGCTGCATCAGCAGTCTTTCAACGGAATGGATAAAGCTTGGATCATGATACTTCATATTAGGTAAAACGTCACGATAAATGGTAAGAGTATAGTGCGCTTTAACCCAATCAGCCTATGCAAGTAAATCAAATGTTCATTTAGTATACTAATTGTAAGCTTATCTACACTATGCGAGCTAACTTACCTTCGCTGTAACAGTAAGATAAGGTTGCAGCAAAGAAATGTGTGATTCGCGTAACATATCAGGACATGTTTTGGTAAAAGAATATACAGTTGCCAAACAATTGATGAACTCTTCGGAATTATCCTCTTCTTCGAATTTGATTAATCCGTCAAACAAGCAATCTACAATCCATTGGAATACTTTATCATACCACAATTTATCCTTATCGTCGGCCCCATCAAGTGTCTACATTTAAAGCAAGAAATAGTCAAAATAAGTAAATGCAATACGCTAAATAGTTAGAAATAATTCTGTTACCTTTTGAATGATTTGTGTTAAAGCGATATTCTGGCCTATAAAGGTCGAATTCAATTTTGACACAGCACCTGTAATGATACTTGTCAATTGCGTGATCTTGTGTTTCCGACTTTTCGGTGAATTAGCATATGAATAGCCGAAGTAATCATTGGCGCCTTGACCCTTATCCATCTCTTTAAACGGCTCGAACAAAATTTTCTGAGTTGCTTTCAACGCTAACTGATTTACTAGCACTTCTTTATCGCTCATTCTCAAGATCAATTTTGAAGCAATATCCGTTTTGATGTTAAGATCCGAAAATTTGGGATAGAGATCGGCTAACAGCTTCACTAATCTTTTACGAACTGGCACTGCTGTATCAATAATTCTTCCGCTTACAACATTATAGAGTTTATGCAGCAGCTTCACATTTTCTTGATCATAATTGAGTTGAACTAAAAACCGTGCTACAACTTTGAGAGCAGCGTCACGGACAGAAGGGGAGTTATCATGAACACGATGCAGAATGGCTGTACGAATACGCGTATCATTCATGATTTCAGGTACTTGAATAGCCAATTTCTCGAAAGCCTTGAGGGATTTGGTTCGATAAACAACGCCATCCTTTTCTAAACAAGTAAGTAGCTCAGCAATGATATAATGTAAACTAGTATAAAGTGTTTGACGAGAGGCTAGAAGTACACACAGTAAATTGTAGTCTTCTCTACTGGTCGCTTCTGTTAATATTGAATCATGGTTTGGTATACAAAATTTGGAGGGGGGGAAAGCTTGACAATCAATATTCAAGCACTTCAACCAGTAATATTTACAAGTATCTTCTAATAGCAACACAGCCTCTTTCGGCCATTTTGAATCTTCCTCAATCATACCGTTGTCCTTGCCTAATAACCTGTCTATGCTTGTACAAACTGTAGAATCAGGCTCTACCGTCAGAATATCTTCATTTTCCGATCGTTGATTAACCGTGGTATCAGTAATGGCTGCTTCATTAGCGATATTGTCTTCGGTGTTCTCTTCATTCACTATGGGTGCTGTTTGATCCTTCGCTTTAACAGTTGGAAGTCTTTCGTCTTCAGCTTCCCAACCCTTATTTGCTTTCAACCAAAGAACCGATTCCATGAAACCCCAATTACATAAGTAATACTGAGCAATGCTCTCACTGGTATTTTCTTGTATAATATAATCCAATAGCTTTTTACGACATTGATCTATAAGGGCAATAGAGCTGGTTGGTGTTTCCATCCCCAAATTCATCGGCAACGTTTCATGCATCGAGCAGATCCATTCAGGCCCGTAAGCTCCGGCTGTTCCAGATAGTCTATTATAGTCAGTTTTGATTCTGCAGGCTATATTGCCAAGCCATTCAATGGCAATGGATTTGAGGAAGTGGTCATTTGTATTTTCTTCCAACAGAGACATCTATCGACACAGTCGTTTAATTTTCAGTTCAATGAAAATGGTTTATGTCTATAATCCATTTTAATCTTACCAGAAGACGGCTGAAGACTCTGATAATGAGCTCTGCTACAGGCCATTCGGGATCATTTAAAACTGTCATAATATCTTCGAGTGTTTGGTTCAAAATTTCACGATATTCGTAAACAGAAATAGAGTCTTGCTTCCTCGATTTACATCTGTGAGGATGCATACGGTATTAGCACTCGAAGAAACATTCTATACATCCTTTCCAATATGATACATACTTTGACATCAAAAATTCTAAGACAAAAGAGGCACTACTCGCTGCTGCTTCGGTACTCGACTTCCATGCATTCGCTGCTCTTTGTGTCAATTTATCATCTAATATTTTCAGCTGTTTTACATTCTGATTTTTTGTTGCTTTCTGATACTGAATCGTCCACTTTTTGAACCAGTTTCGATGGGAAGTGGCATCCGTAATCGCGGCACAACATTGTACCAACTGCATGAATAAAGCACTTGTAATGTGAATGGATCGATTATCCTGCAATCTATAACGACGTTGCTTGCCACTATCAATAACTGCAGTTAAGGAACCTATACTGGTCAAAATTTCTTCAAAGATCCATTTTCGCTGTTTAGGGTAATGGCTGAAAATATTTTTCAATATATCAAGGGCACAATATTTGAGTTGCTCATACAGGTTGAAAGTGGAATAGTCGTTCTTTACGCTACTGTTATTGGTGGTTACCCTGTCATTACTATCGTCGAATAAAATACATGAATTGATAGTATTATCAATAAATTCGTGAGAAAATGGAGCTACACTGATGTAGGCAATAATAACAAGGACATCATCGCCAAGCTCCTCAGATTGAATGAGCGAATAAAGTTGGCGGAAGAAACGAATGATGTTGGGTAGGAATGTGGCAATTGTCCTTTTATGGGCTTGTGAAGAAGATTGTATAAGTTTGACAAAATGGTATGCTTGAGTGGTTGTAAATAAATCATCATCACCCTCGTCTGCGAACAGACTCAAATCGATGATCGGATATATTGTAAAGTCTAATTGGTTTCGTACCAGATGTAAACAGCTCGTCACTAAATCTTTTGACAAAAGCTTCTTATTGCTATCGCTGCTGTTATCCACCAATAATAATACCTCAAGAATCACACAACATGCTTCTAATGCTTCTGCTACAGTTGTTATCATTCTTAAAGCACTTTTTCCATTCTCTTGAGGATTCTTACTGTAATGATCTATTGCATCCATCTCAGTAGCAACTGTTACATTATTTTCCATCAAGCTGACTACCTTACTGAATTTCTCCATATCATCGATGGAGTTCGTCGATTTATCACGTTTGACAACGTTTCGAGTTAAAAAGAGAAATTTCCTCATTACTGTGATGTCTAGCATAGGTATATCGTCGTTGTTGCTGAAGGTTAAAAGTGAATCACTTTGTTTGATCTTATCTTCATTAAATTTGTCGAGATCAGCGCAAATCATCTTAATATAATGGTTCAATCGACTTGAAATTACTGATAGGTATTAAAGGTAGTGGATAGATTAGAGAAAAGGGAAGAAAATGCATAGTAATTTCAAAAACTTACAGTCGGTGCCTGAGGATTCATTGCTACTAGACATAGTCGAAGGGTCATTGAATATGGCCAATGGTGCTTTGAAATTGTCATTGCTTTTAGCGGTATCTGTAGGTTGTAAAGACACTGTCATTTTGTTGGATTTCGATGAAGGCAGCAAGGGTACTTTGAAATTACCATTCTCTGATGCTGGCATCAAAGGCACTTTAAACCCTCCGGGTTTTGATTCTGAGCACTTTCGATTGGACACTAATAGCGGTAAAGGTGTTTCGAATTCGTTTTTCTCTATTGAGGGCACCTTGAAACCATCAGTCCCGATCACAGATTCCCTTGCTGCGACACATGGCGTTGCTATTGGTTCGCTAGCAGAAGTAGGTGTGTAAAGAGTAGGTGATTTGGATGGCTTTTCCTCTGCATTTTGCAGAGTAGATCTTGTTTTCGTTGCTGTAGTTCGATGAACTTTTGACCTTTTTGACAAATCAAATATCTTGCTTTTTGTAGTAGATGGAGGCGTCGCTACTTGAGGAAGTGGTTCCTTATTCTCGGTAAGCTTTTTTTTTTTATTGAAATTCTTCCGCTTTAATGTTGGTACATGAATTCGCACTGTCACCTCTTGAGGTTTTCTTTGTGCTTTAAAACGACTACGTTGGTTCAAAGGAATGTTGTCCTCATCCTCGCTACTTTCACTACTGCTATCAGCATTACTGTCATCGCTTTCTTCTTCAATGATTCTTTTCGGCCGTTTTCTGACTCGTAAGGGTGCGATGTCTTCCATAACTTCCTCATCAATAACAGTACTATTAACAGCCTTCTCTGCTAATGTTGTTGTCATTATGTTACGCCTCCAATCCACTTTACTCAAGGTACACAACAGCTACAAAAGAAGAAAGAATTCAATTCGCGTGTAAAAAAGTGGAATTGAGCGGAGCTGAAACCCAAAAACGCGCTTGAATCGTGTTTTTAAGAAGCCTCAATCATTCTTTTAATTTCTTTGTCTGTCAATCTAGGCGATTTGCAAAGATGGAAAATCCTTACGAACAGCAGCAAAGCGCTTTACTAATCCGTATCGTTACTAATGTCAAAAGGCTCAACCAGACAATGACAGATTTGAACCAGAAGTTAGAGACATTAAACAGGTACAATAGTGATGTGGTACTCATAGCCGACATGTGGTCTGCCTATAATGAGTCTGTCCGTATTCATCTTGACAACACGAAAGCTTTGGATGATCCGAACGATGCAAAGGTGACGACGAAATAGTGAAATGTAGCCAACAATACCAGTGCGTTCTAAGAGAGTCATATATGACTAATAAAATGCAGTTGGAACAAACAATTGATACCCAAAAAACATTGATTCTTTACTTTGAACCGTCTCGTCGCTATTATTTGAAGCACACAACTATTTAAAGAGAAAACTTGACACACACTACCAATATAGATATCTCTTTGATGCATATTTGACAATTTGAATATAGACAAAGCTTGTAGATAATTCATCTCCTTGCATCGTTTTATTAAAGGTTTTGCAGTTTTTGTTCTTTCAAACATTCTTCTAGGATGTCTATTATATTACTAAATCCCTTCAGAAGTTCAGGATCCTGTTCTTCTCTCTCGGCTTGCCAATCTGAATGTGCAAAATCAATCAATCGTAAATCGCACATTTTTGGTGTATCTGTCTCGTCCTCTTCTACCTCCTCGTCCTCAGCAACATTTCCTTTCTGCTTATCTTTTTTGTTAGGCTTGCTATCCTCCTCTAACATATAATTCCATGTCTTTTCTGCTACTGTACGATCTCCCTCGTAAATAAACAAAATCGAGGAGCCGATTAGACGTAAATTAGGATGACTCATGATGACTGCTCTAAGTTCCTTAATGGTGTCTATAAAACATTCTATGATCCATCTTGTATATTTGGTCGGTAACTTCTCTCTGATTATGTGCTGCTTTTCTTCCTGTTGCTGTGGCTCCAATTGATCGACGTCTGTTGTTGTTGTTGTTGGTTGCCGTTGGGAGAGATCATCCACATAAATTCTGTATTCCTCACTAGCTTTACCATACCGTGATGTTGGAAACAGATAAGCTAAAATAGCTTCTTTGATATTTTCGGGTGTCCGGCTCTTCCCGTATGCTTTTTGATAAGTAGCATATCTTCTATCTATTGAATCATAAACCTGAATAAGAAAGACTTAATTCTTTTAGTGATTGTGTTACAAGAGGCAGCAGCAACTATTTCATATCAGCATCCCTGAACCCAGTTACCTTCATACCGCTTATTCTCAATCCTAATGATCCTGAAGTAGTTGTTTTAGAATGGTGAATCATTCTATTTCGTTTTTCTGTTGTTGCATCTTGATCATATAATAGAGATCCCATTTTTAAATCCATAATACAAGGTCTAGTAAATCCATGCGATATATTCTCTAAGCATAAGTTTTGTGAAGAAGAATAAGAGTTAATGATAATATGAGTAGTAAAAGGTCGGATATCGTCTGACTATGATTTGAGTAAAATTTTCAAAAGGATATGATCTGTAGAAGTAGAGGCAGCGTTGGTATCCAGTTTGAGAGGTATATCATTGTTGACGTCATTCAATTCTGTGCTGTCTAGTAATTCTAGTTCTTTTTCTGTTGCAGCACGTAAAGTGCCATAGCATTCCGCGATGAAATCCAACAAATCAGGATAACCTTGGGCATCTTGATAAAAGTCAACTTCCTTTTTAGTGCATGGCTTGACAATTATAAGGTTACTGGTAGGCATGGACATGAGTTTATCATGACCAGCCACTTGCTGATTGAAATAAACCAGAGTTGAAGGACTGGCCATCGGCGGTGAGGTGTTGGAGTGGAAAGTCTAAAGTGAAAAATTGAGCGATCACAGAAAGTTCGAGTTTTTTAAATTTTGGAAAAGGTACAACACAAGTTTTCATATCTTCAAATTCAGACAGTGTCGGTTTTTTTGTGGACGAAAAAATTATAATTTTAGATATTTAATTGAGATTATTTGAATGAAGTTAAAAAAAAATTAGAAAACAAATCCTCAAAAACGAATTGGAATTTGTGCTTGTGACCTGTAATATTGGATAAAGACTTCATGTAATCGAATACTGTCCTGAGCAGTACCTCTGCAATAGCTCGATTTAGTATGTGTAAATTATGACATATAGGTAAGAATATTATAGCCATAATGTTTAGCTATTTTGTCAAATGTGCTTCAAACTTAATGTTATTCGAGTAATAACCACTGAGAGTATTTGATAGACTTACTTCTTTCAACTGCTTTGGTGGATTAACCGAAGAACAATTGAAAGGAGATAAACATCCATATCAGCAAAAAAACCTGAATCATCACAAATTGGTGTTGTAATATATCTATAATAATTTTGATCTGTTTTTGTTGTCTATTTTCTCTTTCACTTATTTTACAAAGTCATGTTCTAGTCGATTATTCTTGAAAAAAAGCGTCAGGTTTTTGAAAACCGTAAAGCAGATGCTTTTGAAGGTAAAAAAAAGTCAAATTATTATCGAACAACGAGTTTAAATTTACAGTATGTATTTCTAGATGCTATATGCGTTGACTGTAAAAAACAAGGTCATTTCACCAAAGACTATTTCAAATGTGATTTTTACAAAACATCCTCTGCTGATGATGGTAAGTTAGATTATCAAAACCAAGATATTAGATAAACAGTTATAAACATTTGAATTTGTAGTTGGCTCTAGCAGAGGCAAGAAAAGAAGTCAGAGCTTTGATGTAAAAGAAAAAGAGAGCCAGGATAGAAGAAAACCTGAATGAGAATCAGAATCACACAATTTGCAGTAAATGTTAACAGCCAGGCCATTCATCCGCAAACTCCCCTCTGTGCCCTGACCACATTCCAAGGAAGACTGAAGTTTTCAAACAGAATTTAGGTGACAATTATCAAGTTTTTACTAGAAAAATTCCGTTTGATAATTGTATTTTTGATGAATACAGAGATAGCCTTAAGGAGGAAATAATTGAAGCCTCATCAACTGTCCGTTATCTGGTATTTAAAGCAAGAATATTCATAAACCATTACGTTTTAAAAAACTCGGCATATGTTGCCCCAAAGTGTCTGCTCACGCAGAACTTTTGGTCACAGTGATTCAAATAATCAATGGACAAACAGTCAAAAACACATCAGTACTTCCAAATGGGTTTATAGAAGCCTACAACAACTTTAATTACCCGTCATTTACACGCTCCAAAATCCTCGTACCAGAAATCTTCCAGTGCATTTCTGAAGCCTGTACGGAGATCGCTACTTCCTGCCTCAACCATATTGTTGAAAATTTTGAACAAAGGCTTGTATATGTTTTGAAGTTAAAGTTGCAAATGATGTTTGTGGTACGTTGAGACTGGAGCGATGCATTATGCTTTCTAAGAACTCACTTTAATCTGTACGTATTATAGTCAATGCACCCATCACTGGCCCATGACATTGTAACCCGTTTCTGTTATCAAGAGATTTGTTGCGGAGAGCCTCAATGGCCAAAAAGCAATTACCTCATTGACAACATCAAACTAAAAATTACAAATTACTGCCAACCTTGGAAGAAACAATTATTTTTCTTTTTTTTTTTTTAGTTTACAGAATGCAAGAGAAGTTTAGCGTAAGTTTGGTTCAAAAAAAATGTACTTTCATATTTCTTTTACTAACTAGAATGATATAGTCATTACCTTCACTGGTTCGTGAAGTTGTGAAGCTTTTTTGCTATCAAGAGATTGTTGGAGGAGAAACATCATGGCCAGCGAGCATTCACCTCACTGAAGAGGTAAAATCAAACATTATCGGCTTTTATCAACCTTGGAAGCAAAGAATGGGGGAAAGGATAAACTTGTCTACTCTTAGTGTAAACCCTGGTTGCTTTGTCCCCTTTTTATTTCTGATCAATGATGAGCTGGAGAAAGAACATGCTGCCCACAAATCCTACGATGTAAGAAGACTCGTTTACCGAGATTATTTTCTGTGCTGCCAACTGCCTCTATACGATGGCGATTTGTCACTGTGAGCGTGAACGCTCTCTCTTGTTTTACAAGGCAGAAGCTACCTCGTGGTTATCACGATCAACTAGAGCTGTTTTATCGTATTTTAAATTCCAGTCATTGCGTTATAGAAAGTAGGTACAAAACATACAGCTGTTAATACTCATTGTACTGACATTCGTGTAAATAATAGTCTCTCATCACTTACTCCAAATAAGTAATACGGTGCTTTTTGGCAACATAATAAGAACCGATGGCTTCTCAGTAGACTTTGTATTCTACAAAAGACGACATGTTGCCCTTGCATCTACATACAAAAATTTAGATTTATCTCTGGATGATTTTAGTAAATCTGAGTAAAACAAACATACGTCCCCATATTTGTTGACCCTAATCGGAAAAGCGTTTTCAGTGCTACTGTTGATTTCAAGATCAGCAAATACGAAAATGAAGCATGAAGGAGTATTATCATTTGACAGGGACTACCAGCCTCTCCAAAAAAAAATGTAAAAAAAAGAAGTGAAGGTATAAATCAAGTTGAAAGCGATATCCCCTTCCTTAGGACCTCCAGTTTGTCAAAACATCATGATTATGTCTCATACATCATGTCAAATATCGATACTCTTTTGGAGTTCTACGGGTCAAGTGGCGCTAAAGATCGTTTTACGCTGTATCAAGGTAAGCAAAGGGTCATTCAGCCGATGGTTAATATGTTGACGCACGGTGCTTCAAAATATGATCGGTCAAGACGAAATCGTATAATGAGGAAGAAAAAAAGGAGAAAGAAGTGGAAGAAGAATACCAGAAAGAAGAAGGAACATGATATTCTGACCGAAAAGTAAATCAGTAGTTTGTTTTTGATCTACAATCAAATATGGCTAATAACTCTTTTTATGGGACTAGGAAAAGGAAGCAAAGTCCCTTCGTACAACCCATGGACAAGGTTCCGCTGGTTGTTTTTGGGGCTGGTATGTTTGGGAAGGATAATGTGAAGCTCAAAGGTTTAAGGTGTGGTGTTGTTGGCAGATTATTTAAAGCACTGAAAAGACGTGAAGCTGAAGGTGGCTTGATTATTTAACAATCAACGAATATAACACCTCAAAACTCTGCAACCTCTGTCATACTACTTTGTGCACCGTCGATACTAAAGGCTTTAAGGGAACAGGTGTATTGTCATGCAAAGAATGCCAAACTGTCTGGCAGCGGGAGTTAACGCATCTTTGAATATGATGACAATATCATTGTCAATTTGGTCGAACAAAGGAAGACCCACTGAATTTCAGCCCTATAAAAAAAGATCACCGTAGCAAACACGGCTTCTCGCAAGAGATTTAGATCATTACAGGTAAAAAGTCTGAACATAAATTACTATCCGTCTCCAAACTAACGTTTTAATTTATTCACAAAAGGTAAGCTAAGTATCTAAAAGTAATTTTTTATTTGTCCAAAAAAAAAACTAATATCGTCTGAATTTGAAGTAGAGTTACTGTAACAACGAAACTTAAACGTAAAAAAAAAAAAAAAAAAAAAAAAAAAAAAAAAAAAAAAAAAAAAAAAACCAAAAAAAAACCTCTCTTTAAACGTAACAACGAAACAAACATGATAAATCGCAACAATTTCAAAGCATTAATGAAGTCAATACTACTATTTTCGTCAAGCACTCAATCAAGTGATATTAGTTATGCATTGCTTTTTTTAATTTCTCGTGGCTGCACAGACAGTCAAAGGAGCTTAAATTAGCTAAGCGCATCCTTTGCATGATCTGATCTGCAAATTGCGCACTGTTCAAATATGATAAAGCTTTACAAACAATAAAATGGCGAATGTACTTTTTATTTTATGCATTCAAATGAAGGCAATCATGAGGTTCAGCATTTAATATTGGGTATATTTAGTTTTTTGAACATAAAGAGACAAATTATAAAGCGTGGACAAGCCATGTTATACGTATACACCCAGCTGGGCGTATTGTTATCGCCTCATTGCCACTTTCTGATTGCGTACCAGCTTTTCAATAAAATTCCCTTTAATCGCTTTAAATCAATCCACCATCAGTGAACATTCGTCTAAAGATTGATGTGAGAACCTAGTTATTGACATATCTACATTAACAACACATTACAGTTGTTTCAAAAACGATGAATAATATTGCCCTCGATGTACTGCTATTGTCCTATGCTACTTATGACCTTAACAAACAATAGTCAACGATAGAAAAACATGCCAACAAGAAAATTATAACACTTGAACACAAGATAATCTATTCTGTAATGGCGGCATAGAAAGTGCACCGTCTCTTTGTACTCTACAATTTTGCACGAAGTATTTGATCACGGGTTATACCCCTCTTTACAAATCAGTTACTCACTGATGCATTTACAAAGTCAGCAGTTAAAAAGAGCAGCAAAACGATGATCTTCTCTTTTGTTCCCTTGTGATAGGTTAAGTTTTCTCTTTCTTTTCACATACTTCCTTCAAAAACTAATTGTTGCTTTACTTACGCACAGGCCTATGGTAAATGACAGTGATATGCCCTCAAATTTTCTAATCAGTAAAGATGAACGTCGACGTATTCTCCGTCAAACAAAGGATTGGAATAAAGCTCTCCTTCCTAATGGAAAGTTAGCGCTTGAACCATGCTTTGTTCACCAGTCTGTTCCTGATATAATACCAATCTTTAACATATCAGAAAATGCAACAATAAATGATGATAGCGAAGCAACATATTCATATCACCAACAGCAGAGGAAAGCAACTCACCTGTGCATGCAAACAAAAACCTATTGGACCAGAAACTTGTTTTATTCGGGCATTGCTGATCCCTCCGATACTCAAACTTTGAAAGCTTTAAAATTCTGCACAACAGTATTTAAAGATGATGGTGAGCTGAAGCGAATCATGTCCGTCAAAAGGAAAAAGGATCTTCATCGTCTACGCTATCAAACAAAAGCAGTAATAGACTTGACAGACATCGCAAGATTAACTTCAGGTTTTGAAAACTATTTGAAAGAAGCTATGGAAGCTTGGCCTGAAGAACCTAAGACTTCCTGGAATAGGTTGGTGCGAATATGGAAGAGATATGGATTTTTATGGCCAGAAAAGCTTTATTTGGGTATGTAAGGTGTTATGAGTTTGGCGGGTTTATTCTCTTTCTTCTAGCAAAGATCTCCTTATTGAAGAAAGCTGTTTTATGAAAAGGTACATTTGAGCCACTGAACCAGTCATTAGATACTTCCATGACAGGCAATACCGCCAATAGTGTAAGACAAGAAAAGAAAGGAAACAATAACATACACCATTCTCCATTTCATATTGACCTTTTTCTCATGCGTGCCCATTGTTTCGTGAAAATTATAGCCAATGAGTGATATTAATCCAAAAAGTCAACAGCTACCATTTTTAGAGCAGAGTAGGCCTTCCGAGGATTATGTTATTGTTTGTCGCGCAAAATTACGGCCTATTCATGAGTTTTTTCCAGACATATATGCTGATCAGAAGCAGTACATTGAAGCCATTATCAACCATTTCGTGTACAACAAAATTGATGAGACCTCAAATGTAAGCAGCTCTTTTTCAGAAAGACTACAGGAACAGGCTGACTATTCTGAGCCTTCAAATAGAAGTCGAAGCAGTCTTAACAATGATTACAAAGCACAGATATCAACAGAACGAAAGAAAAATATAGGTACTTTGTCCGATTCCGCTACAATTGCAGCAGGTGAAAGAAGAAACGATAATGAGTGGAAAATAGCCATTAACCCTATTAATCCTTCTACATCTGCTGCCAACCGTACGAAAGACCTAACATCTTCAGCTTTTGAGGAGTCACAGAAAAAGAAAGCACCAAATAGAATTCCTCATGATCAATTCTCAAACGGATGTTGCTCACGTACTTCTAGCAGTATGAACACAAATAGTGGTCACTTAACATCTTCCTCTGCTGAATCCAGTGATCATACTCAGCCCACGAGTGAGTTGCCCTCGCCTCACAGCAGTAAAAAATCTCGAACTGTGTATGTAGATACGAACGTTATCATTACTGTGCAACAGCTATTTAATGACCAGCAGCAGATGCATGAAAGCGGCGAGAACATCCGAAACCACAATCAGCGGCAAGACCTTGAGCAAAAATGTAATGTTGAGCAGCTGGTAGAAAAGGAACTGGGCAAGCCTATCAAAGAAAGTGGTAAGCTTCTGGAAATTGCGATTGCTTCAAATATCACGGCGGATAGCAGTATAAATGTAGGCTGCGTGAAGATTGAGAAGCAAACCCTTGGTAACGACAAGACAGGTGTAACATTTTCAGGAACAGTCTGTAGGACATTCACTAAAAATGCTGCCTTAATGCATGACAGTAATGATTTGCAAAGCTGTTATGCTGAGAGTCATTATACAACCGCATCAGGAACAATAACTACTACTGGCACCTCAGTATCATTTGAAGAACATTCTTCACAAGGCCAGAATCCCATAGTTTTGTCAGCGAGACAGCTAGAAAAGCAGCCACTACGGTCATTCCAGCAATCAGGCTTTACGTGCGAAGATATACCAGAAGAGTATAATGGAGAACATGATGAGAGATATGAATGGTCTATGTCTTCCTCAGCATCTTCAAACTCATCAATACCAGAACCTACGCCTACACAAAGCATGCAAATGACTGGAACTGTTGAAAAGAGCTTACCTATACGCGAAGAAAGCAACAGTTCTAGCCACATCTTTGATAAGGAGCTTATGAATACGCCAACCGAAGCAGAATTATTCAAAAGAGAAATACAAAAGAAATTAAAAGCACGAGAAAACGCGTACGCCGCGATTTGCAGAAGTATATTATGTTTAGGAACCCCACTTTCAAACGCCACTAGTAGTCAGGTTAGGTACTACGATGATGATGACGATGGTGATGATAATTATTATGACGGAAATGAGAAAAGTAAGGAAGAAGAAGAGACAAAAAATGCGTACGAACAAGAACAGCAAAGTGGAAGACAGCAACAGCAACGTTCCGTGAACAAAACTGCTCGTACAATGACACCAAGAAGCAGACTAAGTAATAGAACAGCATCCTCCTCAGCGAATCTGTCACCTGAAGAATATCATTTACGAAGAAGGACTAGAGAGAAAGAGTTCATGAAATTACTGCAACATCAAGAGTCGAAACAGCAAATATGGACAAGAGCAATGCGGCAATCTAGTCTACGATATTGGTTGCAGGACATCTTCGTCATAAATAATTCTCCACACCAACAGCATCGATATCAACAGCAACGACAAAAACGTATGGCTACGGAGTGCCAAAATGAAGAAGCAGCGATCTAGTATCAGTAACAGAATCGGCAGGTACCTCTACTTCTATTATACTGCTACATCAGCAAAATAGCAATATATATAGTTCTCTTATAAACATAATGCGTAGGGAAATGCATATCGTTTATTAACATTCTAAGAAATTTTGAAACCACCATTAAGCGGGCAACTGCTAATTAATGTATAATGTCTCCTAAATTGAATATCACTCTACCCTATTAATTTATTTCTTTTTTTCTTTCGAAATTTACCAAGTTGCTACTACATATTTCTTACAATGGTTTTCGGCCACGTATAATAAACTTTTCAATCGTTACAAACACTCCTTTTGTTTTTAGCTATACAGAGCGAAAAGCTGTTAAATGAGAAATGAACACGACACAGATATGTCGCATGACATCAAATTCAAAGAGCAAAAAAATATGATATCAAGCAAATTTATCAGATTCTAATATGTAGTACGAGCTAGTTATTTAGATTGTTGCTATCTATTCATAGATTTATGCAAAACAGTAAGACTTTCATGGCTCTTTCATCATAAAAAGAGGTTGTTTGGTCTGCTGTAATGAAATCTTTCAGCACAGTTAAGGATCGATCTGGGGAGCCAGTGATAACAGAAAGCATCGGAGTTACACTAAAGCTATCAGCACAGGCTTGATTGGAGAGAGACCTTTTATTTATAAATTTAGTTGGGATTGTTGTTTTTCTTCTTTTCCCTTTCTCTCAACAGTATAGTTTTTCTTATTTTAACAATCAAAAATGGGTATTAGCTTTTCTTCAATATTCTCTGAACTCTTCGGTAAGAGAGAAATGCGTATTCTTATGGTCGGTCTTGACGCCGCTGGTAAGACTACCATTTTATATAAGCTCAAGTTAGGTGAAATCGTCACAACCATTCCCACCATCGGTAAGAATGATTATCTTTCGTCATCTGCACGACACATATATACTTATCTGTCTGTTAATTTCGACATTTGGATATTATCTATTACGCAAATGTTTAAACACACTTAGGCTTTAATGTCGAAACTGTCGAATATAAAAATATCTCTTTCACTGTTTGGGATGTAGGAGGACAAGATAAAATCCGTCCTCTTTGGAGACATTGTAAGTTTTCAAAAAGAAAGCAACTTACTTATAAAGAGCGCAGATAAAGAAGGACGAAAGTGAAATAATGCTGAAATAGGCTGGCAAATTAAGACCATCTCTTCCAAAAGTGCGAACTTTAACGCGAATTGTAATGACATATTTTTTCTTTTTCTCTTTAGACTTCCAAAATACCCAGGGCATTATTTTCGTTGTTGACTCTAATGATCGTGATCGTATTTCTGAGGCTCGTGATGAACTTCAACGTATGTTGAACGAGGATGAGCTTCGTGACGCTCTCTTGCTTGTTTTTGCCAACAAGCAAGATCTTCCTAATGCTATGAACGCTGCTGAAATCACTGATAAACTCGGTCTTCATTCCTTGAGAAACAGACACTGGTACATTCAAACTGCATGTGCTACGAGTGGTAAGTTCATTTAATTGAATCTCCCTTTCAAAATGAATAATGTTTGACACGCACGCAACTTTACAATCGTATGAATTAGGTGATGGTCTTTACGAAGGTTTAGAATGGTTATCATCCAACTTAAAAAGACGCTCTTAAATAACTAAGCTAATAACAATGGTCAATTTTGTTTGAGACCTGGAGAATTCTGTCAATTATATACATATATATACACACTTTATTACACACACATTTTATTATCTTCTAAAAGTCATACTTGTTACATTAGCTAAAATGATAAAGCAAGGACTGGCCATTCATCCTTCTTACAATCGAACAAGCTTATAAAACCAACATGTCCTCTCGTTTCCGCCTGTTTAATATCTTACTATCAATTACTATCCACACATATTATATTTACAAAATAAAGGATGCTTACAACAGAGGGAAAAAGTAGAACTTCTTGATTTGTGACATTACACGTGCTTTATAGCCTATTTTCATTGAGAAAATCAATCCCAATTTTGTGCTTCTCCACCGCGAATCTTTCTTTTTTTTTTTGGTTTGGCTCTTTCTGGTAAGCTTCTAGTTACAAACGATGGAAGTGGCTGCAAAAGCGAAGTTCTTAAAGCCTTAAAAGAGTTGGATTCAGCTCGTTGCAATGAAAAATGGGCGGATATTCCAGAATTAGTAAGGAAATATCAAAAAATTCCACCCGCAGGAATCAGGTACGAAAATTGATCTTCAGGAACAGGTGTGTAATTATAGTTGGAAACCGCCTTTGCATAACCCACATTAATGCGAACAGTGTTGATATTGACTGTTAGAATGGAAGCAGAACACATTTTGCTTAGCTACGTTAATCAAAAAGCACGCCGAATAGTGACAAATTCTATAGCCGGTCGTGACAGTGCTATTGATGAAGAGAAAGCAGCTATCAAGCATTTTCGGTATCATTATTGACGATACAAATGATGCTTTTTATCAATTAGATGTTCCAAGTCATATATCCTTTCCTTTGACAATAACTGCCTCTGAAGTACAAATTATTGTAGCAAGGCTAATAGATATCATACAACCTTAAATACAATTAATTTAGTGGCTTCGAGTCGCCAGGTGATTGGCAAGCACAAGTATTATGATAATATCTAAAGGTATTATAAACAATCTTACATATACTAAATTAGAATCACGACGGTTTCCAAGAATTAATTTAGCAAGGGTTTATTATAAAACAGGAAGATCTGTCAAAGCAATAGATTGTTTGCAGAATTTGGCCTTAAAATTAGAAGATGTACAGCATGGTTATGGACTGGTTTTATCAATACAAGCGAGAGTGATTAAGGTACGTTTGAAAGCATACTTCAACAAAATATACATGTAGATGAAGTTAAACAAACCACTGCCATTAATAGTCATTTGCTCAAAAAGATGGTAATAGGTCGGATGATTTGGATCATTATCTCGCTGATGTCAGAATGACTGAGGGCAACCCTAAGGAGCAGAATAAAGCATTGTCGTATTGAATGGAGGAGTGCCATTACCGCCCAATTTATTCAATTAAATCAAAGGATAAACAAAACTGCAATAGGAAAAAGGTAACAAGAAACTAATATTCTTACACTTTGCTATGTTAAGAGGTCCGTGGAACAGACTCTGAACTTAATGCATCATTACTTAAACTAATGTACTAATCATTGGCCAGCTGGATACAAGATGCATAAATGCTGGATTATCTTTCGCCATTATATTCGTTATGTGAGTCGAACCTTTCAAAAAAGGGGTTTATATTCCTCTTGATCACAGTGCTAATGAACTTGATTGGAAATTTTCGTCTACTTCCACTGTTAATACCACTAATACAACACCCACATCATGAAGCGATCATACAACAACTGTTGTGAAGGAAGCAATGTCCATAACCAAATTCGTAGATTCCTTAAAGTCTTTATAAGTCGCTATTAACAGACGAACCTATGCGATTCGTTTCATAGAATTCTCGAGCTGACCTATTTAATGAACTCAATATACTATGCAGTAGGTTGGACGGTAGCAATAAGAGTAGACAAACAATTGGATGGAAGTATGAACATAGTAACAGCTCCGGCACTTCAAAGACATCCGTGTATCATGTTTCTTTTTTAGTCAAGGTACGGAAGTTTACTGTAGCAAGCAATAAAAGCGGCTTTGGCAGTTTAGCATGGCACGTTATCCAATTCATCCTATACTCCGGTTGGGTGACCGTAAGGAAGCAAATTCTGCCGTGTCTTATTCATTGGAATCGTTGTCTGCTCCCAAACAATTTTCCAGACTGTTGTACTTTCAAAAGTGAGAGAATGCTTATTTGAAACGAGGATTTTCTTGAGGATGAAGAGGCATACGCGCTGGACAAAGATTTAATATAGCAAATTTGAACAAGGCTGCAGAATATCAATCGTATAACCTTGCATCAACAAGCAAATTATTGCAACCATCAGAAGAATACAAAAAGTCTACAGCCCTGCGACACGAACAAAAACTGTTAGGAGAATTTGTCGAGGCAAATGAAACAAGAGAGCAGAAGAAAGCAACTTTTATGACAACCAGCAATATTGCTTAGTAGCTTCAGTAGCTGGAGTAAGTAATTAGTAGTACACAGTTAGTCAATAAAAAATATCAGTTAAAAACCACTTAAACAAGAAGGAAAAGACTATTTACGTATTCGAGATCAATTGAGTAGTCTATTGAGTTGTTGTTGATGTTACACTTAGAGCATCGGGTATCTATCACCGATGATAGAGGATCAAGGTTTGTACCGTGAGTATAGCATAGCCCCTGTTCAAAGGGAAAAAAAAAAAAAAAAGAGTGCATTAAATTTAGTAAAAGGTGTATTCACTCAATAGATGATGAGAATCAAGGGAATCATTACTTACAATTAGTTTGGTTTCTATTTTTAAATTCAAGTACTAATTTTCTCGTTACAGATGTACTTTATTGGAAAGCGTCGCCTTGAATATTTCTTGAATTATCTGTATTGTTTGATCTATCGAAGAAATAACCAGCTACCGGGTCATATGGGAATGATACTAAATTGGATATTACCTATACCATATGCCAAACCGCTCAACAATTATTTGCACAACATCAAAAAGGGTTTACATTGCTTGCAGATTGAATAAAATTGTGATATCGCTTCTTGAGCAAACATCAGAATCATTACAGAAAGAGAAACGAAGTCAGTGGAACTTACTCATGACTTGGGCATTTCAAATTGGCGGCTCCGCCTGTAGGTTATATATTCTACAGCAGTGTAAGTGCTAACCTTCGCACACTATCAATAGATGAGTAGACACTGCACGTACAGAACTATTTTAGCCTGTAATGAAAATAGACGTATTAGATATATGACAGAAACAGTCAAGTTTCTTGATAAAGCAAGTGAATAGAGTTTTCGTTCTTTATGAACTTGCTCTACAGCAAACGTCAATGGGGGAACTAACTGCTGCTATGAATTTGATTAAATTGAGTAATTCTTTTGCGAGATGATTTTTTGCCCAGTTGGCATTCGAGGTTCTTACTTTCACAACCCTACAAGTATTCGAGATTAGGTACTTCTCCTGCCGTTGAATTTCAATTAAAATTCTACAAGCTGGTATATATCTTTATCAGAGGCGACTATTGAATAACGGCATAGTAATATCAATTGAAATGGAGGAAGGCAACGGATATTTGAAGCAAGGTCTTGTGCTTACAAGAGCGCAGAGGCGAAGATTCGATTATCAGAGACAGTAGAAGGCTTTGAAGCGGTATTCTCAATGTAACCAAATCTGCTGCATGTCTATACGCAATCATCGAAAAGAATGGGACTCCCAATAGCAACAGTCAAGTTAAAGTGCAGCATTTCGGAAGGACACAACCTTTTCCACTGTATGTGTACTAAATGAGTAGCAGCAAAAAATACGAGCCAAGCCGACAAATGATATAACGTACACTGTAAGTATCCTGAATAATAAGTTTGTCTCATTTCCTGGAAGCTGCAATTTCGAAGAGGATGAAGACCAGGAGGGGGACGAGAAGTCAATACTACTTCTCTAATTGTTCTACCTCCAACAGTTTGAACTTCCACCATCCACAGTACTCTTTTCGAAGATAGAGTAACATAGTCAGCGACACGATTTCAACAAAAACTGCAGCCATCAATAACAGCACCAGTTCAGGGATTATAAGCAAGAAAGACGAAGGAGAAGAAGTCAATCAACATTCAGTCAGCAGTTCAAAGAGAATTCATTAATCAGTATTTAATCACAATCAGCAGCAATCATAGAAAGCTGAAACCATCAGAAGGCCGTTTGTAGTACTACTACAACTTCTACAAACAGAAGAGGAAAAGCTGAAGAAGAAAAGACGGTCCACGTTTTTCAACACAGTAAGATCACACATTTTTCGTGGCAATAGTACAAGTGACGATAATAGCAGCGATAGAATCAACGTAAAAGATCAGCAACTAGCAACATTTGAAGCACATCCACAGCGGAAGTAGCAATTTTCTGACAAGGGTGTTGGCTGTGATGATGCTGGTTCTTTAATTATCAATGTATATACAGCTTAGTTGCTCGAAAACTGGCGAGAATTGTTAATACGGCTTTGGATTATGGTAAGTGCTACTTATACGTATGTCAAAAACGTGCAAAAAAGCCATGAAAAAATTGAAGAAGCCAACCGGTGATATTAACGCACTGGTGTATCATCAATTGGGTCAAGTATTTCTTTTAAATCATACTATTACCAGCGGTGTTGACAGAGAAACTTATTACAAAATTCCCAAAGACGCTTTCAGTACGGCGTTGATCATTGACCCAAAACATGTAGAAACGAAAATTGTAATAGTCTTTCTTTAATATGAACAAAAGGAATACCCCTTAGCTAAACAATTATTAGACAGGGTTACAAAGGGTTCAGGATGGAATCAAGCTAAAGTATGGTAAGGGATTATTTTAAGATGGAAGCTGATCACAAGCTGGAGCCACCTACTCACTCAAAATTTGTTCATGAACTTTCCATTTGACAAACGCGATCAGGTTTCTCTTAGAAACAATTTATGAGAAGTATGGATAAATAAAAGACGCAAAAGGCTGTTACATTTATGCTTTACAGCTAGAGGTTTCGCATACACAACAAGCAATATGGGACCTTCCTCAATTTTTATAGTTAATAGTTTAAATAAGATAAAAGCATAACAGAAAACGGAACCGGACTAGGTTGTTTACAAAAGCACATTTATTTTTAACGCATTAAATAGAATATACAAAGCTAGGAGTGATATACAAGAGAGCTGCTGATAGGGAGAGCCTAGTGCAAACTAAAAAAGAAAAAAGTTAGAACCGATATGAAAGTTTCGAATATAAAAGATAGAGTTATAATATGGTAGTGTAAGATAGGGGCGAAAGAATTATCTTCAACATTCAATGGGGTAGTAAGTCCCATGTCTGTTGAACTATGCCTAG